AAAAAAAAAAAAAAAAGAAAAAAGAAAAAAAAGAAAACGACACTCTCAATCACAACAATACACACCTCAAAACCACCACCCCATCTTAGCCCTCACCTCCCCAACCTCATCCCCCCCTCCTCCCCCTCCTCCCCTAGCCCTCCTAGCCTCCTCAGCAATCTCCTCCTCCGACTGTCCCATCATAGCCATCACCTCCTCCCTCACATTCACCCACTCCTCCCCCCAACACTCCCCCCACTCCCCTTCCAACTCCAACTCCAACTCACCCCCCCAAGGCACCTCACACCCCCTCAACCCAATAAACCTTCCCATCCTCCTCCTCTTCTCCAACAGACCCATGCCCTCGGGCCAGGTGATGGGGCAAGGATACTGGTTGGTCCAGCGGGAGGGGTAGCGCTGGTGGTAGAACTCGGCGAGGGAGTCGAGTTGGGAAGGGGTGAGGAGCCAGAAGGCGAGCATGGTGCGCGGGAAGGATGGGTGGATGGCGCCTGTTGTGAGTTGGACGAGGGGGGCGAGGGGGAAGGCGAGTTGGGCGAGTTTGGATTGGAAGAGGGGGTTTAGGTGCGGGGGTTGGTGTATACTATTAGTTGGGTTGGTGGTGAAGTTGTTGTTATTGTTGTTGATGGTTTCTGTGGTGGGGATGGCTTGATATGTGGGAGTTTGCATGGGAGTATATGTGGTCGTGGTTGTTGGGTAGCTGGTAGCAGTGGGAGAAGCAGCGCTGCTGCTGCTGGTATCGTGACTGGAAACGACATCGGGTGTCTGCTCAGGGGCAAAAGCCTCGGTCGGCGTACTCGGCGGCTGCTGGAACGGCGAGTGATGCTTCATTTTTGTTTCTTTTGTTTCTTTGCCTTGCCTCGTTGGTGTTGGCTTCGAGAGATGGCCTCGGAAGAATAACCAACTTGGCTTTGTTAGACTTCTTGAGAGAACGATGACTTGCAACGGTTGTAGTGTTGGTGACGACGACGACGACGAAAAGGTTTGATCTGCTGCAAAAGTGGCAAGCAAGTGAGGGAGCGACGAGAAAGACGAGTATTACGTATATATAATGCTTTGGGATCAGGATTCTCCCGTTTCGCGTTTGCGTTCCCGGTCTTGGCTTTTGTTCCCCGAACGGGTTTTGGGGACAGTCGAGATGAAAGTGAACAGCAGCACCGGCCGAGTCAAAGAAACCGAGAGGACCTGTTCCACGCTGCTTCGCGTTAAAGGAGTGGCGTCCGTCCGTCTGTTCAGAAAAGAAGTAGAACACCGAGGCTGCCAGCAGCGGAGGATAGTCGTCGTAGTCGTCTCTCTCTCTGTCTCTCTGTCACTCTTCTATTCTCCGCTCTCGTCTTCTCCCCCCCTTCCTCGGAACGTAGTCTGTCGGTCCACTATGCCCTCAACTATTCACTTCAACAACAGTGGCCTTCGAGAATCCCGAGTCTCAACACAACAAAAGGCTGCATATAACCCACCAGCCGAAGAAACCACTCGAAGAAACACAGACACACACACACACACAACACCCCTCGTACAATTCCCGAGGGCCCTTCACACTCTTGTAAGCGACTACTCAATTGTCCTCCTTTCTCCCCCAACCCTTTTGTCTCGCGGGCCGAGGAGGCAAAAAGATTCCATTCCATTGGCTAGCTAGTATCACCTTTGTTAGCTCGGGCTTGTTGTAAGGATAAGAATAAGGAGAAGGAAAAGCGAGTGAGTGTCCTTTAAAGAAGCCAAGCGTCTGAACAACTGCTTATGTTGGTAGACGCGTTGTGCGCTCTCACTCTTCTTTGATGTCGGTTGTAAGAAGGGATGGAGGCAAGGAACTAAGAAAGGCGGCAAGAGAGGATAAGACAAGACAAGACATTGTTTTTTGAGGGCGCGCGTGAGCAGAGTAGAGTAGAGCGGGAATGAGTCAATGAATGGGGGGGTCAAGTCTTTCTTTCAAGTTGGGCTTTTTCAAGACGAATAGATGAAAGGGCGTTCCCGCCCGGGCGTGTCTCGTTCAAAGGAAGCTGAACAATATCGATTCTCCTCCTCCACGAAATAATGGGTGACCAACTTCCCTTCCCACGGCACACATAAGTCAAGTCAGGTACCTAGTCATTCCGTGTCTGCACAATAAACACCCGATTGATACGCTTGGCCGACCTTATCCCGTGAGCCGGCACCACCTATGGCTGCTCCTTCCTTCCGTCCTTCCCGTCCATTTCAAGCACCTAGAGCGGCCCGGGTCCAACCCCCGCCTTTATCAACAGGTTCCGCGGACCTGCTTTCCAACGCCCCCCCAAATAGCAGCCCTAAACAACCGAATAGCGCAGTTAGCGGGGCGTGGGCACACCCGACATGCCCTCCACTGTCGCCTCCGCAGGTTCGATTCCTGTCTGGGGCGCTCGAAGCAAAACCACCGACTGGGTTTTCGTAGCTGTTTCAACCCCCCTCCTTGGAGGGACTCGAGTGGGCAGTAAGCTTTTTGACGTTTTTTTTCTTTTTTTCTTTTTTTTTTCCCTAGGGGGGGTGCGGATGGGGGGTTGATTTCTGGGTCATGAAATTATCATCATGTATTATATTAGGTCTCTATCATTTATATTATCCCATCGCTAATCGAGTCTCAACGGAACGAACGAACCGAAACAAAACCCTCAAAGCCACTTCACCTTAGCAACATGATCCACCTTCTTCTTACTCCCCTTCACAAACCCCATAACCCGTAACTCAGCCAACCCACGATAAAACCCAACCAGCAGCTCCCTCTTTCGTCCCTCATCCTCATCCTCATCCTCATCTTCTCCGTCTTCACCGCTTTGTCCTTGTTTAGCCACCAACGCGGAATACGCCGTCCACAGATCCGCCACGTTCACCAGCGCGCCCGTCTCCAGGAGAAGTTGGTGTAGCACTGCCGTCGCGGGCGACGTACCAAGGACAGTTCCGAGTCCAGGTCCGCTGGCTCTATCACCTCTTCCTTTTCTTTTCTTCCTCCCACAGCACGCACACCCTAGGTAATCATGCGGTCGGGCGAGGGCGCGGGCAAAAGTAGCCCCCGGGCGGGGGACGAAGATATCGCGGAATAGAGAGGCGGAGGAAGAGGAAGAGGTTGAGGTGGTATCGATGAACCAGGCCTCGTGGAGGAAGAGATTGTGTTCGGCATCCGTGATGGCGGGCGCGCAGTGGATGGTCTCGTGGAGAAGGGCGTACAGGGTATCGATGGCGGCCGTGTAGGCCTTGTCCTCGTCTGTTAGCGTGGCCGAGTCATGGCTGAGTTGGACTTTTTGAGCGACCACGGTGGTGCGCAGGATCCGGCTTTGGGCGCTGTATTTGCTTTTGAGGGTTGGGCGGGGTTTGTTTGGACCACCCGTAGAGTTGTTGCTTTTGGATCGTTCGATAAGGCCCTCGACTTCGTCGCGAAGGTCGGTCAGGGACAAGACGACGTCTTCCGCGGCCGCGGCCCAGCCGTCGAGGCCGAGGTCTGGGCTGCCGGTGTGGATGGCGGATAGAAGGCGGGTGGTTAGGGCCAGGAACTCGTCTGGTTCAACCCGTTTGATGGCGTCTTCTAGGGGTACCGTTCCCGATGCCTGGCTGATCGCGATGCCACTGCTGAGCGCGAGGGTGTACAGATCCGTGAACGAGGCCGAGCTAAGCCCAGAAGAAACCACGAGGTGGAGAGAACGCAGCAGTTGCAGCACATACTCCCGACGCTTTTGACCCTGCTCCCGGATCCGCGCTACAAGGTAGTCGTCGTCCTCGAGCAGCGACTGCGCATGGCCCAGCTGTCTCGCCTCCACCGCCGCCTCGACTTCGGCCTGGAACGAATCCAGCGTCCGCACCGCCTGTATATGTTCCGGCTGCAGGACGCCTCCACCTTCACGCCGTTGCAACACCGCGGCGTCCGTCAGCAGCACACTCAGCGGGTTCGCGTAAAAGTGGCACATGTACGCGTACTGGAGCGAGCTGACAAACATCTGCACACCCGCGACCTGGTCCTGCTGGCGCTCGACCAGGCTCCGCAGCAGTGCCGGCCCGACGCGCACCGTCGCCTGCGTGCCCGCCACGGCCGTCCGGATGACCGTCTCGAGCACCGAGTGCGCCTGCACCACGTCGAACTGCGCGCCGTACAGCTGTCGCGCCGTTGACTTGAGCAGTCGCGCCTGGAACAACTCGACCGACGTGGCCACGCCGAACAAGAGGTCGAACCGGATGCGGTCGCGCCATGAGTGGAAGAGCGCGGTCAGATCGGTGAGGAGGCCGCTCTCGAATGCTTCGCTGTCTTGGAAGGCGACGACGACGCGCCGTTGATGCTGCTGTTGCTTCTGGTTCTTCAAAAACACGTGCAACACCTCAAGATCGTAGTCCAAGTATTTCCTCCCCTGCATTCGTCAGTCTCTCGCCCTCACACCGTGACCTGAATAAGAATACTTACACCCTGTGTCATCACATCCACATCCACCCCCTCTTCCTCATCCGCAGTCCTCGCCGTGGCATCACGAATGATCTTCTTTAGCACCGCTTTCAGATTCGGCGCCTCGGCGGCCCGCAACCGTACAAATCGCGCCTGTGCTGCCGTCCGGAGCCGCTCAGCCAACTGCTCAAACAGCAGGTCCTGTGAGGCGATGTTCGGGCCTGTGATGATGAAGCCGGCCGTGAGCTTGTCTCTAATGACTGTTAGCAACGGCTCTCTTATTCTTGCGAAGGAAGTAGAGTCGGGAGAGGAAGAGACTCACGTCTCCGTCTCGGCTGCCTGCTGCAAAAACGACGAGACCTCGTCCAACGTATTGGTGTTGGCTTCTCTTAAGACACGCTACCTAGCTGTTAGTTCCTCAACCCAAATAAAAGACCAGACCGCCAAAACACATGCCTGAATCCGCCCCTCTAAAACAGGCCAACTCCTTTCAAACAGTTCTCTCCGCAACCTCGCCGCCTCAAGGCTCTCCGCACCGTTAAACAGAACCGGAAATGTTGTCCCGGTTCCTGCAGCACTCAACCTGCTGCTATCTGCTTGCTCTGTTTCCTGCTGCTCTGCCTTGGTCGTCTTGCGCCTCTTTGCTGGGTGCGCATCCCCAGACAATTTACTGGCCTGAGGGCTGTCCAGTGTCTGATTAGGGGCGTTGAAAATGAATGCGACCTGTTATGTGTGTTAGTGAGAGAACAGAAGCTTGATTAAACAAGGAAAAGAGATGTAATAAAAAAGTAAACCCAAGCAAGCAAAACGAGAGAAAAGACTAACCCTGTGATCCTCCTCCTCAAAAGACGCGTCGTTCCGTTCATTGTCCGCCATCTTGGTCCTATCTATGAGAATACGTCGCGGTCGTTTGATAAAAGGAGCAAGTGTCCCTGAGCTGAGTGAAAGTCCACAAGGGTTCACAGCGCGTGACAGCGTGTTGCCAGGGCACGAGCCACACTTCAGCTCGGTGCGCCACATGTGGCTTGGCGTCGACATCAAGCAGATGTCAAGAAAAGAGTTGGGGAGGTTCGGATTTTTCAAGACAAAGACACAGGGTAAAGGGGAACAAAGATATTGTTTGTAATTCATTCATGTTCATTAAACGGCTCGCAATTTATGGTGTCCCAAGCCTACCGTGTCATCCCTAACCTACCCTCCCAACTCGAATCTCACATTGACAGATAAGACAACACAACACAAAGCCGGAGCTGCCGTCTGAAGGACATAAGGGTCAAACCCCCGAAGCCCAAGAGGACTAACTCATTTACGACGGTAAGACAGTCACACATCAACCAAAAGTAGACACATCGACATAAAACAACCCATGTATACGAACGACACTCAGCACACAGCACAAGCTTTAGTTATAACCACGACAGCCTGCAGCGAGTCAACCCGAGAGTTTGGATCTGTAGCAAAAACCCCCTTTTAAGAGACTGAGGTAGACAAGAGATAAATAAGCACAGAGACAGAGACAGAGACCAGGTAAAAAAAAAAGAATAAGCTAAAAACAAGAAAACCGTAACAGAAAAGGAGATGAAAACAGAAAAAAAGAAAAAAGACCCTCTCCCCGAAACAAACAAGGCTGTTTCTTACGATGGGTGGACTGACCCCCTTCCCTTTCCTTCTCCCGGGGCCATAATAATTTTACACAAAATTCCCTCCATCCTTCCATTTCTTACTTTCCCTTCCCCCGTTGCCCTTCCTGTCCATGCCATTCTCTCTCTCTCGTTTCTCCGGTTTCTTCTGCCCGCCCCTTTCCCCTTCACCGCCCTAACCCCGGTGACCTAGTGGCCCTAATGAACTCAAGACCGGCAATGGTTTTTGTTCGGTTTCCGCTCGTGATTGAGACGTCAGATCTGGACCCAACGACCGGTTGGTTGTTCATCCGTCTATATTGTTTTTTCTTTGGTCGGGTTTGATACGGTTTGTTCATATTCGTCGACCGCTTGTGACGGTAGGAGACCGTCCTCAGATGACGACTCTTGTTTTTTCTGACTCCAAGTCAATGTGACATGGCAAACATCGTCTACGCTGTCGCCTCGACGGTCTCGGCGGTCTTTTCCTTCGCAAATGTTAGCATTATCACCGGGCATGCGAAACGAGAAAGGCGCGTACCTCAGCAGGCTTCTCCGTCTCCGCCTTCTCCTCATTCTTTTCCTTCGCCGCCTTCTTCTCCTTATCCTCCTTCCCTTCTTCGCCCGACTCCGCCGGCTCGCTCTTCTCCTTGACACCGTTGGCCTTCGCCTTGCCGGTGCCGTTGGTCTCCCCCGCGGGTGCCGGGGTCCCGTCAACGGCGAGCAGCTTGTTCCACTTGTCGAGGAGGACCTGGGAGCGCGGCTTGAATTTGAACTCATCCTCCTTCGGGATGTTGTCTAGCTTGAGGATGGCCTTGAGCACCTTGTTGATCTTGGTCGCGCGGATGATGCTGACTTCGAGGTCCGGGAAGGCCTCGAGCTTGGTGATGTAATCCGACATGAGCTTCATCTCCTCCTCCTTAGGCTCCTGGTCGCGCGTCAGGAGGCCTTTTTGGATCTTGTGCCGGAGGAACAGGACCTCCTTCTGTGGGGGTGTCAGCGGTGCCCAGTGAATTTCTTAGTGCCCCTAGCCAAAAAAAAGTGAGTAACGTACGGATTTCCTAACGTGCTTCTCCTCCGCGGAGAGCTCCGGCTCCTTGGCAGCCACCTCAACCGCCTCCTCGGCGTCCTTCTTCTTCGACTTAGTCTTGGTGCTCTTACCCTCGCCCTTGGTCGCCTTGGGTGTGGCCGCGGCGCCGTTGGCCTTTGGTGTCGCGCTCGTGGTCAGCTTGATCTTGGGTTTCTTGGCCGACTCTGTGCGTTGGGGAGTCTGTTGTCCGTTAGTCAATTGTCTGTCTGCATGAACGAGCCTCCCAGCTTCAGCGAGTCTCACCTCGGCACTGTCCTCGGCCTTCCTCTTCTTCGCCTTCTTGCCCTTGGCCGGTGTCTCGGTCACATCGGGCGCGTCCTCCATCTCGACGTCTTCATCCTCGTCCGCGCTAGCCGCCTTGGCCTTCTTGCCCTTTGGTGTCGCGGCCTTAGCAGCCTTGGCCTTCTCCTGCTCAATGAGCTCCTCCTGGTAGTTCTGCAGCACCTCCTTGTAGTATGACAGCGGGTGGTTCTCGGACGCGAGTTGGTGAGCCCCCTTGAGGGCGCCCTTCATCTTGTCGACTTTGACGTCCTGGAGGATGGTCGTGGGGTCCAGGTCGGTGAGGAGGGTATTTGAGATCCAGCCACTGCGGTCAATGGTTAGCGGCTGTGATGCAGGACCACGGGTAGAAACGGAAGCGGAAGCGCCAACGGAAACGGGAGCCCTGCAATTGTGCTGCAATGCAATGCACCGCATCACCCACAGAGGAGGTCAAAACTCACAATTCGTTGGTCTGCAGGTACATGATGGGAAACGTCCGGTCGGCCGCGTTCTTGCCACCGTCGGCATAGTCCTCGCGGTAGGTACCGTCGGCGCGCTTGGCCGTGACGGGGCGGGTCTTGAGCAGCGAGGCAGGCAGCATGTCCTCGTCGCAGATGATGACGGGCCACTGCGGGAAGCCCTTGAGCTTGACGAAGAAGTGGTCGCCAGGCCGCGCATCGAGGTGCAACAGGCGCGGCTTCGACGCCTTCTTGTTCAGCTTCTTGCCCTTCGCGGGGGTGCTTCCAATTGACTTGCGCCGGGCCTTGTTGGCCTTGTCGGCGGCGGTCGGTGTAGCGGCTGTGGCATCGGCAGCATCGGTCTGGTCGGCCTTCGCAGGCTCAGTAGCCTCGGCTGCGGCGGGTGCGTCGGTCATCTCAACGTCGGATTTCTCGGCGGAGTCTAAATTGGAGGAAACAAAGAAAGAGAAAAAAGGTTAGCAAGACTCGCCAATCCAATGCGGGAGTGAAAGTGGGAGTGGGCGCGGGAACGGAAGCGGGCGCGTAATGTTTTTGTCTGTTATTGTGGTTCTTCTTGTGGTTGGTTCACGCTGTTGGGGGCGGTTGGGGGAAGAAGTGTGTTTGTGCTGTGCTGTGCTGGGCTGGGCTCTGCGGTGCGGCCGGCGCAGGGTATGTACCACCTACCTTCAGCAGCAGGCTTGCCGGACTCAGCCGCAGAAGGCGCTTCCTTCCCCGCGTCGGCAGCGGTAGGCTTTGTGATGGTGTCCGGCTTGGACTCGGCCGGGGCAGACGGCGCGCCCTCGGCCGCGGGTGTGGTGTGACCGTTCTCGCCGGACATGATGAGTGTCGCGCGTGTTGTCGGATCGGAATGTGTGGTGTATGTATCCGATCAGGTCTATCAAATCTATCGACTGCGGATGCTGATGTATGTAACGTGTTTGTGTGGCCCTCCTTGTATGCAACGTGTGGTTGTTGATGGGTATGTATGTGTGTGTGTGCGTGCGTGTGTCGTGATGTCAGCACACGCGACTAGACTTGGCCGGAGTGGGAACAAGGCGAAAAAAGGATTGGCGTGGCGTGCGAGCAAAAGTTGCAAAAAGGAAAATGGTTTTTTTTTTGACGCGTTGTTGGACGGGGGACTTCTCGGCTCGCGTTCCAAAACTCCAAAGTGGGCCGTGCGGAGAGTTGACCCCCCGGTGGCTGCGAAAGCGCAGGACGATGCTATTGTTGATGCGATGCGTGAATGCGAGAATGCGTGAATGGATGCGGAAATGCGGGAGACGATGCAACAATGCACGTGAGCTACAGCAAGCAAAACAATGGGCGATGGATGAATGGGAGATGGATGGATGGCAGCGATGCGCCCGCGTTGTTGGCGTTGCAGGCAAGGCGAGTTTCACGAATGGAGAACAGAAAAGAGAGAGAGTTGTTCGCGAACCAAGGAAGAAATTATTTGACGGCAGCACGACGAGATGGTTGGTCCGAGCGTCTTGGCGAGTGAGCGAGCTGTCTTGTTTCTAAGAATGGGCGGCGGAGTTGTTGTGGAGGGGGGGCCTGGATCTGGGGGTGGGTGATTGATGTAAGGTGGCTCGGGGGGGAAGAGCGAGGAGCTCCGCGTCCTCCTGCTGCAGCCGGCGGTTCGGGTTCTAGGGGGGGGTTTGCTGTGCTGCGGGCATGCGTCAGATCCACGACGCCAACACCACCGCGCCTCTTGAAGCTTGGATACTACCTCGGATAGTTCCAGGAGCATCACTCGGGGCCAGCTAGACAGCCACGATGAGGAGCCCCTCGGATGTACACAAACCCCCTATTCGCCGTCTTGACCCTATTCCCATCCACCATCGCCATCAACATCAACATACCACCACCATCATCCCCATGATCATCATGATCATCATCACCATCAACATCTCGCCAGTACCTCACTGATACCATCTGCGTCATCCTCCCATTTCTCCCCCAAGACCCGATCAGCCTTGTTTGCCACCTCCCAGACGATCCCCAAGTCACCAGGTCCAAGACCAAGCAGGACCGCCCAGGAGGCCAGCAACCCGACAAGACCCGGTCAGCGCCGTGGCTGATCACCAAGCACCACCACAGCCCAAGTCCCCACATACCTCCAGCGCCAGTCAGCCTGATGATCCTGTCCTGTCCTCACACACCGTTTCCCCGAGAAGACAGAAAAAGGAGCGGAGAAAAATAAAAAACAAAATAAAAACAAAAAATCTTTCATTTTGAGCATGTCCGTCCAAACTCCCTGTGTACATACCATACATTAACCACCCTTATCAAATTCACTCCTCCTCATCCTCCTCCTCACTCTCATCCACATCCATCCCCTCCTCAACAACCACCTCAAACCCCGGCTCCTGATCCACCCCAACATAGCTATCACTCATCAAGAACAACTTGAGCGCATGTTTCCCCGGCGTCGGCACCGTAAACTCCAACCGTAGCGCCAACGGCCGCCTGCCGACCGTAACCCGCTTGATGGCCAGCAGCGTGCGCGAACTCTCCTCGCCGACGACGAGCCACCAGTTTTCGGTCTTGCGCGCGGGGTAGAAGGGGGCGTGGACTGTGGCGTCGAATTCTTTTTCTTCCTCGTCATCTTCGTCCTCATCATCGACCTCCCGCTCGATGCGGATCTTGAGATATGCCGGCTCGCCCGCGCGGATGGGTTCGCCGTCGCTGTTATCGACTTCAAACTCGAGCGAGATGTCCGGGTACTTGGTGTTTGTGAAATTGGCCGCCTGCGCCAGCTGCGCCTGGGATAATCCCAGATCTTTGAGTAGGGCAGCATACTCCTGCGGACTGTTCTCCTCCGGGTTCATCTTGTCCATAAAGTCAAAAATATCCCGCACGCCGTGGCTGTTGGCAGCCTTCACCACCTCGGGCGTGAAATGCGGGATCTGCTTGAGCGGACTGTCGCGGTCCCACATGGCCTGCACGACCATCTGCGACATCTCCATGGCGTTCATGGCGTTGAGGTGGCCCTCGGACGAGAGGATATCGACAATGGCGCTCAGCAGGCTGAGTAGTTTGGTCAGGATGACTTCTTGGTCTTTCGCCAGGTCGATCGGCAGGTTCATGCGCGAGAAGTGCGCCTGCACCAGCACAAACGCCTTGAAGTGCGCCGAGTCGTACGCGGGTTCGCTGCCCATCTTGACGGGAACGTTGTCGTAGATGCGCCGCAGCACGGGTTCCTCGTGCCGGCGCAGCTGGATGGCCTCGAATTCCGTAGCGGACGTGACGATTTCCAAGATGCCCTTGAGCTTGATGCGCTGGTGCAGCGACAGCAGGAAGGTATGCATGGTGATGTACGAGATGTTGTAATACGCCGCGATCATGGCGGCGTTCTGTGGCGCGACGGAACCGTCGTCTTCGTCCACCTCGACGATGCGCGAGTCCGCCAGCTCCTTAAGCGTGCCCTCCACCAGGTCCGACAGGTACTGGCTCAAGCCGTCGTGGGTCGGGTCCGTCAGGCTGTAGTAGCTGGGGTTGGCCAACAGGCGTCGGTAGAAGTAGGTGAAGGTCGCCCAGTTGATGGCGTCCTCGCCGGACTCGATCATCTTGGTGCTGATCTCCGTCACGAACGCGTCCTGCAGGTAGTTGTGCAGGTGCGACTCCACGGGCAACGCCTCGTTCAGGAACTTTTTGTAGTACTCCCGCTTGACCGCCGGCAGCATCAGCACGCCACGGCTGCGTCCAGCCCCCGCCCCGGAGGACCCAGTGGTGGTGGCCTTGCCAAACATCTGGAGCACTTCGCTGAGCGGGTAGTCCACATAGCGGTGTTCGCGGCCCTCAAAGTACTGCGTGCCCATGACCACGACCAGATGCGCGGCGCAATCAAGCTCCCAGCAGACATCCCGCGACGCAACCAGCACCTGAATCGCTCCATTGTTGTACAGGTGCTTAACGATGCGCTTGTCGCTGGCGCTGAGTGCCTCATGGTAGTACCCCACACCATGCGAGAGCGCCTCGGCCAGCGCCTCTTCCTGCACGCGGTCTAGCAGCTTGCGGATCTGCTCGACGTCGACGTGCAGGAACCGGTTTTCGTCGCCATCCTCCTCCGCGAGACACGCCGTCAGCAGGTCGCGGGCCGTCGCGCGCGTTTGCTTGCGGCTGGGCACAAAGACAATGGCCGGCTGGTCGGCAGCCAGCTGCGTCACGGCGAAATATGTCGGCTTGGCCATGGCCAGCATGAGCGAGGGGAAATGCGGGATCGTGTACGACTGGATGTGCAGCTCCAGCGGCACGGGCCGCACGTGCGGGCTGAAGTTGTAGATATCGTGTTTCTTCGCGTCGATCCACTCGCCGATGTCGCGCGCGTTGGCCAGCGACACGCTGAGCCCGACGATGCGCATGGGCAGCTCCGTCTGCGTGCGGATGTAGTGCATTCGCGACACGATGATCTCGTACACATACCCCATCTGCCCGCCGAGCATGTGCAGCTCGTCGGCGATGAACAGCTCCACCGTCTGCACGTTCTTGCGCTTCTTCCACTGCCGAGACAGCACGTCCCACTGCAGCGGCGTCGCGAGGATCAGGTCACCCTGCTCGAGCAGCTTGAGGTCGCTCGCCGTCTCGCCCGTCAGCTTGACGATGTCCTTTCCGCCCCGGAGTCCCGAGAATCGCTTCTGCCAGTCCGCGAACCGCTGGTCCACCAACTCCTGGAACGGCGCAATGTACACCGCCCGGCCGACAGAGTCTGCTTCCGGGTTCGCCCAATGCCGCAGCAACGCGAACTCGGCACACACCGTCTTGCCGCTGCCCGTGGGCGCCGCGACCAGCACATTGTTGTCGGTGCTGAACAGCGAGTTGAAGGTCTGCGTCTGCACCTTGTTGAACTGCTTCCACCCGGGGTACAGCGCGGCGTAGTCCTTGGCCTTGAGCGCCGACACAGGCAGCGGCTGCAGGTCGAGCAGCTCCGTGTGCGGCGGGAACCGCTCGGGCAGGATCAGCTTCTGGAACGACACGGCCATGCGCGTCTCGGAGTGCATCCACCGGTCCGACACCACCGAGATGAAGTAGTTGGGAGGCATCGGCTCCGAGATGGCCACCGTGAACTCGACCACGTGCTCGTTGGCTTCCGCTTCCGCATAGTCCTTGCGCAGGATGAACTGGTCGTGAAACAGGATATCCTCGCCGTCGCAGTCCTCCACCAGGATCCAAAAACTCTCCGACTGGCCGTGCACGTCGACGTCCCACTCAAAGTTCGGTGTAATCGTCAGCTCAACCCGCAGCATCGACCGCGTCATGGGCTGCACGTTGGCCGCGATCTCGACGCGCGGGAACTTGGCCACCAGCCCGCACACCGTTCGGCCGGCCTTGGGCAAGCCCAGCAGCTCGCCCATGCGCGGCGGGTCCAGGTCGAAGTAGCTACTGAACGGCACCTCGATGCGCTCGGCCTTTTTCATAATCTCTACGGGGCAGCTCGGGAACTGTCGCAGGGGGGACATTGTCGGCCACATGCGCTTCTCAGCCATCTTGCACAGGTTCAGCGCCAGCTTGGCCACCGACGCCCAGCCCTTTTTCAGCGTGATTTCGAAGATGGCCCGCAGGATACGACCCGCCGACTGCGTGACATAGACCATGTCGGCCATGAGCGCCAGGCCGTCTAGCTTGAGCCGCGAGATGTACGCCTGCAACAGCACGTTGATCTTGGCCGTCGGCTCCTCGATGCTCTCCTTGACGGGGATCGGCACGCGCGCTAGGATCTTGGCCAGCTCCAGCTTCTCTTCCTGGCGCACGGGTATGTACTTGAACTCGCCGCTCTGTGCAAACACCCGGAACAGCTCCACGTCGTTCATCGATGGCTGGATCAGCTTGTTGTATGTGTCCATCGACGCGTGCGTGATGTAGTAGTGCGACGCGATCCGCCCCAGCTCCGTCGACTGCAGCTTGCCTGTCTTCTCGTCGTACTTGACCAGGTTGGACTTCTTCAGCACCGTCGCCGCCGAGTGGACTAGGTCGACCCGTTTCTGCTCTAGCGCCTCGTCGTCCTCGTATTCGGCGCCCACACTGTATAAGCCAGGAGACCGAAGCATGCGGACGAACAGGTAGGTATACCCCAGCCATTCCACGCCCTCGTCGCGGTTGCGGACGTTGCCCAGAACAATCTCAGCGTTGAGGTTGTCGACCAACTTGCTGGCGAGCTGACTCTCGATGGGAAGCTGCTGGTTGAGCAGTGACAGGTAGTACGGGATTTCGTTCTGGTTCGTGATGATGATGCCCTCGCCATACGTGTCGAACTGCGGACGCCCGGCACGCCCAAGCATCTGCAGCACATCCTGCGGGCTGAGCTCGACCCAGCTACCCTTCTCCGGCGAGTAGACCTGTGTGCCCTTTATGATGACCGTGTGCGCCGGCAAGTTGACACCCCACGCCAGCGTGGCCGTGCACACCAGCACCTGGATGTGGCCGCTCGCGAAAAGATCTTCCACGTCGCTCCTGTCGGCGCGCGTCATACCAGCATGATGGATGCCGAAGCCGTACGGGAGAATGTCCTTAAGGTCCGTGTTGTTGACCGAGTCGGCTGCTTCCTTCAGAACCTCGCGCGTGCCCGCGTCATGCTTCAGGATCTGGTTGATGGTTTCCATTTCAACCGCCTTGTCGCGGATGTACCGGGCCGTCTTGGCCGTCTCCTTTCGCGAGTGTACAAACACCAGCATCTGGTTGCGGTGCTGCCCGACGTGCTCGAGCACCTTTTGGTACGTAATGTCGTTCATCATCTTGAGCTGCTTGATGGCCTTCTTGTCGGTCACGCCAATGAACTCTTGGCGCAGAGGGCATGGACGGAACGTGCTGTCGAAGTGGAAGAGGCCCTTGTTGAAGTCGACCCGGAGGAAACTCGCCACATCGCGGTAGTTGGGTAACGTCGCGGACAGGCCGACGATGCGCACCGGCTCGCCCGTCTGCTCCGTTCGACGGATCGTCCGGCTCACGATGCTCTCCAGCACCGGCCCACGGTCGTCGTGGAGCAAGTGGATTTCGTCGATGATGATGAGGCGGACCAGGTTGGTGTACGAGATATCCGTGGCCTTTCTCGTGATGACGTCCCATTTCTCAGGGGTTGTCACGATGATCTGGGTCTCTGCTATTTGCGCCTTGGTGAGCTGGCGATCACCCGTCAACTCCGAGACCTTGATGCCGTACGGCTCCAGCCTCTTGCCAAAGTTCCCGACCTGCTCTTGGACGAGCGCCTTCAGCGGGGCGATGTAGACAATCTTGAACGCATCCAGGTCGATCTCGCCGCGAGCGTTCCTGTTTTTCCCAATCTCCCGGAGAATCGTCAGCATGGCCACGTTGGTCTTGCCACTGCCCGTCGGCGCGCAGATGAGCATGTTCCCGTCGTCTTGGAACGCGCTGGGATAGCACTTGGACTGGATCTTGTTCAAGGACTTGGTTGTGCTGAAGGGCAGCTGGGCCCATTCGGGCATCTCCGAGACGGGCACGTTCAGATCGCTCGGGTCGTTCCGCTTTTTGGGCGGAGGTACGTGGACCTCCTCGTATCCCTTGAAGGTCCGCTTCGTGGTGCCATCCGGTAGCGTAACCCGAGGGTTTGTCATCAGGTGGTTGCCCTGGTCGAAGATGAGGTTATCCAGATTGATTAGCTTCTTGGGCTGAAGCCCCCCGACCAGTTGCCCTTCGGACCGCTCTGGTTTGGGAGCCTGCCCGTCTTCCAACCCGCCCTTGTCGATGTCCATCTTGATCTCCATCTTGGTCTTCTTGTCATCCTTGGCCTTGCCGTGCAGCTCGTCCAAAATCCAACGCAACCCTTCCGAGGCCATCTCCCGCTCGATCGTCTCGCGCTCTTCCTTGTTCTCGGCCTTTGCTAATCGGGTAAGCCAGACGACCTTCTCGCGGTTTTCGATCACCAGTTGCACAATCTCATGATGCTCGTAGTCGAAAAGCTCCATCAGGTCGTTCTCGATATCTCGTAGTTGTTTTTCTTCCCCTTCGGGCTCGTCGGGCTCGCCTGATAGGATCCGGAGGGCTTCCAGTGTCTTGTCGTGTTGTGTGTGCGGGTCGGGGTATAAACGGCCGATTTGGCGTTGTAGCCAATACGCGTCAATGTCCCTCGCAGGGACGGAATTCTGCTCTTGTGACTTGGACTTTTTGGAAGCCCCTGCATCGATAACCATGGCCTCACCATCCGCCAACCCTGCCTCCTCCTCGTCCCGGTCCTTGCCCGCCTCACCACCCTCTGCAACCTCATCGACGTCTGGCAGGTCCTGACCATCTTCGTCCCCGTCCTCGTCTTCTGAAGACTCGTCTCGGACCACATCAAGCAGGCCGTCATCCTCGTCTTCGTTCTCGAAGTTGACAGCAACACCCTGGCGGCCGTCGATCTCGTCCTCCCCAGCTCCCTTCACATCCTCCATATCTTCGTCCTCGTCCTGGGCGTCGTAGTCCGTGATCTTCTTGCCCAAATTTACCAGTTCGTTGAACTGTTTTGGGTTCAGCGAGGCGTCCAGAATATCATCGACCTCCTTCTTCTTGTCGAAATCCTTCAAGTCGTCGTCCTTGAGGTACTCCAGCGTCGCATCCGCGGCACTCCGCACAACCTCGTGGGGCACATCACCCAGGTGTTCCGCGACGATCGTCAAGATGAGGTTGAAGGCGTCCCGTGTGGGTTGGGTCCGTGGCCGGTACCGAATACCTTCGATCAGAGCATCCGCGCCGGAGAGAATGCCACCGCCCCGCGCATCGACCTTGGCCTTTTGCTGCTTCACGTGCCGCAACACGTCGGCGCCTTCTCGCACGCTCCCTCGCTCCACGTCCGGCATGGCGCTGGTCTTCTTCTTCGTCTTGGGCGCCGCATCTCGGCCCACGCGGGCACCCATCTCCTTGATCGACAAGCGCCCGGCTAGCGATTCTGGATCTCCAGTGGCCTCGTCGGTCCGTCTTGTGACAAACCGACGGTCCGCCTGGAGGACCAAGTTCGACATGGCCGAGTACTTGTATTGCGAGACATCGCGCTGGTAGTCGGACATCTTGGGCGATGTTTAAACGGGGGTTATCCCCGGGTTTGTGTGGGAGATGAAATGGTTTCCGAGCTGCGACGATATCTTTGACCCCCCAAAGTGGTTTTTCGTCGCGTCGATTCGTTCTGATATTCGAGCTCGGTTATGCTGCTCTACGTAGCAAACAGGCCGTGATCGCAGCACCGCATCGAATCGTCAATGACTCGCGGTGTCGGGGTAGGCTCGGGCGTGATTGGAGGGTAGCGTTGGTGTTGAAAAAGTTGATGTCGAGGCAAGTCGCGGTCGTGGACGATGGGACGTTGATCCAGCCTGCAGCCTGCTTCCTCACGGGCCCAGAAATTTTTGGGCTGGGAGCAAAAAGCAGCCAGCCTCGTCTCCTGATTGGTTGTCGTTCGTCATGCAGGCGCACGAGCTCCGGCAGCTCCCCGCGACAGGGCCCCTGGACGCACTGAGACCCTTGCAGTGGGCCAGCAGTTGCCTGCCAGCACCCGCCAACATTACTGGGCACCTGGGCCGTGAGATGGAAACCGCCAGTCTTGTGAGATGAAATACAGAAAATAACCGGGCCAGACCGACATTTGCGGAACCCAACAACACCAGCCATGAGATCGTTGGGTCGGCAAGGTCTAGAAAACGATACCGTATGAGCATCGTCCAAGATGGCATCGCCAGGCGAAAACACCTTGGACAATATCAAGAAAACTCTCGAGCCCTACGTTCGGCCGAGGGAAGAAGTGGCACGTATAAGACAGATATTGGCTGCCCATCTCGACACATCCATCCAAGGCGGCACACCCATCGGGCCCCTGGCTCTTGTTGATACCCAGCAAGTCGGGTCATCCACGACGGCGCGCGGTCTACAAGAACAGTACCTTGCGGCTCTGCAGGAGAACATCAAAGCGCGGAGCGAGTTTGACGTAGTATGTCACACCAAAAAGCAACCAACAAAACCGAAACAAACGACATCGACGAGCGGTAATGAGCAATATGGAGACCGCCTACGGGAACACCTCGCATCTATCCGCCTTCGGCAAAGGCGTGACAAGCTGCAGGTCATCGAGGGGAGTCTCAACTCGCTTGAGCAGAAACCAGCAGCATCGCCCGGGCTCTTAGACCCAGACAAGATCTTTAAAGACTCCCGGCCACTCCCAAGCATTCCCAAGGAACTGATGGCCGGGCTCGGGGCTGACAAAACAGTCAATGGACCACATATCAAGGGCCTGATCGACCAGCTCGAGCGGCACGTCTTGCAAGCGAAGCTCCTTCTCAAACGCGAGGAGCAACTGCTCGACAAGGTCAAGTCACAATCCACCGTCCGGCCTGGGAACATCAGCGAAAGCGCCAAGCTGTCAGCGCTGAATAGGACAAGGACGGAACTCATTAACTGGATTGAAACCGAACTCGGTAAAGCCGCGGGAGACGACAACGATGCCGATAGCCAGGAGGCTCAAAAGCATCGCGCCCGCGCGGGCGAATCTCTCAATATGGAGGAACAACTAGCCAGCATCAAGGAGAAGTATGCGCAGTATCTTGAGGCACGGAAAACGCTGCTCCAACTCATCAACGAACAACCCCAGCCGGGCACCAAACCACCAACAAAAGACACCAAACCGCCATTCTCCGCAACACCTTCCAATCCACCACCACCCTCCGCGCACCTCCTGTCCCCCTATCTCCAGCAGCTCCTCTCCCTCTCCCGCGAGCAAAAAGGTCTAATTGCGCAGAAATCCCACCTCAACAACACCATCTTCAGACAACTCAAGGAAAACAACCAAATCCTCGACCACCTAGCCGAGGAAAGCCACTTGATCCCAGCCCATCCCATGCCAGGAGGCGGAATAGGGCCCGGTGGAGACGGAGGAGGAGGAGGAGGAGTAGGAGGAGCATCATCACGATCCAACGCCGCCGCATTTGCCGAGGCCACATCAGGCGGCATCTCAGGCCCCTCCGACCGGGTGCGGCCGTGGGTGTTTGCGGCCGACTCGGCCAAGATTGCGACGCTGGAGGCGGTGGCTGAGAAGATTGAGGAAGGGCAGATCGCGCTGGAGGGTTCGATGCGTACGTTGGGGGAGATCCAGGAGATGCTGGGGCCGGCATCGGTGGACGGACACAACGACGACGGCGACGGTAACGATGGGAAAGCAGAGGGAGCGAACAGGGGGCGGAGTGGAACTACGACCGAGGATGACCTTGACCTTTGGATGCCTGGGGATCAGACGCCGACACAGAGCGCTGGGGCGAGGAGACATACTATGCGTAAGGTGGACAAGCCGACGCAACCTAAGACAGCGTGGGATATGTTGGATGGAAATCTCGGGCTGCTTCGAGCTGAGAAGTGATGAGAAGTGATTTAGGTTGTCTTGACTTCATTACTTAGATTGACAAGGGTGAATCAATCAAAGATACTCTGTTTATCTACTCCAGACGCCTGACTGATATCATACCCGTAGCTTTTGTGTGCCGGATTTCAAACGCCCCTTCACCTTTACCTCGGAGTCCAGGTTCTCCTCGTGCCTATCTATATCCAGCTACCGTCCAGCCATAATCCCCGAGATACGCAGCGCCAGATCGAGTATCGACAAGTGCTCGTCTGCGCCGTCCACCAACCGCTTATCAATCTCCGAAAACACCATCACGATCCGATTCTTCTGCACATCCGGGATCGTTTCGTCGTAGACCACCGCCTGGTGTAGCTGTGTCATGGTCTGCCCCGCGCTCCATCCATCCGCCACCATCTCCTCCACCACATTCGCGATCGCCTGGTACGTCTCGCCCGCAGCCCGCGGCCGCATGGCCTTGACCAGGCTTTGGATCGTGTCATCCGGGATCACACCCGCGATGTCCTCCACAACCTTGGCTGTAACTGTCTTTTGTTGTTCCCCGTCCACATCCATCTTGTCATCACTGCCTTCGTCCCCATCCGCGCCAGCAGCACCACCAGAAGGAGCATTAGCGCCGACTAACCTAGCCGCACTCTGCAAAAAGGTAATGGCCTTCCGCAAATCCCCTTCGCTACACTTGATCAACGCGTCCACGGCACCCGCCTCAACCGGCACGCCCTCCAGCCTAGCAATATCCTCCAACCGACGCCGCGCATTCCCCTGGTCCAAGCTCTTGAAGCGAAACTTGCTGCAACGGCTGGCCAACGGGTCGATGATGCGGGTGACATAGTTACAGATCAGACAGAACCGGGTGATCTTGCTGTACGTCTCCATGGTGCGGCGCAGGGCGCTCTGGGCATCCTGCGTCATGCTGTCGGCCTCGTCGAGGATGATGATCTTGAAGGGTGGGCACGGGTACCGCGACTTGTATCCCGGCGGTGGGTTGGTGAGTTGGGTGCGGGCGAAGTCTTTGACTTTCTCGCGTACGATGGAGATGCCGCGCTCGTCGGAGGCGTTGAGCTCGAGGACCCGGGTCTTCATCAGCTCGGGGCCGTAGAGTTCTTTGGCGAGGGCTAGGATGGTGGATGTTTTGCCTGTTCCTGGGGGGCCGTAGAAGAGCATGTGTGGGAGCTGTTGGGGTCGGAGGGGGGGATGGTTAGTCGGTCTGATACGAGTCGGTGGTGGTAAGGAGTTGGGGGTAGGGGCCGGAAGCCTACATTGGAGGCTTGGAGCGTCCGCTCGAGGACGGTAATGGTGTGGTCTTGGGCCGTGACATCGCTGAGGGTTTTGGGCCGGCTGGACAGAGACAAGGTATTAGCAACAATATCATCTAAATCCCACTACCTTGTCTCATCCCAAAAACCAGCTTAATTTGCGCACTATTTCTCCACCCAAGGTTGTACTTTGGTGTTTTCGCTAGTTTGCTTCTCGGTGCTGCTCGATGCTGCTCCATTAGCAGCGGCCGCTTTCCGGGCCTTGAGGTCGAAGAAGTTGGACATGATCGACCACTCGTCTGGACGCTGGCAATTTGGAATATTATGTGGCTTCTCGTGTCACTGGTTAAAGAATTCGTCAAATTAATTGGTCGTTTGGGGGGGGGGAAGAGGAGGTCTTTTGGGTTCTTTCCTTGCCGTTCCTTCATTCCATCCGGTACAGGCTGGACATACACTTTACGCGATGCTGCGAGAAGAAGACGCGCCTGGGTTCTAAAAGTGGGGCAACGCGTGAGGTGCGAGGGTGCCAAGCCCCCGCCAAAGGCAGCCGGCAAGCCCCACCAGGATCCCGAGCCCGGGCATCCGGTTGAGGCCCGTCCCTCCATTGCATGATTTGGTGAACCTCAGACAAAACTTCCGGGGTTTCTCGGTGCTTCTCAAATTGCTCGTATCGGGGTAATGACATTATATGCACTTGTCACAACCGTAAATCTCACAAACAACCCATAGCTGCCAAGCACAGAGGACAGGCGTTGTCTGTTTGATCCGGCAAGCAGTGCAAACGGGCTGTGGATGCGTTAACAAATCATCTTCTGAGCTCCCTCCCACGACGGACATTTGCACAAGGCAGAACACACAACAAAGCCAAGCTCTTCCATTCCATGACCCACTGTTGGTTGACCTTGTATTTTTGAATCGTTTCAGATCCACACAACTTCCATGGTTTTCATGGGCACTCCGGGGCTGTTGTCCGGTGGCCTCCAACCTAGCACAGTGCCCCGCACGCAGTCCTGCCCTAGGAGAACTCCAATTAGGCCATTGGAGCCTGAAGAAGTGCACTGTAGCATTATTTCGGAGGGCCGCTCTTACCTTGCCCGGCCCGTTTCCAGGTCCCGCCTCAGGTCGCCGCACCTGGGTCTTAGCCTTCCGTGGTGGGACCACCAAGGGACCTTTTTATTCCCCAACACCTTTCTCAACCCATTCATCTTCCCCACGGCTCATCCTCATCGGGCCATCCTCCCCATCGGTTCTCTTCCTCTAAATTCAACCTGTAAATCTGCACGCACATGAGGTGCCTCAGAGTCCCTCACAGCATTACTCACAAGTAAACAGCAGCGATGGCGGATCACTCTGTGTTCCGCATTACCAAGGTGGGTCGCCGAGGATATCCTGCCTCTGAGGCGCGGGGTTCGGCGAGGAGTATAAGGCTGACCCTCATGGCGATATCGCCGCTGCCGGTTTGCAGGAGTTGAGCGATCTCCAGAAGAACTCGGATCTCTGTAGGCAATCCCCTCACGTACTCCACGGCTCCGGGCCGTTTGGTGTTCACTCATTCTGAAATCTCTAACTTTGATTGCCTCAGCGCTCGCCGTTGCCTGCCGAGACATTGATGTCCGGAACGTGAAGGCACTAATCATCGGCCCTCACGAGACCCCATATGAGTTCGGATTTTTCGAGGTAAGGTTGCCGTGTTACAGCTTCTCGGGGGTTAATCGCACTAACATAACAACAGTTCGCCTTCAAGTTCAACAAAGGTATCATGCCATTGCGGGGAGAGATGCCAGCGCCTAAGCGTCTAAGCATGAAGCTAACTCCGCTTAGAATACCCACGCAAGTCGCCGCAGGTGAATGCTATCACAACCAACGGCGGCCGGTGTCGGTTCAACCCCAACATCTATGCCAATGGCAGGGTGTGCCTGTAAGTCAAAACACCGCTTCATGTTGCCTCTGTGAAATGTAGGCTGACAAAGTTCAGTTCGATTCTTGGGTAAATACCAAATGCCTTCCGCCAGGCGTATGCCTTGGTTGCTGTATGAGGGGCTAACATGACATAGAACATGGCGCGGGGAGCGGGGCGAAGAGTGGTCGGCCGCGCAAGGCCTGGAGTCCATCCTTCTCTCGATTCAGAGCCTGATGTCAACAAACCCCTACGAGAACGAGCCTGGTTTCGAGGATGCCAACGAGGCGTCTGATAAGAAGAACCAGAAGGACTATGTGCAGAAGGTGATACTGCAGCCTGCGGTTACCCGGAGCTTGTGGGGCTAACATAGGTACAGATCCGCCACGAAACTCTCAGGATCTCCGTGATTCAACGCTTGGAGGAGTACCTCAAAATCGGCGCCGACGGGGCCGTACCCCCACCAGAGCCTCCAAAAGAGAGTTACGACCTTGACATAGATACCGTTGAGGACGAGTCGAATATCCCGTTCGAGCCGTTCAAGGACCTGTGCAAGCGAAGATTCCTATGGTACTTCGACTCGTACCTCGCCGCAGTGCAGAAAGGAAAGGAGGAAACCAAGGAGGGCCAGGCTTTTGTTCGCATGCCTTTCGAGGGCTCGAGCAACACGATGGAGGGCAAATTCAACTACAGCGAACTCGAGCGCCGACTTCATACGATCAAGCAGGCCTTGGATTCGGAGTCGAGCGCGTGGGCTGCGGAGGGCCTCTTAGCGAAGGCGAAGGAGTCCACTGTTGCGGTCAACCTCCAGCGCCAGTTTGAGCAGATCGTCGAGTCCTTCAAGCGCTCCGGCGCTGCCCACAATCTGGAGCTAGAGGATAACAACCCGTTCACGTGGGTGCTCACCTATTTCGGAAAGCCCATGACGAACCTGGACGGCGGCCTGTTCCGAGCCAAGCTATTCTTCAGCCCGCGCTTCCCCGAGGAACAGCCACGGATCAAGTTTGAGACACGCCTATTCCACCATCGCATCGCCGTCGACGGCACACCATGCTACGTAGCTCCAGCCAGCCGCCGTGAGGATGTCAAGACACATATCGAGGCCATCATCGATGCCCTAGAAGAGGACCACCCGCCCTACGACCCCCGCACATTGGTGCACCCCGAGGCATTCAAACTATACTGGGGCTCTTCGGAAGACCGGCGGTCATACAATCGACGTCTGCGCAGGTCGGTTCAGCAGTCGATGGAGTAAGTGTGATCGATACATAAGGCCAATGAGAATTTTTAGTGCGTTTGATAGCTAACCCAAGGCGATCAGGGATTTTTAAGCTCTCCATTTTGAACACTGAATCTGCAATCCCCTTCGGCATGGGGGCATCCTTTTGTTTTCTTCGGCTCTTCGGACACGGCATTGCTTGCTTGGGCTTCTACTAAAATCCAAACCAAGCCGTTTGGCGTTCGGACATGATCTTGGAGGTTAAGGGGTGGGGCAAGGGAACAAGGCACGAGGGCGGATCGGGGGAGGCTAGGTGGGGGCAACCACCGGTTCAGTCGGATATGGAGTTTCACGCGTGTTCTGGGGTTCATTCTATCTGTCTGTCTTTCTTTCTTCTTTTGCCCTTTGCGTTCTTTTGACCTTTCCGGGTGGATCGTGATGGTCGGAACACTCATCGGCCCTGTGCTCGACAACGATATCACATTTGAAGACTGCTTCTCTGCCCTTTCCTTTCCTTATGAGGGGGGGCTACTAGCGAAGGCCACCTATCCCGAAGGCAAAGGAGGCTGTGGGTGTGTGTAGATACTATGCCTGCTGTTTATCCCCTTCCCCTATCTTTTGTCTTTGCTCCAGGTTATCTATCGTCTCTTTACCCTGCAGGCATTGGCTTGGGCTTGGTCAGCTTGTATTTGCCGTTCTTCCCCGCACCTCTTACAACATACAGAACCAAATTCGGTTGCGATGCGTAGGTAGCCAAAATAGCGTACGTCAATGAAACGAAATGTTCTCTGATGCATGAGGGCATATTTAGGAGTGTTGAAGCTAATCATTTGTTTCACATGTGATTTCATGATTCTGTCATGCTAACTCGATAATGATTCGTATGCGGTCACCCGTTTCCCCTTGAAACTGTGACCTTGATCCAAAAGGAAGGGGAGACAAAACAATAACGGAAAGACAAAAAACGCCATGCTATGCATCCCACTCATCCATAACGTTACTAATTCCCACGCTTTCGTTTTGTTCACCTCTCGGTCATAACCCATAAAAAAGCCATCCATACATCATAACGGCAACGGTATAAAATAATAAAAAAGATGGAAGAAATAAGTCTCAGCGCTTTCCCCCCTTTCCTTTCTTATCCAATTTGTCTCTCAGCGGGTTATACGGCGACGCCACGCCCACCAACCGTCGTGGCGGCGACGGCTGCTCCCCCCTTGTTGTTTCTCCTCCGCCCCGTGTTCCACCACCACCGGGTGTGGTCCCTGGACTAGCACTGGCCTGGTTAGGGACCTGGTTCTGGTTCCCACCGGCGCGGAACTCAAAGGCCCCGCCCTGTCCGAGGGTCATGGGCGCTCCGGGGGTGGGTGCGGCGAGTTGTTCGGCGTGGAGCTTGTCGAGGGATTCGCCTACGATGCCGTATTGGGCCCAGTTTATAGGTGGAGCGCGGACGATGTTTTGGGGCTTGGGGAGGGGTTGCCGCCAGACGGGTGGAGTTGGTGCGGTTGTGCTGGGGGAGTGTGATGAGTCGTTGGGGTTTTGTTGTTTGGTTTTGCGGTTCGGTTGTGTTGTTGATGATGATGTGCCGGGTGCGGCCGGCATGGGTGTATCTTCGCCATCGGCGGTGTTGGAGGTACTGGCTTTGGGCTCGGATTCGGGCGTGGCTTGCTGCCTAGTATTATCACCACCAATGCCGTTACCACTGCCATCCTCCTTTTCGTGTTCGTTGCCTTCGGATCCCGAGTCGGAGTCATCATCGCTGGAATCGGAATCGTCGTCCGCAGCTGCTCCGCGGCTGGCCCGCGACCCGGTGAACAACGGGTCCCCTTCCACCCGCACCTTGCCGGCCGCGAGATCCGCGGTGAACGCTTCCGGGTTGGCGAGCGCTGCGTCCCGTATGCGACTGAGCGACTGGATGTCGGCGGCCGCGCGCGCGCGTTGGAGTTGGAGGATCGAGATCGCGCTCTTCAGCGCTAGCACGTCGGGGTTTGAGTCAAAGTCGATTGGTGGCGCGGCTGGTGGGACGAAGCCGACCTGGTCGGTTTGGGTGGTGTGCGTGAAGTGCGGTCGGCCGCGCGCAAAGTCGGGGATGGAGTCTTGTGTCGTCATCGAGGAACCGTGGCCGGCGCCGGCGCCATCGTCGGGCTGTGGAAGTTGCGCCGATTCCTGCGTGGGAGTGATGGGGCTGACATCTGGTCGTGACGGTGATGCGGCACGCGACGAGGTTGAAGCACGTGGTGGATTTGCTGTCGTCGCGGCCGGCGCAGTGGGAGCTTTGGTGTCGACGGTGAGCGCCGGCATGGTTACGAGGTTGCTGTTGCCTCGGAGCTAATCTTGGCTCCTGGCGAGATCGGTCATGCCACGGGAAGTGGCCCGGGACAGCGTAAGGACATTCAAGGAATGTTGGGAACTTTTTTTGAAGATGGCGAAAATGGGAAAGAATTGGAGTCGAGATTCGAGTGGGGTGAAAGGTAAGCTTGCGCCCGCCACTGCACACGCTCGACCCCACTGTTGCCTTGCGCACTGCAGCTGTCTGACCAATAAAATTCAACAGCCACCCAGCCCCAGCCCGTCTCACATGCCGAGATGATGCATGGATTGTGCCTTCTGGCCCAAGGCTGAGGTTGCCGCAATGAAACAAAAGCTGCAAGCCGCAGTTTCGAGCCCCAGAGGTACTGGGGCTCTGCGGCTGTCTACACTACACGTAGTGATGACAGGAATAAAATTCTCGAATTTCATGAGCTGTGCTACCGGTTCATTCAAATCAAGCAAAGACACGACAAGAGAGCGTTCCTTTCGCTTTCACGCGAAGTTCGATGATGAGTAAATATCATCTGAAGCGCTGAAGTAGAGTTACGGTCCACCGCTTTAAAACCCATTCACAGACTGCATACACGTAAACTAGTAGTGTAGTGTACATGTGCACAAGCATCAGATTCCTTAAATTTCTATATGGAACATCCTAGAGGACTGGGAGCCGACAAGCAAAGGTTGAACGCACGGGCGCTGTGACCCAGCCTAGTGGGCGATCTGCCGCAATCGCTCCGTGGAGCCAGCCAATCAGCTGCTGAGAACCACCATTGACGATTTTCGGATCATGACGTATTTGATAACGACTTGGGGAAATATGGAGAGAGAACTTGGGCCTTTAAAAGAAAAGAATGGAGAAAAGAATGGAGAAGCGGTCTTCTGTCTCGAAACAAAAGACAGAGGAACATGAACAAAACCTTGATCAACTTGAGAGTTGGGAGGAACCCCAACTTCCACACATCGACGACTACAGCGATTTGCGCATTCTTCCGCCGCCGGTACTTTTAAGTCAATTACGGCTCAACACTGCAACACCATGAAATCCTTCCGGTCCCGGCGCGACGCCGACGACGAGGACGAGGACGAGACCTCGCCCTCCGGCCGCCGCAATGGCCGTGTTGACGAGCACACCCGGCTCCTGCCCAACCGAGTCGACAGCACCGCCTCCTTCCTCTCGCCCGACGACCCCGCCGTGTCCCCCTACAACCTGTGGACCGTCCGCTTCGTGCGCTGGATCACCGTGCTGCTGACCTGCGTCGCCTTCGTCTGGTGGCTGCTGATGGTCATCTCGGTCTTCATCACTCCGCCCGGCTTCCACGTCCGGGGCTCGCCCTTCTTCGCGTTTGCCTACGCCTCCGTGGCGCTGCTGACGTTGATAGTCTCGCTGCTGTTTTTCTCTGTCCCGAGCAAGGCGGCGCGGATCCTCAGTATTATCAATGCCGTGCTGCTGTTTGTGGACGCCATCGTCATCCTGGCGGTCCCCGGGCTGCGGCACGCCGAGCTGTGGGTCGGCATCGCGAGTGTGGTCTGGGGTGCGGTCATGGCGATCTGGTTCGTGGCGGCGGACCGTGCGGTGCAGTGGGGTAAGGCGGAGGAGGAAGAGCGCTTGACCGGACGGCCGGAGAGCAGGCGGACCGTAACAGAGTGGACTGAGGTGCTGCTGTCGACCATCGCGCTCACGGCGATTGCTATCGTGGTGGTGTTGATGACGCTCACCTTGACGCTGCGCGCGATCGATCTCGGCCTGGCACCGCCTGGGGAAAAGTATTGGGTGGACGGCGATCGGTATCAGATTCATCTATACTGTTACGGCGAGAAGACTGATGCCGCTGGGGAGAAGGCGACGACGGTTCTGCTCGAAGGGGGCGAGGACCCTGTCGAGCAAGGGTTATGGCAGTTCGCCGAAAACGCCGTCAAGAACGGCTCGATTAGCCGGTTTTGTTTCGCCGATCGCCCTGGTATGGCTTGGGTATGTTTAGAGCCGAGTCTTGTTGTATCATCACGGAATTCTGACAAGCAAACAGAGCGATACCGCGCCATCGCCATTTTCTGCTGGCATTGCCTCCGATGGCTTGAGCGAGGCTCTCTCTCGAGCTGGGGAAGAAGGACCGTAAGTGATTCCTACCGTTATCTCTGTACAACCCGCCATGGAAACCCGAGCACTGACATGTCGGCTTTTCCAGATGGGTCCTTGTCAGCGCCGGTATTGGTTCCATTTACTCGCGAGTCTTTAGTTCCCGACATGGTGGCCAAGTCCGCGGTCTCCTCATGATTGACCCCCTTCACGAGGACCTTCTCCCACGCATAGGCTCCCCTGGACGTGGTTTTTTCCTCTGGCTCCGGGGTGTGATTTCGCCCTGTGGGTTCGACCGTATTCCCGGGGCCATCCTCCGGGGTCGGCGGGCCGTGGACAGAGTCTGGGGTGGTTCCTCGTATCAGTCGGGGGATACCATTTTCGCCAAACTCCAGGAGAGCCTTGTGGCTCAGTCGCTCACGAGGCGCGACGTCGTATCTAGCCGCGCTATTCAGGACCGCGACACGCCGGTGGTGGTGATCAGTTCCGGCCAGAAGATACGCAAAGACAGTGACTGGGAGGACAAGGTTTGTTTGTCCTTGATGCCCCTTCTTGCGTAACTTGAAGAACTCGTTTGGCTAATTAGGAGATAGCAACGCGACCTGAGCAACCTCACCGGAAATACAAAACACTGGGACATCGTGGATGCACCTCACCGAGTCTGGGATGAGTTGAGCGGGCGGGAGATCATCGAGAAGAGATTGAGAAAGCTGGTCAAACCTCCAAAGGCCGGGTTGTGATATCAAGTCCCAATGGGTGGCAATAGGGAATGACGGAGAAGAAGACAAATGGGAGAGTTGATGAGTAAATGCTACAGGATGGGTGGTCAGAACCCAAGACTTACTCAGCGATACCACAGAATAGTTTGATATGGAGTCGGGTTTCGGAGAGCGTCAGATGTCAATGATTCAGCGTGGATGTGGGGAGCTTACTCAACTCGGACAATGTGAAACCAAGGAACAGATCAAAAGCCTCCGCTGCGAGATGACGTGGTGACATCTACGCACATCTCCTCACTAGAATCCATTCTTCATTTGAGTTAGGGTTTCTCGAGCCAAACGGAGAAAAAGGCCCGCTCCTCAGAGCTGGGACTTTGAGTGCAAGCTGAGTGTGGTGATGCGGGAGTGAAAATGATTTCGTAGAATATTCCATAACTGTTCGTATTTTGAGCCTCTTCGCGGTAAAAAAAAAGATAGTTGTTCGATGTTTGCAGGCACGGTCGCTTTGCCGTGCCTGCCTTGGCGGGGGGTCGGGTAATCTCCCAAGCTGGCGACGAGCGCCCGCTGGTGCGGGACAGGGGACAAATGGTGAGGTTGGGAGGAACGAGGGCAGTTCCCGGCGGTCTGGGGTGTTTTCGGGGCCTAATTATAGGCACCCCGGTTCTGGCGACAGGTGTTTGGAACTGCGAGTTGCTGTCATGGATTTCAGAAAGATGTGCCGGGGCGGATTGCCCCGGCTGAGTCGTAGGGTCTACCAAATGTTGTATATGTAACGTTCCGGAAGACCACAGAAACACAGGAGAGATGAAATTGTCAAAATTTCTCGGAACGGGCATGGACCACTTGTGATGTGCATGCCTGTTTTACTCGGCTAGCACTCCGCTGGGAACCTGGAAGGAACGACCAGCGGACTCACAACCTGGAAAGGCCTTCTTTGACCCACCAATTTTGGGCAATTTCGCAGTACGGATACACGACAAAGCCTGGAAATTAACACTCCGTCTCTGGCGGGGGCTTGGTCGATCGCTGCTGTTTGGCCCGGAATGCCCAGAGGTGAGAGTGGATCGTGCAACCCGACCTCCTGAACATCCACTCCGTCTTTTGTCACCAAATACCCGACCCGGGCATAGTGACTTGGTACTCAACAAGCCATTTGTCGCGCCTGTGTATGCACAGGTTCCGACCGAGTGTTTGTATTTTGGTTTCGTCTGAATTCTCTTTTGTTACTTCGCCGGAACCCTGCCCCAACACCCTAAAGCCTTGGATTCAACGAACTGCAACCTAGACCATAAGACGAGACGAGAACTGGACTTGCGCCGAGTGCCTGCACCAATTTCGTCTGCATCGACTCCCCCGCAGGAACCTTACCAAATACCTACCAGCCCAATTCCTTCGTCAACGCCGTCCCTTCTGCTTTGACCACATCCACATCTCGCAACCTGCCAGCGACTCGCGACCAACCTTAAATTATCCGACCGTCGACTGTACGATTCCGACCGCTCCTTGTCCTAGGGCCGATCATTATCGCTGCGCCGGCGTGCATTTCTTTGCGATAATTTGGCGGAAGTCGTGTTTCCATTTTTAAGTTTCCAGAGTCACTTTGCTGCTGGATCCTTTGAAGTGGCCCCCGCTTCCGCTGCTCAACAACCATCCCCTCATCCGCCAGACCTGCGCGCCGTTTCTCGCGCCCTGTGCAACAGCCGCATCCTTCCCACTCCCAAAGGCAAAGAAGCCCACATGGTGGGCGCGAACAAACTAAAGTGGGTGGATTGAAGGACCTCAGTCTACGATGGCCGGATACGATTATGGCGGTCCGGGTAGTGGCGGTGATTGGGGCCATGCTCTTGCGCCTGGCACTGAGATTCCATTCCGGACCGATCAAGACCCGACAACCCTTACCCCGGGTCCGCCCCGGCACAATGGCGGACCTGGCGGGAACCAGGGCGCCCGGCCACCCGGGTCGCCCTCGTTGAGCGCCGAGAATACCGATACCGAATCGAGGCGGAGCGGAGAACGGAATAGGTCACGGGCTCGAGGATCAAGGTCCGCCAGCGGCCAAGTGCGCACATGTAAGAAATGCGGCGAGCCACTGACGGGGCAGTTCGTGCGAGCGCTGGATGGGACGTTCCATTTGGACTGCTTCAAATGCAGGGTGAGTTTGGCCCAAAGACCGGGACGGGACGAGTCTTGTCTAGAGGGCGCCTGTTGATTCTAAATGTTTGTTCGTTTGTCTTTTAGGACTGTGGTCAGATTGTCGCCTCCAAGTTCTTCCCCGCCGACGACAATAACGGCCTGGGGCAATACCCTCTGTGCGAGACCGACTACTTCCGCCGACTCGGGTTACTATGCCACCAATGCGGCGGAGCACTGCGGGGGTCCTACATCACAGCCCTTGAGCGCAAATACCACGTCGACCACTTCACCTGCTCCCTATGCCCCACCGTATTTGGCGCCCAGGACAGCTACTACGAGCACGACGGCCAAGTGTACTGCCACTATCACTACTCCACCCAGTTCGCACAACGCTGCAATGGCTGCCAGGCCTCCATTCTTAAGCAGTTCGTCGAGATCTTCCGGAACGGCCAGAACCAGCACTGGCATCCAGAGTGTTACATGATCCATAAGTTCTGGAATGTCCGCCTCAACCCACCACAGGAGGTGATCAGTCCCACTCAGGACGACCGAGAGGGCCGTGAGCTGATCCGGGAAGAGGAGGAACGGATGGAGGAGAAGGTTTTCCGGATATGGAGCGTCTTGTCGACGTTTGAAGAGTCATCCGCAGCTTGTATTTCCGACATGCTCTTGCATGTCAGCAATGGCGCGTACATTGACGGTGTCATGGTTGCTAAGAGGTTTATCTTCCACGTCGACATCCTCTTTCGCTCGGCCGACAGGCTGGATTCCGCGATGACGGGGCTCAACATCGACAGTACGTGCTGTGCTTCTTTTTACACCGGGGCTTGAAGTTGTGATCGCTAACTTGTTTCAAATCACGTAGGTCTTGCGTATGGTCGAGAAGCCAAACTTCTCTGCAAGAAGATTGTTGCCTTTTTTTCCTTGCTCTCCAAGACCCAGGACGGGGGCGCGCGGAAACCCGGTGTCACTCAAGATTTGTTGACTCTCGTTACCGGCCTCGCACACTACCTGAAGCTCCTCATCCGGATTTGCCTCCAAGGGGCGCTCCGGATAGAAAAGGAACGCAAGAATGCCGATGGCCTATACCGCTTCCTCGACGATCTCAACGACCTCGAGACGCTCAAAACGGACGACAACTCGACCACGACGCTGCAACTAACAACAGGCATGTCGAGGCTCTCCGCCCATGACTCGGACCAATGTGCTGCGTGCCGAAAGCCCATCGAAGACGAGTGCGCCAAGATAGACGATAACCGGTGGCACCTTGCGTGCATCGGCTGCACTCGATGCGGCAAGGATCTGGGGCGAAACCTCCAAGAGGCACGGCTGAGCCCATATGATGCAAAGATCTTTTGCAGCTCCTGCGAGCCGAGCTCTCCCACCACTGCGCCGCCATTTGAACACGTCACCAAACTACAGCAATATGTCTTTCTGCTCCAGGTGGCCCTGGCTCGACTCCTGGAGATTCTCCGCGTCAACGGCTCGATTCCGTCCTACGCCGAAAACTCGAATGGAGAGGGCGCAGAAGGTCAGGGTTCATACGGTGGTAACCAGTACCCAAGACACCACCGAGAGTCGTCCTACGAGAGCGCTCTCAATGATGTCAAGAGGCTGAAGAGCACCCGCCTGGACAAGCACCTGTCATCGAGCTTTAGGAAAGCTCGCACCTCCCGGATCCTGGATGGGCCCGAGAGCAGCAGCGTACGGCCGGGGTCAGCCGGAGGCGGCGCTGGGGACGGCGGCTTTAACAAGGGCTTCCAGATCGTCGAGGAACGGGGCCCGATCGATGAAGAGGACATCATGTTGCCCAACCAGGATGCGATCACGCTCGACGACATTCCCAAGATTATCGCTGCCGAGCAGGCGAGAGAGCAGCGATACCCCCCACCACGACAGGAGCTTTTGCGTTCCCCCGCTACCGATCCCCAGTTCGGGGCTAACGAACCCGCCGGAGGTAATAATGTCCATCAACGCAGCCTCTCAGACGGGAAAGGGGCTGGGACTCGCGGGCTGGGTGAACCACCTGCGCTACGCGGCCGGCGGTACTTCTCTGAGCTTTCTGGGCTGGAGTACTTTATTGTGAGGCATCTTGCTGTTCTCACGATGCACCCCATGGTGGAGTCTGAATTCACGCTGGAGGAGCTTCTCGGGTTCATCGAGAGCAAGAAGCCCGCGACATTCTGGAAGAACATCGGCAAGGCGTTCAAGAACGACGGCCGAAAGAACGTGAAGAAGAAGGGCGTTTTTGGCGTTCCCCTGGAGGTTATCATCGAGCGAGATGGGGCAGAGTCCACGGACGGTGTCGGGCCTGGCACGCTGCGAATTCCCGCTGTCGTGGACGATATTATCTCGTCCATGAAGCAGATGGATCTCTCTGTCGAGGGTGTGTTCCGCAAGAACGGAAACATCAAGAAGCTCAACGAGATGGTAGAAAAGCTTGACAAGGAAGAAGAAGTCGACTTCAGCTCCGCCCATGTCATCCAGGTCGCTGCCCTCTTGAAGCGCTACCTGCGTGACCTACCAGATCCGCTGATGACCCACAAACTCTACCGTCTCTGGCTGGCGGCCGCAAAGATACAAGACGAGCAGAAGATGAGGTACTGTCTTCATCTGACGTGTTGCCTGCTGCCGAAGCCGAATCGGGATTGCCTAGAAATCCTATTCTGCTTCGTCAAATGGGTCGGATCATTTCATCAGGTCGATGACGAGTCCGGGTCCAAGATGGACGTCAAGAACTTGGCGACCGTCATTGCCCCCAATGTTCTCTTTGATAGGAACAAAACGCTGGGGCTTGATAGCGATCCAATGTTTGCGATCGAAGCGGTTGAGATGTTGATCGCGAACATTGGGGAACTGTGTTTGGTAAGTTTGCTCTCTTTCGCTCTGAGTCTCGCTCTTTTTTCTTCTATACCTATGAATCAGGACTAATCCATTTTTCCGTTAGGTCCCCGATGAACTCGTCGACCTTCTCAACGACCAAGGCCTATTCAATGCCACCGGTGACCTAACCACCAAGGAAATCCTCAAGAAATTCTCCGACCGGACCGCCACAGGCCTCGGGCCCCGACAATACGCCGAAGTCACCGAGATCGTCGGCCGCCACGAGATCCCCAGCCGACCGCCGCCCAGACGAATCGAAACCGACCCATCTCAATGGCAACAGGAAAGCAGCGTCCGACCCATCCAAGACCCGTCAGTAAGCTACGGTGGACCTTCCCACACCGGCACGCCACCACCAAACCGTGGGGGGCCCTACGACGCCCCGCCATCTCAGCAGTCTCCTTACGGGCAATTTGACCGCCAGGCAGCAGCGACCCCCGACAATGCCGGTGCCGGTCGTGGCCAGCCACAAGGACCGCAATCCCAATCTCAGCAGCAGCAACAGCAGCAACAGCAGCAACAGCAGCAACAGCAGCGGGGAGACTGGCGGAATTCGGGATGGGGCAGGCAGAACAGTGGACTGACAACCGGCACTGTCTAGAGGATTGGTGGCGCTAGCGGTCGTGGTTCTGCCGCTGGTCCGTCGAGGCGGACTGGCCAGTGATGGATGTTTCGAATTGAAGGCTCGAAGGGGACAGCTCCAAAGGGCTGCTTGCTTCTTTCTCTGCTTCTTTTCTCCCTTGGTATCAAGAAGAGGAGCGGGATCCGGTTTGGGTTTTGGTTTGACTCGGCTCGGCTTGGCTTGGCTTGGTCTCGGTGGTGGTGTAGACGGAGTTTTTCTTCCCCCTGCTATATCTTTGCCCTGGTCCCTTTCTTCTACTCTTTTCCCCCCGGATTTTTTTTTTTTTTGCACGCACTCTTCACCGGTTGCAAGTACACAAATGAAGCAAGCATGGCTGCTCGGCGTTTTTTTCCCAACTTTTGTTTTCAACCCTCTTCATCTTCTTTTCACTCCAACTGCCTTCGTTTTCCTCTGCTTCTCCCCCCCTCATTCCTTCCTAAGGCTCACTTGACGTACTTGCACGAGCGATATCCTTCTCTTTTTTCCCCGTCCCGACCTAAGTCATGAGGAGTCAAAAAAGAAAAAGAGAGAGAGTGGAGAGAAAGAGACCGTTTTCCATACCCCCCCTTGGTTTTGTTGTTGTCTTAGTCTTCCGCCATGATTTGGTTGTCTTGTTTGTTTGAGCCCGGGATGAGTGGGGGGATCGGGGGTTAACAGACAAAACGCACAACATTCATTCGTGTTTGTGGTGGGTGCTATATTCATGAGTGCGAGCAGTCGTGTGACTAAATGGGGGTCTGTTTAGTTCCACAGCAGCTATATTTGGGGTTTGTTGTTGTTTTGGGGGTTGGCCCGGGGCCCAGGAACAAAGTGGTGGGTGGTGTTTTAGTCCTGCCTGCCTGTCTGATACGGGGTTTGTTAGGGTAAAGAATGGCTGGTGGTAGACCGAGATGGGCTGGGCTCGAAGCTCTTGTGGGATTTAGTTGTATTGTGGGAGGGGGGTGATTGGAACGGAACGGGGATTATGGGGGTATGGGGATTGGCATTTGGGATTTGGGATTTGGGTTCAAAGGACCTATCTGTGTATGGCTGGATGCGAAGGCTGGGATTGGGATGGATGGACGCATGGATGGGTGCATGGAGGGAAGGAAAGGGGGAATGGAATGGGGTAGGGAAGAAGTTTAGAGGATGAGGGTTTTTTCAGCCTGGCCAGATCGGCCTAGCTTTAGTTCCTCCTCCCCCCTCCTCCCCATTGGAGGGAGATGTTTGGAGTAGTTGTGTTGTTCAAGAATTTGAAGCCATGCATTGGCGGTGTGATGTATTCCTGTTATTTTCCCGGTTCTTTGTTCTGTTCTCACTGTTGTTGGGATGAAAAAGAGATGGCATACCGTTATGGTGGATCGGGATGAGGTTACTTAGCTCCTTAGCTACTCCGTACTATGGCTCGCGCACCAAATGAGGCTGTGTATAGCATAGCCTCCCATGCTGCATGAGGCACCTTACGAGGCCGCCAATCGGCGATCTATTTGGCCGTGCCTTGTTAGGATCGACGCGTCGAAGACATCCCTAAATACCTCTACGTCAAATAGAGAATGAAGCCCTGGACCATTGAACTCAGGAACATGGAGCAGAGCATAGCACGCCAGGCTCATTGAAGATCAATGCCAATGCATCAGCGCCATGACGGATGTTGCAGGACTAGTTGTTGGCGTCGCTGCTCTGTGGCAGACCGCTGTCACGATTTATGAGCTGGTCGATTCTTCGCGGCAGTATGGCATGGACTACGAGATTCTCAATGTCAAGTTCGAGGTTGAGCGTGTCCGGCTGGTCTGCTGGGGCGACGCCGTTGGGCTAAAGAGCCTAGTAGTGTCACGCGACTCGAACCAGCCTCCACAGAGCTCGGGTGCCGGAGACACTCAGGCATCGAACGAAGGTCCGAATCCAAGGCCAGATCCACGTCTCAACCGTGAGGATATACGCACCGCCGTGATCCGTCTCCTCAGCTGCATTCAGCACGCATTCGAAGACACAAGCCGCCTCCAGGATCGATACGGATTGCAGCCCTACAGTAGTACCGATGCCGCGATCGTCTTGCAATCCGAAGAGACGAATCTTCCGCCGTCGCAGACACAGCGCATCCTCCATGGCGTCTTCAAGCGTGCCTACGAAAACCTGCGCAAGGTGGCGCGGGACCGGCAACGTGATACACCGCTCACGCGAAGGACGGTATGGGCAGTGCGCGACCGCAAAAAGTTCATGGTGCTTGTCGCCGAACTGCGCGGCTTCAACGATAGCCTCGAGAGCCTCTTTCCCGACGCCCAAGCGCGGGCGGCCGAGGCCATGAGGAGCGACATCGACGCCGCCGTGGGGATACGCGAATTGGCCCTCCTGCAGCAGGCGACGGCCGGTGAGCATGAGGCACTGTCTGAGCGCGTGAGCATACGGCTCGACGAACTGGGCGTGTCGCTGTCGGCCAGGACCGAGCTGCTGTCTGTGTCGGGAGCTCGGAGCGATACGGATAGCGAAGCCACGGTCGAGAACGTTGGAAATGCACAAGAGGAAGCACAAGAGGAAGCAGACGAGGAAATCAGACGAGATGATCGAGAGGGGGGCCAGCAGACAGGACCTAAAATGACCGAGTTGGAGAAGCGGCTGGGTGAGCTAGAGCTGTTTGTCTCCAAGAAGAACTCAGGTGCGCTGACCACGAGAATCTTCGGGCCCTATTCCGGCCTTGCCCACGTCTCGGCTATTGTCTACTGGGACGGCGAAAAGCATGATAGGGATCCGCCTGTGTGGGTGGAGAGCGAAAAGGGATTTGTAGGCGTGTCGCACGCGGCTTTTGGTAATACGACCCCCCCATCGGCAGGGTTATAATGGTTGACTGACGCCCGATTTCAGAACTGTACAAGAGGAAAAAGTACATGATGAAGCACCGCCGGGACAAGTATGAGTCACCCGACTCAGAGGACTACGTACTACTTGATCCCGAGAGCCACGTCAAGCTAGAGAATGTCAATCCCGGGACTGTTACGGTGGAAGGTTTCGGACTCGAATGCTGGGACTTTGAGGAAACAAAACCAAGGGAGCAGACTATCTTTGTCAACCGTTCAAAGCTCCCGGTTTTACGTGCTTGCAGACTGTTGCGCCGGCTGAACGAGATCCAAACAAAGTCAGGCAAGTTCGGATGGAGCCCAACGACGGAGGAGTTAAATCTCAAGGAGTTTGTTGGCACTCTCGGCATCGTCTACTACGACCAGAACGCCGCGAAAGACCCAAAACGCTGGATTGGGAATCTCTTCGACCTCATGAACCGCACCGACATCTTTGCCGACTTTCTGACGGAATCCACTGTTGGCTTGCAATGGGCGAGCCCTGCGAGCGACCACTGCATCGGCATTTGGGACTTCCTCCGGCAGATCATCCTGAGCTGGGAGCTGGCGGTGAGGTTAAAGCACTACGAGAGCGGCCACTTGGGATTTACTCCGCGAATTCTTGCCAGCCTTATCGTATCCGATCTGTGGCTCAAACACGTGAAGATCGTCCTCGCCGACCAAAAGATCGAGACGGAAGGCCTGGAAAGACCAGAGACGGCCGAGGAAAAAGCGAAAGCTGAAGAGTTTAAAGAGAATGGCAACGACTCCATGAAGCACGGTGAATACCAGAAGGCCGTCGATTTGTACACGGAAGCCATGAAGATCGACCTCGGTAACGCCGTGTACAGATGCAACCGGTCAGCAGCGCTTATCGGGATAGACAACTTCGAAGCGGCCGAGGAGGACGCCTACGTCGCGACCCAACTTGACCCCAAATACGCCAAGGCGTGGTCCCGCATGGGTATGGCCATTCTCAAGCAGGGACAGGGAAAGCGGGCAAAGAAGGCATACGAGAGGGCATTGAGGGTAGCCGGCAAGGATGGGAGCCCAGCCATGCGCAAAGGACTCGCGGATGCCGAGGCACGAATCAAGGAAGCGGTTAAGGCCATCAACGAGGAACCTGACGATGAGAAGGCGCATAACCTGCGATCCGCCTTTCTCGACGAAGACTGGGAGATCATGGGCAAGACACTGGAGCTGCACTCGCTCGTACACGAGCAGCAGGTTGAGGGCCTCCTCCACTTCGCGGAGCGCATCAAGTGGCCCTACATCAACGAGGTCCGCGACTATGCCGAAGATGCGTACAGCGCCCTCCGTAGTGGCAGTACCCTTAACATCCACCTGCATGACTGGCTCTTTGGGATCACTCTCCCAGGAAAATGGTTCGCCTTCAAGATCATGACAGCGCTGATCCTCTGCACTCCGAGCCTCAGGGACAAGGTCGGCATTGCCCATTACTACGACTGCGGCCTGTCACTGCCCACGCGCTCATACTGGCGGGTCAGAACGGTGTTGGGCCGTGTGCTGGGTTGTCTGCCCGGTGTGATCTCCCTCTGCGGCTGGATCGGACCCTGCCCGCGTGTCGACTTCGAACCTTCCCTCGAGGTACCCACCAAACCTCGCCACATCCGCATCAAAACCCGTCGCGTCGCTCCCATCGAGCACCACTCCGACTCGGCCGACGGCATCATCCATCTTGGCGGCCACCACAATCCCTACTACTCGGCTACCCGGATCCAGCCCAACGAGGAAATCGATCCCTACCTTGCTGACATGAAGGACTCGTCCAAATGGATCATCCCGGAGCCGCCGGTGCGCGACATCAGCACTTGCTCCATCGAATCGATCAAACTCACCAAACTTCCCCTCCGTACCGACATCGCCCAGAAGGCCGCCTCCTCCTCTTCTCCGGACAACGACTCTTCAGATTTGTTGGATATCGAAAACGAGACCGAATACCGTGCCAGCATTGTCTTCCGCCGCGACGACAACACACCCGACCCCATCACCTACAAGCTTTACACCAACCCCATCTTTGTCATCCCGCCTGCTTGTCACCCCGGGCCCAAGGGCGACGGCTCCCATGAGGTCCACATGCGTGAGCTGAGATACTACCGGAATATCTGGTCTATCGAGCGGCTGAAGGAGCATACACCGGAGGCCGATCTCGACGAGAATGAGGGTGAGGCACCGGTGATGGTGATCAATGCAACAGGGAAGGGGGCCGAGGCGTTGGCGAGGGCGTGGTGTTCTGAGCGCGGCCGCAATGCGGTGATCAGAAAGGAGGGAGGGCCGTGTTTTGTCTGTGCCGTCAGGGCAGCCGGGCTGGGCGGGCTGGGTACGGGGGTATTGATCTGGACTGGATAACATTAGGTAGGCTGTTCGCTTTTGTGTGTGTTTCTTGTTTTCTTGTCCTGTCCGTTTGATCTTGCTTTGTATATGATGTTGTCTCTTGGTAGGGTTTGCAACTTTGGCGGGACGGCGAGTATCAGACAATGATTAAACCAATTTACCTAGGCCAGTCAATCCATCGCTCAAATATGAAGTTATGAGTTTAACAAACTAAGTTGGTGTGATATGGCATGGGCATTGAATAACAAAGTATTATGCTGTGTGAGTCGTACAAACTGACAAACTAAATTTTAAATATCTAACCAACGCCTCGGCTTGCCATTAATATATTAGACAGCAAAAGGTACGATAAACCGCTTATACATGCCTCATGGGGAGGGTCATTTCTTCCATGATCTCCCGCCTTTTTTCTTACACGGTCGGTCAACGCTCAATAAATCCCCCAAAAAGGTCGCATACATCATAATTAACGCAAGAAAAATCTCCCTTCCAGCGCAACGCCCCATCGATTATCCACCCGTTCCTCCATCCATCCATCCATCCAAAGACCACCAAGACCATACCATACTTTCGTTCCAGTTTCAAAACTACTGCTTCTTATCAACACCCGCTTCCTGCTCCAGCGTCCACTTGACCGACTTCTTGATACCCTCATCCAGGGTGACCAGCGGCTTGTAGCCCAACCGCCGCTTAGCCTTGGAAATGTCATAGTAGCGCGTCATGCAGCTGTACACGATGCGCTGGCGGTTGAACGTGGGCGGCTTGTTGATGGCCCAGAAGAACCACTCGCTAAAGTACCCCAGGACTAGACCCACGCTACGCGGGAGCACGCGCACATGCTCGGTGCCGTGCGGAGAACCCGCGGCGGCCCAGATGGCGCGGGCAAAGTCCCAGAAGTAGATGGGGCTGTCGTTGGTGATGAAGAAGGCCTCGCCGTCGATTTTTTCGTTGTCGAGTGGGATGGTCTTGGCGGCGGCGGTGAGGACCAGAGCGCGCGCTGCGAGGAGGTGGCCGTGCGCGACGTTCTCGACGTAGGTAAAGTCGAAGAGGTTGTTGTTGTCACCGACTTGGATGTTAGTGCGTCCTTGGCGGTAGACGCCGATCATGTGGTGGAGGACCATGGTGTCGCCCTCGCCCATGATGCCGGACGGCCGGATGGCGCAGGTCAGGAGCTTGGGGGATTCGGCTGCGCGGTTCGCTTCGAGAACAAGTACTTCGGCAGCGGCCTGGGTGGAAAGCAAAAGTCAGTTTTTGTTTTCTCCTCTTACTCTCTCTCTTTTTTTCTTTTTTTCTTTTTTTTCCTCTTATTCTCCACCAGTTGGACGAAAGTAGGGGGGCATCCTGTCCGCCACACCGTACATACCTTGGTCTCGGAGTAGTACTCGCTCTGGGCCTCGCCACGGATCATGGGCCACCGCTCATCGGCATTGATCAGGTCGCTGCGGTTGTCGCTGATGACACTGGCCGAGCTCGTGTACACGAGGGCCGTGACGCCCGTCTGCTGGCACGCCTTGATCACGGCCGCGGTGCCGTCGACGTTGACCTTCTTGAACAGGGCGTCCGAAACGTGAGCGCCCTGGGCGGGGGGCGACGCGGTGTGGACGACCACATCGGGCTTGACCTGCGAGAAGATGGTCTCGAGCTTGGCGGCGTCGGTGATGTCGGCATCGAAGTAGACCACGCCGTCGGAATCGGGCCGCCGGTTGCGCGTACACCGCAGGTCGATGACCGATACGGACGAGCAGCTGTAGTCGCGCAGCAGCACACGCACGACGTGATGGCCGAGGAAACCGCAGCCGCCGATGACCATCACGGCGCCGAGCGCCGGCTTCTGGTCGGAACCCATGGAGGCGATTGTGAAGGGTTGTAGGTAAACGGGGAGATTCGGAGATCTAGTGGGTCGTTTCGGGGGAGTTGGTCGTCAATTAATGGTCAATTGGTGGTCAATTTATGATGGGAGCAAGACGACAGACACCTCGCAGTACGGATACAGAAATACGGAAGTAAGGTGAGAATCAAGACGGAATGTTCAAAGTGGTCCGTTCCCGTCTCCTTTCCAGTTGTCGGCTCACATTTAGGCGGAGTTCCTGGGCAGAAGAACAGGTGGTCCGCGCCTGATTGGTGGTGACGCACAGGCCCATGGTCCCTGTCCCTGCAGCTGAGGATGCAGGGCTCCATTTTCCTGCATGGATCCTGTCGCTCCACTCCAAGCGTAACTCTTGAACCTCACAACACTTCCAGGTTCGACTGAGCGTGAGGTTTGACAGGTGATCAATATCAACTGGCTGCCAAAACACACACCAGTTACGGAATAGGTCGGCTCTACATTTGCGTCATCCAATATGGGCTTGGTTTCGGTCTTCAGATTTCCGAATTTTATTTTCTTCAATTTTTCATAATCCTTCTTCCTTACCCATTGAGTCACTTTCACTTCTTGATTCCAGAACAGGCATCTTCCTTTCTTGTCAGGCGGTTGCCTGCTCTCACTTCTTTTATATATACATCATTAACCTTGTTTTATTCGACTTTGCATTCAACACGTTGCTGAACTCCCGCGTTTTTGTTAGATGACGAGATGAGCCAACCCGTGGTTCAGGTTCTTGTCCACGTCGCAGCTCCCGCTCGCGCTTCAGATGATGCCAAGTACCGGGCACTAGCGGCTGCGTACTTCGACTTTGAGCCGGCGACACAGCCGTCGAGATATCTCAGCAGTTTTTCGGACTCACAAGGAGTTGGACAAGGCGTAGAACAGGGCCTCGAAGAGCCACCACAGACACAAGATGGCCCAGGATGGAACGCAAGCCAGAGCCTCGGGGTCATCCCATCACCGATGTTGTCGTTCAGGAGCGTGGTAGACAACGGCGGGTCCTTCCGGAAGCAACAGGCTTCGGGAAGGCACCAGACGCCGTCGCAGCCGTCGTTTGTGCCTCCGCCCAGTGTGATCGAAGACTCAATGCCCGACAACGATTACATGTTAACCGGGTTTTGTACACCGACGAGGCTCCTGGAACACTACACCAACACGCTGGACAGTTCGCAAGACTCGCCGGGAAGCTCACGCCAGGGGATTCCTACATTTAGTCAGCTCCGTCCACAAAATTCCGACTCATCGCCTCCCCCCGTTCAGGGAATCAAAAGCCGGGATCAAGCTCGATATGATCAACCAGAAACGGTGATCTCACAGTCACCCTCGGAGGGCGCTGCACGTCGTATGACACCAACACCGACATCCTCAGCACTGGACATTATTTACGAGACCCGAATCGCCTCGTCATACCCCAGCCAGCCATCATTATCACCCTCCCGAGCAGAATCCGAACCACCACTACCCAAACGCCAACGAACCTCTCTCAATCTCCGACAACCCGGGCCCGGTAAGCCGCTCGCTAGAAGCGCCAGCGACTTCGGCCCCCGTTCACACACTGTCGCCAAAACAACCCCGAGCACTACAACCACCACCACCCATACCAACAGCAAAAACAACAACACCCATCAACCCCTTACCTTCCCCGAACCTACCACCCCCCTCGAAATCCTCTCCCCCCCACCCCTTACCAGCCTCTCTCCCCTCCACTCAGCCGACCTCATCACCCCCCTCCTCGCCAAGCTCGCCCACGACCTCAACCTCCCCAAACGCTACCAACCCACTCTCCAAACCCGCCCCTTACGCCCCTTCGAGCGCGGCCACTGGCACATCGACTGTCGCACCTGGGACACCTCTCTGAAACGGTCCGCGTGGGGGTTTTTGACTGAGTATGTCGGCAACAAGGGTGCTGCGGGCTGGGGCACGTCCTGTCGCAGGGAGGCTGGGGGGATGGATTGGGTGAGGGTGTATTGTTTTGGGGCGGTGGTTGGGCATATGTATTTGGTGGTGTATTTGATGAGTAAGAGGATGGTGTTGGAGACGGGGGTGGAGTGGATTGGGGGGGATGGCAAGGCGGTGGTGGTTATGGGGCCGAAGGAAACGGGGGGGAGGAGTGGGAGTGGGAGTGGGAGTGGGTGATTGTGGAATTTGAACGGGAGGATGTGAAGGCGGGATGTGAGGGTCTTGAGGCTGAGGGTGTCCTGATACTCGCTCTTATTTATTGTTTCCTAATTTACGGATATTGGTTACTTGGATCGTGGCCTGGGATTATTGGCCGACGGTTTAGTTTATGATTAGCATGGATGATGAACCTCACGGAACATTACGAGCATACAGCGTTAACGAAACACAGAGGAAACAGCCGCAGGATAACGAGCTAGAATATGGGCCCCATCACTTATGAATCATACCTTTTTTTGCCCCCAATACGTCGCGTTACCTGCGGATCAGGAAAGACCCATATTTCTATGTATACATAGTAGTGAGGGGCGATCAATGCTTCAATCACAAGTACAGTACGTACACATAACTTCCGCCAAAAACGACGGTAATGTAACTCAGCAACTCAGCAACGGGACATCAGGTCGGTAAACAAACAATCATCAGCGTATAAAACGTCTAGACAGCCCGAGCCATCCCGAGACTCGAGAGAACGGGATCTTCTAGCAAACGCAACATACCCTCCTCCGCCTCCACCGTCCGTCATAACAAACCAACCACAAACGAGCGCAGTCATAATGTACAGATAAAGCTCGGGAATCTCCCGCAATGAGCCGTCAAACCCCCGACGCGGCCCCGAGGCCGCGGATCATAAAAAAAAGCCAGGGGGACTCTGAAGAATCTTCTTCTTTACGTCTGTTCCTTGACAGCGGCCATCTCCTTCAGGTACCTGGCCTTGTCGGTGTCTGCAATTGATTGGAAGCGCTAGATAAGGGAGTGAAAACGAACACGTTAGAAAACTAGGCGTATACATCAAATCATAATCTTCCTAGATGACCGGGGATTGGTGTCCCTCTTCGCCCGGAAAGGGGCGGAGAAGGGAGGGGGGCGATGGGCATGACATACCTGGCGCTCTTCGGGCCCGAGCTTCTTCCACTCCCCGGCAATGGTCTTGATTCTTTCTCTAGAGCTGAGGTTGGCTAGTTCGGGACTGAAGAAACGAGTCTTGGAGTAGGACACGTAGAGAGTCAAGGAACGCTTGGGGAAGCGAGGATCGGAGATCGGATAGCTGGAAACTGAGTGCTTCTTCTTGAGCAGTTTGCGCGCCAAGTTGGCCTTGTGTATGCGCTCCGGCGAGTAGCTGTCGACCCAGTTCCGGTGCGCGACCGAACTGGCAACCTTGTTCTCCTCGGCCTGGGCAGTTAAGGGCTGTTTGTCTCGTGTCAGCCGGTGGCCCTCGGGTTAAGAAAAAACCGGAGATACATGTATGTATTTGTCTCCCTCTCTGTCAACGCGCGCCCGAGTCTTACCTCCAATGCTGCTTCCGACAAGCCCTTGAAGTCCGATGCGGCCTGCTTCGCTATGCCTCCAAGTAGGAACTTCTCGCCGCCTCCCACGGTATGGTCCTTGGCACTATCCCTGACGCGCTGGGTCAGGTACACCGTCCATGCGCTAGTGGGCAGCTTGGTAGGTTCCTCCTTGAGTAAAGCAACCTCCCTCAACTTGCGGATCCTGAGTTGAACCTTCTCCTCCTCCGTCATGTCCTTCTTGAGCTTCCTCGCGGGCTTCTTGGCCGCCTTCTTCTTCGTCGCCTTCTTCTTCGTCGCCCTCTTCTTCGGGGCGGCCTTGGCCTTGGCCGTGACCTTCTTGGTGGTCTTGCTGGCGGTCGTTTTCTTGGCCGTCGTCTTCTTCGCGGCAGGTTTCTTCGCCTTGGTCGTCGATGTCTTGGTGGTCTTAGCGGCGGCGTAGTTTCTGGTGAAGACGGCCGCGATGCGGATACCGCTCGGGATCACGGGAGTCGCCCGCAGAGCCTGTTGTGCCGTGAACCGGCCGACGGTGCGGATCGCAAGACGCCCGCCGACCCGGCCGGTCGCTTGGCCAATTGCGGACAGCATGACGAAATGGAGCTGTTGGTGTGATTTGTTTTTGGCGGGGGTGGCTGCGATCCACGCGAGAGCGATGTGAGGGGGGGCGGTTTGAGAAGAGAAAAAAAATCAATCCGAGTTGATGTTTGTTATGCCCACCGTATCGCAGCCAAGGTGTGCGCTGCGGAGAAGGAAGATTGGGGCGACCGAGGCGGAGAGGTGGAGGTGGTGTGAAGTGTGGGATCAATCCGGCAAATTTATGCGTTCTGCTCGTGTGGTTGCAGCAGGACGGGAGCTCACCTTCCCTGCTCGAGACCTCCTACTAACTAACTAGCCCGCTGTGTGCTCAAACGGAGCTCCAACTCGGGCTTCGTGCCTATTTAATCTGTCCCCACTCACCCATACACACCGAGCTCCAGGTGAGCAGCTGCCCAGTTCGAGAGCAACAGGATTGCCATCTGCCGCCCAGGTGCAACGCATGTTCCCGCTACTTGGAACGTTCACTGCCCCGCCCTTCGTAGACCCCTCTCACCCATGCGATATTCACGATCCAATTCAACGCGTCGCTCAAACGTTAACGGCGCGCGCAAAATTAAACGCAGATGCGGGGAGAAGCTTCCCTTGGTGAATACACTAGTATGTACAGAAAATAAAGCCAAGAATTGACAGCCAATTGAATAAGATTCCTGTCTGCGACAGACATAATGCCGCCGCACTTTCCTGGTAGCTGAGGTTGTTGTCACCATCTCGTTGATCCTTGCAAGATGTTCCAGGGAAGTTCAGAAACTTGAGACACAGTGTCATGTTATTAGCACTGTATATAAATACTGTATCTGCCTCGTCCATCTGTCACTGCAGCTGCTCCACCTTTTTTGTACTCCTTTCGATCTCTTCAACTTTGCTGGTAGACCAAACCCTTGTCGACACCTGATCTTCAACATCAAACCCATCGGCCCAGACGCATCGCCTAGCAGCATGCGGGACCCCCGTCTTGTGCGCTAACTACTGTCGGCCGCTTCCAAAAAGTACTTCTCACCACCAAGTGACGTCCCGCTGAGCCACCGTCACTGCAAAAAAGAAGAAAAAAACCAGATATGGCTCGGCCCAGAGACTCACGCTCACCATCTCCCGCAGGAAGCCATGCCGCGCGACGCCGGAAAGATGATGACCGGCGCGACCGTGACCGTGATCGCGACCGCGACCACCGTCGACGCTCCCGCAGCCCGGATGTAGGTAGCCCCGTCCCTTATCGCCCTAACTCTTACACGCAGTTGCCTAACCATCCCCTTACCTCGCAGCGCCGATACCGCGACCGAGAGCGTGACCGTGGACGTGATGCACGGGACCGAGACCGTGACCGCGACCGCGACTCATACCGCTGGAGGGACCGTTCCCTAGACCGCCGAGACGATGACTACTACCGAGGCGGCTCGCGCCGTGATGGAGGGGGCCCGAATCGAGACCGACGTCGGTCACGCGACCGCGGACCAGAGCGGCCGCGCTCGCCAGATCGCCGCGGCCCGCGGGGCGGAGATGGAAATCGGGACTATCGTGCCCGGCGGGATGATTCTCGAGACCGGAGGGACCGCCGTGACGGCTCGGCCGATTCCGCTGCGCGACGCAGCGATGCCGGACGCCCTCGGCCTCTTAAAGTCGATGGGCCGGCGGCTAAGGATAATGAGGTGCGTGACCATCGTGTAGTGAGAGGTCAATCGTGTCATATCATTGCTAATCCGTCGATCCAGGGGCTGCAGCCAGCTAAGTCTACACCGACCCAGACACAGACAGAGGTAGATAAAAAGGCTGAGCGCTTGCGAAAGCTGCAGGCGATGAAGGAGAAACATGCGCAGAAGGAAGCCAAGGAAGCGGCCGTTACAGCAGGGAGCACCCGGATGCTTCTGGCTGAGATGGACCAGAAGGCCAGCGGGGCGTCACCAGGGTCGAATAGTCCCGCTGCCGCCTCTGCGAGTCCCGCTCCGGCGTCGCCTGCGACCCCAACACCCTATGCCGGCAAGTTTGACCCGAAAGCGATTGCGAAGAGTTCCAAGGGAGCCCGAGCCCAGTCTCCCGCACGTCTCGGTGAGGTGAAGCTAGCCAGCCTGGGAGCCAAGCCAGTGCTAGGTGGCGGTGGTGTCAAGCCACCGGGCACAAAGGCTGCCGGGTTGCTCCCGGCAAATAGGGCGGTTAGTGCGTTTGGGTTCGGCAAATCTGCTGACAGCCAGAAATCGTCGGCGAAACGCAAGGTCGACATGGACGACGAAGAGATCATCAAGCGCAAGCTCGTCAAACTTCCCGACTTTGTGCCCGAGAATGCCGATAGCACGCCGGATGCGGAAGGTGAAGGAGACGAGGACGCCGAAGACGACCTGGATGTCCTCATGGCCCAGAACGAGGAGGACATGGCGGCAGCCCACAGGGTTCTCCAGGAGAGGCGAGACGAGCGCATTCAAAAGGAGGAGATGGCCATGGACGTTGACGTTGATACGGAAGCGGCGCCCAACGGTGGCGCTGTTGCGGCGAACGAGACACCACAGGCCACAGTGATGGAAGTGGATGACGATGTTGACCCGTTGGATGCGTTCATGGCCGACCTCGAACAGGTCGGTCCCGTGGCTGGGTTTGGCTCGCGGCCGGCTGTACAAGGGGGCAAAGGCGCGAAGAAGGCGTTTGAGCCGGAGGCTTACTTTAGTGACGACGACTACGGCTACGAAGCGGAGGATGCCGATCCATCGGCCATCCTCGCGATCGCAAGCAAGAAGAAGAAGAAAGACATCCCGACTATCGACTACAGCAAGCTCGAGCTCAACACCATTCGCAAGAACTTCTGGGTGGAGCCCCAGGAGCTCAGCCAGATGACGGACGAAGAAGCGGCCGAGTTGCGCTTGGAGTTGGACGGGATCAAGGTGTCGGGTAAGAACGTGCCGAAGCCGGTCCAGAAATGGTCCCAGTGTGGTCTGACGCGACCCATTCTTGATGTCATCGACACCCTCGGGTATGAGAAGCCGACGTCGATTCAGATGCAGGCGCTGCCGGTCATCATGTCGGGCCGGGATGTCATTGGTGTCGCGAAGACGGGCTCGGGCAAGACGATGGCGTTTGTGCTGCCCATGCTTCGCCACATCAAGGACCAGGACCCCGTGACGGGCGACGACGGCGCCATTGCCTTGATCATGACGCCCACCCGCGAGCTGTGCACACAGATCTACTCGGACCTCCTCCCCTTTGCCAAGGCGCTCAAGCTCCGCGCGATCGCGGCGTATGGCGGAAACGCCATCAAGGACCAGATTGCCGAGCTGAAGCGCGGGGCCGAGATCATTGTGGCCACGCCGGGCCGTCTGATTGACCTCCTTGCGGCCAACTCAGGCCGCGTCACCAACTTGAAGCGGGCTACGTACCTCGTGCTCGACGAGGCCGACCGTATGTTTGACATGGGGTTCGAGCCGCAGGTGATGAAGATCTTCAACAACGTCCGGCCGGACCGGCAGACCATCTTGTTCTCGGCGACCATGCCGCGGATCATCGACGCGCTCACCAAAAAGGTGCTCCGCGAGCCGGTGGAGATCACCGTCGGCGGCCGCAGCGTAGTAGCAGCCGAGATCACGCAGGTGGTCGAGATCCTAGATGAGAGCAAGAAGTTTGTGCGCTTGCTCGAGTTGCTAGGCGAGCTGTACGCCGACGACGACGACGTCCGGGCGCTGATCTTTGTCGAGCGCCAGGAGAAGGCGGACGACCTCCTGCGCGAGGTGCTCCGGCGCGGGTACGGCTGCATGTCGATCCACGGCGGCAAGGACCAGGAAGACCGTAACTCGACCATCTCCGACTTCAAGAAGGGAGTGTGCCCCATCATGATCGCCACGTCGGTCGCCGCGCGCGGGCTCGACGTCAAGCAGCTCAAGCTGGTCGTCAACTACGACGCGCCAAACCATCTGGAAGACTACGTCCACCGCGCCGGGCGCACGGGTCGCGCGGGCAACACCGGCACAGCCGTCACGTTCGTCACGGAGGAGCAAGAGAACTGCGCGCCCGGAATTGCCAAGGCACTGGAGCAGAGCGGACAGCCGGTGCCGGAGCAGCTAAACGAGATGCGCAAGGCGTGGAAGGAAAAAGTCAAAGCCGGCAAAGCCAAAGACGCCAGCGGGTTCGGCGGTAAAGGGCTGGAGCGGCTCGACAAGGAGCGCGAGGCGGCGCGTATCCGCGAGCGCAAGACGCACAAAGCCGAGGGCGAGGAGGAAGACTACAAGGAAGAGGAGACGGCCGAGGAGGCGGCCAAGAAGGACAAGGCCAAGTCAGCCATCGAAGCCGCGGCGTCGGCCATCGTCTCACGCGAGTCGGCTAAGGCAGCGGCTGCCGCCGCCGCTGACGGTAATAACGGCAGTGGTAGTGCCAATGCCGGCGATGTCAAGCCCTCTCCCAGCGGCGGTGCTGCAGCCGGCGAGGGCGGCAGCAGCAGCACCACCACTGCCGGCGCCGCCTCAGCTGTCACAACAAGCGGCAAAGCCGGCGGCGGCGGCGGTGCCCTGGACAAAGCCGCGTCCGCCATCAGCGAGATCAACGCGCGTCTGGCACGCGCCGGCCATCTCCGCCCGGGGCAGCCAATCGACAACAAAGGCCCCGACGCGGGCGCCTTCCACGCGACGTTGGAGATCAACGATTTCCCGCAAAAGGCGCGCTGGGCCGTCACGAACCGGACGAACGTGGCCAAGATTCTGGAAGCGACGGGCACGTCGATCACGACAAAGGGGAATTACTACGCGCCTGGAAAGGAACCGCCGTCTGGGGCGGATCCGAAGCTGTATATCCTCATTGAGGGTGATACGGAGCTGGTGGTGGGGAAAGCGCTGTCGGAGTTGACAAGGTTGTTGAGGGAGGGCACGATTGCGGCGGCGGATGCGGAAAGTCGGGCGCCGGCGAGTGGGCGGTATACTATTACGTGAGGGGGATGTATGCATTTGTTGTGTTTCTGTAGCAATTACGGGCTTGCTACTTAGGGTTGGGGTTGTCGATAGGAATGGAGTTTAAATGCCTGCTCTAAGTTAGGGGTTATAGCAAGGGTGAATGAAGATTGCAACTGAGGTCACTTTATGCTGGTTTTTATATGTGTGTCTGTGTTATTGCATGGTGATGATGTATTCGTTCATTCGCTTGATATCCGCCGTAGCAGATGAGACCTATTGCCTTTCCATAACGCCCACTTGTGTTCATAGCCTCCAACGGTCGTTCAATCCAGCCAGAAGAAGAAAAATAAAAGAACCCAAACCCTCATCCCTCATTCCTCATTCCCCTTCCACTACCGAACCCCCTCTCCCATCTCCTCAAGAGCCCACCCCTTGCCTAACTACCCAAACCCTCTCAACTCAGGTAGACTAGCAGACACTCAAGAATGCGCCAAAACATTCCTACTCCGATCCACCTCCCTCTGCCTCGCCTCACTCCGACTCGCCTCCCTCAACGCCGCAGCATCCGTCATAGCCCGTCTCTGATCCAACTGCCCCTGCAACTTCCCGCTACCTTTGTTGGTGTTGGCTCGGAGTAATCGTTCCTCGGCCGCTGCTGCGGCGCGTGCGCGGGCGTCACTGTTGGGATCTCCTCCCGCTCCTCCTGCTCCGGCCCCGGGGGTTGTGGGTGATATGGGGGAGGAGGATGAACTGCCGAGGGTGCGGGGTGGACCGCCGACTCGTCGAGGTTTGTTGTTGTTGACGGATGCTGGGACGGAGACGGATGTGGGACGGGCGGGGGTGGTGCCGAGGGTGCGGCCGGGTTGGGAGAAGGGGTCGCTTTCGCTGCTGCAGAGGTTGCCCATTTTGGTGGTTTTTTATTGTATTTTCTTGGGGGGTTTTGTTTGGATATGTTTGAGGCGGGTTGAAGTTGAGGGAGTGTGAATTCGGGTGGATGAGCGACCGAGTAAGAGTATGTCCGGGGTCGGGGTGAGATGTGGTTTTGTAATGAGAGATGAGTTGCCAGTTTGCGATATTTAGGTGGTGTTTCTTTGAAAGTCGGAATTTCTGGGCGGAAAGTGAGGTTGGAGGTGAGTACGAATCTGTAGCCGTGTTCATGTGAGTTGCTGGGCCCCACTCATGCAACAGTGCGCAGGAGGAGCTGGCTGTGTTTGGCTTGTCCCTCTCTTGGCTCAGGCATTCACTAGTTCCTCAGGAAACTCTGGTCGTGGTTCCGCAAACGAGCAAAGCGATTTCCCGAGAGATACGTCAATGCTTTATGTTTTATCTCATCTCTTTTCGGAATGGATTTCAATAGAAACCAGTACTCAGTACGTCAATCCTAAACTCACGTTAGCGCTATGACCTGTGACCTGGCAACCTACATAGTAGCAGAGGGAACTGCGCAGAGCTCATTTCGACGGCGATTCAAATCATTATCTTTCTTTCAACTACAACCCACCCAATGGTTTAGCAACGAGACTCCCGTTAGACTTCTGCTCACAAACCCAACGACAACACAGAGTTGTCAACTGATAACTACATATGTACGAGGCAGTAAGCTTGGCATGTGCTAGTCATGGAAGTTCTGTGCCGTGCCCCGCCGTGCCGTTGTGTGTCACCCCCACATTCAGGGTTGTTGGTCGTAGCCCCACTCCCCACCACCCGCCAGGGAGAGCTTCGGCCGCACAGGGAGGATACGGGATTGCGGCATCGCGGGATTTCACTCTCTGGTGGTTTTCTTTTGTGAATTTTGCATATTTTCTTCTCAATGTAACTTGTGCTATTACAGCTTCCCTAGGCGTGGGGGACAGCATCGAGACACAGAAAAGCTGCCTGCAGAAGCTGCGCAGAAAGCTGCAAGGCACGAGAACAAGCGGGGCCGAGGGCCACTCCCTGAAGAGTCCCGCCTGCCTTCCCACGCGCCCGCTGAACGTGGGCCGTCAAGGTTCTCACGCGATTGCAAAATAATCTCGACCTTGCCCTGGGTTCTCGGCCACGGCCCCACATCCGCCCTCGCCGTTCCGTTCTCCTCGGTGTCGGCCTCGAGACACGCAGAGCCGCCAACTGCAACATCTTTTTTCACCTGGTCTCCGGCGCTCGCTAGTTTTCCGTCGCCGACGCCGTGATCGACAGCTTCAGCCGCAGCCTCCGGCGTGAGAATTGCGGCCATTCACGACCTCAGCCGTCCTCAATTGCGCGCAACACAAGCACCACAGTTCCCGTGGGCCTGCTCTTCTTTTCTACTATTCCAGTATTCCAAGCTTATTGAGTCGAATCAACAGACGACGGGCTAAACCACCGGCGGCTGCTCTCACCCCGCCATGGACGGCCACTTCCACTCCGGCGACCGCTTCTCCGGCCCCGGGGATGCCTTCCACCGGCATTCGCACAGCACAGCAAACCCCCTCGCATTCAATTTCTCGTCCATGATGCATTCCCAGCTGGACCCAGACCACCACTCGCAGCAACAGCAGCAGCAGCAGCATCAATCCGGGGGGTCGACTGGTACCAACGCCTACGAGTCTCATGACGATCTCTGCGTTGACCGCTGCGCCGGCGTGGGCCTCTACAATGGCTTCCAGCAGTTCAACCATCGCGGCGGGCCGGCCTCGATCCAGAGCCACTGGGCACGCGGGGAGCGCTCTCTCGATTATCACCACCACGACTTCTCCATGGGCCTCGGCGCTCTATCGATGCAGCAGTTCCGCGACGCCGCCGGGCTGGGACACCACAACAACCTCTACCACCACCAGCAGCCTGGGGATGCCGCAGCAGCAGCAGCAGCAGCCTGGTACTGCCATCCCATGGATTCTTCATGCCTCCCAGATTCCTGTGCCCCCGACTCGTGTATCCCCTGTGTCGACGAAGACTGCCGTTCCCGCGCCGACAGCTGCTGTGATAGCGAGTGCACCATGACCGACAAGTGCACCGACGTGGCCTGCGCCGACACCGAGGACGCCTGCACCGATCAGACCTGCCCCGAACGCCCTGCCGTCTCCTTGCCGACGTCCGAAGTTGTCAGTGGTGCGGCGGCCTTGATCTCGATCAACCATGCGCCGGACGGGTCACCAGCAGACCACTTTGACTTACAGCAGCGAGGTAAGAAAGACTTTTTCCTGTGTTTTTGGGCCCTGTTTTTGCGCTTGATATTCTTTGACTCGGTCAACATCTTGCTCATTGCCAAATCGTAGTCATGGATGACTTGGACTTTAGTCTTTCCAACCCGACATCGCAACAGCCCTTTATGCTCCCCCCTGATATCCTCCCCGGGCAGCTGGGCAGCCTCACCAGCCACCTCCTCGTTGCCCACGGCGATACAGCGTCATCGTCTCACTGCACAGAACCATGTCCCCTGGATGACCCCGAGATCTACCAATATTGCCACATGCCTCTTCTCAACCACACGGTCAATCCATTCGGCCAGTTCAACCCCGTCGGAGCAGACTTCCAGATGAACCGTGGCTTTGTCGAGTGCGGCGCTGAGATCCACGACGCCGAGTCCTTCCTGGCCCATTTCAACGCCCAACATCGGCAATACTTTACCTCCAACACGCCAACCCACTTCCGCCCCTCGGTCCCGCCAGGACCAATACCATCACCATCACAACAGCAGCAAATCATGCCCTCCACGGAGGTCATCTCATCACCCACCACCCCCCTCGACACCTCCGACTCCGGCCGCTCCTCAGGGACCCCATCCCCTTTCACCCCACTCTCCAACAGCATCGATATGACCGACGCCGCGGCCGCGGCCAAACCAGACCCTCCGCTCCATCTCCGCGGCACCTCCATCTCGTCCTCCTCGGCCGGTCACTCGCTCGACCCCAACGCCGAAGAAGAGCACCGGTGTCTCTGGCGCGAAGAGGGCTGCTCCGCCATCTGCGGCCTGCTGTTCGCCGACGCCGAGGAGCTCTTCAAGCACGCTTCGGAAACACACATCAAGCACGCGCAAAAGGGCGCCCAGGGCTTCCGCTGTGGCTGGGACGACTGTCCGCGCGCTGAAGCCGGGGCCGCTGGGTTCCCACAGCGGAGTAAAATTGAGAGGCATATGCAGACTCATATTGGGCGTACGTTTTTTTTTCTGTTTCTTTCTCCGTTCTCTCTCTCTCTCTCTCTCTCTCTCTCTCTCTCTCTCTCTAACCTCCCCCAGACAAACCTCACATCTGTCCCACCTGCAACAAAGGCTTCTCCGCCAAACAAGCCCTAACCCAACACATGTTCATCCACAGCAACGAGAAACCCCTCGTCTGCAACATCTGCCACAAAGCCTTTCGCTATCCCAGCGCCCTCAGTACGTTTCCCCCCTCTAGTTTCCCCCTCCCCCCAAAAAGACTAACACTAATGTTCCGTCCCCATGTCAGCAATGCACCAAAGAGTACACTCCGGCCTGAAACCCCTGAAATGTCCCATCTGCGGAAAAGGTTTCAGCGAGTCCTCCAACCTGTCCAAGCACAAGCGGACTCATGAGGTGAAGGGGCGGTTTACGTGTACGGCGGCGGGGTGTGAGCGGAATTTTCATCGGCAGGATCAGTTACGACGGCATATGAAGACGCATAGCAGTACGCAGCAGGGGTTAGGGTTAACGTCTGGGTTGGGGGTGGAAAGAGAGAGGAGTGGTAGTGTGATATTGGAGACGGCATCTGTGGGGTGAGTTTGATGGGTCGGGTCGGGTTGGGTTGATATCTTGCTTTGTTTTATTGAGGGTTGGGGTGGGATATAAGGAAACACGCGGGCTAATGATGGATCATGATTAATGTGTATGTTGTATCACTCAGACACACTTTTTGGCCGGTGGAAAGGGGACATCCAAAAAAATAAGGAAGGGAAGGAAGCAAAGGAAAAGGGCTAAGGTATGGGCGGACATCAAAAAAAAAGTTTGAGAACAGTACGGGTTGCCTGGTGATGACCACGGTATTATTTACTTCCGTTTCGCTTACGTGATGTTTTGGGAACGATCGCAAGAAAGCGGCGAGAAAGGGATATGTGCCTATTTATATATATATACCCGAAATCTACACACCGAAGATATCACTTGAATCCATCTTTTTCACATGATCAAGCAACGTAAATGCAAGGGGAAAACAGCCGGACGGGGCTCTGAAGTGGCAGTAAGCTGGTATTAAACGACTTGCTCAAGCCGGAATACATACCTCCAGTCATTTGTATTTAAGCACATGCAAGGGCCGTATATTTTTGTATGTAGTTACATAACTACCTAATTCTTAATTCTTACTTCTTCCCCGCTCTTTATAATCGTAGGGGATAAATGTCTCTTGCTACAGCAACTGAGGACCCTTTTAACCCCGTGACTGTTTAAACCCATATCCTTTATGTTGATTTACCGCTTAATAACCGGCCACCACCTAGCTACCTAATTTATCAACGTATAAAAATATCACCTCTTACCTCACCTCGCTTTTACACGTTTTCCACTAGCCCAAACACTGTAATCGGCCTCTCAGAGTATGAATAGAGAGCTGACGTCCTCAACAGCTGAAGGAGGTATATCTAAGCTATCTCTTACATCGCTCACAAATCCACCGAGCCATGTTTCGCCTGTCTGCACACAAGCTTGCTTACCCCCAGCCACCATCCTCACCCGTATACCCCTCACAACACTGCTCGAAACGCCCCCTTTTAAGGTTTCAACGCCGGTGCCCCACCCCCATCCAGTCACACATCCCGCTCGGCCCAGCTCTGGATGATCCCCTCCAGGCTGGGCTCGTACTGCTTGAGCGTGACTTGGCCCGTGGCCTCATCCAGGAACGTATTGGCCTGCACAAACACCTTGCGCGGTTGCTTGTTCTTGAGTACCACGTCCCGGATCTTGGTGCCCCAGTACTCCAGCCCGACACCCGACATTTCGCCAAAGAACTTGGTGCCGGCCTCGACGTCCGCGGTGGCCTTGTAAATGTGGATCTTCTGGAGGAAGTCCGCAACCGCTAGAACATATTCCTATTAGTTTCTTCTTCACTCATATCATCGAGCACTTGATATCCGTTTGCTTACCCTTTCGGCCGCTGGTCAGAATCTTGGAACGATCAAGGCGAATGATGAGATTCGAGAGGTCGTTGTTCCTGTACTCCAACCTGCAGAAATCGTCGCCGGCTTCGAGGAAGGACTGCACAGGGTCAGCAAGCAGACTCTCGTCATCACCATCTCAGCAAGAGCCCTACCTTCAGGATGGCGAAACGAGCCTGGCAATGAGGCTGGCCCCACTTCTGGCTCCTCGGATCCCAGAATTCAACAGACGTCAAGCCCGCCCTGGCCATTTGGAGATACGCGATGTAGAGAACGTCGCCGGCCTCCCCATCGATATCAACCGTTCCGTCGCCAAAGCCGAAAATCTTGAGGGCCTTGAACTCGCAGCTGCGCACAAACGGCGTTAGTCTGATAGCGCAAAAGATGTCATGGTTGAACCACCTACCTCAGATGCATGGCCACCAGTTCGGCTCGGCATTCCTAATCAATGGTCAGTTACCATCCAACTGCCTATCTAGACATTTCGAGAGAAAAAAAAGGAGGCAAACCTCATATGCGCCGGCAACACCCCCGAAAACGGAGCCCCAGGTCTGGCCAGGCTTGTACCAGGTAGTAACCGGCTTCCCAGTCAGGGGGCTGATCGGGGGGTTCTTGACATCAAAGTTGTAGACACCTGGGGAAGTCTCTTGGAGAAGTTTCCCGCAGCCGTGGCCTGGCGAATGTTAGTAAAATGGTACCTAATATAGTCTTCCTCATACGTACCCGTAAGCTCGTGGAGCCCAACTTGAACCTCAAAGGCCTGGTCGCGGTACTTGTGCCACAGCTCCAAGTCCTGCTCCGAGATGAATGGTACCTTCTCATTCGGGGCTTTTGCGCTCAAGACGTTGCCTGTGTACCTGTTAGACATATTCACCCAAAGCACACTGGTTCAAGAAGCTAAAACCTACCCAGGCTAACGTTTTTGAAACCCTCCGACTGCCTGATATCATCGTAATTGGGACTACAAAAGGTTAGCATCCAAACCTCTTTCTACATCCATTTTGCACCACACACATGTTGATACCCGCAGGAATGCCAGAACCTAGATATCACAGCCAGGGTTAGAGACAATCTCAAGCTGCTACAACGCCAATTTTCAAGCTTAGGACAAACTTACCGGCAAAGGACAAAACTTCCAGCGAGGTGAAGTCAGGCGAGAGGAACTTGTCCTTCTCAAACTCCTTGTCCCAAGGCAAGAGCGGGATCAACTCAGGCGCAGACCGCACCAACTCGCCGAATGCACGAGTTCTCTCGACTAAACAGCGGGTCAGTCAATCAAAGGGTTACAAAAACCATGTCCTCGAGACTCGGCGTAGAAACCTACGGTTAACAACTACCAAGGTTAGTTAGCAACTAAACTCATACCACAGAAAAGCTCATAGGCTCACTCACCTGCCGCAAAACCTTCCCACTCTCCACGGACACCAGCAGGATCCCGGTACGTCTCGATGAAACCAATGTTAGCCTCAACCATTGGGCCTTGATCACGGATCCATTGCCTCTGGCTCTCCTTGAACGAGAGAAGAGAGCCGTCGTAGAAAGAGTCGCCGTACGCCAGATGCATCTTCTTCTGGGTCTCGTTGTCGGCATTCTCAGCCGCCTGCCGGATGTACTTGGCAATGTCCCCCATCTCCTTGGCGTAGTCGCCATACACCAGCTTGACCGTCTTGCCCTCCAAGAGTCCCTCCCCAATCGTAAAGGTGGTGTCCTTCCCGATGTCTCCGCCATTGCTGGGCACGCTGGTCGTGGCCGACGCGATCAGCAGCTCGAACACGCCATCTTCGGTCTTGCGCAGCCGAGTGTTCTCCGGGAGAAGCTTCTTCTCCTCCATCCATTTGGAGACCGCCGCAACCTCGTCTTTGGTGATGCTGGGGGAGTCTGGGTAGTACGTCGTCAGGTGGCCCTCGTCAGTGAAGCCCAGGTGCAAGAGCCCCTGCTTATCGGACGAGAAAATGGCGCCATTGGTGGCCTTGTAGTGCTTCTCGGCGTCGGGGGATGTCGACGCGAGCGCGGAAAAGACGGCCTCGTTGGTCCGGGGGATGAACTTGGAGTCACCGAAGCTCTTGTAGTTGCCGCTGTTGCCGAGGAACTGGGCGGCATACTCGAGGAACGCCGTGAGGTCCTGCTCATCGACGCCAGCCTTTGCGGCAAGGGCCTTCCAGTCTCCGTTGGAAGCTTTGTGAAGGGCGAGAATCAAATCATAGATGTGCTCGGACTCGGGCGAGACTTGACGCAGCACGATGCGGTTTCCGGCAAAGGAGGCCCTGCATGGTTGATTTGGTAAATCAGCAGGGGGGAACTAACGTCTGGTGACTACACTACATGGGTATGCATGGGCATGGTTCACGTCCGAAGTGTACGGCAAGACAAGAAACCGGTAACGGACGTCCCATGTCCCAAATGTCTTATCTGGGCTAGATCTGAGAAACAGGAATTGGTGCTAGATGTAGTTCTTACTTGCTGATGAAGTGGGCGTAACGCTTCTGCTTATCCGTCAAGGCGTCAAAGTGCTTCCCAATCTCAAGCCTGACGACGGATGGCGGGGCATCAGCCAGGTACTGCGCGAGCTCTTTAGCGTTCATGGCGAAGGACCGGCGGGGTTGAGACGGCAACTGTAGGTTCTGAAAGCGAGAGAACGGTGTTGGGCGTTGAAAAGCAGGACGAGACAGATAATGAGGGCTTGAAATCCGAGAAAACCTCAACCCTCGGGATCTGAGGGGAAGCAGTGGTAATGAAAGACGCATTGAAATCCAAGCAGGCAGCACGCACGCACACACGCAACCAAACGACCGGGAACTCGCGGCTTCCAAAGGAGCTTTCGCAATCCCGTCTCTTTCTCCAACTGCCCATTTTGGCATTCGTTACCTCAACTTACTGGCTGGCAACCCCGCCAACGGCACGTGCTCTGTCCCCAATGGGGTTTGGTCGACTCCCTAGGGCGGGGAAGCTGGGGAGCTGACGCGACAACACAAAAGGGAGAAAAAGGGGGAACAATAGCAACAATAAAACTGATGCGTCACAGAACCAAGGTCGAAGCTTTTCAAAGATAAGGTTGTGATGAGGAGGAGTATTGTACCATGGTGATCATTGCCTGAATTTGAACTGAATGCAAACCAACAAGATCTTGTGAGGCTGGCTGAGAGTCGGGAAAATTGTCGAGGGGTTGTTTTTTTTTAGTTCCCACTTGATGCGGGTCATCCAAGACTCAACGCTCTCACCTAACCACTTCCCCTGCCTACATAGTACATTCTTCATCAACAAACCTTCATTTCTTCTTTGAATGTTTCAAGACTCTTTAGAACTCAGAGGCAGATTTGCTACCGAGGTACTAAATGTTAATAAACGGTTGGAAAAACACAAGAAGCGATGGCAACGAAACCACAGACTTAAGACTCTCACGTGGCTCTGTCGTGTGAGTGTAACACCAGATATGCCCTAACAAATATATCCCCAACCTCATGAACCACGAAGCTGACACGCCGTTGGCGTTGCCTTGTCCTAGTTGACACTCCACAAGGCTAGTCGCTGAAGCATTGAAAGGGTGACTATCAATGTCACAACTAAAAAAGGAAACATGCATTCAAGCAGATTCAGTCAAATACGTTACTTGGAACCTCACCGGAGGCTCGTCACCGGCGAGTTGACGACCCCACCATTTGTCAGAGTCGTTTTCATCCAACGCAAGGTGGGGGTCGCTGGAGAAGAAAGGTGAGAAAAAAGAACGAGGGGTCAGCTTCCATTCAGGAACTGCCCACAAGCGGGGCATCTGCCGAAGGAAAAAAATGACCCTTCGGAAGCTGCTTGCGAAACCGACCCGGATCGCCGTCAGCTTAGATTGTGAATCAAAACAATGGAAGAGTCCAACAAAAGGATGGACCGGTGACGACGGGCGAGGGATGGTGACTGGGAAAACAAAACAATAGAGAGGTAAAGCATGGGGGGCAGACAAAGTGGGGTGGTTTGCTGGGCCCAACAATACGCCGTCTGATGATACACACCCTCGCTCTGGCCAAAAAAAGCGGCAGACCAAGTCCTTGGATAACTTACTTTGCTACAAAACTGAAAAAAGACCAAAAAGAATAAATCCAGAAATTGAAAGAAGACGAAAAAGAGTAAATCAATCAAAAATTTATTAAGATTTGATCGAATGTTAATGGATTGGACTTAAGCTATATGTTTTAGTGTGCCGCTTTTTTTGGCCACAGCGAGACACCGTACAGACGTGTCGATGAGTGGATGACAGCTCGCTGCTGGTCCCATCCCCCTGGGCTCGGCTGCTTCCATGCCGATGAGTTTGTCGACCAGACCTTCGTTGTTTGACGAAAGGGGCTAATTATAGGTTGGGGTCGTCGCGTACGAACAAAACCCTGGAAGGAAGTAAATAACTCAAGGGATAGGATGGATGTCTGCCGAGCTGGCCTCCCGTTGTCAAACAGGCAGCTGAAGTGATATTTAGCAAGTTCGTTTTGGTCGAATTTGTGATACTGGCTAGTCGCGTTTTCCCCGTTTCGCCCCTCCGAGCGTCATCCGGCCCTGGTTGATGGAGCGGCAGGCCCCTACAATGGGAAGGGTCATCACCCGACATCGAAGTACTTCGTACTTGGCCGCCATTCACACACCCACTCACCCCTCTGGGGTACCAGGAAGAGCGATTCCGGACCCAGGTTTGCAAAGGAGCTAACGTCAGCACCTATTTTTGAAAAGAGCCATGCGTAGCCCCCATGGCGACGAAGCTTCGGGGACGGATGAGGACACGTCAATAAACATGAACTTGCTCTCTCTCGCGTTCTTGTCGGTTGCCAAAACTCTCATAGGAGCAACGAATTGCTACTGGCGAACTGGCCACCTCACGACGCCAAGCGAAGACCTACTTGATTTTTGCCGATTACTTCGTCTTTTGTGACGCTCTCATGCAGGCAGTCCGCGAGAAAGAGGAAGTGGCTTTCCGAGGCATATTGACTCCTTGAGGCCATGTCCTGTGGATACTGTGATGAATCTTGCAGCCTTGGGCCTGTGTTAAGAGACAGGCAATGGAGCCTGCCTGCAACTGCACATTCTGCGCCGCGCGCGGGCGGTCGTTGCCGTTCGAGCTAAAGCAGCAAGCAAGCAGCTCGGAGGCTGGGCTTCAAAACGACCATGACCGCTCACCTGCAGGACGCGGATGGAAACTCGCCAATGCACTTCGCTGAATTGGAAAGAAAGCTGCAGGACACTTCTGATGCCCTGACTGGATCCCGCGTTGTCGGCTGGGAGCTTGTGAATTGCTGACCAGTCCTTTTTTTTCGCTCGCTCGTTCGCAGAGGTGTTGAGCCGCTGAGCGGTGAGGGGCTCTCTGGCGGGAGGAGCTCTTGAGGGAGGAGGGGTGTGCCAGTTTGCACGACAGCCCCGTTGCAATTCTGGGGTACAGGAACCTTGCCAGCCTGGTCCCCCATCGGTTCCGCCCCCCGCAAGAAGGCTAGCTAGCGCGTCGCGGGACATGCGAAGCTATTCCCACTTCCCGTCGCCAAGGTTCGCGGGTAGAAGCCCTCACCTCCCGTTTCTCAAGAGAGGTTTTTATCGAAGGTGGGGTCAAAGGCCGCAAAAACGGCCGGTGTGTTGATGTTTGTTTCTTGTTTCATGTGCATCTGTTTTTCTCCGAACCCCGCAAAAACGAAGCGGGAGAAAAGTGATGGAACCAAGACACAAGGGAGGAAAAGGCGTTGAGGAGAGTGTTGAGCAGCATGACACCAACGTCGCACCGCCTTTGTGGCGCTGGGACACCGCTGGTTGGAAGCCCGAAGCTGGGAAGACGAACGAAGTTGTTCTGTTGTGCTTCGGCGAGTCTCTGCCCAGGGGTTTGGTTTTGTGGGCTAGGCCCAAAACTGGACATGTCACGAGGCCTCTGACCATGAGTGGGCTGTGGTCGGCCGGTGCTTTTTTCTTCGGTGAGAGTTCGATCTCCATTCCCCACCCCCGTCCCCAGCACCCCACGGTCTCCACCATCCCCATCGAGTTGCGAGGCAGGCGGTGCTTTTCTTTCATTTCATTACAATTCTTCCAGTCGTTGGGGGAGCTCGCTGTAATTCTTCACGGCCACCACATTGAAGCTGGTCACGCTAGTGTACTTTTGCCTTTTCTGCTTCTTCATTAACGCTTTGGGGAAGTTGTCAATGAAGCAAAATTGCGCCTGCAGCTTGGTTCGTGTTCTCGAATTTGCGACTCGGCGACCTTCCCATTCTCACCCCAACGACCCCCAACTTCGCTGGGTCCGGACACGGACGACCCCCCACGCCATCCCGAAAATTCGGCAAGTGACCCAAGGTCGCCCCTGTGTCTTTGCCATCATTCAAGAATTTTGCTTGCCCTGACTCCTCTTAGAGGAGCTGCCCCCCAACACCGGTTTTGATTCTTTGAACCCCTGGGAGACGCGCTGGACCTTGAGATAGTTACCGACCGTCGTTTCTTTTGGATGAAAATTCCAAAAGCACCGTAGCCCTTCGTTGACGATCTTGTTGAAGAACAGCAGCAGCAACATTGGGTTGTGCACTAGTAGCAGTTCTTACCCCGCGGGGATCACGGCCCTTCTCAGTGTTCGTCGATCTCGGCCTGGCAGTTCTCGATCCCTCATCCCACGCTACTGCTCCATGGTGCTCCGCCCAAAATTCCCCTGGGGAACTGCTGAAAGCCCGAGTTGCAAGTACACGACGAAGTCGCGCGGAACGTAACTCTTTGGCCAACACCCCCCCTCGCTGCACACGCCCGCCACGCCAAGCAGCGGATTCCACCAGTCATCGGGCGGCTTGGAAAGTGGTCAGCCGCCAATGGGGTTCTCGCCCGGGTGAGAATTGAGCAAGTCACCCCGCGAAGATGCGCCTTGGGAGCACGCGAGAGGTGCGGGCCCGCTCATGCATTGGGGTCGTTCGCCCAATCCGGTGGTCATGGACGTGTGGATGTGGAAAGTACATGTACTTTGTACGGTACCCGGCCAGCCGACATGGATGATCGATGGCAATGGGAATGAATGCGCTTGCATCCCGCGTGCGAGGGCCAATTCGATCCGCAAAAAAATGGGACAGACAGTCAGGCACCCCGACCCCCTTGACAGCGGCCTGGGCCCGTCAAGGAAAGCGTTAGGTCATCGCCTGGAAACCCGTGGGTTCGGCGCCCACTGAGAGCGTCAGGCTTGCTTATAAGCCACCCACGGTCCGCGCCTTCGCCCAGGTCGTCCTTTCTGGCCTCCCATCTGGTGTCAGTCTCGTTTCCGCCGTGTTGGTTGCATTTTCCCCCTTTCGTCATTGTTGGTCTTTATCCTCCTTCCTCGATTCATAACGGTCACGTCCTTTTATTCTTTCTTCTTCCTCAGGCCCACAGGCTTCAACTCACTTACACTCATCCCTGGCTGTCTTAACCTGGCCCGGCATCACACACTTACGACATAGCACCTCTTGACAACTGCCAGCTACTACCAAGCTGCTGATACAAACTCTTGTCTTAAACAAGGCTTTGCACGAACCTTTCAACAACGAAAAATACTACAGTACGCTATGCAATAGCACTGGCCATTGTACAATTCCAACAGAGCCACAAACTCCACTGTGTTTGCCCTCCTCCCGTTCAAGAGAGAAAGAAAGACCCGACCATTTCCGACTGCCTTCCCACGTTTTCACCATGCTTTCCTATAATACCCCCGTGGCTGTCAACGGACAGCGGCCATCGTCCGCCGGAGCCATGTCATCAGGGCGTCAAAGTATTCCTTCGTCACCGACGGCCGCACGCATCCAAGCAGCGCTTTCCAACAGCATTATGATCAATAACGCCACACCCACCGCAGAGGCCCAAGCCAAGGACCAACATATCTGGCTGGTTACGGGCCCGGCAGGATGTGGAAAGAGTACTGTCGCAAAGCACATTGCCGACTCGCTCAATTTTGAGTTTGTCGAAGGCGATGAGGTATGTTTGCTTTTTATTCCTCCGGTGCAAAGTCAACAACAAGCGGCCCCACATATCAACCCCTAGACGCATGGATACTAACCTACACCTCTCTCCCAACTTACAGTTCCACCCCGAGTCAAACGTCGAAAAGATGAAGAACGGCATCCCCCTCACCGACGCCGACCGATGGGACTGGCTCACCGTCCTCCGCGAAGAATCGATCCAACGGCTCAGCGGCGGCAAGACCGGTGTCGTCCTCACCTGCTCCGCCCTCAAGCGCAAGTATCGTGACGTCATCCGCGTGGCGCCCTACTTCACGCCCAACGTCCACCTGCACTTCATCTACCTAGACGCCACCGAGGAGGTGCTGCTGAAGCGCGTGGCTGCTCGCCAGAACCACTTCATGGGTGCCAACATGGTCCACAGCCAGTTTGAGGTCCTCGAGCGGCCCAAGTCGGACGAGACCGATGTCGTGACTATCAATGTTGACCGCACGCTGGATGCGGTCAAGGAGGATGCTCTGGATAAGGTTGTCAAGACGATTGGTGATATTCAGTCCTCATGACGGGGGGGCAGGATTAAAACTTAACAAAAGGGATGAAAAGGCTTTAGGAGAGAGCACAAAAAAGATATGAGGACAAGAGATGCGCATGGTAACAACGCAGCTCGGTAATTAGGAAGGGGGTTGGGGGGTCGCGGCATTCGGCTAAGGGGGGTTGCATCAGGATATGGAGTTGGATTGGTTTTGGTTCCTTTCTTGGATACGGTGTTTGGTTGTTTCAATCTGACTGAGTGTTGGACGACGTTGGGGTGGAGGATGGACGTGTTGTCTCCACGTTGGACGAGCCTCACTTGCATGACATGGCAAGTTTCCAAGCCATGTCCCGGGGAGCTGCTCAGGGGTTGGGTTTGGGGACCGTTGGAAAGGGTTTTAGCTGGAGAGCAGCAGCGGTATAGCGAGCAGGTGAACGTGCGATTACAATGCGAACATTTTCCTGCCCCCACGTATTCTTTGGTTTTGGTTTCCGTCCGACAATTGAAATGGTTCTTAATACACCACTTTAAGACCTGCATAAGACTCACTCACAACTCATCGATCCGACTTTAACACACAACATCAAGCTGCTCGTCCAACAGGAAATTGTCGATTAATTTCAACGGCTTTGAAGGTTTCCAACAACGACAACATAGTTTTCTCCTTTTTTCTTGTTCCTTCTCATCTTCCTTTCTTTTTTCTGTACATACATACCTATTAACACCGATCCCCTTGCCTCTCCGATAACGATAAACAATTTCGCAAGCCCGAGAAGGCGTGCTGCGGGACGAGCCGTAGCCCCAAGCCGCAGCCGGACAATCCCACGACGAGCAGGGCCGAGCGGTGATAACTGATACCGGATTTTGGATTCTCCCTTCCAAGATCTTGGCTGGCGGCTCGCCACCCGACGCGGCGGTACCGGTGATGCACGACAATCTCGGGGATTTATCGGAGCGGTTGCAGGTGATACGGTTGACAGCTGCAAGATGCGTTTGTCTAGACGGTAGCCTTATTTTCTAGGGGTGTTTCCTGCGTTTCTCTCCCGGACCGTATTCGTCATCCCTTTGAACGGCAACAAATAACTCGGCCAGGCCAGTCTTCCAAGTTTATCATCCACAGAACAAGGCAACCTGCAATCTTGGATTTCTTAATGCCAAACCGAGCACTTACACAACGTCCAATCAGCAGAACAGGAACCCCCAACCGACCACCCATTGCCATTTGCCAATGGCCAAACCGCCGAGACTCGGTGAGCCCGTCAAATTGTCGAACATCACACCCACCTTCCCCCACCCTCATGACATACTCTCAGACGGTCGGGTGTCATGCCGTGTTCCGTTGCTAGTTCCATGCATGGATTTTAGCCTGGGTATTGGTTGGTTGGTTGGTTCTGGGTTGTCTTCTTCTTTTTTTTCTTGCTCGCAGAGTGACGACCAACTCCTGCACGCAAGGATACAGCACAGATGGATGGGCTGCAGCGGAGTTCATGCTCCCAGTCCCGTCTTCTACTTTGGTTTTCACATTTCCGCTTTCTTGTAAGGCACACCAAGAACAGGGCAGCCAATTAGGCGGGGTTGATTTTTCTCCAGACGCCACCCCCATGGAATCCGGCACATTTTAGGTCATTGTCATACACCAGTGAGACGGCCGTAGGAGGTGATGATTCGGGACCCTTAACTAAGCGGCTTGGTGACTTCAAGATTCCTCAAACGTGTTTACGTGGGTAGTTAGGCCACCCCTCCTCTATCAATACTTACACCCACTGCAATATCCGCACTTCAGTTGTTGATTCAATATCTACAGGTTTCAGACCACAATATCTGTACAGCCCTCATAACCCATTCTAGACGCTTCTAGCCACAAAATGGATTTGGGGGTTTGAAAGTTGCGGTGTGCTCCAATGGCACTTTGACACTAGAAGATGCAACAAACCACCGCCACCCCTCCTCATATATTAAATTAAAAACTCGGTACTTGGTTTGGTAACCAAGATGCAAAGGTGTCGCTCACCGGGTCTTGGCCAGACCCAAGCCACATTGAAGAAAATATACCCGAATGAGATGGTTGGTTGTGTTGTATCGAGAAGCTGACCACTCACCGGGCAAAAAGGGGGGAAAGCTCGGAGGCAGTCGTGTGTCTATGAAGGTGGCCTTTCATTCTCACAGTTTTGTCTTTGTGAGGATGAGGCTCGAGCCGAAACGAAGAAAATTAAAACGGGCTTAAATGGATCAACACTGGAAGAAACAATTGGTAAGAAATAGGAGAAAAAGAAACAGTGGGTTCATAAACTACTACGAAGTAACTGGGCAAAATTTCCATTTGTTGCGCTCCGCGGGGACAGTCCAAACGAACATGACGGGATCGTGATGATAATTATGCAGCAAGCATGTTCTCGATGAGGGGCTATTCGCTCCCACTCCAACCACAATTTGAGAACCGCGCAGGAACCACTTCTAATGCAACAATGCGCAGGGCAGCGAAAGTGAAATTCACCATGTTGGGATTAATTTTCAATATGCCCAGTGCAGTTACATATGGATGCATGGAAGTACCTGTACGAATGGTACTTGCGGGATTTCAAACCCCCTACTATGTAACAAAAACCTGGAATATGGAAACAACCAGAACGGGAGAAAACACACAAGACACACAAACACACATCTTCCGGATAGGAAATGAAAATGCACACACCGATAGAATGCATCTATGGACGGATATGTGGGTTGAAGCAGGGGGGGACTACTAATAATAACCCCCTGGATCGGGTCGCTCTCTCCTCAGTTCTTGTGTCTGTCTTCCGACTGTGTCTAGTGTACGGTGTATCTCAGCAAGACAAAAGATCAACAAATCCAAAAAATTCCATTCGGGCCTGCTCTCCTCCGTCTTCCTCCCCATGGTCAATAAACACCGCAACTTGCCCACCTGCCCAAACAAGGACTGTAGTGATGTATAACCGGGTTAAGCGAGCGCGGGTTCGGCGGAATGAGCGGACAATGGAAACGGCGAGAACGGGTAAGGCGGCCGGGTGAATTGGGATTCGGGCACACTGCCGCCAAGGCAGGGCAACGCGAGGCAAAAAAAACAAGTCGAGCGGATGCTGTCCTCGGATTCCCTTTCGTGCTGCTTGAAGCGGCTCTTGCTTTTCGTCTTGGTCTTTTCTTCCGCGGCCGTTCTTTTCGGCCATTTCGTTCGTTTGTTCGATCCTGCAGAGCCCATCGAGGTGACCTCGGGCTGTAACCGTATGCTCACGCGCCCCCCCTTTTCTCATCATACTCCTCCTCCCATTGTACATACGCCGTTCGGTCTTGTATGAGCAGAAAATAATCCTGCCCGTGATGCCCAATGAGGCGGAGAGACATCGTCCGCCTCTTGCTTCACCACCACTCAGGGTTGCTCTCTCCCTCTTCCTCTCTCCTCTTCTCGTCTCTCACCCAACTCTTCTGTCCCCAACTCAATCTCGACAACACCCACTCCCCTCCCCTACTACCGCAAATGCATTACCATAACATCCGGCTCCTCCACAATCGTCCTCACCACCTCAGCCGCCTTCGCCATCGTGGCCCCGTCCACAACACGATGATCCGCGCTCCAGCTAAAATTGCACACCTGCTTCCGCACCACCTTGTCCTCCTCCCCGGGTACCGTCGAGAACGCCGGCACGGTGCGCATGCGCCCGACCCCCAGGATCGCCACCTCGCGCTCGACAATCACAGGCGATAGGTAGGTGCCGCCGATGTTGCCGATATTGCTGACCGTGATGGTCCCGCCGGCCATGTCCAGCGGGGAGAGCTTGCCGGCGGCCGCGAGGGCTTGTAGCCGGGTTAGCTCGGAGGCGATGTCGAGGATGTTGAGGGCGTTTACGTTCTTGATGACGGGGACGAGGAGGCCGGAGGGGGTGTCCATGGCGACGCCGATATTGTGTTGGCTGCGGTGGATGAGTGTGGGTTTGCCGTTGTTATTGCCGTTGCCGTTGCAGTTTCCATTCGCGGTAGTGTCGACGTCGACGCGAGCGTTGAGAACGGGGTACTTGTATAGTGACATGGAGACGGCCTTGATGATGAAGGGTAGGTACGAGAGCTTGCTGACCTGACCTTCGCTCAAGCCGGACTTGGCGAGGACCTTGTTCAGGCGCCCGCGGAGCTCAACGAGCGAGGTGAAGTCGACTTCATCAGCGTAGAGGAAATGGGGGATGTTGAGGGACCGGGTCATGGTCTTGAACATCATTTCTTGTGTCCGAGTGAGCGCAACGGGCGTTTCTTGCTGTGGGCCCGCGGCTGTTACCCCTTGTGGTGGTGCGAGAGACCCGAAGCCTGTGGGGGAGGTAGGAGTCTGCTGTTGTTGTTGCTGTTGTTGTGTGTGAGCAGCGTTCCTCTTCTCGACAAACTTGTAGATATCCTCCTTGAGAACCCGGCCATCCCTGCCGGTCCCATCTATCTCGGAAATGTCCACCTTCAACTCCTTGGAAAGGTGCCTGACCGCTGGTGTTGCGAGCCCGGCGTGCTTCCCCTTGACCTTGGGTGTACCGTCCGACTCTTGCTTCGTCAACACGGCCACCTGTGATGCTGCTGTTTCTTCGGCTGCTGGACGGACGGGGGCCTGGGTAGTAGGTTTGGACTCTGCTTGTTTTTGTGGAGGCTCAGAGGGCGCTGAGTCCCCTAGGTCTTCCCCATTTATATCTCCCTGGATGTCAATGTCGACAAATGGTTTTCCGACCTTGGCCATCTCACCCGCGTCATAGTGTAGCTTCTTGACAACCCCGGCGAATCGGCTGGTAATTTCAACGGACGCCTTGTCGCTCTGCACCTCGCATAACGGAGAGAACTCCTCGACGCGCGCCCCGGGCTCGACGAACCATTGGATGATCTCGCATTCGACGATACCTGTGGAAGATTGAGATTGGTTAACATGATTGGTAATTGTGAAAGGAGTGATCACAGGGTTCACATACCTTCTCCAATATCGGCAAGCAGTACTGGCTTAATTGCAAGAAGAGGCCGCGACGCATGAAACGACCTCGCCGTCAGCGCGAATGAAGGCGGTAACGGGTGAGACGAGAGAGACGAGAGAGATGTGCCCGCGGCACCCGCACGGCGAGCAAACCCCCGGTAGACTTGCCATTGCTGGCGGACTGCGCGAGAACTGTGGCTCCAAAACATCTTGAACAAGCACGAACGGTATTACCAACGGTGGTTTGGGAAACAGTCAGCTTGTCGCACCGTGGAAAGGAATTCAATTAATTTCCGCACGAAGACCCTCCGAATTCCCCAGGAACTCAAGCCCAGTCGAGATGAACGGCGGGTTCATGGCCATGGCTTGCTACGGCTTATGGCTCTGCTGAATGACGTTGAAAGCCGAGCTGTTCAGGGGTTTGGTTGGGCCCCGCGGATAGCCGAGCCCCGGGACACCGTCAGAACAGCAACCCCGGATGGCCACAATGGCGGGGAGCTGGGGCCTGGGCTCGCTGGGGTCCGGTCCGGTGGGGAGCTGCCGGGTGCGTGACTTCGCGGGGGCTTGGCGAGGGGTTCTCAGGCGGCTCACAGCGCGGATGAAAGTGGACCCTCCAGAGCAAAACCGCGTGGGAATTTTCTTGCCCGGGACGGACCCTTGGTCGTCCCGATTTGACCGACCACCAACCTTGCACCCGCAAACAACAAACCGCCTGCCATGATCACGCGGACGAACATCCGGGCGGGCTCCCGGACAGCGACCGCTTTTACCCATCAATGGCGGTACTTGTGTGTTTCCTACTCCAAACTTGCCGATAAGCTGCCGAGTCCCGGCCCCGGGCCCACTACGCCAGAGCCCAAATCTCCGACCACCACCACACCCGGGAAACCATCCCCCGCGGCTCCGATCGCCGGCCGCGATGCCGGTGCTCCGGCCGCCCAAGGTGCACTTGCCCACGCACCCCGGGCATACGGCAAAGCACTCGAGGAGTTCACACCAACACCGCTTTCACGGCCAATTGGCTTGAACTACCCGCCGAGCCCCGGTGAAAACACCGGCGTCGACAACCGCTCCCTCAAGCAACGCCACGCCGACTTTACCAACTACGATAAGCACTTGAAGCGCCGGGAAGAACTGTAAGCCACAATACCCCTCGCCATAACAACACACCAATCTCTTTTCAAGACCACGCTCGCTCACAATTCTGTTCCCCCAATCCACACAGAAAACACAAAATCTCCCGCCCCTACTTCCGCGACTGGCGCAACCTACAATTCCACCAAGGCAAAACCTTCCTCTCGCCTCCCCGCCCCTTCCGCGGCGACCTCTCCCTCTACTTCCCCAACCTCTATGGTCGCAACCTCACCGGTTCCTACGCCGACACCACCCCGTTACTCGAAGGCCGCGCCTCTGTCGTCTCCATCTTCAGCGGCGTCTGGGCCGAGAACCAAGCCAAGACCTTCACCGCGCCGGAGGAAAATCCCATGCTGCACGAAGTGCTGCGGCAGGCTGCGGGAGCGGGCGCGGGGGGGAATAAGAGTCCGCGCGCGCAGCTGGTGCAGGTGAATGTGGAAGAGGACATGCTCAAGGCATGGTTGGTGCGGCTGTTCTCCGGGTCGATACGCCGGCGGCTGGGCAAGGAAAACTGGGATAAGTACTTCCTTGTGCGGAAGGGGTTGACGGATGAGATCCGCGAGTCGATTGGTGTGCTCAACAGCAAGGTCGGGTATACCTATCTGGTGGATCACCAGTGCAGGATACGCTGGGCGGGTAGCGGGTCGGCGGAGGCCGGCGAGAGGGAAGGGTTGGCTAAAGGATTGCAGAGGATATTGGGTGAGATGGAGAAGGAAGGGGTGGGGGAGCATTACGTCCGGAGGGTCCTCGCGGCGAAGAAGCCGGGAGAGGAGCAGTAAATAAAACAAAAAGGGTCGGGGGCAGGAAAGGGCATAAAGAAATAAGGTCATATAGACGGACATGGGACGAGGAGTTTGCGTGATACCCTCTTTTTTGGCTGTATGAATAGATTAGATAAACCAAAGAACCGCCACTCTTGTATCATACCATCGGTTGATTATCATCATGGGAAAAGGTAACGAGACGGTGAGGCTGTCTCCAATTCGCCTGCCATACCTTTGAAAATGCCCACCGAGCAGCGTTTCTTTTGAAATTGAACGCCAGACGCCTCCCAACGCCATCTTTCCGGAACCATGCACTTAGGCCACTATACAAATATACCCCCCTCCCGGGTCTCTTCTCCCAACCGGTTAGGCTAGGTAGCCTAGCCCAAACTTCCCCCACCCTTGGCTCCTCAGTTGCGGCCCATCATGTAAAATACCAAAACACCAAAAAGCACACCGCAATAAACGACCCCATAATGATCCCATCCCGCCTCTTCTTCGCCGAGATCCGTCCAATCAAGCTATTAATCCCAGGCACCTGGCTCGCCGCCATCGTGATGCGCCGGTTAATACTCGCCAGCGTCTCCCGCTGCAGCGCAAACCCTTCCTGCACCGCGTACGCCTGGCTCAGCACGCTGTCCGCCACATCGTGGCTGCGGTCCAGCCGCCCCCGCTCGCCCAGCATGTACTCGGCCTCGGCATCCGCTGGGTTGGCCCCGTTGTGCGCGGCGCGGTAGGCCGAGATGTCGTCGCGTACGCTGCCGAGCAGGTTGGCGCGGTCGCGGGCTGTGCGGAGGGTGTTGCGGAGGCGGGTGAGGTCGCGTCGGTGGTCGGAGAGCTTGTCGCGGAGGAGGGCGAGGTTGTTTTGTTTGAGGGCGGAGGAGGTGAGGGTTGCTTCGGAGTCGAGGAGGCGGCCGAGTTGGGCGATGACGGAGTCGCGCTGGGAGGGGGAGTTTGGTTAGCTTTGGTGTGTACAATTTTACTACCGCCATCATCACCGCTGTCATGATAGCTCAAGGATTCGAGGTTCTTCTCTTTTTTCGTCTGCTCACCTTATCAAGCAACTCCTGCACCTTCGACTCAGCACTCTTCTCTTCGTCCGTTGGCTTTGGTGGAATGGCGGTTTGTGATGAGAACTGCGCGTATGTTTGTAGACTTGTTTCGGTCTGTGATAAAAGAGAGGAACCCGTCAGTCAAACTTTTGATGCCCCGTTGAGCTGGACATCACGATGTAATGGACCATACCTGTGATTCCAGCGACCGCGCTTGTTGCCTCAGCTGGGCCCAGCCCTGTCCTGCCGTCGTCGCCATGGTGCCTGCAATGACGAGAAGCGAGGGTGAGGGCGAGAGTGCAGGACGGAAGTCGGCAGCATCCGATCGCCGAAGCTCCGAGGTTATGGAAGTTGGAACGGCGTTGATCGCGGAAACGGTTAGGGAGCTTCGAAGCGCTGCGCTGCGTAACACGGCCCCACACTTCTAACGTTAACTCGGTCCAGGATTGATGCTTTGGATTTCAGGGTTAGGGATATGTTTGGGGTTAATGTATGCGACTTCTTGATGTTCAAAATCAACCACCGGGTGCGAAGAGAATGTACAGTTAGGAACTGGATATTTGTTTTAACCCAAACGAAAAATGAGGTATGAATCGGGACACTGCCGAGAACTGTACGGTACCCTGCATGTGCACCCGAACCCACGCGGCCTTGTGGCGGTGCTGCATCAGTGATGTCAGTTTGGTTGGCGTTCGGAATGATCGGAGGGTGGTTAAGCCACATAGGTGGCCCGCAAGCAACTCCGTCTATCATGTGGGTTAAGAGAAACCGGTACGGAGGAAAAGGGCGTCGGCGGTTTTGAGTTCCATGTGATCTTTGTTTGCTCACGATATTCCTGTGCTCTATTCGCACTGAAATCGAGGTTCGCCTAGACGTATCTGGCTGTCTCTGCCCCGCCATCCGACGTGTTTTCACAAATTGCCCCATGTACAAAATTCACCTGCGACGTCCCAATGCTCTAAAACCATAGTGATGTTCATGGCTCCGATCCTGTAGGAAAGCCCGGTGATTTTTGAGGGGACCTTGATGACTGTAAACCCTTCATTACAGACGCCGAAATGGACCGAGAACCCGTCAAACGTCCAAATGCAATTGGCCAAGCCATAACCGTTAACCGCGCCAGCAACCATCCATCACGCCCAAAACCCCGTCTAGCCCGTAAATCCCGTCTCTACCACTTCATCTCGTGGGGCTTGTCGCCCTTGCGGAGGCTGAACGAGGTGGCGAGGTAGCTAGCGAGCAGGTCGACCTTCTTGATGTTGGCAATCAACGCCTTGTCGATAGCCTTCTGGTCAGCCGCCCGACTGCTCGAAACCTCCTTCTTCTGTAAATGAGAACAATTTGTCAGCCGCTTGTCCAACCATATCCGTAATTCCGCCGCCGCTCTCGTCTCAAGGATCATTTTTTCTCGTACCTGAGCCTTCTCTCCTTGCTTGAAGAAAGCCTCCTCGCCGGCCTTCTCCTTGGCCTTCTCCGCGGTGAAGTACTTGGGAGCGGAGATCTCCTCCACCTTGGCCTCGTCGATGCCAGACAGGTCAACCTTGAGGGATGTGGCAATGACGTATCTCGAGTTGACGCGACGAAGAGGGACACCGTTGATCTTGAAGGGGCCGGTGACGAGCAGGACACCCTGGTCGAGGTTCTTGAGGAGGACGACGCGCTTACCGCGGAAACGGCCAGCGAGCAGGATCAGGACGGTACCGGGCTGGAGCGAGCTGCGAGGCGCCCAAGCGCGAACAGCCTTGCGGACCTGAAGGTGAAGCAAACGTTAGCATGAGTTCTGTGACCCGAACGACCGTCCAACCAGCAATCTGGCATCCCGCCCAGATCTTGATCCTCCTCTTTCCAGCCGAGCCCCTTTCTGTTTCCCATCCCCGCCTTCCGCTGTGGCGCCACCTCTTTTTGCGATCGCTCCGTATCGGGGTCACGTCTCTCCAAATGCCTCTTGCCCCAGTACAGCCATCAAAGTGTCGAATTGACGCCGAATTCCTCCAATTTGCCGTCCCGGAAGCGCCTCGCAACAGCCAAAATGCTGGCTCGAAAAATGATTTGCATCGACATACCTTGCGCGGCTGGGCATCCTCCTCAGCAGGGTACCATTTCTGGGCCTTCTCGGTCGGGTGAGGAACCGACCGAGTCGACTTGCCAAAGGTCTTTGTCGTAGGAGCGGCCGACATCTTGAGCGCTTTGGCTGTTTGGGGGATTAGTAAATTTCGTTGTCGGTCGTCAACTTGACTTGCTGCTGCTCAAGATTTTGAAATGGGTGAGCCCCCCCGGTTGTGCGCAAGTTCGGAAAGGCCAAACCCCAAGCTAACCGGTTTTGGAAATACAGCCCCACCCCACGCTTGAGCCACAACGTGGCGCACAGACCACCTGCGGTAGGGTTTTCCGCCCTGTGTGGCATTTTGCGCATCCACACCCCTCAGATTTTGCGAGGACGTGTACCGGCAAGAAGAGGCTATCCCCTTCCAACGACCCGAAGACCCCGTCGCTGTCAAAGGAACCGTCGCCCATCGCCCATTTGACTCGACACCGACATCTTTCAAAATGGTAAGCGCCCTATTCCTCCCTATCCGATCATTTACGACAAACCCGTAATTCTCTTCAACACTGCCTCTACGAGCTCGGCATCTTTTCACACCACCTGTCGCATCGAACCGCTGCACGATTTCCAATTTCGCGATTTGTACCGTTCAACTGCTGACCGTCATGTCACAGTCTTCCGGCAAGGTCAAGGCGGGCCAATTATGGTCTAAGAACAAGGACGAGCTCACCAAGCAGTTGGGTGAGCTCAAGACGGAGCTGGGCCAGCTTCGCATCCAGAAGATCGTCTCCTCGGGCACCAAGCTCACCAAGATGTACGTCGACTCGAACCCTTAGAACATTTTCACGAAGTACTTGATGGGGGATTAAGTGTTGGAAACGGTGGACGAAGATGTTTGGGCGGCAAGGTTGGCTAACATGTGGTTCCTTTTTGCGCCAACAGCCACGACATCCGCAAGTCGATCGCCCGCGTTCTTACCGTCATCAACGCCAAGCAACGCGCCCAGCTCCGCCTCTTCTACAAGGACAAGAAGTACCTTCCCCTCGATCTCCGGGCCAAGCAGACCCGTGCGATCCGCCGCCGCCTGTCCGCCGAGGACGCCTCGAGGGTTCTGGAGAAGACCAAGAAGCGCCAAACGCACTTCCCCCAGCGGAAGTTCGCCGTCAAGGTACGGGAGACCTAGAAGGCGGAGGACAAGCGCGACTGGAGGGAGCATTGCTGACTGGGTATTCTAGGCTGCATAAACGGTGTTTTTCGTTGGTAATGGGAGGGTTGTATCTAGGGGCACTTCCGGCGCGGTTTTAAAAACATTTGGCACTCGACACATTGCATCGTCCCGGGAATTTCTGCGTTCAGGGTTTGGGGGTGTTATACGAGGTCCATGATTTCTCGGTCACGGCTCGGTTATCAAAACCACTGCCGAATGAAAGCACAACGCTGAACACCCAAAGATCCGATCAGACTCCTATTTTGTTGACGTCCGGTGATGACTGTTGGAGTTGCGTTCCCGGCCTTGAGCCTTGGGCAGCCCCCAGAAATGGACGATCCAACCCAGTTGTGGACGTTCGTTCTTTTTGTTCCAACTTATACCCCGCCAGATACATGATACAATCTTCCCAACCAGGATGTGTTGGTTGTTACTCTGGTTCTTGTGAAATGTGAATATGACTAAACACAATGTAGCCTAATATTCTTTCACAGATACTTGTACGGCTCCTATGTACTGCTTGTTTCATCGATTCCATGTCTTTCAAACCATCCACTCCTGAATTCATCCACTATATCAATAGTTCATAGTCGGGTGTGGTAACAAACCTTTCGACAGAACCAGCAAATTGCACTTTCTCATTGTGTTACCGCCATGGTTGACTGGAAACGTCCATTTATCAGCATATTTGTAACCGACTCATCCACAAACCCTCCATTTCATGTAAACTCCCTTTCATGTTCGTCCTGAATTGGCCCCTCCAATTCTTTGAATTATTTACATTCTGCCGGGCGGTGAGCGGCCAAGTACCATTCAGGAGTGGGTCCCGAACACGCGCCAAGGCGGACCCCTGGAGCATGATGCAGAAGCTCCAAACTGTCCTCTCCCCAAAGCTGCCAATTGCTCGCTTGGTGCATTGAAGTGTCCGCCAGCTCTGACATCCAACTTGGAGAGAGAGGGCCAACACCACGAACCTCTCCAACACCGGGCCATCATGTCGGCCGATCCGCTTCAAGCACTTGCGGACGCGGGGCAAGGGAAGAGCACTCGCAGCGTTTTGCGGGTGCTTATTCTTACCCTGATCGCCGGCGCTGCCATTTCAAGTCGTCTGTTTTCTGTGATTCGTACGTGGCCCTTTTATTTGGTGATGGCGCGGTCTTGGGAGTACCATGGAATTCGGCATTTTCCACGCTGAAAACTCCAGAACACGCCAATTCCTTTACGCAGTCCTTTTTGGGGTCCATAAATTGCTAACTAAGCCTGCCTTTTATTCGTATAGGATTCGAGAGTATCATTCACGAATGTTCGTCGTCCCCCTCCACGCTGAGACTATCTGGCGTTGACGCTGACAACTTGCCCAGTCGATCCTTGGTTCAACTTCCGTGCCACCAAGTACCTCGTCGCAAATGGCTTCTACAACTTCTGGGACTGGTTCGACGACCGGACATGGCACCCCCTCGGCCGTGTCACCGGTGGAACCCTCTACCCTGGCCTGATGGTAACGAGTGGTGCTATCTACCACGCCCTCCGCGCCTTGACGATTCCCGTAGACATCCGCAACATCTGTGTTCTCCTCGCACCCGCCTTCTCCGGCCTGACCGCCATCGCCGCGTACCTCCTCACCAATGAGATGACCCCTTCGTCCTCGGCCGGCCTTCTGGCCGCGCTGTTCATGGGCATCACGCCCGGTTACATTTCCCGGTCCGTCGCGGGCTCCTACGACAACGAGGCCATTGCCATTTTCCTGCTTGTCTTCACGTTTTACCTGTGGATTAAGGCGCTGAAGCAGGGGTCCATGCTGTGGGGTGCGCTGTGCGCGCTCTTCTACGGCTACATGGTGGCGTCATGGGGTGGTTATGCCTTCATCACTTGTTTGCTGCCGCTGCACTCCTTTGTACTTATCTGCATGGGCCGGTACAGCACCCGGTTGTACGTCGCGTACACCACCTGGTATGCCCTGGGAACATTGGCGAGCATGCAGATTCCGTTTGTCGGTTTCCTGCCCGTCAAGACGAGCGAGCACATGCCGGCTCTGGGTAAGTTAGTCCGCGTTCCGGAAAGGAGGGAAAGTTGGTTACTAACTCGGGGTAGGCATCTTTGGCTTCCTCCAGCTTCTCGCCTTCCTTGACTACGTCCGATCGACCATTCCGAGCCGCCAGTTCCAGACCTTCCTTTGGCTGTTTGCCGGCGGTACCTTCGGCATTGGCCTGTTGGGCCTGGTGATTGCCACCAGCGCCGGGTTCATTGCTCCGTGGAGTGGTCGTTTCTACTCGCTCTGGGATACCGGCTACGCCAAGATCCATATTCCCATCATTGCGTCGGTGTCGGAACACCAGCCTACCGCGTGGCCCGCGTTCTTCTTCGACCTCAACATGCTCATCTGGCTGTTCCCCGTCGGCGTGTACCTGTGCTTCCAGCACCTCGCTGATGAGCACGTCTTCATTGTTGTCTATGCGCTGTTCGGCAGCTACTTTGCCGGTGTCATGGTCCGGTTGATGCTTACCCTCACTCCCGTGGTCTGCGTGGCCGCCGCCATCGCCATCTCTACCCTCCTCGACACGTACCTCAACGCCAAGACACCGAAGCCCGAGGACCACCAGGCTGCCAAGGAGGGCTCAGACGGCAAGAAGGGCAAGGCTGGTCTCAAGTCGTCCGACAAACCGGTAGTGGGCGTGTATGCCATCTGGGGCAAGAGCCTAATGGTCAGCGCTCTGGCCGTTTATCTGCTGTTGTTTGTTCTGCACTGCACCTGGGTGACGTCCAACGCGTACTCGTCCCCATCCGTCGTGCTGGCTAGCAGACTCCCCGACGGCAGCCAGCACATCATCGACGACTACCGCGAGGCGTACCAGTGGCTGCGCCAGAACACCCGCGAGGACGCCAAGATCATGTCCTGGTGGGACTACGGCTACCAGATCGGTGGCATGGCGGACCGCCCGACGCTGGTCGACAACAACACGTGGAACAACACGCACATTGCCACGGTGGGCAAGGCGATGAGCTCGAGCGAAGAGGTCAGCTACCCGATCATGCGCCAGCACGAGGTAGACTATGTTCTCGTCGTGTTTGGTGGTCTTTTGGGCTACTCTGGCGATGACATCAACAAGTTCCTGTGGATGGTCCGTATCGCGGAGGGTATCTGGCCCGATGAAGTCAGCGAGCGCGCCTTCTTCACTCCCCGAGGCGAGTACCGCGTCGATGGCGAGGCGACCGAGACCATGAAGAACAGCTTGATGTGAGTATTTCTGCCCGCAAAAAAAAAAAAAAAATCAAATGTTGCATGACGCTAACAACATAAACAGGTACAAGATGTCCTACTACAACTACAACAACCTCTTCCCCCCTGGACAGGCGGCCGACCGCATGCGGGGTGCCCGTCTCCCCGAGGTCGGACCCACGCTCAGCACGATGGAGGAGGCGTTTACCAGTGAGAACTGGATCATCCGTATCTACAAGGTCAAGGACCTGGACAACCTCGGGCGCGACCACATGGCGGCAGCCGCGTTTGACAGGGGGCAGAAGAAGAAGAAGAGCGCAAGCAAGAAGAAGGTACCCCGTGTTCTGCGGGTTGAGTAAGAGAGAGGCGGGGATACGATTAGCGACTTGGGGTTTGTTTGTTTGTGTATAAACAAAGACGGCGTACGCTAGAGTTGATTTATTTTTTTCATTTTCAACTGCCACAATATATGGACTAGGAAAAAAGACGCTTTTTCGTTAGCTTTGATTGAGTCTGTATACCACAAGCATGTTGTCTGTCTTTGAATGTGTTGCCGTAGTATCTTCACGCCGTGGGGGACAGAAATGAATGTCTTTTCTAGCAGGCCGGCTGTACTGCTGGAGAGGGCCGTCCGTGTTTGTCATATTTTACAAGAAACAGTCTCCGGAGTAACTCAGCGCGTAACTCCCATCCGATCCATGCAGATGGATGGCCAAGTGTTATTTTATCAACCTGGTGTACCTTGTAGCTTGGGAGGTTAGTGAGAGTGAAACTCAAAACAGAGCTAACAAGGCTGTTTACAAGATAAACAACGCTGTGGTATTAATATTCCCGTTCCCATTCCACGGTGGAGTTATGGAATAAACTTTTGGGCCACCGACCCAACAAGACTAGAAAGACGACATGAGCTCTTCAACTCCAGTCTATGCATGACGCTTAAACTCATTAGAATTCCATTTCAATCCCCTGCTCCTCATGGCTAGAAGAGGGGAATAAACTCAATACAAATCTATAACACACAATTATACAAACGAACACCCCATTTTTGCACAGATATAACATCAACACCTAAATCGCTTGCTCTGTCTGTTTACCAACCCCTACCACCTTGTCTCCACCCCATCTCACACGGCCCACAATATAACCAACAGAGGCTTAAATACAAAAACACCCCAAACTCCATGCTACGCCATGATATATCCATCCATCCATTCATCCACAACAAACCAACAAAAATAAAATACCCAAATGAAACACCCCGTCGATATGTGTCTGCCCACCGGAACCAACATACACAATACACACCCCAGTCGCCCCCTCCGTATTTCCCGTCTGTCTGTCTGTCTAGGGACAGACGCCTTTATTCCCCGTCATGCTTGTGCTCGAGTCGCAAATACGCCTTTTTTCGGCAGCGTTGTCCGGCCACTCACGGCCCAGGTGTCCCTCTCGGCGGTGTATGTCTCACCGGCTAGGCGGTGGGCGTGCGTGCGTGTGTCTGTGTGGTATGTATAACAGATGGAACCGGGCCGGTGGCGAAGAAACAGAAAAGCATCAAGAACAATAACAACTTGACTCTTGAAGGGTATCCATCCGTCCAACAATCCAATCCATCCATCGGTAAAACAAAACACGCCAAAAATGAGTCTCATCAACAACACCCACCCCCTAACACAGCAAGCGGCGGTCAACCCCTCCTCGCAGCAGCAGCCCTCAACAACTCCAACGTACTAGGCGAAGCATGTCTAAAGTTCGGCACTGTCCTCGACGCAACACCAGGTACACCACCTCCGCCAATGCCCATTCCCATCCCCCCATTTCCAATTCCATGCCCATGATGCCCATTGCTATTCCCATTCCCGTTCCCAATATTACTCCCACCAACACCATTATTCGAGTTATTTCCCCCACCAGCACCAACACCAGGCACATACGAGCTCCAAGGAGTCTGAGTAGCCGAGTCCTCGCCCAACGTGACGCCGGGAGCGGGACTGACGCGTCGAATTCCCAGGGCGCGACACGCCTCGAGTCGGCGTAATTCAAACTCGCGCGATCGCTGGCGCTCGCGGTCGAGCACGGCTGCGCTGCGGACCCGCTCGTCAACGTCGTGGTTGGCCTCTTCCATTTTGAGGTCGTGCTCGCTGAGGGAGCGCATTTTGCGCTCTGTTTTGACGGCTACTTCGTCGAGTTTGTTAGCGATGGGTTCGGGGGCGAGGGCGTTGTCGTCGTCGGTGTCGTCGTTTTCGTTGTCGTCGAAGTAACGTTGGGTGTGGGACCGGATCCGGGCACTGCCGCCCCAGCCGCAGCGGAAGATGAGTTCCGACATGACGCGCTTGTCTGGAGTTTGCCAGACCGACACGCGGTCGCCGTCGAAGAGCTTCATCCAGTAGGTTGACGGGCTGGTCGGGTTCTTGGCGTCGTCCGACGGCAGGTGCACGCCGTTGATGTAGATGCCGGCGGTCGCTTTGGTTGAGATGTAGAAGTGGAAGGCCGCCTCGTCGGACTCGGGCGCTCGGTTCCAGGGGCGGAAGTTCCGTGCCGGGTCGTAGTTGGGCTTCCAGAGGAGTATGCGGAAGCCAAATTTGGGCACGCGCAGGTCACTCTTGGGCGAGTATGACCGTGTGTTCTCGACCGCGCGGCCCCAAGATACCATCGACTCGGTCACCATGACGGAGACGCCCGGGATGGCGGACCCGGGCGTGGACTGGAGACAGGCCACGATCGGCCGCCCGGGGTCTGTGAGATTCGGCAGGGTGGTGGCGGTCGGGGTGAGCTGCTGGTGAGCGAAGTCGTCCATGGTTGGGGGTGTGGCCGGAACAGTTGCGTCGGGCCCAGCCGTCGACGGGACCACACCGCCGTTCTCGTGACCGCGTTTTCCGCCGCCCTCCTTGGACGCATCGTCCGGCCGTTCGCAGTGGACGGCGGGGAAATACTTCATCGCTAGATCCCACAGCGGTGTCTTCCCGGGGCCGAACTCCTCGCCCCGGCCCAGCGCGGCCTGCTTGAACGCATCCAGCTGCAGCTGCGTCATCTCCGGGTAGTTGAGGTGCCACGTCCTCCTGTCCTGGGCTGACCAGTATGTGGACTTGTGCACGGGGTTATCGATCTGCCGTCCCGACTGTGCGCGGAGAATCGACGGCATCTGCGCGAGCAGCTGATACTCTCCGTCTTCCACCACCACAGCAGTCGCAGCCGGCGTCGCAGCCGCAGCAGCGGTCCTGTGAACGGCGAGGTTCGCAGCAGATGCTTCCGACCGGAGCCGCTTAAGACCCCGACGCTCCTCAAGGAACGGGGCATCATCCTCCTCGCTGCTGTCCACTGACGGTTTCCGCTTGCTCGTGTTCAGGTCCCCCGTCGTATGAGAGCGCAGAAGCGAGCCGGCCCGCGATTTCATGTTGAGATTTTCCATGATAGACTCGGCCCCGCCCAGACTCTGCGATGCCACGTCAAAGGTCATGTTGTTCAGCTCGTCGACCGACCTGCTCTGGTCGACGGACAGTACAATTGAGCTTCGCAGCCCCCCCGACGCGGCTTGGGATCGCTGGGATTTGCGCCGTGGGGTGAGGCTGTCCTCTGACTCAAAGCTGTCCTTGATTTCCGTCTCGGTCCCTAGGATCTCCGTCGTGCCTGTCGAGGCAAAGCTCGCGGGGGATATCGGCAAGTTGAGGCGGTTGGAGGGGATGGCACCCGAGCTTCGCAGCGCCGACGGGTTGACTTCGCCAAAGAGCCGCGGCTGGTTGTGGTTTGGACCGAACGTGTAGTTCTCCTTCTCGGACTCGTACCCATAGCCCTGTATCCCGTTGGCGTCAAAGTCCACATCCTCCACCCCATCCGCTTCCTCTTCGTCCGAGATCTCGTCATCGCTGGGCACTCGCAGCTCTCGACCCCCCTCCTGGTTTCGTTCCGTGTCGTCGAGGCTCAGTTGGGAAGCGTTCACATGAAGCACCTCGTCGGCAAGCTCCTCAAACGACTGCGCAACCGTCGTGAAGGAACCAGAAATCCACGGGTGATTTTGTAGTGACTCCACTGTCGCGCGGTCCTCCGGTTTCCGGTTCAGCATGCGCTGTAGGAAGTCAATGCCTTCATCTGAGATCCCTGCGTCCAACAGGGGCGAGATGCCCAAAGGCTTCGTCATGATCTGGTGGAGGAGCTCCGAGTGGCCAGCTCCGTTGCGGGCTGGGAATGGCGGCTTCTTCGTCAGTGCGTAGAAGAGCACGCCACCTAGTGACCAGATGTCAACCGCGTGGTCGTACCGCTGCCCTGTCGTCTGCCGTAGCCGGCGATTCCGCGGATGACGGCGGCCGCGGTCGTCATACTCGGCGTATTCCGAGTACACCTCGGGGGCACAATACAGCAGTGTGCCGCAAAATGTCCGGAGGAAGGTTTGTTCGTTGTCGACCATTTTGGACAGCCCAAAGTCGGTGAGCTTTACGACGAAGGGCTCTAAGGAACTGACGAGGATGTTGTCTGGCTTGATGTCGCGGTGGGTGATGTTCATGTCGTGTAGGTACCCAACGGCGTCGAGCAGCTCCCTCGTCATCGTTTTCGTCGCGCTCTCGGACAGCGGGCCGTTGTCCGCGATGAGCCGGCCCAGGTCGCCCCCGCCCACAAATTCCATAATAATAATGAGTAACCTGTCATCCCAGTCGATATGTTCGATGTATTCCACAATATTTGGCTATTGAAACATGTAAGCACCGTTATAAGCTTGACATAGGAGGGAGAAAAAGAAAAAAAAAGGGGGGGACAAACATGTTTAATCCTGCGCATAATTCGCATCTCATTTTCCACCTTTTGGTCCAACACCCCGTTCTTCATGAACTTGCGCTTGTCGAGCTCCTTCGCCGCAAACGGCTGGCCACTAAGCCGCAGTGTCACTTTGTGTACCGTCGCGAAAGCGCCCCTGCCGATCTCGCACACACGGTGGTACTTGTTCGAGCCGTTCCATGGCCGAGGTAACCCGTCTGCGCGGTTCCCTTGCCTTGGGACAACCTGCGTTCGACGAGCGTTGACTCTGGCATTGTTGCCATTTCCGGCGGGCGGTGGTGGTGGGTTGAAAATGTCAACCTATCTTGTCAGTCAGAAACAGGCCTTTCGTCCAAGGGGACAAAGATTGGCAATTGCCAGTTGCCAGTAGGGGGTTAGTGGTTGGCGACTTACATGACCTCCTGGCCCTGGCACAATCGTTTCGTTCGCATCGTACACAGGCTGCGTCTGTTCCGCCAGATACGCATCCAGGTTGCGCTTGTACGCCTCTTCAGCCGGGCCCTCACGAATCGGAATGCGAACCAGAAATACAATGTCCCGTCCCGGCTGGTGCATCAAAATCTTGATCTTGGACCCGCTCTCGAGCGAGCGCATAGTCTCGGCCCTCGGGTCACCATTCTTCTTGAGCAGGACCTCATCGACCACGGTGCCGTTCGTCGACTTGTCCTCCAGCATCAGCACGGTCCACTCGTTGACGTAGATGCGGAAGTGTATCTTGCTCAGCCGTCGGTGGGGATCGTTCTGCAGGCAGACGTCGCAGCAGTTCGGGTGCCGCCCAAACGTGAACCCTTGCGACGGGTCTTTAACCTGCGATGAGAACCGCAGCGCGATATGGTGCTCCCCGACGTCCGACTGGACGCCGCCAAAGTTGCGCACGTCGTCCTCCCGCGTGTAATCCACCCTGAGCCCGTCGACGTCTTCCCGCCCGACGGTGTGTGGCGAAGACGCGGCCGCGAGCCGCCGCACCTCCTCGCGCGCTGAGTCTGAGTAGGGTAGGAGGAGGCATATTATGTCGGAGACGTCTTCGTCGGAGAAACCTGAGGTTTGCTGGCCCAGTCGCTCAGCGTCGACGACGGTCTGCGTCGCTGTCCGAAAGAGTCAGTCAGTCAGTCAACCAGCCAACCAAGAACACATGCACGACCAACGCAATGGCAAGGAACGCACGTTGAGTAGGCTGCGAATACCCGCCTGAATCCATTATGCAGGTGGCTTTGGCTCTGATATTTGCGTCAGTAGCGACAGCCACGATCCACGACGAGGCGCACACGCAGAGACGGTCTCGACGCTAGTCCGCAACGGCGGACGACCGGCAGCGGAGACAACGGTAGAAGGGGGTAGTCGAGTTCGGTCGGTGAGGCGTCGCGTCTTTTCGCATCGGAGGCGGGAGAGCAAAGCGGAGCTGAGCTTCTTGTTGTTGTGGTGGTGGGTGGTGGGTAGGCTGTGGAGTCGAAAGCAAACCAAACGCCAAGTCCTGGCCGAGTCCTATGCAAGTCTGCTGAGCTACGAGATGATGCGAGACGAACTCGCAGTGAACAAGTATGTACCTGTTTGGCGAGTTTGTTTGTTGGCTGAGCTACTAGGTGGTGCACAATAACGCGAGGTGAAGTCGAAGGGGGAGGTTAATCGACACGATCTGTGTCGAGTCGAAATGGGCAAGGCAATGTGGGCGTCGCGTTCGTTCGGTGGATGGCGGCGGTGCTTGCCCGGTGAAGGTGGAGGTTGACCTGCGGTTGCTGGGGGACGGACAGCGAAACGGAAGTCTTACCGGGCGCCCGGTCAGCGGCGGCCGCTCGAGATAGGACCAGGAGGCTTTCTTCTCTCACTTTTGGAGCTCTCCGGTCGTTCCATGCACGTCACGCGGGGGGCGAGATAGTAAGGTCCCAGAAGAGAAGGAGAAGGAAAAGGAGAGTGGACGTGTTCCCCGAGAGAATAGGAGAACGTGACGCCTTCATTCAATTTCTCAGCAGGCTTATTGTGTGGCTGTGATCGCGCAGCGGACGCGAGCAGGTGCAGGGAAAAAAAAAGAAAACACAGGTCAACCGCAAGTCGTGGACGTCGACCATCACCAGACCACAAGGGATGAACGACGGGTCCCAAGTTTGGCTTGAGGGGCCCCAAATTTGTCAGGGAGTCGCGCAGCGATTGTTTGGTTGTGTGGTCACTGGCCCTGGTCGCGCTGCAGGCGCACGGGGCGCCTTCGTCCACCCGTCTGCTCGGATTCGAGGGGAGCGCTAGGAGTTCAGGGGTGTTTCCAGGCAAGCTAGGCTGCCCCTCCTCTTCCTCGACAAATGCGATTATCACTCCCAAAACTAGGCGATAAGCAATTCCGTGCCGCCGCCTGTTCCAAGGGGACGGTTCTTGGGAATGATGAAGATTGGACCGAAGAGGGCTGCAGTGGCTTGATCCAAGGGTTGTCATGCTGGTTGTCATGGACGGACGGGATCACTGAACATGGATTCTCGAGGTTGTGGCAATGGTGGGCCTCAATTCATCTGCCTTTTTGTTCCTGTCTGAGTGGCGTGGTGTGGGATCAGTGTGCATTTTCTCGAAACTTGAAAAAGCAAATCTCGAAGATGAGCTGAAGACCAATCTCATTCTTCAATTTCTTTGCCACTCGGTTCCGCCTTGTGGTTGATTGTCTGATGCAGGTGCGGGGAAGTCAACATTCACGAATTGGCCTGCACTCCTACATAAGAGGGGCAAGAGGGGGCAGTTGAGGGTGTTGTTTGAGAAGAAAAGACCAATTAATGTTAGGTTGGTACATCGCGTTCATCCCAACTGCAGTTACACTTGTTTTTCCCATGTGGTAGGTAGGCCCGATCATGTTTTACTTGGGAGAAATTGAACAAGGCATTTCCCGTCTTGGTTGTTTTGAATTGAAACTCCTGAGATTTTGTTCCTTCCCGTTTTCTATTTGACTTGAGCGTTCTTCCACGTTTGTAAGACTGTCTCAACGGCACGTCTATCTTGAAGAATGGTTGGCCAGCCCGACTGCTCCAGATGCTCGGTCTCTCCACTCACAAAAAGAGAAGCGAAACTAGCGAATGGACAAGCAGACATGCTGGCGAGCTTGAGACAGCAACACCGAAAATGCAGGCAAACTGCAGCGGTCGTGCATGAGCAAGGAAATGCGCGTCTTTGTTTGGACAATTGCAGTTCACTCACGTCTCTTCACTTCCCTCGGCTTTGGCTCCTCAACTTTAGTGGGGAACAGTGAGGGGAAGGATCTGAATTGAAAAAAAGAGCTTGGCTCTTTGGCTCTAGGAATGTCCACGTGTAGGGTGGACGAGAAGTGGAAGCGATGGTGGCACAGCACCCGGGAACGCAGGGGCCGAAAGACGACATGAATATGAAATCCATCACCGATGTGTACCGTACCTGCTTTTCACCTCAAGGTAGGTGGTGTATATCGTGAGCACCCATCCTGAGAACCCAGTGACCTCCGCCTGTGACTTACATGGTAGTTTACCTATCCACGGGAGCATCATCATCCCACTAGTCCCCAATTCAAAGACTTTTAATCAGTCTTGGGATACAGTTTGACAGTCAAGTCACTTCCATTCGGACCAGGAACCCCCACACACTACAGTCCTTAGCAATAATTAGTTAAGAGCAATGTTTGTCCCCATTCACAACCAAACAAGTGGCATGGTCTTGCTGTACATAGCAAAAAAGCTGCCCAGTTGAAGAGAAGATGGTCGATCCCAACCCTGCCAAGCTTAGTCCAGCAGCTCGCCGGGAGAGAAAGGTGGGTTGGTGACGTAGCCTATCCCTTCGCACGATCCATCCCGCGCCTCGCCGCTAAAGTGCGTGCATATCCCGGAGTTATCTCAGGGCTCGCCAGGGCAGCGCACCAGAAGCGAATGGTGAATGTGACTCTACACTATGTATGTACGCTCGGTACGGAGGTGGGTGAGAAAGATGAGAGCGGTGGTTCTCCCAAATTTGGAAGGGAGGCCTCTCACATGGTTTCGATGCGACCTCAGCCGTGTTTTCGGTCTGGGATTCACGATCACTTTTTGATTTCCATTTCAAGAGAGCTGGCTCATCAACGTTGACGGAACACGAAATAGGCTTGGCGCTAGCATCGCAAAGGTCCAGCCCGTCCGGGCAGCCGTCCAGCCGATTCAGGAACACGAGACACGACTGGCTGTTCATTTCCGTTGTCCCTGTCGGCATCTGATCCCGCCCAAAAATCAAGGTTCGGGGCAGACGAAATACCCGGGCTTCCCTTCCATGGTTCACTTCCCAATATCAAATGGTGGCTTGACCATTACAAAACCCACCTTAATTGACCTTCCATATCTGCCGCCCTCCCTTGGCCGACACACTTTGCGCCTCAGCCTCAAAGCGCCCAGGGACGGGATGACAGACTTTACACGGACAAGTCCGTGTCTGGGAAGAAGGGCGTTGTCTGCGCCGCCACGCCCATTGTCTCATCTCCCGTCGGACTGTTACCGAGATGGGAGCTTCACTATGTTACCGTCCGGTACACTAGTTAACTCGTATTGCTACACAAACTCAGGTCCTGCGGTAGGCAATTCACTATCCAAGAATCCAAGCCACAGTGTTGCGCGGCCTTCAGGATGCTTGCAACTTCCCAGCCGTTCTCATCAACCGCGCGCATATGTTGTGTGCTCTCGGCACGGTACTCGTAAAGGGTTGGCGCATCAAAACGGAAGAAAAAGAAGTGGTCACACAATTCAACGAGCCACATGGGCCAGCCACATGATGGGGTGGATTGGATGGATGGGAGTGAACGGGGTGGGCGCGTGACGGAGACAAACGAGCGCTTAACTTTTAATGCGAGCGCGTAGTTCAACCTCTGAAGCCAAACCCGTCGACTAGCCGATTTTGTGTGGGTGTTGGGTTGGTTTCAGGTGATTGTGATGCCTCTCCCCCTTCGGAGTTTCTGACCTTGACCGTTACGCGTATGCGAAACGGAGGCGATGTTGTTTCCTCTCGCAGGGGGGTCTGCTGATGGCCGAGTTATGGCCATGGCCTGATGCCTTCCAGTTTCAAGGTTTCCATTCGGTGTTCGCTTGAGAGATACCAAGTCCGGACGTTGCGTGTTTTTGCCCACAAGCGCACCATCGTTGAGTGCTGCGCCCACGAGCAGGGGAAGACAAGCGGCATCTCAACCACCAAACGATTGAACGCCAAGCGTTGGCTCCCTAACATCACAGCAGGAGGAGGGTTTTACAAGGCGGTCATCTTTGCAGATGCTCTTTATTTTCCACTTTGGGCTGGCTTTGTTGGAAAAGGCTTCCGTCATCCTCGCACTTGCTGAGTCCAGCTCTCCAGGCATTTGGCCGGCCACCAACAGCCAATGGCCCATTGCATCCACTGCCAAGCGGCCACTCCAAGCACAGACATTGGTGGATCTCACAAAGAGAATGCAAATCGACCCGTCTATATCGACTGTGTCGCCGTCTATTTTGACGGAGTAAATTCCAAACCATTCCGAACCAGGTAAGAGGCGAGTTGATCAACGCCGCAGCCAAATTTGGGCTGTGGCGTTGCTCAAAGTACCTCCAACCTTGCTCCTCATGTACCTAAACATTGCAACGCGTAACTCGAGACTCCCAACCTCGCGCCCGCGCAACATCGCGATCGCGCGCCAAATCGCCTAAAAATGTAATAAAATTCAATTGCAACAAAACTTTAACCAAAGCACGTGATTCCTACCCTCGCACCCGCCCAACATTACACCCGCCAACCTCACGCCCGCCCAACATCGCGATCGTGCAAGGTACGAGGTTAGGAGTCTCGAGATAGACGTTGCAATGTTTAGGTAACTACATGAGAAGCAAGCTTGGAGGTACTTTGAGCAACGCCACAGCAAAATTTGGCTGCGGCGTTGATCAACCCGCCTCTTACCTTGTTGGGAATTTACTCCGTCAAAATAGACGGCTACACAGTCGATATAAACGAGTCGATGCAAATAGGCTGCCAAGGCATGCCAAGCCCACCATCCTCTCCATTCTCCGGCTGGCATGACGATGTCGACCGGGGTGTGGGGGCCCAGATGCGCTGAGCGATCAGAGATGGCTGGTGAGCGATCCCTGTTTCTCTCGGGTTTGGGGCGCGGAAAATAACAGTCAAAGGAACAACGGCCGCGAACGGATGTGGCTGCCAAGTGTCGCTCGAGCAAGGCGCGATGATGTCGACGCTAAGTACGCGGGGGACATGACACGGTGGCAGACCGCCCCCCGATCGATGAAGGCTAAAGAAGACTAAGAGAGAAAGAAAGAAAAACGTGCGTGCAGAAGCGCAAACTAGTTGATCGGATCGACAAAAGGGCTCCGTTAGGTTCCATATGCCGGGTTCTGTTCGGGGTTAGAAAAGGCGAGAGGGGAGTGATAGTGCCGAGACCGACGCAGGTGTGCTGAGTGAGGTGAGCCTTGGTGTTAACGTTGAGTGCAGCGGTGGCAAGCCATTGTTGCAAAAAAAGGTGCATCGTGCGTCCTGCGTCACTTCGCGCCGGCTGGATGGACCCTGGAAAATCACCGGTGGATCGGGGAAAGCTCCTGTAAGAGAGGATACGAAGAAAAATGCCTGTCCACCGAGGCCCTAGGCTCTCCGCTACATAGTAACGTTAAGTGGAGGGAAAAGGGCTTCAAAGGGACGTTGGGACGCTGTCGACAACGTTTTGTGGATTGTGGGCTGCGGACTGGCGAGTGCGTAATCACCTACGGCGGTAGTGAGCATACGGAGCGTTTCGCTGTTCCCGGAGTTTCGGGCGACAGGACGTTTGGATATTGGTTGTTGGCGCGGGCCACAGGGAACGCCAGGAACAGACTAACAGTCAAATACGGGAAGCGCCCGGCGACCCGCCTCGTGCTGCATATGTCGAAGTTTATCTATTTTTTAAGTCATGTCTCCCCCATCTCTCATGTCCATCGTTTCCGTCTTGTCTACTTCTCCTTTTTCTTGTTGAGATTTGCCGAGGGGTTTTATCTCCCTTTCCCGGCCCCGTCCTCTCCGACGTTGTTGTGCACTACCTTCCCTGGAAAGCCATTTCCAAGTTTTCGGGAATCTAACCGCCAGACAGCATCCCTTCAGCGGTACGTACCTGGGTACCTCTCTTTACCGTTTACACCACACTGCTCCCAGCTTTCCATGCACTCTGGCCGACGCACTGTCCCCGGCATACCCGCCCCAGTACAGGAACCCCCCGGATGCCCCGGCTACCCGAAGCGGAAGTCGAGACAACGCAGGTCCAAGTTCAAAACCGTTTGGGTGTGAGAGCCACCGTATTATCCAGACGACCGAGCGGAAGTGCAAAGCGTTGGGGCTTGTTTTTTGTTTTCTTTTTGCCTTCTTTCCTTCTTCATTTTCTTTCCTTTTCTCCTTTCCCGCTCCTTGCTCCCCCCATCCCCGACCTCCTCCATCGTCTCTCCGGCCCGGGCCCGATATCATTGCCCTCCTTGGTGGCCAACTTTGCTCTAGTCCCCTAGTCGCGCCGTGACGGAACTCACCGTCAAGTGGATGCAGGCCCAGCCCTGCACTGCTCCTTGGCCTTCCGCATCGCTGCCGGTCTCTATTTTTGTTTTTCTTGTTTCTTGCTTGCTGCTTGCTTGCCAAGTCTTCACTAACTCGACCTCATTTTTGGGGCTGACGTAGCCCATTGCGATCTTCCGCTGGGCTGCCTGACCGTCGCTTTCGAGAAGACCTCTTGGACTTCTTTCGATCGGCGAACCCTAGGCTCGAGACCCCGGGGCTTGTTCGGTGTTTGCCTTTGTCCCGAATCTCCCGCATCGAACGACTCCCCATTTCTCCCGCGCACTTGAGACGATCGAACTAGTCCGGATAGAGCGGTAGGCGGCGCAACAGTGACAGACGAGAAAATCGGGTCTTTTCGCCGCAGAAGAGGAAAACGGGAGAGAAAAAGAGCTTGGCTCCTTGGAGCATTTTCCGGTGTCTCCGCCAACTGGAATCCTGCGGTGTGCACCTTGTTTCAACTGCGTGCTTTCGTCAACTCTCAAGCTAGACCCTCGGATTCCTCGCCGTCCTGGCCAACTCTTCCTCCCGACCAACAACCTCTCGTGGACGCCCATTTTTGACCTTTTTCTCCCCTTTGATGGGTTGCGCAGTTTAGGGTTGCAAGACGACATCATACCCCAGCACAGTGCTTGCCAAGTCCCGTCGGTCTTGGACAGAAGGCAGGAAGACCCCACCATGCCTCGGAATAGAGGTATGTGGCATTCTCCCCCGGCAATTCATCCTCGTACTGTACAGAATACCATCACGCCCCGTGTTTGTCACGGCGTGTCTACGACACCCATATGAACACAAGCACAAACCCAGACACACCTCAGACAGGCCGAGAAAAATTGGCCTTCTTTGTCTTTTTTTTTCTGTTTTTTTGCAAACCTTCACTGCATGCATGAACCAGCCTGCGCCAGGCCCATGCATTAATCCTCGCGCCGATCTGCTGACCACAGGCTGTTCATAAAAGTCCTGTCATTTATTAGCCAGTTCTCGGCTCTGCAACAGCAGCAGCGGGACTCGCGGTCCTCGACACCTGCATCGTCATCGTCGCCCAAGAGCGATAGCTTCGCCGGCGGCACCACCAACGCCAGCACCAACAGCAACACCAACAGCGTCATCTCAAACGGCAAATCCTTCCTCGTCAAGCAGCAACACGCCCGTTCCGTCTCAGTCGATTCCCCACTTCCTAAACCCCGACGAGCCACCTTGAGCGGCCGCGAGTTCTCGCCCACACCACTGCACGAGACCGGGAATGCCACAGCGCCCGCGTCGCTAGACAACTCGCCGTCGTCTAGCCCAACTCGCTCCAAGAGAGGCTCACGCCCGTTGTCTATGGTGCAGACCTACCAGCCGCCCGTCATGGCCGTTAACGAACAAACACTGCCGGAGCTGCAGCCCATCTTCACGCTGTTGAACAGCCACTCGAACAAGTTGTACCAAGAGGGCTATTTCCTCAAGTTAGACGACCAAGACATCCGTACGCTTTGGCCCTTCTGCTTGCGTTTGCCCCCATATTTTGGAGGCCGATTACTGACCTTGTCGTAGGGGGGAATCCGAACTCCGATCGGACATGGACCGAATGCTTCGCCCAATTAGTTGGCACCGTGTTGTCGCTTTGGGATGCCGCTGAGCTGGACGCGGCCGGGGAGGATGGAGAAGTCCTCCCCAAGTTTATCAACCTGACTGATGCCTCCGTCAAAATGGTAACGTGGAACCGGAATAAAGCCCCGAGGATGATTATGCGAGGCGAGCAACGAGTAGCTGACTAGAGTTGTAGCTTGAATCGCTTCCCACAAAAACCAACGACGACCAACCACTTCAAAATATCCTGAGCATCAGCACCGCCGGCCGCAATCGGTATCTACTTCATTTCAACTCGCACCACTCGCTCATTCAGTGGACGTCCGGAATACGACTGGCCATGTACGAGCACTCGACGCTGCAAGAAGCCTACACAGGTGCTCTGATTGCGGGGAAGGGCAAGACGCTGAATAACATCAATGTCATTATGGAACGTGCGCGCCAGCCCATTTCCGAATGGGTACGGGTGCGGTTCGGCGCTGGCGTGCCTTGGAAGCGCTGCTACTGCGTCATCGAGCCACCAAGCGAGAAGGAATACCAAAAGGCCCAGAAGGAGCACAAGAAGCGGTCACCGTACGACCGCTCTCAGCCTGTATTGAAGGGAGAAATCAGGTTCTTCGACACTAAGAAGGAGGCCGAGAAGAAGAAGAAGCACCAAAAGCCCATTGCCTCCATCACCGACGCTTACTCGGCCTACTCCATCTACCCCCAGGCCAAGGAGCTGATCGACTCATCCACGCTGCTCAAGATTGAGGGCAACTTCACGATACACACCGAGCCGGTCTCGTCTACCGAGGGCTTTGTCTTCATCATGCCCGAGACCCCACCAGCCGTGTCCGGCTTTGAAATGCTCCTTCGTTTCCTGTTTCCGACTTGGGATACATTTGCCCTCTACGGCCGACCCGGCCGCTTGGTAGCCAGCGCGCTCGACACTCGCTCCCTGATGTTTGCGATGCCCAAGAACAGGCGGTACGGCTACCTGGAGCTTCTGGATGTGAGCGGGCTGATCCACGCGGACGCAAGCGAGACGTGGTCAGAACGAGAGTGGAGGAAACGACTCAAGGAACTGACGGGCCAGCGAATGGCCGCCATGGAAGACGGATCATCGTCGGTGGGTCACAGCCGGAGTGCCAGCCGGAATAGCAAGCGGCTGAGCTACGGGAACCAGAACTCGTCAGCACCGCGGGCGAGGGTAGGCTTTGCCGATGAGGGCGGCTCCGTCCGCTCGTCTCGGTCCATGTCGGTCACACATCCCGGAGCACGCAACGACTCGGCCCCTCCCGACCCGAACCGCGACCGAGCCTTCTCCGCTGCGGCAGGCAATGCGAGACACTCCCGCCACATTTCGGACACGCAGCTCGGTGACATTCCCAACTTTGGTCCCGACAGCAACAGCTCCCTGTCGTCTTCGCAGGCCCCGCTCCGCGGTACTGGCCCCGACCGTGTCCGAGCCTTTGCGAGCGACCTAGCATCTACGCCCGAGAGAGTCAGCTCAGAGGATGACAGCCCGATCCGCGGTGGCCCCCGGGTGGGCAATGTTAGCGGTATGGATCACTTGGGAACTCCCGGGCCAGTCCATGCACCCCCGGCGTTCGCCCATGGCGCAGGGGCACGCCCACAGCAGAGACCATCCCCGTCGCCCGAGATGCGCCGAGCGACCAACCGGCTGTCCAGCAACACACTGTCCCAGCTTGCCCGAGCATCCGGTCTCATTCCAGATTCCTTCTCCCCAGAGGACCCCCATGAGCTCCATTTTGGGGGTGAGGGAACTGCCGGGTCGGGGTCGCGAAACCCCGACCAGCGCAGTCCAGCGGTACAGACACAAACCAGCGCCAACGCCGTGGGGATGAATGCTAACCTCAATGGATCTCGTGAAGTTCTAACGTCTCCCGCCGCTGCGTACTCAACTCGCGATTCCCCAGCCCCTCCTCTTCCGCCTCACGTCCAGGACCCCGCCCAAAAACGATCGCAGTCTCCCTTAAGGGGTCCTCCTCCGCCCGCAGGCTTTTCCGGTAACCCTCCCCCTCCTTTCCATAACGGCCCTCCTCGTGGCCCTCCTCCACCCGGTAACGGTCGCCGAACCCCCCCGCCTAGTGCTATGGCGCAACAACAGCAGCAGCTTTCCCCATCCTCGGGCGGTGGTTCGCCGCCCGTTCACAGGAAACCCCTCCCGATCCGGACGACGAGCCTATCCCGTGACCACCCCGACGCGACCTCCCCAGCTTCATCGCAGTCGTCTCAGCGGAGCTTCCCATCGTCCGGCCCCCGGTTCAGGCCCGTCCACGAGAACCCCCCACCCGTTCCCGGTCATGCTCGGTATCCCCTAAACGGCCAGCGAGCGGTTATCGAGAACGATGCTTCGTCCACCAACAGCCCAGATTATGCGAGCACGCGTCGCTCCTCCGACACGCAGGAGTCTGTGGACCGGCCCCGCGCGGGTGTGCTCAAGACGGTGGGCGACAACAACGACGAGTCTGCAAAGGGTCCCTCGGAATACGACATCCCGGACATCAACTTTGGGCCCACTCTTAAGTACAGTGCGCCCGTTCTTCCGAGTGATAAAGCCGCGCAGGCTACGAGTCGTAGATCCCCCGGCCCTGGGCAGGCTTTGTCCCACAACCGTCAGCAGTCCGGAGACAACGTCCGTCGCAGCGTTGTTTGGCCGGGCCCGTCCGCCGTGACGACGTCCTCAGACAACGCGGCGTCGCTCCAACAGTCGCTGCAGCCTCGTAGCGCGCCGCTCAACTATGCACACCAACGTAACCCATCATCAGACACCCTGTCTGGCTACAAGAACTCGCACTCTCGTCACAGCTCGGCTGATCTGCTTTCTTCCGCCCGGCCTGCGAGCGGGAGTGAGACCCCGAAGCGGCCCGGTAGCCGTGCCGGTCTGTTGCATTCCCGTAACAGTTCTGCAGACCTGCTCGTCTCGGGCCGTCCCCCGAGCCAGGGCACCGCAGCAGCCCTATCTGCAGGCGAGGCGTCGTCTTACCTATCTGCCCGCGAGCAGGAGCACGTCGCGCGTATCACGGGAACCCCGCTTATGGGTTATGGCGGAGGTAAAGGTCCCTCGCAGCAAGGTGGCCTTGTTGGCGCTATTGACGCCCGCGAACGCGAACGTGCCCAGATGCGGCAAGGTGTCAGCGGCCAGGCGGTCGCGCAGGCAATTGACCAGCGCCAGCGGGAGCAGAACCAAGCCCAGCGCGCTGCGCAGGCTGCGTATGCCCAATCCCAACAACAGCAACCTCCGTTTGGTCCTGGACAGGGTCGTCCGCAGACACCTGGTGCTAATCGAGGCATGATGATGGGTGGCGGTGGTCCTGGTGGCCCTGGCGGTCCTGGTGGATATGGTCCCCAGACTCCGGGGGGTATGGGCCGGATGATGGATGGCCTTGGTGGCCCTGGTGGACCTCCGCCCTTCCACCCAGGCATGCCTGGGGCCATGAACCCCCGCAGCATGAGCCCTGGCCCCAACATGATGAGCCCTCCACCGATGATGCCCGGTGCGGGTAACCCGCGAAGCAGGAGCCCCGGCCCGGGGCGGGGCATGATGAGCCCGCCCATGATGCCTGGTGCTGGCCCTCCACGGAGTATGAGCCCCGGGTCGAGAATGATGAGCCCCCCTCCTCCAATGATGCCTGGCGCAGGACCCCCGCGCAGTATGAGTCCTGGCCCAGGACGGCGGATGATGAGCCCACCCAACATGCCCAGTGCAGGACCACCGCGAAACATGAGCCCAGGCCCGAATCAGATGCGCAGCCCTCCACCGATGATGCCTGGTGCCGGTCCTCCGAGAAGCATGAGCCCTGGTCCGAATAACATGATGAGTCCCCCCGGTCGCTACGGGCCAGGTGGTCCGCAACAGCGGCCGCCGATGGGTCCTGGAGGAGGTGGTGGGCCATATGGCCCTGGAAGCCCTGGACCGGGCTGGAACAATAACATGCCACCGCCTCGTCAAGGACCTGGGCCCGGACCTGGACCCATGTCACCGCCCAACCCGAATTTCGGCGGTGGTCGACCGCAATCACCTGGGTTTCCGCCGCCACAGGGGCAGTATGCGCGACCAGGCACTCCCGGCACTCCCGGCGGTATGATGAGGCCAGGAACCCCGGGGACACCGGGTGGTATGATGAGACCTGGGACACCGGGACAGATGAGGGGGCCTCCGCCGCAGCAGTATCATGGACAGGCTTTTTAAACGGGCAGACTATGGGTTTTATGGGGGAATCAAGACTTAAGGGAGGGATGGAGGAGTATATTCGTTAAAAGTTATGGGCCGGGCGAGTCTATCATAAGGGGGCTGGATATAAAAACAATCAGGCGAAGCGGGGTGATTTAAGGATACGGAACGAAACGCGAGACGAACCGAGACACAGGACGAGAAGAGTACGCAGCTCTCTATGGATGGGACATGAAGACGAACCCCTCAATCGGACATAAACAACACAACTTTACATATTGCATTCTTTCCTAATTATTTACCGTCATACTGGGGCAAGAAGGGGGAGGAAGAAGAAGATAAACAAGAATGGACGGACGGGTATAGAATGGAGGTGGATGAATCAGAATCAGATATCAGATCCATGGAGAGGGAGATGGGGGAGTTAAAGAGTTGATTTTGATTTAAATTTGTCTTTTTTCCCTCCCCGCTGCGTGTTTGCCCTGCGGGGCGGGGAGTTCTGCATAAGCACTTTTTGGAAGTTGTTGCATTTTTGACTTACTCGGAGATATGGTTTTATACCGCCCGCTCACGCTCACTCACTCATTGGAGGAAATCCCTTTTGCGTCTTTTGGGGTGTTTACGTTTTGTTTAGGATTTAATTAATCATTGAGTTGAGTTGATTAGTTGTTTCGGTCTCGGTCGCTTGGTTTAGATGTGGGGACCAGATTGTATGTAACTCTGTAGAGTATATCCGTAGGAGTCTTGACAGCTTTGCAGGGCTGGCGCCTCCGATTACGTTGCTCATAATACTTCTGTTAGTGGTGGTCTTGTGTTGGTTGTTCTTGCTGGTGATGTTGTCTTGTGTACATGTGTAGTATTGCTTGCGGTTACGTAACAATGTCCTCCATGACTTTTTGTTGAGATGGGGCAGTAGATCATCATTGGAGGAGATTCCGATGTTGATTGATAGGTGGTCTTAGTGTAGATTTTATAACTAGTTATTCAGATGCAGAAGGGATTCAAGAGTTGATTCCTTGTCTGGATTGAGGAGGCCTACTTAGAGCAGCAATAGGTGTAACGGATGTCCTGTGTTCAACGTGACCACGTTACGAAGTATGGCTAACGTTTGAGCCTGGAATAACTTGCTGAGCTTGACAGATTCAGGGATGGGAGATCGATCATCCGCTGACGACACAGCAGCTTGCGGTGTTGCAGGGAGGCCCATGCGTCGGAATGCAGGGGGTTTGGCCCGATAAGATAAACCAATCCACCCTTGTCCCTCCTTTCCGGGACACGCCCAACATTTTCGAGGTCGGAGCATTAATTTACTTGCAGAGCGTCCCTTCCCAGCAAATACAGCTGTTCAAATCGACAAATTGCGAGAGCGAGACTGTTTCCGGCTTCTTTCTCCTATACTCCTGGAAAAGGAACCCCCCCGCATGCCGTCCGCCAGCGCCACGGCTCATCGGGTCGTTGTGCGCGCGCGGCCGCTGGAATCGCGGGAATGAGGAGGTTGGTAGCGGTCTCGTCGTGCGCGGGGCTGGGACGGGGATTTGGGTCTAGGTCTGGGTTGGTGGGCTATGGGGTGTTGTCTGCTGGGTTGGTGAGGGCTGCGCCATGTTGTGGTGGTGGTCCTCGTCGGGCATGGCTTTCGGGGAGTGGGAGTCGAGGTGGTGGTCAGTTATGGAAGCAGCAGCAGCAGCAGCAGCAGAGACGGTGGCTGTCGAGGACGGCTGGGCTACGATCTCAGGACTCAACAACAGCACCACCACCACCACAAGACACCGACCACGAAGCCCAAGCCCCACACACCAACGCAATCTACCCACGCTTGACCGAAGACGGTGACCTCGACCCTTCTGTTTTTGTTGGTATGCCCTTCCGCTTCGACACGGGCATCGCGTTATTCGCAAAGCGCACCCCGCGCCCGTTCCCACCGCCGTTCTTATCGCCGCCTTCAGGCTCGTTCAGCGATCCGCTCAGTACCCACGACCGCAGCCGCGATCGGCGCGGGGCGTATGTGGACGGCCACCGCATCCAGGGGTACACGAATGGGGACGACGCCGTGTTTGCGAGTGACTATTTTGTGGGTGCGAATGATGGCGTTGGGGCGTGGAGTGCACGGCCGAGGGGGCATGCTGGGTTAGTTGTTCTCTCTCTCGTTAGGGGCGTACCGGTGAGAGGCGTTGTCACTAACATCGATCATGATCCCTAGACTATGGGCCCGTCTGATCCTCCACTTCTGGGCCACCGCCATGTTCGAAGACGCCGCCAGAAAAGGGACCGCCTACCGCCCAGACCCAATCAGCTACCTCCAGCGAGCCTACGACCAAACCACGGAAGCGACCGGCCCACCAAACGACTGGCAAGGCACGACGACCACCGCCGGCGCGCAATTACACTACCGCCGGTCAAAAACTGCCACCGAAGATGGACAGACCTCGAACGAGACTACATTCGAACCCCTCCTGCATGTCCTCAACCTCGGCGATTCGCAAGTCATGGTCATCCGCCCCGAGACGCGCGAAATGCTCTACAAGTCTGTCGAGCAGTGGCACTGGTTCGACTGCCCGCGGCAGCTGGGTACCAACAGCCCCGACACACCGCGCGGGTGTGCGGTGGTGGACGAGGTGCCACTGCGTGAAGGAGATGTGGTGCTGGCTATGTCGGACGGGGTGATCGATAACCTGTGGGCGCATGAGATTGTGGAGAAGGTGTGTGACAGCTTGGAACAGTGGAGGTCTGGCGAGGCTCCTCCTTCTCGCTCTCATCAGGGCCAGGGGGCCGTGGGAGTAGAAGGGCAAGGAGAAAATGAAGGAGTGGTAGGGCAGAGCGAGAAAGGAGAAGGGAAGGCGATGATGGAGTTTGTGGCGGAGGAACTAATGGAGGCTGCGAGGGTAATTGCGGTTGATCCGTTTGCTGAGAGTCCCTTCATGGAACATGCTATTGAAGAGGGGTTGGCGAGTGGTGGTGGTGAGTTTCCTTTTGTTTCTCTATCCTCCTTAAAAGGGGGAGGGGGAACTTTCTAGAGACAACGACGGCTAACTTGGGCGTAGGCAAGCTGGATGATATCAGCGTTGTTGCTGCGATATGCCGGAAGAACGCGCCGCCATGACACAAGGACAAATCATACCGGATAGTACCAGGTAATGAAACACGCGCAGGTGTGCAGTGAGCGGGTAGGCGCGTAGGAAGGTACGTGAGGAGAGGGTGTATGTAGAAGGTCTACCTGCCCTGTTTACAACTAGACGAGGACCACCAAGGTGGTCATGGCCTAACGGTCACCAGCGGCGGTCCTCCGGAGGGCTGGCCTTCGCTGGGGGTGGATCTAAAACCTCTACGGGGTCAAGGGTTTAATTCCTGGCAATGGTGCGGCTTATGGTTACTGATGGAGTATGAGATGGCGCAAGTCAATCGGTGTTGCCAGTGGTAAGCCGCGGGATTCTTAATATTTATTTGTCTTTGCTGAGGGTCGGCTGTGCTTTTCCTTGGGGGATCATTGTATTAGACAGATGGTGGGTGGTGAGCTTGGCGTCAGGCGTTGAAACTTTGGTTGGGAATGGGGGCGAGAGGTATCAAGCACGGATATACTTGACAATTGACTGTGGGAGGATTCCTAGAGGGTAGAGCCACAACGTTCGTCTCTCATATAAATGGCGTCCGTGAAGCCCACCCCGATAACCTTGGGCTAAACTTCTCGTCTCGAAGGGAAAGAAGTTTGGAATTAAACGTCGATATCCTGTTATCTTATCGGATCAGTTTACAGATGCAGTCGTCAAGGTGCTCGCCAAACTGTGGAGCCGCGGGAGCTGCAGCCAGGGGTCTTGTTTGGTGGGGCGTGACATTCTGGAAATTTTCCGCTGTGAAGGTTGAAAGTTTCAAACCTCCAAAGAAAGTTCATCAACACATCTCACTCCACTCCCACATCAAATACACAACCCATCGGCCATCTCATCCCGCCAATCAATCACTTACCCCATCCACCGAACTTCTCACTCCGATCCGACCCTGCTTTCTTGGCCTCCCGGCCACCCCCTAACTCATCATGGGGAAGCGCACGAAGCAGTACAAGAAACTGATGCGCTCGTTCGAGCAACTCGGGTTCCGCCAGCCGTACCAATTGCTCATCACCAGTGATGTGCTGCTTGATACGACCAAGCTGGATTTGGTTTCCTTATTTGAGAAGACGCTGTCGACAAAGGGTGTGAAGCCGATGATTACGCAGTGTTGTATTGTACGTTTTTTTTTCTTTCTCTCGCCATTTTTAGGGGGCATTTGGGTGTAAACGGTACGAGGCTAATGGGCTATACAGAGAGCACTCTACGCCAAAAACACCACCGGCGGCGGTGGTCCCAACCGGGACCCGGCTGTCGTGGCGGCGATTGACAGGGCCAAGACTTTCGAGAGGCGGCGGTGCGGTCATCTGATGGTTGAGGACCCGCTGACGGAGCGTGAGTGCATGCTCTCGGTGGTGGATCCCAAGGGGAAAGGGGACAATAAGTTTCGCTATGTGGTTGTGACGCAGGATGAGTGGTTGGTAAGTTTGATTCTTAGTCCTGGGGTCACGCTAAGCCCTGGGAGTGGGTGAGTTGAGTGGACTTGATGACTGACGTTGGTGGGTGTTGTAGAGGGATAGGCTGCGGTCGGTGGTGCCGACGCCGTTGATGTATGTGCGGAGGAGTGTTATGGTATGTTCGGCCTTGGGAGCGCTGATTTGGAGGAGGACACAACGGCTGACGTGCACCGCAGATTCTTGAGCCGATGTCGTCGTCATCGGCACGGGTGAGGGAACGAGAGGAGCGGTCCAAGTACGGTTAACCCTGGTCTGGGAGAATAGTAAGATGGACTAACACGCGATGCAGATTCCTAGACGGCATTGTCCGACGCCCGCAAAAGAGGAAGAGGGAGGAGCACGATAACGACAACGACGACGAGGGCGCCCAGTTGGATGATGAGCATTCGGGGAGTGAGGATGACGCGGGCACCACAGCTCGGTCCGAGCAAGCAGACGCAGACGGCAAACCAAAGAAGAAAAAGAAGCAATACGGCCGCAAACAACCGAACCCATTGGCGGTCAAGAAAGCTAAGGCCTCGGCTCCGGGCCACGATCAACAACGGCCTAGGAAACCGCCGGTAGAGCCCCAGGCGGACGCCCCGGCGGAGACGAAGGCGAAACGGAAGAGGCGTAAGAAAGCCAGCAGTGGTGCGTCCGGTGGTAGTGGTGAAAGCAATGGTACGGAGCAGGCCGGGAATGGTGAGGCGGTGGCCGTGGAAGCTGCGGCGAGTTGAGGAGACCTTCAAATCTCTGGCATACTAAGTCGGCTCAACTCAAACCACGGGTGTCCATTCAATATTTTCCGCGTTTTTACAGTCACATTCTGACGAAATATAATACCCCGCTGAAGGTGCTGAAGATCCGTCTCCTTGACTCTCTTGTCAAACCCGCGTTGATCCTCAAAAACCGTTCTGCGCCACTTCCAAAACATCCGAAATATGGTTGCCTTGGCTCTCTTCTGATACAATATCCCCCAATTTGGATACATGCACTTACTCGCCCCTGTTTCGAATCCAAAGGCGTGCACTGAGAAGGATGGGGACATGGCTGCCCCAACGGTCGATTACAGTTGCCCTGTGCCATTGCATCGCTGGGCACTGGGCACCAACCCCACGTCCCTGGAATCTCTTTCGGGCAATGTGTGGCGGGGCACTCTCCCACGTTGAGCGTTACAGGGCCTCAGGGTGTCAAGGTCAAACGACAAAATGCCAAGCAACCTGGAAACCTTGAATGGGCCCCTGGACCCGTGAAACGGGACGACCAGCTTGACAAAAGACAAAAGGAAAGAAAAACAAAGGAAGGTTTAGGAGATGTTGGGAGAGCCATTATTTTGTGCAATTATTTTGTGCCATTTTCTTTTCGTATCACCAATTGGGTAATATCCAAATCCCGAGTGAGACCAGCCCCAATTACGCATTTGGAAAGACCCATGTCATGCTGGCGTGGCCCACGTTGAGTTGATGGGGCGCTTCACGAAAAGCCAGGGGACCACACGCCAGAAGTCAGGAGGGCGGGGGATCCCATCTCTTGCGCATGTCACCCCGTGCTTCTTTTAGAATCAACAAAACTTCCGAACCACCACTCCATCTGATGATCCCCGATTAGCCCGCCATCTCTCGGGCCTGGCTTTTCTTCTTAAACACAGCCTGTTGTTACGACACTTGGCATTACGAATCAACCTTAACGGCCCCCGCATTCAGAACGGAACACCCCCCAAAAAGTCATGGATGGGGCCTCGGCCGGCAGTGACGGCCGCCCCCAACAACCCGCTGCTGCCGCGCTCGCATCAAAGAATGAAACCTCGGCCGCTGCGACACCAAAACCGGAGCCGAAAGCTGCCGCCGCGGACATGACGATTGAGTACGATGATTTCGGTTTGCCGATAAGGAAATACGTGGCGCCCACGGGGGGCAAGACGGCTGCTGCTGACAGCACTGCTGCTGTTGCTACTTCAACGGCTGCGGGTTCTGTTGCTGGTGGCCAAATAAAGAAGCCGGCGGCAGCAGCAGATAAGAAAAAAGAAACGACGGGCACTGCCGAGGGGACAGCGACCAGCGGGACACCGGGCAACACCAAGACAAAAGCGAAATCGGACAAGGACCAAAAACCGAAACACTCCGTCTCACCCAGTAGCAGCAACACAGCAGACGTTGTTGCTGCTGCTGCTTCGAACACCACGCCCAACACACAATTGGGAGATCAGAAACAACAACCTGCAAATGCGAGTTCCGGCGAGCCTAGCCCACTCCGAGACCAGGCTGTGGCCGAAGCCGAAAAGACCGAACCCGTGGCAACAGAGCAGAAACAAGATGGGAGCAACAGCAAGAGGGCGAGCGCGATTGGGATGTCCGAGTTTTCCCACCAGCAGCTCACGACAAAGCAGCCGGAACAGAAGGCAGAGGAGGAGGACGAATGGCAGACCATGCCGGCGTACGCGCCGTACGACATGTACGACGACGACAACAAGCTGATCGCCAAGGAGTACGTCGAGGCGGACGACGACGAGACGTATGGGTACGCGGGGCTCGGTGGGGCTGGGAAAGGGTACACCAAAGTGCTGCTGGATGACGACGCCGAGTCGGCGACTAGCATGGACGAACACACGCAGTATCTGTTCAAGGACGGCGGCGGGGGCACGAGCACAGGCGTGACGGACGACGATGACGCGCAACGGGACGCGGTCAGCCAGCTGCAGGCCACGAAAGAGCTGCTGACAGAGGGCCAGCGGGTGGCGTACGTCGGCCTAACGAGACTGGAGCTGTCGTCGATGCTGAAGGACGCCGAGGGGTTGGTGAGGGGGTCGTCCAGGACCAAGAAGCAGATGTCGGTGGCGGCCGAGAGCATGAAGATGTGGAGCCAGAAGATGATGATCCGGCTGTACTCGCACATGGAGATCAGCGCGGCCGAGCAGGTCATGATCGAGCAGCTCAGCTCGCACGGCGTGATGCCGCAGGACCTGACCCCCGTGCTGATGGCTAACGCCCGCGTGCGGAACCCCATGGCTGCTTCTGCGACGGGCGCCGCGGAGAAAGACGCGCGGTCGTCCGTCTCCAGCCGGTCCACGCCCTCCCGCCCGACGTCCCGCCCAGCCTCGATCGCGAGTCCAAGTCCGGGGATAGAACACGCGGCCGAGCCGCCCCCAGCGTACGTAGCTGACGACGACACGGAGCTGACGGCCCCCGTACGGACACCGTCACAGCTACCGACGACGCAGAAGATCGACATCGACATCCGCTGGACCGTGCTGTGCGACCTGTTCCTGGTCCTCATCGCCGACTCCATCTACGACTCGCGATCGCGACAGCTGCTCGAGAGAGTCGCCCGCGACCTCGACATCACCTGGCTCGACATCTGCCGCTTCGAGAAGAAGGTCACCGACGCCCTGGAGATGCAGGCCAACTCTGAGACGGAGAACTGGAACGAGGACGAACACATGGAGAACCGCCGCAAGCTGGCACTCCGCCGGCGCTACGTCATGATGGGCCTGGCCACCGTCGGCGGGGGGCTTGTCATCGGTCTGTCGGCGGGCTTGCTCGCGCCGGTCATCGGCATGGGTCTAGCGGCCGGGTTCACGACGATTGGGATCGGAGGCACGGGCGGGTTCCTTGCGGGGGCGGGTGGCGCCGCGATCATCACGTCGAGTGCGGCTGCGTCGGGCGGAATCATTGGCGTGCGAGCGGCTAACCGGCGGACGGGGGCTGTGAAGACGTTTGAGTACCGGCCGCTGCACAACAATAAGCGGGTGAATCTGATTGTGACGGTGTCGGGGTGGATGACGGGCAAGGTGGACGACGTGCGGCTGCCGTATAGCACGGTAGACCCCGTTATGGGAGATATTTACTCGGTGTTGTGGGAGCCGGAAATGTTGACGAGCATGGGTGACACTATTAATATTCTCGCGACCGAGGTGAGCTTTTTTTTTCCCTTTTTAAAAACCAAAATACGGTTTGGGCTAACGAACGCCGTATAGGCCCTCACGCAAGGTCTCCAGCAGGTCCTGGGCAGCACCATCTTGATCAGTCTGATGGCTGCCCTTCAGGTTCCCGTCGTCCTAACCAAGCTCTCCTACCTCATCGACAACCCCTGGGCTGTCTCGCTCGACCGTGCCACCATGGCTGGCCTGATCCTGGCCGACTCGCTCATCGACCGCAACTTGGGTACACGCCCCGTCACACTCGTCGGCTACTCCCTCGGCAGCCGCGTCATCTTCTCGTGTCTGCAGGAGCTGGCCAAGAAGGGCGCCTACGGCCTGGTGCAGAACGTGTACCTGTTCGGCAGCCCCGTCGTCGTTAAGACAGACGAGTACCTGCGGGCCCGCGCCGTCGTATCTGGCCGCTTCGTGAACGGGTACAACCGCAACGACTGGATTCTCGGGTACTTGTTCCGCCTGACCAACGGCGGGATCCGGCGTGTGGCAGGGCTAGCCGCGATAGAGGACGTGCCCGGGCTGGAAAACATGGACGTGTCCGAGTTTGTGGTCGGCCACATGGACTACCGCACGGCCATGCCGCGTTTGCTGCGCGAGTGTGGCTGGATGGTAGAGCACGACGAGTTCACGGAGATTGAAGATCCGGATCCGGATAACTATCAGGAACGACAGCGCGAGCTGATCACCGAGATTGAGGAGGCGCGCCGGGAGCTGGAGAAGGAAGAGAAGGCGGCGGCGGCCAAGGGGACTACCGGTAAAGGCGGCGCGTTTGGCGGTTTCTTCAAGCGGAAGAAGGCACCGCAGAAGCAAGAGTGGGAACTCTACGAGGAGGCCAAGGCCGGTAACAAGGCCGCTGCTGCCGGAACGGCCGCTGGCGGTAATGCTAGCGGCAGCGGGAAAACGGAGGATAGAGAAGGGAATAATCACGGCGTCCTCTTCGACGTCGATGCGATCCGCGCCGAGATCGCCAAGGAAACCGTAAACCAGCAACAAGCCGACGAAGAACTCCTCCAAGTCCGCGAAATAAAAAGTACCCTCCCACCTATCAAACTCGCTCTCGACAACAACAACAACACCCTCTCCCCACCAGGGAAAACCCTCCGCGAAACCAGGAGCGCAGAAATCATCGCCCAGGATTATCAACCACCACCCCCTACCGCCGGCAGCGGTAGTGGCTATGAACCAACCCGTCGTTCTCACGAGCCATCTCTTTCGCTCTCGCGAGACCGCAACCCGACCTTCCCGCTAACCGGCAAATCCGATGCGGGGGGCAGGAGTAGAAGCAGTAGTGGGTATCATACGTTTGGCTATGGTGCCGATTACCAAGGGAATGGGTACGGGCATGGGCATCATGGTGATGATGACGGCGTGCAGATGACTTTTGAGACGGGGTTTGACGACGATGACCATCATCCTACGCCATCAAGTAATACTGCTGCGGCTACTAAGGTTGAAGACACACCTGAGAGTGGAAATGGCCAGGCGAGACCGGGGATACGCTCGTCTCAGACAGTGCCGAATATCACGCTGGCGGATCCGTGGGCGGACGAGGAAGAGGAGTTTGGAAGGGAGAAGGAGATTAAGATGACATTTGCTTGAGGGTGTTGTTGGTTATAACCATATCATTACTCCTGTGTATGGGAGGGGTTCTAAAAATAAATCAGATTTGGGTAGGTGAGTGGGGGTAGGTCTGTCGACGATTGATGTGTACTGTACGAGGTGGATGCTGTAAGAGAGGGGGTGTGTCTAATGAAACGGGCTGAAGGATGAATGGATGGGTGGATCGAATGAATGAATCTAGGGGTTATTTTGGGGTTTACATAGCATAGGGAGAAAGGGCGGGCCGGTTTGGTTTGTAAGTCAGTTAGTGTGCATGGTAGGATGGAATGGATGGGTAGGGCCGGGCTGGGTGGCTTAAATGAGCGAGGTGTGCATTTTGGGTAGCGTGGTAAACCCGTTCTTTGCCTCTAGGTTGCTGTGGGTGTGTGTATGGATCTGTTATAGAGCAGCGCATTTGTTTGAGCACGGCTTGACAGCAAGCAAGTCCCCGTAATAAATCCCATCCCAATTCCAGACTAATGTAAGCCCACCAAGCATCATCCTCACCTCACCTATGGAAGAAGAAGAGGAAGAAGAAAAGTAACCCAAGGACTGACTGACTGAAAAAAAAAAAAAGAGAAAAAAGAATTAAAAAAAGGAGAAATCATCGCCGAATCTCAAACCCCGTCTCATCCTCCACGACCTCCCTATCCTTTTTATCCAGCTTCACTACACGCGCATGGGACGGGCCAGTATCGAGGTGTTTGAGGAATGTAGCAAGCGCGGATTCCTCGCCTTGGGCTTCGCCTTCGACCTTGTTGGTATCCGTGTTCCGGACCCAGCCAGTCAAGTTCTGCTCGGTGGCTCGGTGGCGGGTGAAGTATCTGAACTCGTGGTGAGTCCGTCCCGGTTAGCATTATTATTTGGTTGTCGGGGAAAATACACAAAAGTTTTAGGAGGTTGTGTGTTTGTGTTGAAATGGACAATATGAGCTTACCGAAAACCAACACCTGCAGATTATTGTGTGTCCATGTCAGCAGGTCAAGCTCATTGTGATTATCAGAGGACACTTCGAGCAGTATTCTCCTCGCCCTAGATGTGGAGGTGAAAATCGGATTAGATCGTGTTGCTTACCCTGAACTATCCCACCGTGAGCGAGAAAATATATCTGTAGATCACAAGACTGTTGTTAGTACCGCGACCTACAGACTGAGATTCTGAGAACTAACCCTCTTGACCATCGTGGCAAATTACCTCTGGAAGTAACGGTCTGGGTACAGTAGGTATGGATAGTTATTTAAACGAATGGGACGGACTTGTTGTGATGCTAATATCAGACGGTTGAATAAGGGAGACAACACAATACACTAACTGCTGGCTACAGTGATGTCAATGGGGGGGCTTGAACAGAGCTCCGATAAGATAAGAGCTCCCCCCTAAACAAGAACCAAACAACAACTAAACACCAAACAGTTAAAGAAGTAAATCTCCAAAAACAAACAAAACAAAAGAAAACAACCCCCCCAAAAGCTCACCGCCCACCTCCCCCGAAGAGGTTTAGTAGAACAGCTACGAAAATTCCGAAGAATTTTGCTGTTGTGCCCCCACCCTGAGTCGAACTTAGGAAGGGAAGCAAGCGGGCACGCTCGGTGCGGCCCGCACCCCCCCAAATGCGCCCTCCGGGGGGTTGCGCATTTGTCGGATGGGGGGGCTGTTGGGAGTGGGTAGTGGAAGGGGGGTTTATAAAGGGCTCTATAGGATTGTGAGGGGGAGGAGGGAAGGTGCGTGATATGTGCAGGATACAGGCAGCCACATCGCCTGGTACTGTACATAGGCACCGAAAGATTGTCAACTGAATCAGTCTAACTTGCCCTTCCGATGCTGGTAATCTCCAACATTGTAAATCTGTAAACTTTGTGTGTGGCCATGCCGTCGCCATAAACAAGAAACAAAACAGGAGAGAAGGTGGGAAAAAAAGAGTACGACAAAATACGACTACACCGCCATGCTACCCATCCCCCCCCTACTTCTGGGTTACTCCACTGCTAGTTCTCCCACCCGCTTTATATGTTCAACTTAAACAAACGAACAAACAAACCAACATACGCACCCCTTACTTAGTGTCAAAACTATACTGCAACCACCCACCGAGGGCGCGCAAGCTTTCCCAACGCACATTCTCATCCGCCTCAGCCATAAGCTCCATAACTCTCGTCTTAAGCCCCAACCGCTCGAGCTGGCTCCTCTTCTCCGGCACCTCGCGAACCAAAAACCCAATATCATTGCACGCAATAGCAAGCACGGCCTTATCATTATCCCACGGCTTCTTCATGATCTCCGCCAGCCGACGCACTAGCGCGCCATTCTCATGATCCAGAATCTTGCGCGCGTTCTCAGCCCAGAACACGGTATTGCGGTGCGGCGGCGACCAGCGCAGGTGGCCCGAGTTGAGCTCACCGACGTACTCGTCAAAGGTGGTCTTGGTCTTGGTGTACTCGTCGAGCAGCTCGCGCAGCTGGTCGGCGTCCTCGCGCAGGTCCGGGTCGGCGAACTGGCGGGATTTGAGGTTTTGCAGGAGGGCGGGGAGGCGGGCGAGCACGGCGGTTGGGAGGAGGGTGGTTTGGTTGTGGGTGAGGAGGTTGAGGAGGGTGGAGATGAGGAGGCGGGTGGTTTTTTCTTTGGGGGAGAGGCGCAGGAGTTGGGTGTAGAGGACGATGATGTCGTGTTCACTACGATGGGTTAGCATTCATTGGCATTTGTGGTCAAGTTGAGAAGAAATAAGGTAGAGGGGAACCTTACTCGTTGAGATCGTCCCCGATATCAGCAGACTCAAAGCTGAGCTGCCAGACCGCTAGGAGCACCTTGTACAGAAGCTGCAGGCCTACACCCCCTCCCAGCGAAGGTCCCAAGCTGCTTCCACCGCCGCTGGTGCTCGCATTGGCGCTGCTGCTAGCCCCAGCAGCCGATCCCGTAGCGCCACTCCACAGGGTCGCCGAGGCATCACCATTCTTGACGCCAGCGGCGGCTTGGAGGATCTCGATTAGCGGGGCGACGGTTTCGCTGCGCTGCTTCCAGAACTGCTGTCTTGACGCGCGGCCGTACAGCAGGGACGAGTACTCTTGCACGCCAATGTCCTGGCGGCCGGCGTCGGAGCTCTTGGTGAGGGTGGAGAGGTAGCTGAAGAGGACGGGGAGGGCCTTGGCGATGGTGGCGGGGGACTCGTCGCGCGAGCTGGCGAGCAGCTTGACGAGCACGGTCGAGGTCAGTAAGGGGACGGGGTCTTCCGGGTTGGACGAGTGTGCGAGCAGCGGGAGGAAGTGTCGGTACGGGTCGCCCGAGGCGATGATGGCTTTGGAGAGCGCTGGTACGTCTGTGGGTGTTTGTCGAGGGACATTGTTAGCCACTGTCCAGTAATGGATGATACGTCATACTACGTGGTTTAGGGACGAAGGGGAAAGAGAGGAGCAGGGCGTACGGTCAAGTAGATCACTCAAGAGCACAAGCACATTCTGCACCACATCCTGACGCTTCGCGGCCGACTCGAGCACGCTCTTTTTCCCGGAATCCCCTACAAACAGGGCGCGGTAGCCATCCAGGTCGGCTTCGACAGTCTGCTGGCGGGCGTCCTTCTTCGTTTTCTCGACGGCGCGGATACGGGAGAGCTGGTCGTCGGTGAGAGTGCCCGCGCGCACGGCGCCGTCCCACGGGATCAGCCGCAGCCGGATGTTGTTCTGCAACGCTGCGAGGTATGGTGGCGGGTCCAGCAGCATCGTGGTGGGTTGTCGGGTGCTGTGGTGCGGTGTGCTGCGGTGCACGAGAGGGGGGGTTGCCGGGATAGTTGTCGCTTTTTGTCGGCACAGGTATCGAGGTCCGAGATGGAGCTTCGCGATTCGGGGTTGCTTAGGTAGGTAGCTTGGATATCGGTTCCAGCGTTGGATGTTGGAGTTGGAGCTCTCGACTTGCACAGTTCCAATGAACCAACCCAATGGAGCAACCCATCAGTGGCTTGGCCGGGGAAGACGGCCAACCCCAGTTACAGTACGGAACACCCCGCACTGTGCTGTTGCGGGGCGCTGCAGCTCCTGCGAACGGCAGAGGCCGCTGTGCCTTTCACGGACGGTCTCGGCATTCGGAGAGGAGGCTCAGGACTTGACGACCTCGAGAATTTTTAGTCAGGGGACTTTGACCGTGTGCAAGGGCCACCTCGGTGTCATGCATGTTAGTTAGGTCTGTAGATAGCTTAGATTTTCTTCAACATCAATCATCAAAATGTCGTCACGGCATTGTCTTTGTGGATTACCCTCACAATCGAATCATTCAGGATTCCGAGGATGACGGTTGTCTTGGCAGTACGACAGGGATTCTCGACAAGACATTGAAAGCCACAAAACGATGCAGCCGAGAATCGTCCAGGGCCGAACGTCATTCACGACGGAGTCCTCACACAGTCACACTCGAATCGAAGACCTTACAAACCCAGGGGGGATCTTTCGGTTCCGGGGCGACACGAGTCCGCGGCCCTGCAGCATGCCAACTCAGACGGGAGACGGAAGCCCTGCAGTAAATCCGCTGCAACCACTCAGTGAGTGGCCAGCGCCGAGGCGGTCGACGCGCTCTTACTCCGAACACTGCAGAGTCGTTCTCAATGAAGAAAACCCACAGCCAGAAACAGAACGGGAAAGGGGTCCAAACCTGGAAATGAAGGGTCTTCTCGAAAGCGACCTCAAGTAAAAGAAATTCAGGGCGAAGCAGGGATTTGCTAGCGATGACAGGTTATCGTGCGCCGTACCAGGACGAGGAGGGGGGGAAATACGAGAGGTTGGGCGCGTCAAGTGTCGTCGGCTTTTTTGGAGGTGGTTGGGAACACCACACACACCAATTGCGCCCGACCACCAAAGCTTCACACCAGCTCCAGAACCAGCCTTCACAAAAAAATCCTTGGCCCAATAAATCCCGCCTTGCATGAGACCCCCCGCCCCCGTTTTCTCTTGACTTTCTCTCGCGTTGAACAATTTTATCCTGCATTTTTGAGTTTTGGCCGTTTGCCTTTTCGCAAGTGTTTGCGACAAAGACTCAACCTTTCGTTTCCGTCTTTCGCGATACCCTCACTTTCAGCGGCCAACCCCGCTCAATCGGTGAGTTGAGGAAGTCCCCGCACTGCTCCGACAGTCCGACAGCGCAACACAAACACATTCTGCCGTCCGGACAACGCCAACAGTGACGAGTGGGATTGCCGTGTTTTGACCCAAGTCGACAACCACAGCACACTGAAAGGGAAAGAAGAAAAGAAAACACCACCGCGCCAGAACTCTGAGGATCGCGGTCTTGTCTTTCATTCCCCAGCTGGGGTCAATCCCTCTCTCCCACAAACACCTTCACAACATGGCGCCCCGGCCATCCTTGCTGGGCCTCAGCACAGCAACATGGCTCTTCCTCGCGAGCTTCGCCCCTAACCCAACACTCGCCCACCCTTTCCCAAAAGACGACCTGCACGCAGCCGGCTATGGCTATCTCATGCCGCGCCAGTGCAACGAGTACTGCGGCTACAACAACATGTTCTGCTGCGACGCCGGCACCCAATGCTTCACAGCCGACGGCATCGCCGGCTGCTCGTCCACCGATGGCGGCGGCTGGGCCCGCTACACCACCACCTGGACCCTCACCCAGACCTTCACCCGAACCTACAACTCCTACGTCCCCGCCGGCACCGCCCCGCCCGGTACCGGCAACTGCGTGCCCCCCGAAGGCTCCGGCCAGATCGCCTGCGGCAACATCTGCTGCGCCAGCTGGCAGTACTGCGCCTACGAAGGCCAGTGCATGGCCAACGTCGGCGGAGGCGGTGGTGTCGGACCAGCACCCACCCAAACCCACGGCGGTGACAACGGAGGAGGAAACGGCCCCGTAACAACCGGCTACAGCGCGCCCTGGCGCGTAACCAGCGGCACGGCCACAGCCACAGGCAACCCAACCGGCACCGCCACCGACGACCCCTCACAGACCTCCGAAGGCGCCGGGGTCGGCGGCGGAACGACCAGCGGCAGCAGCGGTCTCAGCGGCGGCGCGATCGCGGGTATCGTCATCGGCACCATTGCCGGCGTGGCCTTGCTGCTGATGATCTGCGCGTGCTGTGTCGTGCGCGGGCTCTGGCATAGCTTGCTCGCGCTGCTGGGACTGAGGAAGAAGAAGGAGACGGAGACGGTTATTGAGGAGGAGCGGTACCATCGGCATGGGTCGGCGACGCATCGGGATAGTCATGGGTCGTGGTATGGTGGTGGTGGAAGGCCGAGTTCGGCAGCTGCGAGGAAGGAGAAGTCGAAGGGGGCTGGGTTGTTGGGTTTGGGCGCGGCGCTGGGGACGATTGCGTTGCTGTTGGGGTTGAGGAGGGATAAGAAGAAGAAGGAGGCGCCGTCGAGGAAGTCGAGGAGTGATATCTCGAGTAGTTACTGGTCGGATTCTTATACGGCTACTAGTCCGAGTGAGTTTTCCTCTTCACCCCCCCTACCCTATTACCTAGACTTGAAAACAAAAGCTAACAACCAATTCTCCTCCAGGCTCAAGAAGCAGCGACAGACGCACCCGGCACTCGCGCCCCAGTCGCGCCCCTAGCCGGGTCACCCGGACTACACACACCCATACCCGTGTATCGCGGTCCCGGGGCCCATCGGTCCGCTCGCAGCGGTCGCCGCGGCCATGATGGATGATGTGAAAACTCGTAAAAGGCTCACTTCATTCCTCATAGCGGGGGTTGTTTTCTTTCTAAATTTGTCACCCCTCTCACGTACATGAATTTGCCCCCTTTTTTAACACCTTTTTTGCACTTTCTTTTCAGTACATACGCCCTTTTTCTTCTTTGGTGTTAGCAGGGTATGGAAATGGAGGAAGAACCAGCTTACTTCTTCCCCCTTTTCTACTACTCCTGACATCTTATTTTTATTTCCTGGTTGGTTGAATGATTTATACCCGGCGTTTCACGGAGTTCATGGTAGACACGCAAACAAGACCGACGACGGAGCGAGTTGACGGTGGTGGGAGGGAGGAATCTTTGAATTTGTAACGGGGCTGGGGAGACTGATGATGATAAGGTTGGACGGGGGCGGGTTGAAAAGACGGAGATGAGATGAACGAATGAATCAAATCAAATGGGATGAGGACATGAAATGGGGTGGGTGGCCTGGATGAAGGGAGATGTGGAATGAATGAAACGGAATGATGGGAGGCTTTTTCACTTTTTTGTGTTTAAGTCAATTTTTGCTCTTTCGGCTGGTTGAGAGCATTTGCATTAGGGGGTTGGATGGGGGATGTGGGGACGGTGGTTGATGTGGTTCAAGATGGTACGATATGATATGGCGGGCGTTCCGTAATACGAATCATCTCAGATGCCGCGCGAATGATTGATTGATTGATTGTGCCATTGTTTCTCTTCCGGTCGGCTTGAGGGTATCGGTGGGTTTATCATAATTGTGTGTCGCCCAACTCAACTTAACTGAACCAGTCAGTCCTTGGACGAGACAGAACAGGTGATCTGCCGGTCCCATCCTCACCCTAATGGGTAGTCATATCTTGGCTCTGTGACCTGTGGCTCGTTGTCCAACACTGGTGTGGTTCAGAAGGTTCCCCATTTTGCAGTAGCGACTCTTTTTAACGCTACAAAACATGCAAATGCCGATTGACCCCTTGCCACTCCGGTTGAGACCCATAAAGCACAAAGTAAACCCCATTGGCCGTCTTGTCCACATCACTGGTCCTCCTCCACGTTGCCCTTCTCCGAGACGTAAAGACCATCCAAGAACTGTATTCGTGTTAGCGTCAAGTACTCCTACACACAAGTCCCTCCGACTGAATGCGGGGAACCGTGATGTTGCTGTCACCGTTGCTGCGGCGGCGGCGGCGGCGGTGGTAGTGGCCATTAGACGGGTTGAACGAACCTTCCGGATATCCTTGTTCCGCACCCGGCAGATCTGCTGAATGTCCGCAGCGCTCTGCGACACGGCCTCGAGGGAGTTGCCGGTCAGGACCAGCTCATCCTTCTGCGCCTTCGAGATCTCGACGTCGACACCGCTCTGCATGACGACTCTCCGGACGATCTTCTCGCCAACGAAGTTGCTGCAACACAATCCCAAGTCAGCATTTATCCCTGGTTCCGTAGTTCCAACACACCCGTTCTGACAACCCGGGTTTTCCTTCACACTCGCCCGCCACCAAGGGTTCCGCGTCTTCCCTCGCCTCCCCTCCTCTTTTCCTCCTCTTCCTCAACGCCCTCGGATTTTCTCGTCGTCTATTGGTCACGTACCGGATCTCGACCTCCCAAAGCCCGGTCTCCGAGCTCTGGTCCAGGTTGACGTTGATGGGAAAATGGGCGTAGACGTAGCGCATCTTGTACTTGAAGCCCTTGGTCACACCGATAATGAGGTTGTTGATGATGGTCCGGACGGTGCGGAGCGCGGCAACGTTCTTGCGGACGCCATGATGGATCTCGATGCCAATGAGGTTCTTCTTCGGGCTCGAGAAGCTGACCGCGATGTGGCTCAGGTCCTTGGAAAGCTTCCCGCGGGGGCCTTCGACCGAGACGAGCCTCGACTTGATCGAGACCTTGACTGTGCGGCGGGAAGACGAGTTAGTCAACATATATCGGGTGATGTTTTTTCTTCTTCAAGTCCCTATTCCCGGAGATAGCCAGCCAGCAATCCTCCCCAGAAAGATTTCCTCCGTAGGCCCAATTCGTGTTTTGCATCGCCCGCCCGGTACGGGTACTTTGTCGCGTTGTTTGTCGTCGTCGATCGGGATCGCTCCATCTCTTTTCATTCTCCTTCGGGATTGCAGCAGTGTGCTGGAATTGGCAAAGACGTACCGTTCTCCGGGACCTCGAGGGTCTCCTCACTGTGGATGTAGCGCATCTTTGCGTTTGGACCTGAACGTGAGGGATGAGGTGATGCTGCTTCGTCGTCGAGGTGGGCGAAGGGGCAGTATGCAAGCCTGGGAAAAAACGTCGATTTTGCGGCCCCGGATTAATTCGAGTTGTGCGCCGGCCGGCTCTGCAGTAATTTGTTAGGGCAGGAGGGGCCATGGGGCGCGGCGATTGGCTGGAAGGCCGGAGGCTGGAGCAAAGTGGGGCCGACCGGCCCGTGCTTTCCTTCTTCAACACCCCACCTGCAGTCCTCGGGATTGGACTTTCCAAGTTGATGCTGCCGTCTTCTCAGTTTAAACTCGTGTTGTATCACGCCTTTAAGTTCCAAAACTGGGCTTTGTCATTGGGGCATAAAATTGAAAGGTGTTTATGAAGGGTCAAAGGATGCATCCTCGAACTTATGCTGCCTTTTAAGTCACAGAATGGCTTTTCAACTCCTAGTTGGATCTGCCTCTCAAGACTGTGTGTTTAACAGTTTTGCAACTAGAGCCCGGTACGGAGTAGTTCTGCACGTCCAACTTTAGCCCATGTAGAGACGCCATAGTGCCTGACGGCGACCACATACGGCCTGGCCCGCGATCATTTGATGTTGGGTCTCTTCATGAAGTACTTATGGTGATCGCCTCAAAGCTTCCCAAGCGACATCCCCGTTCCTCCGGTCACAGGTCGATACTTTGAAGCTGAAACCAGCCTCAATGTTCATCTTTTGATAATGTGGTTAATACTACGGCACTCCTTTTCTTCCTCGCCCAAATTTTTTCTAGACGGCAGGACGATGGCCCGGATTCGACACTTCTTGGTGTTTCTGGCTTCTTGGAGTTGTCCCGCTGCAGATGACGCAGCTCCAGGGGCTCACCCCAACCTGCGCCAAGGCCCTGGCTCCACACTTGATTGCGCAGCCGCAAGCACGCCGCGGGAGCTCACGCAAGGTCCGCTGCAGCAAGTAGTCGAGAACGCAAGTGACGGGACTCAACATCCACCGACAGACGAGCCGCGTCCTTAACACCATAATACCACAACCAGCTACCTACGTGAGACACCTTAACTACGCTACCACGGGATCCCAATCCAACACATCCACCGTACAATTGACGACCTCCCGCCCACGGCGCATGTGATTTCCCCGCCACGCGCATCGCCGAAGCTTTCCACACTCGTCTGACCTCCTCAGAGACGCCCGCCGCTATGTCGTATTTCTTTGCGACCCCGGTCGATATCGACATCGTTCTCGACGATGCCGACCAACGGTCGATGGTTGACGTCAAGCTGGACAAGAACCGGCGCGAAAAGGCGCCGTTGTACATGGATGGCGAGTCGGTCAAGGGCGCCGTGACGGTGCGGCCAAAGGACGGCAAGCGGTTAGAGCACACGGGCATCAAGGTGCAGTTTATCGGCACAATAGGTACGGGCCCCGGGTCAAGATCAGGCCGCATCATGAAAAGAGAGCCGTCTGTAGCTGACACCGCTGTCTGAATGTAGAGATGTTCTTCGACCGGGGGAACCACTACGAGTTCCTCTCTCACAACCAGGAGCTTGCGGCGCCAGGCGAGCTCCAGCACCCGCAGACCTTTGACTTCAACTTCAAGAACATCGAGAAGCAGTACGAGTCCTACAACGGCATCAACGTCAAGCTGCGCTACTTTGTGCGCGTGACCGTGTCGCGCCGCATGGCCGACGTGATCCGCGAGAAGGACATCTGGGTGTACAGCTACCGCATCCCGCCCGAGATGAACAGCAGCATCAAGATGGACGTCGGCATCGAGGACTGCCTGCACATCGAGTTCGAGTACAGCAAGAGCAAGTACCACCTCAAGGACGTCATCGTCGGCCGCATCTACTTCTTGCTCGTGCGCCTGAAGATCAAGCATATGGAGCTTAGTATCATCCGCCGTGAGACGACGGGCGCCGCACCAAATCAGTACAATGAGAGCGAGACCCTGGTGCGGTTTGAGGTAGGTTCCCATTCTCTCAAATCTACCTTTGTACCCGGAACTCAACTCAGGGGGAACTAACATTTATTCTCCAGATCATGGACGGCTCACCATCAAGAGGAGAGACCATCCCCATCCGTCTGTTCCTCGGCGGGTTCGACCTGACGCCGACCTTCCGGGACGTCAACAAGAAATTCTCCACCCGATACTACCTCAGTCTAGTTCTGATTGATGAAGGTACCTGACCCTTGCCCATTACCCTCTTCCACTCCCTAGCGCTTCATGACTAACAAACCCGCCCTTCAATTGTAGACGCGAGGAGGTATTTCAAACAATCAGAAATCATCCTATACCGCCAGGCACCCGAGTTGGCCAACGGACAAGGAGAGACGGCGTTGCCGGCGCCGCCACCGGAAAACAAACAAATAATGGCCACCCCGCCGCCAGCGTAAATTTTCGGTTTCGAGGTTCACTTCCCTTCAGCGACCGGCGGAGTAGATGTTGGCGTTGGTGTTGTTGGTGTAGGGGGAGCAAGTGGGTGAAGTTAGAGAGTGAGAGCAATTGAGGTGTTGTGTAAAGGACCCTGGTTCGAAAGATGGACTGTGTGGCTTGTGGGAGTCATAAACGAGCGAGCAAGCGGAAGGCGAAGGCGGTTGTTGTGTGTTGTTGTATTTAATCTCAGCAAGCATGGGTATGGCGTTGGTTTTAATCAAAGCATTTCAGGGGGACATTTGCCTCCTCGTTGATTTGTTTCCTTTGGCGTGAAAACACCTACTATGGTAGAGTGTTGTTCACGTTTCGGTACCGTTTGGTTACTCCCAGGAGCTTCTTGTCATGTTGTCTACACAGTGTGACAGTGCCAACCCTAGACTACACTACAAGTTAACCTTATACAGGGCCTAAGCAACTTTGACTGCAAAGATCCTGCGGACAAATTGTACATAACTGGTTTCCTCAGCTCGAATCAACGAGCCAGACGTCAAGTTCTGTGAAAAGGTATCATCCCATTTTGAGGACGCTAAAACAACAAAACCCATACCATACGCCTAGATAGATAGACCATTACAGCAGTACAACCCGTTCATGTCCCTCCTACCTATCCCGTTTACTTTCACGTCAATTCCCTTCCCTCTTTCCTTCGTCCCTCTTTCTCATCATACCCCTCTATCTTGCACTTTTCCCCGCCTCACGCCAAATCCATCAAATCGTCCTCAGCAGTAAACCCAAATTGATTATTCTGAATCGCCACAATCCGATCCAGCTCCTGCTGGTACTGCTTCCGCAGATCCGCCAGCATCAGGAACCGTCGCGGCGGTAAGTCCTTGGTTTGGGCTGTCGAGGCAAACCGCTTCATCTTATCTAGCAGCGCCGCGTCGTCACCGTTCGCCGAGCCGCTGCTGTCCTTCATTTCCTCATCGCCGTCATCGTCGGCGTCGTCACGGCTGCGCTTCTTGTCTGCGGTAGAAGAGGCGGTAGGGTCGACATCGAGTTTCTTGGCGAGTTCGTCGATTTGCGCCTCGAGATCGTCGTCGTGCTGCTGGTGGGTGATGGTCGTGTTGTCTGGGTAGTGTTCATCGCCGGGGAGGAGGTCTTCGAGAATGTATGCCTCCTGCGGCGGGACACAGCTCAGCGCGTTGATCAGAAGCAGGTACTGTCTGGTCACCTGCGTGTCCAGGGCGTCGTCCGCACCCGCATTCGCACCGTTGCCAACCTTGTCACCTTCCCCAGCGCGCCGCAGTTTCTGTAGGCGGTCGAGCAGGACGGCGGCCCCGCCGCGATAGTCGTTGTGGCTGATACGCCAGGCATACAGGATCTGGTGGTACGGCACGCCGGCGAGGACGTCGCGGGTGGTGCGGCACTTGTTGACGAGGATGTCGTCGACCTTGGTCTGCAGGCCCGCGAAGGGCAGCGCGATCAGCTCGGCACTCTGGCCGGCTGCGCACATTTTCTCGACGAGGCGACGCAGGTAGGACCGTTGTAGTGCCTCGTCGCCCATGGAGAGCAAGGCGGTGTGGGCCACTTCAAAGTGTGAGATGGCCGTCGCTGCGCTGAAGAGTCGGCTGAGCATTTCAGTCTTGGTGGTGCCCGAGGACTCGAAGCTGCTGCTGTTGTTGTTGCCCTGGTGGACAAACTGGAGGGCGAGCCGGGCGAACTCCATGACGTACGAGTACGCTTTTTGTCGGTCGTACAGGCTGACGATGTGGGCGTAGTAGTTTGGAAGTCCGCTGTTAAGGAGGTTCCATTCTGTGTCGTCGAGAAGGCCAGCGCTGTGCCGTTCGATGTGCTTGAGGGATATGCTTAGGCCGATCGCGGCCTTCCGGAAGTAATACGACGCTGTGTCGTGGTCGCGGAGCGCAAGGAACACACGGCCTTGCACGTAGGTAGAGAAGGCATCTTGGTCGGCGAAGCGGTGCAGTTCCAGCGCCAGATCGGCCCGGTCTTGCCTCAGAAGCGAGCATTGGAGAAGCCAAGTGTAGATCACGGTCGTGCTGCTGGGGGCGCAGAGATCCAGCACCAGATCCGTGATACTAGACGACAAAGGTGTGTTGAGTCTCTCTGGAAGACCAAAGAGATGCCCCAACAGCCCTTCGAGGGCCGTCTTGGTATTGCTCTCATCCTGGCTGCGCTTGGCCAAAGCAGGTGACGAGCCAGAGCTGCCCGACTTTGGTGGTGCAAAGCTCAGTTCCGTCTTAGCCATCCACCGTAAGTGCTCGAGCCTCCGGAGAGAATCAATTAAACGGCGATACACAGTACCGACTTCAAACCGCGAGTGCAACGGCGAAGCGTCCTCGCCGTCGAGGTCAAACTCCATGTGCACCAGGAGGATTAACTGGCTGAACAGAATCTGCCAGTGAAGCTCGATGGTCTCCTGAACAGCTCGAACCACCACCTTGCGCCCAAACCCTGTGAATGGTTCTCGCAGCTCCTGGGAGTTCGCCTCGCTCGTTACGGTAATGAGATCAAACAAGTCCTCGTATAGTCTGGCCGTCACCATCTGGTAGTTCTGGCCGAGGGTGTCAAAAACTTGGGTACAGTCCTCGTCCGTAACAGAGGGCCAAAACCCGGCCCGATCCAAGAAAAGCTGCATCCGTTCCGTGTCTGAGTGGCCCGAACCTTCATACAATTCGGCCCTCAAGGCAGCTCGACTCAACTGATGCATGCTATCGGAGAAGCCGTCAACAAAGGTGAGACCGGCAGACACCAGCGCGGCAACATCCTCGTTCTTCTTTTCCGGGGACGACAGGTTGTGATACACCCGGTCTAGATCACTGCATTGTCGTATCGCAGCAACCAGGTCGGCGCAAGTGACCCAGACCATGCGGTCCTGGGGATCGAACACCAGTGAGAGTGCCTCGCCCCGCTGCTTGTCAAGCTCAAGCAGAAGGCGCCAGAAGCGCATCCACTGAGTTTCGCTGGTATTCCGGAATTGGTCGTAGTCCGCCGTCCCCGTCGATGTCTTCTCCAGCGACGTCGTGGATCCCAGGACGGAACAGATCGACTCTGCGATGCTCCGGCCAGCTTTCGAGGACGTCTCTTTGTATGTGCCCAGCCCTTTTTCATACATCGCCAACGCTGTTTCCAGTGTTGACTTCGAGAAGCGGCCGGGGAAGAAGATCAGATCAAGCCACTTCTCCGTCGAGTCAGTTGGGTCCCAGGGGCCTGATGCCCGTACCGCTGGGATGTTGGTGTCGATGTGCACCGCCTTCCAGCCATCGTCAAACGGCGCCGTCGCACTTTGTGGCTGTACTAGCAGCCTATGCACACGGTAGCTCGTGTTGTTCTTCCACATCGTCCACAATTCGGGGCCGTCCGCCAGTTGCGTCAGAGTAAAATCGGCGAGGGTCCACACGTCTAGCGAGGATGGGCTTGGAGGGTTCAGGTGTGCCTCCGGGAAGCAGTCCGCAACGTGTACTGAGCCCTGGTCGTTAGCCTTGACCTTCCAGAACTTGAACTCGCCAGCTCCCACGGGGGAATATGTCGCCACCAGGCACTGGCCACGGCCGTTTTCCAGAATCCGAATTAGGTTGCTCTGTGAAGGGTCGACGGTCCATTTCCCGATGTCCTGGGGGTCGCGCCTTGTGTCCAAGATGTCGCCCGTATACAGGATCTGACCTGTTCGCACATCCCATACCCTCATCCGATGGTCGAGGCAGATGGTGAACAGAAAGGCCGTTTCTGAGTGACCCATCGATGTAACCGCTGTCGAAGCCGCTGCCGTCATCTCCATGTTGATTTTCTCGTATCGAATCGTGGGATTGCGCTGGAAGGGGACCAGTCCTCGAAGACTCTGGCCCCATCCGGCAACATTGTAAATCGTTTCTTTCCACGGCCCGTTCGCTGGAAAAACAAATCGATAAAAATTAGTACAACGCCACGGAATCGCTAGGCTCAGCCATCATCACTCACACTCAATACCCTTACTCCTCTCAAACTTCAAGATACCGCCATCATGCATGGTAATGATCAGCTGGTCCGGGCCGACAACAGCCAGTCTGTGCGGGTGCTTAAACCCAAACCCCGGCGGCGAGTACGATTTGCAAGCATCACCTAGCCCGCTCTCCGTAGCGGCTCTTTTCCGAAAATGATCAGGCCGCAAAACCAGCGACCAGAGCTGGTTGGCGTGGTCCACAACGTAGACACACAGCGCGTCACTGTCTTCGTAGTCCACAAACCCAACACACGATGGCCGGATGGCGGCCGGAAACCGCAGGTTCAGGATGAGCGGCGCATCGGATTCCTTCTCCTGTTTCCAAACATCGGCGACGCGCAGACTGAGAGTGTTGCCGTTGTCCAAGACCCGCCAGATGAACCCCCGCGGGGAGTGGTGGTGTTTCCGATAGTAGATCGAGGATGCCGTCGCTAGGCTCTTCGACCGGTACCCCCTCTCGTCGTCGGCCGAGCTGCCGCTCCGAGTTGTGCTCGACCGTCCATAAGCGCTTTGAGGTGCGACGCGGATTTGGATGGTCGTCGATTGTGAGGTGGGTTCTAAATTAAGTCGCGTCTCCTTGTAGAGTATCTCGAACTCTCTTGAGGCCATCTTTTCCCCGTGAATCGGCCAGGCGTGGCAATTGGCGGGGTTGGCGGGTGTTGTTGTCGCGGTCTGTTGTAATAAAATCGGGGACGCGGTTAAGAGCTTCAGATGCAGGGCAGAATTCTGGCCGCCTTTGCAGAAGCAGCTTGGCGGCTACAGCGGGGAGCTTGGATGTTGCATCCCTGTAGAACGCAACCGGGATTACTGCACAGACCACCTGAATCGTCCACTTGTTCAAGTCCAGTCCAAGTCAAGACTCTCTTATTGTTCGACTCAGTCACGCGACAAAATGTACGGCGGTGAAAAAGCTATATTTTTGGTAGTTTTAAGGTCGAACACCCTATAAAAAGCCCCAAAAAATGCCAGGTAAATTTGAGTGTCAAAGCCAGCCACGCCCAGAAAACGCCGAGCCATCATGCATTCCTCCCATAACCCAGCAAAACAGCAAATTATCAAGTCCCACAAGAACTCCTTCGCTGCCTTCCATCCCTTCTTGTTCATCTATCACGCCTCATGAGATTCGTGTCTACTTCATGGTCCAAGCCCACAGTACCCATTCGTTTTCTCCCCACAATTAGCTTCATCCCGGTTACTCCTTCTCCAAATCCTTCGGCGCCGGGTCACCGATACCATCCTCGTTGATGGCAAACATCGCATCTCCTTCTGGCAAGCAGGGGCTGTCGTAAATCTTGGCAATTCTAGTTTCGCCCCGGCCCTTCTTCAAGCTGATTCTTGTTGTGCTAGAATGGGCCATGATATTTCCTCCGATGGGTTTCTTCGGATCCGGGTTGAACATGGCAGACGGACCACCATCAACCTGTGCCACCACTTGGTTGGTGATAACCACGGCGATGCCAAACTCGTCGGCAAGGCGCTGAAGGGTACGGAGGAATTTGGCGAGGTGGTTTTGGCGTGAGTTTAGCTCACCACGGCCCAAGAAATCAGTTCGGTATAGTGCGGTAGCAGAGTCGACGACCAGCAGACTGAAACGTGTCTCGGTCATCATAGCTGCAGCCTGGTTCAATAGCTGCAGTTGATGGTCCGAGTTGTAGGCCCGCGCATAGGCAACGTTGTCGAGGACTTCTTCGCCTGAGAGACCATAGCGATTGGCCACGGCCAGAAGACGGACCGGGCGGAATGTCCCTTCGGTGTCGATATACAGGCACTTTCCCTCGCCACCACCCATATCGAAGGGAAGCTGGCATGTTACTGCGAGTGTATGGCAAATTTGAGACTTTCCCGTTCGGAACTCGCCGAAGAGCTCTGTCACACTCCCCGTCTCAATGCCACCGGCGAGCAGAGTGTCGAGCTGCTTGGAGCCCGTAGTGATGGAAATGAGCTCACTGCGGCGAAGGTGCATCTCGGTCGCGGTGGTAAATCCCATGGGGACGAGCTTGGAGGCTTCGCCAAGGAGCTTGGCGGCTTTGTTGCCGGAGATACCTTTGATCTGCTCAAGCACACGCTGTGGCGTGTAGGCGACTGCTTCGACTGTGTTGAAGCCACCCTCGACAACGGCTTGGATATCACGTTTCGTCAATCCAGCAACCCCCTATACACAGAAGTTGAGGTTAACAATCTCGCAATTCACGTTGACCGCGATGCATGCAAAGAAACGAAGACGTACCTCTAACGCTGAGAGAGGGGTCGGCGCACCGGGGCCGGTCTGGCCCATATCCTCGGCATTGGCCGACTCATCATATTCCTCGGTTCCAGACATCGTCAGGTCAAAATGAAGGGCTACAGGGTTCCAATGCGGGTGTGTTTTGGTTGAGTCGGGACAACAAAGCGAAACGTGAAATTTGGAGAAATCGGGAGAAATGTTTCGGAGAAATCGCGGCTAGGTTGTTGACGAAGGCATGAACGCCAGGCATCAACGCGTTTTGTGGGTCTGAACAGCAACGCCAGATCCCGTGACCACCTTGAAAGTTAACAAATCTGTCGGCCGGCTAACGCACCCACTATTCTTGTCCGCCATAAAGTCCACATTGATACGCCTCACTAACTCTTTTTTCAAAAACGCAACAATTATTGGTCAAGATGCTTTTTTCATTTCCCCAAGTGGTGCTTCGTACTACTGCCCACAACGAGAGTAAGTATGGAATTATAGATCGGTCTAAATCAGCATGCAACGGGGTTCCGAGCATTGCCCTTCTTTTAACGCCATTTCCCAACGCAAAATAACAAAGACCCGCCGCCATCATAAATGCAAGTCCAACAAATCCTCCCACAAACCGCCCGCCGCCTCACACAAGATGACCATCCACAACTTTTACCTTCATCTCGAAGTCGACGACCCACCGGACCCCCGGCTCCGACTCCCCCCAATAACGCCCGGAGGCAGCACCAAGTCATACCCACTCTCACTCGCGACCACCCTCCGCGAACTGCCATTCCTCCCAGCCGCGCCGTAGTGCAACTCACCAGGCCCAAACGTCGGTTCGGGCGTTGCCATCTCCTGACGAGGTGGATCCGCGGCTGAGCCATGACCCTGCTGCAGCTGATGATGCAGGCTATACAACACTTCCCCACCACCACCACCGCCCACCGACGAAAGCATCGAAAAGCCGCTAGGTGTGCGCGCCGGTGTCCCGAAAGGATCCCGGCCGCCGCTGGCGCTCCGCGCCCCAGCCATGTGGTAGTGGGGCTTGGCCGCGCTGTTTGACGAGGTGTAGCTGCGCTGGTGCGAATCGATCGAGTCGGCGGTGGACGAGGCGGCCGAATTGCGACCGCTGGCGCGGTGTGGGTAGTGGAATCGGAAGGAGGTTGGAGCGGAGGTTGAGGCGGGGGGTGTGGATGCGGCGGTGGTTGTGGTCGCGGCTGGGATGTAGCCGTCATAGTGGCGGTTCATTGGCGATGGTGATTGGCCTTCGAGCCGCCGTAGGGTGTCCTCGTTGAGGTTGCCCGTGGTGCGGGAAGGTTGTCGTTTTGATCTGCCCCCGTGGGCGGACTGGGAGGATGCCGCTTGAGGGCCGGGCAAGGCGGAGTTGTTGCTTGCGATGGACTCGGTGTCGGCGGGTTTGAGGAAGCCGGAAGCGTTCGACGGGTTCAGCCTGGAGCCCGGACCTTTTGTCTTGACGCGGACGGATCGGTCATCCTCGGAGTAGTCGACCCCCTTCCCCCTCGAATCCGAGTCGTGGCCTCCGGTCAAGGTAGCGGAGGACGCCAATTTTTCCCCTAGCTCGGTCGGCACCGCGGTCCAGATGCCGTCGACCTCGACACCGCTCTGGAGAGCCCGAATACCGAACGGGACCGTATTCGCTCGCTTCATGGGAAGCCCGGTCTTGCGCATCTCCTCGACCCGCGCCCGCTTTTCCTCGTCCAATATCTCCTTTTTCTTCATCAGACGGTTATTCCACCATAACTTGAACAGCCCTGCGCAAAACACTGACACAATCCCCATGGCCAGGACCTAGAAAGGTAGGTGGGTTAGCCCATCGTTTCCGGACATGAAGTTCTCACAAAGGGAAACCTGGTGGTGGCTCACAAAGGTCATCTCCTGCCATAAATCCCATGATGTAAAGAAGGTCCCAGGCATTTTGTCGGATTTTCTTTTTTATGGGCTTGTTGGTTCCCCTCTCCCTTCCTGGGCCAAACACGGTCGAGGTTTCAGTTTCGGCCGTCGTCAGCGTTGCCGTCTTGGCCCTATATGCGAGCCCAGTTCCAACGTCTACTTCAAGCAGACTTTTTCTTTAGCAGTAAAAAATGCTGTTTTGTTTGACACCAGTTGCTATTAATCCGTTTTCCCGGCAGATACGAGGGCGTGTGTAACGAGTGACAGCACTTTCGCCGTGGTAGTGGTTGTTGGTAGTGCTTCCCGAACGAAACCCGGCTCGTTTACTTCTTCAGCTTGGGCCCGGCCCGGCTAGCTGCAGTAACGCAATGTTGGTGATTTCAGGCGAAGGCTGAGGGGCACATTCCGAACTATTTCTGTCTGTGAGACAACGGGAGGTGGGCGGCGAGCGAATGCGGTGTATTGGTGTATTGGAGGGGAAGAACACGAGATCAAGTAGCTCTTCCCAGGACCGTGGTTGCCGTCTGCTTGTCGTGGTCTTGGTATGACAAAAACGGTTGAAGGAAACGAGTGGACGAGGGTGTTGTCGTTATTTTGTGACACTTTCCAGAGTAGGTCGAAAGCAGCAGAGGATAAATCAGGCACAAGAAGAAAAGCCAACAACCTTGCGACCCGGGAAACCGGCGGTCGGAACAAAGAAGCACCTCCCGGCAGCAGGGTTCCTGTTGGCTTTTTGTGCAAAAATATCAAGGCGTCTATTGCGCAAGCAAGCAAGCGGGCGGACGGACGGGTGGACGGCTCCCGGCATCGACAGACGCCGGGCAGGGCGAGGCCAACAGACAAGACCAAGACCAGGGGCCCGCGGACAACAAATCGCAACTTTCGCTCCCCCACACACAACCACCTAGACCTCCTCCCAAGGTACGAAGTACACGTACTATGTACATTCGCTCGCAAGGGTATGGGGGACAACAGAAACCACCGTCGTCTTGCGACTTGCAGTAGTGCCGCCGCACCCACCACCCCTGCTTCGACGAGCCGTCCGTCAAGCGCAGTTGCATCTGGAACGGGCCCCTCTCTCTGTGCCTCTCATTCAACCCCCCGGCGGAATCTGCGCTACGACGTCCGTGGCGGGCTGGATGGGACGACAAAGTAGTATTTCAACCTCTTTGACGGCAGAGGAGCCGGACAGAAGCGACCGGACAAACAAACCCCCCCAGTTTCTGCGCGGGCCGATCAAGGAAGGTGAATAAAAAAGCTCTCTCCATCCAGCATGTTTCTCATCCAGATGACCACCTCCAACAAGACGGCGAACCCCCCCACCAGAAAACACAATCCAGTTAATGGCGGCGTGCCTTGCAGCGGGATCGCAGGCTAAATCCAATTCGCACACCCCGATGACGAATAATCCAACTGCACCAAGAGACTCTCCGTAGAAGATCTCCCGCGCGTTTGCAAAAACGCCTACCACTCCCCCGTCTTTTTTTGTCTTCAGCTGTTTTGTTTCTTTATTCCCTTGACCAGTTCAAGGGGGTTGGGTGACGAACAACGACAGCCAAGCGCGCGGCATCCAAGGTCTCCAACTCGGCCAAGCCGCAGGGGGGCCTGGAACGTCTGCGCTGGCTACCCTGTGGGCGGCACCAGCAGCTTTTTTCAGCTCATGCAAAATAGGTGTGGTGGCGCGCGGAAGCAAAGCAACCCAAAAGGCGGGCAAACTCCTGAGGAGACGAGGTCGAGCGGGCTTCTCGGCCTTTGATCTCTTTTTTTTACGCCTCTTCTCTGCGCAGAGGCGCCAATAGCGAAAGGGAGGAGACACGGTCTCGTGAAAGCTGCTTCGCTCCCGCAAACCGGTTGAGCACATTTATTCAGGTTGTTCGCAGCCCAATTCATCCATATTGCCCACGCCGTCCAAAAAGCTTCGAGGCCCGCTGCCGGTTGCCGGGGCCCGCTAGCGTCGGCATATTCAGCCGGCTCCTACCACTGTGATGGAGACTGACCGTCTGGTGGTACGCGGTCATGGCCGTCTTCTGGAAAAGCCGCCGCTGTGCTTCACTGGGCTGAAAAGCTTGGAATGGCCGTAAATGGTCCTTTTGGGCCCGCCAAACAAGCCAAGATCGACGCGCCGCGTGCTTCCAACCCAGCGGAGATCGTGAAGATGCTTGGACGACAGGACTTCTTTTCGATGCCAAGACCACACCTCGAGGACAGGGCTCCGTCTCAGATGTAACCCCGGCACCGCTTTCGCTTTTGCTTGGGCCTTCCGCCGCGGCATGTCCGCCTGCACTAACATTGCTAGGACGAGTTGGGAAGATCACGAAAAGCGACGACGAAAAGGCGAGGCAACGTGCTGAAACTGGAGGACATCCGAGCTCGAAACTTCGCCAAGGGGAATTCTCCTCGTTTCTTTCACTGTGTGACATAAGGTTCGAATGATCAAGACAACCGTTCGACGACAATCTTCACCCTCATGAGCGCTGTACTGAGACGACTACTCCGTATTCATGTCTCTATTCGGCAACTGGAGGCGCTACCGTAACCCTAAGTTACTGACGGATTCACCCCGGGAGCCCAGCGATCTTCCTCTCATCAACCCTCTTAGCGTCTAAGCCGAATGGCTTCGTTGGTTTCCTCCAGGAACTCATCATCGGACTTCTAAACGACTTAGGGACGAGCAAATGGACAAGGCTCTCAACTCATGGGTTGACCGACAACTTCAAATCTAGAGTCCACTTCAGTACACCTCTGCCGCAGCCATGGGTCACGGGCGTATGGCATATGCATATCTTGCAAAACTCAAGTAGAACGGGTTCTCGAGAAGTAATGTCATTTTCTTCTCAGCTAAGCTTAACTGTGACTGCTGCTGCTGCTATGATAATAGCGCTCACCGTTGTAGACATGGCTACTGCCACTACACCTCATGGCGGGGGACTACCCTTTGCACTACCCTCCACAACATCCTCCTCCCCATTCTCTTCCTCATCATCGCTTGTGACATTCGAATGACTCCCTTCCGCATCCGCGATCTGCTGGGCCTTTCTCTCGTCTTGTCTCTCGGCCCTCTGCTTCTCACCTTCTTCAAGCGCCTCGTTCACCTTATCCATAAACTCTTTGTCATTCTTCATCCGAGAAACCTCGCGAAAGGTGAACGAGCAGACGAATGCTGGAACTTCGGCCTCGGGTCCCCCAACGTCCTTGAACCTGTGTTCCCGATGCTTATGTTCGCCCCCGCCATACACCTCAAACACCTCCTTGTCGAGGTCCACAACATATACCCACTCGCAAAACAGCGTTGAGTTGGCGAACTCGAGGTCAAGATAGATGGGAAGCTTGGTTGACTCCGTCTCTGCGTCCTTGTCACCGTCTCCCACAAACGGCCCTTCCTTGTCGCTATCGCCGTCGGTGCGGCCAGCGTTGGCAACAAGACGCAGGATCCCGGCCCCGGTCGTTCGCGAGAGGGTAGAATATAGTTGCTGGCTGCCAGACGTCCATGGATCGTACTCTGGATTATTTTGCCGCTGGTCACGGTCCCAGGCCTGAATTTCCCTGTTGATGGCGTCCAATTGGTCATCCGTCACCTCGTATATATGGTTTTGGAGGCCAGCCTTGAGGTGGTCGATGTCGGGGCCGTATGTCAGAAATTTGAAGACTTTCAGGCCTTCGCCTTCCGGGTAGCCATCGAATTGTGTATATTGAGCGATGTACCACTTCCCTTTCCAGAAAACGCTGCATCTCGTCAGTCGATGCCCTCTGGTCATTTATTGCATCTATGAGCCCAGAAGGATCGAAACAGGATAAAACAGCACACCAACGAGCAGGGCAAAAGACATCCAGACTTAATTAACTCACCAAATCAGACTCCGGGTGCCCATTGTGACAGGATATGGGTGAAATTAAGTGTCGTTCTCGATGAGCAGTCGTTACCTGTTCAAGGATGCGTGTAAGGCGAAAGCTGGAGTAAACCGAATTTGGGTCCAACTGAGATGCTTCCTTTCCTCGAGTGCCGAAAGAATGAAGAGAAAATTTGACCTTGAGAACGAAAGTTGAGGAGAGAGGAATTTCCACACAGCCGCTTCTGCCCTTTAAACATAATGGGCGTCAAACATAGGCGGCCTCGGCGGGGTCTTGTATGTACGGTATAAATAATGTCAGGCAGGGACGATCAAAAGGAGGAACCCCACCCATCAATCTTTGTAAATCACCAACAACAAACCCCGCATATCTGCCTAGAATCAACCACGCTCAGACGTATAGAACCAATTCACTGGGACAAAGACGCTGGAGATTGTTAACTGTAGTTTCCCGAGGAACATGTCCTGGCAATGTCGCACTGTTAGGCTGATGCTGTCTTTTTGCCTTAGCTGGCCAGCCACTTACAACAACCTAGAGAGAGGATTTGAGGTATCTATCTCCTTGGTATGGATTCGTTTCCCCAGCCTGCTGTAAGGAGACACGATTTAAGAAATAGAATAGGTCTAGAATTATTGGTAGAGACTTTTCCTCGTCCTTTCTTTCCCAGTCTTACGGTAGATGTTATCCGCACCCCTTAGGTCTTCTTCCAAACGGGCGTTAAGTGACCCTGAGTGCTACGATTTCGAAATCACTCTTATGATGCATGCAAACGGATAGCAGAATCTGGCCCTTGATAAAAACTCACAACATAGGTTCCCAGCTCTGCAGTCCAGCCGGGTTATTCTGTGCGTCCTGTAGCAGTCTAATATCACGGACTTCCAACGACATCACACTTACGGCCCCTACGGGTACCTAACCCCCAATTCGGAGAATCTAACCGCTTTGAACACCGAGATTGCGGGGTCAAATAACGTGAACTATAACTTTGTCATAACGTATATATGGAGCGTCCTTAAGGGAGTAAGTAGTCACAACGCTAAGAGGCTGGCCGGGAAGGACAAGGAATGGGCCACTAAAAGGCACCGCTTGCCCTCCATTGCCAAACCACTAGACTACGCTGCTCCCTTTCCTCTCCTCTGTTCTTCGCTGACAGGTCCTGCCAACACGGACTAGCCGTCTAGTGGTAAACCATAAAACCAAATTCCCAATCCAGGCCAATTCCCCAACCAGGTAACCAACCGAGTAAACCGAACCGAGAGTCCAAGTAGCCGAGTAACCAACCAACCGTAACCGCAGGAAACGAAGCAAGCAGTATGAACGCCATTGCTCGACAATCCTGAGCAAAGTCGAGATAAAAAAGGAAATAATCCTTGAAGCCCTAAAAATGAAAGTAGGTTAAACATCTGCTCTCCCGTTTGTCTCTCCAAATCTGCCAAAAGAGTTAAAAGCTCCCCAGAAGCCTAGTAATGTTCCGAACCGTGAATGCAGGGAAATCCAAACCCGTCCTCAGGGCGAGGCAATAGGTAAGGAAACCGTCGTTAAATCCCCGTAGTTGAAACCTAACAATTTGAACCGTTGTGTCGGGCCATAGCGTTTTTCCGTAGCGCATAAAAGATGAATTGTGTCGTGAAATGTCGGATGCCGTCGTCCAAAATGATTTCCCCCAGAGCTAAAGTGTGACAATATTTCGCTGATGCCGCTGAGAAGAGAAGTCCCGTGATACCCCCTCTTCATCTTAGAGTGGCTGTACACCCGAGTGTTGAAGGACGGCCGTTATATACCACAAAATAAGGTGCTGGATCAGTGGTTCGGTACCGCAAAATATAATGAGAAGGAATGTAAAAGTATAAGAAGTTGGGGGTTACGGCGTCGAGGGGAACTTGAAGAAGCTCGAGGAAAAGAATAATGAGAAGAAAAATAGAAGAAAATGTGTTACAAGGAGAAGCCCAGTGGGCTTACGAAAACGTCGGTCCGGTAACTACCGAATGTCGAGCTGGAACGGCTTGAAACGGCCTCCTATGGTCGCGCATCGCGGGCATTTTCTGCGCGCACCTTGCTCGCCCATAAGTACGTCGACACAGGCCTGGCAGAGCCCGGAGATGCACTCGGTACAGGCGTATGATTCCCGTAGCAGCGATATACCCTGGCACGCGGCACAATAGATCTGCGTGTTCTGAGACGAGTAGCTCGGGGACGAGTCTGAGGTCAGGCCGCGTGAGTCGATGTGAAAGGTATCCCCGCTTTCCCCGCTCTCGACCGACGGGAACGGCTCGGGGGCTTCGGGGTTGTAGGACGGAGGGGTCAGAGCCCGTTGGAGAGGGGAGGCCTGGTAGTTTGAGAAAGGATGCGGCTGTGTGAACGGCGGTAGCGACGACCTTTGGATGGACACGGGCGATTGTGGCATCTGACTCGTCAGGCGCGGGTCGAGCATCGAAGGGAACTTGAGACTCACTGGAGTTCTGTCCTCATCTATGTCTTCCGTTGCCGAGGTAGCCGCATCGATCAGGTCCTCCCAACGCTTACCGTAGTCTGCCGTGGGCTCAGCCGAAAGCGCTTTTCTATCGAGGCCACCACCAGGTCGCAGCAGGTCCGAGTTGCCGTCATTTTGTATGCGGCGTAGCCAGTCCGACGTCACCCCTTTAGACTTCTTCCTGTGATGCCCTCTTTTAGAGATGGACTGCTTACGCGGGCGACTGGGCCCTAGCGATCTATGTAGGGGCGGGAGGGTGGACGAGCGACCAGGCGGCGAATGTGTCATAATAGAAGGAAGAAGATCGCGCGGTCTGCCAGAGTCAATGCTCGGAAGCGGCGCGCTGGTGATGTCTGCAGTAGACAACTGTATGGGGGGTAGTTCCACGGACGACCGGGGCCGTCTCATCCCCTCGGTGTCAGAATGCCATTCCTGAGAACCCAATCAGCAACCATGCCTCGCTGAAGTCCAGAAAACAATAATTAGCCCTGCAGCGCCAATTCGAACTTACCACATCGGATTCCCACCCCGAGTCACTTTTGTGGTGATGCAACTGAGCAAGTGCCGCAGCGGCAGGAAACATTGCACCCCCAGAATACGACTCTTCGAACCTCCGCGGTGTGCCGGCGCCATTAGACCCGTCTCGCCGGAAGCCGTGTGACGAGGGTCCTTTGGCCTGGTGATGAGGCGGCGGGGCTGAGGTGGGTGGAGCTTGAGGTCGTTCGCTCGGCGAAGTATTGATCATGAGCAGGAAGCTTTCCTCGGTCGCGGGCAGCTTGGCAATGTAGTGCTCCGGATGAGCGCGGCGGATGTGCTCCTGCATAGAGCGGTACCGCTTTTCCTGTAAAAGGAGACGTGCTGTGTCAGTCCGTCGTCACTCGTGTGCCTGCAGGCAGGTATGTATGTACATGCTGAGGCGCTGTGCTTATCCAATTCTTGGGCTGTCGAGTCCTAAGAATTCTCGGGTGGCGACAGAGACGAAATCCGGCTGGTGGTGACTTACTCCGATGCAACGCTTGCGGCAGCTGGAGCCATCTTGATTGCGCAGTGGACAGACGACCTCGTTGTTCGCATCGGTAATGGAAAAAGACGATGTGAGCGATGACCGCGGCGGCATCTTGGTGATTCACACGGGGAAAACCCCCACCAAAGGCGACGGAAAACGAAGTCGAGGGGCTGAAGCTGCTGGCCAGGGGTCGTATAAATGGTGGTTGTGCGATAGGTTGGTCGGTTGCTTCTTTGCGTCTATCTTATCTACCGTGTATCGCTGGAAACGGGAATCGCAAAACGGAAACGTTCAAGCGAGGCGCTCAATTGATGTGTAAGTGCCCTGCGATGTTGGAGGCAATCACATTTGACCGTCGCGAGGCGTGAGCCAGGAAAATGGTCGCAATCGAGGGTGTGTGCAAGTGTAGTCATGGATGGAGAGAGCTCCAAGCTCCCTTGGAAGGTGTAACAGGGCGGTGTTTCGAAGGATAAGGAGAACAGCTGGTGGCGATGGCCCGCGGGCGAGAGCAGGAACAATCAATGGACGGAGCAGCTCGAATAGGAGAGCGGGGAGGGAAGCGGGGCCAGCAGCAGGCATGGGCCCGGGCCTGGAAGCTGCCCGGTGACTCTGCGAGTCTGCTTGTCCCGTCGGAGGCGCCGATAGGAACTTGCAACGGAGCAGTTCTCACCATCACGTCACCTCTCACCCACCATGTTACCACCCATTCAAATACATGAGCAAGTTGCAGAGATTTCAAGGATATTAGACCGATTGAATATCCAAGATGCCCGCTAGAGGACGTGAGGACTTTTTCCGTAACCTTCCCTCTGTAAATGCCAGCCTCGAAGTATCGATGATCGCATTCGGGGGCACAGTCCCGGTGCCTATAAAATCACACTGTGTCCTGACAAGGTGTGGGCAGCTCTCTTCCGCAGGCTCGGAGCTCCAGCATGCTTGCATGGCAAGCATGGGGGGCAGCTGCCCTCCGGAAAGGGGACGGATTGAGCTCGCGAGCAGCGCCGTCACAAGCACTAGGCAATGCTGGCGAGGGAACGCGGGACGGTAGCCGGTTGCACAGCCGAGGAGGCTTGCTGATGAGCTGATGAAATCACGGGCAACTCGATCACAAAAGACGAGGCGCTGGATGTCTCGTAACTTGGTCCTTTCGTGGTGGCGGATGGTCTCAAGGAGATCCGACAACTTCGACGGAGCCGAGTCCACCTCGACTTTGCCCCTGCTTGAGCGGCCACCACTGAGCTGGTCTCCTTGTTCAAGTATATCACCCGGAATCGCCCCCTCCCGCCGAGGATGCTGAGGAGGACCTTTCTCTGTGAGGGATATATCCTGGGTCGCTTTAAATTGGCCCTGAATATCGGCACCGGCTGAGCGGCCAGCTGCTTTCAATCCAGAGTGCAATTGGTTGAGCAACTCTGAGGTTGAGAAAACAGAGCTCGCGAATGGGAGAAAGTCACTCTCTTGACTCGGTGCAGGGAGCGGGAAACAGGCGACCCGGGCGACGGAGGAGTGGGGGTGCTTCATGCTGGGTCAGCCGACTCGTGCCGTGATTGGATCGACCTGAAGGTGGAGCTCGAGGAGCTGGGATCTGGAGCTTTCCCGTTTGAGCAACCGGGCAAATCTTTCCAGGTTCTTCACTCACACAAAGTACACGAGAGGTTGCCACAGTGCGCGAGAAGCTTTCTGTCCGGGCTCGAGTCTACCTCCCGTCTCTACGAACCAGCCAAGCTCAACCGATAATGAATCCCGCCGCAAAAGAATGGAGAGATAAAACTCGAAAAACAAACTAGACGCAGGTTTTGAGTTCCCGTCTTTCCCGAAATGGTCACGGTGAGTTGCAGGCTTCTGAACCATCGCATATCGTACTAAGTGGGGCTGTGAGTCGGCAGGCTTTGGCGGAATTGCGGGGCAGGGTTCGAGGGAACACCACCTGCATTGCGCCCGGTTTGCCTTTCTCGAAAGGCTTGTCCCCAGGTCTTTCACATGCGCAGCCCCCTTCTCGACCATGTGGCCAAACGAGTGTTAGCGGCTCTTACGAGGAGTGATATAGCAGGCATTCTACACTACTTGCTCAAATATCTTGGTTCAAAGAGCTATTGCCTCTGTCTGCCACAACTTTAAATGGAAATCAAGTTGAGTATGCGCTTTGTGGGAGCTGCTTCGAAGTGGATGCCAAGTCCTGCATTCAGCCCGAATAGCCTCAGCCCTACGGCCCGGGTCTCCAGAAATCCAACGGAGAGAAGTCGAGTTTCAATTAAACCATCAACCAACAAGATGCATCAGGATGCCAAATATGTCAATGCCATCATCAATATCCAAAAACGAACATGGGGACCTAGGAGCCTCCGCAATCCCAAGCCGATTATCAACCAACGTTTGATACTTAGTGGTCCGTAGTTTTACTCCTAACCGGCACACTTAAGGGACCTGCCAGACCTTCATGCCAAAAAAATACAAAATAAAAAGGAAAATAAAATGGCCAACCATGTCCATCGTTGAAACATGCCTACACTATCACCACGCCTTAGACTAGAAGTATCGTCGAGGTACGAAACACATAAAATGTGTAGATTAAGAAGATGGGAAGAAAATATGTGAATATGACCTTATCTACCCCCCCCCCCCCCGGCCGTCACCTTATCTCAGCTGGCGCAAGATCTCGGTCAAGAAGTCCTCAAAGCTCAGAGTGATGTACCCATCGCGGTCTTCATCATACCGCTTGAACACATCCGTCATGCGCTTGAGGCTGATGCACGCCTGCACAAACAAATCAAAGCTCATGACCCCTTCGCCACGCTTGTCGTAGGTGCGGAACAAGATCTCGACAAACCGCTCGCTGAGGCGGTACCGGAACGCCACAAGCGCGTTGTTGAACTCGTCTAGGCTGATGTTACCCGACCGGTCGGCGTCGAAGCGGTCGAAGAGCGAGCGCCATGAGGCCAGAAACGACCAGAGCCCGCAGAACTCCTCGAACCCGATCGTACCGCTGCGGTCACTGTCGAACATGCGTATCATCATGCGCACCGTTTGCGGGTCGAATGCTGTCCAGTCACCGTTGACGAGAGCAGCTGAGAGTTCGCGCTCGGAAAGCTGGCCGGTACCTATGTTTTTTCGATTGTGTGTCAGTAGAGCTGCCGAGTCCGCCCGCATACCTCCCAGGAACAATCTCACCATCCTTATCTACAGCTCTGAAAAGCGGCAGCAGTGTCGGATCAGCGGCGCTATCGCGCGGCGCGGGGCTCGGCGGCGGCCGCGAGTTTGTAGGGGGGAGGTTATGGTGAATCGGACGGCCAGCGCCGGCGGCAGGGGGTGGGCTCATCCCATAGCGATCTGGCGGCGGTGGCTGCCGTGGTGATAGCCGGCCTTGTGGGCGGGCACCGTAAGGGTCGCCGGAGGGCCGGTGTTCGGCCGGGCGAGGCGGAGGGGGTTTGGTTTCGTACCGTGACGACGTGGGGGCCTGCGCGGAGATGGGGGAGTTGGCGTTGCCTTTCTGGAACAGTTAAAGGCGTGGTTAGTCGGTCCGTTTTCTAAGAAATGAAATCTTTTTATGCAACAATGGGAGGAAGAGGAGTTCGCGACTCACTTGCTCGGGTTCTGCGAACCTTCAGTGACAATAAATGTTAGCCAATGGGTCCATTTAGTTATCGCGATGGCGGGGTTTCCCGGGCTTGCGCAATGGGTTTTGCGATCGTGTTTCCGACTCACCTCGGCAGCTCGTCCGGGTTGTATGGGCGGTTGTATGCCATATTGTCGGGTCTATCTTGGTGGTTTGGTGTGTTGGTTGTAAATTTTGACACGAAGCGGGCTCGCTAGTTATCTCCCGAGTGTATCAGGGTTTGATGTTGGGGGTGTCAAGGGGTGTGCAGGAGGATCTGGGGCGCTTTCTGCAAGGCAGCAAACAACAACGAGGTGGTATTTAACTACCTTAAGTCGGCAACACTGCGACAGTGATCAAACTCAGCCGCAAGTTACTTGATCGCATGCCACTTCAGGACTTTGTTGTTAGGGTCACAAGTGAAGCAACAAATTCAAAGAAATAGAAAGTAAGAACTTGGGATTATACAAAGTTGTTGTCCTCGTGTTCTGCCTTGCCGAGCCAGAGGTCTTCCCAAGCAAGGCGGGGTCCTTGTACACAGTGTGAGAAGCCTTGACTACAGTGCAGTCCTTCCCGTCGGTGACGTTGATGGATACCGGGTAGGGCAAAAATGTGACCCTTCCTTCAATCAGCCGTCGAATATGACTTCGGTATGGAGAAAGCAGCCATGAAGAATCCAAATACTGATGGAATAGTAGGCTGTGGTGCCCATATCGAACCTGTCTGTGGCGCAGACGGGCACGACAGGGCGACGGGCTGTGCCCAATGCTGGGGAGGTCAAGGGAGGTCTACTGTGCGAGACATTTTGAACCCTGCAGCCCTGCCACAGGGTCCCAAATTCCGGGGTTTTCGGGGGCTTGGTGTCGGCGTTCCGGGTTTCAGCGTCTCCTGTGGCGTTGTTCGGCGAGCAACGTGGAAGTCAACATACAACAAGAAAAACATCCATAGAAGGGAGAGGGGGGAAGAGGCATTTGGAATAGGAGAACTAAGATTGGACCTAAGGATATTCTTCCCTTACGGCAACAACCGCTCAGGGAGTATTTAGTGGAAGCATCTACGATCGAATGTGATTGTTGTTCGACGGCGCTTCGATACCAGAACCTGGAATGCCTAAGCAAAGCATGGAGCCCAGCATTCCCAGGGAATATCGGGGAGAAGACATGTCATTTTCTGACCGTCCTCAGCACTCTAGCAACAACCTATAACTTTCTTGATAGGTTCAACTAATGGACATATGACCCCAATATCCGCCCCGAGCTCTGGGCCCCAACTGCACACAGGCCCGAAGCAAAGAAGCGAGCGTGGTTGTCCGTAAGATGAGGCGATACCCGGGCCGAAGCACGCTGCCGTTGAGTCTCCACCATGCTGCCCGGTTTCCACCTAAACGATGACTTGCAGCATTCAGAGACCAACAAGCCCCGAAGTTCCCACGTGTTTTATTTGTGCGAGGTTATGTAAGACACTGAGGGTGAGAGACAAAAGACGTGATCCATTGATCCAGAAAACTTTGACTTGTCAAAGTCCGGCATCCCAAGCTTCCGACTTAATAAGGAGCGCGCTTTGTGTCATTCGCTTCGGGCCCGAGGGAACGAACATCAAACCAGCGAGCTGCCGAGTTTGGAAATCGGGGGGATTTCTAGCAGAGACTGAACCCGGCTCACATCGGGGACACGAGACTCTGGGTACGATCTAGGTATATCCACCATGGTTTATTTTCGAGAAACCTGGCTTCAATAACTCACGGATTTATTCGTTCCTCTAGGATATGTCTGGCCAAGCCCCTGACACCGATGGCGAAGCAGGCGAGTTCTGGCTCTTTGGATACGGGTAGGTAACCGGCCTCGCCCAATCTCATACGGCACACCACTAACGGGAAACCCCTTTTGCTCACAGGAGCTTGATCTGGAAGCCGCCTCCGCATTTCGGTAACTCTTCCTTCTCAGCCTTCGGGTCTCATAGCCTCACAACCTTCCGTGCCCTAGGCGAGCAAGCCCATTGGGGTAGATCATCCGGTTCAACAGGGCGGGATCTAACTAGGTTCAGATAGGCGAATTCCAGGCTGGGTGACAGGCTATGTCCGAAGATTCTGGCAGGTAAGAATATCCGCCTTGCTCTGACGTCTGGAAACTCACTTCCTTGTTTTCTTATCACACCCCTTTACCCATGCTTCATTTCCGTGTGTATCCTTGCGTCTCCCACGCGCTCTTCCCTAGCCACAGCCTGGGTTATCTCCCAGCCCCCGTGTCTCCATCCGCCTACCCCTTTTACGACTTCATACTAACATGTTCTATAGGCAAGGTATTTTCAACCTCCCATCTCATTTCCCGTCGCGAACCTCACCGAGGTTGTGTTGAACACTTTCAACTTTCCGATCCTTATCCCAAACACCCACCTTCTTAAATAAACTCCAGCAATATCTTCTCCCTCTCACCCTTCACCACGACCCTCACTAACCCTCCTCTCTTCAATTCCCCCAGCCAAGACCACCGTGGCACCCCAGAAGCCCCAGGCCGCGTCGTCACGCTGATCTCGCGCTCCTACTGGGAGCAGCTGACCGACCACCACGACTCGGCCCCCGACAAAGTCTGGGGTGTAGCCTACCGCATCAAGGCCGACCGCGTCGCCGAAGTCCGCGAGTACCTCGATATCCGGGAGATCAATGGGTACACCATCCACTACACGCCCTTCCACCCGGCGCCTCCCGCCACACACACGACTTCCACGTCCAAAACAGCCACAGATGCAGACGCGGGCGCGGACGCAGACCTAACTACACTCCCCGACTATCCCATCCGAACACTCGTCTATATCGGTACACCGGACAACGACCAATTCGTCGGCCCTCAGGATCCACAGCTGCTAGCCGAGCATATATTCCGTAGTTCCGGGCCAAGTGGCCAGAATCGGGATTATCTGCTGGGACTTGAGGCCGCGTTGGACGAGCTCAGTCCGGAGAGCGGTGATGAACACGTCACAGATCTGTCGAACCGGCTGCGGGCGGTCATAGCTCGCGAGGAGGGAGCGGAGAAAGGGGGTGATGGTGTGGGGGCCGGAGGAGAAAAGGGGGTGAGGGACGACGGAAAGGTCTTGAGTCCGTCGCTGCCTGTTGCCAGCGTTAGCGGTGGCACTACCATCAGCACAGGAGATGTGATCTCGTCATCGCCGGTGCTACAGCGGGAGCAGCAGCATCATGAGCAGCCTCACGACTTCAAAAAGGTCAGCAGCATAGATGAGCAGGAGGAGACAGAAAAGTCTTCGTAACCGAGCTTGGTAAGCGGTTGAAGCGACGCGGTTTTGAAGAAAGAAAAAGGAATGCCAGAACAACAGCGACGACACAACAACTACGAGTTTTCCCCACTCTCTCCCATCACCTTCCCTTTTTTAGCACGGTGTTATTAGCCTAGCTGCCGGTCCTCCCTTCAGTATCACGGCCCGCAGTTCACGCCGGCGGCCTTTCTGAGTCGGCTATGTCGTAAAGCCGCTAGACACCGTTGTATTCCACTGCCCAACACATAAGCCATGTTATTGTTCATATCGACAGCTGTGGAAGACAATAAACTTCGACCGAGTCAGAGAACCACCACACTCCTATCAACAGGTGTCATAACCCTAGCCCTTTAAGCCTTTCCCAGTCTCAACCCCCATTCTGATCCCCGATACGTTGCCACGGCATCCGAATTTTATCTCAATGAAGAGGCAAAGAACAAAACCGGTTGCAAAAACGACTTCAAACAACATTGGAAAAAGCGGACCGAAAATCGAAACGAGAAGGGCATGAAGTGAGAGAAAATAACAAAACATCTCGCCATTAACATCGTTTAAGCCTAGAAGGGGCAAATCCCTTCATCAATCTGCGGGCTAGGAAATGGAGCAACCCCAACCAGCAACCACCAAAAGGGGGTGTAAGGAAGGAAAAAGAGCAGAGCGCACAAGGGGTATCATGCAGCCGATCGTCATAGAGCAACAGCGTACAACGTCTGATCGTACAACATCCTCGACGCGCAATTCCAAGCGGGCTTGGTCTGGAGTGTTGTGAGAAAAGGGGGGCGCGGGTTCATGGGGCTGTCGAGAAGGTATGTGACCCTTTTTATTCTTGTGCTCGGCGCCGCCAATGTTTTTATTCGGTGGCCATTCTCGGTAGCGCCACACCTCGAGGGATAGTTGGTCGCTTAATAACCCCCCTGCGGCGAACCCGAGTTCGGCGGTTGAGGAGGCGGCGGTTGCTGTTGTTGGCCCTGCAGAGATGGATCCGGGTACCCGTAAGGGGGAGCTGCCCAACCTACTTCGTGTCAGAGCTCATTCACTAATGAAATGAGGTTCTGTTTCTTTTACGTACCTTGGGGGGGGATGGCATATCCGGCGGGTGCTTGCGGGGCATATCCCCGGCCATAGGGTTGCTGGTACACGTTTGGCTGTATTCCGTACGGCTGCTGGCTACCGTACGCGATGCCTGGGACTGGGACTGGGGCAGGCCCAGGCACGGGCATACCAGAGTACCCGCCCTGGCCGTAGCTGTTTGTAAAGCCACCCCGCCCACCACCCCTAGGACCAGTGTCCGAGGCTTTGTCTACGCGGATCTGCCGTCCATCGAACCTAGCGCAGTGTGTTAGCCCGCTTCCCCCTTTCCCATGGGGTGTCAGGTGCTTGAAAGGGACGACTAACTCGACGTTATTCATTGACGAGATGGCGTTCTGGGCGTCCTCCTCGTTGGTGTACCGCACAAATCCAAACCCCCTGCTACGGCCAGTGTCGCGGTCCTTCACTACCACCTAGCCGGATCAAGGGTGTCAGAATTCTGATGTCTGGAATGCCGAAGCGTGCCGTTCAGGCGTAGAGCCTGGGATTGAAAACGGAAAGGAGGAAGAATGAAAGCCGTGCTTGAAAGCACCACGGGTCGCAAAACATACTGCTTCGTCCACTGCCCCGAACTCCTCAAACTTCTGCCTCAGTGTCACCTCGTCCGTATGCCATGCAAGGCCTCTGGTTTGGTGTTAATGGAATCGGCCCGTGGCTAGCTGGTCAGGATTCAGACCGGAGGACGGTCCAACCCAAAAGCTTCATCTTACCCGATGAATAATTTCGACATCTCCGCGGGGATTTCTCGGTCGTCTAGGTGGTTCCTGTCAGTTTTGTGTGGTGGTCATGTGTCTGCTTCGAAGCGGCGGAAAGAGCGAAGGTAGAGGTGGTGGGTGGCAAGGCTTTGATGTTGGAAGGAATGTTGCGCGTTGCTCGTAAGGGCCTGGAAATAAGGGGTAGGCTGGCCTAGTGATCTAGTGGCAGCTTGAGCAGGAGCGATGGAAACCTAAAGAAGGGTGTGGGCATGATAGACCCCTCGATTTGAGAGGGGTGGGGAGTTTGCACTTTTCTGGCGCTTAGCAGGATGGGAAACGGGGCATGCTGTACCGTGGGACAAACCTCCTCTGGGCCGGTGACGGTTGCGGATGTCGTTAGACCAAGGATTCTGTGATTTCAGCCGGTGAGGAGGACAGGCTTCGATTAATCCACAGTGAGGTGCTCAGTGTCCCGGGCAAGCGAGGCTGGCCGGCGGAATATGACAGAGGGGAAGCCGGGTGTTAGCGCAGCTGCGTTATGTGGGAAATGGTCAAGGATTCTTTCGTCTCCCGGTCAAGCTATCTGGTTGGCTGGGGGGCGAGAGATTGGGGATGGCAGAGACACGAGCCGCCGGTGTTGATGCTACCATCTTATACCTCGCTGATGTTAGCGGGGGCTTCCTGGGAAGGAACGACACCACCTAGACGCCCTTTCCTCCGGGATCAAAGGCTAGCTAGGTACCTTGTACCTAGCCTCCACTACGACATAACAACGATGCACCTGGGGTTTCCATGTCGATGCAGAGCTGGAGGGTTTCTAAGGAGGTTTTCCAAGGAGGCTTGCCGCCCTTCCGACTGATGTTTCGAGAAGCATGACGACGTTGGCATAGCTCAGTCCAGACAAGCATCAAACATATCGCCAAAACAGCAGGCCCCAGGACAAAACCCGACAGGGGATGGCTCTTTGTGAGGACCACCAAGGGATGCAACGCTCTGCAACCCTTGCTGCCCTGCCCGTCGAGGAGAAACACTGGGAAGGTGGCAGACCAAAACCCCCCTGGCAGGTCACGGTAGCCCATTTGATGACATTAAGCCATAGGATTGGTCAACCCAAGACTTCAACTCCCAGTTGACCAGCACCTTAGAGGAGGTCGATCAGTCCCAAACCTTCCTGCAGACCAGCAACAATAGGTTAGAACATTAGGTACCTCAGGTGCGTGGCGGGGCCCACACCACAACGAGCAAGACTCCCCCGCCATCACCCTTGCAATTTGCGATCAACGAGCAAGTTAAGTTCTCCATCTTCCATTTTATGCCCAGCGTCCATCTTCGTGATCGGTGGAGAGGATCCAACTTTCAGTTCGGTATCGTTGTGGTTCACCAAAGTCCGAGGTAGAAATACCGGTCTAGCAAGGATATTTCTTCATGCCCGGAAATGCCCACAGGTACAGTACCAATTAGGAAATGTTTACCTCCCAAGGCATTGCGCTGTTTTTGCCGGTGCTGGAAAATATGGTCCCTGTTTATGCACCACTATCTGCCTCAAGTTTGATAAGTTTACTGGAATGTCCGTCCGGCTCTCAGATTCATCGGCATCGACTCCCGAAGCCTCAATCATGAGCAGAGGTGCCCTGGCGGGAACAAGGGTGGGGATCCGAAAGCCACTGTTTCCCTTGCGGCGAGGGAGTCGTGTGGGGAATCCTTGGCCATCAGGAACAGGGGTCTTGTCATTATGCTGCAGTGGTTCCGGAAACCAAGAACATCCATATGACGGGTTCTGAGGTTCGAAGAAACTCCACAACCGCCCTTGAGCTCTCGACTGAATCCGGGACGCTCCCCCAAGACGCACACGCGTCTCTTCGACGTATTAGGTCGCACCCCGGTTTTGCTGAAGGTGTCATGAGTATCGTCGGGATATCAACCAAACCACGTTTGACCGAAGGAGGAAAGTGGATATCGGCATGAAACATGCTTGGGGTTTCTCGGGAGATGCGAAACCGACGAGAAGTGATCGAATTTTCGATTGAAGCGCTGTGAAAGAAAGATGAAAAAATGACGAAACCCACGATTTCAGTGATTGTGGCCGCTTTGGAAGCCCCATCGACACCACCACAGACACGTTTGTCTATCCGGCCGAAAAGCTCGCGATTCTGGGAAATGGAACCCACGTGTCGTCTAACCGGAATACCACGTCGCATCACCAGATGATCTGAACCAAGCTTGGAGGTCGATCTCTCATGGCGACTTGAGATTTCTTACTCGGGGTACGAGTAAAAAAATACGAAGAAAAATGAGCCAAGCAACATTCCGTTCTTATCAGCCAAGCGCGCTTATGTCTCAATACCATTAAGCATATATACGTCAGCTTCGCAGTGGCCCCCCACGAGATGAAGGTTGCGTGGTTATAAAACACTAGGAGTTAAAGAGATCCAAGCCTTCACAACCGATGGAGCGACCGTGAACCTAACATGCTCTCTGGTGTGAGTATTATGCAACTCGGCGCGATTTCTTGCGGGGAGAGGGGCTGTCCCATAATCCCGTCGTCGATCACCCTATTAACCGCGCAACTTCCACCACGTTCGGGTCCAAGCCCAGTGACACCAAAGGTTGGACCTAAAACTTTCCCAGCTTCAAACAAAAGCCCCTCTTAAGGCGGGGTAATTCTTTTCACACTCAGATCCGGCAGGATCATCAAGCGCGGGAGAAATTTTCAGGAAAATGAAGCCTTGGTCGGTGTACGCCGGGTCGTGGTCGACTTGGGTTTGGCCGTCGTTGAGGCAATGCCCGCCTCCATCCTCACGATCTAGTGGCGACTGAATGGGGACATCTCAAAAAGGCGCCTCCGGAAAAGCCATCTCCCTCGTGTAGGGCAGTTGGTGCCGAGCTGTGGGCCGTCCCGACGTGGAACTGCGGAGCCAGGAGCCAGTCTGCAAGATGCCGGAAGAGGCAAAGGGCATGGTTCAACGGTCGCCATCTCGGCGATGCATCCCACTGGCTGTTTCCGATTTGATGTGCAGGCATCGGCTGCATGGATCATCAAGTCAGTGGCCTCGAGGATGCTCAATCCGCGCTCGGAAGTCGATCGGTGGCTGAATAAGCCGACGACATCATGAGTCCCCTGTGTCCTTCGTAGGTATGGGAAGGGACTGACTTACACGGCCGGGGAGGATCTTCTGAGACCCCCTGATTTGCTTGAAGACCCAAGTCCATGAGGCCTTTCGTGTATGCGTACAAAACTATGCCCATTGAACGGCGTTGTCATAACGTATCTCGAGACCTTAGAGTCGAGGAGAGCAACCATACGGCTGGTAAGACCTCGGTGTTCAAGTCTCGCTTTTGGACCCTGGGCGTTAAGTGGCAGCTGACGGGAATATAGGATCTATGAGGAACAAACGCTCACTGTCTCTGCGAAAGCTAGGTAGGTCATTCATCGGTGATTTATAAGAGTACGTAGGAAGCAACATGGCTTTGGGTACTTTGAATCGTGAATCCGATTGCCCGATATTTCGAGTGAGTATTTACGTTGACCAGTTGCGTTGTGGGAGGAACATCAAAGGCAACGTAAAGGACGACGGGCGAGACCAAGCCCTATATGAGAAATCCAATATCGCGCTAGAATAAAAGGCGCATCTGGAACTAACCTGGAAGATGTTGAATATTGAAGAATGTCTAGGCCTAGGGTGAGGTACACTTCGACGGGGTGGAACCCCTTCGGTCCCTCCTGCCTTTTTTATAACTAGGCCCCTCGGACAAACGGGTTGTGTCTTCTGTCTATGCTGCAGAGAACAACGTTCTTACCCGTTTTTGACTCTGTAAGTGGAGTTGGATAGTTCTTAATGTTCTTGTTGTGTCACATCCACCGTAGCGTTTAGGTGATTAGTACCTTGGGGAACTAGGGGAGCCACAACGACTGGTGAGGCCGGCATTTCACCATCGTACGGGGAATCATTCACTCCGAAGAGTACACAAGCCTTCGCATCGTCGCCAAGACAATGACCCGTGGGTATATCGACCACCATACCGGCAACAGGTACCACACAGCCGATGATCGAGCAGGCAGTTGCACTGCAAGGCCGCAGAGGCACCGGCATACTGAGCAGCGTATTGGAGGGGTAGAAGGCCTAGGAGAGGGGCCGGAATATCGCACCAAGGAAAAGAACGACGCCTTTGTTCAGTCGTGGCTGCAAGACACAAAGGTCCGGGATACTCATCACCGGGAGATCGAAGACGGAAGCCGGTCCATAACGCCGCGGCCGTTTCAGGTTAACCATTACGGATACAAACACAAGAAGAGGACAAAGTCTCCGCCAGAACCCCCGGTCCGATCCTTGAACGGGGCCAAAGGTTTGGACCATCGCTTCGAGAAGAGGGCGCGGCACAAAACCCGCGAGAACAAGTACGACTACCAAGTGTATGCAAAGAAGCGGGATCCATCTCATCGGGACGACGAATGTAAACCCAAAAGAACCCCTGGCAGTCATATGTTGGTGAGAGGTAAGAGATGCCCTCTAGGAAGTCGGTCGCGGGAGTTGATTGTCGCTGACGAGACAACAGCAAGCAAACAGGGACCAAAAGCAAATCGACTCACACAGAGACTAGCGCGGGCGGTCTCTGATCCCAACGCTACAAAATCAAGATTCAGCAGGAGCCAAAAGGAAGACAAAGAGCTGGAGGAATTCTCTGCATTTTTCTCCCGCAAAGTACCTCAAAGAGAAGCCTCAGCCAGAGATTTTGACTATCACGATTACGAGAGCAGCGGGCGTGCTCTCACCACCGACCATCGGTTTCAAGCTAACCGCCGCGAGCTCCGCGAGCTGTCGAATAGCCCGCGACGATCACACAGGGGCATCGCGAGCAGCGAGTATGGAGAGCTGCTCCGATATTCGAGCTCTCTGCCAGCCTTCCAGAAACTAGACCCCGGACGTTCAGGTCACTGCTACGAAGACGTCCCATCCCGGGTTAAACGTTCCCGTCTCCGACAGGATGAGGGGCGCGGCGAAAAGTATGGTACAGGGAGCTACTCCCCCATGAGAACTGGTTCGCACCGCAGTGCCTGCGAAACACTCAGCAGGATCTCCCAGAACCAAAACTGCCCATCTTTGTCAGAGTCAAGGGGACATGGGCAGCACCCTCCATCGAAGAGACCGAGAAACACAATAATATGCAAGGATGCTGGAGCCCAAACCGACCCAACTCCAAACACGGAAGAAACTCACCACGGGCAAATAGAAAAGGCTTGCGAGGGGGAGGCAGTGGAGAAGCAAATTCCCGTGAATGGGGCGAGATACGAGATACCTGCTTCGATCCGGGGGGCTACGCACGCAATTCCGCAAGTGCCTGTCATCTTGGAGAACGAAAGCTGGTCAACTTTGAAACCTCCTCGTTATGAGCCGTATGTCGAGCCGCAAGTTGAATATGCTCCACTTGTCGGTCACCGTATCACAAGTCACAGCAACCCAACACAACATATTGAAGGCCAACCAATTTCGTATGTGCCAGCACTGCTGGCCGAGCGACGCGATGACACCAATCTCCATAAGGCCATTTTCGAGGACCCTTCCAAATTCAACGGCGTTAGGTGCTCTGGCACCGGGAGCTCGGAGGGAGAAAATATGGAGCAGTTTATTCAGAGGATAGAGGAAGAGGCTGAGCTGCCTCTCAGGGAAGCGGGGGATGACGGCAGGCGCCCCAGCATAAACTTTGACCTCTTCCCGAACGGCCGAAGGCCGATGCTGTGCGGGGTACCCGGGTTTGGAAGCCCGGTAAAAGTAGACAACACCCTCGCGATATCCAGGGGGGGTGGATTCTGTCCAAAGCCAATTTTTCTGGCACCTAACACGGTGGAGAACGAGGTGCCTCGCTTTCAAGAAGTTGGCCCTCCCGGGGTCTCTCCCCGTTCCCGTTCCTTGTTGGAGACATATGGGGTAAAGGAACAAAAGCGTGGCCTAGGGGCGGATTGGGAGCACGGCACCAGACTTTATTAGTGATGTACAGAAACAAGTAGGGTACTTTACCTCCTAATTTACGTCAGTATCGAAACCCATTGTTTTCCTCAGCGCCAGCCCCTGCTGCTCATAAACAATGCCTATCCGACGATTCCAATCCGGCATCGTCTCGTCCTCAAAGTCTACGTCACGTTTGAGTTGCTGGACGTTGACGCCCAACCGCTGTGCAATGGCCAGCGTCGACCGAGCCTTTTTAGACACGGGGGCGTCGACCATGGAGTCAGAGAAGCCAAAAGATCCCTTGCCTAGGGCAACAGCCTTTTCGTCGGCGACTACGAGACAGGCGGACTTGATGATGTCTCTGACGCTGGGGCTGAACTGCTCCTGGACGATGGAGACTTGGCTGGGGTGAATGCATTCTGTGGCGGGTTGGTTAGTTGTGTGTGGTAGCAGATTTGGGAAATAAGACACAGCAAAGAAATAAATCAGAAGATAGGGGGTAGAGAGAAAGGGAGAGACAAAAAAAAAGACGTGAAAAGAAAGATATGAAAAAAGACATGAAAAAAAGAAGAGACCCAAAAAAACTCACGCTTCCCCGTAAACCCCATCCCCGCCCCCTCTTCACTCTCCCGCTTCAACCCCTCCATCGCATCCCCCCCCTTAAACGCCGTCCGCACCACGTCAATGGCACTCTCCAACCCAAACGCCCGTGCCGCCGTCACTACCGCGCTGCGCGCGTACGCCATCTCGGCCATGCCCTCTGTTCGCCGCAGGTTCATATCGAGGGCGAAATCTTCGGCGGCGAAGATTAGGCCGCGGAGGAGATGGTTTGGCGGTGTTGTTATTGTTGTAGTTGCTGCGTGGGCTGCGCAGATCTCGCGGAGGTCCATGATTGCGCGGGCGGATTCGATGAGGGCGAGGATGGCGAGGGGTTTGGGGTTGGGATGGTTGGGATTACTCTCTGCTGTAGTGGTAGTGGGAATGCCGAGACGGTGCGGTGCGGCACGGCGGATGGCGTCGACGACGGTGGTGAGGTCGGCGGCGGAGTTGACTTTGGGGATGACGAGGGCTTGGACTTGGGGTAAAGGGGCAAAGGTGAGGATGTCCTCGATTGCCCAGGGGGTTGAGACGTCGTTCACGCGCACGGCGATCTCACGGGGACTGGAAGAAGGTGGTGGTTCCGTTGAGGATGAAGGTGAAGTAGAAGAAGAAGACGAAAAGGAACCTGAAGGTGAGGGCAGCGGGAGGTTAATGAGGTATTCGAGTAAAGCGGAACGCGCTTCGACCTTCTTGTCGTTTGTGACTGAGTCCTCGAGATCGTAGGTTACGTTGTCGACTTTGAGGTTAGCCGATCTGGCGAGAAACCTCGGAGATGAGGCGGGGACTATACTATTGTTAGCAGAAAGACGTAGGCAGACATCTCTGGTGTAGTTCGAACCGTAGAGCAATGCACGGCGGAGCGTTGGCAGTACCGGAGACGCCATAGCTCAGAGTATGTTTTGTGTAATCCGCTGTATTTTTACGATTGAGGGGAGTTTGGACCTAGATTGAAGGTCTTTCGTGATAGAAAATGCCCCCAGACAACAGATATTTTCTAGTTCGGAATCATGACAGTCGGCAAGCCCATGTTCATCCGTAATGTTACCGAACAGCGGGTGTAAGTGAGGTTGTGAGCTTGGTGGAGAAAGGGGACCCTTGTCCGAGGCCCCGAGGTTATCCAGTTGTACCTACAACCCTAACCCTTGATTACCACCCCAGCTGTTAGCTGAAGTGGACCGGGTTACGTATCTCACACACACCTCGGTGGCCGCAGCAGCGCGCGACAAGCTTCCCATTGTCTAGCGCTTCGTTACGGATACCTGTGCGTTCAACCTCCAACGAACCCGCCCCACGACGGCAACACACTGCTCGCGACAATGGAGCAACCACAGGCCACGCCGGGGTCGCTCTCATGGCGTTTGAGCTCGCACCCAATCACGCTACTGACGTTTCTGGGCTTTCGGATTTGTACGTTCCATTGTCTCTGGCACGCACGCGGCTCACTCCAAGCTGTCTTGCGCTAGATTGCGCCTTTCTGTCTATGATGATATATGTGGCTTTTGCGACTGACAAGATTGGAATGTTAGCGAGCCTCCTCGTCTACCTCTTCGGCCTACTATTCACGGATAACCTGTATGGCGAACCGCATCCCGAATCAAAAACATGTTTCAATTTATAACTCCAGAACTGCCCCGCTAACGCACCGGCAAACCTACACAGTGTCATGATCTTCATCATCACGATTCTCCTCCTCGCAGCCGACTTCTACTACCTCAAGAATATCGCCGGGCGCCGGCTGGTCGGGCTGCGCTGGTGGAACGAGGTCGACCCGGCGACGGGCGAGTCGCACTGGGTATTTGAGAGCAGCGAGCCGGGTACCAAGACCATCAACCCTACCGACAGCCGTTTCTTCTGGATCGCCATGTACACCCAGCCGGTACTGTGGATTCTGCTAGTGCTTGTGGCGGTTCTGACGTTTAAGTTTATCTGGTTGCCGCTTGTTGGTGAGTGTCTACCTGCCTACCTACCTCTCTGCTTGTCCAAGTAAAGAGAGGACGAGCAAGAGAGAGAGAGACTGTGTGTGTATGTGTATGAGAGGACAAATGGCTAACCAACCGGGTTTCCCCTACAGCTATCGCGCTCGTCCTAACAATCACCAACACCCTCGCCTTTTCAAGGTGCGACAAGTTCAGCCAAGCGTCGAATATTGCGGGCAGCGCCTTCAGTGGAGGCAACCTCGCGGGGAGCCTTGCGAGCAACATGGTGGGGCGGTTCTTTTCGAGGTGAGGTGAGAGGATACGAGATCCAGGGCAGTGCAACAGGGCTTGCGCTTTTCTGTCCTTCCCACGGCGTGTTTCGCGTGATAGGGGATCTTGGGAGGTTGGGCCGAAAGAGTAGTAGATACAACAGTCGGCCGCTATGAGACGGGACTTGAGAAAATTGACGGCGGCTTCTTGTATGATTCAAGGTGCTAGGGATTGGCGTTTGGGATGGCGGAATTGCTGGGTGCGTTGAACTTTTAGTGGATCGCTTATAAAACGGGTTTGAGTTTTATAAACAAAGCTCTTCGATGTGCTTGTCCAGATGCCATTCCTTATGGTCTTGGGACCCCCAAAACAGCTTCAACAGTCTCTTTGCTTCAAGACAAGAGCACTTGAAACATGTGTAGATGAGACTCCCACTTAACCGTCACCTCGTACAGAAGCAAACAGATAAGTAAAGTGGGTATATTGCATATTGCCTCAGTTCATGGCCACAGTACCACCACCCGGCAGCAGGTACTGTATATCCCAAGAATAAGAACGAACGTCGTGGCAACCCCATTTCCCGGGCAATCAAACCCTCTGCTCCTTTATTTCTCTCTCTCCCACTCCCTCCCCCCTCTCTGCGAGCCATCTCACTCATTCAATCATTCCCCAACCCTTTCTGCTGATCATGTTGATGATGCTTTTCCGAGAAGCGAACGACGGGTGAAAGCGACCGGCAGATTTTTGTTCAAGTGTTAAAAAGAATTATGAGAAGAAAAATGAACAAGAAATCCGGTAAAATCAATCCCAAAACATTCCCTTGACGCCTACCTCCCAACCTACCTACTTGCTAGCCCCGCTTGACTTCCTCCCCTATGTGCATAGCGCGACGGCAGTATTGCCTTACCGTCTCCCCGCCTGCTCAATAGCCGCATCCAATTGCCTCTCCTCCTCTTCTAATCGCCGGATCTCGTCCTCCGTCATCCCGTCCTCCACTAGATGCGCATATGGCGTCGTCAACCCGCGTGGCGTCGCGCGTCCGGGCGCGCTCGCACCACCTGGGATGGCGCTGAGTGACCGTGGGGGAGCAGCGCCGTCTTCATTCCCGGCGGTGTGGGCCGTTTGGGCGAGTGAGGCCGTCCGCACGCTAGGCGTACCGGTGCCGGCGGCGCTGGGACGGCGGTCTGAGTAGGGCGTGAAGGAGCGTGGGGGGTTTTCAAGGTGGTGTGCTCCCGTCGCGGCGGCTCCGGCCCCCGCTGCCCCTGCAGCTGCGGTTGTTGATGCTAGGACCGCGCCGGCTGCTGTGGGTTCAATAGCAGCACCGTTTGCTGCTGCTGCTGCTGCTGCGCCACTACCGCTAGGGCCAGGGCCGCCGTTCAGTGTCGTACCTTCGTCTGAGTACGGCGAGTGCGGCGCGACATCAACGTCGGCAGCTGCTGCCTCTTTCTCGGCGATAAGCTCCTCGCCGGCATGGCCCCGGTGGTGAATTGAATCGTACGTAGAGTCGCCGCCAGGGATGCGAGTTGCCTTGTTCTGACGTCGGCGGCGCAGTAGATACCAGGCGACCCCGATTATGAGAAGGAGGCCGACAATACCACAAGCCACGGCGATACCGATGATGGCGCCTGTCGCGAGCCCACCGTTACTGCTGGGGCTGCTGCTGTTTGATGGCGGGTTAGCCGACACGGTGGGATTCAAGCCGCCGCTAACACCGCCATCTCCCGAGTTCTCGCCGCCAATGCCGGAGCCGGAGGTAGGACTTCCAGTGCCGTCTTTGTTGGGCGGGACGGGGGTGCCGTATTCCGAATGGTAGGGAACGCCATTGGTAAAGTTGGAGTCCAAATAGAGCGGGTCGGTTTTCGGGTCGAAGTTCGGGGGGCGTATGGCAAACGGGCGTGAGTAGCTCGTGCCGTTGTCCCAGTTGGCCTTGAAGTAGAGCAGGCTCGTGGAGCCGAGGGCGTTAATATCTTCGTTTGGGAAGGAGACTTGGCCGGAGGTCTCGGATGCGTTCACTGCGGTGTGTTAGTCCGTAAATACTCCCGCCCAACAGCTCCCTGCCGTGAACACATTCTACGGTATTCTTGGGGATTCAAAACGCACCAACAAGCGTCACCATAGCTCGGTTGTCAATACCTCGACCATCTCGTTGCGGCATCCTTCGTCCCAGACCCCCATTATTCGCACCATTCTGCCCCGGCGTCTCACTCGGTAACCCATTATCGACCGTCGAGCTCGAGCCCACTGGCAGCGCACTCCCGCTGCCCGTCGACCGCTTTCCATAACCGACCTCATAGGGGTCGCCACGGCCGTCGACACGATAAAGGTAGACCTCCTGCACGAGCACGCTGTTGGCCTCCCATTCAAACGAGCGTAGCTGGGCATCGGCGTAGGATATGAAGGGCGCGGCGGAGGCAGAGAAGGAGCCGCCGAAGCCGTACGTGAAATTGAGGAAGGTGTTGCTACTACTGGCAAGTGTCCCGGGGATTGTAAGAACCAGTGCGATGGCGGTCGTCGCCAGCCAGTCTGGCTGCCCTATCGTTATCCGCATGTTGTCGTCGAGCCCTCAAGGGACACTCTTTTTGCCGAGTATCCGTATTTCGTCCGCTTCGTGTTCGATTAAGGTCGCCGACAGTCGTTCATCGCTCGTTTGCTCGCGTCGTCTGAGGGAAAAGCCGGCAACACTGATCCCGATCTGAGACGGGGGGCGTGGTAGGCTCAATCCGGGCCTCGGGCGACCTGCCGTTCCTGCACTTGCTCGTTTGCTCGTTCGGCCACTTTGACAACACAGAACCTGGGAATGTTTTCGTGATGGGGAAGGCAAGCGAACAAATCACCAGCAGCAGTGACAGGGAAAAAAGAGCAGCCTAGCGCGTGTTGAGGGGAGACTGAACGAAAGACAAGGCTCAGAATCCGTCCATCTCAGGCTTGTCAGCAACCCATTCAACTTTACCTGCACGCCCCCATCCATGTGGACGTCCGTTCCAATGGCCCCCCCAACCCAAACCGCTCACTCGCTCGGTGCTTGCTCGCTGGCCCTTCAGCTGGAAAGGAAAGGATTGCGCGGTTCCTCCCCTGCCCTCCTTCCCCGTCTGCACAGCCCAAGCCCAAAGCAAATGGGAAGCCACGGGCTAGCGGCACAGCTCCCATTCAACCCAACCCGAAATCCTTGTTTGTCCCGCCCGCGCCATTCCCAAAGCGGCGCCAAACGTTTCGAGGGTGCAAGGGTTGTCTGCCGGCTTTGTCTTGTTTCTTTTCTTTCCTTCTTTTTTCTTTCCTTTTTTGTGTTTGTTTCCCAAGCAGTGGGTGGACAGGCTTCCGTCAAGCCGATCAAGATAAAGATACGCCAAATCAACAATTTGCTGCCAACCGAAAGAATTACACGATAGCTCGCATAAAATCCCCCGGCCTTTCCATCCCTTCTCACAGCCCAGTGGTGCCTTCCCTTTTTCCCTTCGCTCGGTCTTCGGGTGATCCTCCTTCTGCAGTCTGCAGCCCAGCCCAGCAGCAAAGTCACAGCGCCGCGCTTACTCCGAACCGGGGGTGGCCCCATTTATCCCACCGGAGTGGACCAACCAGGACGACGAACACCCTGGCCCTTTAAATAGCAGACACACAGAGACAACTGCTGTGCGACAGCGCAAATGGGAGCGCGCGCCTCGCTGCATAACACCGGCGGCTCACTCAGTTGTTGGTAAGAGAACGAGATAGTTGGGTAGGTTCCGAGAAAGGTAGGTCGTTAGAGGAGGTGGAGGTGAATGCATATGCTACACAGTCGGTCGTATTGTAACAAAGAGAAGTGGGAAACCAACAACTGTCTCAACGGGTTTACATCGTGTAGTAAGCTCGCGTTCTGAGCTTCTTTCAAGGCTGAAGTGGGGAGGGCCAACTTGTCAGCAGAACACCGACGATCATGGATAAGTTGCCACTGAATTCCGGGGGAAGTCTCTCTTTTTGGCACCGATCGTCCATCAGCCCAGAGAATGCGCAAGTGAAATTTGCATTGGGCTGAAGAACAATCTGTTTGTAACGTGGTGTTTTTTCCCTCTAGTTTGCATACATAGTACACTACTATGTAGTCTTCGGTGTCTGTTTTGTGACCATCCCCGACTTTCCATCTTGATTTGCCAATGGCTAGTCTGTGCCACGACCCAGCAATGGGGGGATGGCTTTCAGCCTCAGCCGAGGGCAGAGATTTGTAGATAATAAACCCTGAGCGGCGCGAAAATGGCACCCAAGGTTGCTTGAGCGGTTTATCCTGGGCAAAAAGTCGGGACCGAAGGCCAAGAACCGTTCCATCGTAGAAACTGAGTCGAACGACCAAAGCATTCTTCCCAAATCCAAACCAACAAACCTCTCACCGTCTCCCCTTGTTGGCGACCTGCTCCTTCAACAGGATATCCCGCATCGCTGCCCTTGCGTTGCGGCTCCCTCCCAGCTTTGGCCCACGAAGAATCTCGTCCTTGTTCTTGGGAGGTCCTGGTTTGGGCGCATTGGTTGCCCGCCTTCGTCGGTTGCGCTGCGCCATTGCGTCCATAAAATCGCGCCGGAACTCCTCCGCGATGCGGTCATCCGCTGCCCCGTCTTCTTCTTCCCATGTCGTCTGATGGGCTGCTTGGTCTGATGGCGAATCGTACATGTCGACTGAAAACCGTTGTTAGCAAAGTGATCATATCTTGGTAGCAAACGGAAAGACTCACTTCTGTTCTCACTGAGGAATTCCTCCACCAGCTTATCGCGCTGGATGTCATCACTCCCCCGGCGATTCCTCGACCGCAGCGGTTTCCCGTCCCGCCCCAGCCGTACTTTTTTTTGCCGGCCATCGGCCTCTTCCCGTTCCTCCTCTTCAATCTGACCCTGCAGTCGTCGCCTCGCACGTTCCGTCATCTCGATGTTGCGCGCGCGCGCCTCGTCGCCGAGGTCGATCTCCAGCAGCCGGCCATGCATCACGCGTTGTGAGTCGATTTGCCCGGTCGGCAGGGGGCCGCTGCCGGTCCCGCTTCGGCCGTCACCGGTCGTCGACGTCGTGCTGTCTTCGCGGCTCTGCTGCTGTTGTTGTTCTAACGCTTCCTGCGCGGCCGCGGCTTCTGCGGCGTGCCGCTTGCGTCTAGCCAACTCGGATTCTACGTACTCCTCCCTTGCTTGATCAGCCGCCGTTCTTGCCACCCCCAGCTCCCCAACTTTGCTTTTGTTTTCTTCCATTCTCGAAGAGGGTGGGTGATGGCGGTAACTCACATGTGCCTGTTGACCAATTCGCCAACCAACCCCGTCTGTGGCGCAAACCGCCTGGAGATCCCACCGATGACAGCCGCTTCGGCGCCTTGCTGGGCGTCTGCGTTCCCGTGCAAAACGACACCCCGTTCGGAGTTCTCCTCGTTCGTCACGCCGTCGCCGGCGAAGCCGGACGGGCTGGCGCGGAACCCGACGCCACCCTGTCGATGCTTGCGAGCATTCCGTAGACGCCGTATCTCAGACACGGATAGCCCTTCTTCGCGCTCGCTAGAACCACCACGGCCCACGGTCGTCATCGGTCTGTCGTTGCCTGATGGGGGAGGATCGGCGGAGACTCGTGCTTGGGCGGTTTCGGCTTCGCCGGTGGTGTTGCTGTCAATCGCATTGTCTGTCTCTCCTGTCGCGCGCTGCCGGTAATTCTTTCTCTTCTTGCCCGGGCGGAAGAGGATTGGGGGAGCGGCATCCGGTTCTGCGTTGATGGGTTCCATGGTGTCGTGTGTTTGTTGATGAAGGGAAGGTTACATACGGTGGGGGGTTTGCTGATGCACCTTGCCGGTTAACAAAGAAATGGGCCGGCCGAGACTCGGGGCGGAATCGGGGAGATAAGCAACCCTAACCCTCAACCGGACAACTTCATGTCCAAACTCAAAGTACTGTGTAAAAGGGTCACATTTCGTTGATAAGAAAACGTACTGCGTAGTAAACGCGTGATTTGGTTTTTATCTTATCAGCGCTCTCTTGTTTTGATTGTCAAGTTCTATTCACCTACATTTACCAACATAATACGTGTTTGTGCCCCTCTCGCAACCTCGTTTTTCGGCATAGGATCCGAATTCTTGACGCTAAATTTCAACAGTCAAGGCCCAACTCTACAAGTCTACAGTTCTGTTGGCCCATATAACCAACCAGAACTACCTCAAACATCTCGGCGCTGAAAACCCAGGCCACCCGGCCCAGTTCGGCCCACCTGCCGCCTAGAGCAAATCGTGAGCCACCGATACATAGTAAGCCACTCGGCCGGCCGACCTGACCCGCTGCCCGGCCGACCCGGCCCCGTGGGCCCACCCGCCCGGGAGATCGACCGGTCCTGACCTTGTAGTTGATTATCCACTTCTCCGGCCCGCAGATCACCATCCCTTTGAGGCCGCTGTGTCTTTTCTCATTTTTCCATCACTTTTTCTAGAACAGGTTTATAAATAGACATCGCGGGTGGCAGTTCGATGACGGCCGAGTACCGCAAGGCCGGCCTGCTCGGGAGGGCGGGCCATGAACAGCGGCTTGACCGACTGGGTAGAACTAGTATTTTCTAAAGACACTCTCGCCGGCTAGTTGGCCAACAAGTTTCAAAGCGGGTACGCTTGATTCCGCTGGCGTTGTCGTCATCGTCAAAGCAACACAGTGGGATGTATGTATGTACATACCGACCACGAAGTCGATTCAGCTACTTCGTACTGAACAGTACACACCCGTGAGCCAACCCGTCGCCCCCACCAAACCCGTCCCACGCAATGCCTTGTATTTTCATTGCACGCCCACTCACCCCGTCACACAAAAAGCCTAGACTTTCCGAAACCCCATCGCACAGACGCGTATGTCTCGGCCCGAACCTAACCCACTCTAACTTAGCAAGAGTCCCGCCTAGATACGGTTGTGACAGGTTTGTAAAGAGTTTGTGGAACCTACCGGGTAGGTAATAGATGAATAGCTGAACTAGGTCAGGTAACACCACCGGGAGGGATCGTATCCAGCCGTAGAAGAACTCCGTGTGGAAAAAATTGTAGTCTGTTGGTACCCCCCTGGCCTGAGTGGGCTTAACTCGATTCAACCTCGCTCAACCACCTACCTAGGTACTATCAGACGAGCAGCGGGCCGAAGCAAGCAACACGGAAAACCAGGTGGCCGACCAAGTGGCAGGGTGGAACGGGTAGGAGCATATGTCGATAAAGGTCGGGATAGTGAGTGCGGCTTGGGTAGTAAGTAGGTCAAGGAAACAGGTCCGGCAGACGATCTATTTCTATTTTTGTTTTCTTCGATCTTGACCACAGGGAAAGATCCCACCCATGACAAGGAGAGGGAATCACAGGTCGGCCTTGGCTTGACGGGCCTTATCTTGGCCCACTCTACCTAAGATGAAGGCCAACACCTTCCAACGGCCGCATCCAACCTTCCCGATCTGGTAACACCACACCATACACGACTCTTGCACGCGTGGAACCTCACAAATAGGAATACCTGTCATGCCAAGTACACATGACGAAGTTATGCAGAATAGAAGCAACGTTGTCGCTGTTTGTTCTAGAAACAGCGCGGGGAGTATCTTAGAAGGCTGAAAAAAAGAAAAAAAACGAAAGCAAAGTAAAGAGAGCAAAAAGGTATCGAATCTAAATCACAAAAGGGGACAGATGATCATGTATCATCTGTCTCTCTCCGCTTCGTGACCCTACCCCGCCAAGCAATGTAATTTTCCCAACGCCGCCCGTGTACCTGGCATCCGTCCTTACCCGTCTACCCCTTTTGCCTTCCCTCTTCAAATCGTGCGGTCGATGTTGTGAGGGCCCTTCGGTAGGTGTGAACCCCAACCAAGGGCGGCAAACCAGAGCCAAAAAGGAGCGACCATGATAATGTCCTTTGTTTCCGGAATATCCAGAGAACACAGAAGAACATCTTGATCATATCCCTAACCCCGCTCGAGCAGTCGCCGCCTTAGTTCCCAAGTGACAACCCCCCCGCCGTCGAGGCAAGTTGCAATGAACGCGTCCGGAGCCATCCCGTGTACCCCAAAGCCACACCGCCAGCCGAATATCCCGGGTCATAAAAACATGTACAGTGAATGTAGTCCCATCTCTTTCCCATTTCCAATCTCGAGCCCACCCAAAACTGCCATCTAAATCCAAGCGGCGGCCACAGGTCGTGATGGGACCATGAAGGTGGCGAACAAGCTACGCACCTCACTTAGGTATTCATCTGCGCTGATCTTGAATAGCCCACGCTGCTGCATTTCGTGGTCTTGTAGGTCCACCACGTTGGCCGCCATCTGGTCCTTCACGCCGTACTCCTCCGCCAGCTCTGACACCTGCGCGAGTTCATTGCCGAATGGGTGTTGTTGTTGATGTTGGTGCTGCTGGATACTTGCACTGCTGGTGCTTTTACTGTGTTGGACAGGCGGTGGTTGTTGCCGGATCGAACGCTGTCGGGGTGGAGAAGTGGGAGCCGAAGGAGAGGATGTTACGGTGTTGGAGAGCTTGGATTTGTGTTGTTGATGTTGATGGTGTACTGGGACTGAGCTGACACTGGTGCTTGTGCTGGTGGACGAGGACCGTGAGAAGGTTAAGCTCGCTTTGGTCGAGATGGTGCGTTGGGATGGCTGAGACTGGTGGGATTGTTGGGATAGCCCCGATGCAGAGCGTTGCCGCACCAGGTTGTATTGTTTCTTGGAGTGCGATACGGTGCGCTGTGGGATCACTGGCCCCGATGCTGGAGTCACCGAAGTGGGAGTCTTGTGCTGAGCGGGCCCAGTTGTGAAAAAGGAAGATAGGTGGTTTGGTTGCGGGCCCGCTGACATCTTCGCGGGCGACTCAACGTCCGGACTTGTGGGAGGAGTTGTGCCGTTTGTAACTGCGCTGTCAGACATGTCGTCGTCAGATCTTTGTGACGAGCCTGTCGATATCGCCGACATGGGCTGGATATCTGGCGCATTGTAGGACAACATGTTGGTGGTGTGGATGAGTTCAACCGGGCCGGAGATCTTGTGCCGGAGAGCGCTGGCTGCACCTTTCGTGGTCGTGTTGCTGCGCTGCACCGACTTTTCCTCAGCTAGCTGAACACTTTGCTTGACCCTCCGGGTCGTAAACGCCCTTGTGATAGACATCTTGACTCTCTAGTAGTGCTGGCTGCCGTTCAAACTGGGTGCAGAGGACAGGTTCGAAACCACAAGTTTCGATGTACCGATCAAGGACGAGGAACAAGCGATATTCAAATCCGCTCTGGCGCCAAGTTGTAACCGCGGGCGTTGAGGATCAACTTTGCCGACGATACCTTCTATTTCTCTAAGTCGAAGAAAAAAGGCAAAGATTGATAGGCGCAGGTCAAGAATCCGTGCCGTATCTCGGGGGGCAAATGCGACAACCGGCGCACAAAGTAGTTGTCGTGTGATTTGGTGCTGGTGTGACGTTGCGCTGGGCCTTCCTTGTGTGCGAGTCGTGGCACTATTCTTGCGACTAAGGGTTGCTCATACCAAGCACTGCAGAGTTGTGAAGGATAAGTGGGTGGGGAGTCCAAACTGAGACGTCGATACCGTGTGACCTGAATAGGTGGAGGGGATCGTCACTTGTAAGTTGAGGAATTTCGCCACGTGTAGAGCGTGGCTGTAGGGCGGCTCAAAGAAAAAAAACGAAGGTCGTGAATAGAATAGGTCCAGTGGCTTAGTTTACAAAGAAACGCCAGCCAAATGTAGGGCCTATGTTTGCGCGTGGATCCGGTCCGATTCGATAGGTAGTCAACGGGGTTCTTTGATGCCGCTGGTACGTAGAATGCGCAAGAAGTTGTTTGAAGGAACGTTTGGAAGTAGTAGGTGGGAACGTTCCAGACGTGTTTGTTGTTTTCTGGTGGTGACGGTGCTTCCGCTTAGAAACCGGCGATGATGGCTGCCAGAAAGGGGGAAAAAGGAAAAGGAAGGAATGGAAACTGTTCCAAGAGTCCAAATGAACCCGCGATGTGGAACTCTGAACAGTTCAACAAGTTCTGTTGAAGGAGAGAACGGAAGAAAGATCCCAAAAGGTCGGAAGGAGGTTCAGAAATGGAAAGGTTGCAATGAAGGGGGGTGGTGGAAGAGGGCACGAAACATTAAAGGGAAGGGCATGAGGTTTGGGGAGAACACAAACTCCTCGTCGGCGGAAACAGGGTTGCAGGTAGGGGGTACATCTCAAGCAGCCTTGGTCACAGTAGAGAGGCAAGAGATGGAAGCCGCATCGCATGTACTGGTACCATCTTGACCCGGTCAGCGCGTTGACTAGTTTTCGTCAACCAGGGGGGGTGGTCTTTTGGATTTGCCCTTCGGTCGCTTGCGCGGGAGCAAACCACATTGCAGGAAGGCGTGGAAGGCAAGAATGGGGCCGGCGAACGCAAGGGGACCGGGCCTGGTCGCGCCGGGAGGAAACCCTCCTGCCCTCGTTGTCCCTGTGGGTGGGCCGGCCACTTTCCTTTCTGCGACTCCTGGTTGGCCCTTCTGTCGAGCCGGGCGTGACTGGACCAATGAGCTTCATTGGTGCCCCCCAAACTCACTCGCACCTCCCCTTTTCCGTTTCCCGCCCGGTTGGGGCAAGCACGGCAACAGACCTTCAACAATGGCTTCGAGCAAGGGAAAGAGCGAAGGCAAGCCCGTAATGTTAAGGGAAGCGCACAACAAGAACACGTGAAAAATCGCACTTTGGTCTATTTTCTGTTGTTCTCCTTCAAACTCACTTTTTGGCTGAACATGGCCTCGAGCTTAAGGCCAAATACCGCGCGGTTGGCCGTTCTGTAAGCCCCAAGTGCGCCATGCCGGCCCTGAGAGGGGAGCGCGCCAAATCGCGCAGGGTTCATCGCATGAGATCCCACTGCGGTGCGCATGTACCTGCATTGCGCATGCCTTCACTCGACAGGCATCAACGTGGTCAAACTTTATCGACGGCCCCATGACGGTATGAGCAGCAGTTCGGACGGGTGCATGATTTGGGTCATTTCATTCGGTGGAAACATTCGCCCAAAGCAGAGAGTCAGGTGTTTCTTCCCCAACTCCCATTGCCGGTGGCGGCCTGACGCTGCTAAAACGGAATGCGGTCGCTCCTTAAAACAGGGTGTTTCTCATTTGCGCTATTCGTCGATCTGCCGCCCACAGAGGGCCGCGCGCGCTCTCCTCTTTTGAGGGTTGTGCGACCGAGACCGACCGACCGCCGACTGGGACCGTGACCGACCATGGCCCCTCACCCCCCCCTCTCTCCTGTTGCAGATAGGGTTTGTTCGTCCACTCAGGGTTCAGCACGGCCCTCTGTCCCTGCAGTTGAAACGAAGCTAACCCACGACCGAGCGCTCATTGGACCGTCGTTTCTCCTCAACGTTGCTTCTCGAAGGGGAACCCATCTGAAACCTCCTCCCAGTTCATCAGGAGATCGTGGATGTTTCTTGCCCATGCGCGCGCATGGCTGATCTTACCTTGTCCACATCGAGGAAGAAGCGACCCGCCAGAAAGGTTGCGCACGCCGTGATGGGTGGTGGGTTGGTGGGGACCAAGAGTCATGACATGAGGGCGGCTAGGCGGTTCATCTCAAGACGTGATGCCCGGCGGTTCAAGCATGACTCTCCTGGATGACCCTCTCTTCCCCTCTGATCAGTCCGAAGCCACCCGCCGCCGGCAGGAACGGACTATTGTGTCCGTGCCTCTTTGGCGATGCTTTGCGGGGAAGCCCGAACCGACTCCACGTGGTGCCACACCATCGGCAACGACATGTGTCGCTTTTGCTTTTGTCCTGGGGCGATATCCCGGCCGTTTTCTCGGCTCTTTTTAAGTTTTTAAGACTCGCTGTTGCAGGTTTACAAAGCAAAGGGTTGTATCTGGGCACGCGGGGCAGAGACGATGCCCTGAGGTTGGTGGGGATAATTTTCGCATGCCCTCCCAAGAAAAAAAAAAAGCTCGATCAATGATCATCGCCTAGAATATCGCCAGAACAACGATCACTGTCCACCGTCTGTCAATCGTCAAGTCAACGACGGAGCCGTGGCCGCCGACCGACACCGGGGAACGGTTGCAGATCACCAGCCAATGCATGACGGCCGGATCGCCCGCTAGTTCACTCATGCCGGGATGGTGAATCGACGTCCCTTTCTTCCGGAACGTCATGCATAATGTCCCATTTTGGGAGCGGAGTCACGAAGCCAATTTTTGAGTGCAGCCAGCGACGCACGACAGATGAATAGTACTGCGGCGCAACGCCGGCCGGTCTCTCGATCGTCCTCGCTGGATAATGCCCTGGTTCGGCATATGACACCAGTCTGGCCACACCACCTCAGGATAGCATACGTGATGTGACACCACTCACGCCCCCAATGATTTTCTCGGGAGTTCTACGATGAAGATGACTGGAGCGGTAGACGGACGCTGCACAGACAACGCTAATCTGTCAAGAATGCGGGGCAAAGCTTTTGGCCTTTGGGTATATCCACTACCTAACGCCACCAAGCGAGCTCACGAACCGTGTAAATGCCCTCGGCAGAATCGGGACGATGGGTACAGACCCGGATGCCGAAATTCCGGTGTAACGGTAGAGTTGTTTGTGACCTCATACGTCACAGTACAGCTTAGTTCTCTAGTCTTCGTCCTCATCCATTGAGTCGCCGTCGTGACTAAGCGCGGCCTCATCATCCTCATCATCATCCTCGCCCTCATCGCTGCTACTGCTCTCATCGTCCTCCACACCTACAAGACGATCCTCCTCTTCGCCCTCACCGCCCGCTCCACCAGCCTTAGCCGGGACTCGTTGGCCAAACGCTTTGCGCACACCGGCGTTGGTGCTGGTATCCCAGATGGACACCGTACCCTTGCTCCCAGCTACGGAGAGGCGAAAAGCGACCTCTTGGTCGGGGCCGAAGCTTGTAGAAAATACCTTACCAACGTCAAAGTCGCGCGAGACGACAAGAGACGGGCCCTGAGGGCTGATGTTCCACAACTTGACGGTGCGGTCGGTCGAGCCGGTGGCCATGAAGCCCGGGATGACGGGATTTAGGTCGAAGGAGGAGACGGATTCGTCGTGGGCCTGCAGCTTCCAGACCGTCTTGCTAGCGGCCGGGTCAGCGGAGGCAGTGCGCACGTCAAAGTAGTGGATGATGCCGCGCTCGGTAGAGACGTAGAAGAAGTTGGGGTTATGCGGATCCCAGCGGACGTTCTCCACGTCGCTTTCGACGCCGACCTTCATAGGCGCCTCGCCGGGCGCACGCATATCGGCTATCGCGGCGGTGCGGTCGTAACTCCCGCTGAGGAGGACGGTCGACTCAACCGCGTGCCAGGCCAACGCGCACACCTTGTCGGTGTGGTAGTTGTACGACTTGGCGCACTGCGTTGTGTGCAGGTCCCAGAGCTTGACTGTCTTGTCAGCCGAGGCGGAGGCGAGCAGGTTGCGGTGCTTGCGGTTTGCCGAGAGTGCCAGTACGGCGTCGACATGGTACGAATCGTTGGCCTTTTTCGACTTCTTCTTCTTCTTTTTCTTTTTCTTGTCCTCTTCACCATTGGCGCCGCCTTGCCCGAGGATGGCGTTAGGGTACATACAGTCGATCGTGTCGAGGTCCCAGATCTCAATATCCGGGTCAAACGTGCCGATGGCCACGAAGTTCCCCGTCGAATCCTTGTCCACGCCCGGCTTGCTGACAGGTAGGTCTAGCCACTCGACACAGAGTGGTATCGCGGGAAGCATGATGTCGTGGTGGACATACAGGTTGTCGGCTGCGTCTTCGTAAACATACACCTCTAAGTGGGCAAGCTCGTCCTCGACCTTAGCGGCCAGCAGTAGGTTATCGGTCGCGAGGATCTGCAGGTCCTCGCGGTCTTCTTCGTCGTCTTCGGCGTCGTCCTTGAGCGTGATGTACGGGTCGTCCTTGTTGGAGTCGTAGTAGGCCAGCGACTTGACGTTGCCGAACATGCCCATGGGTTGGCCCTCGCCTTGTGGCTCGTCATCGTCATCGTAGTGTTCGAGGTCGTATTCCTTGAGGTCGTCGTCGATCTCGATACTGTGGGGTTGTTAGTTCATTGGGGTCCCGAAGGATAGATTGGGGACAACTATAGGTGATCGGGACTAACTCTGAAGCATCTTTCCCATCCTCATTTGCTGCTTCCCCCTCCTCTTCTTCTTTTCCCTGCTTCTTCTTCTTCGTCTTCTTCTTTTCCTTTTTTAATTCTTCTTCCGCCCCAGACTCCGCCGCGGCTTCTGCCTCTGCTTCCGCCTGTTGCGCTTCCTCTAGGTCTTCTTGCGCGTCGTCAAGCTGGAGCTTGGCCAGGCTTGCGATGCGCTCGAATTCCTCCTCGTCAAAGTTGTATTTTGTTGGAAAGGGTGCCGCAAACCCGCGTGGCACCCAGGCCGTACTTGTAATCATAGAAGACATGGTGTATGTGTGTGTAAAGAGACCAGAAGACGGATTGACCTGCCTGCAGTGTCTCTGTTTGGACGATGCCCGGCTGTGAACTGCCCGGTTCAGATAGAAGATTTCGTTCCGCAACTTTTTAGTGGAGTGGGCAGCGGGGCTTATCTTATCGGGCCTACCCCTGTGCCCCTGTGCTTCAGCGACGGTCCAGGTCTTCGAGACAGCCTGCAAGCTCCACATTTTATTATCCGTTCAGCGGTGATGGAGCTTGGACGGTGTGGATGTTAGTGGATCTCACGATTCTCACCTCTTGAACTTTTGTTGTCTTGAAAACGCAAAGCATCAACGGCCCAAGAGGGGGAATTGGTGGACAACCAGCGAGGAACTTCCTACCAAAGAACTAGGCGCGTCGGCCGAACCCAGCCACCCCTTCAACACGCCATGCCTCGCGACTACGACGATGACCGCTCAAACAAGCGGAGAAGACTCGACTTCAACCCGCTGCGCTCCGACGACCGATTCGGCGACCTCCCATCGCGCGGATCCAACCGCGGCGGCAATAACCATGGCACCTTCCAATCTCGATCGTCCACTCCACGAGCCGGCTCACGGCTAGCTGGGGCCGCCACGCCCCGCCAGCGCGAGTTTGACGGGCCGGAACCGGGGTCCAACGACGACGCGACGAACGCGCTCGACCGCGACTGGTACGGCGGCGATGACGATCTGGGCGGACACACCTTCGGCGACGACACGCACAACCCCTTTGGGGATGAGAGCGGGTGGGCGGCACAGGAACGCGAGGCGGCCATGGTAGAGAAGAAGGTTGGGCAGTTTGCGTCTACGGGGCCCATGAATGCGCGGCAGATGCAGAAACAAAAGGATGTCGACGCGTGGGAGACAAATCGGATGTTGACGTCGGGCGTAGCGCAGCGGCGGGATATGGGCGGGGATTTTGAAGATGACCAGGAGGCGACGCGGGTGCATTTGCTGGTGCATGACCTGCGGCCGCCGTTTTTGGATGGCCGGACGGTGTTTACCAAGCAGTTGGACCCCGTGCCGGCTGTGAGGGATGCGCAGAGTGATATGGCGGTGTTTAGTAGGAAAGGGAGTAAAGTTGTGCGGGATAGGCGGCAGCAGCGGGAGCGGGCGAAGCAGGCGCAGCAGGCGACTAATGTGGCCGGGACAGCGCTGGGGAATTTGATGGGGGTCAAGGATGAGGATACGGATAGCGCGTTACCGATTGCGGCGGAGGAGAAGGGGGAGAAGAACGGAGAAGCTTCCACGCAGGGCCAGACACCGAGCAACAGCAACAAGTTCAGTGAGCATCTGAAAAAGGCCGAGGGCGCGAGTAATTTCAGCCAGAGCAAGACGCTGCGGGAACAGCGCGAGTTTCTGCCGGCGTTTGCGGTGCGGGAGGAGCTGCTACGGGTGATCCGTGACAATCAGGTGATCATTGTGGTGGGCGAGACGGGGTCCGGCAAGACGACGCAGCTGACACAATTTTTGTTCGAGGACGGCTACGGCGAGACGGGCATGATCGGGTGTACGCAGCCCCGTCGCGTGGCGGCCATGAGCGTGGCTAAGCGTGTGGCCGAGGAGATGGAAGTCAAGCTGGGGAGTGCGGTGGGCTATGCGATCCGGTTCGAGGACTGCACGAGTAAGGAGACGGTTATCAAGTACATGACGGACGGTGTTCTGCTGCGGGAGTCACTGAACGAGCCGGATCTGGACCGGTACTCGTGCATCATCATGGACGAGGCGCACGAGCGCGCGCTGAACACGGATGTGTTGATGGGGCTGTTTAAAAAGATTTTGCAGAGACGGCGGGATCTCAAGCTCATCGTCACGTCGGCCACGATGAACTCGAAGCGGTTCTCTGACTTTTACGGCGGCGCGCCTGAGTTTACGATTCCCGGCCGGACGTTCCCCGTGGACGTCATGTTCCACCGCTCACCGGTCGAGGACTACGTCGACCAGGCGGTGCAGCAGGTCCTGGCCATCCACGTGGGCAAGCCGGCCGGTGATATTTTAGTGTTTATGACGGGCCAGGAGGACATCGAGGTGACGTGCGAGCTGGTGCGCGAGCGGCTGGACGCCCTTAACGACCCCCCACAGCTCAGCATCCTCCCCATCTACAGCCAAATGCCCGCGGACTTGCAGGCCAAGATCTTTGACCGGGCGGCCCCGGGGGTCCGGAAGTGCATTGTGGCGACCAACATCGCCGAGACGAGTCTGACAGTCGACGGGATCATGTACGTGGTGGACGCTGGGTTTTCAAAGCTGAAGGTGTACAACCCGCGGATGGGCATGGACACGCTCCAGATCACGCCCATCTCGCAGGCCAACGCGTCGCAGCGATCGGGTCGGGCTGGACGCACAGGACCGGGCCAAGCGTACCGACTGTTCACAGAAAAGGCGTTTCGCGATGAGATGTACATCCAGACGATTCCCGAGATCCAGCGGACCAACCTGAGCAACACGGTGCTACTGCTCAAGTCGCTCGGCGTAAAGGACCTGCTCGACTTTGACTTCATGGATCCCCCCCCACAGGATACGATCACGACGTCACTGTTCGACCTGTGGGCGCTGGGGGCGTTGGACAACCTGGGCGAGCTGACAGAGTTGGGGCGCAAGATGAACGCGTTCCCGATGGACCCGTCGCTTGCGAAGCTGCTGATCATGTCGGAGGCGTACGGGTGCAGCGAGGAGATGGTGACGATCGTCTCGATGCTGTCGGTCCCCAACGTGTTCTACCGGCCCAAGGAGCGGCAGGAAGAGTCGGATGCGGCGCGCGAGAAGTTCTTCGTACCCGAGTCGGACCACCTGACGTACCTACACGTGTACACGCAGTGGCGGGCCAACGGGTACCACGACGGCTGGTGCATCCGGCACTTCTTGCACTCCAAGTCGCTGCGGCGCGCCAAGGAGGTGCGCGACCAGCTGCTGGACATCATGAAGATGCAGAACATGGACATGGTTAGCTGCGGCACCGACTGGGACGTCATCCGCAAATGTATCTGCTCGGGCTACTACCACCAGGCCGCCAAGGTCAAAGGCATCGGCGAGTACGTCAACCTGCGCACCAGCGTGACCGTCCAGCTGCACCCGACCAGCGCGCTGTACGGGCTGGGTTTCTTGCCGGACTATGTCGTCTACCATGAGCTGATCTTGACGTCCAAGGAGTACATGTCGACCGTCACGTCGGTCGACCCGCACTGGCTGGCCGACCTGGGCGGGGTGTTCTACTCGGTCAAGGAAAAGGGGTACTCGGCGCGCGAGAAGCGGATTACCGAGACCGAGTTCAACCGCAAGATGGAGATTGAGGCGCAGATGGCTGTGGATAAGAAGCGGCACGAGGACGAATTTGCCGCGGAGGAGGAGCTGGCGCAAATCAGGAAGGCTAGGCCGAAGCTGGGGAAGGATAAGAAGACTGTTACGTCTGGGGCGGTTGTCAAGCCGGTGCGGAAGAGGGCGGGGAGGGGATTTTAAGGGAATGAATGGGTTGAATGATATAAAGAAGGCAATACAAGCTGATACCCCTGTTTCCTACGGAATGGCTGCATAACGCTGTATGACAGCGTATGCGTACGGCCTGCAAAACGATACGTCCACAGTACGGGTCTTGTTACGACGGCTTAGGTGATGCGATGTCGTCGGTGCTTATCGGATAACGTTAACAGAGCAGGGGTCATCGCGTCGGGCCCGCCATGCCAAGTCGGGGCCGACCCCGGGCTCGGCCAATATCGGCTAACAAACGTAGGGCCAGCAGGAATGCACCGCTGAAGTCACTCGTCCGTTTCCCGCTTTCACTCTTTTTCGGACATTGTCGATTCGGGCCTCACCTTTTTTTCCCCTCTGCTCTCTCGAGGCCGGCGTACCCCAATTGATTAATACCATATCCCGCACACCGCGCATTAGATTCGCCCAATTGACACCATGAAAGTCTCTCGGTCCACGGCGCTCGCCAAAACCCTGCGCGGGGCCTGCCGAGCGCGCTGCGGGACACCGGCTACGACGATCGCTGTGAGCCGGAGGAGTATCGCCACAACTTCCGGCGGTTTTGTCACCCAACAGCAACAACAACCCAACCATCCACCACAACGCCAACTCCTCGCCTCTCGCCCAGCCACTACTCAAACCCGCCATTATGCATCGGCACCCGCGTCCAAGGAGGAAAACCTCGACATAACCCCCCTCCACCCTCTCCATCTCGCCCACAACGCCAAGCTGGTCCCCTTCGGCGGCTTCTCCATGCCCGTGCAGTACCCCTCCCACACCGTCTCCCAATCCCACGTGTTCACACGCGCCCACGCCTCCCTCTTCGACGTCTCGCACATGGTTCAACGCCGCTTCACCGGCCCTGGCGCGACCGCCTTCCTGGAGCGCGTCACGCCGTCCGGCATCGGCGCGCTGGAGCCGCACCGGAGCACTCTGTCGGTTCTGCTGAAGGCGGACGGGAGCGGGGGTATCGTAGATGATACCGTGATTACGAGGCTAGGTGGTGGTGAGGAGAAGCCGTATTACTATGTCGTGACCAACGCTGGGTGCCGGGAGAAGGACGATGCGTACCTCTCGGAGGAGGTGCAGAAGTGGAACCAGGAGTTCGCGGGGCAAGGCTTGGAGGTGGTCGAGGAGCGGTGGCACAACACCGGGCTGCTGGCGCTGCAAGGGCCCGAGGCGGAGACCGCGCTCAGCTCAATCTTAGCCGCCGATGACCAAGGCTCAGTACCGGACCTGCACAAGCTCTTCTTTGGCCAGTCCGTCTTTGCCAACCTCAAACTCCCCAACGGCTCCGTCACCACCAAGCCCGTGCTCATCAGCCGCGGCGGGTACACCGGCGAAGACGGCTTTGAGATCTCCATCCCAGCCACCGACACCGTCGCCGTAGCCGAAGCCCTCCTCGCAGCCGGCGGAGCCGACAACAAACAAGTCCAACTCGCCGGTCTCGGCGCACGTGACAGCCTCCGCCTCGAAGCCGGCATGTGCCTGTACGGCCACGACCTCGACGAGACCACCACCCCCGTCGAGGCCGGGCTCAGCTGGATCATCCCCAAGGACCGCCGCAGCGCCGACGCGGGCTACTACGGCGCCGAGCTCATCGCGAAGCAGCTCGTGCCCAAGACCAAAGGTGGCGCGGGCATCGACCGGCGTCGGGTCGGGTTAGTCGTTGAGGGCGCCCCCGCGCGCGAAGGGGCCGATATTGCTACGAAGGTGGAAGGGGGAGGGACCAGGAAGATTGGCGTGGTGACTAGTGGGTGTCCGAGCCCGTCGGTGGGGAAGAACATTGCTATGGGGTACGTTGAGGATGGGTTCCACAAGGCTGGGACGGCGGTCCAGGTGGTGGTGCGCGGGCGGCCGCGGATCGCGACCGTGACGAAGATGCCGTTTATTGAGACCAAGTACTACAAGGGGGCTTGAGTTGTGGATACACAGGAAATGGAGAAGAAATGAGATAAAAGGGATACAAATGTATGAAGGGGGGGAGCGGGGTTATTGTTCAACACTGTAATTACGAACCGGCGCTGGCCGTTTTTTAGGGGAGTGTGTTGGTGGGTGGGTGTGTCTCGTTTCACGATACATGTCGATGATGTAACGAATAAGCATAAGGGGAGGCACTTCAACGTTAAGGCGCAAGGAGGTGGATATATCCAACATCGAGGGCAGTCACCATCATTTCAACAGGTCCATGATAGAGTTCAGGGTCGGGCAGTTGTTGAAAAGTAAATTTATTTTCGTTCCAGTATATATATATCCGCATTCCCCCCTTCAGTGTCTTCCTCCTTCATCCTCCTCTACCGCCCCCAAACTCCCACCGTACATACACAGACACCCGAGCGCCCAATAACTCCAACGCTTACTTTGCCTTCCCGCTTGCTACTCCCCCGCCTTCCCTCGCAACGCCACAACAGAGCCCAGATCGATATGATTTCTTGCCCCCCTGAATTTTCTCTCGCGAGGCATCAATATCCGAGCCCATGTTGAATGTTTTGACCCAATATAGCAATACCTATGCAACCGCTCACCCCGTCCTGTCCCGTCCCACGGTACAGTACCGTCCCGCACGCCATTTATGACTCCCATGCTCCGGGTGACATGAATAAAATAAAAACAAGGAAACGAAGGACAACAGGAAAAGTTCCAAAATTACAATGCTGTTCTGTAAAATAAAGACGTATGGGTGATTCTTCCCCTTCCTTCCCGGACATACCCGTTTAAAGGAGATGATAATAAATGCCATGGCTATGAATGAATGATGAATGCCGGAAATAAGAAATGGACTGTCGTCTCTTCCACCACGATGATGGCGTCACATGTAAAGAATAAATAAAAAGAAGATCAAAAAAAAAAAGAAAAAGAAAAAGAAAGGTGAAAAAAAAGAGTAAAAAAGAGTAAAACAAAAAACTACTCCTCCTGCGCCCACCGCCTCTCCCGCAGCGGCAACTCGCGGCCCTCCCGCTCCCGCTTCCCCGTTACCTCCTCACGCCAGGCATAATACTCCCCCAGCCGCGTCTCGGCATACGAGGCATAGTCAAAGTCAATCTCCGAAATAGTCGCCTGGATCAGGGCCCAGATACCCCAGTAAAACCCGGGCACACCACGAAACTGGTCGACTTCCTGCTGCAGCGTTTCAACCTCAGCAGCCTTGTTCACAGCCGCAACTTTGGCGTTGGTGGGCTGGCGTTTCCGGAGGATGGTGTAGTACGACTCGATGTACTCGGATATGAACTCGCGACGCTGGGTGCGGGTCGGGAGCACGCTGAAGTCGCAGTCGAAACCGCCCCATTCGGCGAAGTGGTTGGCGAGGTCGAAGGCGGCGGGGGACGGGGTCGCGTATTCGTAGTCGATGAAGGTGACGGTCGGGTCGGAGGTTTTATCGGTCGCGAGTTGGGATTTGGGCAGCACGATGACGTTCCCGCTGAGGAGGTCGCAGTGTGCGAAGACGAGCTAGATAGGAGGGGAATAAAGTTAGCCGATGAGTTGGGAAAGAAAAACTAGTTGGATTTTGTTTGACAAAGGACAGGACATACCCCATTGACGCCGAGCCCCGGACGCTGGCTAAGCTCCGAGACGAGCGACTTAAGCTCGCGCTGCAGCTCGGCCTGCCGGGCCCGCTGCTCTTCTGTGTCCGTAGGCAGCGCAAAGATCCACTTCTGCATCACCGTCCACACGTTCGGGGGTGGCTTCCCGGGGGCCACGCCGTCGAGGGCAAGCTGAAACTCAGCATCGCCCAGGGCGCTATCCAGGGCCGAGCTCGAGCCGTTCAACGACGACGACGACCCCAGGTTCGACAGATCGACGCGCGAGCCCTTGCGGCTGTGGCCGGTGCGTCCCGCAATACAGGGTACCGTGGCATGCCACTCGGCCAGGCGACGAGCGACGGCGCGGTAGATGTCGGGCTTGCGCAGGTCCTCGGGCTGGGTGACGGCGCCCTGGATGAAGCGGTACATCATGCCGTTCTCGAAGCGGGCGAGCAGTTCCGGGGCCAGGCCGTGGCGCATGAGCAGCTCGTGGTTTTGGGTTTCGCGGTGGCGGTCGATGAGCACGTCGGTGCCAGTGCCGTAGGCGCGCAAGAGGATGGCCTCGCTATCGACCTCGTGCTTGGACAGGCCGGCCCGCTTGTTGACCGCCTTGAGCAGCGTGTTGGTGATGCCGTCGGTGAAGCGGACAAACTGCAGGTTGGCGTCGGCCGATGACGCCCAGTCCGGTCGGATGGCCAGCACCAGGCGCCGGGCCGAGTCTTCGGAATTGGTGCTGTCGTAGGAGAGCGGGATGTACTGGATCGCGTGCTCGTTGTCCCCATTTAGCTGGCCGTTGCCGTGGGTTCCATTCTCGCGGCCGACAGCCATGGCTGGAGCTCCTCGTGGGTAGTGGGGTCCCAAAAGGCCGTGGAGAAAAGGTACGAGAGGACCTCGCGTGCGTAGTTACTTTGTGGTTTGCGGAGTTTGAGTACGTAAGTTTGTTCCTCTTTTTTTTCCTTTTTGGGGGTATTTTTTTTAGGTTTTGCTGAGCTGTATGTCTCTCTTTTGCGTCGAGTTTGAGGACAGGGTGTAGTGGGTCGCAGTATCGAGTGTGTTTGATCACCAGTTGCCTTCGAGAGAAAGGGTGTATGAAGAAAAGCTCTCTTGCGATTTGCGATTTACAAGTACACCAAAAGTACTCGTCAAGGAAGTTGGGAAGCTCGTGCAAATGAGGAGAGCTCTTTTGAACAGCTCTTGTGGTACGTACCGAGGGGCAATTTCAGAAAAGAAAGCGGTGGAGCGATCTTGTGCATGCACAGGGGTCCGCAAGGGGTTTATGCACCAAGACCTGCTGGAATCAGAAAGGCGGGCTGGTTCTTTTTTTCCCGTCCAAGTTGGCAAAATCCTAGAGGTCGGGGGCGGAATTCTACAGAGATTATGGGACAAGCTGGAGCGGTGTTTGATGCAGGAATGCGGCCTCAGCCTTCTTTGTTGAAAGGGAAAACCAGGAAAGTTATGGACATTGAAGCGCGAGGGAGGCCACCCATTACCCTCACACGATCAATTGCCCCTCTGTCCCATGTTAAGGTGCCTGGGCGGGCCCTCGTGGCATCACTGCCCCTGAGCGCCCAGGTCACTGGTTCATCCTTTGGCTTGTGATCTGGCCCGAGCGCCACCCCTGTCGTCATCCACCCCCACACAGCACGGGCCTTACGCGTCTCCATTTTGGCATTTGCTAAGAGATAACTACCTGAGCTAGGCGAGAGAAGTAGATGCCACAGTTGCTTAAAAAGAAAAGAAAAGGGAAAAGAGGGGAAAAAATCGTCAAAATCGCCAAATCAAGAACGAGAAACATGTTAGAATTGAGGGGAATTGAAATAAGCCTAAAGACAACGGCTGAGGAACTGAGTGACTGAAATTCGAATTCAATGAAGACTTGGTACCTATCTAAATTCCATGTGCTCTGACCGGGGCCTGGGACTGGTGGCTCCCGGGCTCACCTCAATCAGTGCACTGCACCGGACGGCCGGTGACTTCCACAGCGCCGAAGAAACCCACCCGACACCCGCCGACTTCCATCCATCAATCACAATCAACCGGCGTCCTCGATTTTCGGATGCCGCGCCGGGACCCGCCGGCGCCGTTTGACGTCACCTACCTAAAGTACCCAATGGACGAATGATGAATTGAATCGCGAACCCGTGCATTGAAACCTCCTCCACGAGCGACAATGGCGCTCCCCATTCTCCCTAATACGGACAACTTCTTAGGCGTGGCCCTCGTCATCAACCGCTCCCGCGACGGCCCGCGTTTTGTCTTCCACTACCCGCAATCTCTCCAACCCTCCAGCGGGGCCCACACACACGCCGGCGGCGCTAGCTCCGGCTCTGGTCCCTGCCCCGGCCCCGGTGACCTCGACGACGACGACAGCGTGCTGCCCAGCCGACCCTCGCGCGATGTCCGCATCGAGACGGGGACAGCATCCGTGGTGCTCGCGGCCGAGCTGGCCCAGTGGAACCACGACGACCACCTGGTCACCGAAAGCGGGACCCAGATCGTGCCGTGGGAGCATGTCGCCGGGTTCCCGACCAAGGACCTGGAGAACATCCTGACGCCGGCCCGCGCGTACCACAAGCGCCTCTTCCAGGTCTCGCTGGATCCTATCTACTGTGTCTCGTATCCGATTCAGGTGCCGGAGAACGGGGTGTGGCGGAAGAAGAAGAAGAAGAAGCCTGTGGATGAGAAGAAGGGTGAAAGACAGCGGCTATCACAGTCACAGTCACAGTCGCTCTCACAGAGGGACTCGGCAGGTGGAGGAAACGGTATCAGGAAGGACGAGGAAGACTCCCGGAGCGGCGGAGAGAAGGGCCCAAGCGATGAGGGCGAGAGAGTCGACGTGCGGGACATGGCAAACCCGACGGCGCAGAGCAGGACGGCCGAGGAAGCTGAGGACAAGAAGAGCTCCATGACCATGTTCAACCTGGTCTTCTTCCTCAACCCCAAGAAGCACGAGGTCAAACCGCTCGTCGACATCATGTTTACCCACATAATCAAGAAGATCAACAAGGCCTACAAGTACTGCCAGCAGCGGAGTGACTTTGTCTGGAAAGAGTCGAAGCGGATACTGGCTCTCAAGGACAAGGGGCGCGAGGACAGTATGTAGCACCCTTTGAATCCTAGTTGGATCGTTAGCTGACGTAAACTCACAAACAGAGCGCAAGATGAGCTCGCTCTGGGAAGAGATCCTCTCTACTTCGTCCCTCGCCGCATCCATGCAAGACATCTACGAGGCCGTCTCCCAAAACCGGATCGCCGCTTTGCAGCTCGACACGCCTGAGGGTACCGTGACACATTCGGTGCAGATCCCCGTCCCATTCCACGTCTCGGATCTCCCCGATCAGGGCGAGAAGGGCCGCGATGGGCTCTGGTTGACCACGGCAAACTCGGCCATGGCTGAGGAGGCCGTGGAAACGCCAGGCTTCCTGGATAAGAACTTTGCCCTCCTTCTCATGATGGACGAGAAGAGGGTCGTTGCCGAGCTACAGAACGACCCGGATGAGACAACGCTGGCCATGATTGAGTTTGTGCGCCACTGCAAGCCAACCCTCTCGTGAGTGCCTCCAGTTCATGATCTCATAGTATAATCTTGGAGTTTGTTCGAATCTTCAACAGCTAGCTAACACTGTTTTTTTTTATCCCAGCTTTCACCAAGTATGCCAGCTTTCCAGCAACATCCTCACGCCCGCCCAAGTGCGCAAGTACGCCCAGCACTTTATTTTCTGGCGGCGCGCCATCGCCATCCCGCCTCTTCACGCCCGCGACATGTACATTGTCAGCCCCAACTGCGACATGCGCAGGTTGCCCCAGGCCGCTATGCAGTGGGCGCGCCAGTTCCCCCTCTCGCCGTCCTTGCCCAACTTCCTCGCCGAGCTCAGCGTGGCCCCGCGGCCGTACAAATTACACTGCCCTAGCAAGGCCCATCGCCCGGTCTACATGGCTATGCTGGCCTGGCTCATGCGTGGCGGCTGGGTCACACAACTGTGTACCTTTGCTTACGTCGTCGTCTGGCCGGAGATCATCTACGAGGTCGAGCACGCGCTCGAGGCCGAGGATATCGCGCGGGCGTACAGCTCGCCGAACAAGGGGCGTGAGTCGGGCAGTCCTGAGCAGGAGGAAAGGAAGCAGGAAGAGAATGGTGGTGGTGCTACGGATCTTGGCACCGACGCCGAGGCCGGTCCTGGTACCGCAGCGACGACTCCAGGGGCATATCCCTCTACCGCGAGCCCCGGGCTTGGAGACTCAGCCGTGTCAGCTTTCCACTCGGGTTTCCTCCCGCTCCTCGCTGAGCCCCACGACCACACCTCTCCCAGTACCCCAAGCCTTCGCAACCTCTCGCTCTCCCACTCCAACTCCCACTCCCCCATCTATCCCACGACCGCCACAGGGTCAACACCCGTCTCCCCGCTTTCCACTCGCATCACCTCTCCTATGCCATTACCTACCTTCCACTCGACTAGCACTAGCGCCGATGACGACCACGACGATAACAACAACAACAATAACAACCACACTCACAACAACGGCAGCAGTCCACCCTCGGAGCCCACCCCCGTCGAAAAAGCAGCCGAAAAAGCCCGCCTAGCCCGTCTCGCCGACCGAGCCGCCCGAGCCCTCGCCGAGCGCGCCACCGCCCACGCCCGCAAGGCTGCGCCTCAACAGACAGCCCACCCCAGCGTGAACCGCGCGCCACACTTGGACAGAATCACTCCCCACGTAATCTTAGACGCGAAGAAGGCGACGGGGCGGGAGAGTCTGTATCTGAGCGCGATCGAGAAGCGGTTGCGGGAGAGGAAGAGCGTGAGTGGCAGTCGGATTGGAGAAAGGGAGAGAGGAGGAGGAGGAGGAAGTAGTAGTAAGCACAGCCATAGGAACGGACACCACGGCCACAGCCACGGCCACAGCAGCCTCAACAGAAGAAACCACCCCACCAACCGTCTCACCACTGTTTCCACATCCACCATCAACACCACAACCACAACCACCACCACAACAGGAGCCAGCACCAGCGACACCCCCACCCAAACAACCAAAGCAGGAACCGGCCCCAACTCCACAGCCACCCCCAACAACAACCCCAACAACAACCCCAACAACAACCCCACCACACTAGACTGGGACGAGCGCGTAGCCAACAATTGGCCAGTCCTCTGCAAGTACTTCAACGGCCGCTCGGCGCTTGAGCGCATCGCGCTGCAGGAGGACATGAAGCGCAAGGACGTGTGGAACCTCCTGACGGGGATGAGCGAGTACCTGCTTTCTGTGAGGCATTGGTAGGGCCTTTGGGGAGATGAGTCATTGTGTATATATATAGGTATGTAAGTATCGGGGTGGGAAAGAGGTTGGTTGTTTGGGGAGGGGGGGGATAGGGGGGTAAATTGGGGTAGAGAGTTGGCTGGGTGGTTTGGTTTGGGGGTCTATGGGGCGAGGGTGTGGTCCATAGGTTGGTCATGTTCGAGGTTAGTTATGAAGGCGGCCCTTTTGTTTATCCGATATAAGATGTCTACACGATGTCCTATTGGCCGCTATACGAGGTATCAACACAGACCCCTTCAGCGTATTTACACATCATGTTTACATGTTACGTATACCTATGTAATTACGTCGTCAAAGCTCCCGGTTCCAAACAGCCGGGTGCGTGAACAGACATGTGGGCTGCAAATAAGCTCCCGTAGAGCCGCCGCTTAAAATTGGACCTACGTCTAGAACAAGTATAACGCAACAGGCACTGTGGAGAGAAAAAACAACCCCACGCCGTCCCAAAGTTCAAACCCCTTCCCCGCGGCGCGACATAGGGGTCCGAGTGGATTAACTGGGTCCGGGTGAGTTAAATCCGACGACAAGAGCACCAGACATGCCACGCGTGAAGAGAAGAAACTGCAGGCGTGTATTGAGGGTATTATCATAAAGCCGTTAAACAGTCCGGGCTGTTCATCACCTCCTCCCCGATGATATGTCATGTCGTCAAAAGGATGCAATGCCAAGAAATAGGAATAGCGAGAGCGAGAGCGAGAGAGTAGCGACGTTCATGGGAGGTCGTGCGAGGTTGTGTTCAGCCAAAAAGGGAATGAAAGATATGGTAACTCGGTAAATGTAGAAAAGAGAGATGAGGAAAAAAGCCGTTTGGCACAAAAGCGCCCCAGCCCATACCGGCCGCCAACCATCGCCGGCCCTATGCCGAACAAATCAAACCCATCAGGTATCATCCTAAGTGCAGGGAATCATAACCGGACACATAGATACAAGGAAAGATCAAGACGGCATATCCGTGGGTGCCCCCTTCCCGCAGGGGCCGAGGGCCGTCCGAAGAAACGACACCAGTGCGCCGTGAACCCACATGCGCCGTAAACAACCCCACATATGCATAAGGTATAATCCCAGAGCAATGAAAAACAATGCAGATGCAGACCATGAAAAGCCAGAACCTTGAATGAATGGGATAGGAGAAGGAAAGAAAGCATCAAGACGAAATGAATAACTAAGAAATAGAATAACGGGAACGGGAAGGAAAAAAGAAATGTAACCCTTGTCTTGAGCCTAGGAAGGGCCTCTTCAGGTTGACGTCACCTAATGAACGACTAACCCGTCAAGTCCATCCCAAACTCATCTTCCTCCTTGAAGACATCTCCGTCGTCATCAAAATCGATCAACTCCCCATTGTCAAGCATGTCGTGATGCATACTGTGGCCGTTTTCACCAGGACTGACGGAGCCATGGTCAACCTCCTGGCCATTGCTACCGAGAGGTTCGCCCTTGTAGTCAGTGTGATGGGGCACACGGAGGCCGGATCCAGCAGTGCGCGAGTACGACATGGCTGGCGACTGTCCGCCAGGCTCGTCACTACGGGCAATAGCCTCTAGCAGTTCAGATTGCATCCGGCGTTCATCATCCGTGATCTCAAAGGGGAGTTGTCCACCACGCTCGTAAAGAGCATTGATCAGTTCTTCTTGCTGTTGGATCTTCAAGTGCAACATCCACATCAGATCCCGAGCCCAGCTCACAGCGCCGTTGAGGATGTCACCCTTGTTCGGGCCCTTGTCCTTGTCCTCGATTGGCAACCCCGTGGTGATGTTGCCGGCATTGCCGCCCGCGGCCCGACGAGCGCCTGGGCCAGCCAGAGAAGACGTCGCTTGAGACGGCGCACCAATCCCCGAAAGAGTGGGCGACAGCGGTGTGCCGTTTTGTATGGCCTTCCGAATCTTCTCGTCCTCCAGACGGTGAGCAGGAACCAGCTTGCTGAGATCCTGAATGCGCTCATTAATGTTGTCACGCCGGCGGCGCTCGACGAGGTTATGAGACTCTCGGCGTCGCTTCCGCCTCGCCTCTTGGGTGGAGGCAGCGGCCGACGGAGCACCAAGCTTAGCGGGCATGGACACACCTCCCTTGAGGATCAGGTCGTTGATCTGCGTGCTCGGGAGACCCTGCTGGAGCGGCGAGGAGAAGCCAGAGCCCGGGAAAGAGGACAGGCTGTTGGGTGTCTGGATCCATTGTCCGGAGCGAGACTTTTCGTGATGGGCCCCGCTTGTCCTAATCGGCTGAGCGCCATAGGTGCCCTCGGTGTTGACTGCCATCGTAGCCATGGAAGCAGATTTGGGAGTGAGCGAGCCCCTCGCGGCTTGCGATTGTTTGCGCTGCATAGGGGTGGTGCCAAGACGGCCCTGAGCCTGCGCCTGCGCTTGGGCCTGGGCATTAAATACGTTGGTGGCGCTGTCGTTGCCATCACCCATGTCTGGGTTGGCCAAAGGGGAGCCGCCGTAGGACAGCGGCGACTTAAGCGCGCCGCCAAACGACTGCGGGTGGCCCATCTGGCGATAAGCAAAGTTATGGGCGAATGGGCTCTGGATCGGGTCGCCGTCGGGCGTGCTTGAGTAGCCGTTGATGGGGAGGCCGTAGACCCCGTGCGAGTAACCCACGCCCACAACGTTGTCGTTCACCCCCCCGAAATCTTGCATTGGGGCCTCGCCCGGGCTGTTCAACCCTTCAAGCAACTCATCATCCCCAAAGATAGCGGAACTACTTGAATACGCGGTCGACGAGCTGTTGCGGCTGCCGAAGTTGTGTTGTTGGAACCCCGTTTGGTAGTTGAGATCGTTCGGGTCGATCCCATTGTGCCCGTTCATTGTAAAACCGTGCTGTGCCATTGCGAAAGTGGTGGAAGTGGAAGGCTTATGCAGAAGGAAAGAAATATGAAACAACGTCGAGGTCGCTCGGAATATAGGATGCGCTTCCTGAAAGCTTGTTTGTAGTTTTGTTGATATTGGTTCTTATATTGGTTTCGCTACCGGCGATATTGAACCCGAATGCCGAGTTGATGTTGAAACCCTCTGCGCAAAAGGGGTCCAAGGGCACCTGAGCGGGATGCACGTTAGCTCAGGATTACAGAAGCCACAACGGCGTCATCTAGCGATACTGTCAGAGCAGGCCGCGGCTGTGCAGTTGGCTAGAACACTGAGGGAGAACAGACCAGTTTTATGGATATGCCTAGAGGGAAAAGAAAATTCGGTCTCTCGCTGTCGGGCCGTTCTCCATCAGGCAGGGCAGGATTGAATGCGGGGTGGAGGCGGTCGGTCGTCGGTCGGTCGAGCCGAAGCAAGGATGACTCGATCGTAGCGATGTTGCCGCTCGCTTACTAGGTGGGGTCTTGCCGGAATGGTTGAAGCAACTCGAAAATTCTTGAGGCCGCGATCGAAGGTCGTGCAGAATCCGGTGTTGTGTTCGGTGCGCACGGGCAGGATGAGTTGAGAAGATGTGTCGGATGTGACAAGTTCGGTGGATGCGGTGGGTGGAAATGCTAAAAGTTGGGAGGGTGCGGATGTGGGGAGCGTCCGGGCTGAACAATGCAGCCGCTTAACCCACTTGGGAAATGGTCCCTTCGGGCCGCTCGCTCTGCAAAGAAAGCGACCAAGAACCCGTCGCGGGACAAAAAATGTTCAAGAAAATGTTCCTTGTCTGGGACGGGGCCAACCGGGCTTGAAGGGATGATGCCGTGGTACCGGCACTCGAAGGAAGTCCCGGCCTTATAAAAAGCAAGGCAGGCGGGAAGAACGCGGGATGTGGGACGCGAAAGGCTCCCTGCCAGGGAATAATATGAGGTGGTGCGTGCTAGTGGTAGGCGAGGATGTGCGAGTTGGGGGAATGGAGCGGGGAAGATATTGGCGGGGGAGAGTGGTGGGGCGTTTATAGTCTCCCCAGGAAGAGCGGTAAAAGATCGTGAGCTCCCCAGGCGAACTCGGATGAAGCGGCACCGCCAGTTGCGAGTGTGCCGTTTCTGGCGTTGTTGGGGTTGCGGGGTTCTTAGGCTGGACTTGGGTCAAGCAAGCGCCTTTGCGCAATCGCTGATGGACGAAGGCCACCTCGAGTTGAGTGCGGCTGTGGTGATGGTTTGCAAGCGCTGTAGCAAACGCTTGAGATGGGTTTTCGGGGATGAGTTGTGGTTCTTGGTGACTCGGGTTGGGACGGTTGGGACGACGGGAACCCAGGGGCCAGAAGAAAGCAGCCAACCGGCTTATGGGGGCAAATGGTGGGAAAGGCAGAGGTAAAGACCGCGTAGTCAGAACGGAAGTTGCGGGAACGGCGGCTGAGGCTGAGTTGGTATTCCTTGGCTCTCTTTGCACGGAGTACCCTGATTTGGACAGGGTGAGGCACACACTGGGAAGGCGCTGCGAAGAATCCAAGCGCAACTCAACAAGGCGGGGGGTCCTGGGCAGCGGCTCGCCAAGAATATAACCGGGAAGCCGGATTCAAAACTTCTCCTAAAAACCGGCCTGGTAAAGGGGAGAATAAGACGAGCGGTAAATCAGGGAACTGAGTCAGAAACGATATGTCTTGCTGGCCTTTCCCTCGTTCACTGTAAGACGGCAGACAGTGTTGACGTTCTGTCAGAGTGCTGCTCCTCTTTGAGAATGGCCGTGAGCTGACTTGGGGTCCTGATTGGCTGGCTCCGAATCAAAAAGGAAGGCCGGTACAACGGGACTGCCGGGTAACTTCCAGGTTCAGACTTGTCACCTTTCTCCGTTCGGCGTGGAGGTGACTTCGTAAGGGATGCCAACCACTGTTGTTTGTCTTTTGCTTTGGCGATTTCCAAGTTATTTCGCTCACTCAACTTCTCTCCGTTGCAAACAAGTTCGGTCCCAGTGCGAGTGAGTGCCGGAGACTGACTCTTGGTGTTCGGCGGCAAGGGCGCCAGATAGCGGGGTAATCCTCCTGTGGACAAGGGTTTGGACTCCAAGGCGGCGCTTGCCGAGTGCGATGTTGGTGATAGACGCGCAAGAACTTGTTTCCTGTGTTTGGCGCGGTCCGGGAGCACCGCGGGAGGCTAGTGTATGCCGAGATTCAAGTCTTCGATTGGCCGATTTCGGACGACGAGATAAACGTTTGGTCTCTCGTTGGGCCGTCGTCGTGAGGTGGTTGGGAACTGCGAGCTTGGGGTGTTGGTTGACAAGACAGCTTTAAACTGCGATGTGGGCGTTTGTCTTACGATCGTCGGTGCCAGATACGAGGGATCTGGAAGAGAGCTGCGAACAACTGCAAGAAGAGAAACGGGATCATTTTCTCAGCATGCTGGGCGCATGTGGCCGCTCGCTGTCCTTTTATCGCTGGCTCTGAGGCCTCAAGGCCCACTACACCTTGATATCTTAAGCCCTGCACCTTTCCAGTAATCCATGAGTCGCCTGACATCGAGACTCTAACAAGTTGGTGTGCTGAGAAATGGGCAGGTACCGACCTACCTGAGAGACACTCCCAGGCGCAAAATAAACGGGGAGGAGAACGAAAAATGACCGGTCCGTCGTGAGCCTTAGTTCTCCCACCTTGCTCACCCCCTCCTCACCGAAAACCTGCCCGGACACAGCCAGTGTGACTCGCAGGTGAGACACCCAGGCACACCAACGAGGAGCGCAGCCACCATTTTTTCCCACGCTTGGTGGACGATACGTAATGACTCCGCGGATCGAGCTTTGCAGGCGCCAAGACATGTCAAAGGTGGCCGGTCTTAACGCTGAGAGGACCGACTGGCCGCGGCAGCCCCGGTCCGACGGAGGTTGGTTGCAGGGCAGGACGAGTGCCGGCATCAAAGCTCCACGGCGCGACAGGGACGCAGAAAAGGGATCGGCCCGTGTGATACCCAGTACATCGGCATCGTACACTACACTCCTACACTCAAGAATTCTGAATCGGTAAAAGATTAAGTGGGTTCCGGTGGGGTGCCGGCACACCTCCTGCTAGATATCCCGGGTTGCTAAGGTAGATCACTCTCGTTGAGCATCGCGGTCTCGCTTGACGAGGGGAAGCGGGAAGAAAAGGAGACCAGCCGACTTCTCGCCCATTCCGATCCCTGAGGCTGCCATCACAGGAAGCGCTCAGGAAAATAATCAGCCCAGGAATGTTGGGCTCAGAGTTCAGACCCAAGAAAACGTGGAATCAAACACAGCGTCCTAGTCGGCATCCGCCTTTCCTCCCTCGTGTTCGCCCTCCGTTTCACACCCCTCCTCCGTTTTCCAATCTGAGAAGCCCGAGGACCGCCGCTAGTCGGATCGCATCTTATCGGACGGCGGGGTCAAGTGAGTCCCCACGTGATGGCGCGCGATCTCTAATTTATTGGAGTGCGCGGGAATCGCTCCGGGTTGAGGTCGTTGAGGTGTGGGTGTTGTTACACCGAAAATAGAGACAGACTTCCCAAAGATGCCCAAACCAAAATGGCACCCTGGCATGGCTGGCACCCTCCTTGAGTGGTCCGTGACCACTTCAATGTGGGTCCTGAGTGGTCAGAAAAGCCAATCACGGGGGCAGGATCGACGAAGTGGGTGCCCTCCCGGCCCCCCATCCTGCAAGGATGCCGTTTCCAGAGCTTGCGCAAGCGTTGAACCGCAACCCAGCAAACCAACTGCCTGCTTCTGCTTCGATCATCCATTGCTCTGGGAGGCAGCGGCCAAAACACGACCACCCACCCACACACCCATAGCGTTCGAATAGCGCCAACCCATCGGCCATATCACAGAGGGCGCGTGTGTGGCGCGGAACCGGCCGAACCGACCGTTTTGACTCGTTTTCGATTACGACGACCGCGAACAACAGTGAAAACAAAAGGAGGAGGGAGAGCTCGGTTCATTCCAGACTGCCGAGCAGGGTAAACGAGAAGACACCCTCCCAGATCACCGCGAGGAAAATCATCTGCGCACGACGCCGGATCATTCTCGCTTCCACTCTTAGGCTAGCTCGTCGCATGACTTTGCAGCTACGATGGTGTGTTGAGCAGCCGACTTGGACGACAGCTTCCGTTACCGCACCATTTCCATCCACACCTACGCACCCGAAGTCTTCCGTCCTTCAATCCACCTCCTAGACCTAATCCCGTCGATTCTACTCTCTGTACTTACGCATCCGCTCGCCTACACACCACCCTAGGCCTCGACTGGGGTCACCGGGACCGCATCAGCCTCGTCCATCTCCCACGCCCGACCCCCCCACCGAGCCACGAGCCGAGACCCCCGTGAATCCCCCGAGGCGTCCTACTCGCCCAACGCTCTGTCCCCACACTCTTCGCCCATCAGCCTTGCCAGAGTGATACCCTAGGGTGCGCGGAACGACCCCCGAACAAGACGACTCTGGCGGACTATGGCATCGGCGTCGTTTCGCGATTCGATCAACAACCTGGGTTGGTCGCGCCGCACGGCAGACCTCCCGGTGAACACAGCACCGCAAGGCGGCTTTCTCTCCTCGCTTCAGTCATACAACCCGTTCGGCGACCGTGGCTATGTCCAACTTCCCACACATGAAGGCCCTGGCGCCCCATTACCAGCGCCTAGTCGCCGCGAAGAGGAAGAAGCGTGGTTTGCTTGTGAGTCAACCCCGGTTTTGCCTATCTCCGATGATGCCTTTCATGCCCTTCCTTGCCACCCCACGCCGCAACCTCCCGCCCGCCTTCCCGTCTGGTTTTGTCCGCCTTGGGTCCTTGATCTCCCCTGCAGAAAGACCTATAATCCAGGACATGTGCCGGTTTTGCATGGCGGTGTCTCAGTCAGCCCCACCCCCCTTTGCTACGGTTCACTCTATCATGATCACTTTCTCCCACACTTGAGTCTCTCATCTTTCTACTTCCTTTTTCTATATGCTTGTCGGCCGAATACCTCCGGGGCGAGGACTAATTTTTGAGACATAGTGAGTCGATGGGACCGTCTGCTGATCTTTGGCGCTTGCAACCTCGGAGCCCTCGCCTGCTTCGTCATCTGCTTCACCCTGTTCCCCGTCATTTCTTTTGCGAGGCCGCGCAAGCTTGTCGTCCTGTGAGTACCATGTTCGGTTCGATCTTTCCGCCGCTTGCAGTGTGCCCAAGTAGAGTGCCAGGAACACAGCTTCGCCCAAAGGCTTTCGAAAGCCACTCGGGAGCATGTAACTGGAGGGTTCGGTGAAGCTACCGTTTAAACGGCAAGCTTTTGGAATCCTTTAGAAGTGTCTCCCCTCGGGTACACTGTAGATCGTGGCGATATGACCTGAGGCTAACTTGGAATGATCTTCTTAGATGGACGTTGGGCTCGGTGCTTTTCCTGTCGTCGTTCGCTGCCATGATGGGTCCTTGGGCATATGTACAACACCTAGCTTCAACCCCGCGGTTACCCTTTACGGCCGCCTACTTTGGGTCTCTCGGGTTGACACTCTACTTTTCCGTCGGCGTAAGTGCCCCACCAAGTTCGGGTCCGCACTCAAATCCCATCGGCCGCGGGTTGCTAATCCGAAATCGCAGCTCCAAAGCACGATCCTCACACTGTTTGCGGGTCTCGCCCAGCTCGCTGCGTTGATATGGTACCTTGTGAGCTACTTCCCCATGGGCTCAAGTGGGTTGCGCCTGGTCAGCAGTTTTGGTGCTCGCCGAGCGGCCGCCTGGATGACCAGTTGAGTAGGAAAGGGAAAAGACAGGAGAGGGCGGCGTCACAAGGTTCAAAACCATCCTCCACTCTGTCCGCATTACCACCTTTCTTTGTTACCTGCGGCTGACGGTTTCCCCTCATGGACGTCGCCGTTGTATTTTCTGTACACTTTTGTATAGCAGTGTGTGCTAAACAGCTACAGTTCTTGTCGCCATCTAATTTCAAGAGCGTGGAATTTGAACCCCAGCCCAAGTGTTTTCCATCACATGCCTTGTAGCCCATCCAGTTCACACGCATGCTAGTTCCAGCCGATAGCAACCAAATAATCAAGCAAACCCAACCCCCTTGTACCCTCGTTCTGGCCATCCCGGATGTAGGCACGGCCCGGGCCCCGACTGCGCAAGCCACGAGAGGACCAGACCAGACTAATTCTCATATTGACCGGGAACACCAAGCTGCAATTATTTAGCCGGAGGTTAAACCACCTTCAACCATGCTCCACACACGAACGAATAGCTTTCCAGGCGACTGGTTTTCCTCGGTTTCGCCTTGCTTGGTCGGCCATCCTGTGTTAATCTCCCTCCTCACCATCGCTCAGCCGTTGCCTACCATCTAGTACTGCGACAGTTACGTGTCGCGACGGGAAGCGACAGCGCGATGTACTATGTAAGCATCTTTGCCGAAAGGCTGCAATATTTCAAAGGCAGGCAGCTTATCATGCAGACCTTGAAAACCATTGTGGGAGGGCAGCTTGGGGCTAGGCATCTACATATCTTTTTTTCTTTCCATGGACTGAGTATCGCGCCTGCGCGACGAGGGAATGACGTCTGAGATGAGGCGTTCCTATTTGCCGCCTTGTCTTTCGTGCTTCTGTGATGATGGGTAGGCAGCCAGTTAAAGGCCTGGAAACGATGGAATGGAAACGTCGACATCTTTTCATTTGCCAGATTTTGCATTCTTGGTCTTTGGTTGCGCTTGCCCACCTTCTCAACTTTCGTTAAGCTGCCAGTTATTGAAACAAGTCCTAAACTTAATCTTCTACTCAGTAATTTTGGCCGCGTCTCGCGCTAACCTTCGGTTTCGGGGACCTTCCTGTTCCGAGAAGCTGTACGGATCCGTACCCTGGTGCAGCGCGGCAATGTGAATGTGTGGGAGTTGTAAAATACTGAAAAGGTTCGGTACCCCACCTCGGCCGGCCCCTCCGGTCCACCTGACAAACTATCTGACTACAAAGTAAATGGTAAACCACGCTTTTTTAAGGAGTCGATGCAATCATGTCTAGAACCCCTCGATGTGTGTGTTGTAAATGAAGAGTCCTATGAAAACTGGGGAAAGTTTCCAAAAATAAAATTAGGGCGGGCAGGAACTAGTGATTAAATTGACCATTTTGCTCTTGCGGTGGGAAATGCCCTGTGACGCGGGGTCTGTGAGCGTTGGAGCGAAACGGGAACAACATCCCACTTCTGCCCGCAGCGGGCACATCTGACGGGACTTACAGAACCGATTGGGGTCCTAAAAAAGTGCCACCGCGCAGGAAGCGCATCAGGCCATCGTCGGACAGGGCAATCGGCAGCCCAGAGCTGGGCAAGCGGCTTGTTACCTAATCTAAGGTCCTCTTTGAGGGGTTTCCGGCCTCAAACGCCTGGTATTCTCTTTCAAGAGCTGCACGGATGTTGATTATGTTGCACTACCCGTGGGGTCCGCACGTGGGAATTACCCCCCTTCCGTCCGCTGTCTCGGTTGACAAAGCCGCAATGAAGCAACGAGAAAAGCTTCGAAGAGGGATTGCCATTTGATAGAGAGTGTTGTAAAAATCACTGGTGTTCCGAACACCGGAGACACGGTTCGATTCACGAGTAGATGAGGTGAGATGCCTATGCCTGCAGCGATGCGAGGTCTTCGGGCTTCAGAACAGGGATTACTTTATTCGTTCAGTGTGGGCCAAAGACACTGCGTGAATAGACCACCACCCCGATGCTCCTTACAGCCGCCTACCTAGGCAAAGCACGGAGCCATTGGCAGGGTCGCCCGAGGTCCCTCGTCTCAATACGGGAAGAGGAGGCAGGTTGCCATCATCGCCCCGGATTTTCCCAGCAAAATGCTACCGGACGGAAATTGCTGAAAATCAATCCACGGCGTGCCCGTGGCAGCATCCGGCTGTGAGAACCTTTGTGCGAGGAAGCGAGCAAGACAAAAACCGGTTGGTCATTCCGGCGCTGGCTTTGACGCCAGATCTCCTTGTGCCGTACACGTGCAGAGTGTTAGTGACATCGTGAGACGCAGCCTGCTTTGTTAGTTCTCGAATTCGAGGTTTCATCAGCGGGTTGAGGCCACACCCCGTGTTAAGGCCCTCTTGGTCACGCCGAGAGGATTGATGAGTTGCCTTGAGCCGAAAAGCATGTATCTGATTATCCCCGCCTACCTCGGAAGGGAACACTCATTGTTGCTTGTGGCGCGTGGAACTTCTCACAGGAGGGAAAGTCGGTTTCACGGGTCTTCAGTGTGATTCGGTGTGGTTCTGGGGCGGTCAAGGCAGTGCAAGATCAACATGAAGAATATTTAAAGCGAAACTCGACTTGTTCCTGGCCGCCGTGACTTGGTATCGCGTAGGATTTTCCGTGTTCGATTTTCCTCGTTTCCCAAGTTGCTTCCCAGTCATTCCTTGCAAATCGGTTGCAGTGCCGACTTATATTCGCGCAAAGCCAGAACCCCACACCATACAGCGGGCCCTCCCCTCCGCTCCGGAATTCCAGCGCTGCTGTGCAGGTGGGCTGGGCATTTGGACGATTCGAGCTGTTTAGGTTCGGGCTCTAACTCCACCATTTCTTTAGCAGCGTCCGAAAGCCGAGAAAAATTTATTCCACACACACAAATCTCATCCACTTTACGCCCGCCCTGGGAAGCACCTCTGCGTACTACCCCCTCGGCGCACTTTTTTATTTTCCCCTTCTTTTTTTTCCCTCCTCGAACCATCCCTCACTCCTCATTCCCGCATTGTGCCCTCACCTTATTCAGGACACTCTTTTTTCTAGAGGTCAGTCGCCAGGCAAAGGGCACTGTCTTCGGTCGCCCGTCGACGTCAGCTCCGTTCGGGCTTCTCAGCACCACCTGCACAGCAAAAGTTGCATTGGTAACGCATAAGGTCCCCGCCGCGTTTGCCCTCTGCACTCTTTTTTCCCTTTTATTTCTCTTTCCTCCCTTCGTCAGTCCCGCGTCGCTTCGACAGCCCTTTCTCTAAGCAGGAGACGCCGCTACTTGTGCGATCCAACGAATCCGAAAGAGTCGTTCCTGACCTTGACCGAAAAGTTCGTTTTCGCCTCCAAAGAGGTCATCCCCCCCTCGCGATACACCCGGTACTCCCCCACGCCGTTTGCCAGGCTGGGTTGTCATCGGCCGCTTCAACTCCGACCGTCGCGAATTCCTTTCTCGACAACTCTCTTCCGCTTCCCCTCTTTCGCTCGGGTCTCGACGCCCCAGCGTTTCGTTAGTGCGGGGAGGTTGTGTTGACCTCTCCGGACATCGCTCGATCCTAGCGAAGGTCATTGAGCTCAGCAAGCAATTTTTTGCTTGCCTATTCTTGATCGACGAGCGTATACGCTTCGCTCGCACGGCCGCCGCGGTTCTTGACCGTTGGTTATTTTAACAAGGTAGTCAGGGCGACACCGTCGGCTGTATACCCCGCCAACGAAAATGTCGGCTGCGACTTTTTCCTACGCGCAAGCCGCGCGAGGCCGCACCATTTCCCAGCCAACCCCTCAAGAGACATCGAGCCCTGCCCCATCGACGACTGGTTCGCAGGTGAAGGATGACGCTTCCACCGGCGCCACATCAGGAACGGCCCCATCGGTCGTGTCGACCGCACCAGATATTCGGGACACCGAGCATTTGGGCTCGACCTCCGCCGAGGCTGGGTTGAAGCAGGACTCGGAAATCGCATCTGTGGCTGGTTCCCATTCTTCCGCCCCATTCCCCGCCGAGCCGTCCAGCAAGACGGCCAATGAAGCCGGTACAACACCCGCCGACTCCCAAAGACGGGCCCAGAGCCAAGGTGAAGAAAAGGCGTCCCGTCCGGCTAGCCGAACCTCCCGGGTTAACGACAGCACGGAGGGTAGAAAGGGCCGGAAGGGCAAGAAGGGTCGCGGTAGCGACAAAGATGCGCCCAATGAACAACAGCAGGAAGAGGAAGCCGAGAAGGCAAAAGAGCCCCCGAAGCCGGTCATTCTTACCGAGGCCCCGCTTCCGACTGTGAATCCTTGGGCAAAGCGCATAGAAGCTCGGGGGGCCATGGTGTCGGCCTCAGCTGACGCTGTATCGAAACAGAGCACCTCATTAGAGGCGGCCACCCCTCGTGATGCCACCAACGGCATCAATGGAGACAAGTCGGCTCACAAGAAGTCAGTGGAAACATCACGGCCCACTGACCAAGCTTCGCGCCGCAACGGGCCTCGTGGTAGCCGTGCCACCGACAAAGACGACAAGACTTCAGCTGCCTTACCCCCCGCCGCCGACCCCTCGTCGTGGCCCGATCCGAAATCAGCTGCTGTGCGGGACCAGTTGAGTCGCAAGGTGTCGGAGAAGACGGATGCAGCGGAGAAGGACAGCCTGGACGAAGCTGGCCCGACGCGCAAGAAGACATGGGAGAAGCTCGACATTGTGCACTCGGTTGTTTTCGAGACACAGCTTCCCCAGCTCCGCGGCAACAAGCCCCGCAGTAGCGCCCCGCGTGGTGGCCGCGAAGGAGGCTCAATGAGGGGCAACAACCACTCGAACGCCGCTGCTGGCACCACCCCTCAGCCGGCTGCTGGCTCAGCCAGCGACAAGGCCTCTCCTGCTCAAAGCGCCTCGGGACCAAAGCCCACCGCCACTCGCCCCCGTGAGGGCAGTGTTGCTACCCGTACCGGCACTCAGTCTCAGCCGCCGCACACGTCGAAGCGTGCTCCGACCGACGGCGCTTCGCGCGAACAGCGCAAGGCACCTGTGTTGGGGAACCCGGCAGACCAGAGCCGTGACATTGGTCTCGACGCCTCATCTGTAAGTCTCAGCACCCTTGCAAGCCCCATCTTCTCGCGGGCAAAGCCCATCTTGCCTTCATTTCCAATTCGGTCCCTAACCAAAAGAACGCAGTCCTCCAAGAGAGCTAGCGCGACACGAGATATCCGGCTTGAGAACGGGTCTCTCAACCTGGAGAACGGACAATCAGGGACTCGCAGCCTACCACAAGAGCGCAACAACTTCCAACGAGGCGAGTATCTCAAAGATGGCACACATGGCCAGTCCTATCCAGCACGCGACGGCCGTCCCGACCGCGGCCGTGGTGGCTCCTACCGTTCTCGCGGGAACCACAGCAACTCGCAACATATCCCGTCGGGGTCGTACGCTCCCAACGGCCATTACCCAGCTACGAACGGATTCCAGTCTCGGCAGAACTCCAACACCCATAGCCCCCCGCCTTTCTCAGGCCAGTTCCCTGCGTCCTTTGGTCAGCCGTCGAGGGGACGAGGCAACAAGTGGACCGGCTCTAACCAGCCAAACAACCGCAACAACGCGGGTGCTACGGGATTCCCGCCCAAGGCCGCTCCTGCAAATGATTATGCGGTCGGCCAGTACCCACCGTACATGTACTCACCGATCTTTGACGCCTCGGTCCCAATCCTGAAGTCTCAGATTGAGTATTACCTCTCCGTGGAGAATCTTTGCAAGGACTACTACCTCCGTCAGCACATGGACGGGCAGGGATTCGTTCACCTTGCAACCATCGCATCCTTCAAGCGCATCAAGGCCGTCACCGAGGACGTGGAGCTGGTCCGCCTAGCCTGCTCACTTTCCGACTCAATTGAATTTGGTGTCGGCGATGACAATATTGAGCGTTTGCGCACGCGCGAGAAGTGGCAGCACTTCGTCCTTCCGGCCGCTGAGCGGGCCGAACCCTACCGCAACGATGGCCCTGCCACCTGGACTCCCTATGCCAAACCGGAGACCCAGTTCGCCGCGCCTTACCCGGGCCCGGTAATCCCTCCGCCGTACCACACTCCCGCTTCCGCCAGCTACCCGGCCTTTTCCGATGACCAGATCTATGCGCCGTCCTTTGTCAACGGCGGCGCGTACGACCACTCAATTAACGGCGGTGCGGTCAACGGTCACCACCAGGGAAACCACGAGACGCCACTGTCTGCGGGTGTGCCGGAATATGCCCCCCCGCAGTCGCCGATCACTCTGGAGAACATGACCAACCTTCCGGATTCCCAACTGGGCAGGTTGACGGTGGTCTTGAGCCTCGATGACAAGACAAACTCAGCTTCTCCCGATGTCGCTGACATTGCCGGTTATGTTTTGGGCTCCGTCGGCTCCCCTGAGGCTCCCAGGTAAGCCGCCTCATTCCCCGCTCTCAATCGGTTTCCGATCCTGTTTGCAGGCCCAAGTATTCTGACCCGGGATAGTGTGAATGGAAACCATTCCGTCGCAACCGACCCTGTTGAGAGCGCCATCGTTTGGCTGGACGACCAAGCAGCTGTGCTCTCCCAGGACCAGAGGCAGCTCAAGACTTACAACGAAATCTATAAGGAGGCTCTCGAAAAACGACGGGCTACCAAGGCAGGCGAGTCCGTGAGGGAAATGCAGAGGCTCTACAAGTTTTGGTCGCACCTGTTACTGAACGAGTTCAATGCCGGAATCTACGAAGAATTCCGTGACCTGGCTTTCTCAGATGCTTCACAGCAGCCGGCCTCGAAAACGGGCCTCAAGAACCTGCTCGGATTCTACGATAAGCTCCTGCTCAAGACCAACACTCAGAAGCCGTGGCCTCAGGACCGGGCCGTGCCCGAGATCTTCACCGCTCATCTGAACGAAGCTGTCGAACTCGATGGCAGGACAGGCGTGAAAAGCGAGACTAGCAACTAAGAATGCCCACCATGGAGCCGTCAATCAACAAGTCACTACAACCGCAGGCTTATTACGACTCCCAACAATCCCGTCAGGACTATTCTGACCTGACTTGCGGCAATCTTGGCCGTTGCTCATGATCCGGATAATGGGTTATGATATCGACATGCATCGGCGTTAACATCCATGTCACAAAGGTGCAAGAGGAACCCGGTATTAGACCAAGCGGCAACAACAGCGGCAATCGATGAAAGATATGCCGAAATTCATTCTCGATTCGATGTGGGACTTGGCTTGGAGCACCCTGCCTTTCTCCAAGCCACCATCGCTGCTACATTGTGCATTCCCGCATTCGGAAAAACACAATGTTTCTCTGTGCGGCCCATAGCCACGTTACTTTCGTGCACATTTTCTTTGCCTTTTACGGCGTTTTGCGGGTTTTGCGGCCTGGGAGTTCATTAACAGACTTCTGATGGTTTCGCTTGACTTGTCAAGTTACAAAAGGGCACCGGTTGATCTCTGGTCGCCCCAAATATTTTCGGCTGTTACCCACCGCCATTTCATATTTTCTTTCTTTTCCTTTTTCATCCTCTGGAATCAGTCGACACGATACTGGGGGAGGAGGGAGCGGTGGACAGATGGGACGGCGTTTACGACAATGAGCAACATGAGCCTAAGTTGGGTGCGGGAGTGAGTTTCCAAAGGCCCAAAGGGATTCTGGGAACGTTGATGAGATCTTGACACATGCCCACCCAGGGGGGATAATCTCTTTCCGGCCTTTTTTTCTTTCTCTCCATCTTCTTCTTCTTTATTTTCTTTCTTTTTCTTTTGCGATTGGTACCAATCCTGGGCTGCACAACATCGACATACTCCCTTTGCATGAATTTCGGCGTTCATTCTGGCAAGCGTCATTCCCCCAATCGTCTCTTAGCCGGGCCTTCGACGGTGTGGGGGGGTAGGAAAGCTAAGCCGAGGTGGCTCAAAATGGGAAACCGTATGGTGGACGACTGGCGTGGGAGTGTGGGAAATTTTCGGTATCGTTGCTGATATTTTCTCCTTTTCACATCCTCTCCCGGCCATGATCCGCCGGGAAGCAGAGGATCAGCGCTCGGTTTTGGGGCGAACGAAGGAGGGATGGTTATTTGTTTCATACGGGGTGGAAGCCGCTTGACGCTGCGACCTTCAGCGATTTGCTGCGGTATTCTTCGGGGCTGGCAGCAGGAGCGGAGTGGGGGCCAAAAAAAGAGAAGAATTCATGATTGATGGTATCAAGGAAACAGGAGCGGACGGGGATGGGCATTGGGGAAACTGGGACGATGTTTTTAGACCTTCCACTCTGCTCTTTGCAATCTCGGTCGAGTTGCGCGGGGATTTGCGGTATTCTTCGTTCCGCTTCGGAAGATAAAAGCGTTTTGGCTTTGTAAAGTGTATAAGTAGAAGTCACTTAAAAAAAACAAAAAGAGAATCTGTTGTTTTTATTTGTACGTATACGTCTTGCCAGCCACTGGCTCTCGTCAATGTCATCCTGTGCCCCTAGGTAGGTGGTCCGCCAAAAACCCGACATCAATATCAAGCCAGGGAGATGATATTCACCAACAAATTGCTCCTTAAGAGCGCCACGTCCTTCCGAAAAGGTTTTTCGCTGAACATTTTCAATGCCTTTGTGTTTCATATTTTGTCTTATTGTACCGGTCTCAGCCGGGGTTCGCCCTGTTCCTAGGGTACAGAGTCTCCCTGGACATCAGCAAAGGAGGTCAGGTGTCTGGGCGCATGCCCCGCGCCGAGGTTTTGCTGGGATTGCCGAGTGAGTGAGCCAGTGGGGCGCACCGGCTTTTAGTGGGGCAGATCCTCCCCAAGTCCGACGAGTGAGCGGGCGTCGTTTGGCTGCTGACAACTGAAAAGGGAGCCTCCATTGGTCTTTTTTTCCCCAAGGTGAAAGCGACAACAGCTTCTGCGAATCTTCCCCGGCATCTAGTCTTCCATCTGTCACCAGTTCAGGTTATTCTCTCGACTCCCGCTCTCGTTTCGGCTCCTAAAACGCCACGCCGTGTCCGACGGGGCCGCTCTCCTTTATGAGTCCTCCCGCTAACTACTCCGCTTGAGGAAGCCCCAGCTTCTTCTGCTAGCCGCCGTGCAGCTAGATGACGGGAGTGGCCGGGGCGGCAGCATGTCGGAGGGTGGATGTCGCTAATGAACGTGCCTGTATCTGGGGCCCCGATCACATGCCGATAGCACCACCACAAACATCCGCTGCAACAACGAGAAGCCGTAACTGAAAGACGACAGGACTTGAAATTGTATAAGCTAAAGGAGTTCTCGTTTCCATACTATTGCTTTTTTATTCTCCTTCAGAGAACATTTATCTTTACATTACCACCATTTTACACAAACTTTCGTGTTGCCTCTTTTCGGATTCCGCGGCATCGCGTGCTTCTTTTTTCACCATCGCCCCTTCAGACAGGCTCTCACACATATCTTCCCCACGCGCCGCTTCACGAAGTACATATCTTATTTATTTACTTGGTTTCCGCCATCCTCTATTCCTCCCGCCCCTTTCTACGGGAGATCATCTATCCGACGAACGGGGAACAACCGATTCGACAGGTCAAAGAGCGACGGCCTCGAATTCCCCCCCACGTTCATTATTGTTTCCTGACATGGTCGATCAAGACGCCGACGATAATAACAGCAGCAACAACAACAGCAGCAACAAAATGGCGCGCTCCACCCGGTCCGACGACCGATCGTCACGGTCGCCCTCCGGGTCACCAGGGCCAGCGAATCGCAAGACCCGACTGACCGAGGCCGAGAAGAGGGCGAATCATCTCGCGTCAGGTAGGCAGAATCAACAACCACCACTACTCCCACCCTTTGTCGTTGAACACAACCGTTACAGACGGCGCTATTAGAAAGAGAGAGTCCTTACTAACCCGGTGGGGTCTGGGGATTTAGAGAAGAAACGACGTGCGTTGATCCGGGCTGGATTTGACCGGCTCTCCGTTATTGTACCCGGCCTAGAAGGACGGGCACGGTCGGAAGGGATCGTGCTCCGCGGGACTATTGATCACATCCGGAAATTGATGATTGAACGGCGACGGATGGTGGAAGCACTAGAGGCGAATGGGGTCGCTGTAGATGCGGAACTGAAGGCGTGAGTACATTCCATTTTCCTTCTCTCCCCTCGCCCCCTTCCCCCACCTTTCCTCGATTATGTTGGACATGTACTCTTCAGTGTATCGGCCATGGTCAAGATGCTAACCCGTCTATTATCACACCGTCACAGTCCTCTGGAACTACTCCCGAATTGGTTCTTTGATGACAACTGGGAGGATTATCTGATGGGCGGTGATCCGAGCTTGTTAGAGGGGAGTGGCAGCCCAGCAGTGGATAGCCCGGTAGTAGGCAGCTCGGCTGGGGGTAATGGTGCGCCGCCCAAGATGAAGCTTGAACCCGGGTCCTCGATGTAAGGGTGAAGCGGTAATGTGGGGGATAGGAGGATGGGAGGATGGGAGAATAGGATGGGCGGGAAAAGGAGAAGGCTGCTTTGATACCCCAAAATGACTAGCGTGCGGTGCGTAAGGGTGGGCGGTTGGATGGTATGGGATGTTATTGTATTTTGAACTTCGGCATGGGAGAGTTTTTGCTTTGGTTGTGCATTACTTGGGGGTTGGGATTATTGAACGAAAATCGACATTCAACAGTGGTGAGTCCGGTCAGATACATAGGCGCAGGTTCTAAAATGCTGCTGGGCCGTACATAGGGAAAATATTACTTGTTGCGGGTCTTGGGCAGAAGGGGTGGTGTTTGCTCGCGGAGGACCCCTTGGTCCCCTAACCCTGGGCCGAGGGGATTCCAAGGGTCTTGTACAAAATATTCAAAGGCCAAGGGTTGGTCGTTACCGCTTTTTCGTACATACAAGCTCGTGACAGGTACGTGTAATTTAAACTCAACAAAAAATGCATCCACTTACTAGCGAACCTGGAAGGTTGGATGACTCAAAAAAACATGTCTCACTTCTATGGATGGTGTCTTGCCCGGCGAACCCGGCAAGCCCGGCCGGTGGGTCGTGGCTGGAGCACCCCTCATGACATCATAGGGTAGAAGAGGGGCTGTGTGGTCCACGGAAGCTGCAAGGCAACTTGTGACTTCCAGGTGTGGCGGGTGAGCCTCTTCCTTTCGGCCCTCATGACCAATTTTCATGGCGGCATGGCCACACACACCTTGCGATGCGGGGGCGCCGCCCTTTGCCCAGCAATGATGGTGATGCGACGGGAGGGAGCCTCAATGGCGCCCACCTTGCATCTGTTGTTTTTTGGCTGGAGCTTTTGTGCCCAGCTGGACTTGGCTCGGCATTTGGCCGAAGATGTGGGGTCATTCCCGCCTTCTCATTTAGCTTTGGTCCATTTAGGTGTTCAATTTTTTATTGTCCGGTTGTCGGCCTTGGTGCCTCGTCTAGCTAACGGGCGGGCGGGATCTTACATTCTCGTCGAGGTCTCTTGTGGTGCGGTTCCGCGTCGAGCGGCAAGAAGGGCTCAAGAGGGACTACCAAACCGGGTGGCCGCAGGATGAGAGCGAACGGCGGCCGCCCAGTAGCCTGTTTTGTTTCTCACTTCAACAAAACCCTGCCTTCAACTTTGGGCCGTTGAAAAGGTCGGCGGCGTCTTTGTGTTTCGAAACGAACCTGCGTGCGGCCCAGCAGCCGTTCGAACGGGTTCGAAAGTTGAAGGCAGCGGTGCGTTTTATTGTACAGCCGCAGTGAATGCTAGGCCAATCAGGCTATGACCTGACAGAAAATGCGGTTCTCGATGACGACGGCTCTCCAAGACGGGCCAACAATGTGTGGCCGCTTGATGGCGACGGGCTGGGCGGCCCAGCCCTGGGCGTCTCACCTCCGACTGCCCGCAGTGCCCTCGAAAGCGCCCTACCGAGCGCGAGAAGGAGGGCAGGGTCAGTCCCCATCTTCGCGAAGTCTTACTGCATTTACTCTTTTGTACTGCTTTACGTTATACTACATCGTTGTCCACAGAATCGAGGTTGTTGGCGGTTCATCCCATCTTTTTTGTCGATCCAAGATCTCCCAGGGTGATTGCTGTTGGGACAAGTTTGGATGGCAATTCCAGGGCAAAAGTCGAGTGGCAGGAAGGAGACGGAACTTGAACCCACTTCCACTCCCCTCGGGGGCCTTCCTTCCTTCCCACTTCACCCCTCCCCCTCATCTGCAAGACCCCTGCCCTCTCATTAAGACCTTGGCCCCGCTCCAAGCCATCCTTTCCTTCCCAGGCTACCTCCAAGTTCTAGCCCAGGTTGTTGCGCTTGCCTCTTTCCCAAACTCTCTCCCAAATCAAAATTTCTCAAATCCAAACTTCGACAGACTTCAAAAAAAATAGACTAGCTTGCGTTTCCAACAATATCAAACCCTGGTTGATTGCGTAGATCGCACCGCACCTCCAGGGATGGCTTCGTACGATCCCTACGACGCACCCCATCGGGAGCGCACCACCAAGCGCTACTACCGAGAAGAACGCCGTGAGGACCGTGACCCACGCTATTACGAGTCGCGCGAGACCCTCCACGTTCAGCCATCGCGGGATCTCGTCGTCCCCCGCGGCCGTGAGGATAGTGACCTCTCGGTCGAGGAGATTCGCCGTGACTTCCCACCCCCTGGCTACTCGACTCGGGATCTCCGCCGCGCTCGTTCCGCTGAGCCCGGCTATTACGACGAATACGACGACCGCCGTTCCCACTACAGCCGGGACCGCGGCTATGATGACTACGACCGCAAATCGCGTAAGAAGTCGGACCTCGTGTACGAGGAAGAGCGCAAGAAGGCCCGGGTGCTCTCTAAGCAGGAACAGATCATTGCGGCTGTGACCGGTGCTGCCCTCGCCATTGGTGGAAAGGAGCTCTACGACCGTCGCGAGGCCAAACAGTCGGGAGCCGATGTCGAGCGCAACATTCTAGCTTCGGCAGCACTCGGCGCCGCTGGCGCCTTTGCCGGCTATCAGGGAACAGAGTTCTACAACAAGCACAAGGAGAAGGAAGACAGGAAGGCCGGCCGCTCCGGCTACTACTCGGACGATGACGAGACCGTCAAGGAGAAGAAGGGTCACAAAAACTTCTTGGAGAACGCCCTCGCTGCTGCTGGTTTGGGCGGTGCCGTCAAGGCCTTGACGGGCAAGGACGACAGCAAATCGGATACCCGGAGCCGCCGGGATAGCCGGTCCCGCTCTCGTTCTCGTTCTCGCTCGCGCTCGCGTTCTCGCGGCAGGGACAGGGACCGCGATGAAAAGGGCGAAGGGAGCGGCAAGGTCCAAAAGGCCGCCATGGCTTCGCTGATCGCCGGCGCTACCGAGGCTTTCCGCATCTCCAAGCAGCCCGGCTCATGGAAGGGCGAGAAGGCTAAGCGCATTCTCACTGCCGCTGCCGGTGCAGCGACGCTCGATGCGGCCCAAAACCCGGACAAGGCCGGGAGCAAGCTCGGACTGGCCGAAGCCGTTGTGGGTGGTCTTCTTGGTAATCGCGTCATTAACGGCTCCAAGAAGAACATCGAGATGGACGAGAAGACCGGCCGCTCCCGGTCTCGCTCCCGTGCGCGCTCCAAGGACGGCAGTGGTGGAGGTGGTACCAGCGGTCTTGCCGCCCTTGCAACCGCCGGCCTCGGTGCCTTTGGTGCAAAGAAGATCATGGACAGCCACGAACGATCCCGCTCCAGGCATCGCAGCGACTCTCGCGACAGTCGTGACGGCTCTCGGGACCGCCACCATCGCAGCCGCAGCCGCAGCGTGGTTGACTCGGCCCGCCGTCGCCTGGCCAGAGTGGGCATCGGCAATGGCCCCGAGGATGACGAGCGGAACCGCTCCCGCAGCCGCGACCGCAGGCGTGACTACGATGATTACAGCGACCATGGTGCCTCCCGCCGGCACCGCGACAAGTACGACGACTACGACAAGGGCCGCTCGCACCGTGGTGGCCACGGCGCGCGTTCCCACTCCCGCTCCCGGCGCGGATCGGTGTCGTCGTCCGACCTGGGTGATTCGGACGACGATCGGAAGCGAGGCAAGAAACTCAGAGGTAAGCAAGTTCTCACAACGGGGCTGGCCACCGTGGCGACCATCCACGCGGCCCATAGTGTGTATCAGAGTGTGGAGAAGCGCCAGGTGCGCAAGAAGGCGTTGGCAGAAGGAAGGATTAGCGAGGAGCAGTCCGCCAAGCTCAAGAACAAGGCCATTCTCCAGGATGCTGCGGCTATCGGCATCGCGGCGCTGGGGATCAAGAGCGCTGTGTCGGAGGTCAAGGAAGCGAACGAGATGAGGCACGAGATCCGTCAGTTCAAGCTAGAGAAGGAAGAAAGGCACAGAAGGCGCATCGAAAGACAAAAGCGGCTGGCGGACTCGGTCTCCGGCTCTGGCAACAATCAAGTCGTCAGACGCAGAGCTGACTCTTGGGACTCGGCAGCTCCAACTGGAGGCCGCCGATACGACGATGGGCCTCGTTACTACGACGGAAACCCATACGGCGCACTTCCCCCTGGATCGACCGACAGGGTGTAAAGAAAGGGAGAGTGTGAAATGTGGCGGAGGAGGGTGTCAACCCACTTCGCGCTCATCGATCCCATTCTCTCTCAACCCGCCTATCTATTACACCCACAAGAGACCGGCCCCCGCGCCCAGTTTATCCTTCTAGAGATAGGTTACACCAGAACTGTGACCTTTTCTCCGTTCAACCATCGTTTCTTATACGCCCAAAGCCTTTTCTTTACAACTGCCGCTTTTCTTCTAGCGAAAGGTGCCACACGCCTAGGTGCGCACACCAACTCTCCCAACAACCAAGGGCACACCCCCAGCCGTGCCACCACCAATCGAAGCCACCACGGCTACGGGCTGCACACAATTGCCGCTAAACCCACCCGCGAGGGACATTCATCAAGCAACATACATGGTGATACTTGGCCTGGGCTGGGGGCGCTTCTCTAGGGTTGTTCTAGAAAGGGAATACGCTACACTGCTTGAAATTCTCCATGCTCTGATTCTGGCACACTGGGCGGCTTAATGCTTCTTCTTTTTCTCCCGAGATACACACTTTGATAGACACTTTTTCCCATTCTCTCACCCTTTCTCGGACATCGTCTCTAATTAACCTGTTTTGTGTGTGATAGATGATCGCCGTCGCCATTAAAAGGGCTCGGTTTGAGGGCCAGCCCAATCCCATCCGCAGCTTCTATCGCCGGTGAGGATGGCAGCAGAAGAAAAAGGGTTGCGAAACCAGACAAGCAAGAAAAGCGAGAGACGCACATGCAGTGGGGGGGGGAACCAACCGGCGTATCACCCGGTTGCTCGTGGGCTGGGAAAGGCTTACTAAACCCACGAAAGAGGAAACGATTGAGAAACAAAGGCGAGAGGCGGCGTCGGATGCATCCAGCCCCCAAAGAGTGTGCGAGGTGAGTGAGTGAGAGCGGGGGTACAAAACGGGCTGTAACAATCGGTGCTCGTGGTACGAAGCATGAAACGCAGTCGTCAGCATCAGCAAATCAGACTGCGTTTTGTTTCCCACCTGCATCTTCCCACCAGTACCCCCAACCCAAAATCAACCCCTCTCATCTCACCCACCTCGCCCGCTTCACGCAACTCACCATGGCCCACCATCAGCTCAGTCACTCCCGACAAGAATGAGTAGTTTTGGCCCACCACCACGACGGCCATTACTACCCCACGGCTGCTCTTCTTTCTTTCACCTAGCTATATCGACAACTTCGTTACGAAGGCAGCTATTCTTCACTGCCCATCATTTCGACACTCCGTTTCTTCTGGCAAACTCTCTTGTAAAGCGCCTGTTGGGAGAATAAGCCCGATATCCTCTTTGGACTTCGAATCTTTCATCTGGTGATAATGACGATTGGAGGGGTGGGTCGGTTTGGAGACGGGAGAAAGGGAAGAGTGGATGAGATGGCGGATTCCTTATGACATGTTTTCGTTTTTGGCTTGTTTTTCCTTTACCCTCTATTTTTGTGACGATTCCCGCACCAAACCCTTTCACACACATAAGTACTGCTATTTTTTGGATGAGAAATGACGTTGATGAGAAAATTGATGTTACGATGTTACGTACGCAGTATTACTGGTCTCCGTCCCTCATTGCGTTTATGGTTAACCTTGTGGCTCACCGCTTTGTCCGCGGTAATGTGGGATTCAGTAAGAAATGAGAACCGCGGTACACATGTGGATATGGACCAAAAGAAGCGCATGTGGAAAGCGAGGGAGCGGCGGCTGTCTCGCAGACATCGGAATAAGCCTTCCTGGGTTTCATGTTTCCGGCCGTCTCGTGTTATTCCCGTGTTTCCGGCCCGTCGGCGGAGTGCCAGCCACCGACTTGTTATTAGGTGCTCCCGATTCTCACCAACCTGCGAGCCTACCTGCTTCCTGTTCCAATATCTTGGTTGTTGTTACGAAAGGGGAGTGCTTGGGATTGGCTGAGTGAGTTGAGCTGTGTCAAGGATAAAGGTTGTATGCACGCAGGGAACTTGGGGCGGAGGAAGTATACTTAGACAGGAAGAGGGGGTTAGTGGGGGGATGGATCGTAGTTCCGATCGTGGTTCCGATCGTTTTTTGGTTCATCTTCTTCAGCAGCTGGGGAGGGGCTAACGGGTTATCTGTTTCAAAGGTACTGTTTCTTCTCTCACCCCTTTTCGACTGTGATATTGGAATATTATTCATTTTTAGGAATACGTCTGTTCCTGCTTAGGGTTTCGAAGGCAACAAGTACGTCAGTATAAAGCACTACCTTGCCTATTTCCCTTTCGGTCTGTTTAATGCACATGCGGGTGTATGTTTGCGTCCTGTAAATAACATCCAAAGCGACGCCTCGCCTATCGCTTTTTAATAAAACACCAGACATAATTGATATCGATACAAACTGGGTCCTTACTCCCCCCCACCACCAGATATCGACCCACCCGTCTGCTTCCACGCGTTGGCCATAGCCAGCAAATTGGACAAATTCTTGGTCTGCTGGTCGTCGGCGGGGAAGATGTAGTCGACATACTCCTCCCAGGTGTCATCGTCGAGCTTGCGCTTCTTCTTGGTGCGCCGCGGCATCTGCTTCTGGATCTTCTCGATGTCCTCGGGCGACCCATGCACATTTTCGAATTCCTGCCAGGCTGCGAGCAGCGACACCCGCTCGGCCTTGAGCTCGCGGTCTTTCATGCTCTGGTGGGCGCGCTCGAAGACCTTGCGCGCGCGGGCCTTCGCTTCGTCGCTGACCGGTTTGTCTTCGTCTTCTTCTCCTTCCTGTTCCTCTGCTTCGCCGCCCTCGTCCGCGTCGGGGATGTTGATCTCGAACTGGGCGTAGCTAATCCAAACCTTGGGGTGGTCGGCCTTCTCGAGCAAGCGCTCGTACAGCTCGCGCGTCCGCTCGTACTCGCCCTCTTCTTCCTCGAAATCGATGTACGCCTTCCATACGACCTCGGGCATGTCCAGGACCGGCTGGCTGATGGCGAGCTCGAAGATGGCGCGGGTGCGGTCGAGGTCATCCAGGCCGCGCTCTAGCTCGGCCCATTTGATCCAGGTCTGGCAGTTGGATGGGTTGTAAAGCGCATGCTTCTCGTACAGCGTCCGGCACCGCTCAAACTCGTATAGCCTCTGCTCCAGCGATATGTACTCCTTGAACAACTTGTCCTTGGGGCACATGCCGACGGCCCGGCCCATGACTTTGCGGGCGGGCGTCAACTGACGTTGGCGAACCTCAAAATGCGCCTTGGCGACCCACAGCTTGGCAAAGGTAAACTTCTTGTGTGGGATTAGCCCCAGGCACGTGTCGTAGATCTGCCGCGCGCGCTCGACGTTCTTGGCTTCCCGCTCCTCCCATATTGCGTAGAAGAGGAACAGGAAGATGTATCTCCGCCAGTGCCGCTTCTCCTGGGTAGGGGGCACCTGCGCAATTGCCCGCTCGTAGACTTCCCGCACGCGGTCGGCGTCACCGCCGCTCTCTTCCAGCCGGGCGAAGTCGAACCATACGTCGTAGTTCTTGGGGTTCTCCTTCACCTGTTCCTCGTACAACCTCCTTCTCTTGGTCAGCACCACATCCTCCACCCCTTCCCTATCGCCAAACTGCTTCTCGAAGGTGGTGTACTGCGTGTGAAGCGTCATCGACCGGGACCGGGGAAGGTTGTCGAGGCCGAACTTGTAGATGGCGCGCGCACGCTCGTACTCCTTCTGCCGTGCCTCGAACCTAGCGAATGCAATAAACAGCCGCTCGTCCACCTCGTCGTCACCCAATGTTTCGGCAATAGTTTGAATCGCCGTCTGGAACACCTCGCGGACCATGTCACTGGTCCCGTACTCCTCCTCAAACTTGGCCCACTTCAACCACGTCCTAGGCTCGGGATGCACCGCCGTGAAGAGGTGAAAGATCTGCCTTGCTCGTTCGAACTCGCCGTACCGCTTCTCCAGCTTGATGTAGGCGTTCCAGGCGTCCTCATCGGGCTCCCACTTCATCCACCGGTCGAACACTTGCCGCGTGCCGGGGATGTCGCCCAGCATCTCCATGACCCAGAGGTACTTGTACCATAGTTTCGGCACGCGCGGCAGCCGCGCGACGGCACGGTCGAGCAGGTTGCGCGCATGGTTGATGTTGCGGTTCTTGATCTCGGCCTCGACGTAGCGGATCCAGAGTTCTGCGGTTTGTTAGCAGCGGTTCAGTACCAATCAATCTCGGCCAATGCCGGACTACAACAAAAGACAAAAAAGGGAAGAGAGAACTTACGAGTATTGTTAGGGTGTACGTCAAGGGCTCGCTCAAAAACGGAGCGGGCGCGGGCAAACTCCTTCTGCTCGAGCTCCCACTGTGCGTACTGGAACCAGTTGGCGAGGCGGACACGGTTGCGGCGGATGTAGTCCTCAAACTCGCGGCGCTTGCGGCCTTGGTACTCCTTGAGCTCCTCGAGATCTTCGAAGCGTTGCGTCGGTTTCTGGATGGCCGTCTCCTGGCGGTCGACGGCTTCTCGAAGCAGCTGCTCGGCCGAGATCTGCACCGGCGCGGCGGCTTTGTTTTTGACTCGTGGTGGACCGCGTGAGGACTCCATGGTGCCGATTGGTGATGGCTCGCGACCGGTGTGGATGGTGGGTGAGAGGGTGGTTGATTGCCCGAGCTTCGACGGCAAATCTTTTTTGGCGGCTTGTTGAGAATTGCGATCTTGAATTCTTGGAAGCATGCGCGACTGACCCAGCAACCGCTGCCCACGCGCCAGAGCATGGCGACCTGCAGGCTTAGGCGTTGGACCGTGCACCTGCAGTGAGCGTTAAGACCCACTCCGCAGCGCCTGCCTGCCTGCCGGTGTCAACCCCCAACGGCTCATTTCTTCGAAAAAGAACCCAGCGCGTCCACCTTACAAACCAACAGCACACAAAGCAACGACCTTACATCGCACCTCTCAACTCTACGAGACTCCCAAACGACAATTTACTAAGCCGCGCGATAAATACGCAAGTCAAGCGCTTGACAACAACCCCGAGCAAAGATGTCGACGCTCGCAGACGAGCTCCTCCAAGATTTTGAAGACTCCGGCTCGGAAGCTGGTGGCGACGAGCATGACGACGGCCTCTATGGCGATGCTGGTCTTGCGGGGCCTGCGAATACGAATGGAGATGACACGGCCATGGAGGAAGTGCGCGACGAAGATGCGGACGAGGAAGAGGATGCGGATATGGCGGATGGTCTAGATGGGAGTGCCACGCCTGGGGCCGTAGGGGATGACGACGACGAGCTGGACGCGAAGGCAAAGATTGAAAAGATGCAGCTGGGAGGAGTTCGTGATGTACGCGCCGTCGCGGGTCTTATGAAGACCCTGACGCCCGTTCTCGAGGTTAGTACATATGTTCCCTTTTCGCTTTCCCCTTCTACTTTCATCAGTTGTGGAAACAGCGTTTACATCTTATTCCGAGAACTAGCCCTGACCGTTTGGCTCGAACGCTGCAGAAAATCGCACACTACCAGTCACAACCGGCCGAATCGACGGACAGCATCGGCAACGTAGAAGACCACCCGGAGTACCATCTCCTCACACAGTCCAACAGCCTTTCGACCCAGATCGACAACGAGATTGTGCTCGTCCATAAATTCATCAAGGATCACTACTCGGTGCGCTTCCCGGAGCTCGAGACACTCATCACCAACCCGCTTGAGTATGCCCGGGCCGTGGCTATCCTGGGCAACGGGCCTATGGACTCAGAGAGCATCAAAGCGCTCCAAACATCAACAGACAACGCCCTCGGGCAGACCCTCAAATCGGCGCTCGATGGACCGACTCTGATGATTGTCACGGTGGAGGCTACTACGTCCAAGGGGCAGGCCATGTCACCAGAACAGCTGCAGCGCGTAGTGCAGGCCTGCGAGATGATCATCGCGCTCGACAAGGCGAAGAAGACCCTGACCGAATATGTCCAGTCGCGCATGAACGTCTTTGCGCCCAACCTCACTGCGCTCATCGGCTCCTTGACAGCCGCGCAGCTGCTTAACCAAGCCGGCGGCCTAATTGGCCTCTCCAAGGCGCCCGCCTGCAACCTACCGGCCTGGGGATCCAAAAAGCAAGCCAGCGCGGCTCTCGCCACCAACGTGGGCATCCGGCACCAAGGCTTCATCTTCCAGTCGCCCGTGATCCGGACCATCCCGAGCGACATCAAAAAGCAAGCCATCAAGATGTTCGCCAACAAGATCGTCATGTGTGCACGCACCGACTGCTTCCACCAGTTCCGCGACGGCTCCGAGGGCGAGCGCCTCAAGGACGACTGCCTCGACCGGCTCGACAAGCTCCAACAAAAACCCCTCAGCAAGGGCGGCCGCGCGCTGCCAGCCCCGGACGACAAACCCAGTCGCAAGCGTGGCGGCCGCCGCGCACGCAAGGCCAAGGAAGCCACCGCGATGACCGACCTGCGCAAGGCACAGAACCGCCTCGCCTTCAACAAGGAGGAGCAAGAGGTCGGCTACGGCGTCGGCGACAGCACGCGCGGCTTGGGCATGATCGGTCAGCGCGACGATGGCCGCTTGCGCGTTGCCCAGGTCGACAACCGCACGCGCGCCAAACTTAGCGCAAAGAGCAAAGGCTGGGGCGGCGCCAGCTCGCTGTCCGGCCCCGGCAGTGCTTCGTCGCTTCGCGGCGTCGGCGCTGGAGGCAGCGGCGCGCTGGGCAACCTCAGCCTGGCCAGCAGCAAAGGGCTGCGCACGTCGGGCGTGGGCACCACACTGGGGTCTGGATCGGCCACGGCCGGTACGGTGTCCTCGCTTGCGTTCACCTCGACACAAGGGTTGGAGCTGGTTGATCCGAAGGTACAAGCCGAGCTGAGCCGGAAACGGAAGGCGGATGAGGATCGGTGGTTTAAGAGTGGCGCATTTACACAGGTGGGCGGTGGTGGTGCGAATGAGAGTGGGAGTAATGATACCAATAATGGTGGCTTCAAAAAACCGGATCTGCCGCCGACTAAGAGGGTTGACACGGGGTCGACTAAATCATAAACGGAAAGGAATCTAACTAACTATCGGGTACAAGTCAAGTACCTCTGTGAAGATTGGGTACACACATACACTACACTGGTTTAAGGGGGGCTGTTCGAAACGCGCAAGCCAGTCGAAATGATGCACACAGACACATGGTCGGGGAAACAGGGAAAGGGGGATACCAAGATTACCATTTTCGCCCCAGATGTTCAACTTGGAAGACAAAGAAGGGTGGTGAAATCCCATGGTTGATTGTCCCGATTTGCAAAAATCCCATGTCGTCAACGATAGACGTTTTCTCACGAAAGGGGAAGTGAGCTGTCAATCTGCGCGCACCTCTTGGCGTTAGGAGGGGCAGATAAAATGAGGCGTTGGTTCCAGGTTTTGATGATGATTGCCACCAGGACCCCTAGATTATTAGTCACATATGTTCGTACCACGGAAAGAATAAGATCAGGGAGTCAGATCAGGGTCCTGATTGTTGTGCTGAGATTTTCACTCACGATTATTTTAGATGGGGGGTCTCGGGGCTCACCTCAAGCTCACTTCTCGGCGACGAGGCTTACTGGGCAGGTTAGGGTGCTCCGCTCAGGCGGTCCGTAGTGTAGTCATACTAATTGTTTATTTGTTTCTCACTTAACTAATATGCTGCTCACCTAACTCTGCCGCTCCTTCTTACTCACCGAACGGAATGGGGGGGCGAATGCTGCGCATATCCAGCCCATCCTCGGAGGTACGTGTCGATTGACCTGGAAGGTTGCGAACGGACCGGACCTTCAATCCCGGAGAGGGGAAAAAAAGAACTTGCCTTCCCAGTTCTCGCTAATGACGCACCCCTACACATGGGACACGTCCTTTTCAGGGTTCTTGCGTCTTGTGTGTCGTGTTGCGTTGCGTGCATGAGCGTGGCACTGACAGAGAGGAACAAAAAACAGTGGGAGGGTCCGAGATCAAAAGCATTGGTCGGACTGGTTCATTTGGCAAGACTGGGGAGGAATGTGCGCATGGGAGGAGAACGATAAACCGTTTTTGTCTTCTGATAACATCCCTGAGGGGGCGTTGCTCGCGTTGTTGTCCCGTGACAAGGGACGGTGAAGTGGATGGGAATCGAGGGATACCGAGACAGCGTCCATTTGAGATACGGTCGGATTCCATGCTCGAGCAGAGGAAGCTACCCGAGCTCCCGAGTCCTGAACTCGTGGTGTTGGAGTATCTCCGAAGAACACAACCGACTTGGTCCGCTGGGTTTTCCATCGGTTCGCTTTAGCCAGATATGATTGAACGAGTACGAAGATCGCTGGGGAGTGAAGACAAGAAGGTGTGGAAAAAGAGGGCGAGCCAAAGTGCGAGACGACGGAAGGCGAGAAAAAAACGTCAGGCTCCTGTCACAGGGCGGGCGATCTCAAGGGTCTCGGCCTTTGGAGGGGAGGATCAACTCCCCATTGGGGGAGTGGTGCGGGGCCCGGTGCGCCATGGGATTCTGTAAAATGCCATGTTTTCAGTGACAGAAATGCCATGGCCAACGAGGGAAGGGCCTGTGAATCAACCAACCATTGGGGCACCACCATCAGAACCCTTCTTTTCCATTTTTTCCTCTCTTTCCCTACACGTCCCTCCATTTGTGCCCCTCGAGCCGAACTGCCCTCGGCAACGTCCAAAGACTCAGGACACAGGTACCGGACGAGTTCTCCTCGCGTTTCCACTCGCCCAGCCGAGCACTTGCACTGAGAGCCGGGTTCGCCCCTCCACGCGCCCTCTTTTTTTTCCCTCATTTCCCCTCTTCTCTCTTCTTCTTAGCCCCAAAGCGCAGTCGGTGCGACTGCCCGGCACATGGACCCGAATCATGTTCCATCAATTTGACCGGGAGGATTTCCTGTACCCATTGTCTCAGACAGGGTCTGTAAGGGAGGGAGGCATCTTGCCCACTAGGAATACTTGACCTGCCATAACTGTATGTATGTGTAATTTTTTTTCTTTCCCGCGTTCCTCCCTGTCGGCCTTCTTCTTCCTGGCCGTCTCGCCGTCCCGCCTCGCCGTCCCGCCTATCTTTACCGGATGGATTGTCCGCGATGCATCCCGGTAGGGTTGGGGTGATAAAAAAATGTCTCGGTCCACAATTGGCTGAACGGTCGGCGGTTGGAGAGTGGCTTGGGAGGGTGTGTGCGAGCGGTCGGAGCGACATGGTGATCTTTCTTTTTGTCTTGCCTAGTGATTCTGATTATGAAAAAAAAAACGGTGCGATTGCGCGTGAGGTGTCGGACAGCTGTGCATTGCAAGCGGGGGAGAATGGAAGTCTTCTGTCGCGAGCCGGTATTGGCCGGGCGTTGCCTGCCGTACACGCGATAAAACGCAGGAATGATACACGGTCGTGTTGCTCAAGGCCCGAAGAGGGGGGCGTGGCTCGACACCATCGACTCGAGGGAATCCTGCATATGGGTTAGTGTGAGAATCCGACCTGGTAATGGATGGCATTGTGTCGTTCTCCGATGCCGCGCAGGGACGGCAGAGAAGAAATGGGGTGTCCGTCCATTATCAACGCCAATGACCGTGCCAGAACGCGATCCAGGCACAACGCAGTTGTGCACCCCGCCTTTTGCTGATTTTGCATCCGTTGGACAAATCCCATCCCGTGTGTTTTGTCTGCGTTGCCGCGATCGATCGTCGGCGATCAGTACGTCCTGTCGTATTGGTCGAGGGGAAGAGATTCCAAGGGTCTTTTTGCCTTCATATTGCATCCGCTGGATGCAGGGTATTGCGTATGGGTGATGAGAGACGAGAGTATTCGCAATTGTGGCCGAGGGGTCGAAGGAGGCTTGCTGGTTGTGTTTCGCAGCATATGCGGCAAACGCTCTCGCCACCGATCGGTCCATACGAATGTCCACGGGTGTCCTGGATACACGAGCTCGGGCGCGCCAGGCAGCCCCTTGGGGGGCATCACGGTTGTATTGCCCTACCGCGGGGCAAATCCCCCCTTCCCCTCCGTTTCTCTTCTATCCTTCTTTTTTGAGACGTAGGTCCGGATAAGTTGCAAGAGAAAATTGCTCGACGCGGGAATTGACGAGGGAGCGTGCCAGCGCGCCGTGATCGGGATCGGAAAACTCTGCAAAAAATCCGCTGAGATGCAGGACGTCCAGGGTGGGCGGAGGGGGATCGGGGGGATCGCGCCCAGAGGTCCAAGGAAAGTCACTGTTGAGCATTGAGTGCGGCCTGGGAGCTTCCCTTCGTGCCTTCTTCCTTGTGCTCCACAAACTTGCACACGGCTGAGCTTGAGAATCAGGCAGGCAGGGTGAACGTTCTTGCCGTGTTGATTGGGCCGTGCTGCTCCGTCTGATGATCTTCAAACCCCCGCCGACCTCCCCGCGGACCGGAAGAGGAGGTCCGGTTAACTTCAATAAATTTACCGGGCAGCTCCCCTACAACGGCCGGCCAGGGTTGGCATCCACTCCTCGCTCTCGCGGCCCTCGCTTTTGATACCTCATGTCGTCACTCTGATGAGTCTGCATTCCCGGGATGTTCCATCACACCGTTAACTACACTAGTCCTGGTGTCTCTTGTGGTCTTGGTGCTCAGAACCACGCCTCACAAGGTTGTCATTAGCTCCTGAGCTCCTGAGCTCCTGAGCCGAGTCCTTTCCACCAGCAAGCAAAACCCGGGAGAAAAGCTCCTAGAATCGTCCGCACACATCTCTCCCACATTCCACCCCTCACCTTGTCTTGTGCCCTGAGGGTTCGAAACTTCTGCACGCTTCCCCCGCTCTCAATCCCATGGTCTCGCCCGCTGAGGTCGAGGTTGGGAATTGCCCAAGCCGAGCCATCCACCGATGGAGCAAGGGTCTTAGGGGCGCTAAGTGGGGCAGTCCCGCATGGGTTTTGGTTATCATCCGCGATGTTCTCGATCGTCTGCGAATTCCTCGATCTGCTTTTCACAAAACACATCGATCCCTGGTCAGCTTCTGTCAGACGGCCCCAGCGCCCACCAAACGCCCATGGAGGACCCTGAGAATCCCATCGTCCATCAGCGCCATCAGCGCAGCCTCTTGCGTTCGCGCTCCTCGTCACGCACCACGCTTTTCCAACTTTCCTGTCCCCAATCTTGATGGACAAATCTTCTTTTTCAGGGTCCTCGATCCCAGTTGTAGATCTTGAAGAAAAGTCTATTTGAAATTTGAAGTTCGATCGCGGGTTAACTGTCGGCCCCTCCTTCCTTACGAAGGCAGCTCGTCGGGCGCTCCGGGACCGGCCGCCTTGTTTCTTTCCCTCTCAAATATCGGGGCGGCCTTGCCCCGCGAAGCCTACGAGGGAAATGACTTGCAGCGCGTGAGCTCGCGATCCAAGTTTGTGGAGGGTGCTTCCAAGTTGTGTGTCACCGGAGCTTTTGTCCCTAGAAACGCCCATATGCAAGTCAACGGTTGTCGTGTTTGTGTCAAAGCAGACCGTGTCATAACCAGAACCCCTTGCCCAAAAGCTTGTTGAGCTGCCTCGCTGCGTCTGTTTGTCGAAGTTGATGGTATCATTGACAACGCAAGAACCCCGCCAGGGTACAAGGGACACAAGCACGACCCGAATTTAGCATCCAAATGCTGCCCTGTCCCCAGATCCACACCCCCTTTTTTTCCCACACACCCCCCCTCCCGCATTTGCGTTTCCAAACAGGCGGCATGGTGGGGCTTTCTAGTTTCTGAAATGGTTCAGGGCAGCACTGGACAATGACGCAGATATACTTGCCCGCCTACACTACAACAAACAAATATATCCGGTTTAAACATGTACACATCATACAGGAGATGAATTCGTGATTTACTACGATTTCTCTTATCTTGTCTGACATGTTTTTGGCGCCTGGACGCCAGCCAAGTCCCGGGCCGCAATGCACATGCCCATCACGATGCGGTCAGTGCCTATCTATCCATACGCCTAGACACAACCGGCTCCGTTTCCCAACCAACCCCCCCGTCGCTCCCGTCTGTTCCTCAATACACGTGTAAACAGTCGCTAGCTGAACTAGCGTGACTGGGCCGTGCGAAAGAACGCATGGGACAGGCCTCGAAGAAACCCGCATTTTGAGTCCTCCTTCTGTTGTGTGTTTTCGTAGCTATCGTTGACAGGAAATTCCGTCACGATGACCCGCTTGTGTTGCTCGACCCTGACCGCTCGCTCAGGCACGGAAACCTACCCCGATCTGTCCGGGAGGTACCGAAGCAAAAAAACAAAGATAACGGAACGAAATTGTTTTTTCTTATGTTTCATGAGGTATGTTTCATTTGGTTGAAAGGTGACGTGGACACCATGTCCTTCTTTTTTAACTTTTAGGCGGGAGAATTCGACATAATATTCGGTCTTTGTGGTGAACAGAACAGCCTCGTGCTTCAAGGGACCTCCGTTTGAAGGGTTCATGCAGCCTTGCCAAGAAGAACGTCCCTGGACCCTTCATTCCCAGTTACCTTCACGACCTCAATAGACGATGTAACTGAAGGATTTGACCTTGAATTGGCCCAGCAGCGTGATCCCCAGCACCTTACGGATGGGGACAAAATACGCCCCCGCATGCCCCGTTATGCAAACCTGCAACCCCCCCAATTTGAAGTGACGAAGCAACTTCCGACTCGCCCAGGCCTTCAGTCGCAAGGCCCTCGTTGTGGAGATGAACAAAGTGCAGGATCCAGACCCCCGGTCGCTGACGTCACTCTCAAAATCTGCCGAGACCAAAGGGGACTAACCCCAGGTCTCAGCAGGTGCGATGAGGCTTCACCGTTTTGTTGTTCACAGTTGAGATACTGAACATCAAGATATCAACGTGTATGTACATAGATATGCTATTGAGAGATAAGTGGGAGAAATATAGGATAAACGGGGAGAAGAAAGAAACCACGAATCGAAGGTCAAGCCAGGGCGCCACTGTCCGGCAACCGGCAACCGGCAACCGGCGTCAAATCCAAGCTGCCGGTGCTTTTCAGGGTTCCTCCCTTCAAACCCCCGTGCCTGTTTTGGTCGGTGAGCCCACCCATGAGCCCACGCGCCCACGCACCGATCGCTTCTACCCCCGCCCTCGTCAAGCCAGCCAGCCTCGAGCCGAACCAGCTAGCATACGAGAAACAGTGAAGCAAGCCTAAAAATTCTAACGAAGCTAGGGATCCCAAGAGGGGTCTCGGCGGGCCCGGGTGAGCCGCCCGCGCGCTGTGAGTATCCGGCCAATCAAGGACGCTGCTGCTGGTCGCTCGAACCCCTGGGCGTTCCTGATCTGCCTCCTTGCCGGGCCCCGAGTCTCCAAGAAAGGATGCGCAACCGAGAGCGACCCCCGGCCTTTTCGATGGCGCTGGCGCCTCGCAGCGCTGACCATCGATGACAACAACGTTGCTGGCAATCGAGGATCTTGGTTCATCGCCCACTCCGCAAAACTCTACACGAGATGCCCCTAGATCGCGGGATTTTTGGTGCAACTATAGGATCAAAACATACAAGCCCAACGTACCCAGCAGCCCGTCCAAGAAATTCAGAGAACAAAAGAGAGAAGGGGCAAATATACTGTACGTAGTCGACAAGATGCGTGGGTGCATAGCGCTATCTTTCCGGTCAAGGCTCGAGGGTCTGCGATCCTGAAAATTTCGTCATTGAGCCCACAGGTTGTTTTCACCCCTCTCCAGTCCAGAGCTGGATCCTTGCGCGATGTTCGCGGGGCCATACTCAAAAGAGCTGCGGAGAAACGGGGCACGGGGTGCTGGCCAGCTGGCCAGGCTCTCACCAAGGAACTGCTGCGACTTGCAAATGCAAGGCCATGCCGATTGCAGACCCCCGAATAAAACTTTCCCTCGCTAATAAATCCCGGGGCCGAAGCATGAAAGCCAAGAAAAGCATGCGATCGATCGGACCTGGAAGCGTTCGGGAGCGGCGGTGCGCCGGGTAAGCAGCTAAGGAAGAGCGCTTTTTGTCTCCAGATTGCTTTCTCGCTCCCGTCATTCTTCTTGAACGAACATTATAATTCGGCTTCGTTTTCGTGCCTGGGGTTGTGTCCAGGCTAATCGAATAAAATTGAGATCACAAAGGAGGGGCAGGGAGGAAAAATTGAGCAAACAGAAAAGCCTCCGTTCAGTAATGGCTCGCGGACGAAAATATAACCTTGATGCTTGTTTGGTAGGTGGTTAAGCAACCTTGATGCATTCGTCGTGATATAATCATGGGGGAGCCTCAATGTCGAGTGCCCGGAGCCTTCCCCTCTGCGTCAGGGACTTGAGCGCTCCCCGAGAGCGTGAACGGCTGGCAGGACTTGCGAGTGACTTGCGTCCCATGTGCAAGTGCCCCTGTCCGCGACCGTGGGCTGGCCTAAGCTGGCCCTTGCAACATCCTTACTACATCCACCCCTCCATGTACCCCTCTGCAACCAGCAAGGATCCTTGCAAAAGGGCTCCTCCCTGAATCTCTCGCAAAACCCCATGGTCAATTTGTGGTTTCCCATAAAGTCGAGCTCTTTCCCACCCCAAGGCGCTGCCTGTGTTGACACCCCGATTCCAGCCCGGCCGTTCGTTTTTTAAACTTCACTTCCACCTCATGATATCTTCTCCCCCGATTGCCTATTTTTGTCACGTTCTGTGAGAAAACAGGCCGTCCCTCGCTCATCAATTCCTTCCACCAGCTCGGCACATGCTCTTAAAAACCCATCGGCCCGATCGACACACTTACGCCGCCGCGCATGAGCAAGCTTTTTTTTTGAGATATACACAGTACACCATCTTTGGGCCGGTACTTCCACTACTCCGGCCTAAACCCCGTTACGCCAATTATCCAGCAGCCATTGGTTTTAGAGAGCGGTTCTCAACGGCGAAAAGCTATTTTTTATATTATTTCTTTTTATTTTTTTTTTTTTGAGAATTAGAGAAGGGCGGGTGAAGATTTCACGGAGAGGGAGCAAAAGACGAGAGTGAGTGAGTGAGTGAGTGAGAGGCCCAAGAAAACCAACACCAGTTTCGCCAATATGCCCCCTCGCTTTGAGACGCGTGATGCCGCTGGGCGTCGGGTATCACTCTTGAACGATGAGGCACCTCGCACAAGCCACCCCCTTCCAAGCCTTGCCGACGTCCAGGCAGCGCAAGTACCACGAACCTCACCAACACCCGCGACTCCCGAGCTGCTCCGGTCCTCCTCCTACGACTCTCACATGAACCCCACGGAGCCCGTCTCCCCGCTGACTCCGCTGTACGAGCCGGGCTATCGCCCATTCCCACAATCGCAAACAGACCACCGCCCCCGATATGACGAGTACTACCAGGAAGAGGCGCCTATGCAGGCCAGGCTTAAACGGCAGCCCAGCACTCTTAGTGACGGGCGACCCGTCTACGAGGATGATTTGATTCCCCCTCCCGTCCCCAGGCGGTCCAATGTCGCCCCCTCCTCTGGCGGCGACCGGTCCGAAAAGCGATTCCCTTGCCGTTTCCGGGAGACGCTTGGCTGTGAGAAGACGTTCACAACCTCGGGCCATGCCTCGCGGCACGCCAAGATCCACACGGCGGAGAAGAGCGTCCCTTGCACCTGGCCTGGCTGCAACAAGAAGTTCACTCGCGCCGACAACATGAAGCAGCATGTCGAGACTCACAACAAGCCGCGGTCCTCGGTCTCGCGGCCTGCCTTCCTAAACAACCGTCGGTCCTCCTCGTCCATCCAGACGCTGCCCTCGCCGACATCCAACCACTCGGCCCCGAATCGCAGCCGAGCGATCGCAGCAGGAGTGACAAAGACGACAACAGGCGGGCGGTCTGGTCGATCGATTAAGGCCGCCTCCATGAGTCCCACCCTGAGAAACGCTTGGGACCTGCGCGTCCTTGAGTCCGGTTTGCAACCGCACTCGCCCGAGGTTGACGCTGCAGCCCCCATGCCCACAAATCTCGACACTCTCGCGACAGCGGCATTACAGCAGATTGGGTCGTCAGACCAACAACCCTGACAGACACAGGGTGAAAAAGAGTGCTAAGGAAACAACAGCACTCATTTTCATGTTGCTTTGCTTCAGCTTTGCTCTTCGTCTTGTTATCGCCCAGAGAAGGGGTTTGTTTGTCTTGAATCGGAAACGTCACACATACACGAGGTTTTGGCGTTTTGATCTGATTTACGAAACGACGGTAGTTGGCCTCTTCTTAACCCTTCCTCTTCCCATTTGCCTGCGCAAGCGGGCCAGGGGGAGGATGGCTATACTTTTCTCCCGGCAGCATTTTTGCCTTTATTTTTTCTCCTCACGGAAACGATACCTATAATGTCTTTGGGTAATTTGGGGGGTGTTCCTGGACATCGTCGATGGGCGGCAAACACGACCTGACGAGTGACGATAACCCGCCGCGATCGAAACGGGACCAGTCCGATCACCCTATCCCTGTGACAAGGGAACCCAAAAAACGAGGGGTAGCGACCGGAGCTGCCCCCAAGGGTCGTGTGTGGTTTACCGGGGCAGGGGTTGGAGCCTTGTCGCCACCATGCCAGGCCGAGTGCACCCGCTGGATTGGCCGCGGGGTCATCGCCGGCCGCCGTCCTTTGCCCATCATCGTCACCCTCCGTTCAAAAGCTTCACTTCCCATCCAGGAGAGATGAGGTCACAGCGATCGCCGCAGTACGTTGCACCGCTGCCGGCTTACCGGTTTTTCAGCGCTTCCACTTGATTTGTTCTTAGGGGGGGGGCTTGGCAGGCGTTGCATTCCAACCGCACTGCAAGGCTCTGACACCCCATCTGCCCACTGTGGCTCGGGCTGCCAGTGATCGTCAGGCACACTACACAGTCAGGGCATGCAGAGGGCAACATGTGCATGCACAGCCGATCCCGAAGCCCGACCTGGACGAAGCCGGGCTATTACAGTACCACCGAACAATGGAACTTGGATTAGATATGAAATCGCGGGCAACAACTTTCCGTACATCTTTCAACGGCTTTAGGGTCATGAAACTGTCCCCGCCTAGGCCGAAACGAGCGAAGTTGAAATCCGAGGCGGTACGTTGAGACAACAGGAGACATTGACGGTACGGGTGATACCGCGGTAATCAACTAGTTAATGCTTCGTGGTATAATCCTGTTCTTGTTGCCCTGAGTCGCCGAGGGAAAGGGAGAGCGGAATAACACAAGGGTCAGGCGAGGAGACTACCGCGCATGAAATCAGTATTCGAAAAAAACATTTGCATACGATAAAACGCACGAGCCCTATGATTGTTGAGATGTGATGTGAGATGTGCCTATGGTTGATGAAATGTGAGATGTGGAATGTGACGTGAAAATTCAAATGTTGTTTCATGTAAAGTCTTAAGGAATTAACGGTGGTCATAAGGATATAATATTGGTGTTGCGAGCATGTTAAATCACTACTTGTCTGTGTCTGCATGGCATCAAGTTGTCTCGGGAAGCACTTTACTTCACTCGCCGCATGTCTGACACGATATGACCTATAGTTAATACCAAACGGTTACAGAACAAGCATTGCCCGTCCTATACATCCTATCCATCGTTTTATCATCACTCATAAACGCAGGACTGAATTATTCATGCATTCGTTAATTAACCGTATGTAGCCGCCCGACACCTCTTGCCGCCTCCGACCGTGGTATATCAACTCGGATTTCGTAAAAAGCTATCACATACGGCCATACCTACAAGAAAATACGGGATCCCGTCCGCTCTCCCCTAGTCAAACTTGTAAGGGCTGAACTAGTAGTTGGGTCGGTGACGACCAGCGAATCCTCAGTGCTGTATGTTTTTGATGATTTGTTTTTATTTATCCTAGTCTGGTTTTATTTCTGTTCTGTTCTGTGTTGTTGTGTGGGTAGCTGGTGTGTCTTGGGGCTGTGAGATGTGATGCGATGTGGGGGTTTTTGGTCAGCTTGGAAGTGATGGGATGTATAGATCAAAGTTAGGTGAACAAATAGGGCGAAGGCTGTAATACCTTACGTGGTCATAGGCAAGACGAAGGTATCAGATGCCGAGACGGCCGAGCTTATGGGCAAATCGAGAGGTCTTGTCATAAACGTATCGCCTTGTCCACATCTTGAATAATGATGACTAGTTTTGATTAACCTTTTACTGCATTTTTTTTTACCAACCAACCTCGAGAGTTTGCCCATTGACCAACCCCCCTTTTCTTTTAGTCTCACACCCCCGTCAAACCCTCACCAACACTCCTCATCCTCCGCACACGTCCTCGCCATCTCAAACTGCTCATCCGTCTGACACACCAGCACGCGCGGTTCGACCCCGCGCTTACCCACATCCCACACCACCGCCGTCGGATCCTGTCCCCCTCCCCCCTTCCCATCACCATCATCCAACGCAAACCCCAAACACCCCACCCTCTCGACGACCGCCTCCCGAAGCGCATCGCTCCGTTCCCCAATCCCGCCGGCAAACACAAGCGCGTCGACGCGGCCGTGCAGCGAGACGAAGTAGGCGCCGACGAAGCCGCAGATGCGATCGACTACGAGGTCAAAGGTGAGGCGGTGGCGGCGGGCTGTTTCGTTGTCTCCGTCTTCATCGTCGTCGTCGTTATTGTTGTTGTCTCGGGAACCTTGGGAAGAGGACAGGGACTTGGTGATGACCCTGAAGTCGGTGGTGCCGGCTAGGGCTTTCCAGCCCGCTTGCTTGTTGAGGATCTCTTCGGCACGTGATATGTGGAGGTCCTTGGTCGAAGCGGGTGAGAGCTTGCCGACGTCGCTGGCGTAGTGGAAAACGAGGCTGGGTAGATATATTAACTGTTAGGTTCTATATTCCGAAGAGAGATGGGGGCTAAGATGAAAATAAGGGGGGTTCACCTTGGATCAACACTTCCACTCCTCGTCGCGCCTGGCAACCCAGCCAGCGGCGTCAACCCCATGCTCGTATCCCAGCTCTTCCCGCCCTTGATCGCAGCCGCGCTTGCTCCGGAGCCCAGGTGCAGGGCAATGATGTTCAATTCATCCTGCTTTTTGCCCAGAAACTCGGCCGTCGCGCGGGTGATGAACGAATAGCTGATCCCGTGAAACCCGTATTTGCGCAGCTTATTCTTGCGCGCGACGTCCTGGTTGATCGGGTACGTACGGATGTGCTTGGGAATGGTGGCGTGGAACTGGCTGTCAAAGCAGGCGACATTGCGGGTGGACTGGGACGGGAAGTCCTCGATGCAATGCCGGACGATGCCTAGGCTATTGGCGTTGTGCAGCGGGGCGAGATCGTTGAGCGCTTCGAGGTGGTGGTAGGTCTCGGCGGAGATGAGCTGCGGTTTGGTGTAGTCGCCGCCGTGAACGATGCGGTGGCAGATGATGCCGACGTCGGTTTTGTGCTGGATGTCGGGCAGACCGTCGTCCTTGATCAGTGTGTCAAGGATGACGGCGAAGGCCGCGTCTTGTTGGCCGTTGACTTGGTCTTCGACCTTACGGTCCTTGACAACAGTCTCATCGCCTCGTTTGTATTTGAGGATCGCGGGAGGGGCTGTGAGCCCGCTCACCTGTGCTTCCGCGATGGGTGTGGGCGACTGTCCCTGTTCGGCAGTGTACACTGAGACCTTGACCGACGAGGAACCAGCGTTGACGGACAAGATAACTTCCGGCATAGTGATTATTGATCGATCGATTGTAGTGAATAATCAAGTTGCTGTGCAAAGTGGGTTGCTAGTGTAAGGAGCAGAGGGTCTTTAGAAGCCAGTGCTCTTAGAACCGAATGAGCGAGGAATATGAGTGACAGGTCGAGCTTGTTCACACTGCATCAACACCGTCACAAATCTTCCATCGATTGGGCCGTAATACGGGATTCAGCTTGCCGTCGCAAATACAACCACCGATCAAGATCTTTATTTATCCTCATGAGCATCTCACGTAAAACGTGGTTTCCCCTCGATGTCGTGACGTCTCACGAAGACGAGAAGGTAATACCCCGCGGGGTGAGTTGATAGGTCTTGCATGCTGCAAGTGTGTTGGAGATGACGTCGTTGCCGGCTTGGCTGCGTTGCGTTGGGTAGGTACATCGGCCCGCAGCGGGGCCGTCCGAACAGTCTCGCCCAATTCCCCGAACAACGAGGGGCAGCGGGGCAGTCGTCCGGAGAAGAGAGGGACGCACGCCCCCACTAATGAGGAAGCCGCCTGCGTTCGGGATTGGGATTGGGAGTTTTGGCTTCCAATGAGTGGGTGAGAAGCTGATGGACCTGGTAGATTTAACTGGCGGAATTTGATTCTGACCAGTCGCGAGTTGTTGAAGGGTTTACTCGCGATTATGCGTATTGTTCCTCCTTTTCTTTTCGCCCGTCTTCTTGTTCCCGGCTCTTGTTTTCCGCAAGATCCTTTTGTTTGGCCCGCATCACGAAGACGAGGGACATACGGCCGAGAAGTAAGTGCTGGGAACGTAAATCGGGTATCTATTGCATTCGCAACCGGCATCATCATACGGCGTTGGGCGCCCCCTTCCTCTTCTCTCTCTCTCACTCTCTCTGAGACTTCTAGAGCAAGTCCACAAGGTAGTCATTTTTGAATCTCGTGGGAAGCAGATGAGACCCTAATTTCACTGCGTCCCATCCGAGTCTGCATAATAGCCCCCTGTTCCACCTGTAGCCCCGGATGCAGTCGGTAGAAAGCTACCTGCTAGCTCTGGAGAATTGACTTGAGCTTGGAGCTCGGAAACCCCATTGGCATGTGGTGGACGGCGTTCTTGATACCCATTGACGTAAGGGGACGGTAGCTCGACGTGATTTGTAGGGAATGTTGCCTCAAATTGGGCATCGGCAGCGTGTGCAGCGTCCCAACGGAGGAGAAATCTGCTGTGATCTTGTTTCGGGGGACGGGGTTTCACACTCTCATCAGCTTGCTGCCCAGACAGGGCACTTTCCCGCGCCAACTTCGATAATCCCCCAAAAGATAACCTCCCCACGGGAAAGGGGCGTGGAATGAACCAACTCACCGTCACTCCCAGTCTGAACACTGGGATTCCTAGAAAACTGGATACCTAGATAACGTATGTCGAGCCCGCTCTGGGCTGATGCTGAAGAAGATGGAGGAGCTGTGTTTGCGGTAGTGGACGAACCCCCGGAATTGCCAGTACCATGCCGAGAAGAGCGGGAAAAAATCGACGTCGAGAACCGTCGCTCGCGGCTCTGCCCTCGGCCCGAACCACCGCCTCCGCCGCCTCTTCCGCTGCTGCTCTCCGACGCACTCCCTCTTCGGTTACCACGGGCCCCCAGTTGCACGCGCTTGTGCCTATCATCCCGTTGCCGCAGATCGCGGTCGAAGTCGTCGAGCAGATACTCCTTCCAGAGGCGGCGGTGGTTCGCGTAGAAGGTGAGATAGTGAAACGTAGAATAGCGATCCCGCCACAGTTTGATGCGTTGGATAGTGCCCAAGCCGCGGACACTACCGTATGAGTCCGTTCGGCGGTGGGTGTCGGACCAGACGACATCAACGTCGAACCAGTCGATCAGGTCTCGATTTCGAAGGTCACTCTGCAACTGCATGGACCCCTCAATGGTGGTGAACTCGTACTTGACCTCGATGTACTCGTCGTGGACAGTACCCTCTCTTGTGGTGTAGCGGATCCGATGGGGCTCTTGAAAGGAGAGGTAGAGCTCCATCTCCCGCGGGTCGCCGAACCGCCGGTGTTGAGCATGGAGTGTATGTGGGAACAACTCGCTGGGGTTATCAGATGGTACTAAGAGAGGAGGTGGTCTTAGCAATACAAACGTTCTCTCCCCGTGAGTAAGCGCCAACGACGACAAGAATCGTATGGGAACAACAGGTAGACAGAAAAGAAACGAAGAAGAAAAGGTGACCTCAGGTGAATAAGAACCAAAAAACACAACATCAGACAAGTACACTCAAAAACGTACGGAAATGCTCCAATACCTCGCCCGCATAACTGCACTGCCACAGCAGTCGCCGTGGGTTGGCACCTACGATTTCCCATGGGCCGAGGTAGACGGTCACTTCGTTTGGCGTCCGCTCGAATAGCTTTCTAGACAGCCGGGGGTGTCAGAAAACAAAGATCGGTATTTTGCGTAGTAAAAAAAAAGAGGTAGATAGGCGGGTAGGCAGGTAGGCAGGTAGCCAAGCAGGGCCACTCGGTCAGGCATAGGCCGGCAGGCGTGCTACCGCTGGAAGGGGGGGAAAGGGTGTAATGGATGGATGGGCGGCTTAGGTCATTACATTGTCGCGTGGTAGCCAGGGGGGCCGAGATCGAGAGGCGCCGGGGGGGTCTGTGGGGCCGAAGACTCGGCCGTCAGGGCGGAAATGGCGGCGGAGGTGGGTGTGAACGTTGAGTCCACGGGACTGACCGCGTGTTGCGGATGAGACGGGGCGGCGCTCAGGGCCGACGAGGTGAAGGAAGACGACGACCCAGACCGCCAAGACGGGGCCATAGTGGTGCTGGTGCGAGGGGTATGTAAGAGAGTCTGATGAGCGCAAGAATTCCGAGCGTCAACATCGGCGTTGAACACACCGCTGTTCTAATGTGGGAGGCTGCTGCTGATTTGCGTAACCGGGATCCAGGAGCCGTGGAGAGGCTGTCAGGGGGTCGTCGAGACAGCGGTCCAGCATCTCATTAAAGACCCAGAGAGAGGGGGGAGAGGGAGAGATAGACCACCGGCTAGGCCCTATCGTCCCCGGGGTGGGATGAGAGCCAGGTGAAGAGCTCACTCAGATGGGCCAGTAGGTTGATGAGCGCCTTGATGTCGATGCCGAAAGGGATGTGACAGGACGTGCAGGCCGGGGTGGTCTGAGGTTGTCCACAACGACATGTCTTTGCGGCCAGGTGATGATGGTGTTGGCGGTAACAAGCGCCTGTCGACTCGGGACGATGGCGTAGGAGGCGGAATTTTTCTCCCTGGTTTGTTGTCCTGAATCCTTCTCCTCTCTTTCTCCCACGTCTACCCACGCAAGCAGGAAGTCCGTTCAACGTCAGCTGCCTCAGCTGTATGTGTGTGTTGTCTTGTTTTCGGGCCAGCCCGGGGCCGTCAGTGGGGTAAGTAAGAAGATGGTTAGTTCGTGGCTCGTGAACGGCTCGTGAAGTCTGTCGAGGCGCAAATCTTGCTTCTGTCCTTGCGGCAACAGCGACCAACCAGCGCGGGGGTCAGGTAAAATCGCAGGTAACAACCAACCAAAGCACCGGGCGGGGTGAGACGACCGGTCACTGGGAGAAGCGACCCAGTCGTAATAGCAGCAGCAGCAGCAGCAGCACCAGCGGCAGTCGTCGTCGTCGTCGTCGTCGCAGCACCACCACCACCAGTAGCAGCAGCAGCAGCCAGCCTTCCTTCAGGGGACCAACCTCGGATCGCGGGTGGCCGAGGCGGCGGTTCACAATGTGGTTTCCAGGCTGCGCAAGGTGTTTGGGCAGTTCGCAGCAAGCCATCCATCCGCCCACGGGCTGGCACCGCGGCATGCGATTTGCGAGACGCACCATGTGGCTAGTGGGCAGGGATGCTGCAGGAAGCGCATTAGCTCCCCGCCTGGATCCTCCTCAAACCCTTCCCCCGCTCTCTTTGAAGTCTCATTTCTCAAGGTCTTCGTTCGCTGCTCAGTGACCGTCTGTGACCCCGGAAAAATCCAAGACGCGGGCCCTGTCAGCGGGAACTGCAGCCACCGCCGCCACGGGTGCGCCATGGCTTAGGGTTGTCATGGGTTGAGCAGGGAGGAGGGGGAAGAGGCTGAAAAGTGTTGGGCAAAAACGGCTATGATTTGACGATTGGACAGTTTTGGGTGACATGCTGTGCGTGGATCTCGCGCGACATGACATGATCTCGACAGAAATGGAAAATATCTCGAATTAAAGGCAGAGCATCCCGGACGGGGATTCGACGATCGCGAGTTCTGGATTCTCCAAATTTTGTGTCATGGCACGTTTTTTCGAGGTGTGGTGATTTGGATCTAGGTGGGGGTTCCTGGGATTCCGCGGAGCGAGGACTGGTGAGAAGGGGATTTCGTCCGTGCACGAGTGAGCCAAACTGACACGCGGTCAGGTCGGGTCTTTGGCAATTTGGCAATTAGGCTAACGGTACCCTAACCCTGAACAGTATGAGACGAGGTTCGGGTGCTCCCGCTTTGCAACGGTCCACAGTTGGTTATTGGCCCCCACTTCCTTGACCAAACTTCCTCGAAGGCTGACGACGGTACTCCGTAGTACCGCCCGTTAGCCCGCCCATGGTAGCACCCCGTCCATGATGAAGAGACAGCTTTCGGACCACCACCAGGCTATTCTAACAAGGCTACTCCAGGTCCTGAAGTTCACAATGAGGAGATTGCCTTCGTCCTCAACGTTAACCAGCGGACCGTTCGACGACGGCAATATGAGTTTGCCGTCATCGGCGAGCTCAAAACGCCCGAGGATGTCAACAAAAATGCTGCCAAGTTGACGCTGGAGCACCTCGAGGTACTTTTCTCATCATATCCACCGAAAAACCAAGACACACGAAAGAAAGAACAAAAGGCCGCTTTAGATTTGGATCGACCACTTCGCCCTCTCTTCGGCTTTCCATCTATCTCTAGGAGGCAGCGCGTCATCAAATGGCACGAAACCCGCCCAGTCGCTCTCCTCGAAGCCATGCAACTCTTCCTTCAGACCCAATGCGGCGTCGGCGTCAGTATCTTCACCGTCAGCCGGCAGACACGCAAGGCCGACGGGAGCGTGTTCCGCTTCGGTCCAGGCGAGAGCGCGAAGTCGAGAAGACCGGCCCATTGCCGCGGAGCTCCGGTCTGCAGAGGCGGGCCACGATGGGACGCTGACGCCGGAGATGTATCATCACGAACGGCACATGGAGGTGCTCGAGCAAGCGCCGGGGCCGCCGTAGCATGAGCAGCCAGCGCGGTTGGATCGGGAGCTGGTATACCAAGGATCACCAGGTTTTGCGCACGCGCACACGACATGGTCGATGTTAGCCGGAGGTAGTCGGAAAGAGCGGCAGCGAATATTGTGTTTTGTATCGCCCGCTTGGCGACAAGGTTGAAAATTTTATCATGGGCTATGATGGCAGGGACCCATCAACTAATTCTCGGCATGACATTTCATCATCAGGTGTTTCGTTAGTTTGGCCGCCGATGTTGCCCAAACTATCGATGCGGCGCGCTAGCATAAGTTCCTTTCGTTGCCGAATGTCGGGGATGGAACTTCTTCAACAATGGCTGCCTGCCGGCGATTGTACACTACAAAGTGCTGCTGGGGGGTAGGTATGACCTGACATTCATGCCTAGTCAGCTATCTTTGGATATCAAGCCGTCCGCGCTGTGCCTCAACAACGGGTCATTCTCGGATGAGCCGCTCGCTTCCAAGGCAGCCCGGGAACGTCTTCCCGGACGAACGAGCGGCTGAGAGAGAAGAGCACGCGTTCGGCTTCTGCTCTGGTTTGCCCTGCTTCGTGGCTCTGTTTTTGGTTCTGTCTTCACGCGGCTCATGGACTGGGTTCTGGGCGTGTCCATCCCTTGGATCTAACATAGAGCCAATGAGAAGCCCGGATTGAGGGAGCAGGGTCGGATTTGCGGTTGTGATTGGCCAGAGCTTCAACGTCCTTTCCCCCATCCAGACACTCACACGGGCAAGCGGCACGGGCTGCGGAATGATCCACGAACCCAAGGTGCCGGTTTTCCCCCCGTGGCGTCAAGTTTGCTTGTGATCTCGGGGCAGAAGAAAATGTTGAAACTAGTCTAACGATTGCGACGCCCCGACTGCACGGAACGCTCGTGGCAGACGCAGCTGAGCGTGCCATCCCCATCAGATATGGTTTGGTTCTCATCCAGGGTGCCGAGATGAGACACAACTGCGACAGCCTGGGTTTGTCAATTGTTCTTTGCGCCTTAAACCTCTCTCTGCAGTGGAAGATTGCGATTTTCTCGTCGACGCCGAAGGCGCGTTGACACCGTTGACACGCCTTTTTGACAAGAACTCGTGAGCTGGGCAGGAAACAAACAGGAAGAAGTCGACTTTTCAAACCGCCAATATGTGCCAAGCCCCAGGCGGCCTTCAGTTACGCCTTGGCAGATTGCGAGCGAGGAAGCGTGGTCTTCCCCATCTGCACAACATCGCCAGGCTGGGGGAGCGCGGACATGGAAGCGACCTGGAAACTCGGGCATCGTGGCACAGCACACCAGGATCGTCAGGTTGAAGTTGACCAGATTCCGCACCAGCACCAGCACTCCACCATCATGAACCGCTGTCATTGCGCCCCCTTGTCAATGTTCCCCCACACACACCAATGGGCAACCATCCTGGACCCCAAAATCGCTTTGGGTTTCCTGCAATTCCGGGGGGGCCTGCGTGCTTCTGGACCATCTGTGGGGGTGCGTGGTTCGCTTGAAGGGGGAAGAAAGTTTGGGGGAAGAGAATTCAGCTTTGGCTGGCCTAGTTCCTGAATTGACGACTAACGTTATTCGAGAGTTCGAAGTGGGCAAGACAGCATCTCGCTCCCGTCACTCACATTCAACTCACTCTCGGACGCACACACCCGCAAGGCCGCCAACCTTGGTTGACCGAACCTCAACATTCAGCCTCCGTGCCTCTTTTCCCTTTCCATTTCCTGCTCCCTCGTCCACTTACTTCCCGTCTTCACAGCATCTGTCTTGAATTTTGTATTCCTGTGCATCGTTTCTTTACAACCACACACAGAGACACGCCCGTAGCGCTGCTGTTGGCCATTGCGTGGTTTTGGCCATGGAGGGGCGTGTCGGCAGGCGCTGAGTTGCATTCAACCGACAGACAGACCCGTTCACCACGCGACACCCAGTGGCCGGCCAGGCGACATGTATCCCAACCCAGAAAAGAAGAGGAATCGCGGGTACTTGGGACATGATAGCTCTGCGCTTTCGCCACGAGATCGTCAGGTACGTGGGAACTACAAGCAAGCTTTGCAGACACCACCGGCGTAAACCCGAACGTTTCATTCCACACTTTTACTTAACCTCCTTTTGTCCGCTACCGGAGGGAGCACTGGAGTACCGGAGTGCCCTGAATACCCGCGTAGCTAGCTGACAGGAACCACCAAAACACAGGACCGTCAGCAGCTCCGATATGAGCTCGACCTCAACTCATGGAATCTGAGAATTTGGGGCGTGGCCGCCTCGGGGTTTCTTACTGACTCGTGCGTCTTTTCCTCGCACAATTCACCCACTCACACCACAACAGAACTCAGAAACCATGTGTGCCACAGTTGTGACACTTAGGACGGGGCCTCCGTGATACTGACTTTTGTGCCCGCCCACTCGCAGATATAACCTCTTTGCAACCAACGTCATCCTCTCCACTGTCTCATTTGTCTACTTTCCACATCACTCGTGGTGCGGCCTAGTCATCAACCTCGTGACGCTAGTTGGGTATGCCGTCCTCATGCTGGGCTGGGCCGTAAATCCCATACCGCCTCGTCATGTTGTCTCCTCGTCGTATACTGACGACTGCGCTTCCCCCAGGTCCGTCGTTGGCCAGCTGCTGTTTGGGTACCTCGCCGATAGGTACGGCCGGACCCGCCTCTACGGCATCGAGCTAGTTCTAGTCATTGTGTCCACCATTGGTGTGGCCACAACCAGCAACGGCTATGGCGATATCTCGTTTTTGGCGTTGTTTACCTGGGTACGTCCACCATCTGTACTGCACCCGGCCCCTTGATATCGCCGTGTTCTTTCCCAGCTAACCTGTTTCCCCCACAACGCAGTGGCGGTTTGTAATGGGTGTTGGTGAGTCCTGAGTCCCAAAGGGTGTAATTAACTGGGTATGCCTACTGCCCCGCCCGACCTGTATCCTGACTTTTGCGTAGGAATCGGTGCCGAGTACCCCCTATCCGCCGTCATTACGTCCGAATGGGCCAGCACCTCTTCCCGCGCGACCATGCTGTCGTCCGTCTTCCTAATGCAGCCCGTGGGCCAAGCCCTGGCCCAGATTGTCGGCGTCTGGGTGCTCCTCGGCGAAGACACCGCCCACGGCCTGCAGGAGAAGCAGTGCGGCCTGAATTCGCTACACGAGGAGGAGTGCAAGAAGATCATCGACGGTACCTGGCGCATCGTTATTGGCTCGGGCGCAGTGCCCGCCCTGCTCGCCATCATTTTCCGTTTCTTTCTCTACGACTGTGGCCTCTACACCCTCGAGGTCAAGAACAAGCCCGGTAACGCCTTTCGCGACACCCAACGCGTGTACGGCGCACCCCCGACGTCGACCGCCAACGGCATCGCCATGTCACCCACCGGCGGGGCATCCAACGGTTACCCCGACGAAACCGAAACCATGCCGCGGCAGTTCTCGATGGAGGACCTACACACCTATTTCATCAAGGACAAGAACTGGTACTACCTTTTCGGCACGGCCATGACCTGGTTCTTTCTCGACGTCTCCTTCTACGGCTTCAGCCTCGACAACCGTGGCACGCTAGCTGACCTGTGGGCCACGACCGAGCGCATGCCCCTCGACGCCGAGCACCTCTGGTGCTGGAACTCGACTCTGCCGGGTGGCACCTCTCTAGTGCCCAATTGGGCGGCGGACGGTATCCCGACCTGGCAAACCGACCGCACGCAGCTGTGCAACTCGATTTACGAAACGGTCATTGAACAGTCGAAGCAGTATCTCTTGACCGTGTCAGTGGCATCCATCGCGGGGAGCGCCTGCTTTATCCTGCTGGCGAACCGGATCAAACGACGGGAATGGCTGACTTCGTCGTTTTTGATTCTGACCGCGTTGTTTCTGGTTACGGGCGGGGTGTATTATGGCGTGGCTCACACCTCGGCTGCGCCAGCGACTGTGGTGTGCGTGGCTATCTGCCACTTTATGTTCAACTTTGGTAAGTTCACCTGCCGCTCCTTTCCCCTCTCCCCCTTTTTTCTCGCCTAGTAACCCCATCTAACCCCCCATCCCCACAGGCGCCAACACCCTCACCTTCATCATCCCCGCCGAGATCTTCCCCACCTCCTACCGATCCCTCTGCCACGGCATCTCGGCCGCCGCCGGAAAACTTGGCAGCATCGTCGCCATCCTCGTGGTCTACGGCATCAACTGGGGCTACAACTCCACCACCCGCCAGGGCCTCGTCTTCCTCCTATTCGCCACCTTCATGGCCCTCGGCGCCCTCTACTCCTGGGCCTACCTCCCCGACGTCCAACGAGTCGTCTACACCGGCGGCGCCGGCAACGAAGCCGCCAGCGGGTTCACCGGCCGCAGCTCCTCCGCAGGCCGCGGAAACGGGAAATACCTCGAAACCCGCAACCTCGAAGAACTCGGCGAAGGGTACGTGCGCGCCTGTCAGGAAGGGCAGGTCATCGGCCTGCGCGCCAAGTGGGAGGACCTGCGCGGGCGGGTACGCGATCGCCGGAATGAGTTGACCAGGCGCATGGGCGGGCGAAAGGGCAGAAGGGACGGGAGCGATCCGCGGTTGGATGAGATGGGGCATAGGGCTATTGCGGTAAGGGAAGCGCCTGTTCCGGTGGCTGTTGCGTCGGTGCCGACTATGCCGAGGGTGCCGACTGCGACGAGGGTACCAATGGGGCATACAGGGCATACCGGGTATACAGGGCATATGGGGAATCCAATAGGGAATACAGGGCCTGTGGAGGTGGATGGGAATGGGATTGGGGATGTGCCGCGCCCGGGCTCGGGGAGGTGACTGAGTGACTGACTAACTGATGAAGCTATTCAGCAGCGTCAGTTAAGCAAGAGAGGGAGGCATTCAACCAGGCTTCTTTTTCGTTTTCGGTTTTATTTTTTTCCCCTCGTTTTCTTATGGTGTGATATATATAACCCCCGTCATGGTTCCCGGTAATGGATATGCTAAATACGGCGTGCGTGGCAGCAATGCAAGGAGACAATGGACTGGGGCATGGCGGGTGATGGGTTCCTTGGGAAGGTTTCTGTGGCCGGCTGCGAATAGTATGGTAAATGGGAATCGGGGTTTTGGTGATTTCTCTTTTTTATACCAGGACTCCAGTGTTTTAGTTCGTTGATTTAAACGAGTCAGACGGCCGGAAAAATAAATTTCTTGTGACAAATGGAAAACCGCCAGTGGGATGCCGGCCTGATATGATATGTATTATGATGGTATCGCGAGGCCTATCTGGGAGTTGACCATCCATACAAGACAACCTAAGAAGACGACAGATCAACAAAAAAAAAGCCAAAAGCTCACCATCGGGCCTTATCTCAGATAAGGCCCGATGGCTACGAAAAGCTGCACCGGGGGGGGGCTTTTGCATGCGGAGAGGTATGGGGGGATCGAACCCCCAGCCTCTCGAGTCGGGGCCCTCCCAATGCCGCTGAGCTAAACACACCGGTGTGTGAAGTCTATTGGGAGGTCGGTGGCTGTTGTAGCTGGAGAAGGGGTTATATACCTGGGGAAGGAAGGAGCGGGATTTGAGGACTTGGAGCGGGTGGAGGATGGGATGAAAGTTACGTACTGGTGGTACAGAGGTGGGTAATCATGCATGAATTGGGCTCATATTCCTCTTCAGAAGGGAAAGGCGGGAGTATTGGGAATTTAAATGGATTGGAGTCTACAAAAACGGAAAACTAACACGCGAACTACATCATAAAACTAGAGACATGAAAGATGTCAAGTTGTATTATACACATTCAAGAGCATTACACTCTACTGGATCAACAGCAGAGCAATAAAGCACGGATGTACATTGAACAGATGTGTTAAGTTAACGTAGATTGGAGTGGATTGCGCTGGCTATCTGCCCTGTCTCGGGGCCGCCCTCAGTTTTGGTACATAGTTACAAAACATCAGTATCATCAAACAGGATAGATCATCATACCCAGCTCCGTCCAGCTGTTTCCCAGATGTAATAACGGCCGTGAAAAAAAAAGTGACTCTGGCACTGTGACCAAAGCCAAACGCCTTGATATCCCAAGAAAAAAACAGAAAAGGAAGAAATAAAAAACCGGCGGAGTGACCAGGCTACATGGCCAAGAACATGAAAAAAGGTATCTCTGCTTATAAATATCCAGCCTCGCCCCGCTATGCATCCCATCTCATCCCATCATCCGCACGTATATGATTGCCCTAACTGGGCTCCCATCCCATCTCCATCCCGTCCATCGGCCCCATCACCATGATCGACCTCAACACTCCATCAGCCACGGGTTCCATCCCACCTTGTTGGCCCGACATATCCACCCACGCCGCAGCTGCAACGGCCGCAGCAGCGGCAGCCGAGTTTCCACCACCACCGCTGTTCCCAGGAACACTCCCGCCGCTACTCACACCTGATCCATCGCGGCCGCCGGTGGCCATGCCAAATCGGTGTGTGTCCGGTAGGCCGTAGGTCGTGGGGTGGTCGGGCCGGGTGTGGTTGAAGTAAGGGTCAGTAGGGCCGCCCGCTGTGGCTGCTGTTCCTGTGGCGGCATTGGGGCCGCCGTTCAGGTTTTGGTGCGCCGGGACCGGGCTGGCTTCAAACGAGTTTCGTCCTGACCCGCTACCGACATGGCCGGTGCCCGGCGCCGCAAGGTTTTGGCGTTGATGATGTTGGTGTTGGTGATGGTGGGCATCCGAGGTTGTGCCGGTTGTGCTGGAGTTGGGCGTGCGGCTGTTTATATCCGGAGACGTGCCTGAGAGGTCGTTGGTGCTTCCTGTGTCGACGTCCTGCGGGGCAGCGGCGTAGGAGGAAAAGGTGCCCGGGTGCAAGATGCCGCTATTGTGGTGCGAAGAAGATAGGTAGGACGGTTGGCCGCGGTCGCGGGTTGGGAGGCTTGTGGGCTGTTGAGAGGGCGAGAAGTTGGGGGGGCAGGCGTTGGGGTCCATGTCGATGATGTCAGGTGCAGTTACGGGGTTGCCATCATCACCGCCCACCTTCATAAAGTTGCACTGGTTGCTGTAGCCCATCACACCAGTCTTGTCGCCGGGGTGCTTGGGTAAACCCTGAGGAACACGTCCGGGGGAGCCGGGCTGGTTCTGGTTAGTAACCTATCAAGGAGGAAAGGGAGAGGAAATATTAACAACAAAGGTGGACTTACGGCATCGCTACTCCGAGGAAAAGCACTCCTTAACTTGGGGATACGCGCGCCTAGAGCCTCTAGGTCGACGTCGAGCTGTACTAGGAAAGACTCGGTGAGGGGGTTCCGTCTTTTCAGGGCATTCATGGCCGACAAAAGGAACCGCAGCGAATCCGCGGTCTGGCTGTCGTCTGGTCGGCTCTTGAGATACTGAACAAACACCCGGGCCGAAACGTAGAGACAGAAGGAAATGAACGGGTTCATCTGAAAGGACCACATATTAGTACTACTGCTATTGTCATCGGACGTAGCTCACTGGGATGAGAACATACCGCGGATAGGTCGAGATGCGAGACCATTCTCATGATGCTCGCAATCTCGTTGGCGGCCGTGATACAGCGCACTTTGCTCTCGGAGCTCACCGAGGCCGGCAGCCGGTTCTTATCAGCCTTGAAAATGGCTGCTTGGTGCAAGCAAATGGTAGAGGTATGAATGCACATGTTGGTGAAGACAACATTAGCGTTACCAAGGCCTGCTGGCAGCTTGAGGTGCGACGGTAAACACAGCGACGTGTTGAGCAGGATGTTGTCCATCTGCCGGTGGCGCTTCCAAAACTCGCCATTCAGGTCGTGGTCTCGGTCGTCGACGTCCGGGCGGTGCAAGTGAACAAGGTTGCGGCCAAACAAGCAGGCCATGAGCACCACACCGGCGAACGAAGAGATCTTGCCGGCACCTGCGGGGCTCATAGCGTCCTGGAGCGTAGGAGTCTGCTCGGGCCGGCTCAAGTCGAAGGCGTCGTCGGAGGCGGGTAGATTGGTGAGGATGTCTTTCTCGTCGACGGTAACAGGCCACCCGGTGCCGATGCTGGCGAAGCGATCGAGGCAAAAGGCCATCCAAAATGTCCTCCTCCGCTCCTCTCTCTCGGTCCAATCGCGCGGTGGTGGCAAACACTGCTTGACATCTAGCCCCGTGCCGTCAAGCCGGTGAAGGCCAATCCTATGAACGTCAGCGCAAGTTCCAGCTAGTTGGGATTAGCGAGAACCCCTTACATCTGAGATAACCGCACCCCTGAGCCGGTGCTTATCCACGCCCTGGGGAAGTACATCCACTTGAATTCGTACGAGGCTAGTAGCACATGCGTTTGGGCGTGGGCGACTGAGATCATGTGCTCGCCATAGCCTTTCATGTAATCGGACTCGAGATATTTGCGCGCGCGCGCGTAAAACAGGTCCTTCAGGGTGTGAAACTTGTCTGACACCGAGCAAGCCAGCGTCCACATGGCGTAGCGAAGGCAGACTGGGGGTCGCTGAGCGGGAGCACTGTTGAGCGTTAGAGTTAAGTCCATACGGACGCGGAAAAAGTGCCAACAACTTACAGATTCATCGCCGCTAGGTAGCGGAATTTATGAATCATGGGTACCGAGGGATGAATCTTCTCGAAGTAGATGTGATGCCTAGATCGGACAAAGGTTAGTTCCCCCTTTCTACGAAATGCGACCTAGAGGGGACTTCCAGGGGCCATCTTACAGCTCATCGATCGTCTCCTGTGACGGCAACGGCTCTTCCAGACCCAACCCAATCATTTCCCAGGTGAAGTTATTGTCAACGCCGCCCATGCCCATGCCCATACTACTGTTAAAATTGAAATCGTCCAGTGGCGGGTTGTTGGGCGAATCCGAGTTGAACTGCCAGCGGTCCATATCCCGGCTGCTGGCTACCGCAATGGAGGGGTCTGTGACGTTGAAGTTGGCCGTCGCGGCGGCGCGTTGGTTTATCGGCGGAGCCTTCGCGCTCCCGTCGAGGGGCATTGAGATGCCCTTGGCTGCATCGGAACTCGAGATCTCCTGGGTTTTGAGGAGTGTTTCAACCTGCTCTATTAGAGTTGCAAAAAGTACAGTCAGTTGCCACTTCGCGCGAAAAGATCAATCCAAAAAGGGGCAGGTGGGCACGTACTCAGCCGCTCCTCCAACGCCTTCACATAACCTCTCTTAGGCCCGCTCTTGCGCCGTACCTCGTCGTAGGCGCACGTGTGCCCCAGGCGCGAGCAGGTACTGCAGCTAGGCTTGATGCCGTCACACTTGAGCTTGCGCTTGCGGCAGATCATGCAAGCTAAGCGCTTCGGCTTGGGCACGCTCGAGTTTCCGCCCGCGGGCGTATCGATGGTAACCTGCTGCTCATCCGGGAGCCGGTCTGTACCCGGGTCGGAGACCATAATGGTGTCGGGGGGTGTTTCGGAGGAGGTTGACATGATGGTGGCGGGTAGATGGGCGTGTGGCTTGACGAGAAAGTGAGAGAACCGAGGCCTGGGGGAATCGTGTCCTCCGTCTCACTCGAGGATGGCCGAAAACGCAACTAAGCGATCGGCTACATGCGCTCGCTTGTCGCGACCTTCTTCGAGGGGTCCGAAACGTTGAGCCGATCCGTGCAGTTTAGGAAAACAAATGAGTATTAGGGAATGGTTGGTATCGTTGAACTGGGGTGTGCAAGCGATGAAGCGTTGGTGTCCGTTGATGGGCGTGAGGTAAACTTCGAGAGTATCGTACTTGTCCCGATCGTGAATCCGGTGTGAACGAGACGGGACTCGGCCGAAGCTGGCGACCAATTGGCAGTGCTGACGTTGCGGGGGTGTAAAAGAGGCCAAGCGAGTGCGACAACTGACAAGCCCCTCGTGGAAAGAGGGTTAAACGGTGGAGGTGGCTTCGGTTGCTGACCAAATAGACCAGACAACGGCGGGATGACAAGAGGCAGAAGAGATCGCGGGGAGGGGGACACGCGGTTTACAAATGCCTGGCGCTACCCACGTTGCCTGACAAGGCTTGTTCCATGGGTGGTGTATCGGAGTAGTGGGATGGTGTGGGACTGTGGGACGGATGGGGTCTTATCCACAGCGCCCTTGTCAAAATAACCTTTTGTGACTAGCAACGGCTCAGTTGACGAAAAAAAGTGAAAGAAAACGAGGGGAGAATGGTGGGTCTTGTTCAGGTATTCGTATGTCGAGGCAGAAGAGACTAATATCCATGTACATATGGCTTCTGAAGCTCCGCTGGACATGTGTCTCTCAGGTGCCACACTTACACTACATCGCGGATTGCACCTGGGTTCTGGTCAATGGAATTAAGGTAGGTAACTATGGGAAACAATGGGGCAGTGCCCGCAAAGGCGGAAAACCATCACTCTCTGCCCACCCACTGAGCTGGTACTGGCAAGCGACGGGAAGACAATCCAATGAGGTGTCTGCTACAACGAAAGAAAAATGGGGTTGTTGGCTGGGTTCCCAATCACTCTTTTCCAATCTTGGTGAGCTCAACGCGTCGAAAACTCCGGGGTCCTTCGAGCCCCTGGTCTCCGTGTCCCGTCGTGCTCCCCAAAGCGTTTCCTTCCATGTCTTGTGTCGTTCGGCTTCTGCGAGATACGGGCCCGGTGTTAGGGCGAGTCGGGTTGCCCGTAATTACCACAGTACCATTTCAACGTCCCATCGGCCGATCCTTGGGGAATTTCGGGTTCTTGGCTTTTCTTGCTGTGACGATTTTAGCAACATGGGAAGAGCCTGTAGAGCGAGTCAGCCTCGACCGGTAAAAGAGCGGCACGGTTCATCGAAGATGGGAACTCTAAATCGGGACGTTTCCTGGCAATGATGTCTTTTCGGTCGCTCAACCCGAGAGGCCCCTCAAGATCTTCTGGGCTTCGAGGGGTTCTTGGGAGCTTGGTTCTGTCGTCTACGGGTTACAAGCGGCGATGCGACGTCCCGTTGCTTGGGCCCGCTCGGTTGCCCAACGATTGGCCCCAGCTGAGCCAGACGCAGCATATTATTAATAGCAAAAGCCTGCTGTCGTCCCCACATATCTCTCGACATTCAAGGTTGATGAGTTGATCAACAACATCTCTCGGGTTCGATTCCGCCTTCAACGACTTGGAAATCTGGCGAGCCTCTTCGTCATACGGTAGAGTGTAGTAAATGAAAGGGCCGCCTACCTTTGCCCTGATGATCGAAGAAGAAGCTGGGAAGCCAAAATGTGAGAGAATTAGGACGCTAGGGTACCGTTCGAGAAAAGGACAGTTTTTCATTTTTCAGATGTTGCGAAACTGACTCCGTCGACCCACATCATGCATTCCTTTGATTCTCAATTCACAACGCCCTTGTCGGCCGCGCAAAAGCCCATTTCCTTGACCTCAGATTCTTGGAACTTTCTTCTCATGTTGCGCCCAGACAAGATTGATGAAATAAGTCATTTCTGTCTTTTTCGTCCCGCAACAAAAGAGCCACACAGCCACATGTTGTTTGATGATCTTTTACAACTTCGGTGCGAAAGCGTGTTGCAGGGGGTGAGGGCGGAGTGATATTACCCCGTGCTGAGAACTGAAGTCGAGGTTCCAAGGAAGGAGCTTTTTCTCCCAACGAGTAACGTAAGGCCCTCCTGGCCCTTCCAAAGGGAGTAACCGCTGCGCTTGAACCTCCAGCTCAAGAGTTGCGAGCTGTGGCTCGAAAGAATGGTTGGTTGCGCTCAGATTTCCAAAATGTGAATATCTCATGCTCTGTTGAGCATCGCCCGAACTTTTTTTAAACTCCTCCCTTCTTCGCCCCAGCGCAGCCTCTTCAGCTGCCCTTCGATTTCTTGTCCGCATCGATGATACGCAGCACGCCGAGATCCCCATAGGCGAGGCAGTATCGCGTTGGGGACCATGCCACAGCTTCACAGGGCCCGGCCGTTTTAAATGTGTGAATGAGCTCGCCAGACTCTGCATGGGTGACTTCTATACCGGAACCTAATACGATGGAGGGAAAAGTGAGTATAACTTGCATTGAGTTCGGATATGTCATGTCGACTAGGGTGGTCCTTACCTTCCTCACATCCAGCAACGAGGTAGCTCCCGTCGAACGAGAAACCTAAAGTAAATTAGCATGCGGGTTATTGATTCACCGGGCGGGAGAATTGGAGGGTGACGCACTCAAACATTTCACAGGCCCAACCATGCGGGAGATGGTTCGCTGGCAGATCCAGTCTTTGGTGTCAAACAGACCGATGATCGAATCGGCACCGCCCGTCGCGACATATCGCCCTGTGGGCGAAACCTCGGTAGTGAGGCACGCGGCTGTGTGCCCCTTCAGCATGAACTCGCTCGACTCCCCCTCTTTCACGGCGTGGTTGACGTGCACCACCGGCTCCAGGTCTGGATAGGACAGGATCCTAACGGTGCCGTCAGCCATGGGCAGGAAGACTTTCTCGCCGCTCCAGCAGAATGCCAGCTGGTTCACTTCGGTGGGCAGCTGGTGAGTCGCAATGATGGCGGACTTGGCCGGCGATACCTGGAAGAGCTCGCCTGACTATGAAACCGTTTTGGTCAGTCCCTCACTTAGTCTCGAGACGCATTTGATACCTCACGGGAACGTACCCTGTTCGCCACGAGTAGCGAGGACCCATCAGGGGCCCAAGCTAGGGAGTGGGCGGAACCCATCCCCTCGATCTCATTGACACACGCCTTTGTCCGTACGTCCCAGAGCCGGACAACGCCGTCGTTACTGACGCTGCCCAGCTCCGTTTCCTTTGCCGGGTTGAAGGCGATCTTCTCAATGGTGGCTGTATGGCCCCTGAATTCAGTTGAATATCGGAGCTCTGGTTTGCCCGCAATCCCTACCAAGGCAGCGATCTGGTTAGCGTACTCTCCCGATTATATTTTATAGAAACAACCACCTAAGAACGACGCATAACGGGGCATAAGGGGAAATCAACGCCAACTCACAGGCACGTATCGTCTTATCCGTAGTGACGGTGGCCACAACTGTGCCGAGGGGATTCCACGCAATGTGGCGTAATCTGGAAGAGATACCATCGTGAGTAAGGCTTCTTGTTTCAGACACTGCACACAACCACAGCAACACCCAATAGGTATGGCATCGTCGAGGATCATACGCACTTATGATGCGCTGCAGCCCCGCTGCGGGCAGATGTTGTCGATTCATGGTAAGGTTGATTATGAATATCTTTGAAGTGAGGCGAGAACATCTCTTTGGGGATGCGGGGGAGCCTGGGCCGAGCCGGTTGTGACATCGTGGGCAGAGGGGTGAATTATCATGAGGGTCACGTTTGGAGTGAGAAGCGCAGTTGAGGTCTTGAACGCTTGGAGCTGTTCTCTCGAGCCGGAGGAGAAGTGGAGATGAAATCGACTACCGGATCATCACGGGAAAGGGAACTTTGCGTTGGGACGAGACCAATTGGAATCTCGTATATATAGTTCCGCCTTTAAGATGAATTGGCGCCTGTGATATGATGGAATTGGTGGCAGATGGTTCAGGGAACGGGTTGTTGATGTTCGGCCCCGGGCTGCTGGGGCCTGAGTGTGGGTCGGAGCATAGCGCTGCCAGGGGCTGGAATTTCAAGCTGGGGTCCGCTGTGCCCGGGCTGGTTCTCGACATTTCAGGGATGCTCCACTAACACCACGACCACATCCCACCTGTCCCACAGCAACCTCCCAGATCCCGGATTCCATGGTTAGGTACCTATGCCATTCCGAGCAGGTCTATCACGGCTCAACCAACGGCATACGCTTTCATAGAAACCACGCGCGAGCGACAGCCGACATGAATTGATAGTGTGGCCGACGCCATCCGATCGCGAAACCCACCGATGCCGGGATCCGTATGACGATACACGCGCCGTGAAGGGTCCGGCTTCAGAGCAAGCCATGTACTGGCCGCTCGGGACACCGCGCATCTATGCAACGAGCACCGCTCGCCAGCCGGGCTTGACCCCAACCATCTCGTACGATGGCCTCCCCCCTCCCAGCACATCTGGGCGCCCTGAGCAACGGCCGGATAGGAGGACCTCGTTCCTATCTCCCAGTTCCGCTGCTCTCGACGACGGCGTGGGCTCCTCTCTCTCGGCAGCAGCAGCAGCAGCAGGACCGACAATCTCTTCCGCGGCCCCTCCCCTCACACCGACTACACCGATGACGCCCATGACGCCCGGGATAAAGCCTGTCGAGCATGATTATACGGATGAAGATAGCTCATCGTACTCGCCAATCGTCGACGTTCCGGCTCTCCCTGTGCAGGACCCGGTCTTGGCTCTGCGTGCAGCCCGCGCTGGCCATATATTTGCCGTCATCACAGCGACGTCCATGACCATCTGGCAAACAAAGGTGCGGAAGATTGGCTGGTTGTAGCTAGCACTCCCTATAGTTATATGCGTGGCCTACTCGACTCACACTCTTCGTCCTAGCCGACCGTTGTCCTCGCCGTTGTTGTCCGTTCCAAGTCATCCCTCGAAGCCTACGGCACGAATACCAACCTTCTCCTCCGCCCGGACTCGGCCATCCTGGTCCTCCATACGAGCCTAGGCTACTTAATAACATACTCGCTTGCTACGGATCCCGAAGCTCGGATATATCGACCACATTTTGCGAATCACACCAATGTTCAACGGAGACGACAAAACCATGTTGGCGACCCCGGTCATACTGCCCCGGATCAGATACTTTGGGGCCCGGGCGAGGGGGCCGGGGTGCGGGACGTCAGTGTGCGATTCCGCATGGTGATCAAGGTGGATGCGGGTATCGAAAGCGCTCTGGCCCTTGATGATGAATTAGTGGTGGCGACGCGCAAGCCTGCTGCTGTGCAATGCATCCGCTGGGCCCCTGACAACTCAGGAAGCCAGACGAGCACCGAGTTGCTCAGCCGGATGGGTTGGCTGGAGAAGAAGGTCACGGTACGGGAGATGACCCACGACCGCCCCATGAATCTCTCCACCTGGGTCACTAGCGACGGGCGGGCATATGCGGTGCAGCGCCTGACGCCCGGTCAACAGCAAGCAGCCGGGTCAAACGACACAGCCGATGCCAAGAAGCTCTTCAAAGGCTACTGCTTTCACACACCGCAAGATGAGCAGGACCATGCGGTTCAATGTGTGGTCAACGCAAGGTTTTCGCTAATCGCGGTCGGCTGTGTTGACGGCACCATCCGCGTCTACTCAGCCAGGGACTACTCTGGAAATATCCCTGCGTCTCACGTTCACAACGTACCGGCATCTTCCTCAACAGCCGGAAAAATCACGACGCTGATTTACTCCCCCGACGGTTACTGCCTCTTTGCCGGATTTGAGAAGGGCTGGGCGACTTGGAGTGTCTACGGGAAGCCATTGAGCAGTACTTTCCACGCCGACAACGCAGTTTCTAGGGCCAACGGGGAAGAGTGGCTCTCTAGCGTGCTGGATGCCGCTTGGGTCGGGGGGTCTTGCGACCTTCTCCTTGCTAGCAGAGCACACGAGGCCGTCTGGCTGTTGGAAATGGCGAGGAGTGCAGTCACTGGGTGCTACAATCCGGCCAACCTCTTCCGTACTGTGCTCCAGAGCACCTCAAGTGTGATGGTCTACCGGGGGTATGACCTCCCCGATCTCACATCCATATCGGCGGAACCCTCTCTCTGGCACACCAGCCGGATTCCCGCTGTGTATCTCCTCAACCAATGGCCGATTCGCTGCACCGCCATCTCGGCGGATGGCCGTTATGTAGCTGTGGCTGGACGACGGGGGTTGGCGCACTACAGCGTGAATAGTAACCGCTGGAAGACGTTTGCCAACGAAAACCTAGAGAGCGAGTTTCAGATCAAGGGCGGCATGTGCTGGTACCAAAACATCCTGGTGGCCGCCGTGGAGGCCAACAGGTCTTTTGAACTGCGTTTGTACTCCCGTGAGTCGGCGCTCGATGGCACCGTGGCCTACACGCAACAAATGGCAACTCCAGTGGTGCTCGTCACCTCCACGGGCGAGGACTCGCTGCTCGTCTACACTTATGACAACCTACTTTACCATTACATATTTGCGCCCGGGCCGGGTTCCATCAGACTGATTGAGGTCGGCCACATCGCCTTCCATGGCATCGTCCGGTCCCCTGCCCGCGTCAGGGGCCTCAGCTGGATTTTGCCGGACCACCAGCTTCAAGAAGGCGATCCCACGCAGGACGTAGCCCATGCCTCTGTCCTGTTTCTGGTGGATGGCAAACTGGTCCTCTTGCGACCCTCGGTCAGCGACGATGGTGGTCTCAAGTACGATATGCGCGTCATTGCTCATAACGTTGAATACTATCTCAGCATGCGGGATCGTCCGCACACCCTCGATCTGGCGCCGCAGCCACCGCCCCTAGCCCTCCAGGCGGTCAATGGCGTGAAAGGAGGCGGCCTTGAGGACTCGCTATGGTTATTTGACGGAAACGAACTCAAGGCTTGGCCGGACACGGACCCCGTCATGAAGGCGATCTCGGGGGAACTGTCAAGGGAACTACCCGCCATGGTCCCAGTTCCTGTTGACTTTTATCCGCTCTCTGTTTTACTTCCAAAGGCCGTCGTGCTTGGCGTCGAGCCGGATCTGATACAACGCCGAGATATCAGCTTCTCTTTCTTCCGCTTCTCTATTAGGGTAATGATTTCTCATGGGAACCTACACCCCTTGTCCAAGTTCTACAGCTAACAATGTTGGTAGACACACCTCTTCTTTCCTGATATCTTGCGGTTTTATCTCTCGCTGAACAGGTCCGCCGAAGCACTTCGACTCGCGCAACAATACGAACACCTAGAATATTTTGCCCACGGTCTCGAGATTCTACTCCACCACGTGCTCGACGAGGAAGTCGATGCCAACCCGACCCCAGCCCCCGAACATGCCATTTTACCGCGCGTGCTCTCGCTCCTGTCCTCTTTCCGGCAATACCTCGATATCGTGGTACAATGCACGCGCAAGACCGAGGTGCGCTCCTGGCGCACCCTCTTCGCCTACCTCCCACCCCCGCAGGAGCTTTTCGAGGAGAGTTTACAACGGGGGAGCCTGAAGACGGCGGGCGGGTATCTTTTGATTCTCCACACATTTGACGAGCTGGCGACAGCTAGCGAGCAGAGCGTGCGGCTGCTGAGCCGGGCCATGCGTGAGGAGGATTGGGACTTGTGCAAGGAGCTGGCGCGGTTTTTGGCCGCCTTAGACGAGACGGGTGATACCTTACGCGAAGCGATGGAAATGGTCAAAGCCCGGATGCAAGGCGATGGTTATGGGGGCGAGGTGGGTGATGATGTGCCTGGGCCTTCGAGGAATGGGTTTATGTCGAGGCTAGAAATTCCTGGAGGTGGGATTTATCCTCCTTCTCTAGGTAGTGCGGATTCGGAGACGGAAGGGCGGTCGGCTAGTGATGCGGGCTCTTTTATCAGCAGCGCCTAATACCTACTGCATATGAGTTGGATTTGGGGAAGGCCGCGGCATGCGTGCTTCCTCAGGCGACAGAAGCGATCCCATAGAGGGCGGGGAGGGCATGCCCACAGGCTTCTTTAGAACGCCTACTGTAGTAGATGATTCAGTGAGCTTTCCAATACGGTTCAGAACTCGTTGAATAAAGAAGGTTATGAGACCCTAATGATTACGCACTGTATGAAGCCATCAGAGGATGTACATACATAATGCTTTGAGCGTATTCATTTTGATGAACCTTCTTCGGGTTAGGGATTCCCCGAGATGTAAAACAATTGAATAACGTACGAATTGGATTTAAATTTGCATCACGTTCCTCACTCAATGCTTCAGTGGCACCAGTACATGTGCTCGACTCACACAAGCTGCGCACAACTTCCCAATGGTTGTACGGTGCGAATTGATGCCAGGGGCAGTGTCCGACCTGTGGGGCATGGACCCCTCCAACAATTCCCAAAGCCCCCACCAGAGCAAAGCACAATTCCGGCGGCCGCCTGCAGACGTCCAACAACATCATCGCACAGTGGTCGCACCCCAACAACAGCCCCTCCAACCGACCGACAAGCAGCCATCCACATTTGCGCACCCCTTTCGCGACACCGAAGGTCGACGGGGCAGAGCAACAATTTATAGACGAAAGCCAGTCGGCTCGAGGGCGTATCCGACTGGAATCTAGATTGACGCCCACCACCGAAACCTTCGCGCCCTATCTCTTCGTCACCCCTTGCGATTTCGCAATCGGCCCCTCAGCCTCCTCCCTACTATCACTACATTGCAACACCTTGATTACCGCGCCGCGATTACAACATGGATGACTACGGGACCGAGTCGGATAGTGACTACACCAGCTACTGGCGGGATTGGGTACGTGTCATTAGTCTATCCTGCTGTCGCTCTGGCGTTTTTATATTGCCTTGATTTTTTATTACTTTTGTTCTTTTGTTTCGGTCGCGTTTACTGCCAGGCCCGGCGCGCAACAACTGCTGATTTGCTGTGTGTCATCTAGTTTATCTCGTCTCGGGGTAACGAGTACTTTTGCGAGATCGACGAGGAGTATCTTACCGACCGGTTCAACTTGACTGGCCTGAACACGGAAGTCCAATACTATCAATATGCGATGGACCTCATTACCGACGTGTTTGACCTTGACTGTGACGACGAGATGCGTGAGACAATAGAGAAATCGGCTAGGCACCTGTATGGTCTCGTCCACGCACGATACATCGCTTCCACAAGAGGATTAACGAAAATGGTATGCTCTATCAACCCGGTCCATTCTCATTTCACCGCTTCGGTTGGCCCGCGCCCCAGTCACGAAACTAACCCATCGCTTTCCCTCCCATAGCTCGAGAAATACAAGAAGGCCGACTTCGGGAAATGCCCACGCGTCATGTGCAACTCCCACCCACTGTTGCCCCTCGGGCTCTCCGACATCCCCAACCTCAAGCCCGTTAAGCTCTACTGCGCGCGGTGCGAGGATACATACAACCCCAAATCCTCCCGACACGCCTCCATCGACGGCGCCTACTTCGGCACCTCGTTCCACAGCATCCTTTTCCAGGTCTACCCAACCCTAGTCCCCGCTAAGAGCCAGGAGCGCTACGTCCCCCGCGTCTACGGCTTCAAGGTCCACGCCGCGGCCGCGCTTGTACGCTGGCAGAACAGCGTACGCGGTGACATGCGCCGCCGTCTGCGCAAGATGGAGGTTGACAGTGGATTTAAGGACGGCGAGGATGACCTGGAGGACGAGGATGAGGACGAGGAGGAGATTGATGAGGAGGAGGAGCTGCAGATGCAGCTACAGCAGCATCAGCTCGTCGAGTACAGAGGTGGCGCTACTGCTGCTACAGGCGCACTCGTTCCTGTCGCGGCTGGCGATGCCCAAATGGGGGGTGTCGCATAATGATGGGGGAACGATGGATGTTGTTGGGCGCCGTGTCTGTTCTTTGCTTTCTCTCTCCGCCTCTCCATCCTCCTTCGATATTTTGTGGGGCGAAAACCCCCGTGGTCTTGTTTTGTTCTATCCGGCGCATTTGCACTCTGGCGTTTTTGATGGCATAGGCGTGGGGGATCTTGAGCGGATGGGAAGAAGGGGGCTTATCTACCTGGATGGTGCTTCGGTTGGTTGTCGGTTTGGTAATAATACAATGGGAGATGACGGCTACGCAAAAACTAGCGGTACATGATACCAGTACATAGCTAACGGGATACGTTTTACCCACTATTTAGCTTCTGTGGTGATCCGACGGGGATTGAAGTAGTGGGAGACACCTACGTGACTTCTGATATTATCACCGCGTTATTGTATGCCCCATGATGATCTTCCCAATTGGCAGTGGAGAGATCTAAGCTTTCCCATCAAGGGTATCTTATGCACATTGTGACATATTTGAAGACAAATTACTGACTACCATGCCAAATCCAGCCACTCGCTCGACATCCTATCCCGTCCCTTGAATGTTAACAAAGCCGAATCCAAGCCATAAGGGTCACCGCCACACACACCTATTTCCGTCTTTGGTGGTACGAGATGCAAACGGTATCTTTTCCCAACGCCGGAGTGCCATGCGCCATGCATACGAATCCTAGCCCAACAAAACAAGTTGAAAAAACTGAAACCGGCCAAAGAGAACAACTTTAAATGGAAGCGAAGGCCAGCTGCCAAACCCCAGTCCCAACTCCTACCCTCGAACAGCAAACAGACGCCTTAGACAGGATGCAATCCACACTATTAACGCTAGATCTGCGACCCATTAAAATGCGAAACTTCCCTCCTCCCTTCCTCCGACCCGTTGCCCCCACGCCCGCCTAGGCCGCTTGCTCCCGTCGTCTTTCTCGACGACGTTATCGGCTCCGTCGCCCCGCTGACCGCACTCCCGCGCCCATACACATCACCCAACGCTTCCTCCTCATCTCCTGCCCTTTGGAACGATGATGCGGCGGGTCCGTTCTGGTACTGATACTCTCCACGGACACGGTCCGTGGCGTAACTAAAGCTGCCAACGCCGGCCCAGAACGCCTTGTCGTGGCTGCGCGGGCCCCATGCCCAGCCCGCGCCGCTGGAAATGGGTAGATGGTAGTAGCGGAATGCGAAGATGGCAGTGACAACGCCGATGAGGTAGCCGAAGAGGATGTCAAAGGCGTGGTGGCGGAAGTCCCACCAGCGCGAACCGGCGATGAAAACAGAAGCGCCGAAGGGGACGAGGGCAATGCAGAGGAGGTAAAGAGGCGGCGCGGCGGCTTGACGGCGGACGGCAGAGACGGTTTGGTTGTGTCGGGAGATGCCCTTATTGCCAAGGATCGAGTCGAGGGCTGCCGCAGAGGGGACGTTGGCGTTGCCATTCGGGTTGCTGCGGTTAGCGAGCTCGTAGGAGTCCGGGCCGGAAACTTTGATGCTCGGTAGGCGAGTGCGAGAGGGGAATGCGGTGAAGGCGGAGGCGTCGGCGAAGCCGGCCGGCGCGAGGAAGGGGATCGTGATGGCGAACTTGCTAGCGAGGAAGAGGGAGAAGTAGAGTAGGCCTGTAGTGCCCCAGGTGTCAGCCAACTTATACGAGCGGTGTGATGTATATATCCTCCTCTCGGTCACGTACCGGCGGCGGCAGAGCTCGAGTGACCGCTGGGATAGCTCCTGAACCCGTCCTCCAACTGATACTTGTCTGGGTTCTTGCAGATGTTCGGGCTCACGAGCTGTCCGGCAGTGGTGGCCGTCTTTAGCCCCTTCACCCCCCCAATGATGTAGTCAGACAAATTGTCGAGATCGGGTTGGCATCGCGAGAGCAGGTCCGGGCGCGGCTTTCCAAAGAGGTTCTTCATGCCGTTGGTGATGAACCAGGCGGCCACCAGCGACAACGCCAGGCCTAGCAAGCCCGTGTGCAACTCCCACAACTTGCGCTTCCAGATCAGCGATTTAGGGGTTCCCACGGGAACGGTTGCGCCGGGCACCAGGACGAGGCAGATGATGATGATGATGACGATCGGGACGACGATACCGACAATGACCAAGAGCCACACTGGGACGGTCTCTTTGACAGTAAATGGGAAGCTATCTCAATTGTCAGAACTCCAATCGTTTCCGGGCCAGGGTGGAAGGGAGGCACAACGCAAAACTTGCGCCAATAGTAGCCGAATAATATGGAAGTCTTTACACTTACGCAATGTCGCGATTGTCAAGAGAAAACGGCCGTTTATTTGGTGTAATATCCCCCAATACGTAACCGATTGCCGCAAAAGCGACGAGGACAGCCCAGTCAAAGACGTACGACAGCGCCAGGACCCAAGAGACTTTCCCTTTCCGCCGCACACTTCCGCCAGCGAGATCCATATTATTCTCCATTTTATTGTGGTTTCCGGTGTCGACGTCGGATATGGGCGCGGGGGAGAATGACCGTGCGTAAATGAGTGGGCGAACTGAGTCGTCGGGCATTGGGATGCCCCTGGGGGAGGGAAGAAATAATAAGGGAAAATCTAGCGAAGAATTGGGACGGAACTTGAAAGGGATGGGAAAGCAAGGCGTGAAACAAACGGACGGTCCAACGGGATCAGCAACGCAAGCGCGAAGGTTCAACCTAGAAGTGCCGGGGCCAGACCGCGAATGGAAGGAGGGCACGCACGCACTTTGCGAAGATGCAGCAACAGGAAGATGAAGACAAGCGCCTTCTTTAGTTTTATGAGGGAAATAACTCAAGTCCAGAACGAAAAACTCCGAAAACGAACCCAGACGGAACGCCCCGAACGCGTGCGTCATCCACTCACTCTCCTGATCATGCACTGGGCTTGCAGCTCACAAACGAAACGCAGGAAAGAGGGAGGATGATTGATGCCCACCCGGCAAGCGCCTGAATTGCCGCCTTTGCAATCATTTCTCCCCTTTGAGCCCCTGGCTCCAGTGCTGCTCCATGTGCACACGACTGCTGAGGCGCCGCGCCCCTCTCCAAAGCTGCGCCTTTGCCGCCAAAAGCCTGGTCGAGCCTGGGTGGATCGACCTGTCCATGAGGCTCAGCCACACACTTCGCGCTGAATGGGATCAAGATGACTGGCAGCCCGTGGGCCACCACCCGAGCGAAGCAGCCAGCAAAGGTGGATCGGCGCTGCGAGTCTGATGAGGGGGGGCCAGCCAAAAGGGGGCCAAAAATCTTGAATGGCACACTGCACGTGTCTCCCTCTCGTTTCCCCCTAGACGGACACGTATAGCTCTACTTACAAGTGTTTGCAGGCGCAATAATGAGACAAAGTCAAACAATAAAACCTAAGTTACGAATATCCGGGTTGGACTCGATGTTGCACAACGTTACGCCAAATTGGCAGTCTTAAACAGTGGAGACCCGAACCCGCATGTCGGTTTTGAAACGGGGCGGCTGGTCTGGGCCAACACAGTGCGGAGATATTTAAAACTGTACATTCACAAGCCCGAGTTGGAATTTCTTGGCCGGCCATGATGTTCCAGACCGAAACTCGTCGATCTCGGCGAACTGGATCGTTTTGACTCCAAGAAGCCGTCGGCAATGGATTCTGCTTTCGAGTGTAAATCCGGTCAACCAATCATGCTCAGCGGGATTCCGTCAGGATCCACACCGGGGAGACTTGCTGGCGCATCGAAGTCGGCGCTCGCCAGAGGTCTCCCGAGGTCCAGTCTTGAGGCCGCGACACCGAGCGGGTAAGACCTCTCTGCCGCTCGCTCGACAAGCACCAGCCCTGTGCTTGAAAATTGCTCAGACATCATTGACATTTAGATTTTGAGTACGTCACCTCGAGACTGACCGTTACCCTGGAGGTAATTCTTTACAGCAGCCGGTGCTCATGGTAGTGTTGTGAGGTTCAACCAAGGCTGCCGAGGGCAATGCCTAGGTAGAGTCTGCAGCTTCGAGTTCTACCCTGACTCTATAACGTTATAACCTGGCGGCAAACCCAAATCGAGGCTCGGTGATGTTTCCCACTTCGTATATGCTATGCCCACAGGAGCTTCCTATAACACAGGCTGACCCGATGAACTCTTCATGACGTACAAGCTTGGCCATCCAGAGCTGACCCTTATCACCGTCCCATTTCCGGAAATGAGGGCTCGAGAATGAACCAGAGGCTGTGAAGACACTCCCTACGCCGACAATGTCAAGTAACTCCGTTCGAAGCGGCGGCATCAGAAGGCCAAAGGTTACAGCACAACTCCTCGAGAGCCACCCTCTACCACAGATCCATGATTTTGATGATCTACATAATATACAACATGGCTTCGTCAACCATTCTATGTCATCGCCCGTTACTTTCCCTCCTCTAAGACGCGTTCTTGTCTCTCCGCTTGCCCATGTTCCGCACCCTGGGGGTAACAACCCATTTGTTGATGTTATTCGTCTTCCGTGTCTTGAAACCACCCTTCGCCGGCTGACCCCATGGGCTGACTGGGTGCTTGTGACCCTTCGATTTACCACGGCCACCACCGTGAGGATGGTCATCTAATGCAAGTGTCAGCGACCGAGGGATTACGAGATGGAGTAAGGGCTGAGGGGCGGTGATGAAGGAAAGAAAAAAACAGCAGCAGTCCCGGAACCTGCCTGCTTGCTCGACATACTTGAGTTCATCGCCACACCTCTGACCGTAGGCCGGATGTTCAGCCACCGGCTACGCCCAGCCTTGCCCAGCTGCCTGAACTGGTGCATGATGTTGCTAGCCACACCGACAGTAGCACAGGCGTCCTTGCTGACCTTCCTGATCTCCCCGCTCTGCAACCGGACGATAACATGCTTCCCCGTCATGACCTTCGTGCCGTCGTCGCGGGTCTCTTCTTCCTTCGAAACAATTGTCGCGTACGTCCCCGCACTGCGGCAGAACACGGCCGGGCCATCTGCTTTCGACCCGACGTTATAAACGGAGGTGCCGACCGGAATCATGTGCATCGGCAGGCAGTTGCCCCGCCATGCCGTCTTAGCCGCCAGAATACCGGGATCTACGACACCGCCCATACTGTCGAGAAGGTCCTGCGGAATGCCGGACCGGTAACTCTGCACCACATCGCCGGCCCGCATGCCCTCCGCGGCCACGATGTAGGATTTGTCGCCCGTTGCTCGCTCTGTCAATAGGGCGATGTGCGCACTCCGGCCCGGGTCATACTCAATGCGCTCTACCAGATGCGGCCCCGGCCGGAACCGCTTGAAGTCCACCGTCCGAATTCTCCGCTTGTGACCACCTCCGCGGTGTCTCACGGTGACCCGCCCGCTGTGATTCCTCCCACCTTTCCCATGGCCCTTCTTGGGGAATGTCAAGGGCAAGTAGGGTCGGCCCTTCCACAGATGGTCATTGATAGGACGTTTCAGATGGCGCACACCGGGTGTTCGTGGCTTGTAGGTTCGCATCAATACCGGTTCGATCGTGTCCGAGGGGGCGACAAAGGTGCCACCGCTTTCTTCGCCGGTAATCCGCTGTGTCTCGGTCGCATAGCTACGGGCAGTACGTAGTGGGAGTGCCCTGTGACATATTGAGGGGAGTGAGGTGAACCCCGCAACCAGGGGTCGGAGCCGTGGCTGCAACATTATTGGGAAAATCTGTCCAGGCCGAACCGAGATCGGGGAAGGGAAAACACCGGGAATGCGTCAGTGTTGGCACATTGAGTCAATTGTCGCTGTCCAGACACCCGTTCGAAGCTGAGAACCGGTGAATTGGCGACAAATTCGCCGTGGAGCGGGGCGGTGGTGGTGCGCTGTCGTTCTGTGAATGCCCTCCCTCGTCGTCAAATGGTGTTGTGCCGCTTTGGAAATTTGTTAAGGTTCCAGTCCCGTCATGAGTCTATTGGTCCGTGCACTGCTCCCCGTCCTGTCTGGCTCAAGCTTGTGTGGCTCACAAAATATTGCTGGGGCTTGCGCATCACGACGAGCCACACCCCACTTCCGGCGCGAAAAACGCGGATGCGGTGGTTGACAGGGGTATCGAACAATCCCAGAATGCAGGGCCAATTGGAAGCCCGTTGCCCGGTGGTTGCCACTGTTGATGGTGGGTTCAGGGAATGGCAGGCACGGTTTGGGGCCACCGCGTACCCCATGCTCGTACCGTGTACCCGACTCTCCTCTTAAAGCATCCTGAACTGACCTTTTGCAAGGTCGATATTTCCCGCCCCTCTGCCTGCTACATTCGGCCGTTAAAGCATTGTTTGCCATCCAGTTCTCACTGCATCTTGCCCTTAACTTCCTATCCTCAAAATTTGAGAAAATTGCGCCAAAAGTTCGGCACTGTGCCAGTTCCCCGACGCGTTTCTTACGCCGCGAGGACCCACATTGCGGGCTCAAAAGCCACGGCAACGCGGTACCTGGTACCTCCCCCCAGCCCACCACGCTGATTTGGCCGCTCGACCCCGTCCCACCCCAAAGTCAACCTCCTCCCTCCCCAAAATCGCGAACCCTTCCCTGCCCCATATCAACCTCTGCACTACCGCTTTCTTCAAAACACGAGAACTCTTCCACCTTCGAGCATCTCTTTCCCAAGCCCTTCAACAATAGCACCCGCAACCTACTTTCGGGTTCCCACCAAAATTAATTGACCTCACATCATTTGTGATCCGTTCAATTATCGACCCACTCAATAACTGTCACGCGTCTGATCTCTCGAGATTTGACAACCGGCCTCGATCGATTCCACATTTTGGTGCTCGACTCCCTCCGGCATATCGACAGAACGACACGGTATACTATTCCCGCCTTCCGTTAATTCTGCATTTTTGGTAAGTTGCACACCATCTTCAATTTTTCCACGCATCACTCGCGTTCCTCGACGCGTCAAGCATCGCTCACCCGACACGCCTCTTTACCTTGACCCTTGCCCACCTTGCCATCCCATCTCGCGTCAAACTAACAGTTCGTAGCTTTGCAAAACATCGTTTGTCCAATTGTTCTCTAGTTCAACCGCCACAATGCCGGTTGTAAGTCTATCTCATATCCAGGCGATTGGACCCGTCCAACTGTGGGTCATCAATGAAACTGACTTCCTGTGTAGACGAGGACCAGAAACCCTCGTTCGGTGACGAACGAAAACGACGAGAATAGCAATGCCACAGCCCGCGTGACTCGGGCTAAATCTGCCGCGTCTCAGACGTTCGACGAACTCTCTATGCCTACCAAGGCCCTTCAGACCAAGAAGACTGCTGTCAACGCCAACCCGGCTGCGAGGAAGCGTGCCGCCCTCGGCGACGTCAGCAATGTGACCAAAGTTGAAGCTGCAGAGACCAAGAAGTCAATTGGCAGGACCAACCTGGTGTCGAAGGCCGCGCAGCCCACCGGAATCCAGAAGAAGAGCACGACCACGTCACGGGCTTCCTTGACCAAAGAAGCTAATAAGAAGGCTGAGGCCCCTAAGCGTTCCGGCCCTGGCTCCATTGTCGCAAACAAGCGCAAGAACGTCATTACTGCTTCTAACACCGTCACCAAGGAGGAGACCTCGGTCGAGGGCGAGCCCATTCGCAAAAAGCTGCACACGCTGGAGGTGGAAAGCAAGAAGATCAAATCCAAAGTGAGCCAGGAAAGCCATGAATTTGAGGAGGCCGCGCCATCGCCGCCCGTTCTTGTCGCCGAACCCGAGACGCGCGCCTCGACTCACCCTGCCGTCAGGGCTCTTGACGACGAAGACCTGGACGACCCGCTCATGGTGGCCGAATATGCCAACGATATCTTCGAGTACCTCCGCGACCTCGAGTGCAACTCGCTTCCTAACCCTCAGTACATTTCACACCAAGACGACGTTGAGTGGAAGACACGCGGCATTTTGATTGACTGGCTAGTCGAGGTTCATCTCCGCTTCCAGCTCCTCCCCGAGACCATGTTCCTCGCCGTCAACATCATTGATCGCTTCCTGTCCGAAAAGGTTGTTCAGCTCGACCGTCTTCAGCTCGTCGGTATTACCGCTATGTTCATTGCTTCCAAGTACGAGGAGGTCCTCTCCCCCCACATTGCCAACTTTCGCCACATCGCCGACGATGGTTTCACCGAGGCCGAGATTCTGAGCGCCGAGCGATTTGTTCTCGCCACCCTCGACTATGACCTCAGCTACCCCAACCCCATGAACTTCCTCCGCCGCATCTCTAAGGCCGACAACTACGACATCCAGTCCCGGACCATCGGAAAGTATCTTATGGAGATCAGTCTTTTGGACCACCGCCTCATGGCCTACCGCCCGAGCCACATTGCCGCTGCTGCTATGTACTTGTCACGGCTGATTCTCGACCGCGGTGACTGGGTAAGTTGACTCCATGTGCAGTCGCAACAGGCGGAATTGAAACTGACTGTTTTGTGTCTTTAGGATGAGGTTCTGGAGCACTATGCTGGATACACAGAGGACGAGATTCTGCCCGTTGTCACTTTGATGATTGACTACATGGCCCGCCCCGTTATCCATGAGGCTTTCTTCAAGAAGTATGCTAGCAAGAGGTTCTTGAAAGGTATGCTTTTCCACCCTCATGACCTTGTGACTTGGTCTCTAACGACAGATACAGCATCCATCCTCACCCGCCAGTGGTCCAAGAAGAACGCCCATCTGTACGGCATCAACGATATCGATCTCGCCCTTGACGAGATCTCATAGACGTCGCATATTTGCCGATTTGCGTCGCGCCATGCGGTGGCGCATTGCAGCTCTACCTTGTAGAGCATTAGGATACCACTCTGTGGTTGGATTTGCTGCCTTGATGACACCTCACGATTATCGATTAATGACGCGTCACAACTCGGCCTCGGCTCTTGAGCGGAGGCCTTGTCTCGTCCTTGGCATCCTCATCTTCAATAGATTAATAACTCATTGAGGATCAGAGGATATACTCCAGGGAACATCACTCCTGAGTGTTTCTACCATGGCTTTGTCTGTTCATGGTTTCTTTTTGGGTCCTGGGCTCAGGAGCGTTTTGCTCTTGATGCCGTCTTGACCCCTTCTTTTCGAGTCATAGGTTTATTATGGCGACGGCGCACGGCGGCTACAGGCGGATAAGAACGGTGTTTGGGCGGATCTGCTTTTGCCTTGCCCTTGGTGGGTAGGATTTTTGCTTTTGCATGGCCTTTTGCTCCAGGCTGTTGAATTCTGCCACCCTCCCATTGCTGGAAGGACCGGATTTCCCTCTCTTGGTTTCTTGGGAGACTAGAATTTGGGGAATTACTCGGGCTTTTCGCTACATAGTACGGGGTTATGGAGGGGGGCGGTTGTGAGGAAAAAGGAAGCTGGGTGAAGCCAGCAGCATTTTTAGGTGGGCATCGGAAGGGAGGTCACCTGTTGTCGTCCTGAAAGGGACAATTGTGTACATACCTCTTGTATTGGTTCGGGCTATGACGGTTCATAGGCATCGCAATGGGAAGCATTTGCATTGATATCTGAAGTTACGTGTACAATAACAGGGTGGGCGTTCTGCAAGTCGAACTAATGAATTGATTCGGCGATAACTCGAGGGATATTCGTGCCTTGGTGGAGTGAAACCACATCGTATCTTCTCCATGCAATTGACGGCTCGTCTCTCACTCCCCCTCCCCAGGAGAGCTGGAGTCAAGCAGATACCACGAGATGGTAAAAAAGTATCGCAGTCACCCGGCATCCTGTTATTCATTTCACGAACTAGCAATGTCATGGGGTCATTACGGTCGGGACTAGAATTCGTCATTGACAAAACAAAAGAATCCATCGCTTCTCACCAACACCCAATATTGCCGAACTCCCCAGTAGTATCCCCAGTAGAGCCCAACCAAGTCCCATTCCCAATGCCATCCGTCCCAGCCAACCAACCTAAACTCCTAAAAGTCAAACGATCCCCCAACCGCCCCCAGCTCTCAACTCCAAGCGAATAAAGTAATACATGCTACACGTCGTGCCTCCCATAACTCCCATCCATGATGTTCCGCCTAACTCCTCAAACCGGAGTAGTTAGTGACAACCAAATGACTCCCCGCCCATGCTACATGGCCGAACTGTGGCCCAAAAATGGGGAAAAACACAAGACAAAACAAAAGAAAGTAAGGGGGTAAAATGAGAAATGGTTGCAAGAGTGTAAAAGAGAAAGGAGAGTTGGCCAACGGCGACTTCATAGCCGGGCTAATGACAAAAGAGAAGAAAGTCCGTGGGGGAAGTGAGTTGTAGTCCAACTTCCTGTTTACTCGTATCCAGTCGTTGTTTCCCCAGTTTCCAACCTTCTCGCACATGAGTGTTCCCCGTTCCTCTCCCTCCAAGGCCGACCCAGATCCTCCTAGACACCGCCCATAGAGTGACACCCTCTCTTTGTGTGTGACCCATCAACCAACTCCCCGTGCGATCACGCCCAGGCACTAAACCGCCCCAACAGCAACAGCAACGCACCTCGTCGAAGTCGGAGCCCACGGGCATCCCCTTCCCATCAACCCGACCCCCATAGTGGTTGCGGTCGACAGGTTGTTGCTGTTGTTAGCATCTCCGTGGTGGCGGACAAACACGCTCTCTACGGCGTCGCGACATGAACGCTTGAGTCGGCGCATGGTCTGCTTGGCGGCGGAGGTGTGGCCGCGCAGGACACGCTTGAGTAGGGCTCGGTGCTGGTGGGTGCGGTCGGAGAGGGTTCTTTGGTGGTGGTTGTTGTTGCTGTTGTTGTTGTAGGTGTAGGGGTGGGTGTGGGATTGTTGGCGCATGACGTCGCTCGGGAAGTAGGTGGGGATTAACGAGATATCGGTGATGATGGACATGTCGTCGCCGCCCTCGTCATCCTCGTCGTTGTTATCGACGGAGTCGCTAGAGCGGCGGTTGTAGTGAACGCGCTGCTTCTTTTGCCGCGGGGGAAGGGTCCAGAAAGGCATGTTCATTTCTTCCATCGGTGAAGAGGCGTCATCACCGTCATTATCATCGTCATTGTTGACCTTGTCAGAGATTTCCTGACGGACAATGCTGTTAACTAGGCAGTCTGTTGAGCCGATTGTGGCCGTAGCGGTCGGGTTGGATTGTTCGGCCATGGGTGTGTTCAGTTCGTTCGAGTTCGCGCTTGAATTGCCAATTGGCGTGAAGGCCTGGTCGGCATTGAGCCTCTTCATGCCTCGCGTCTCGCTCTCTCCAGTGCTCTCACAGTTCTCAGAGCGACCGGATGTCGGGAAGATTGCGCCCAGCTTGTTCTTGGTCCGGCCGACCGAAATACATTGCGAATCGTCAAAATTGACGTCCTCGCTTTCGAGCAAGTCGGTGCTCTCAAATGCAAGACGAGTCCCAGCTTTGGCTTTCGCCTCGGCCTCAACATTGACGTCCACAACCTCAGGATCAACTAGGGAATCCATCAGTCTGGTTCGGAACGAACAAGGATCCTCGCGATCGCGAGGCAGTAGGCTCTCGATTGGTGATTCGGGGCAGTGATCCATCGGCACGAGGTCGTCACTGTCATCGATATCGGTGGTTTCCTGGTGGCGAGTCGGCATGAGAATGTATTTGGCGAATCGCCCATCTGGCGAGGCCAGTGGTTTGCGAAAGGGGTTGTAGGAAATCATCGCAGCAGCGACTATAGCAGTGAAGGCTATCGGAAACTTGTCAGTGACTGTCTTTCTCTCTTTCGTTGTTGTTTTCTGGCTGCACGATCTTTGGGCTGAAAAAAGAATCAGGGTGGGTGATGGGAAGGGTGCATAGCATGGGATCGCGAATTGAAGGGGTGGGAAAGGTCGCTGGAGAGTTGGTTGGGTAGGGAATTGGAGGATTGGGAAGCTTGGTGAGCAAGAAAGATGTAGACAGCATGGCTGCCAGAACTGAGTGGTCGAAGCTCTTGTGTTTCCCTCTATCTAGATCTGTTGTTCACAGAACAAGCAGTTCGGTTTGGTGGTGAGATGAAAACAACCCAGTTGGTGTAAGCCACCACAACAGTGCACAGAACAAAGTAAAATCAAACACGTGAACGGAAGCAAGGTAGACTGATTGATACACGCAAAGAAAGGAGAAAATAATCATACCTTCATCTTCTCGCCGGTTGATTGATGACCTCGCTTTTCGCGACTGCCGTTCGATTCTTCCCGTGCTCGTTACCCTTTTCGTTCTCCAGACCTTGCTGGCCTGAGGGCTGCGGCGAAGACGGTCTTTCCCTGGGGTCTGGAGTCTCGGAGTCGACCTTCCAGAGCCATTTGCAATGTAGACCCAGTCCTCATCTTCAACACTAATACCGGGGTTGCTTGTCCTCAGATTCATCTCGATGGTGGGTTTAGATCTCGGAAACAGAATATTGAGCGAGCTGCGAGATTGAAAACTTTCTGGACTTGCTTCTAGGTGAAGATGATAGTCAATGGAAGTAAGACTTAAGAAAGAACATGGAGCTTACAACCTCCAGGTCATTAATCTACCGCGGTTCTAGACGGACGACACGCGTCGTTCCGTGCCACTGTGCAACCTTCCATTCCTATCGCAGGCCTGGCTCGGGCCAGTTTGATGCCCGACCCACGCTGTCAGATGTCTCTCGTACCCCGTAGGGCAAGCAGCGAGAGCGGAAAAGTCTGGTGGCGGGCTGGGGCAGGCTGGGCGTTGCTCGTCCATACAATTCTGTCGCATCGAATCAAACAGCCCACAGAGTTTGAGGCGTGACGTGGCTTGGCGGCGCGCTGTTCTGCCACGTCGACAAACCGCCCCTCCAGGTTCCTCCAATTAATCCCAACAAGTCCTCTTCATCGTTCCAGGGCTGCTTAGCCACAAGCTTCTCGCAAATGTCGCGGCCAAGGACGGTGAACCTCGGTCTCTTCGGCCAATCGGTGGGACTTTGATGACCTGTCAAGGTTGGGCAAAACCGTGCATGCCGAGGATTTGGGGCAAGCGGTCAACTAGAGATCACGAGGCTGGCTGGCTGGGTATTCATTACCCTAACCCTGATCTTGACACATGACCTCACCAAACATGCCCGGATTAATCGCCTGCAAGGGGCACTTGCCGTATCGGGAAGTGCGGGGTCCAAGATGACCAACCCCAGCATTGGATTCCTGGTGGTGTCGGGTCTTGGTAATGTAGGCATTGTGCAGGCGGTATCACAATGTCCAACTTTAGACTTGTGTGACGGTGCAGCAGGTTTACAAGCTTAGAATGGATGTGCACAACGATGAATTGCTTCAATATGGCGAATGAGAAGAACTAACATGCAAAATGGATAAATTAGGCGGGGGCTGCGAGCATCCAACACCGAACTTGGGAGGGTATATGAGTGCTTTCCATAGTCGGATGAGGCCAGAATCGAATCAGAACCGTGATGCCTACTGCTTAATGGCGGAGTGCTTGAGCTCTTTACCGAGTTAAATACAGATTAGGGAAGAAGAGAAAAAGGGTGGGATAACCCGATGATATTGCTAAAGGTTTTTACATGTACCGAGATGACCAACAATAGCGTATCCCTTCATTACCACACAACTCCCCAGGCCGCGACGCACGAGATATCGGGCACGAACGCGAGCCCCAAAACCCAAACCATAACCACCACCTATTCACTCCATACCCGAGACCAACTGACATCCACCAATCGCCTAAAAAATTACCCTCCCAAAAAGATCACATAACGTCGTGTAATAGAGAAATCATATCACTCAGAAAATCCGTTTCTCCGATAAAAAAAAAAGGTAAACTGCGTGCCCCTTTCTAGAGGCAAACACAAGGAGTTGAAAAGAAGTGAAAGAAAAAGGGTGGACTAGCCACCCTTCTTAGAAGGCCATCATCCGCTCCTCCATGCTGGAAAACATCGCCTCCGGTCGCGGCTCCAAAATATGCGGCGGACGCTCGGCCCTATCCTCCTCCTCGCTCACCATCACCGACTCGCCGTCCTCGCTGTGGATAGACTCAAACCCCGTCTTTCGGCGCATCACAATGCGGTTGATAGTGGCAGCGGGTGACTCGTCCCGAGTGCTGCCGGACGAGGCCAAGGCGATTCGTCGCTCGGTGCTGCTATCGCGGGACGACGGGGTGGAAGAAGTGGAGGATACCGAGGAGCCGGATACAGAGCGGCGAAAGGAGGTGCGGATGCTCTGGGGCGAGAAGCGGGAGGTGATGGATTGGAGGTGAGGGATCTGCATGGTGGGCAGTGGTCGAGATGCCGTTGTTTTGATGTTTTGTGTTTGATGAGTCGTTGTAGCCCAACTAACCAAGTCGAGCGGTGATGAAGCACAAGGCACAGCCTATTGTGTGGTGTGTCTTGGTTGACGAAGCGAAGAAGTGTCTTTCAAGGAGAACCTGTCTACCGAAGAGAAGACGAACTTGGAACGGGTCGTGGTCGAGAGTGAAGGATATGAGACACTTGAAGTCGTGTCTCTAGGTACAAGAAAAAAGATAGGACGATCCGAGACTAGCACGGATCAAAGGGCAAAAACTATGCCGGCAGTAGCAGGCGATTCAGTGAGTGTGTGTTGATCTTCGTCCGTGTCAGCGACAACACCGGCGACGGGAAAGCCCAAGAGCGTGAGTAAAATGAGAGTATTACTGTCGGGAGTTCGGGACGAATTCAGGTGGGAGGATGAGAACCTACTTTAAAAGAAAAGACGACGATTAATGGGACCAGGTCTCGTGTCAAACGAGAATTATGCCGGGTAGATCAGCCAAGGGCCAGGGGTGGATGCCCCGTGCTTGGTGTTTGGTCGGAAAGAGGGAGGGGTGAAGAGGTGGAGAAGCGGGATGGGTCGAAAAGTTGTAGTCAGCAGTCACGTCGGGACTGTGATGCGTGGTCTCCTGATGTAAGAAACAAGAGGTTGAGCGACGGAACAAGGGCCGCCAGGGGTTGGGTGAAGAAAGAAAACGTGGACAAGACGCAGGAGCAGGCACAGCCCGGCTCAATGGGGAATGAGAAACAAAGGGTTGCCCTGAGAGGGGGAGGAGCAACGGTTCCAATGATTGTGAAGCTGCAAAGGCTATCCGTCATGCGGTTCGAGGTTGCCGGGATGGACGGGGTAACGGTCCTCTTAAAAATAAAGTGCCTCACGGTACCCTTATCGACCCGCCCTATCCGTCAACACCAAGGCTTGCAACAAGGAGAAATGCTGCCATTTTCGGCTCTGTTGTCAATGCGATCGCCTGCCACAGTGCCGCAGCCACTGTTGTTCAAGGTGCGCATCAACGATCAGTGCGCAAGCTCCAAAAAAGATCTTCTCGTAAGTCAGACCGCCACCTCCTCGCTGTTCTGCGAAGATGGGCTGCGGAACTGGGCCTTCGTACCGAAGCAGCTTCATGATCGCCAAGACGATCCACTGATGTCGAGCGTTATGAAAGAAGAAAGACGGCCGGAAGGGCAAGTTGAGTCGTTGATGTCCTATTTGGGCGAAAATAGTGGGACTGTAGGGATATGTGGGGCAAGCGAATGATGATGAAACACGCCCTCCAGGCTTTGAGCCGGTCCTGTGTCAGGCGATTCTCAGCCTGGGAGTATCTTCGGAAAATGCCGGGGTTTACGACTTTTCCTCTGTCCTGGTTAACTCTTTCCACAAAACAGGTAAAATCAATGAGCAACATTTCTCAATTTCACGTCAACAATTCGACTATCCCATCATCAGATTTGTCGATCGAACTGGCTGCACCCGTCGACCAGACTTGTTTTCAAACGACAAAGGCCCCCACCGTCAACGTTCCCTGAGCTGCCCCTCAATGGGGCTTGTCTGATCGCCGTCGCAGGCCGGCCAAGCAGAAGAACACCATCCCCCGCAATATCACCCTGGTAAACAAGCCCTGCATCTTCAGGGGATGTCTCCAACGACGTGTTTCAAACACCACATGAGGGACGAACCTCATATTCGCCACTGCTGCTTCGAACATGTATGTACTCCCACACCTAAAAAGAGCGCAAACAAGACCTGCAGTTCGACGGATTGTTCGGTCGGGTGAGCCGTCGAACAGGGTCCAGTGTTGGGGGCGGGAAACCCTTTTTTTTGGAGGCTTCGAGAACGTTTTGCTTGTGTGGGTATTTTATGATCGAAAAGGGCCAGACTCATGTTGCAACGTGCTGCACCCTCCTTTCGGCCTGTCTCACGGCGGTTGAAACCAGGTTGGCTATATGATACTTGCGCCATCCATCACCACGCCCAGATCCCATCTTCGTTCGCATCTCCATTTCCGATTCTTGGCTTCATGTTGTGTCGCGGGACCAGCCTTACGCAAGCCGTGGCAAATTTACCCCTGGAGTAGGGTTTTTTATTATTCCGGAGTTGATGCCCCCAACCTCACCTCACTGCCACCGTGCATTAAGGCAGGTACCATGGTGCTGAGGGGTTCGTTTTGCGTTTGTGATTCTATTCCCACCTTGAAAACCAGCCCCTGCAGGGTTGTTGCCCGTGCGTTCACTACGTTACGGAATCTGTTACGGGCAAAAAGGGGATAACCCGAAAACAACACGACAAGAATCAAGGTGCGACGTGATGAGATAGCAACTTCAGCAAGAGGATATGTGATGCAACAAGAACGCTTTGAACTCGTTTTATCTTTGCGAAAGGTACAGCTAAAGAGGATCGGACGAACCATCCCAAACCGTCGCTCGTCTCGGCAGCCCCTCGTCATCCTTTCCGCCCTCTCTCAACAAACGTAAACCAAGACTAGCCGGTCGCTACGCCAGCAAGATTACACCGGATACCTCCATCCCATCATTGGGGATATCAATTAATACACATGTTCTTCCCGGGACAAAGAAGAAACTACCCTGAGGTTGTATATACTCGCTGGAGAGGAAAATGAGAAGGAAATTATGACATATTCCCCGTAATCATCGCTCATGCAACCGGATACAACCGGCGGGAAACAGACAAAGAGAGAGAGAGAGGTAAGAGAATGACTTTTCGGGAAAAAAGGAGGGAAATTGTAAATGCCAAACGCCGGTTGCCCCCCAAAATCCCCAAAACCTGCACAGACGACAGAATACCCCCAAAACACCACCACCCACCCATCAACTCCTATCACCAATTCCACGGCTCACTTTTTCAACCAGCAACCCTATTGGAAAACCTCACTTGAACCCTCCGCCCCACCCACTCTTCCTCGTCGCGCTGCGCCTCAAACTCTCCACCCACACCGAATCATCCAACATATCCCTCACAACTGACGGGTCCACCGCACTACTCCCCCGCGGCCGTCGCGGTAGACTAGTCCCCTCGTCTCTCCCACCAGCACCATCGCTACTCTCATCGCCCGCTATAAACCCGCGCGGATCGGTCAACTCAAAGCTGAATGCGCTGGTGTGCGAACGGTGAGTATCTCCTTCTCCTGGTCCTGAAAAGTCTGGAATGTCGGTGCCGACATCACCAGAGGGTGGGAATGGCGGGAATGGGCTGCCTGGCGTGCGCGGCCCGGAAAGAGGATGGCCGTAGGAGTTGTCGAAGGAGGTGACGTCGGCCGCGATGCCTGAAGCCCAGCTGCGGTGTTGGGACCGGGCACGCGTGAGGGCAGGTGCGAGGAGGCTGGTTGTGGTTGGGCGACTGATCGTGGGGGTGGCCGCGCTTGATTTGGAGCGGTTGCGGTTCCCGGCTGCGAGATGTTGTTGCTGTGGCTGTTGTCGTAGTCCTTGGTCTTGCCATTGCCCGAGAGATTTGGGTTCTGGTACGCCGGGGTCTTCCTCGTGGGGTTTGGCGGACTGCGGCTCTTCGTTGTCGACAAGGATCTCGGGGATGTCGAGTTGTGGGATCGCGGTCATACGCCCAGCCCGCTTTGAGTCCATGTGGCGTTTGAACTGGCGCGAGTAGAAGAGCATGTCGAAAAAACCGAGGACGATTCTTCGGCGGACTTCTTCTTCGACACGTTGGAGCCGCAGCTTGCGACGCAGGAACTCCTCGAGGCTATTGGGTTATCGAGTTAGCTTGCAAACTTCAACCTTATATTGGGATGGAAATCGAGGATGTGAAGAAAAAAAACCAAAACAAGAAAACCAAAAAATAATAAAAGGGTTTGGAGATAAACATACCGTAAACTCTTGCTGTCGTTAATAATATTGTAGTGCGCCAACAGCATCAACACCGTCGTAAAAGAGATACCCCTCTCTGGATCCGCCGATACCATGACTTCCTCAAAAAAGACATTGAACCTGCGCCTCCGCTCGCGCACCTTGGCCACATCGATCAGGGCGAGCCGCTCATTCAGCTTCTTCAGATCAATACCCGTCTGGTACTGGCTCTTGCTGATGATGGACGCGTGCCGGATACTGGCCGCATCGTTCTCGTTGCGCACATCCTCGAGGATGGCCCGCACCGAGTCGTCGTTATCGTAGATGCGCATCTCGAACACCCCCGAGAGCTCGCCGAGGAGCCGTGGGAATGCATCTTTGCTGATGAAACCAGTCCCGGACGCGTCGACACTGCGCCACGCCTCTTTGAATCGTCGGATCTCGTCACGGTCCACAGCCGCCAGCCCGCTTGTGCGCTGGTACACGTACGAGAAGCTCTCGTAGATGAGTGACACGAACAAGCTGACAAAGATGTACATGCTGATGATGTTCCACGCGATGAAGAGCACGCGGGCCCAAGCGGTGCTACCGCAGTCGCTGTCAAAAAAGGTCTCGCCCTCGGCGCAGAAGGGTGGCTTGATCTGCGCAAAATCCTCCATCACCTGGTTCCAGCCCTCTCCACAACTGAACCTAAAGAGGAGGATGAGGGCATGGGGTACGGTGCGGAGGTTGATGTTGGAGTCTTCGCCACTGCCGAAGCGCGTTAGGCTGAATGTCTGGGTCAGCGCGATGGCGAAAACGAGGAAGAAGACGATCCATGTCGCGAGCAGACTGCCGATCGTCGTCAGACTGGCTGCGGCCGTCTTGAACAACTGGTCGAGCGCGTCGTTGCGCGGGATCAGCATCAACACCAGGGCCACCAAGAAGAATTTGTGCAGTTGGATGTAGGTGACCTCCGTTCTGTCCGTGAGGAAGAGAATGGAGGTCGCTAGAGCACCAGTAACGGCCACGAGCGAGAAGATGTCCCAAGAGCTCTTGCGGAATCGTGTCCAACCAAGCCCGACAACGCGGACGACGAGGTTGGCAATGTAAATGAGGGTGAACGCAAGGAAAAATATGTCCTTGGTCTGTGTCCACCAATCGGGCTCCTTGTCAAACTCCGTGAGGAGCAGGATGAGGTGAGAGACGAGGACGGCGGTGATGGCCAGATACCACTTGCCGCGCTTCTCAATAGCCCGCTTGTGGCACCACATTTTCCACTTATTCTTCTTGTCATCGTAAGCGCTCTTGGACGGCGAGATCTGGCGCAGCATCTTGCGCAGTTCGAGCCACGATCGCTGCTCGGCTGTGAGGAAAGCCACGCCTGTCTGTTCTGTGTACCCGCGCATGAAAACCGAGATGAACAAAGTGAGGACGAAGACAGTTGCCAAGAGGTTGAACACTACGAAGAAGAGGGCATTCCCTTGGGCGGTGTACGGTGGTCCGCCTTCTGGCTGGAGGCCCTTTCCGGTGATAGCCTGCGCGGCGAACGAGACGTCTGTCCATCCTTCCTGGCTGACAATCTGGAAGAGAACGAAGAGGCTGGACCCGAAATCGTCAAAGTTGAAGAACGGGTTCGCGGCAACTCTAGGAGCAAGGACTGGCCAGTCGGGATTGAAGGGCGTGCTGTTGAACTCGCCGACACAATCGCTCAAGTTTACGATGCCGTCGCCGTCGTTGCACGCCGCCAACTTGCCGTTGAAGAGGTTGAGTCCATACAGGGCAAAAGGGATGAGCAAGGAGATGGAGACGAATGAGGCCTAGTCGAGCACGTCAGTGAACGCGTTTCCTGGTCTACAAGAACTAGGTACGACGAAAAGTTGATATGAAGGGCTTGCAACCTACACTGAGAATCTTCCAGCCGCCGACGATGATCAGAGAATGGAACGTGTCCCGGGCACTGTCGCTGACGTTAAGCAGCCGCAGCGCTCTGAGAGCTTTGAACGCGCCGACGGCTCGGGAGACGGCGCCGGCATCGGTAAACAGCGTGACGACGTTAATCCAGAGTGTGATGAGCACGATGGCGTCAATGATGCCCCACGTGCTGCGGAAATACGCGTTGGGAGTCCAGAAAAATCCGTCCGCAATGATCTTGATGATCGCTTCGACGGTGAACACAATGGCAAACGCCGCGTCCGTCCAAACAAACCAGTTGAAGATGCTGAAGGGGTGCTGGTCAAAGTACTCCTTCTGGTAAAGCGGTGTGGTGATGCATGCTAGAACAACCATGGCCACGATGGCGGCGTAGATGAAGGCCGAAAAGGTGTACCAGGCATATTTATTGGGCTGGACGCCGTCGTAACGCTCCGTGCCGTGACCAGGACCTACCAACTTCTGGCAAAGCCGCCGAAGGGGGTTGCGCGGCTTGAATATGAAGAGCGATGTGTTGTAGGTAGGGTGGCGTATCAGGTACTCTCTCTGCGCTTTTCGCCGGGCAGCAGTAGAGCTCACAGCCTGACGTGCAAGCTGGGCGGGATCCAAGGTGGCGATGGGGCCGCCGAATCGGACGCCAGAGTAGAATGGGTTTGGTTCACGCCCCTGAATCAGAGAAATCGCCTTTGCTTGCACGAATCCCCAGAACCCGGATTTCCCCACGCCGTTGACGCCGGGTTGCTGCGATGACGGGTCGTCGCCGTGAGGCTGCTGCAACTCGTCCAAGGCGTCGTCGAGGAACTCACGGACAAACCCTTCCTTGAAGAGCATGTCGACCACGCCAGCCCCTGTCGTCTGGTCAAGCGGATCCGCCCGGTTACGCGACTTGCCAAACCCGAAGACCCTGGAAAGGGCAAGGTTGGACGAATTGCCCAGCTCTCTGCGCTGCAGAAACGCTTTGACCTGCTCCAAACGCTTCATGTCCTCGCCCACATCAAAATTCTCCTGGATGACAGCAATGAACATATTGATGAGAATAAAGTAAGAGAGGATGAACCAGCCGATGAGGAATATGGCACCAATCCAGGCGGTTCTGATATGGGTCGTGTAGGAGGTGACGCTGTACAGGATGTCCGTCCAATTTTCACTGGAGAGCACCTGGTACATGCCCAAGAACGAGTTGTAGATCGTGTTAAAGGGAATCCGTAAGGGTTCTCCGCCGTCCTTGGTCTTGGGAAGCTGACCACGGAACAGCTGCGACGCAAAGATGGCCATCAGGAACGTGATCAGGAACACAAACACCATCAAGTTGCCAATACCGGTAACGTTGCCCAGGACCATCTCGATAAGCTTCCTAGTCATCGGGATAGCAAGGACCACGCGGTACACTCGGACGATCTGGAAAATGGTGAGCCAGTTGTAGACCTGGCCCGAGTTCCGAATCGGCGGGATGAGGATAACAGTCGTAGCGATGGCAAGCCCAAGATCAACGAGGTTACGGGCTCTCCGGTGGAATCGTCGGAAGTTTGTGAAGAACCTCAAAACAATCTCGAAATCCAGTATCGCAGTGACAACAATCTCGGACGCATTGATAAAGTGCTCGCGGCTCTGGGACATGTCTGCGCTTCGTAGTGACTGGCAGAAGAGCCCGTACGTGATAACCAAAACCCAGACCCACGAGATCTTGCTAGCCATCCGTTGCAGTGCTGACTTTCTTCGGGGCGTCTTCTCCGCGGCGGCCTGGAACACGGACGGGTCGTCGTCGGCGAACGCGCTGGCTTTGGACTCCTCGCGGATGACCTGGAACGACGATGTGATGACAGCAATCAACAAGTTGGTCATCCAAAGCATCATGATGATAATGCCAGCCCCAAAAAATAGCGCGGACGGGAGAAAATCCGAGCTGACTGTGTAGTACATGAGATCGGAGAAGGTGTTAACGCTCATGATGACAAAGACTAGCTCGAGAGAGTGGGCGATATCATCAAAGTTGACCGTTCCGTTAAAGGGGTTCGCTTGCTGGAGGCAGATAGATCCCCTCGGACAGATGAAGCCTTTGGCGTTGGTCGCGCCGGGTACAAGGGCTTCCGGGGCCAGATTCATCGTCGGCGAAAAGACCCATGGGTCGGTGTTACCCGTCGTCGAGTTGATGAATCCGCCACAAAACGACAGATCCGGTGTGAAAGCGGCATCGAAATTCGTGGGGTCCTCGGGGTTGATCCAGGTGCACTGGCGGCTCAAGCTAGACTTGAAGCTTTGTACGCCGACAATAGCAAACAGTAGCCAGAAAAAGCCCATGAGGAACGAAACTCGGACGAGCAGCGGCGCAGACTTTTTTAGACTCCTGAGGATTATCTAGAGGCGAAGAAGAAAAAAAGGTGTTCATTAGCACTAGGTTACAAGCACTTGGTTATCTTCATGAAAACTAATGAGTGTTGACAACTTACCAGGTTGCCTTTAGTCAAAGCCAACAACCGGATAATACGCAAGCAGCTCAGCATGCGGAAGACGTAGAGGTGGTGATAACGTTCCATTCCAGTGATACCGAGAGTGAAGGATATCCAAAACGAAACCACAGCGATGAAATCAAGCCGGTTGAAGCTGTGCCGCAGGAAGGCTCTGCGCGCGAGATGAAGTCGTTGCTGCTCCTTAAGCGGAACCTGCCCTTCCATCCCATGCATCATGGTGAAGGACCTGGCAAATGTGGGCACAAAATCGTGGCCCTGAGGCGGCTGCCGAACCGATCTTTGCCTTTGCGGCTTAAAAATAGAACGATACTGCTCGGCAACCCTTTCCCTCAACCGTCGTTTGCTCCCTACAGGTGCGTAGTCGTCGGCGTTGATAAGTAGGCCCGAAACTATAATCCTGGCGATGATCTCAAGTGTAAAAACGACAAATAGGCCAAATATGGCCCAGTCAATCCGGGTGTTGCCCCAGGTCGCGGGCCGTCCATTTCCATGGATGAAAACGTCGGGGGCGGCTTCAACAGCGAGAAGCACGGTCTGGGCAACAATCAAGATTAGGATGAACGGCTCTGTCCACGGGCTAACTAAGATATCGCAAAGCCGTTTTCGTATTGGGTTATCAGGTGGGAATATCCCCAGCGATTTCCCTTTCAGAGGGTTCGGAAGAGGGCCATGGCGCCGAGGCAGCGGAGGAGTTGTTTCTGGCTGAAAGTAATCAGAACCGGGCCGCTTCTCGGCTGGGGTTGGGAACGTCTGCGAAGGGTACGACGTATCCACCAACATCGGCCCAGATACATGCCCCGATTGTCGTCCATCGGGAGACGGCGAGCGTGACCGGTCTCTTTTGTTCTCCTGGTCAACCAGGTCGCCTTCGCCGCTAATCATGACGACACGCTGGGACATGGCCCTCATCATGGAACTTGCCCGTGAAAAGGCACCGCTGGTTGAAGGGGAACGGGACCGCCGCCGGTCGGTGGGCGCGAGATGGTCCCCATAACTGCGATGGCGGTTCGACGAAAACCCAGGCTCTAGGTCGAATCCAAGCATCTGGGCGCTCCGGGCGCGAGATGGCGTATTACCCAAATCCGATACGGTCTGGAAACTCGTTCGTGGGGAGGGTTCGCCCTCCGGTGCCTCCAGACGGCCGATGGGCTGCGCAGCTGGCTTCAAAGGCACGCTATCGGACTCGAGGGAGTCTGTGTCGGCGCGCTCCTCGTAATACGTGTGTGGTATTTGATATGGGTCATTGGCCGAAGTCATGTACTCTTGGACCTGCGGCCTTGGATGGTTAATATCAGGGGGTAGCGCAAACTGAAGGCCCATTCGGTCGATAGGCGAGGTGCCACCGCTGGCGCCCACCCCGTCATCGGCATGAGGGTAAGGGTTTTCCCAGTAGGAGGAGAAACCGGGTAGGTTGGCCGACATCGTCACCGGTGATGACCCCTCTCCGGTTTCATTCCTTGCCCCGGGCCCGGAATGCTGCTGCCATCCTTCTTCATTTGTTCCGGGGACCACCAGTCCGCCCGGGCCAGGACCCCCGCGACCGGCCTCAGCCCCTCCTGACCGTTGAAATTCCCGGAGTGGAATGGATTGTGAGGGATTCTGTGGGGGGGCGGGAGTTCGTCGGGGCGTTTGCGGGTTGTTTTGGTCCATGCTGAAAGTTGGGGCCGGGCCCAAATCGTGCTCGTGGACGTTGTCGTCAGTACCGTCGTCGTCGCCGTCGTGGTGCGTCTTGGAATTGTCGATTGGCTAGGTCAGCAAATGTTGGCGCGCAATGCGCGCAATGCGCTAACGCCCTCGATATGTGTCCTAGCCGTCCAATCTCGAATTGGGCATTATGGTCGTGGAAGGCAAACGGCCTTGAGTGTGCGGAATGGTAGATGGCGAGTGCGTGGCGTCGCAATTACGCTGCGCGACTGGCTTGCACGCTTGAGAGAGAAATAGAGACTTGAGGGGCGTTGTGTCTCAAGGAGCGGCGGTCGCTGGAGGTAGGTGCACTGAATGGACGCTCAAGCCGTCGGATGATTGGAAAAGCAGCGGCAAAGAGGGTGGCGAGATAGTCTGGGGAAGGTCGTCGAAGTTGGCCGGCAACTGCGCCGCAAATATGGGATTCGTGATTCTTGAGATGGCTAGATTTGTTGGACTTGGAGCGGCAGGCACACGAAAGAGCCCATTGGAGTCGGGATGCAGGCCCTCCTTCGGCCCATCCAAAGAGGGAAGCTGAGTGAGCGAGCACCGCCCTCCATGTCTTGGCACGCATGGAGAAGAGAGACATGGACCCTGGTTTCCATACGAGGATCCGAGGGAGCCAACAAACTCGAGCAACCGCCACAGCGGTTTCTACAGAGATATGATTTAGCCTTTGAAGGTGAAGGTGGCCTTAGTACTTCTTCCCATTAATTCCAAATGCAAATTATTTGTCCATAAACCTCTACAGAGACTCAGATGCGGGCCAAAGTGTTGGCAATACTTCGAATTTTGGGTTCGAAAACCCCGTCGGATCGCCCTTCGAGCGTTGATTGCCCCCACTCTGACAGTTCTGAAACGCACTCCATCGAGCACCTCCCGCCAGGGCAGCAAGCCATCAGAGAATGGAAGCAAAACTGACAAAAAGAACGACCTACAGAATTGGCGAGGAACATGAGTATTACACATATCTGCGAAAGACAACTTTCTCAATTTTGAGCGGGCTAAGGAAGTTTTTGAGCCAGGTTACTCGAAAGTGACAACCCCCATGAGAGACCAAAGATCTTTAACGTTAGCGTGCAAACATTGAGCGTCAAATTTCTTTGTCGTTAGTTAGCTGACGCAGCAGGAGGCCCCTAACAGACAGGCTCCCCTACTGAGGTTGTGCAACAAACGGGGCTTTAAAAGTTATTCTCAACGCGGGGTCTCCGTCGCGTCTCCGTGAACCGCGCCGCGGTTTGCGCCGTCTATTGGGCTTGGCAACCTCGAAAGTTTGGACTAAACGCGATTCTGCGGTCGTCGCATCATCCATCATCGGTTGTCCCTTAACACCCAAACCTCGCCACGGCTACGATTTTGCAATTTTCGTCAGACGCACCTTCTTCCTCAACAACCCCTCCGATAATCCGAAGTTTGCGATGGGATTTTTTTGTCTCTCAACGATCCTTTCCAGCAGCTAAGCCCTCGGTTTATCGTCTCCATCGGCCTGCGCTCTCTCGCGCATATTTCGTCATCCCGGGCATTCGATAAAATCACGACCTGCGAAGGCGCAAACTTAGGATGCCGATATCTCGTAAACGCTCCCAGCAGGAGCTTGATTCTAGCAATGCGCTAGAATCAGCCCAGCCGTCTATTTTGCATCGCATCCGGAACATGTGGCAATTTGCGAACCTCTTCCAATTCATCCTTCTCTTCGGCCATGCCCTTAAGCTGAACGATAACCTTGACATCGAGGTTCGTCGCATTCTGCCGCCAGCTCAACTGGTAACCCCACAAATCAAACCAAGGCACCGTTTTTCTAACGAGATTGGCGCGGAACAGGATCTCGAGGCAGAATGCCTAAAACCCGGGTCGATGTTGCTCCAGGACATTGGACTTGGCCTCCTCAAGTTCCTTTCCTCTCACCGCGGCCTCACGTACGTCCCGCTGCCCGTCGGAGTATCCAGGCGCCCCCCTAGCACCGCAAGCCGCTCACCCTGCATAGACACGAATTGTTTGATGAATACACAAGGAGGCAATTCCTTAGCAAGGCCCCAGAGCATAACCCTTTTGGCTCCGATGAGGTGCCAGCTAGCTTTGCGAACTTTGATGTCTTCACCAAGGTACGCCATTCACTACCCATTGTCTTTGGAACGCTGCCACCATACCTGGCCTTCACTGACGGTGGTATGCTTTCAGATCCGGGTTCTCCAGAAGATGACACAACTTGTCATGGTAACCCCGGAGCGCCTGCGGGAGAAGACTGAGGAGCAGAAGGATACCGATCAAACAAACTGGGTGAGCTGCACATCTCGTGCCCCGATATTTCGCTCCCAACACCTACCATACATAAGTACTAACCTGTCGCTGCTCGCATGTAGCGCATCGAACCATATGGGTGGGACCGGGACGACCGGACGTATTATGTTCTCGACGACAACCGCCTCTACCGCCAAACAGAGGCCCCCCTACCCACACCAAAACCGAAGAAAAACACGCAGAAGGCCAAGGCCGCTCAGCGGGCTAGCAAACGGCGTCGTGTGTCAGAAAAGGCCGCCAGTGATGCCGGTGATGACCATGAGGAAGCCTCCGGTGCCAACGAGGTAGCTGAACCAGAAGACGACGGTTTCGGAGGGATGAAGTGGGAGTGTGTGGCCGTCACTCTGGATGAAATCCGCCAATTCTTGTCGACCATCCAGAAATCTAAGGATCCTAACGAGAAGACCCTTCGCGAGCAGATCGAAGGACATCTAGTACCCATTCTTGAGAAGCAAGTAGAAGCCAAGAAGCGGAAGCAGCTTCAACGGGAGAAGGAGCTTCTCAGCCTGGAGAAGATGGCATTCGCAAAACGGTCGAGCCGTATTGCCGGCAAATTGGAGCAGCAAAAAGCGGAGGAACAGGCCCGCGAGGAGGAACAGAAGCGGGCGAAGCAAGAAGTCGCCAGGAGGAAGCAGGAGCAACAGCGGCTCAAGATGGAGCGGGAGAGGGACAACCGTTTGATGTCGAGGGAACAACGCCTCAAGGAGCGGGAGTCTCGCCGGCGGTTGCACGAGGATGAGCTTGCTCAGCTGTCTGAGGACAGCAAAGACACGACCGGCGGTGCGGCTCGCATGTCGGAGCGGCGGCGGATGGCCGAGATTGAGAAAAACAAAAAGGCCCTCCAAGAGCTGGAGGACGAGGAAGACGACTGGGTTTTCGACTGTATCTGCGGTGTCTACGGCAAAATCGACGATGGGACGCACAGCGTAGCTTGCGAGACGTGTAATACTTGGCAGCACAGCAAGTGTCTCGGCATCGACGAGAAGGACGCGGACCAGGAGGATTTTCACTTCGTCTGCAACTCGTGCCGTCGACGCGAGCAAGAGGCGAGCGAGCAACGTGCCCGGACGATCAAGCTCAAAGTCAACCGCCAGCAACAGCCGAGCTCACCAGCCGACGAGCAGGCCGCCGGTGAGGGGGAGGATGCCGTGCCCCAACAGTCCCGGAGCGAGTTGGTCGTTGAGCTAGAGTCTCGGCCGGCCGCGCGGGCCTCTTCTACCTCTCAGTCAGCACAAGCGGACGCTTCGCACTCCCAAGAAGGCAAGACAGGTGACAGCGCACTCAGCGGCAGTGAGGCAAAGCCCAAGCAACTCCCAGTCAGCCATGGGAACAATCCCTTCTCGTCACCACATCCAAGCCTATTGCCGTCAGGTCAACCACCGCGACTATCCAGTGGTCCACTCCTCGTGCCGGCCTCAACGAGCCATACTACAACCGAGAAACCAGCGTCGTCGGCAAAGTTGACCGTGACGACCGGCCCTCTTTCAACAACAGCTCCCGGCCTCGCGGGTGGCGGCCCGCCGTCCCCCTCAAAGCAGAAGCAGTCGGCACAAAACCTTTCTTCTCCCGTAACAAAGACACCCGCGGCCGTTCCTGCAGACAACGACAATTACCCCACCAACAACACCACAGCCACACCTTTATCCTCAATAGTGACGATGCCGCACCTTACGCCCGCCCAGCCGCGCAGTGCCGGCGCCAGATCTGATCCCGCAGGCGTGTCTGTCCCCAGCAGCTCACCCCTGCCTCCTTCCAGCGCGGGTCTATCCCCGACCAAGCACTCACCGCCTACGCCCAGACTGCAACAGCAACATCAACACCAAAATCAGCAGCAGCACGTCAACGGAGGCGCCCTCTCTAGCAGCCACAGCAGCAGTGTTGCTATCCCGGTTGCTCCCAGCGGGGTAGGAGGCCCCCCGGCCGCGGTATTCCCGCCCGTGGCGGCCCTGTCACCTTCACCGCGGCAGCAGATATTGACGCCCCCCGTCAAGCCTTCCGAGCCGGTCAGAGTTCCGCCCCACACGGCGCCGCAGCGGTCGCCGACGCCCAAGTTGGCGTTGGCTAGCTCGCCGCGGTTGGATGCACAGTGATGATGCTGGACCTGGCCTGTTTCTTATTTTCTCCCTTTCTCTTTTTCTTCCTGGCCTACCCGGTACCATTAGTGGCGGTGGGTGGGGGTTGGGTGGGTTAGATGGGACTGGTTAATTCTCCGGCCCAGTTGTTGTATCACATCGGAGCTGGCGGTTTGGGCTTTTAGATTTTCTTATTACTTTGTAAGGGGGGTGGGGGTAATCGTGTCCCAAGAGGACTTGATGGTGCGAGCATATTCGGGTCTTGCATTCTGAGCATGTAAAACATAGAGGAGACGCTTAAAGACGCGAGGAAACATCACAATATAACCTGGGATTGTCCCTCAACTGTTGGAAAATCGAGTAACACAATCAACCAACCCCTAACCCACCAACCACCACATGGGCCATCCATCCACGAATGGGCCCTGACAGGATAATGCGGTGGGGCTTTCAACCTCACCTAGGTCGTCGGCCAGTTGGATAACTTAAACAACCCCCATGAGAACAACGTCGCGTCCCAAGCCAACGGGTCGGTCCAACGCAACTCAGCACAACAACTCGCTCTCCCGTCCCAACTCCCGTGAATGTTGGGTAGTTACCCCTTATGAAACCCCCAACGAAAGGTATCAATCAACCTGGAACCGCGATCCAACGAGCCTGAATTAAGTTGGCGAGGGGGGGATAATCGTAATGTTGAGGGGGTTCTAGTGCAAATTTCCATTTCATCTCTGTCTGTTCAACGGTGGATTTGTAAAAGAGCGCCTGTCCTAATTAATCAAGTAAGAAGAGCAAGCAATAGAACGTAAGCGAGGTGTACTAGAGAAAAATTATGACACGTCTGATATCACACGAGTGACGGCTTGAATGCAACCCGCCCGGACTCATGCAATATTGTTGTAGCTTTTCCCGATAGGGCTGCACGAACCGATGGTCCTGGCTTTGAGACAGGTGGCGTTGGATAGGTACTGCATAGGGGTGTTCAAGAGGAAGAGGGTGGGGTGTATTCAGACACGACGACACGAAGGCTGGAAGGAAGGAAGTGGTTCAGGATTCAACAAGAGGACCACGGATGCGGACAAGTAGGTAACCCTGGGGAAAAGGGTGAGAACGCGGAATAGAAAGTCCGGACTGGTTGATCAGTGGGTTAATTACTTGGTTGCTTGCTTGCTGGACTGTTGACTGAACGAGGCGGAAAGGATTACGATTGGGCCCACCGGCGATGAGGGTTCGCCGGTCGGCAGGACGCAGATATCGCGATGTACGATCGGGGGTTTGCGGTGGACCAAAAACTCTGTGGAGTGGAGAGAGAATAGACAGACCGCCGGCTAGGGGATAATAACTGGCTCTCTTCGTCCGCCAAGTTGTCCCTCCTCTGCGCGCCTGTGTTGAGATCCTGAGTTCTCTTTCTTGGCTGACAGGCTGATGGAGTTGTTGAGTGACGCGTGACGTCCAACATCTTGCGCTCCCTCGCTCTCTCGGCTGGCGATGCTTAGGGAGATGAGAAGCGAGGGGGTGAATAAGTCAGGATGTGTAGTCAACACGAACGTTTTCCGCATAGTTAGTCAAATACCCGACGGCTGAGAGTTTGGTCGTGTTTTCGATGTTTCAACAGCGGACGATCGGTCGGTCGGTCAGTCGGTCGGAAGTTGCACGACCAGGTCGTTCGGGCTCTCGGTCATCAGTCGGACGCTCGCTGACCGGGACAGCTTGCTTGCTCAAGCACAGCCAGACTGTCGGTCCCTTTTTTTAAGTAGTCTTCATCTTCACGGGACCAAACCCAATCCCTTGGGTCGTTTGAGGCCCCACGATGGTTGACGATGGTTGGGTACAGCCGTGGCTTGGAATTCCTCGTCGCTCGTTTTGAAGCAAACATCTCCCCGAAGTAGCAAGTGTACCAGCACGCTCACCACCCAAGCACGCCATTCAGCCGCAAGGGATGATAAAATAGACGCCGCCTCTCCAACTATCCTCCTCTCTCCCTCTCGCTCCCCCTCTATTCTTCCTCTCATCTCCGTTCTCCGTGTCGGGTAGCTAATTTTTCCCATGCGCCCAGAATCCAGATCCACAGCAGCAACAGTAAATAGCCCCCATATCATGATCCCTACGGCTCACCCCCCCCTGGGAGCATCGGTTTTAGATGCGCAGCTGCAGAGAGCCAGACCGTGGGAAACAGCCTCGCTCTCGATGATTGGCTTGTTCCCTCGCGCAGCGCAGCGCAACGGATCACGCTCGGCAATTAGGGTCCGCCAGTCCGCCATCCCCGTTCCTCTGTGCGACTGAGGTCCAAACAGTCGCCCACTAATGCGGGTACCCGAAGCCGTCTTGCATGGCAGATTTGACAGACATGGAGACATGGATGCAAGCTTGCCAACCAGATCCCCAAGATCCCTTCATCGAACCCCTGCGGACAGACACACACACATACACACCCACGCATTTGCATTGCAGGATCTTGCCCCCGGGCAGCGCAGCACAGGGCATGGGCGTGGATATGGATGTGGATGCGGGCGGGCCCGAATTAGAGGCGGAACAGAGATGGACGAACCGGGATTCCGTTTCCCGGACATGTTGTTGTTCTTGCTATCGCTACTGCTGCTATTCCCTTCGCACGAGCAAACCGCTGGCAGTGGGGTGTTGTTCCCTGGTGGTAGACTGACCCTCTCTTCTCTTCCAATCCCGATCTGACCCACTTCCACAATCACCCACCACCCAAGAGCTAAAGATATACGTGTTGCCATTCTTGGTCACGATCACGGGGTGGGGGCGGAGTTTCTTGAAGAAAATAGACAAGAGATCCACCTTGGGGGTATCAAAGGAGCGTTAGAGTTGTTCCATCAAAGAAAAGACGAAGAAAGGAGAAATGCAAAATTCGCCGCCGGTAGGTCCCGTAGCTGTCTGTTACTGCGGCGTTGGGAGGGGAGGTAGGGGGTAGGGGAGGTCCAGAGCGAAACCGTTTCCGGGAGGCTACCCGCCCGCACATTCCAACGATCCTCGGACATCTCGCCCACACACAACAATCAGCCCTGCCGTGACCCCCTTAGCCATGTGTAACCTGAGGAGAAACCAACGAGTCCCGTCCCTTCTCGCCCCCCTTGCTCTTCGAGAAGTGGTATTTCGGTTCTCTGCGTGAACATGTGGTGGAGCAACGTACCCGTCTGCCCATTGGAGAATAGGCTTCACCGGTGGTGGATTCCAGTCCCATGCCCGGATGGGTTTGTTGCGGGAAAGGGAATGCGGTGGTTCGACCGGTTCCTGGGCTAGCCAGCAGGGTAGGTGCCCTTGCACGAGCCTGCCAGCCAGCCAGCCTCGAGGAGGGGTCTCTCTTCTTCTTGAGCTCTGCCGAACACGGATTGAATTGCCAGTACGGCCCACGAAAAGCGGGATTCCTACTGGGGAGAGAGAGGAGGGGGAGGGGGGGCTGTTGTTCTATCCAGACCCTTCCTTACCCTTTGCGCTTCCGGCCCGGTTGGCTTCCGAATGCGTCAGCCTTTCCAGGGCTGCACACCAGATCGAAATGGCATTGCTCGGCAGCCAAACCGTAATAAAGAGCATACATATACAAGGCCGGCTTCCCCATTCCCTTTTTCCCTTGGCCCCCTTCTACAAGAGTTCCTGTCCTGAAACAAAGCAAGCAAGCACACTCCTGCTTAGGTTCATTGACCCCAGCGGAGGAGAGGCAGATAAACTCCATCAAGCGGCTTCTAGCCTAGCAGTCCAACCCCCCTACCGTCAAAGTAAACAGAACAAAGAAAAGGAAGCCATAGCGTTCGCTGTGGAAAGGGTTCAGCGCCGACTCTGCAGATGATTGAACAGCATAGCAAGGTCCATCAAGAGCCAAGCGTGATCAAGAGAAGGAAAAGGGAACAGGAGAGAAAAAAGAGACATTGCTCACCGGAGTTTGAAGCAAGCAGGCCGAAGAGAACCCGAGCCACAAGAGATTGGCCGACCGCCTGCATCGCAAAGAGAGTCCTAGGAGGTCTTCATCTCCTCCATCTCTGCAGACGTCCCGGCAGCCAATCTGTTGAAAAAGGGTTCGTACCTCCATCGCCCTTTTACCACACCCATCCTGAACCCCCCAGCAAAACCCCCTTGGGCCAGCCTCTCGCCTGACACCGGAACGCGCATAGTCCTCAACACACAATAGCCACCACGCTGTTCTTATTGCGCACTCGGGACGAAAGAGACTCCTGGCACGAAGAGCTGGTCTCATCAATTCCTTTCGGGGCTGCCACCTATTTCAACCGGCACACCCACTCACCCGGCAACTTGGCTCACCCACATCGTGCTCCGGAAACACAACCGGTACCCATAAGGCGTGCGTTGTAAGTAAAGAAATCGGCCGTCCCCCAATGCTCAACTCTAACCGATACATTTCCTCCAGCAAGATCCAAGTCTAGTCTGGGTTTGAAAAGTATCCAGAAGGTAGATTCTGAATTCTCAATTCCAGCTTCAACCGCTTTCTCGGCCATCGGGCCCTTCGAATCTGCGGCCGCATCGCGCGCCAAACAATCATCCAACAGAGCCAGCATGGACCGCCATACGCCAGCATCGCCGACCCCGGTGAAGCCCGAACCGGCATTCCCATCAGGGTTCAATGAGTTGCTTCAACACAATGCCACCACACCGTACGCCCACGATGTCTTGTCTCCCGACCCGATGCACGCGCACTCGCAACCAGTGTCGAGGTATGGGACCCCAGGGCCACAGGCGCACCAATTACAGGGCATAGACTCTTCGATCGCGTATCCACAGCTCAGTGGCGTTGGTGATATGGTATGAAAAAGAAGGCGTGGGTTGAAATCGCGGCGGTCCATGAAAGCTGACGCTTTGATCACAGATGTACCACCCGCCGGTGGGCGCATACCCGCCGAATGACTGCGCCTACGGGCCCATACCAGAGGTGAGTTGTGTTGAAGAGAGAGCCCGTTGGTGCGTGTAGTTGCAAGAGTGCGCTAACTAGAAGGGCCAGCCTTTCCAGCCGTATGGCACACCCGCAACCTCCCCACCCACACCTTCGCGAGGACCGAAGACCGTGACGAGTCGGGCGGCCGCCCGGGCGGACCTGAGCGCGAGGGTCCTGGGCCCCCGCAGCACGCGGGTTGAGAAGTCGGTCCCGAAAAGGAAGAAAGAACGGGCCAAGCCGCCCAAGAACATGCCGGTGCTGGACAAGCCGATGAGTGAGCTGACAAAGGCTTCGTCGATACCGGTTGCCGACATCGAGACGTACGTTCATCGTTCAGCCGACGCCCGGCGGCAAGAGATTGAGACGGGCAAAACTCCCGGCAGGGTGAAGCGGCCGATGAATGCATTCATGTTGTACCGCAAGGCGTATCAGCAGCGGGCCAAGGAGTGGGCGTCTCAGCATAACCATCAGATCGTCTCTCGGGTGTGCGGTCTCAGCTGGCCGTTGGAGCCTGAGCACATTCGGCAACAATTCAAGACCTGGGCCGACATTGAGCGTGACAACCACCAAAAGGCCCACCCCAACTACAAGTTCACCCCGGCCAAGCCGCAAAAGGCAGCGCCCCGGTTCGAAGGTTCATTCGACGACCGCAGTGAGGGTTCCGACTTGGACGATTATGACTGGGCCGGTCGAGGAGCCTCACAGGGGCGGTCGGCAACTAGGACACCTGGGGCGGACAGCGATTATATCCCAAGCCGTGCCGTGCAAGCGGCAATCGCCCACAACCAGCTCGCGGGGTTGAACATGATGGGCATGGGCCACCCAACGCGGTCGTCCACCATGCACGACTTCGGCCAGGGAAAACCGATGCCCGCTGGGTATCCCCATCACGACGTTCATGGGCATTATCCCGACCTGCACATGGGCAACCCGCAACAAAGGCACATGGAAGCCCTGATGCACAGGTCACCGTCCCCTAGTCTGGCGTTCCAACACTCCAATTTCGGCTTGCACGCACATTCACCGTACGACTTCAGCCAATACCACCAAGTGATGGAGCAGCCGTCGGTGCAGATGCTGGCGCAGGTACAAGCGCAACAAGCACAGGCACAACAGACTTACGCCCAGGCGGACACACACATCCATCAGCAACATGTCCAGAGCCAGCAGCACGCCGCCCAGCAGTTTGAGCAGCGGATAGACCCCTCCCTAATGCCGCAAGACGACGTCTTGTTCAACCCCAGCGACTTTAATGGCCTCTCGGGAATACTTGACGGTGGAATTGACGGTGAACTTGATGGTGCGCTTGACGGTGCGGCGCAGGAAGCTTGGTCAGGCACTCAGCTACCGGCCGGTACCGAGCCCGAGAGCCAATTTTCCAATGCCATCTTGGGCCTTGACGACCCCCCCCTTTCTGCGGAGCAACAGGCTCAGTACTTTGGCGGCAACTGGCAGGTCGAGCAAATCCCGGAGAATGCCCACTTTGACATCAACTGGGTAGAGCCAAAGGCTGAATAAGTTTCGAGGTTAGCTGAATGGTGGACAGGCAGGAAGAAGACAAAAGCGCCACCAAATGAAAGTGCAGAAAAGAAACGAACAACAGCAGAGAAAATACGGAATTAACACTAGATGCCTTCGGATTTCGAGTCGACACCTCAGGGAAAGGGTTTAGAGGCACAGGCAGCAATGCCACAACAATAAAACCCAGGGGGTGTGGGGGGTTCATAACGGGGATGTTCTCGCAGCTTTCTTAACAACGGCATTTTCGGGGGTGGCAGCATGGAAAGGACGGGGCGTTGGTGAATTTGAGAACACACGACCGAGATTACTTACTTAACTTCGCATCTGCATTGATTTTTTCTGCCCACTTCACCTTGCCTCGCTGTGCGTTTCTTGTCGCTATACTTCGTATTTGTTCTTGTTTTGGATGTGGTAATGATTTGTCTGTGTTTCGATTGTCGAGGGTGATTTGCAACGGGAAAATGTCTTTGTCTAGACAGCACGACACTAGAAGGTGTTTGTTTTTTTAAGCTGCGATGGACTTGTAGTCATAAAGAAGAGGAGAGAACCCGAACATGGCGGAGATACAAAAGTCGAGAAAGAAGGAAGGATCTAAATTGATGAGATATTGCCCAGATCGCTTATCCTTCTATGCGTAACATGCGCTAATCAGGATTCTTAAACAACCTTGCCCGGCCCACACGAGCTGTGTTGATTGTTGTCACAAGCTCCAACCACGACATAGCAAAGAGACTATAGCCATTTGAAAATCGTAGCCCAAAATGACGCTACTTTCCAAGACCATCACGACGTTTGGCAGTCTTTTTCTCGCCCATGCGTAGGGACCACACCCTTCTGCTTCCAATCGCCCGCTAACCAGGCCTTTAGCTGCTACTCGGCGCGTGAGCATGCCGCGCTGCAGTCCCTCCGAGCTGCCACTAGCGCCTCGCTCACTTCGTCCCCAACAGCCGCCTCTTCTCTTCCCATCGACATTGTAATCGAAACCATCGTCTCCACATTCATTATCCTCCTCGGGCTGGTCCTCGGCACACGGCCGCTACGGCCACTCGAGTGGCGCGTCTGGGCTGGGAAGATCGAACGTGAAGGCGAACAAGGGTTTACAGACAATTCTGGCGTGGTGGACAAAGATTATATGGGAAATCCATTTGCTGTTCTAGAATCTCGACCAAATTTTGTGGATATTCGGAAGCAGCGTCGTCAATTTGCCAAATGGGTCCAGGAGGGGAGTGGGAAGCAAGGGCAATGATGCCTAGGTAACTATCAGCAGTGGGAGTCAGTCAATAATGAGATTCGATTGCCTTTTAGCCATCCGAGCGGTCCTTCGGTTCTCCCTTTACTTATCATCTAAACACCGGCTCTCTTTGCCTTTGGATACCTGGATACATTACCTAACTATCCTCCTAGGCTCACCAACACCCATCCCCTCAATAACAGTACACATACCTCCCAAGTACAATCGCATAAAATACCCGGCATGTCCAACGCCCCTTCCCGATTCACACAGTCCAGCCAATGACTACGACAGTCGTACCTGCCTCCCACAAATCAGCCAAACCTGGCAGATCATCAACTCAACGGTTGACCGGCGCTTCCTAGAAGATGCTTCACAGCTGGTCGAGCATGGAATGTGTTTCTCCTATCAACTAAATTCTGCGCCCGTTCTAGCCGCCTGAAACCGTCCGACAAATTCGACCTACTGACCAAAACGAATCGGACGAAGAAAGCCGCAGCCATGCCTGGGCACGGTAGCGCCCGTAGTGTTTACTCAACAGCATCCCACTTGTTGTCCCCCCGAAGCATCGGTTCTCTCTCCTCGCCCGCTCCATCCCAGTCACCATCGGTCTCATCATCGTGTCCCGGGACGCCATCACCGCCCTCTAACGGACCGCCTTTGCCACGGGTTTCTACTCCCTCTCGCCGTGATGGGGCGCTCTCTCGTCCACCTCGAAGTTCCCGTTCTACCTCGCGCCGTCGTAACGGACCAAGACAAAGCAATGGCGTCACTCGTAGTGGCTCCCGCGCCGGACGTTCAAGCTCGCCGATATCGTCGATACCTCGTACAGGACACATACAGGGAAGTATAAGCCGTGCTTCCACGCCTTCTAGTCTTTCCATGAGTTCTCACAACTCGACCCCTCGGCCCCACGGAACAAAACTCGGGTCATCGTCACGAAAATATTCGAACGACCGCAGAACGCCATTGGGTCCACCGCACCCGCTCGGCCATGGGACGCTTCAACCCTCGTATATCCGCCATGGCGTTGACGTGGGCGAACGGAGCACTGGCGACTATTCTCAAGATACACTCAGCGAAATCATCATGGCTATTGACGTGGACAAAGATGGCAAAGTTGGCTGTGCCTATTATGTTGCAATGGACGAGGCATTGGTGCTCGAGGAAGACATCTCTATGGGTGGTATCGAGGCTGTTGAAACTTTTTTGCTTCACGTCCAGCCGACCTCCGTCATCATCCCAAATAGGTCACCTAGCGACTTGATTGAGTTCCTTGAGCGGGATGCCCACCGACCCGACGACGGCATTGACTCGGAAAGTGGTCATGGGGCATATATTTTGCGGCACGTCGTCTCAATGCAATTCGATTACGACTCTGGCAAAGAAGCCCTCGCCAACATCGACCCTGGCCAGACTGAACCCAGCGGCGTTGAAGTTGCCACAGCAGGAGAAGAACCGGTGCTTTCCATCGGTTCTTTGGCTCATGGAAGGCTCATGCGTCTCGCTGAAAAGGTTAACCTCGAAAGCTGCTTGTCCGTTGGTTGCGCGAGTGCTATCCTGACCGATCTTGAACGGCGGAGGGTCGTGGAGGACACCACGTCATCATTTGACGAGCCGACGTTCCAGTTCCGGGTGCGGTCCATCGAGATGAACACGCCAATAGACACCATGTTGCTAAGCGGAGACACTCTGATATCTCTGCAAATATTGCAATCGGAATTACACCCTAACCTGCAAACTCGCTCCTCCAACGGCTCCGAACCCAAGGCAAAGGAAGCCCTTTCCATCACTGGCCTTCTTCTAGCTCTAGCTTCGAGCGCCCAAGGGAAAAGGCGGCTCCGACAAATTCTCCTACGGCCGAGTACTAACATCCGGTTGATCCAAGAGCGCCATCGGTGCATTGAAGTTCTCCTCCGGCCCGATAATGCAGAGGTTACAAAACACATGCGGAAGCTGTTGAGGAAGTTAAAGAACACCAAGACACTTCTTCTCCACGTCCGAAAGGGTGTTGATCGAGTACGCGGTCAGCTATCAATCCGAGTAGGAGACTGGAAGGCGTTACTGAGATTCGCCATGGTCTCTGCTCAACTAAAGCGAGCAATCCATACTTTAGAAAAATCGGTGGGCGTTGAGATCTTTGACAGGGTGAGTATTCCCCGTCGGAACCATCTCCCTGAGTTCAGCTCACTCACTAGCTCAAGATACGTACCGAGATTGATGTCAATCGTTTCTTGCACATCGGCGATATCATCATACGGACAATCGATTTCCAACTCTCTAAAGAGAGCGGCCACACGGAGATCCAAACTGAAGCAAGCGAATACCTGGATGGGCTAAGACGAGAGTTTGCTGACGTTTGTCATATGCTTCCCGAAATCAAGGAATCCGTGGTTCGTGAGTCGCCAAGGGAAGCAGCCCAATACATCCGCCACTGCACAGTCATGCCGCAAGAAGGGTTTCTCATTGCAGTTGGGCTTGACCCTGAAACTGGAGAAGGCATTTATCATGGCCAAGGGTCACTGGAGGGAGAGTGGATGAGGTACTTCACTAACGAAGATGCGGTGTATTATAAGAACCAACTCATGTTGGATCTTGATTCTCAATACGGAGACCTCCCTTCCCGCATTTCTGGTAAGCCTAAGCTACCGTCACCGTGAGAAAATCTTCTAGTGACTAATATCGCTATTCCTTAGAGGAGGAGATCGAGGTGATTATGGCTCTGGCAGCTGCGGTGTTGGAGCATGAAGAACCAATCCTAGGTGCAGCCGAACTTTTTGGGGAGCTCGACAGTATGCTGGCGTTTGCTTTAGCTGCCGAAAAGTACAACTGGGCAGCTCCTACTTTGACGTCTTCAAACACGATAGACATTAAGGGTGGACGGCATCCGCTCCAGGAGCTACTAGTGCCCTCATTTATCCCTAACGACTGCTCGATTGCCGGTGGTTGCGGCGGTGGTGAGTCAGGGCAGGGTGCTGCGGTTGGGCAGAGCGAAGAAAAGCCGTCCACCCTCATCCTCACCGGCCCGAACAACTCGGGAAAGAGTGTCTATATGAAACAGGTCGCCCTCATTGTGTACTTGGCCCACACTGGGAGCTATGTGCCAGCCACGCACGCCACAGTTGGTGTGACGGACCGCATCTTAACCCGAATCGCTACGAGAGAAACGGTCGTCAACGACGAGAGCGCTTTCTTGGTGGATTTGAAACAAGCGGCATTCTCAATGAACTTTGCAACTCGGCGGAGCTTGTTGCTGATCGACGAGTTCGGGAAAGGCACAAACTCAGAAAGCGGGTCTGCTCTGCTTGCGGCCTATCTCACATATTTTCTAGATCTCGAAGTGGAAGCCCCAAAGGTCCTTGCGGGAACTCATTTTCACGAAGTGTTCGATAATGGCCTGCTGCAATCACGGCAAACCCTTGCCTTTGCTCACATGGACGTCCGCCTCGACCCAGAGGCTGAGGATCCGGAAGACCAAGTGACGTTTCTCTTCCGTCTTCTGCCGGGAAGAGGCACGTCGAGCTTGGGCGTGCTGTGCGCGGCTGCAAACGGCGTACCGACCGAAGTCATCAGCAGAGCTGAAGAGATTGTGGCGCTACTAGATAAAAATGAGAGTTTAGTAGATGCCTACTCGAAGTTGTCTGAGAAGGACGAGCAAGAGTTGGCGCAAGCGAAGTTGGTTGCGAGGAGGTTCTTGACGTTGGAGGTTCCGGCTTTGGGACGCGGGCAGAAGAAGAACGAGTTTAAAATCAGAGAGATGCTTGAGGCGGTTCTCGCAATAGAGCACGTAGGAGGTACCTTGAGGGCGTGATGGGTATTTGCTAAAAGTCTCTGACCATCTCACCAGGCATCACAACGGCAAATGTCCTAAGGGAAGTGTCTTTCTCTCATTTGCAGCAGCTCTTTCCAGAGTGTAAACAAGTGGCTTCACCAGCAATTTTCACTGGGGGTATCTAAATGGAAAAAGTAGACACAATACAATAGAAAAATGACGAGTCGAGAGCCAGAAAACATTCCCTTCATCTGCCGAAGACCAAACGAGGGGCCGTATCCTGCTCATTACATTCGTACCATTTAACATTACTCCAATGACCCTCCGGGCACACCTGGCCTCCTCGTTCCTCCTCATTGCTGATCCAGGATCCGTTTACTGGCCGAAGGCGAAGCCAACAACCACAGCCGCGGGCAGGGCCAACAGTGCGAAAAGGGGGCGGATCGCCGCACCAGCAGAATCATCGCCGGAGGAACCAAACGGGTTGGTGTTGTGGTTGCTGCCGGAGCCTTCATTAGACGAGGTAGTCGATTCGGCTGGCGAGGACGAGGTCTCAGTGGGCGTCACGGAAGTGACAAGAGTAGTCTGGGCCGCGCTGCTCGAGGCCGCGCCACCAGCGGCGGCAGAGGTCGAAGGCCCGGCAACGTTGGACGTGGTAGCGGACGGCTTGGGCGGGACAGGCGGGGAGTGCTCGGGCTTGTCGGACGTCGACGGGGAGTGCGGCTTGTCCGACGTCGAGGGCGCGTCGTGCGTGGGGCTGGGCTTGGCCGAGGTGGCCGCGGGCAGCTTGCTGGAGTAGCTGCTGGCCAAGCTAGCGGCGGCGTCGAGCTTGCGCTCCGGGATGTTGCTGCAACCGTTGCTGATGGGGGACAGGAAGGTGTCGTCGGCGTCGCGGAGGTCGTTTTTGCAGTTGAAGTACATGCAGGACACGACGGAGTTGAGAAGGAGGCTGTTGGCTTCCTTGCAGACGCACTTTTCGTCGTAGGCCTCGCAGCCGTTCGAGGCTACGCAGTCGTCGATGCAGGGGGTGAAGCCAAAGTCGGCTTGGGCGGGGCCGGCGAAGAAGAGGGCCGTGCCGAGGAGGGCAAGCCGGGCGTAGTTGGTGAGACCCATGGTTCGAAGAAGCAAAAGTGTGGATATAACGGTGGTTGCGACGGCGGTATGTGGTGAGTGAATGAGTGCGTGAAACGATACGATCGGTTCGTGAAATAGCCGTCTGTTTACTTCTTCTTTCCCTCAGGAGTTCCGAGTTGGGCGGGACTCTCGATATTCAAAAAAAAAACCTTCAACCGCAAAAGGAATGGACGGGTGTTTGACGCGAGAAACGGCACAAACAGAGGAACAAACAGGCGCCATGTTTTTGAAAAGGGTGAGGTGGTACCCGGGTTTATGATCCTGCGTTTCCCGAGGCTGAGCATCGACTGTGTGTGTGCCGACCCCGAGGACCATCACATTTGGAACCCCTGTTTCCTTTGGGGAAGTTCCCAGGTACCGCCAGTTTGAAACACCGGAGACAGGGGTATGCCATGGGTTCAGCCACACAATCAGCTCCTTCATCATCGGAAGCGCGGCCAATTGATCGAATCAGAATCCACTCTGCTTCGGAGGGTTACAAGGAAACCAAAAGGGAAGCAACCGAAATGACGTTGAGGTAAAAAAGGCGAAGAACTTCTCTCGCGAATGCGTTTCCTTGGGTTTTCAGGATAATTCCCTGCAATTGCAGATGGGAGAATTGGGAATTGCGTCAACATGGTCGGCAACGCCGTTCAAACGATGTACACCACTCTGTAGTGTAGCTAATTATTTTTTCCCCAAGTTTTGAAACATTTTTTTCTTCGACTAAGGCGGCCATACTGCCTGGTTGGACACTGGCTTCAACGCTCGAATTTCTGAAAAGGGGGAATGTTGGGTTCTGACCTCTGGTTGGAGCAAGCAGTGAGGTTTCCCTGCGATCTGATCTGCTTGGCCGAATCTAGGTGGGGCTCCCGGCATTCCGGCACGGCGGCGCTCTTGGCACTGGAGGCCGGATGGACCCACAGCGAGAAACTTCGTGGGGTAACTTTATCGATAACGCCAGACTGCGATAGGGACCAAATTCCAGCGTACGGATTTTCTAGGCCCAGCGAACATTCGTTAGACCCGGGAAGGAGCACAAGAACCCTGCGTTCTGAGTTTGAATCCCCCGATTTGAATCACCTGGGAATCCATTACTTCAGGCCATTATCAGTGGTCCCGACAAGATGGCACCGACGAAACCGAAGAAGAAATCCCACAAGGACAAAGCGAGGGACCGAGCTCGAGCTAAGGCAGCCTCAACACAAAACTCAAATGTCAACCCACGCGAGCTCCTCACACAAGCGACGACCTCTCTCGAAGAAGGCGATCCGGAGGCCGCAGCGCGGATAGCCCTCGTGGCCTACGAACACATTAGTGAGGGCGGGCGACAAGCAGGCGCCGCGTTATCATTGCTCGGGCAAATCCACGTCGAGCTAGGCGACATCGACTCGGCGCGCGCCTTCTTTGCCGCCGCCGTCAAGGCCGACGAAGATGGGTCACTCCCGGAGGACCTAGGCGGCGGGCCCGAGAAGTTCCTATGGTTGGCGCAGCTCAGCCAAGAAGGTGGACAAGACAGCGTCTCGTGGTTTGAGCGCGGGGCGAGCGCATTGCGGGCTCAGATCCAGGTCCTCACGAGCGAACTAGAGTCGAGACCCCTCACGCGTGACGTGCAGGAGGCACTGATTGCCGACAAGCGCAAGCGTTTGGCGGAAGCGCTGTGCTCAGTTGTGGAGGTGTACATGACGGATCTCAGCTGGGAGGAGGACGCGGAGCAACGGTGCGAGACACTTATCACTGAGGCGATCATGCTTGCGCCTGAATCGGCTGAGACTTGGCAAACGGTCGCCAATGTGCGTATTTCGCAAAGCCGAACAGAGGAGGCCCAGGAGGCATTGAAGAGGGGCTTGGGATTGTGGAGTGAGCTGGCACCAGAAGACCCTTCCGTTCCGCCGTTCGCTTCACGGGTTAGTTTGGTGCGGTTGTTGATTGAGGTCGATATGGAAAAGGAGGCGTTGGAGGTAACCGAGCGATTGATCGCTGAAGACGACCGAAGTGTCGAGGTTCTCTACCTCGGCGGTTACGCCAAGTACATTGCAGGGGAGAAGCTCAGGAACAGCAACGAACAGTCGGCCACGGTCGATGCTGACAGCTGGAAGGCGCTCTGGCGGTCGTCCAGGAAGTGGCTAACACAGTGTTTGAAAGTGTTCAAGCAGGAGGAGTACGAAGACGAGAGGCTCGGAGCGCATGCGCAGGACCTGCTAGAGTCGCTTAAGGGCGAGCTCGGCGAAGCTCCGGTGGACGGGGAAGATGCATGGGAGGATACGGATGATGAGGATGAATGGGAGGGTCTGGATGATGACGAGGATACTGAAATGCAATGAACTGAATTGTCGTGTATTTCCGTTGCTTCCTCTTTCTACCTTCCTTTTTGTCATGCGTTTCACCTGTCAGACACCCGTTGTCGGATGAAAATGGTTAAATCGGAATTTCCTGTGCGGGGTGCTCAAGGCGTTGGGACAGAAAATATTATGGGCTTTCTTTGGGGGTATAGACAATCTAGGAGACCATTAGAAGTGATTGCTGGGCGGTTGGGCGGCCCAAGCATGAACATGTCGCTGAAAATAAACAACCTTGTACAACACTCTCGCCCGCCTTCCACTAAGAGCAACGAATTCAATTGTCGCCAACCTTGAGCTTCTGTACATCGTCGGTTGGTACGCCGTCGTCGTCGCCGTCTTCCTGCCCAGCTGTAGCCAAGCCCCGTTCCCATAGCTGTTTCCCTGTGAGCTTGACCGGCTCCTTGATTCTCGCCTTTTTCAATTCGGCTAACCTCTCCTCCTCTTCTCGAACCCGGTTCTCCTCCATCTCTTTCAGGAAATCCTCCCGCCACTTTAGAAATGTATCGCGATTGACCGGTGTCCCGTGGAACTTCTTGTTCTCCTCGCGTTCTGCTGCTAGGACGGCCTCTTCATGCTCCTTTGCGGCTGCCGCCTTCCGTTCCTCCACCAATTGTTCCGCAGCTTCCTTCACGGCTGATACTAAAGTAAAGACCATTGCCATGCCAAGGTTTTCCTCAACGGTGGCCTCCAGCCCCTGGAGGAGCTGGTCCTTGTCTTCGGCGACATTGATGTATTGGTGGGGGCTCGAGCCCTGAGGTGCGGCAAGCTCGAGCAATGGCGCCTTGTCCGGATAGTCTTCGGGATATCGAATGGTGAGGAGTATTATTGGGGGTTCGGATTCATCATCTGGAAGGTCGAGAGTAATTGATATCCTGTATTCGGTTTCCGAGATATCTGCAGCAATCCCCAACGTTAACACCTCTTTCAGGTTTGCGGTGCTTGGACTGGTCCTACCTGTGATCTCATCGGGAAAAATAGAGTCGAGAACCTCCCGCTCCTCAATCTGTTCTTCGCGCCCCATAATGAGGGAATTCTAGATGTAGCCCAAGGGAAAATATCTGCCGTGGCACGACAATGAATGAGAAAGACTTCCAACGGAGGCCCGCGTTGGCAAAATACACTACTGCAATCGCAAGTCAAGGGAGGGGCAGCCAAAGTCGCGAGGGTGCTAGTGGGGTCAAATGCGAGTCCCCTGTTCCTGCGTGTCTCACCGCCTGGCAGAACAGGGGTAAGCGCTTGATCCCCAGAAAAAAAATCAGAGCGACAAGGGTGCAAGTGTTTGTCTGGGACATGTGGATTGGCACTACGATTTCTCCCTCGAGCATCTCGTCGCTGATAACCTTCTCAGCCATGGCCTTCAAACATCCAGCCTCTGCTGCTCCCGTGAAGCGGAAATCGGCTTCGGGCGACAAGCACAACGACGGCAATCGCTTCAAAAAGGCCAAGACTGAGACCGGGCCTAGGCGCCAAAAATTCAACGACGATGAAGATGTCGCTTCGGACAGTGATGGTAGCGGGTTCTCCGACTCAGGTGACGGCGGAGCTGAATTGAATAGCAGAACGCATGCGCGGGTTCCGGTACGACCGAAAGATAACGGGCGGGCGCCAGCTGGGCGGCCCATTGAAGGCAGTACGTTTTGAACAGTTCATTCGCATTCGCCCATGACATTGGACTGACAATGTTTTTTCAGCGCAAACCTCCCGTGAGGCGCACGCAAAGCAAAAGCAATTGGCCCTGGAACGCAAGGCCGCGAAGCCACTGGCCGACGAAGTCCACCGGACGAAGAAGTTGTGGGAGAAGCTCCGTCGGAAATCGCATGTGCCTAAGGAGGAGCGCCAGCAACTTGTGGACGAATTATACAGCATCATCACTGGGCGCATCAAGGAATTTGTTTTGAAACATGATGCCGTCCGCGCTGTCCAAACCGCCATCAAGTACTCGACCCCGGCCCAGCGGAAACAAATCGCCAAAGAACTCCAAGGGACCTACGCCCAGCTTGCTGAAAGCCGATATGCCAAGTTCCTTATCGGGAAACTTCTCGTCCAGAATGACGATGAGATTCGGGATATCATTGTGCCGGAATTCTACGGCAAGGTGCGGAAACTGATCAACCACTCGGAGGCTTCCTGGATCCTCGACGATATCTACCGTGGAGTCGCGACAAAGGAACAAAAGGCCCACCTGCTACGGGAGTGGTATGGGCCCGAGTTTGCCCTTTTCAAACTTGACAAGGGCGCCGGAATCACTGGGGAGCTCTCCAAGATTCTCGCCGACGAGCCGAGCAAGCGAGGGCCAGTGATGAAGTACCTTTTCGACATGACGAACGGTCTCATCCAGAAGAAGATGACGGGTTTCACAATGCTCCACGATGGCATGCTGCAATACTTTTTGAATCTCAAACCTGAGAGCGAAGAGCTCAAGGAGTTTGTCGAGACAATTAAGGAGGACGAGAACGGCGATCTGCTCAAGAACATGGCGTTTACAAAGTCTGGAGCCCGGCTTGTGTGCCTGCTTCTGGCCAACGGGAGCGCAAAAGACCGCAAGCAGATTCTCAAGACATACAAGGACACGTTCCAGCTCATGTGCGGGGACCCGCACGGCCATATGATCCTCTTGACGGCGTACGATGTTATTGACGACACGGTGCTCACCTCGAAGACCATCTTCCCGGAAATTTTGGGCAAGAATGAGGAGAAGGGCATTGAAAACATTGTGTTCCTGGCCAACGATCTCAACGCGCGCATCACCGTGTGTTATCTCTTCGAAGGGCAGTCCAAATCGTTGTTCCCCGCCAGCCATTCTTACGACTTGGAGCTGCTCGCAGAAATCCACGAGATCCGAAAGAGGACGAGTAAGAAGGACGCCGATATCCGGCGCAAGGAGCTAGTCGCGGCCATGTCTCCACCGCTGCTGGAGGCCGTCGCGACATCGCCTGCCGACCTTGTGGCGACCTCGTTCGGGTGCCAGTTCGTCGCCGACGTCTTACTGTCCGCAACCGGGGATAAGAAGGCTGCGCTGGAAGCTGTAGCTTCGACCGCGGCTGGCAACCCCGAGCCAACGCTGGCCGAGGATGCTGACCCATTGTACCCCCCGCCAGCGCACATATCCCTGACACCGCACGGCGGCAAGATGTTCAAGACGTTGATCGCCGGCGGCCGATTTGATAGGGCTGCCGGCGCGGTCAAGCGGGTTGACCCGCCTCTCAACTTTGCCGACGCTCTGTACCCCATCATCAAGGAGCACGTCGTGCAGTGGGCCACGGGCCCGAGCTCATTTACCGTGCTGGGCCTGTTGGAGGCGCCCGACTTCTCGTCTAAGAAGGAGCTGCTCAAGGTCCTCAAGTCTGATAAGAAGACGCTTGAAAACGCCGCAGCCGGAAGTGTGGCGGACAAAGCTGAGACAAAGGATGGCAAGAAAGCGAAATCGAAGGGCAAGGGGGCTCAGCCGGATAAGGGAAAACCATCTGGGAACCAGGGAGCGAAGCTGCTGCTTGAAAAGCTATAGTCATGATTAGAATCAAAATGAAGATTTATGTTCGAAGCGAATACCGTGACGGAGTCGACGACGAGGCCTTCTTTTTGCCTCCGTTTTAATTTACCTATCGATCCTGAGGTCTGTGGACTTTGCTACTTGGGCCGGTCACTCGTGGTGGCTAAGCCGCCACAGGGGCTTCAGCCCAAAGAAAGGAAGGTTGATACATAATGTTTGATCGGTCATGTTCGCCTTTGTTCTGTGGTACTTGTACACACCTCCACACCATTCTGTCGCATCCCATCACACAACACAACATTGCCACTGGCAATCTGCCTGGCTGATTTAGTGCTCCTGATATTACCCCCTAAGGAACCTCGCAGGAGTTTCTAGTACTTCTTTCAGTTGGGAGACCCAAGTGAGTCTTGATCCAATCTATTTCAAATTTAAAAGAGACGTTTTTTGAGCCAGGCCGAAGCGTGTGAATGATAGTGCTCGAGCAGGAGTTGCCCGCCTCCTGTGCGACCGAGTTCAGAAATTGCGATTCCCATCCGATCAGTTTGTGCTCGCACGATCGGGAGAGCGCGGGTTTTAAGGAGGCTTGACCCCCAGATCTAATTTCCTTGTATACACCCGGGGAAAGTTTCGGTTTAGTGTTCTCGTTCTCCTGGTTGACAGTACCCGCAGCGATAAACTACAGCACCATAGCACTACGCACGCATACAGGCCCCAGCTTGACACCTTTGTTCCAGTCCCCGACTCGGGAAACAGCTCCTTTTCTTCGATTCCGACCTCGACCCAAGGCTGACTCGATTTCACCGAGTAATTACCGGGTCTTCCGAATTTTCTTTCTGGTGGAGTTGGCTGAGTGGTTAGATAGGAGAGTGGAGTGGGTGGGAGCCACTTCGTATTGCTGGCCATGTCTCTGACGGAGCTATCCATCGACAACACAGCTCGCAGCAAGGCCTGCGAGGCCGAAGGCGGGTCCTCCTGGCTCACCGTAACCAGGGATGGCCCATTGTTGCATTGTAAGGCTAGCGGATGGCGCCGCGATGAGAATCCTGGAAGAAAGCAACATCAATTCGATCCTGTCGTCGTCATCCGCCCCCGTCAGGACCCCACGCAAACCGACGAAACTGAGGCAGACGCTACCGTCTTCATCACCTCAACCGTCGCCGGCGTGGCCACATTGACTGTCACCAGGTCTGAATCAACGTCGTCGGTATCATCGTCATCATCAACAACATCATCCCTAGCGTCACACTCATCACGCTCATCATCATCCCCCTCTTCGTCCTCCCCAAGGGAAACAAGGATAAGGACAAGGACAGCGACAAGAACAGAAACCTTGACCTCAACCTCAAACTCAACCTCAAACTCAACCTCAAACTCAACCTCAAACTCAACAGAAACCTCAACCTCAACACTGGGTACCACTGTACCCTCACCACCCACCATCTCTCCCACACCCTCCTCCAATCATGACCACCCTCCGGCGGCCACCCCCGTCAGCAGCAACGGGATGACCATATCCGTCAGCGCCCTCGTCGGCATTGTCATCAGCTGCGCGATCGTCGTGATCTTTGCCGCGCTCGTCCTATGTATGTGGTGGGGCCGGCAACGGCGGCAACGTAAGGAGAAGCAGCGGCTTCACGATGACCCATCGAGGATGACTTACTCTCGTGGTAGAGGGGGGCAAGGAGAAGAAGGGGAAGCGGGATGGGGGGGAAGAACGTTGATCAGCCGGAGCGGTGCTGACGAGCTGCTACCGCCGGGAATGGAGTCGGTGTTTAATCCGATGACGCAGAGCGGACCTGGAAGTGTCTTTGATCGGACTGAGGGTATGTATAGCCTGGCGCAACCTTACGTAGAATCCGTCTCGCATGAAAACATTATAAGCCAGTGCCTTGCGTTATCTAACACCGCATCTCTAGGGCGAATGGCCAGGGTAGACAGTATGGTCGGGCTCAGACAAACTCCTCGCCAGGGCATAGCGGCCAGCAACGAGGGGAACAAAACCTCTTCCACCAGAACCCTCGCGCCTGGTGAACCATGGGAGGCCTCGGCCCCCCCTAGCTGCGGCCCAGCCCTAAGCCTAGGCTCGAGTTCAATTGGGCTTGATTCGAAGTCCGTCCAGGCCGCTGAGACACATGCAAAGGGAGAAACAGAGACGGAGGCAATCGGCAAGCTTGGACTTGGAAGTGACGGGTCCCAACTAGGGTTCCGCGGTTGTACAGGAAGGGTGGACATTCTCGATGCCACACCTCGGGCGACGCTGAACTCGACGGAGCAGGAACGGAAGGCGGGGACGTATGCGAATAGTTGGACACGGTTCCAGAATGTGCAGTTGTGAGGCGTTGAAGGATGGTACCAGATTTCTGATTTTTGTTTTGTTTTTTTAATACCAGCTCAGCATCGAAAGGGCCCGTCTAGGTGCAAGAGAGAAAGGGAAATTACACGCCTGAATTCTGAGACCAATATACGCCGTGCCATGCATATTCTTTGATTCTACCCCTAAGGCCATGTGAGCCATCGACGGGATAACGGCGGTGCGGTACGCCTGTATGCCGGGAGAAATGTCCGCTTTAAAAAAGAACCCTCCCTCACTAGTATGTGCTCAGTTGGTCATAAGCTTGGCCATTTCGTCGAGCAACTCCTGGAGGTCTTCGTCACTGATCTTATCGGCAAGTGAAGGGATCATCGTCTTGCACTCGTCCGCGCTGTCGCAGCAGAGAGAGCCTAGAAAGCAAGGGCAAAGCATAGTTAGCTCTGGCGGTAACTCAGCGCTGGAAGGAAGAGGAAGGGGGTACAGGCCGGGAGTGTCCTTTGAAAAAAACCTACCTATATGTGCCCTCTCAAACTTAGTCAATTCCTTCCTCGCACTCAACAACCTCTCAACCGCCTCCACATTCTCCTTCTCCTTGAACCGCGCAAACGCGTCCAGGTAATCCAGCGTCTTGTTCAACACGTCGGTCTCATTACGATCCTTGCGGTCCTTCCGCCTCTTCAGCATCAACGCGTCAATCACCAGCGACGCTTCCGATAGCGTCAACGTGTCGACCCCTTCGAATTCGCCTAACCGCAGCACCGCGCCGGCTTCTTCCTCGCCCGGCGGAGGCGGCTTGGAGCGCGCTGTTGGGGCGTGGTTTTGATCCGACATCGCTTCTTTTTTCTTCTTCTTCGGTTCGCGTGTTTTGTTGTGGATGTGGGGGCAGAAGGAATGCCGAGATGAGCCGGGGGCCGTTGATGTATCGCGGCGTGCGGGTGCCGGATAAAAAGCTGTCGACTCTTTTTGCTCGTCGGTCGGAAGCCTGTTCTTCGGAATTTTGGCCCGGTGACAAAAGGAGGGACTCAAAGGTTTTCGAGAAAGCAGAGGAGCCTTGGCCGACGCGGTTCGCAGATCTTATAGCGAGTGTATTTAGCTGCCTCGCGGTCCGGGTGCAGCGTTGTGTTCGGAATTGTATCGTTTGTTGAGATGTCACGAAGAGGATGGATGCGTCAGTGTGTCGATGTTTCAAACATGAATACCTGCCATCATGGTTAGGTGGTTCTAGGCTGAATTCTCACAGTGCGCGCGACCTGAGAATGGGCCTTAGCCAGACTGTGTGGTCAGGGATCAGCTGCAGCCCCGTCAATGGCGGGGCATTGGGCCTGCGGCTCAACCGTCCATGGTGGGGGTCAAACTCTACTTCGTCTGTATGCTGACAACAGGGCTCCGATGTTTGTCGGTAGGTATGTAATAATGTGCTAATGTCTGGGCGGGAATCGAGATCGGAGACTCTCCCCGTATTCTAGCTTTATGTTTCTCATAACACTGTACGTAACCCCAACTAGGAAAGATTGAGCTCTGCTTCAGGGGAAACAATTGCTGACCTGGTTTCACCGCAAGAGAAAGAGGAGAGGTCTGCGCCCCATCCGTGATTCATTAACAGCTTGCATTGCGGCTCCGGTACCCCGTGTGGAATGCATTCTAGCTCTTGGCATCCTCACCATCCCACCACTCACAGGTATGGCTTACGCTGCGGAGTGATGTCAACTCCATGAGGAACAACACACCACGACCCCGGAACGGTGATAAGACCTGACACGGCCTCGTACCACTTCCACTCCACCTCGAGCCTTTGGGGGCGTACTCCTGTACTAGACCCATGTCCACCCCGCGCCCTTTCCCCCTAGAAACACTTCAGTTCCCACCCTCCTGACCCCCAACCCAGATTTCGCGCACTACCAGCTTCGGCCATGTTCCATTCCGCACCATTACCATTTGGTGAACTCCGCATCGAGATTGAAACTAGAATCCGTAGGGCAGTGCTGAAATCCAGTTGGGGGGCTATGTTCTCACTATTGGGCCGAGTCCGTGGCCGGAGTAATACCGAGCGCCGCATGGGGAAGCCTTCACAGGCTTTCCTACTGTGATGTAGGTTCAGGTATCGATTCTACAACGCCGAAAATACGAAGAGCTATGGAAATAGTGGGTTAGCAAAGGGTTGGTTCTAAAGTGAGAAAGGGGGGGCCAAAACTAGGACGGGGCGGAGCCTCGGAGATATCTAGGACTGCCACTCACATTATTGGTCGCAGCAATGGCAATACTGTCTTCGAAAGGATGCCAGCTCATGTGGAGGATCTTCTTGTTGAAGTCGATCTGGTCCGCATCCGTCTCTTTTCGCATCCTTTGGCCCTGACCTGGCGCAGACGGGCTCCCTGCCCGGGAGCCACCTTTCTTTCCATTTGCCGTCGGGCTCGCAGATGCGTTGATGGGTGTGGGTACCCCGACCTTCTTCGCCTTGAAGGCTGACTTGTCGGCCTGCAACACGACCTCCACCTCTTGCTCCGGATCTGACGGATAAATCATGAAGTTGTTGTTGTAGCTTCCCGTCATGACATTCTTGCCGTCGCCTGAAAACACTACCTCAAACTTGTCAAAAATGCTATCGTTCTCGTATGTGTCGCAAAGCCTGGGCCTCAAGTGCTCGTGAATCGGGATGGTTTTGATCGGCTGCCTTTCCATGTTTACGTCCCAGATTTTGACGGTCAGGTAGTCGCGGGAGAGGATGTACCGGCCATCGTACGAGAAGCGGACGTCGGAGATGGAGGAGATGATTTCGGAGAAGAACGACCTGGACGATGGGTCTTCTTCCTGTTCAAACACTGTGTGACCATATTAGTACACGCGTTGTATAATGTGGATACGAGGTGGTAGGCCATTGAACTGGTGGGTAGTATGGCGAGCCGTCCAACAGGGCTTGGTTACGGGGATTTGACCTACTCTTGGCATGCTGGTCGCAAAGGGCGCTCTCCCGCATATCGGCTAGCTTGATGGTGCCCTTGGAGCTGGCGTACATGAACCAGTTGCAGCTCATGGGGTGGAACTCGGCAGCTGTGATCACCTCAGTCAGCTCCTCCATGTTGGCTGGCTTGATGTCGACAATGTTGAAACTCTGGTCCTGAATGTTCAGGTTCCATAGGTTGATCCTCAAATCGTCACTGCTGATGAATGTCTCCCCATCACTGTTCACAGAAATACTGTTGATATGGTATGCGTGTGCATTGGCGTATGTCCGCCGGGGTACGGCAGCCACAACGGTGTCATGGTGGGTCATCCTGGGGAGCTTCAGGTCACCGGCATTGCGGAACTGGACGTTGGGTAGGGGGCGGGGGGGACCGCCTCCGCCCGCTATGCTCCCGGGGGTGAGGTCGTGAGAGAGGTTGTTCTCGGCCACAACCTTGAGAGACTTCTCAAACACCTTCCAGAGCTTGATCGTCTTATCGTTTGTTGAGAGCAAGTAGTGTGACGCATTTTGCCGTCGGCACCACTTGATCTTGTTGATCTTCTCCTCTATCTCGAGCGATTTGAGGTAATCGAATTCGGGCTCGTGTGACTGGAACTCGGTGTGGAACTTGTATTCGCAAGTCTTTTTCTAGTCGGGGTGTCAGCACCAGGAACAGGCAGGTGGGACGGTGATGTGTCGGGCGTGGGGTTCTCTCTCCCTCTCCCATTTCTCAACACTGACTGTTTCATTGCGCTCAAACAGAACCACACGGCCGCCCTTGTCGCCTGTCGCAAGGTAGTTGCCGGTGTGGTCAAACTCGACAGTGGAAATGATATCGGCTAGAGTGGAAAAAAAAGGCCGCAGTCAGCACAGGTCCCCATATCCGCCGCTTCCTAGTCCGCCAGGGAGGGGTTATTCGATCGGCGGTTTGCTGCCTGCTTAGATAGAGACGATGGTATCGTACCTTCTGTGATGTCTTCCACGTCCCCCTTATCACCAAAACACCTATTTCAGATGGTTAGCCTAAGGCGGCATATCGTGTCGTGTTATTCCCAAGTAGGACGAGATACCACGCCAAGCACGAGCTTGGGGTGTAGTGGGAAAAGCTTGTAAGGAACCGAGGGCCAGAATGACTTACTGTGTGAATTTCCATGTTGGTACGTTCGCTTCTGCGTCTACCATCTTGACAATCCTTGGGAGTGGACGAACGTGCGCCGATCTCTGACAGCAACGGGCACCGGGGAGGAAGACGGAGAGGAGGAAAGGGAGGGAAGAGGGACAAAGACAAGGGAGAGGAAGGTCGCCGGCGATTTGCTTCTGGAGCGACGCGTCAAAATCAAGTGTTCTGAGGGTCGTGTGAGGAATGATCCCCACGGGTTTAGGTTTGATGTCGGGGCGGTACGAAGGCGGGGTTCGACCAGTGTACTCGACAAGGGTCCGTGAGAGCCGGGGTGTGGGTAGCTGGAGCTAGCAAGATGCAGGGGATTCAGTTCTGCGGGCGTCGGAGAATCGGGGGCCGGACAAGAGGAGCTGAGGCTCGATTTTGTTGGTGGTGTAGTTTGTTGGCGGGGAGGGACGTTCGAGAGCGACTGTGCCACCTAGACGGGGTGGTTTGTATGCAGGACGGACGGGAGCGACGATCAGGTAAAAAAAAAACGAAGGCAAAAAGTAGCGGAGGGGATGGTCGGCCCTGGCAGCAAGCTTGGTCTCAAGAAAGGGTAGGTGCGGGGCAAGGCAGGTAGGATACCAAACAAAAATTGGGCCAGACGTGGAGAGGAAGACGTCTGTGACGACGCAACTGAGACTGTGGCCAGGTGAGGGCGCAGCTAGAAGGGCACGAAGGCTGGTGGAAACAGGTTGTTGAGCTTGAAAATGACGGGAGCCAGTGCTCGCTGTTGGCGCAATGGACTTTGTCTGATGGGTGCAGTGGTACGCCTCAAAAGCGGCCAGACTTTGTCCAGAGCCACCAAGCAGAATGGCCCAAGGGCAGGGGCGCACAGTGCGGAGAGACCGCTAAGCAGTACCAAATACCCGCTTTTAGCGACTCATCGAGCGGATTGATTGGCAGTCTCGCTGTGTCTTGCGCCTTGCGACGCTTTCATTCTCTTTGTTCCTCCTGAATGTTCTTGTCCACCAGTCCTCGCTAGTTAGAGGTCCCTGCCCAATCCACTCCCCACTGACGCCCACACTGATTGCCCACTGCCCGCTTCCTCTCTGTTTCCCGCGGTTCGGGAAAGAAGCCCCGGGGTAGGTGGAGCAATGGGTTGAAGCATGTGCCAAAGTCCCGGTCTGGGCACCTAGTTCTTTTATGAACTTCCTTTCTTCTCCAGGTCATTGACCAATTTCTGGAAGCTTGTCTGTGCTCTTAAATCGACCCGGCAATCTCAGCGGCACGATTCTCAACAAAGCGATCACCCATTGAGGCGCTCCGGCGAGAAGAGCGAGAGTCTAGGCCAGCAATCGCACTTTGCGCGTCTTCTTCGCTGAGTGGTCAGGCGAGCGCCGGGCAGCAACGCTTGTTCTCCCAACCGAATCGCGTTGCGCCATTCGTCTGCGACTCATGCGCCAGCAACGTGGACTCCTCCTGTCGGCTACCGAGTGAGGCTATTGCTTCGATAATTCCTGGACGGTTCTCATTGGCGGCGGCCTCGGCTGGAGTCCTGCTGACACTTACACCTAGGCCCAGGGTTTCGTGGGAAGATGGGGGACGAAGCAGCGAAGCAGGAACCGAAAGCCGGAAAGGGCAAGGCTGTCACAAGGCCGGGGGAGGGGGACGATGCGGCTGATTTGCAAGCTTCGGGGACGTCACTACCCCAGATGGTGCAGTCCGCGGCGTCCTTTCTGCTCTCGGGGCCGCCAGCCGGGAGCGGACTTGGGGCCAGCGACGAAAAGGGAGGCTCATCACGAGTCGGAGAGGCTCTAGCAAGGGCAGGCGAAAGCTCCGTCCAGCTGCGCTCCAACCTTCCAGCGCCGGGTGGTGCGACTCTGAGGTCGGGGCAGGCGCAAGATCATATTGCTCAAGAGGAAGCATCCTTCTCAGCCTTCCTCAACAGTGACAATGCACCGGCGCTGACGGTGCCGGAGGAGATGCAAAACGCGTGGCAGCCGGCCGCCCCTAGGAGTGCAATACCGGCGGCCGAACGGGCAGAGCAGCCGAACTCCCACTCAGTCGCGGAACAACAGGCGAGAGACGGGAACGATGTTGTCGCCATGCTGTCCGGGGATGGCGACCTTGAACAGGTGTTTGCAGAGGTCGGCGCGGCCCCGTCACCGAGCGACCTCGCAAATCTCCGCGAGGCGTTGTTCGGGGAAGGTGCTGAGAACCGCGTGCCTTCATCTGCGTGGGACAACGTACTCAACTTTATTCCTGAATACCTCAGGGCAGCTCCAACCGAAAGCATCGGCCCGGGAGACCCGGTATCCCAGCATCTCGGCACATCAAACACTGGAGAAGCCTGGGAAAGCTGGCTGGATCAGTGGTCCCGGGTGCTGACGAGCTACCAAGACGAGGTCTGGGGCGACCTTAATGCGCTTGTCGAGGAGGCTCGCGCCGAGGTGCAGCAGATAGAGGAGATCAAGCCGGGCGACAAGCCTATTGAACCAACGGCCTTGTTGCGGTTGAGAACCATTCTCGGTCACCTGCGCGGGCCGTGACGACCTCGGCCCGCCCGAGAACACCGGCCGGGATACACATCAACGTTGGGCCTTCTCCATTCTCTACTCCCACACATGTGGGTTAGCACTACGGGACCGCTTGCGACTGTCAATTCCTCCGCCCTCCCCTCCGTGTCCTCGATTCCATCCCTCATCACGTGAATTTGTGGCAGACGCGTCTCATTCCCCCTGCCGATGCGACTCGCGACAGGGCTGCCCCGCCCCTGGAAGCGTGGTGTTGCATTTTTACCCCGCTAGCGCCCACCATGAGCATGAGCAAGCAAGCTGGAGCTGGAGCCCGCTGTCCGCTGGCCGGGTGCGACTGCCCGTATTGGGTTGCTGGGGCAGCACCCGCATGACATCACTGGGATGTCTCTCGGCTCCTGTGGTTGGTCAGGCACCACCACACCAGCAGACAGAGCTCCCAAGCTTCCAACCCCTCCACTCGCAGCCCTTCCGCCGAGCGCCCATCTTGTCGTTGGACAAGCCAACCTCGTCGGAAGACTTCCATTTGGGGGGCTGGGGAGTCGCTTTGTTGTACAAACCCTTTCGGGGCTTCTTTTACGGACTGCGCTATTCGGCACACCGCCCACCCTTGTGCTAACTAATGGGGAAAAGGTGCTCACAGTTTTTGCCTCTTTGTCTGCTGTGGAAGGAATTTGCAGTGCCGCCCAGCCACAGTCCAGGAGCGAATACAATTGGTTATTATCGTTATCATCGTTGTTGTCGCTGTCGTTGTTGCCGATTGTCCGATGCGACCAGAGCAGTTTCTCCTTTTTTGACAATCTTTTCCACCTTGTTTCAAAACCATTGAGGCCTTCACCTCTCAATCGCCCAAACGCCCTCATACTTGCCGCATCTACAAACAAGCCTCCAAACCCCTTGACCCCACGCCCCGCATTTCATCGTCTGGTCCCTACTACCCGTATGAGGGCGAGGATGGACACCGGACGATCACCACCATATGTCCGAGCTTCGGCCGCGAGCAACGGCAGCCGGCCGCTATTGCTGCTGCTACTAACCCTCGCGGCATGGCCGTCGTCTGTTTGCGCCCGTGTACAACAGCCGTTCCAACCTGTTCAGACAGCCGCACCGGCGGCAGTACGAGCAGCAGTACCACCAGCCCACGCCGTTGCCTTCGCGAAGCGCCAGGAATGCCTCACCAATTTCTTCAGTTGCGCCGACCAGGGGGCTGTTTTCAATGGTGTTTGCTGCCAAAATGGCCAGCGGTGCGCTCTCGATGAAGCGAATAGCCCCGCCTGCTGTCCGTTCAAGTGAGTGGCTTACTTTCATTTTGTGAAAATGTAACTCCTACATGATATTCTTGTTCAAAGTGGGAACACTATGAAACAGGAGATGTACATATGTAGACACACACACCCATACACCCGCACATACAAACAGACGTACATACCAATGTACATACATATACATATTGCGTCTATGTGTCTGCGTGTATGAAAGATGGTACAAAATCGCTAACACCCAATTTCTCTCCGCAACAGCGCAGTATGCACCGGCACCGCACCAGCAACCTTCGTCACACCCAACCCAGCAGACGCCACCACCGCCGTCTCCTTCGTGCCCAATTCCTTCTTCTCCTTCCCCTACATCGCCACCTCCTTCGCCAACCCAGGCCACTGTTCCGCCGCTGTCAGCCAGTGCAGCGCCAACTTTGCCGCTTGTACCGCGCAACTGGGCTCAGACAGCGGGAACGGCGGTGGATATGCCGTCACTGTGGTCGTCCCGGGAGGAGGGGGGACAACGGTAGCGCCCGCAAACGGTATCAGTGTAGATGCCGCTGCAGTCACGAGTATTTGTATGTCTTTATCCTTTCTCCTTTCTCTCGGCCCGACTCGCGCCGTTCGTTTTCTCGGCGAAATTATTCGAGAGCTTTCAGCTAACCCTGACAACAGGCAACAGTCTCTCCATTGAAGCTTGCAGCGGTCTCCAGCCCAGTATGTGCACCAGGTCCGGCACCGCCGCAGACGGGTTTTACTTCGGTACTGGCGGCGGCAACGCCGGTGCGAGACCGACACCCCCGCCGGCTGCCGTGGCCATGGCATGCGCCGGGTTGGCGGGTGCCGTTGCTGCAGGGGCTGCTGGCATGGTGATGCTCTGAGTGTGCTCCATTCCTTATTTCCTAGTTTGACAAGGAACTATATGTGGATGGGAAGGCGTTCACAATCTTCCCTCAGGGGTTTATGACGCTGGGAGGGTGGAGGTTGGGTGTTAATGTTGCGTGAATCGACACGAGGGGTCTAAGAGTAGGCAACTTGGTACATGTATTTCTCTCCCTAGTTCACCTTGCCGTATATATTCCGGTGGCTTCCACCTACGAAATCACGAGTACATGATATAATACCCCTGTCGACGGTTCCAAACATCATCTACCTACCTGTGTACACCAAGTCACTCAGTATGTACACCCAGTGATATACTGTGTGGGAACTTTTGCAAATAGTCGTCCTTTTTCAAATGATATTTTAAGCTCTAGCGAAAATGCCGCCCCCAAATTACCGACCCAGATAAATCCCAAGGGACCCGAGCCTCTGTTGCCTCCCGTTGATCCTTCTAATTGTTGCCTCGCCAGTGTACATACTAGATAAATTATAAGATGCTAGCCAAGCCCTAAGTTGAGCCGGCCGTCGTAAACGCACTTTGCCAACCGAGCCCCAAAATAGCCCTTCCGTGTTTTATGCGCCGTCGCTCGACATTCAAAAAAAAAAAAAAAGAAAGGAAAAGAAAGAAAACGAGAAGAAATCAGAACCCAGGAGCATAAGAAAATCCGATACTAAACCGGATATGCGAGTAGTAAACTTTCCAACCACCAAAATTATCCCGTAAAAAGGCCCGGGTAAAGAGAGAGAAAAAAGTTCCCAATAGGGACACGATATCTCTCCTACCGCCTTTCATCCACTACCTCAGCCGAACTCCCCAACAGGTCGACCTCTGGATCAACTCGGTGAACACTACCCTGGTGGACAAACCCATAGCCAGCCGGCGTGCTGCTGCTTGAGTCCTGCAATTCAACCTGGATGAACTCATCTGTGAGCCCAGCCGACGAAGTTGAACGCCGTTTCTGGGACGGTGTCCGCTCAAACGGTAAACGTGCCGCCGAGCCTGCGACCGCTGGGGTGAGGGTCATCGACGCGCCCTCAGATCCGGACGGTTGTCCCGAGTGAGATGCTCCCTTTGACAAACTAAGCCAGGAGTGCCGTTTTGAGCTCTTTCGTGGAACATCCGGGACCGGTAGCTCATCATCTGCGTCGTCGTTGTCCCGTGCTTGGCTGCTGCTCCCTGCCTGTTCCTCACCCGCCCCCGCGGCCTCATTTCTCGGCACGACCGGTGTCGAGGAAGTGATTGGTGAGCCCAACTCGTCACCACTATCGTCCTGGGACCTCCTCCCACTGTTGAGTGGTTCTTGTTCCGGCGACGTGATTTGCGCTGGCTGCTTATTCTTCTTGCCTCTGCCGCTTTCCTCCTCGTCTGATTCGATAGGCCCGTTCCGCAGGACACCCATCGCAACCGGTATGCCTTCGGGAGGGGGATCATCCTCAAAATCTCCAGCCCTTGCCCGCATAGCCGGCGGCATGCGTGCGCTCCTCACAACCTCAAAGCCCTTGCCCTTTTCCTTTCCCTTCTTGCCAAACATCCCCCAGAACCAGCCCGCCGCAGCAGAGGCGGCCGGCCGGGTGGGGTCAGCAGGACCGGTCCTGAGCTTGCGGTTGGGTGCGTCCGAGTTGAGGCGCTGGCCCCGGACTCCGTAGTAAAAGTCAACCTCGCGAGTCGAGTAGTCGGCCCGTGGAGCAAACGGGGGCGTGTACGGCGCCGGAGTGGCGTCCCTGGATATTTGAGCCCCAATCTCCGCAGGATCTCCAGCCAAACCGCCACCAGCTCCTCCTCCTTGACTAGCACGTTTCTGATTCCGTTCTCCGGTCCGCAGCGGGGTAGCTGCTGTACTAGAAGACGGGGAAGCCGGCGTCTCTAGGGTAGTACGCCGCCTCGGAGGACGATAGTAAGGATCCGGAGTCTGCATACCAAAGGGGTCATGTTGGCGATGCGCATGCCGTGGCGTCGATAGATAAGACAGGTTGCTGGCATCACCAGGAGTGGTCGGGGTGAAAGAGCTCGCGCCACTATCAAAATGGCGACCAGGGGTGTCAAGACTCAAGTTATCCAGGACCGATGAGCTTCGTTGGCGGCGATGCATCATCATCCCAAAGCTCCCCGCGGACTCGCTCCGTACGCGGCCGTTGGGCGCCATGTACCCGGCTTTGGACACTTCGTCGGCATCGAGCATGGCCGAACTGGATAGCTGGCTGTGTCGAGATGGGCCGTTCTCCCGCCGCGACATACGCCTCGACAGCTGCCTCATCCCAAAGATTTTGGACAGCGCGCCCCTGGTCTGCCCTCGGATATCATCACCGCCTGCTCCGAGCATGCGGGCCAGGACTTCCACCATGGTCTGTACCGCATTCAAAAGGAATCCAAGAACAAGCACGCCGGCATGGGTGACGAGCAGCGCATAACCAATCCAGCCCTTTGGCCCTTCTGTTACCCCTAGCGAGGGAACAAAGGCAACCATAAGAAGGACGGTGATGAGACGAAGTGCGGAGAACAAGGTGTGATAGGCGTTCATGGAGGTGGGAGAGTGAAAAGGTCGGAAAGCGTGGAGTGTAAGGATCTGTATCACCTCGCAGATGGCCAGCAGGATCACCTGGGCAACCCCGGCGGGCTGCACGGCTCCTATGGCAATGCCACGAATAAATGTGAGGAGCACGGGGATAAGCGTGAAGGCCGCGGCTTCGTCCGAGTACGTATTGTAGAGAGGCCCGTAAAGGAGAAGGGTGGGCAGGTCGTCGAATAGAAACGCCCTCGGTTTCGTGGCCGCAACGAGGTAGAGTAGCCGAGCTGCAAACCCAACGATAAGGGCCAGCGCGAGAGCCGCGAGAGCAACCGTGTAAGCGGGCGATCCACTGGCAACAACCAGCTGGAAGGTTGATAACGCCACGATCGGCAGGAGAAAATAGTTAAAGACGATCCGGATGACATTGCCCAGCGTAAAGGGGATATTTTTGGCGCGAAGGTCCTCCTCCGGGATTTTCTTCAGGAAGCGGTACAGCCACTGGACGAAGAAGCCAGCCTGGAGGATCACGATCATGCCCCCAATGATGACGAGCAACCACACCACCATACCGGCCCAGATATCGCCGACGTTCCCCATACCGACTAGCTGCGCAAGCTTCTGCAAGCCGTAATTCCCCTCCGTGACGTAGATCCCATCCTGCACGCTGACCCAGCCCGGTTCCTTGGTAACAAAACTTTGGTTGAACATGAGCGCCGCCCACGACCCCTGGCTGACAATAGGCTGGTAAAATCCGGGGTAATTCAAGGTCAGTCCTCCGGTGAGAACGACAAACTGGATGTACTGCAGGCAATCCCCGAAGCCGGGGGTAACAAGTCGAAGCAGGTCCGGATCGCGGCCGTAGTTGGAACTCCAGTGGAAGATATCAGCGGCGCCCCAAGGGCTGAATATGCCGGCAAAGACGGTGGCGGCGCCGACACACAGCAAGACAAGCAGAGGCAGGAACTTGAGAAGCCACGCCAACTGGCCTAGCTCAGGCGTCACCGCAGCCGAAACACAGCCAATGTTGGTACCCTTGACGTCCCCGTAGATGATGATGAAGGTAGCCGTGAAGGAGGTGAAGGCATAGGACGAGTAGAAGTCGTTCGTCAAGGTCACTGAGGGTAGTACTGACTTGAGAGAACTATACACCCGCGGGGAAACCGGCCGGAGCAAAAAATAGTCAGCAATCTGCGACACTCGTCCCCCCTGTCACACGCGCAAATCACCCAACCTACCCAGTATCTACGTCTTTAAAAACCGGCCCAAGCGGACAGGAAGCGTTGGTCAGCGATGTATTGCAAAAATTGCTAGTCTGGCTCCACGGCTCGTAGGTCAAAACCTCGACCTTGCTGTGTAGTGTTGTGAGCTTGGGCTTCGGCACATTTGGCTCGGGCTCGTCGATAATCTTGCCGTCCGTCTTGCTCGGGTTCGTCCAGTCGGGGCTATCGGGCGGCGGCAAAGTAACGTCAGTGAAGGCACCCGTCACGTTCCCCCACATCGTGACGCGGAGAGTGTGCTTTGGATCGTCCGCGTTGAACGAAGCGTCGACCCACCGGGGCACCCATTGCAACGGGGCCGGCACATTGTTGATGTAGGTCTCGGACAGGCAGTTTTCAAACGGCACAGAGACCGCCGCAACGGGTTGGGTCACGAGAGTAGGTATCAATATCGACGAGATAAAGGGAACAAGGACGGAAAGGCGAGGCAGTTGACCCCGGGGCCGTTTTCGGAGCTCAAGGCCCTTATCATGGGTACTGCGGGATAAGGGCGAGGTGGAAGCAGCGAACGATGACAACGAGGATAACGATCGCATCGGGGGAGTCTCGGACGGCGGCGAGGGGCGCCAGGGCGTGTCACCGGAAGGCCGATGCCCACCGCGGCGATCGCTACGGTGGGCACCACATTGTTCGGGCTCAGATACGGGGGCCGGCGTGTCGGGGGCATCCACCACCGGCATTGTTGAATCGCGGTCGAGGGCCGGGGGATAGCAGGCTCGTCGACTGTTGGTCAACTCGGAGCTGATGTGAGACGGGGGGGTCACAAAACCCAGCTTGGTGGGCAACGGCGTCGTGATGCTCGCTCCGGACGGGAAAGGTTGATGGGTGGCAAGATGGATGAATGAGCCCGGGGGGCAATGATCCGGGGAGAGGAACAACCTGGAAGCGGGAGCACAAGCGGCAGCCCTACGAGCAGTGCATCTTGGGTGAAAAGACCCCTCGGACCGCAGCGCCTTGACGCACAAATAGGTCCCGGCGCAAGTCAAGTTCAATGGCCCGGACGTTGAAGCGGAGCAGGTGGTTGCAGCTGAGGGTGCTGGGGAGGGAGCTCGGGCGGCCGTCGATCTCGTACTGGACCCGGATGGAATCAAAGAAGTGGAATCGACTAAAAAAAAAAAAAATAAGTTAATGTTGCGGACGCCCAAGGCGACCTGAGGCCTAGGCGGTGGTAGGGATGGGTAGAATGGGGAAAGTGCAGTCGGGGGCAATGGGCCCCGACCCGACCCCCAAAGATGCACCTGCTCCACCCCCCATGCAACACCTGCGCAGCGCCCGGGCTGCGCTGGAACCGGCCCAATTGGCCCCGTGGAATCGGTGGTTGGCTTTGGGGCTGAACGAGAACGCGGAATGCCAAGACCAAGGATGACGTCCGCTGGCCAGGGTGGGGTGCAAAGCAGCGATGCTGCCGCAACTAAGCCCCATTCTCCGCAACACTAACACGAGAAGCAACGGGACATAAACCCCTGCAAAACGCGATTGCTGATGCACTGCCCGCCTCCCATTACCCTCACACTTCGTTTTTTACCTTTTGAATAGGTGGTCAACCGTCAATGGACACCGAGAAATGTCTGTATGGACGACACCGCGGCCTCGAAGCCGTGAAGAGGAAAGAAAACCTAGCATGAAGAGGAGAACCGATGGAGCGAAGAAAACACCCCTCAATTCCTCCAAGTCCGCCGCTGTGCAGCAAACCCACCAAACCTGCAGAAAACCTCGTGTCAACCCCAACAGTTGGAACCCATACACCACACCCACCCACAACATCCCCAACTAGCTCGTAGTAAACACTACGGGAACCCCCCAAGACAAGGTGTATTCTCCCTTTCAGCCCATGTTCACTTCACCGTTCAACCGTTCAACGTACCTCCCCTCCCCCCCTTCGAAAATTCCTTTCTTTCGTCTACGATTTCAGGAGCAAGGCAAGATGGGGAAGACTGGGAGTTGTAACAGGAAATTCGGGCTCGGATTGCTGAACTGGTATGAAAGTAGGCTGCTTGATACCTACCAAGAAATGCATAACTTGAACACTAATGCCAGGGGCTCAGCCAAGGCACGAGGTAAGTTCTCCAAGTCTGCCAGTTGACGGTTTACCTCGTTGCCGAACTGCCGGAAGTCGTGCTATTAGTGAATTTTAGAAATCACAAAAGTAATTCAGCAATTTCTTATTCTAAGCCTCTCACTATCATAGTCATTAGACCGCAGTGCCTCTTTTAGCAATCAACTTTGTTTCCGAATGTAAAAATAGCAAAAGCTTGTCAACCACCTCTATAGTCCGCCCAGACGCTGAGGTTTCGTCCATTTTGACCTTCGTCCCGGACGCTGCGCCATTGACAAAGTCCCGCGTACATAGCACTTGTTACAGCGCAGGATTCATCGTATCAGCCAAGATTCCTAGTACAGCGTGTGTCCACAGAATGTCCATGACCATCGTGGACATGATCTTCACCTGCCGCGCGCAATACGAGCACCACGTTCAGCTACCAGAATTGATGAAGCAACCGGGCTCCCGCTACTCGAAACCCGGTGTTTTGCCGCCGTCAGCCAACCCTAGATGTATGACTATTATAAGAGCAGAATAATTCTCAACCCTTGGCGCTAGCTACATCTTTGATGCGTGCCAGGAGAGGTTCAACTAGCTCAGCGATGCTGTGAGATTCAGCTCCTTCGGCAAGGAGCCCATCAGTTCTCCGTCAACCAACCAACTATCGAACCGAGATGCTTTAGGAATGAGCTGCTCCAAGCTGGACGAGTCCGTTGTCATACTCAACAGCAGAGCACACGTCTCGCAGTCGCGGGGAGTCACTTCTAGGGGCAGTTGTTCCGTGTTGAGCCGCCTAAGTGATTTATGCCCGCTGTTCGTCACGAGACGCCCATGGGTAATGAACTGTGCTCTTGGGTCGTCTGATGGTAGGCGGGGTTGCGCTGTACTACCATCGATGGTTTCCCTAGCTCTAGTTCCCATTGTGCCCTCCTCCGTGTTGATAACACTTGGAAAAACACGCGGATAGGAAGCAGGGACTTCACGGGTGTGTATCTGGCGTCGTTTCTGCGTGGGACTGGCCGTTGTAACGTCCAAATCATACGGGTCCGCTAGCTTTGTCCGCGCCGGGCCTCCTAGGCGCTTTCCCACCCGTGAAGTACCGAACTCCCGCTGGGTTGGGTTCAAGTGGGTTTCGAAACGGGGTTCTGGCCGCTTGCTGTTCCCGTTAAACGATATCTGGGACTGGACTGACCGAGCTGACCGAGCCGCGCCCCCCATATGGCAAGGCTCCCTCGAGCCATTCTCTCCGCGGTCATACCCAGGTGGGAACGACGTTGGGGGGCTTCGGAGTCTCGAGCGACGGGAAGGTACGCCCTGCCGCCCTCGTGGCTGAGTAAAGCCTATCCTAGGTCCTCGGGGCTTGTGTTCGAATAAGTCCCGTAGCGGCCGACCCTGGGACGCCGGATTTCCAACTTGACTAGAATGGCCCGTTCGGGGTTCCGGTTGGCTATTTAGGGAATGACGTTGCCTCCTTTCTGGTGAAGCTCCGTCCTGGCCGTGTATTGCAATGACATGCTCTTGCGGTTGACGCTCAACACTATGTTGCGACTGGGTACTTCCAGTTACAGGCGTATCGTGTTTGTTGGTGCCAGTGATTTTGGCGAGAGACCAAGGGTTTAAACCTTCTCTCAAATGTGCTTCGTTGTTCCGGTCACCAATCTCATTCTCAATGTCGGCGCGAGGTTGCGGTTGGCGGGTTGCTCGGGTTTCAAGGTCGTCGCCGTCATCACCGTCGCTCATCCCATCAACTCCCGTAGACATATCAACTCTCCATCCCGGAGTAGCATCCTCGTACCGTCAGTATTTTTTGTGTTTATCTGCACAACGGTTAATACTTCTTACCTGTTGTTGTGGAGACGAACACTGGGCTGGAGTTCCCAGCGCTGCCTGAGCACGCCGCTCAACCTCTATCAGCGAGGTAGCTTCGGATGTTGTGACCAGTGGGTGCTGCCCGCCGGTGGCATAGACAGTTGAAATGAACGCATCGAATTGGTCGAGTATGTGTTGTTCATCTCTAAACAGCACGTCATCCTTGGAGGCTTCAACGTTGACATCGTAACTGCCCGGCGGCAGCCGAATATTTAAGACAAGGAATGGATCTCTCACGGCCGATCCGTGCCGGCCCCCAACAAAGTGTCGTTCCAGATGCTGTTTAAAAAGAGAAACGAGCTTTTTAGGAGTTCCTCGTGTTGCAGAAATGGGACGATTATTAATAGACAAAAACGCCCCTCCGGTAATCTTCAGAAAGTCGGCCGTCGGTTTCGGTACAAGTGCCTCGAACATCGCCGTGACCGGTGTTTGCGCCGCCAGCTGATCAGGATTGCTCATATCTGCGAGAGGTCCACTCTGCTGCTGAGGATTCGAGCTGGAATATACTTGATAAACGAATTGTGAGGCCAGCTCAATGCCGAAGAGCTGGGTGGCTGCTTCCTTGATACCCCCATTTGAATGTGGTGAATAAGTCCACGACAAACCAGGGGTTTTGATAACGGCAAATCGTAGTCTTATATCAGGCTCTGCTAAGGCATAAGACTGAAGGATATCCTTGATTCTCGCCAAGTATCTGTGTGATTCCTTGAGGGTGATCTGTAGTCTGACAGGGAGATGGGAGAACAGACCAGTGACTGTGACCGTGGTGCCAACTGGGGCAGCAGCATGCCGCTGTGTACTAACACCGCCCTGCTTAGCGAGGCAGACCATGGTCGCAACAGGTTCGGATGAGACTCGAGTCGTAATCGAAACATTTCCCAGCGCCGTGATGCTCGCCAGGGCCACCCCACGAAAGCCTAGTGTTTTCCCACCTAGAGTGTCGAGTTCCTCGAATGACCTGATCTTACTGGTGTGGCCTAGCCGACCAAGGCAGTCAAATTCGCGAGTATTGATGCCATGACCATTGTCCCGGACTTCGATCTTGTCCACAGTGTTTGACGAGGTTAGTACGTCAATCGTCGTAGCTCCCGAGTCTATGGCATTGTCCAACAGCTCTTTGAGCACGGCGACGGGACTGGTGATGACAAGAGTCGAGCCCAGCCTACGGACGCTATCTTCGGGTAAGGGTAGAATTGCCATGTCACTCAAAGGATGTTGAACAAGACGAGAATAGTAGGACAGGTAAGCAGCCCTGCAGCCGCCATAGATACTGAAGATATCGTAATGCAACGGACGATTGGCAGTCGTGAAGGTTAAGTAGGTACCTTCGTACCTAGAGGGGTCTGTAGATAGAGGTAGATTGGTAGACACGTATGCAGGCACCTTACCTTACCCACGGACATATCTCTACCACCCATATCCCATCACGACCACAAAACTTTTACATTGTGCCGAGGTCAAATGTGCAGGAGCGATGGAGTTGAATTCTGGAGAGGAAGGAACTGCTGGCATAGCCGTTCTTCCGTTCATAATTCCTTCCTGGGCCTAGTTGCATTTCCCCGTCGTTAAACATCGACAAACAAAAAACGGTATAGCCGGTACAAGCCAGACACTTGTCATCCGAGAATCACTTCAAAACTTAGTAAAATTACGGACATCGTGGATCTTGGTTCGCTCATGTGGACTGCTTGGCCTGACCAACGATGATGCCACTGGTGGTGACTCAGCAATACCTCGTGTACATGTAACAAGGTCCCGAGAAAAAATAAGTGCTTGCTTGAGTGGGGCCGACAGATCGAGAGCCCCTCCAAGCTCACCCCGCCAATATTCAACTTCAGGGAACTCACCTTCATAAATGCCCATTGAGCAATCGACTTTCTAAGTGACCAATCCGAGAGACTAGTCAAATTATATCATCTTGAATTTACAACATATAAACCTCTCCTTGCTCTGATCTTCCCACCGACGCAATCAACATGCATAACAAAGGTCCTGCCCCTCAGCTTCACGACGGTAGCAACCTGCGCATCGGCATCGTGCACGCACGCTGGAACGACACGATCATCGACCCTCTCCTCACGGGGGCGAAGGCGAAATTGAAGGAATGCGGCGTTAAGGAGTCCCATATCGTGGTCCAGACGGTCCCGGGCTCGTGGGAGTTGCCAATTGCCGTTCAGCGGTAGGTCAGCTCCGAAAGGGACTCGCAAGGTTCCTCTCGCGACGACAAGCTCGTGTGCATCATCTTACATCGCCCATTTCCTTTTGAATATATCTGGTTTCGAACTGCCCATAGTTTTGTACTAGCTCGTCGTACCACTTGTATCGAACTGTCAAAGCATACCTCCCCTTTACCTCTCCATACTAACATCCACACTCAGCCTCTACGCCGCTTCCCAAGTGCAATCCTCCTCCTCCGGAGCCGGCGCCTCAGCAGGCGACCTCCTCGGCAGCTCCACCACCGACCTGACCGCGGATATAACTTCTGCATCCACCTCGGCGGCCACCGGCCCCTTTGACGCCATCATCGCCATTGGCGTGCTCATCAAAGGCGAGACCATGCACTTTGAATATATCGCCGGCAGCGTATCGGACGGCTTGCAACGCGTCTCGCTCGACACCGGCGTGCCCATCATCTTTGGCGTGCTCACTGTCCTAACGGATGAGCAGGCGAAAGCCCGCGCGGGGTTGATTCCGGGGAGCCACAACCATGGCGAGGATTGGGGCCTAGCGGCAGTTGAGATGGGTGCAAAACGCAAGGCTTGGGCGGCAGGTACTATTGAGTGATCATTTCAGCCATTATGGTTGCAATAGGAAATATGGAGGCTTCTGGCGGCGCTTTTGTATCTGATGTCTACCCAACTGACTCTTTTTGGTGCGGTCCGAACTCGAGCATGGAGGAACAACAAGCTAAGAAGATGGGAGACCTTCCGAAACGGTCACTGCTTGTATATTGATTGTGGTATTACCAGATTAGCGTATCAAAAATGCTATGTCTATCATACTCCTCCGCAGAAACACCAGTGAAAGACAGGCCATGGAGCCGCAAAAAAAAACTCTCAAAAACTCCCTAACTGGCACACAAGCCAAGGCCCAATAAACAAGGAGCGGTTGGGGGAATATACGATGCAAAGTCAACCATCCATCAACCCATCCAGGCAGATTCCCTCGGAGATACCCCCAAACTTACGCCCGCTTGTGGTCATGCGAGTCGTCTCCTGAATCACCGAGGTTTCATACCGGACCACCAATCATTTGTCTCCGCGACACAAAAATACCTGGGGGCACCACCTCCCTCCTATTCACCCCCACAACGAACAAATGATCACCTCAGGAATGAACCTAGGTCGTCGCCAATGGACTTCTTAGCCCTCCACAACGACTTCTTCTTCTCCCTCTTCGCTTTCATGGCCTCCCACCCTTCTTCTTCGTCGTCGTCGTCCGACGCGGCACCAGACTTAGTGATCGAGATACTGGGTTGCGGAATGGCTCCAGACATAGTTGAGGATTTCCGCAAATGGCTCGACGTGGCGGCCGCCGCTGGCACGTGCGAAACGGGACGGTAGCGGCCCGGGAGACCAACATTGCTACGTTCCGAAGGGGCGATAGATGGCGCGTAGGTACCGCCTCCCTGGAAGCGAATAGAAGGAGCGAAGCCAGCGGCGGGCTGCGACGGTTGGATCCAGGATGCCGAACTTGGCTGTACCATGCTCATTGTACGCATCTGCGCATCGCCTCGGCCAAAGGATGAGTCGGCCATCGGATCAAGACCCATGAACGAGTGCCGCATATCGGGAGTCTTAGCACCGATAGTGGGGGAACCCATGGGGCCTAGGTGTCCAAGAGGGGGCGTCGCCAAGGAGCCCCCTGGCATGCCCGGAGCACCGCCATTTTGACCTGCAACCATCTGCATGAATTGCATCTGCATCTGCATAAACTGCTGCATCTGCTGGTTCATGTTGATCTGGGCTTGGTCGCCAGGCGATAACATCGACGGGGGCGGGTGGGCCGGATACATCATGTGAGAAGGAATTCCAGCAATAGGGTCGTAGCCGGCCGCTCCAGACATCTGGCTAGGGCTATCCATTAGTGGGCTGCCTCTCCTCAAAGCGCGGTTGCGCTCCTCGTTGGCGATGACGCCGATGAGACCTCCGGGCGGCACTGCCGAGTTCGATAGAGTCGGGGTAGGACTGCCTCCACCGAGGGCCATACTCTCCCGGACCGAGTTCCGGACAAGGCCGGCACCAACAAAGGGGTCTTTGGGCAAATTTCTCGCAAAAGCTGGAAGGCGCGGGTTCGCCGGGGGAGCTTGAGGGTCGCCGACGACGGACATGGGCCGCTGATAGCTCGGCTGCTGCGACGCCCGCAAGTTTGGGTTCGACCCCATGGTGCTTAGTCGGTTTGGGGGGCGGTTCTTAGCCGGAAAGCCATGCGCGGCGAGAATGGCCAAGGGTATCTCTTCGTCTTCGTCGGAGTTCTCGGAGGTGTTGTTGCCCGTGTTAGGACTCGTCGCCTGAGTGGCATTCGGTAGATTCGGGGTGCTGAAGGACATCCGGAAACCAGGCCGCGAGGGCGGTGGACCGCCGGCGGACTCACCCGTCACCTTCATCATCTGCTGTCGGTAGACGGTCATATGAGCTTCTTGCTTCCGCCTCTGCTTAGCCTGCTGCTTGGCCTTCTCCAAATCGTCCTCCTCGTCCTCGTAGTTATCTTCCTCATCTTCATCAGTGGCTTTGCTGCCAGGCATAGCCGTCAATTGGCGCTCTCGGTCTTGCCGTTCCTTGTCCTTCCGATACCGCTCAAACTCGGCAGGGGTCATGACTTTGTGGCTGGCTGACTGACTACCGTACCTTTGGTCGGCGGAGTAGCGGTTGGCATGTCGCGTCGAAGGGGTTGAATCGAACATACTATCGTCCTCTCCATCTAGATCACTCCCACCCCTACGATACCCGGCTCCAGGAGAGGGCGAGTCTGAGTTGCCCGGGCCCGTCATAAACATTGACACCGTCGACAGGGAATCCTTTAGCAGCTTCGCTTCCTCGTCCTCCGCGTCCTCCTCCGAATTGCTCCTCTGGGCAGCAAGGGATGGTCGCCTTGGACCTTCATCGGGTGAAACCTGGGAACGTTGTCCTGGGTGGGTTGGAGACACGTGGGGTGGGACTGGAGGCGTAATGAGTTGTTCATCGGAATGCTGGCTACTCCATGAGCGAGTAGGAGCCTCGGCTCTGGCCGTCGTGCTGACGTTCGGCGGTGCCTGTTGGATCGGACGGGCTACTGTGAGTGATCGTGGAGTGGGCATGTGGCCCGAAAAGCGACCCTTCTGCACGGTTGCCGTGCTGGCATGGTTGTCGTTGTCCAGTACCAGCTGCCCAAAGTCACCACCCAAATCCAAGTCCTCTTCCATCTTAGGGGATGTGACAGTTGTGGAGGTCGAGGAAGTAGGAGCCCTTGGACGCCCACTTCCGGACGGCCGCAGTTCCATGTGAGGCGGTGTGGCCGGCGGTGACTCTTGTATTGTTGGGTGAGGGGGCAATTGCTTCTTCTGTCCTCCAAAGGAAAATGTACGTCCCGCGGCCTTCAAAAACCCGCCGGGGGTAGATTTTGGGATTGGAGGCACGGCAATGTTGGCGAACTGCTTTCTCGGGGCACCACGCCAGTCTTCTGTAGCCCCCGCGTCAGCAGACGATGGGGTGGTCGAGGCGTTGCTATCGCGCGATGAGTTGTCCGTCAAAGTAGTCTTCGTTGTATTCGAGGATCCGCTTCCACTGCCGGTAGCCAGTCAGTAACAACGCCCGGGACGGGTTCACGAATCCCCCCATGTCTCCCGCACGACCATACAAGGGGCGAAAGGGGGCCTTTGCACATACCGGTTCGGCTTTAGGTCCGCAAATATGTTGTCATCCACCGTGACATTAGAGTCGGTTGATCTGTGGATGGAATGTGTCGTTGTGGTAAGCCTTGCCCCGCCGTCAAACGTTTTGGGGCCAACAACTTCAGTTCGCTCAAGCACGCGAAACGAGGGACCTGTCACTGCCGCATTTTCCAAGTTATCGGCTGTGGACTTGCGCCTGCCGAACGCGACCGAAAATCTAGGCATGTAGGATACTGGCGCGCGACGTTAGTCCCGGGAAACAGGTGTTCTAATTAAGAGCCGAGTCGGCGGGCCCGTCCGGAGGGCAGCACAAGGCAGCGCGGAGGCCTATCTGGCGTGGATCGAGCGGCTAAGCGAGGGCGGGAGACCTGTGTGTCGCGGGGACACCCGGGCTTGTGGTCCGGTTTCCCTATTTGGGAACCGTGGGCCTGTACAGGAAATGAGGTGGTTAGCTGTGTCGAAATTAGTGACTCGGATGACTGAAAGGTCTGATTATGAGCTGGTGTGATGTTAAGTGTATTTTTTTGCCCCAAGAATGGGGGCGTATCAAGAGAGCCTGGCTGAGCACTGGAAAAGGAAGCAAGGGGCACTAGTGTCGATGCCACCACCAGGACATCATATCCTGTCCTCCCTACGGAACGAAAGGCAACGTATTGCCTCGCCCTCGCGCCATCTCCCCCCATTTGGTGGTCCCAAAACGGTCCGTCGTCGCTGCCCGTGCGTGAAGAAATGACAAGGGAAGAACACGACTTTGATCGGACATAATTCTGACGAACAGCACAGAAGGGATCACTCACGAATTTTGTGAACGTCGCTCAACTGTATAGGAAGTGAGACGAGGGACGCTGTCAAGCCCCAGGGGAACAACCTGGCCAAGACCGGTATGTATAAAACGAAATTGTGTGTCGTGGGCTCGTCACAAATGAAAGCTCAAGATTGGTGCTGAGTACCTGATACAAAAGGAGCTGGAGATCGATGTGCGAGTTGAGACCGGTGATCCGGGATTGTGGAAATTCGCTGAGACGAGCGACGGTCGGTTGTTGCTGGTGAAAGTGGGACAAAGCCTAGCACGACAGCAGGGGAGAGAGGTGGAAAGATGCAATCGGCTGTGTGGAATTAGAAGCAAAATGAGCTGGCAACGGGATGCAAAACCGGGGTCATGAAAAGAAGACGACCAAGAAGAAGAAGGGACGTTGGGTGAGGATAGCACGAGGCGACAACGAGAGACGAGAACAGTCGGAGTCAGGAGGGAGGATGGAGAAGGAGGCGGTTGGGCGAGAATTATTTTTATTTCGCTTGGCCACCAGCCTGGAAGCGTCGCACTGGGACTATTGGGACTGGAAGTGGAGAGCAGAGAAAGGCGCTACTGGGAAAGGGCCAGGGGGTCTCGTTAGCGGCCGCCCGTCCCCTGTGGCCGTTTTCGGGCTTCCGTTTCCTGTCCGGGCAGCCAAATGGTGGAACTGGAGCCCAGATTTGGGCGGAGAAAAAAAAAGCCACAAACCGCCGCAATGGTCAGGTGGAAGTGCCCGATTACCAGATGCCTACACTACACTACTTAAGTGAGAAACCCATCATGGGATGGAATTTCATTCCATCTATAACGTTACATATGGGTACAGTAAATGGGTCAAGTTGCGTCTTCGGTGAGGACCCGGTCCATCATCGAGAACCTTCTTCATAGCCCGCACCGTGCACCCTGGCACTCGCACTTCCATTTTAGCTCGTGTGTACTAGGACTGCGTTCCCATTGGGCGGACTTGGAACGAGAAAAGAGCCGGACAACAAAAGGAGCTGACAATGGCCCGAGAAAACCGGGCGCCAAGGGCTAGGGGCTGGCCTGGTCTAGTTGGCGGGCCTGGACAGCATGCTTGGATCGCCAAGGATCGCCTGTTTCTCCCGCCGCCGAGGACAGACAAGAAGACGCGTCCGGACGAAACTTGCTTTTTGGCGGAGATTCATCAAGAAGAGGAGAGGGTGGATGAGCCTGTTTCTGCTCCTCTGTCGCCTCCGCAGGAACTAGCTCATGAGGACAAAATATCCCAACCGATGCCCAGGAAGGTGTTGATAATGGTGTGCCTCCACCTCGTTCATGGACGATGTTGGCATTCGGAGTCTGTTCATCACCATTGAATGCATCTTCAAAGTGGGGGGTTGTTGGATGTTCGTATGTGCCGCTGGACTCCGTACAGCCATCTCCCCCCCGAACGAATCAAGTCCCGTCATGACTTAGATGGAACAGCCCGCAGTATCGTTTGTTTGCCTCGCGTTTTTTAGGTTCTAGACAACACAAGCAGAGTTGGAGCACACAATGGAAGCTATCCATGTACAGTGGCAGTTGAGTCGAGGGCGAGCGCGAAGCAGTTGCCCCGAAAATACGAAGGTGCTCCGTAATGTGCGTTCGGTGCTCTCTTTTGCTGGCCGGGGCTTTCGGAAGGCGACACGGCCCAAGAGCGGGCTGGCTCGCTGGCCCAGCAAGCTCCGTCAACATTTTTCCAGGTTGTGGCTCAGCCAATCGAGCCAGGGATGAGAACGGCGGGCCCAGATCGGGAAGATCTCCGGCTACCCCCCCCCGCCCACCCACTGATCGGAGCCCCACAATCGACATTTCAAAACCGGGCGACCAACTTGGAGCTGGTCGCTGCTTTTACACTTTATTACCTCTGTATAGGTACACAGTAAACTATGCCAGTTGCCGACCACCGTGGACCGTTACTTTCCCCTAGTAATACAGCCTCAGCAAAGGAACCACCGACACCGTGGACCAGCTTGCCAAATGATCTTAACCCTGCGGAGTCCGATTTTCGAGTTGCGTGTGAGCTTTCCTGAGGTCACAAATGCCTAGCTTTGCCGCTTGGCTCCTGCTTCACAGCGTTGCAGTTGGCGTTGAAATCCCGGCCTTAAGTCGCAATCGAAGCGGCCGTGCCTCCCGATCCCGTGCAAGGAGCAGGACATGCAGGGCAAAGTAATTCCTCTCTGACACAAAATCCCACGGTGGCCGGCTATGGAGAGTGAAACAAGCTGTGCGACAGTGGATTCAGGTAACTAACTAATTAACAACATTGAATAGCCACCATAACCACGGAGCACACGTACATTAGCCTAGCAGCTGGAGGAGTGTGCGCTACACTAGTGTAAAGTTGACTCTTTCCATTCCCATTGGTCAATTCGCCCAACAGAAGATCGAGATCCGGGGTTTCCCTTGCAACCCAAAGATGTTCACGCTACGGGCTGAGGCCACGCTCAACCACCAAAGAGACTGCAGGGGCCGAAAACGTGCCCGATTAGGATAACCCCAAGCCGCACGCGTTTCCTCGTGTGACATTGGTTCGGACAGTACTGTGAGTCCGACGGTCCAAATAGAACGATCGTCGAATTGGAAGATAAATTGGACAACCGTCCAAAAGATTTAGCTATTTTGACCCGACTTCACGCTTGGGTAGCCCGTTAGTCTGGACAGTCTTTTATATAACATAGGTAGGTAGGTAGGCACATAATTACCTACTAAGGACACATCACGGAGCACGGCCCGGGCATCAATAGGGACGGGGACTATCTACCGAAAGATAATGTTACGAATAGTGGCCAGCTGGTCGTGAAACAAACAAGAAAAAATAAAAATTCAGGGCAGCTTGGAAAACCAGGAACAGAATGCCGGTACTAGTACAGAATAGGTCTTAGGTGCAGCGGGAGACTTGGGACCCGGGCGGTGTCCCGTCTCTCGGTGAAAGGGGCCAAGCCCATCATTACCAATGCTCGCTGTGGCCAAAAAAAAGCGGCAGACCAAGTCCTTGAGAACTTAGTTTTCTACAAAAGTGAAAAAAGACTAAAAAGAATAACCCAAAAAAGTGAAAGAAGACAAAAAAGAGTGAATCAATCAAAATTTACCAAGATTTGATCGAATGTTATTGGATTAGATTTGAGCTATCTGTTTGAGCGTGCCGCTTTTTTTGGCCACAGCGAGCAATGGAATGGGCAGTTGCGAGCAGCCTGTGCATAGGCCCACGGGCCGTCTTCGGGCAGCCCGGCTTGTGGGCACATATCTAAGGCCATAAACTTCGGAGAGAACCTGGAATGGATGGAAGTCGAACTGCTGTCACTCCATCCATGTATTTCCCGCCTTCAAATTGCACGTGCCGCTCAATTGACCAAGGGAACGACCAACTGCGTTCATAAGCACCTGGATGTAACCAAAATGCCACACAGCGCAACAGCGACTCGTCAGTTGGTGGGAGAATCGGGCAAAAGGAACAGCGGCGGCAAAGGCGGCGCTGTTTCACTGAGGTGCTAGTTGTTTCGAACACACCAAAACCACCCATAGTCGCAAGGGACGACGCTCCCGGCCCTTGTTGGCGGCGAGGGTTTCTTGAGGGTGGCGGGGAAGACGCCAAGACAGGGAGCGAGGAGCATCGAGGCGGGGCCGTTTCCAGGAGCCGAACGGGGTGCTGTTTCTATCAGGGGAGCAGGGGCATCGGTGTCGAGCACGTTGCAGCACAGTGGGCACACCAGTCCACTTTGCAGTTTTAAAGTTTGCAAGACGGCCGACACTGCAGCACTGCTGCAGCATGCAGCTCCGCCCCGCAAACCCCCGTCCGCGCTGAAAACCGCACGGCTACCATCTCGTTCCCTTGCCTGCCTTGCCGAGCTTCGATTGTATCAGCCGGGGGCCGCCCGTTGCTGAAGAGACGCTGGTCGGCTGAGATTCAAACGCAGGGCCCTGACTCGGGGATAGAGCAACCGGGATTGAACATTGGGGAAAAACTTGACGAAACCGCCGAGCAATCCCAGCCGACACGGGGACGGTGGGGGGGGTATGTACATGGTAGCCTTTTTTTTCCTTCTTTAAGTACAAGAAAAGGCGGCTGTCGAAGTGGGAGCGACGGGAGCTTTTACATCGTTGGTTTTCTTGCCATTCTAATCCCAACAACGACACTAGAATTGTGTGCGGAACACTCTTATATGCGGAGCCCCTTGGTAAAAGAAGAAGAGGTCTCCAGTACTCTCAGAACAGCTAGGTGACAGGCAAAACAGCGAAGAATAGGCGAAGGGGGAGCCAGAATCAGACGAAGGAAAGCGAGACGAGACAAGAAGGAAACGAAGGGGGAAAGGTGTTGTCCAGCATGAGCGAGCCAACAACACCAAAACTCCCACGCAGCCGGGGCACGTTTCTGCTGCTTCAGGACGAGCCACCTCTTGCGCCCATTGGCCATGGGGCACTCGCGTCGCTGATCCGGCATCGCGGCCGGGAAGAAGAAGAGATCCTCGGGGCAGATGGTCTCGAGGACGAGTCTTCGCGTCGCGATGAACGTCGTCTCAGCGCCATCCTCAACAGCTCCAACGTCCGCAGCATGCGCCTGATCGGAAGCAGCAACCCGCGCTACTGTTGGGAGCGGTACTGGAAGACTGACGACGAGTTGGGTGCTATGCCCAAACACATGTGTGTGGTCTCCCTATCTGCCTTCACCTTCACCTTCACCCTCACCCTTGCACTCGCCTTAGTTATGTAGCCGAGGCCGAGTGGTTTACATCTCTCCGTATCTACCAAACCCGCAACACCCTCACTGACACCCCACCCCCTTCTTCCTTAGTCGCAATTACCATGAACGAATCAACTACCTGGTCCAGCAGTACCTGTATATTGACAGGCTGCTCGACTCCTCGCTGCCCCACGATCTGCTCAACGAATACAACAACATGCCGGCCTCAGCCTTCCGTGGTGTCGAGGTCCCGGCCACCATCATGGAGGCCTCCTCCGCTCTCTCGGCCGAACCCGCCCGCAAGGTCCTGCGGACTCCGCAGGCCATCTACCGCCCGATCGAGACCACACCGCTCTTCATGGCCCGCGATGGCACGTCATATGGAGGTGCTATTTCTGAAGATCCCGAGGACGACGGCAACGGTGGTGCCAACAGCAACGGCAAAGGCAGCAGCAGCAACAACCCCGACCTTGAAACGGGCCTCGCAAAGCCCGAGATCCCGTGGCTCGAAGATGACATGGTTGACAGCGACGCCCCCATCGTCACCCTCGCCATCTATGTCAACTTTGCCGCTAATGCGATCCTCCTAGCCGGAAAGGTCGCCGTGGTCGTCTCCGTCCCGTCCGTCTCTGTGCTCGCTAGCTTGGTCGACGCCATGCTTGACTTTCTCTCTACCGTTATCGTCTGGATTACCACCTGGCTCATCCGCAAGCAGGATCAGTACCGCTATCCCGTCGGGAGACGCCGTCTTGAGCCGTTGGGTGTGCTAGTGTTCTCCGTCATCATGATCACGTCGTTTGTGCAGGTTGCTCTCGAGGCGATAACTAGGCTTGCTTCACCCGACCGCGAGATTATTGAGTTGTAAGTCGCAAAGCAAAGCCTCGTTTCGCTCTATTTCAACACCCCTTTTTTGTTTACCTAGTGTGCTAACTCGCCTTATCATCAGGGGGATTCCGGCCATCTCTATCATGCTTGGCACCATTGTGATCAAGGGACTGTGTTGGCTCTGGTGCCGCATGGTAAACAATTCAAGCGTCCAGGCACTGTAAGTTCTTGAAATCGCCACAAATAAACGCTCAAGTCACATAAACGGCCCCGACTAACTTGTCCCACAGAGCTTCAGACGCAAGTACCGGTACAGTACCCTTCCCCTAGCCTAAGATGAGGTTTACCGAAGAAAACAAAACGGAAAGGGGTCGTTGATCTACAAGCTAACAAATCCGTATGTTCTCAATAGATGTCATTTTCAACGCCGGTTCCATTGCGTTCCCCCTAAGTCAGTACCTTCTCCCCTTTTCTCCTCTGGGTGATCAATCATTGACTCCGGGCTCAATATAGTCGGGTTCTACGCCAGAGTATGGTGGCTAGATGCCCTTGGCGGTCTTGCCCTCTCCTTGATCGTCATCTTCAACTGGTCTCAGACCTCTTTTGAGCACATACGACATCTTTCTGGTTTCTCAGCCACGGCCGATCAAAGAAACATCCGTAGGTCCCCTCTCCACAACGAAAGAAATAAGGAGGGAAAAGAAACCGGAAAACACAGTCTAACAATTAAATACGCAGTCCTCTATCTGACTATGCGCTTCGCCAAAACCATCAAACAAATCCAAGGTCTTCAAGCTTACCACGCCGGTGACAAGCTCAACGTCGAAGTCGACATCGTCCTCGACGCTAGCACCCCTTTGAAAGATAGCCATGACTTGAGGTATGTAGAGAAAGAGGAAAAAAACATACATCCTCCCCTTTCCCCACTCTGCGTTCAGGTACAGCCCGTGTATGCAACGCAACACATGACCGGTGAGGCCCTTGACTAACACATAACGCAACAGCGAGAGCCTCCAATACGTCCTCGAATCAGTCCCCATTGTCGACAGAGCATTTGTCCATGTCGACTATGCGACATACAACTTACCGACACACATGGAGCAACAAGCTAGCTAGAATACAAAATCGAACTGGGCGGGAGGAGGCGTCATATTGTTCGAGACGGATGGGAATTCTGGAACTCGGTTGGATGTGGACAAAAAGCTTTGCAGATTGAACTACAGTGTTGCCCTCATCGGGTACCTTCGATTATTACGGCGTCTGTGCAGATAGAATTAAGTGAAGAACGAGACAAAAAAGGTCGTACGTGGCCTTTCTGATGGCCACCCAAAAATTATTCTATAGACAACATCCTTAGTTCCAAAGACAAGAGAAAAAAAAGTCAAGAAAAAGAAAAAGAAACACAAAGCAAGAAGTAGGGGGCTCATCCTGATCCAAGCACTAACCCCTACCCGATCTAGTACGGAATTCCATTGGTGAGAAGCTGGAACTGGTCATATATGCCAGTTGAGTAGCTGCCATAGCTCCGCTTGATGAGCGCCTTCATAAACTCGGCGGCCTCGCGCTCGCTCTTCTCCAGCACGAAGCGCTCCTTGAAATGGTTGACGCTTTCTGGCTTGAAGCATGGCAGCCCGCTGTCCATCATGAGCAGCACGATCTGCGAAAGCTTCTCCGTATGCTGCCGCGACGCCAAAAACGCCTTGATGCACAGCTCCTCGAACCATTTAAACGACTGATGCTCAGCGCTGCCGCCCATGACGGCTACCATCTCCGATGTGAGCTTGAACGGCGCGCGCTCAAACTTGATGCCACCGGGGGCTATGTCGAAGCAGAAGCCAAAGTCGATGTGGAGAATGTGGCCGGCGTCGTCAATCATGATGTTGCCGTTGTGCCGGTCCTTAAACTGGAGAAGGAACGAAATCACCGAGTACGCCGCCATGCTCTTGACGAAGTTGTTCCGCGCCTGCTGGAACCGGAGCGAGTCTTCGTTGCCGTACTTGGAAACGAAATAGTCATACAGCCCGTTGACCGCCTCGCGGCCGAGCATGTCCCGCGAGATGGAATTGGGCAGGACATCAATAACGCCACAACCGGGGGCCGTGGCAGTGACGCGGTAGGGGAACACATACACGTCGAGGCCGACGCTGTGGAAGATGCCACGGAACGCAGCAATCATCTGCAGCGCCAACACATCCTGTCGGCAGTCGTCGCCCACCTTGAAGATGGCTGATTGCCAGGCCTCGATAGTGCTCGGTTGGCCGTTTGTCTCTTTGTTTTTGCCCTCCTCTTCGAGCATTTCCTCAGCAGCTTCGTCGATCGAGCTTATTTCCTTTTTGATGCGGAAAGTCGCCATGTAAGGGGCTTTGGCGTGGCTCTGAAGTGGCTTGCCCGATTTCCTATCGATACCAATAACAACACCGTCGGGGTTACTGGGTAGATAGACGCCCACATCGACTTGGATCTTTCTCAGCTCCTCCTCGATCTTCTGCTTCTTCTCCGGCTTGGGGCGCTTGATCAGGGGCTTGAGCTTCCCCGAAATACTCGTGACTTCGTCAAAGAAAGCAAACTCCCTTTCGTAGAAATCGCGGTCGGCATCCGAAAAGCTGCCGACCATGTGGCCCATGACCTTGTCGAGAGTAGGCTTGATAGCATCGGGCTGGCGAAAAACAAAGGGGTTAGCTTCATATCACTCGTGACGCAATAATAAACATGGATGTAGGCTTACAATTTGCGAATCGTCGTCCTTATAGGCATTGGCCTTCATGTTCCAGATGATCTGATGCGCAAAAAGCTGCGAAAACTGCGCAGTCTCAAGGATGTAACGTTCAACGTAACCTAGTGCGTCATATCGAAGCGTCTGGACAATCTGAGGCACATAAAAGAAGGTCACGTCCACCGAATGGCTCTCCAGGGCCCGCATCGCGTACTGGATCAGGTACGGATGATTCTTGTAGGCTGGGAGGAAGAAAGTCACGGCGGTAATAGGGTTTACGGGGGCCCAGAAAAGAAGGTGCTAAATGAGGAGTAAGTGAGGGAACCGTTTGAGAGGGAAAACAAAATTACACGCGCAGAGCGTGATTCCAGGGCAGAACGCTAGAATGCTTACCTTGATTGCCTCCGAGACATCACTGGGCAAGGAACCGTTGAAGAGGAGCGGCAGTGCCTCTGGCTCCTCAGTAGCCTTGCCGGGATTTCGAAGCAGGAGGTGTCGGACCTCTTTCTGCAGGAGCGGGTACGGGAATCTGGTGGCCAAATGTACAGCCAACGATGGGCTCTCCATCCAGGCAACCTCAACCAGATTCTTGGGATCGGTCTACAAAGATCAACCAGGTGTGAGCAAGCCAGTAAACCAGCTAGAAGGTCCGAGTCCAGGGGGAAGCATTCACACATACCTCAAACACGTTCTCTTTTCCTGCATGGTAAAGCGATGCGTGTTGCCTCGCAGCATCAACTGGGCGGGTCCAAACATGAAGCCGGGAGAGCTCGCTTTCCAACAGGTGGGTAAGCAGCTTCTGCTTCGCACCATATACCATACTCTTGTCCCCAGTCCGAGAGTCATGAACCGCTGTGTTATGGACAGCTACTAAAACATCTTCGATCAAGCGGATCTCGGTCTTGAGCTGCAAGATATTACTTCCAAAGGACCAGCGGGGCGGCGCATCGAACCAGCCGAGACCAGCCGATAAGAGCTGCTCCCGCAGGCGACGGTGTACAACCTGGCTGATTGATTTTATCGTCGCCGTCGTGTTATGCACCTTGAGGCCGAAGAGGACTAGTTGGAGTCGGATCTCCCGGGCCATGGGGTGGGGTGTCGAATTCTTCGTCGCGGCGAATGTTGCATGGAGCAGACGGTGGAAGAGGAAATGCGTGTCAAGGCTGCCCAACAGGGTAGCATTATAGTGGCTGCTCAGGAACTGGAGAAGATGCGAGTGAGGGGCCAGCAGGTTGTGAACAACTTGCCTCCGCTTCGCAAGGGCGGCATTGTCGCTAGGAGCGAACTCCTGTCTAAGAAAAAACGGATCGGGATTTGTGATGGACGGGTTAAAAAGTCCCTGGCGTTTCTGGATGCTGGCCTCCCACCGGTAAACAATTTCGGCTAGCAGCCGAGGCGCCATCCTGGTATTCTCATTCATCACGCCGACCCAAAGTGAGATGCCCAGCTTGATAGACTGCTTCGTGAACAAGGCAAACGGTATGCTCACAAGGTATTGGATGATAGAGCATTCATCCCGCTCGCTGCGGCAGAGAAGCGCGGCAGCTCGGCGCAGGGCGTCTCTCACCTCGACGAGAGAGTTGGCGGCCCTCCGCCCAAGAATGCGCTCTTCAATGTGAGCGAGGGCCGCGATGGCGTCGGCGCTCTCGTTGTCAGGTGCAGCGGAGAAGGAGGATCTGCGGTCAGGATAGACAAAGGATTTCCAGTCTCGGGCTTGGTCCGCGGGTGCTTCTGAACACCGATACTCCTGCCGAGTGGTGTACTGGGCCACAAAATCAGAGGCCATATTGATCGGGCAGCGGCCGAGCGTGTCAAGCGATATCAGTCTTTGGTCGCTGAAGGGAATGGTCGAGCCTATCTCAAGAGCAAACGACCTTCCCAGGGACATGTGGCCGTAGCCCCTCTCCTCGTCAAAGTCAGAGAGATACGTCTGCAAGAGCCCCTTGACGTCTGAAGGGGCTATCGCTATCGCCCCTGCTAGCCAGCCCTTCGCATTCTTGTGAAGGTTGTCGAGCGTCAGTTGTCTGAACTGGTAGTCGTCCGAGAGCTCAACAACAACGTCACCCCTCGGGGATCTGAAAGTCGTCCTCGGCTCGTACCGGTCTGTCTCTGCCTCGAGGCAGCTGGACCACATGAGGGAAAGGAGCTCGAGGAGCGTGAAAAGAGATGAGCGCTGGCACAATATCGACGGGATGCGCGCTAGCATGCGGTCGGCACAACCAAAGGCAGCCTGCTGTACCCGCTCAATGCGATGGCAGCAGCTGCAGAAGATGCGGGCAAGCTGCGTTGCGGCATACTGAGCAGAGAAGGTTGGGTTACGACCAGTGCAGGTTTCTTCCATGTATCGGTCCACGACGGCATGCATGATGGCGTCCATTGTACGGCTGACCTCTCCTCGCCGCATGCTGGGCTCCAGAAAGTACGACAAGGCCTGAGTGCAGTCACCAGAGTCCGCTCTCAAGCTCTCGACAAGGTAAGCGGCGAGCAAAAATATGGTCTTGCGATAGCTGAGGCCCTTGATCTCTCCGCTCCTCGCTGGGATCAACTCGATGAGGAGCTTCTTCTGCAGGGACTCCTGCTCGGAGCTCTCACCCCGGCGGAGGATGGGGTTGAGGTCAATATCGCTTTCGTTCTGTTCACCTCGGTTTTCGGAGACCAGTGGCGGAGAGTGGATGGCGATGATCTGCAGGTATTTGATATTCTGCGCTCCTCGGTTGGTGGAGTAATTGAAGCCGTGGACAGCGATGTTGAACCACGCGTCACGAAGCAATGAGCGCATTTTATCGGACAGAGCCTCGCCGAAGAGCGCCTGGTTCGCGGCCATGAGCGTGGCGAGGGGAGGGAGAAGTTGGGCAATCTCCCGGGCGGCCAGTTCGACATCGGATTCCTTGGAACGCTGCGGACTCTGTTTGGCGTGCGCATCGCCTTGCGAGACGATACCACCGAGCAAATCCTGGAGATATGGCGCAAACAAGGGGGAGTCGCTCTTGATATTCGCAGAGATGTGGTTCCGTGCTTTCATAATCTAAACAAGGAGAATTTAGCACGATGCTGATTCGGGGTACTTAAACGATGTTCCTTCACTGGGGCCGCCAGGACCTACCGCTTGCAATATGTCATCTCTACCATCCACCACGGCGTCATGCGCGACGGCAACGTAACGCTTCAAGAGATTGAGAAACTGTGCGGGCCCGCCACTAAGAGCTAGAGAAGCGGCACCCGTTATGATCCGAGTATCAAGGGGCCCATTGAGCTTGTCAAGCTTCTGCGCGAGCATTGACTGGGCCAGGTTTGTGATCTTGTCGTCACTCGAAGAGATCGCGATTTCGCAGATCGCCTGGACCACATTCCCCCGTACAGCGAACTTCTCCTCCTCGTTGGGCAGTTGGAGCGACATGGAACTACCAGTGGAGTGCCTGGCCCCCCCATAAACGTAGGAGAGGCCTTGTCCGCCGAGGGCGCCCGCCCCGCTTGTCAAGGGTCGATCGGTACCGGGAGCAGGACTCAAAGCCGCAGTGCTAGTGTTGGCGTCCGGTTCGGCGGGGCCCAATACATTACCAAGGCGGTACAGTGTCGAAATGGCGGCATCCTGGGACAGCTTTTGCAAGGCAAACGCGAGGCATGTCGATGCCACAGCAACCGCCTGGTTCTTAGCATTCCCCCGCACGATGAAGCGAGGCAAAATCTGCGTGACGGTGGCGGCATACGAAGGGGATAGTCTGCAGAGCAACGCCATGGACTTGAGGACCACCGCGCCAAGTTCATCGTCGGCCATCTCAGTGGGATTATTCAACGAGCTTTCCAGCCATGCCACAAGGGGCCCCTCTTCGGCGGCCTCGTCGATCAAAGTACACGCATTAAGATAGCTAATTAAGGCACAGGCCTTCACGGAAAAGGCAAGGCTTTGCTTGGCCGGCGATAGACTGTCAAAGTCGGCACTGGATTCCAGGTCGTGCATCTGGTCAGCGGCGACATTCGCATACAACTCCACCGAAGCAGAATCCGCCTCGGGGCTGTGGGCAGCGAGGGGCCGTCGGAGGCCACTGCCTGACATCATGGCGTCGAGAATATGCGAGTCCCGCAAGGCGTCCTCCTCGGCAACCAAGAGAGACGTGGCAGCTACAAGCAACCTCATGAAGCTACGCTGGAGTAGCAACGCCCCCAGCGGACGGCCGTCCATATCACAATGGCGGACCCATCGCTTCCACTCCTTGACATGGCGGTCGTGAGAATGTGCGTTTCGGATGGTGGACAAGGCCGCTTCCACAGCAACCAGGAATGGCTGGGAAAAGATGTCTCTCACACGGGTTACTACGCCAAGACGACTGCCCGACTTCCAAAACCCGGCCTGCGCGGAAGCGGCATCTAAAAAGCCCAGGAGCGCGATGGCAATGGTTGCAATCCGTACAGAGTCCTCCAGATTACCCGGGTCTTCGTCTTCATCAGCTTGCAGAACACGGTCGGCAACATCGGCACAAGTGTCGAGGAAAGTCGTAATGTTGTCGGATATCGCTTCACGGACATCAGCGTGGCGTGTTCCCAAAGAAAGAAGGGCAGCGGTGAGATGGAAGCTGAGCGACTCGGTGGGCGAGGGTTCGATCTTGCGGAAAAACGGGGACGGGGCAAACGTTTGGATGTGCGCGTCTAGGAGGTACGGTACAAGGTGTTGCGACAACTTTTGGGCACCCTGAGCCGTTGGCAAGGACGGCGCCGTCTTGCAAAGGGCGAGGAGGATCTCGAACTCGCGGTTGGTCTGTACAAGCAGAGGTAAATAATTCAATAGTTAGTCAAACTGTTCACCAACCATCAAACGCGCGGCGGTGTCGAAAAAGAGGAGGAGACTACCATTAGAATACGGCCAACGTCAGGCCGAGGGAGCGATACATCCCGGCCGTTGCCATTGGAGGCAGAGACGAGGGCGTGGCGACTCGGGCTCGCCCTACACAACTTGTCGATATCAGACTTGTCGAATGTAACTTGCGGGCTCCTCGCGGCCAATCCGGCGAGGCGCTGAAGGGCCTGGCTGCGAATATCGCGCGCCATCCCGTTGATGTTTTCTAAACTGACACAACAAGATCCAGGAGAGCGGCCGATAGTGGACAGTCGACGATTCCGGAACGGACTCCCAACTCCTCAAGCAGATGTTCCGTGGATGTTTCGCGCGGGTTCCTGAGGAAAATGATTCGTAGGCCGTCCGCCGCGGCTGTGTGTTCGCAGTGTCGTGGCGCTACACCGGTATCGCTTGGGGTCGTCAGAGACGTCCGTCGACAGGAAGTGCGGAATTGCTTGGGTTACCGTTTTAAAGCGACCGTGATGGCTGCTTGGCCTTCCAACACCCCTGATGGAATTCTATTGGGACCCCACTCGTACCCGTCCGGCCGCCTCGGCAGGGGGCTGCAGAGTGGGCCTAACCGCTGGCCCACAACCCGGGGCCAGATCGGCTGAGTCATCAATCGGCCTGGTCTGAGCTTCCCTGCCCGAAAGAGAGCTCCTCGAGCGGCGAGCGCTCGCCAGCCGGCCAGCCCCAACAGGCTGCAGGGCTGACGACCACCACCACTTTCCAGCACCCCACTCTTTGAGCAAGCTCCCCAAGCAGGCGCCAACTCCGTCGGTCCTCCAACGTCCCCATTATCGAGCGCCCCGGAACTTCCTCTTTCTTGCGCCAGAAGTCCATACTTCAGACCCCGGTGTTTTATTGCAGCGACTCCCGATCCACATAAAGAACGATGGCCGCCATGTTCAGCCAGAACCCGCTCATGAACGGGCCAAATTACTCGATCAGTGATGCACCGAAGGAGGATGCGCCCGAGGGTGCCCGACAGCACCGCTTCGACCCGTATGGCTCCCGATATCTTGCCGGGGCAGCCGCCTCCGTGACTACAATCCGGCTGCTACCGTCATCGGGACACGCTCGCTAACGCTCCGAAAATAGCTACACCGACAACGGCGGCTCGACGCTCGCGATTGCCGGGGACGACTTCGCGGTCCTGGCGGGCGACACGCGTTTGACATCGGGCTACAGCATCAACTCGAGACACCATCCCAAGCTCTTCAAGATTGGCGGCACGACTGCCGACCAAAAGGATGCCACTATCGTGCTCTCAGTGGTCGGGTTCGCCGCTGACGGCGAGGCGCTAAAAGAACGGCTTGACACCATCTGCAAGATGTACCGCTACCGCCACGGCAAACCGATGAGCGTCAAGGCGTGTGCGCAGCGCCTATCCACCATCCTATACCAGAAGCGCTTCTTCCCCTACTACGCTCACGCGATCCTAGGCGGGCTAGATGAGGAGGGCAAGGGCGCGGTCTATTCGTACGATCCCGTGGGCAGCTACGAACGGGAACAATGCCGAGCCGGCGGCGCCGCGGCGAGCTTGATCATGCCCTTCTTAGACAACCAAGTCAACTTCAAGAACCAGTACACCCCAAACAGCGGCGAGGGCCATGCTCTCCAAGAGCGCGAACGGCGGCCGCTGACGCGTGGTGAGGTGGAGGTCTTGGTTAAGGATGCATTCGACGGGGCTGTTGAGCGGCACATCGAGGTAGGCGACGGCTTGCAGATTATGGTCATCACACAAAACGGTATCGAGGAGGTCTTGTTGCCGCTCAAGAAGGATTAAGTGGTGGGCAACCTAGCGGGTAGGAGAGAAGAAGTGGACCCCGGTCGCCCACGTAAGATGCGCATCCTTTCCGCTCGGGCCTTTTATTCCTACGGCCTAAGACGACGGGTTTGAACCCGGAGTAACGTCGACAGGTATATGAAGAATTAACTCTCTTGCCCATGGTGATGCACCGGGTTTCCCTCATTGTCTCTCCGACCCCAACCCGTGTATTGCTAGTGCCATACCTATGGCCCAATCGCCTTCCACATGTACACGCTGCTCATCTCAGTACCTGACATACCCTTTCCACTCTATCCTGTCTCCCTGTGTAAGAAGCTGAACCCCGCCCGCTAGAATGACTGATATTATCTCCGTAAATCCCCATCTACAGCTTAGCTCCACATATCGGAGACCAACGACCTAGCTGGGAGTCGTTCGCTGATACTTTTATTGATGAGAAAGAGATATTTAACCTATTAGCTTAAGGCGGGAACCGTACAAGGGCGCGAGGTTCCCAAGTCCTCAGCGTTTTCTCCCAAGTTCGGTGACTCCGCCAACCACGATCGCGAGGGTTCAGCGGCTCTTCACCCCCATGCTAAGAACCGCCGCGAAAACGGAGCCATGGAAGTCCATCGATCCACACCTTTCTCCCTTGATCGTGAAACAGGCCAAACAAAGCCATCTTGGATATGCACATCACTGAGGAAGAAAAGGACACTACCATTTTCTCATAATCTTATCGTAGTGTATTCCGCTTTTTAAAATCACGATTTGTAACAGAAATATAACACTCGCGGTGTCATTGACACCATTGGCAAGAGAATAGCAGGGACACAAGAGGAAACAAACTTGAGACCCCTGGGCTGGTGCTCCCAGTGACGTCATTGAGCCCAGGCACTTGATGACGAGATCCACTTATCCCGAATCCACCACTTCAGCAGGGACGATTCGCAAGCTCCAGCGAACAACTTGGAAGGCAAGAACGTTGCAACGCTAGACGCCGGTTTCATCATGGAAAGACATTTTGCTGCCGAGAGCAATCTTTGCTTCATTCTAGTGGGAACTGCTGACGGCAAAGATGGCACCGAGACACCGTTCCCGTCTAACGCCCTCCCCCCCCGTTGATGCCTACACGTACACTGCTGCTCATGCATCGACCTCTCTGAAACACTTTTCACTTGTAGAAAACCAGCCTTAAGTTTACTTACGTGATTCGGCGTACGGCTGACCCCCAAATGCTGGTCCCCCCGGCCGTTGAAGTCTCATTCTCCAACCCATGGCCTCATCGTTATGCAAGGACCGAGATTCCTTCAGCCACCCACCCTCTTGTTATATTCAACATAACATGCCCTACGTGGGCTCGGGCCAGGTACTGAACGACCGCTTCAGTCGCCAGTCGGAGGGCGTGAACCGATATTCGAGAGAACGTACACTACCGGAGACGGGAAGTGCCACAGGGGAACTTGAGCCTGTCAAGTGTTCTGCTCTTCTGTACCGCGGTGGCAAAACGGGCTCCAGCTGTCCATCTTTTGCCCGTTCTAGCGCTTGGTGCGTATCCTCGCCGCTCCGAACCACGCCTTCCTGTCAAAAGTTCGCCTGCCTCACCCGTTGCTCTTTTGCATCCTCTCCATCCATAATCCGCCGGCGTGGAGACAGACACAGGCATACCAAATCCTATCATCACCACTCCCACCGTTCTTAAATTGGTGTCTCAGTGGACCAAGAGCGACGGCCGTGGGGTTTGATCTCTACCCCGCCCACTTCCTTTTACCTGTTCATCTTCCTGCTCGTCTTTCGTTTCTCTCCTGGTTTGGTTTCCCGTCAGCGGAAGTGGAACGCTGGTTACTATTTCTTTCGTCACGACACTTTCTTCTGAGATCTCCAACAACGACAACGACAGCGATATCCGTACAACAGTCACAGAGCTGAAGCCAACAGCCAGGGCATCTGTCCTTCATCAACCTCACTTCTTGGCCTGGGCCGATAAAAGGCCACTTTTGTTTCCCTATAAACCAGAACACTACGCCCCCCCTTTTACCCCCCAACTTCCACTTCTTTGGCCCACTTGTGTTCAAGATACACGAGTTCTAAATCAGCCAAGCAGCCAACGACAGTGATCAATATCAATCTCGCCGTCGCCCGTGCTTGCCGTGGTACGTCTGGAGGACCCATCCGGCGTCGGCTCAAGCAAACCCATAGAGTACGTAACTATATGTATTATGTACATATGGGCTCCACTAGTTTGGCCACCGCATTCAGATGCAGATCTGTGTCATATGCATAGCTCCTTGCACTGGGCAGCCACTGAGCTTAAAGCCCGTTCTTCTTCTGCAGCTGCCTACATAATTCCGAGGGGCAGTCCCCATGGGGTGCTGGGAAAGACCGAGGGCACGAGACGAGACCAAGTTTTTGCCGCCGTGGGTTACGCCACCGGCAACATTCACTTCCATATTCCTAGAACCACCCTTGTCGTCCTCCAACGGGCAATATTGCATTGTACCTTCCTCCTTGCTTAACATCATTTGCGCACACTAATGTTTTCTTCCCCTTTCCCCATAATCTACACTAGCTAACAGGATATCTAACCAAAGTCCTAGGGCTTGACAACCCCGCCGCCTCTCACGCCTGCGAGTCTTTGGGCTTCCTATACACATGAACCTGCACAGCTGCCGATATTGCGGTAGCTTTCACACCATCACCGGGCAAGAAATTATTCTGGAGATTATTTTCCGCGGCAGCACACCCGGAGGTCCGCTTGAGTTCCCGAAGCAATTCCGCTACGCCAACCGCTTCATAGCCACACGCCGTAGTAGGTTATAGCTAGCAGAAGCTTGTGTGGCTCATACAAGCGTGCTTCTCCTCCTCGTCCCACAATATTCCGCGGTCCGCCGCTCCCTGTCCGGAGCCTCCACTCTCTCACTTACTCTACTTCCCGACTACCTCTTTCTATTATCAACCTTGAACCCGCAAAAGTCCGTCCTCTTTCCGGCCAACATAAGGATACTTGAGCCCTGGACCCGCCCAATTCGCAGCTACCAGCCCCCCCTATGGGAAGCAAGACGAGTGACACCGGCGCCACGGCCAAATCTCCCAAGGAAGACACCATTGCCGTTACATACAACACCGAGCCAAACGGGATCTCTAGAGGGGCCCCGCTGCCGCACCAGGAGCAATATCCAGATCCCTTTCAACAACAGGTTCATCCCATGGGCTTCCAGCATGGTTTTACGTCACAGCTTGGCATGGCACAACAAAGAAATACTTCCTTCGATATGAGCGCTATGGCAAATGCCCTCCCCCAGGGCGCCTACCAGGGGCAATCCTATGGCCAACCGGCTCCCAGATATGCCCCAACCCACCCTCCCGGCCTCTCCCCCCAATATGGGACACCTAGCACGATGGGCGCCATGCCGACCCAACAATACTACGTCCCGCAGCACCAACAAATGCCCCAGTTCTACCAGACCATGCCTTCGCAGCCATCGTCCACCGTGCCTTCGAGCTACTACCCCAGCCCGGTTGTCATGAGCCATGCAGTCCCGAACGGAGCCCCTTTCTATTACACTCCTGGACACCCCTACCCCCCTCATCAGACGCTTCACAATCAAGTACCGATGACTCCCGGCCAGTTCGTCTCATCCAACCCGAACCAAGAACAGAACCCGAGGTTCCGATATCCCAATTTCGGACGCAATTTGGCATCTATACCGCCCGCCACTCCACATACCAATGGCGGTGAGTTAGTATCGCGCTTCTCCAGACATACACTAAGGCTTAACCGTTTGCGTACTGATGGACTTTTGGCAGGGAACTCCCGAAGCCAACCAAATGACCAGCAAAGTAATGTGGTTCGTGGCCCCCCGAGGAAACCGAGACAAAGCGGCCATGCCATTTGGATTGGAAATCTGCCTCCTCAAACAGAACTGATGGGTTTGGTGCATCACGTATGCAAGGTGACGGAGGGCTTGGAGTCATTGTTTCTCATCTCGAAGAGCAACTGCGCATTTGCCAACTTCCCGGATGATTTGTCCTGCTCGACAGCCCAGCGGAAACTACACGATTCGAAATTCATGACTGTCCGGTTAGTTAGTAGGTTGCGAAAGAGCACTGTGGAAGGCCCGGCAGGGGTAACAGCTCCTACAGGACCTGCGGCGTCGGTGATGCCGCAGGCGGGGGGCACCACGCAAGAGGCCGATACCAACGCAGCTCGTGACGACGGCAGTTACGGTGGCGATGGCGGCGATGGCGACCATAGCTTGGACGATAAGATCAACGAGGACGGCGGTAAAACCAGTGAGCCTGGAGCGGGCCTCATCCCCTCCCAGCCCGAGGTTACCGACCCTCGGGCTGGAGCTCTACCCGTAACTAACGGGTCTTCTGCGCACACGGACCGGTTCTTCATTCTCAAGAGCCTAACGGTTGAGGACCTCGAACTCAGTGTCCAGAGCGGCACCTGGGCCACGCAGTCGCACAACGAAGAGAAACTGAGCGTGGCGTTTAAGGTGAGGGAGGACTGCACGAAATGTCGGACTTGTGCCGGCATATCGCAGAGCAACCGTGATAACCGTGGTTTGAACCCCGGCTAACGTCAAGATTTCGCCACAACAGGAGGCGGATAATGTGTATCTTGTATTTTCGGCGAATAAGTCCGGCGAATTTTTCGGGTATGCGCGCATGATGTCGCCCATGAACGAGGACCCGGCAGCCGCCATCGAGTTTGCACCCAGCACGCAGTCGACTGGCGAAGTCGATCTTCCCAAGGCGATTCCTACGGAAGCCACCGAGTTTGCGCCCCGGGGTCGCATCATCGACGACTCGGCACGCGGCACCATATTTTGGGAGGCAGACCGCGAGGGCAAAACCGGAGTTCCCGGGGACTCAGGCGCCGAAGAGGGTGACGTTTCTAGTGTACGAAGCGGCCATGACGGTGAGGCCGGGACATCTGAAGCGAAGGCCTGGGGCAAGCCCTTCCAACTCGAATGGTTATCGACGACACGCTTACCCTTCTACCGCACCAAGGGGCTCCGAAACCCGTGGAACTCGAATCGAGAAGTCAAGATTGCACGGGATGGGACGGAGCTAGAGCCATCGATTGGGCGGATTCTCATTAGCTCCTTCAACCGGATGCAGAGCCCGGCAATGGCCATGATGCCGCCCGTAGCCCAAGGGATGGGCCCGGTCAACGTCCGCATGCAGGTTCCTGCCCATGCTGTGAGCGGATATCCTCCTCTGCGATAGGTTTACCTTACCTCTCTAGGTTAATGGGTGTTCTTTTGTGCAGTAGCAGGTTCGCGTGGTTTTCTCGTTCTCTTCATCCAGATAGGAGGAAGAGGTGTCATGTGTCCGGGAAAGATGCATGGCAGCGTTAGGAACGGTCAGGTTCAATGAGTGTCTCAATCTATCCCACCAAGTATCATAATATGTTCCACCTTGCTGCCATTGTTCTAAAATTTGTACGCCCAAGTGATCCTTTGGGTTCTTCTTACTATTCAGGCGCTAGGCTTGGTTCGTGTCATGTGTTCATGTGTTGCTAGCAAGGGTTACGCGAGAGCAGCTTAGCATAGTCGGGATCTTGGGCAGCACCAAGGCAATGCTGCTGAGAGGATAATGTGGCCCCTTACTTTGGAAAAAGCTACATTGCTTGGTGTGGTACCTCAAAGCTTGCTTGTAAATCAGAAGGCGGTGGGAGGCAGAAAACATCGTGAGAATTGACTGTCCAGAGGTAGTAGATAACTTGAAGGGTTTAGAAAGTTATTTACTGAATCAATTCATGTGGATCATATTATTCACTGTGTTGTCATTTTCCTAGTAATTCATATCGACATTCGCTTTATAGTTTACTCTGAGCTTCACATTGACATTTGCATTCTCATTCTCAATTCACATTGCCTACCGGATTGTCCATTACATTACCAATTATATCACTAACTGTCATGTTGTCTTTAATGCGACTGTTAAATAATATTTTATCTATAATGCGGTCTAAACCACGTTGAATAGGTAGTTTTCCGACAAGCGCAGGCCAAGTGTAAGCAGTCTGGAGTCGACGCTGCGCCCCCACTTGATTCCACCATCCTCCATCCCCTTCGACAACCAGTCAGCGATTACCACCAACCCAACGGTCGACCAACAATCCAGGCATTGGAACCATGGTTGTTTCTGGAAGTCTCCCCTGAGTTCTAGATATATATCGAGTGGTTGTAAAGTCGACAGTGTTTGACAGTAATTCGGTCTCGGAGCTACATGTCTTCGGGTCGCTTCATTTACCTTCGAGAACTATCCAGGGGCGATGTTTATGGCTAGTTATCACAAAGGCTCGTGAGGGTTGCGGGCGCCGGGCAACGGCAGTTCCAACTAGTATATAAGTCTCAGTTGATCTCATCTATCACCCTAAATACGATTTTAACCTCCACTACACAAAACGTCTCTCTTCGTCGGCATAGCCTCATTAGCCATTTCCAACCTAATTCAACAGACACCCCAACAACAACATCCCCTTCATCGCGCCCTTGACACCCTCAAGCCCGTAACCGGACCCCCCAGAATGGCCTTCCTCGCCCGTAACTTCCATGACTCTGGCGCGAGCTTTACCCCACTTTTTCGTCTCCTAGACGAGTTCGACAACTACCACCACAAGTCTCAGAGCAACAGCAACGGCGGTCCTTTCGGGCACCTCGGCCACCACCACAAAACGGGCGGCAGAAAAAGCACCACCACATTTTACCCCAAGTTCGATGTCCGCGAGACAGATTCTGCCTTCGAGCTCCATGGCGAACTCCCAGGTGTAGAGCGTGATGGGATCAAGATTGAGTTCAGCGAGCCTCAGACACTGGTGATCCGGGGTCGCACCAAGCGGGCTTATACGTCTTTGCCCCCCCCTGCTACAGTAGCGAGTCCCATGGACAAGAATAGCGTCAATGTAGAGGGTGAGAAACCCGGGAAGGGGGGAGTCGAGACTTCAGAGCACACTGTCGCATTGCCTGCTGTGGAGGATAGCAACAGCAACAACAAACCAGGGAGCGGCCAAAAGGAGTACAAGGAGGGGAAGGCGCCTACGGCCCAGGCCAAGGTCTGGTTGAGGGAGCGCCCCGTCGGCGAGTTTGCGCGCACCTTCAGCTTCCCGGTGCGTGTCGAGGAGGAGAGTGTGTCAGCCGGTCTGCGTAATGGGATCTTGAGTGTTGTGGTACCCAAAGCGAAGAAGTACGAGGCACGCCGCGTGGCTATCAACTGATAGCGATATTGGGGGGTTGTGGTACTCTTGTTTGTTCACTTTGTTGTCGTCGTTCTCCTAGGTGATTGGTGGTGAAGTGAATCCTGGGTTAATAGGGGCTTCGTGCAGTATCTAACTCGTTAGTGGCAGTGTCCGCCGGCGCACTGGGGAGGGGAGTGTAATTCTAGAGATAAGGAAATCAAGGTCTTTTTTCCATCCTTGCATTGAGATTGAGGTATCTGGTGCTAGCCGACGTCGGTTCGGGTCCTCAGTTCCGCCCCTAATTCAAGCATCCAATTATGCACCCCCTGTAATGTATAGGGCGTCCCTTCTCCATTTCCGAAGGGCACGGTAATACCTGTCGCCCGTTTGGTCACCCTTCAAATTCTTGGCTTGTTGATATCTGTTGGGTTCATCGCTGTGGGCGCTGCAATCAAGCAACCGTGGTTTCCCCGTACCCCAGACAATCCCCATGGGGCACAACGGCTCACCCGCCCATTGTCCGATTCGGCAGGGCTATCATTTAGTCGGCGGAAATGTACATAACTACACAAAATAGTAAGAAACAATGTTAAAAAAAGAGAATACGACAAAGGGCGGGTGGTGGCCGAACCGTTGTTCCCCCTGACGAACGCATCGCCATAGTTCCTTCGCTTCACGCCGTTGACAAACTCCTCCGTTTTCTCGAGCGCAATGTTCATGTACCCATCCACCGACTGAAGCTCCCCTATATACCGGCGGACCGGAAGTCAGCAAAGACTCACTTCTATGCTCATTCGGCCGGGTATGCCTCGGCTGGCCTCATCACTTACCCTTGTAGACGACACCTGAATTGAGTTTGACGGTGACAGGGTTCCCGATAATCTCGCTCAGAAACCCGGAAGGGTCCTTGCCCTCGCTTTGGGTAACTGCGCCGTTCTCCATGACTGAATTTATCCGCCTAGGCCCGGACTTCGCGATGCCGTTTGACGTCTCGTGGGGTTTGTCGAGGGGATTAAGAAATGACTGAGTTGGGGGAAACAGTCCGTGTTTGGCGTTTGAGGTGAGTGAGATGGCGCCCCACTTCCATAACGGGCTATCGCTTTGGGATTCCCATTGAACAGGCTCGGGCCATCCGCCCCACTCCATAATCCATCATTCACTACACCTATAGGCTCTTTCAACGTTAATCAAGCCCGAGAAATCTATAGCGCGAAATCCGTAAAGATGAAAGGGGTAGTCAAGCAGGTTGTTCAGCGGAAAGATTTTACACCTAGGCACAATAGATGGCATGGTCTTTATTTTCCCACCTGTTTCCAAACCCAGCCCTTCTTTCCCACCAATCAGTGACGGCGGCCGCACCCAAATAATGCAGGCGCCCAAGGTTGGCCTCACACTCGACTTTGAGGTTTCTCGAAAATCAGTATATCAATCTGCCAACCATTCCCGTCTTTTTATCTTGCTTCTGTTTCTAGCGTAGATTTGCTAGATTTTTTACCATTTCCCTTCCCTACATCACCTACACCACGTTTCTACTTGTTCATTTCAGTCCTTAAACCACGACACCAACACTTTCAGGCCGGTCTTCTTAGTTCACCATGGGGGGTTTAGCCTTCTCCTCCTCTGTTAACCCGCCGCACATACCTCGCATGCCGCCGGCCGTATACCGGTATGTGGCGGCGGCATGCTCCGCTGTGCTGCGGGAACTTTTTGTGTACGTTGCGACGCCGATCGAAGGCCCTGGAAAGACCGATCACGGCGACGTCGACGTCCTCGTTGCGCTCGAGAGGCGTGTGGTATTTCCGCGAGCCGGCGTTGACTCCAAGCCCAAGACGCCCATCGAGTTGATGGAGGAGATCAAACACAGACTCCGAACGAAACACGCCCTCGTTCATTGGACGGGGACCTCAGCAAATTTGGCAATTCCGTGGCCTTCTGACATGGAGGATTGTACGATGGCCCCCAGTTCTGCGGCCGAGGTCAATGTTCCAAGCGGCGAGGCGGCAGATCCAAAGCCTAAATACGTTCAAGTCGACATTCGGATTTGCACAAGCGCCGACCAGCTTTTTTGGGTAGGAACTCTAACCACTGTTTCCATTACCGAGGGGGGGCCAGCCGATATGATGCACCAGTGCTCGGACGGGAAGGGTACCATTGTGTCAAATAAGTTAACAGGACTGGCTAACACCTATCATAGGCTCTCTACAAGCACGCACATGGAGACCTATGGAACTTGCTAGGGAGTATTATCCGCCCTTTCGGATTGACAATCGACGAGGAAGCTTTGTGGGTTCGCATCCCTGAGATCGAGAAATTGGACCGCAAAAAGGCCAAAGTGTGCCTTAGCCGTGACCCAGTCGAGATCCTCCACTTTCTCGGGATGCAGGTCGAGGGATTCTGGTCCAAGCCCTTTGCATCGGTCGAGGCTCTCTATGACTACGCCACCACCTGCCGCCTCTTTTGGATCCAAGACTTGCCGTCGGATGACGAAGCTATCGCCCCCAGCAAGGAAGTGAACAATTCCGGGGTCATTGGCGGGGAGGAAGGTCGCAAACGGCTCAAGTCTAACGATCGCCGGCGCATGAAAGGCCGCGAAGTCTACCGCCGCTGGGTTGAAGAATTCATCCCGGCCCTTCGTGCCCAAGGCAAGTTTGTCCATAAAGCCGGCCCCGGTACGACCATCGAAGAGATGCGAGCTGTCGTGCGGGATGAGGCCTTTTCTCGCTTTTTCGTCAGGCCAGAGTACGAGCACCGACTAAGAGAGTGGCGGCTGCAGCGAGATAGCGAGCAGATGAAAGCCCTACTAAAGAAGCAGGTCCCAGATACATTGGAGCCTCAAAAAAGATCTTGTTTGATTGGGGCTCTGAAAAAGATCATCATGGAGCATGACACATCGTATGGGGTCGACACTTCCTCTTTTAGGGATGCGGACGGGTTTTATGACATGGAAGTAGTTGGTCAATTCATACAAGGCAACCTCACGGGGCTGGGTGAGATTGCATGGGCCAACCAGCAGAAGAGGGCGAGGGAGGCGATGAGATTGAAGGCTTGCGGTTGCCAGATACCGGGTGGCCTCTGCCATGCCTGATTTGATGGGTGTTTGGGGGACGGGGGGTTTAGGCAATTGAGCTAAACATCATCATCAAGGGCTTCGGCCTCAAACTAGTGCATTCAAATGGACGAGTCACCCCGTCTGCGTTAAGGTATCTCTTAATAACAGAAAACATAATTCATGTGTGCCGCTTCCTCATCGGGATAACAGTTTCCACGATTCTAAGTCATGCTAGTAGTCCAGACAAGAACCTCGTCCTTCAAGAGTCGCCGGTTGCGAATAGCGAGCCTGCAGGAGAAGGGGCTGCTCATGCCAGCTTAAATCCACTCATCCTCGCTAGCAGCATAACCCATCTCCTCGGCCGATCGTGCCCGGTCATCGGCCATCCTGGCAGATCTCCATCCACTAAACAGAGCCCTATCCTCCGGCCGCTCAACAAAAGGCTTGGTCATCCCCTTTTTAGCCAGTCGCCTGCGATATTGCCGGTTCTGCTCCCAAGTGTACCGCGACGTGTCGACCGAGGCAATGTCAATCCCCGTCATGGCATCCCGAATATCAGCAAGCCAATCCGACACGTCGGGCTGCAGACGGTGTACGAGCTCCTTCCCCCGGCCGCCGGCCACCCACTGATCTAATTTGGCCGGGATTGCGTAACCCCAACTCGGGTCCTCCGAGGACCACTCGCAGGGCGTGTTAGGGTAGCAATGCTCAGGTTTGCAGTAGCGCAGACACATCAACGATTCCGCAGCATACCACAGGGTGAGCAGGAATAGCCCGAGGCCGAGGAGGGTGAAGCGAAAATTGGGTCGGCGGTACCACAAACGAGGGAGTGGAAGGTGAATGTACGTTACCTCCGCGCCAGCCGCGGGCTTCAAGCCTCGGCAAGCAGGGCACGGAGACGACTTTCCCTTGATGTGCTGGCTGTGAACTGAGTCTTGACCCAGCTCCTTGAGCTCGACTTGTGCAACCCTGCTCTCGAGGCGTTCAATCCCTTGCTTAGCGCTCTGGATGTTGTGCAGACTGGTCTCAAGGGTCTGGCTCATCCGATCATACACATCGAGCTCCTTCGGCTTGCTAGACTTTTTGACCTTGTCGGTGGGCTCCGGCTTTACGGCCGGGCTGGTTGAAAGGGTAGGGTTGACCTGGGATGGGTTGTTTAACAAATCGCCAATGTCATCCAGAGTAGAGTCCTCAATTTGGTTGGCCCGTTGTATCTCTAACAAATCATCCTTGACCGTGGGCGGCTTGGAAGAATTTTGCAAGGGGGCCCTGCCGCGGGACAGAGACCTGGCGCGTCGTCGAGTTGATAGCGGCGATGGTCTACTAGATGCCCCGTCACCTTTGGATGATTGTGCGCGCCTTTGCCGTTGTGGGGAGGTATACTCCTTCTCGCCCGGTGTAGTCGAGTGTTTTGTGGAACCGTCGACCCTCTCGGTGCTCGGGGCTTTTAAATCGCTCTCCTGTACTCCAACAGCATCGCAGTCCCCGGCACCTGGAACGAGGTTTTCGGGTTTCTCCGTTTTGACAATTGCTGGCGTTTCAACATAGGCACCCGTCACCCTCGGCGTCGGCTGTGACAAAGGATCAACCCTGGCTAGTTTTGGCGTCTTTTCTGCCGTCTCAGGCTCCGGCTCGGACTCGGGGGACGGCGCTCGCATAGAGCCCCTTTCCGACTGATTTTCCTGCGGAGCAAAAAGTTGCATCTCTCCTTCGATGCGGTCGGTCGGATCTGAGTCTGAATGCACAAAGCTCCTACGCTTGGCCCTTCTAGACTCCACCGACGAACTTCGAGACAGCCCGGTAAACCCGACCGTTGGCTTGCTGTCGCTCTTAGGGAACCCCAACGATCTTCTAGCTTGCAGGCGTTCCGTAAGTCTACCACCGCGGACCGTGGGGGCCGGATCATTCGAAACCTTTTGCGCCTCGTCCGGCGCCTGGCCCCTCGCCCCGGCGGTTGCTAGTTGGCGGAGTGTTTGTGCTGGGCCCGTGAATTCTTCAACTTCGTTAACACTCTCGAGATTGATGTCGGCTCTGCCAAAAAGCGCCGGGCTGAGTGTCTCCTTTTGGTCGGTCTTATCGCTCTCCACCGGTGTCTCGGACACTGGAGCTTCGTTCATCTGCCTCCTCAGTCTTTCGCGTAATGGAGAAAAAGCCCGCACCGGTTCTTGGCCGGATCTCCGCGCAACATCCGGGGACGGAGATCGCGAGACCCCAATGTTCCTCCCACGAAACTCATCAAGCCTAGCGGTGGCAAGGGCTCTCCTAGAAAGACTCTCGATTTCGCGTGACCTAAGCTCGTCCAGCCTTACGCCTGCACGGCTGACCGGGCGGGATGGGGGGCTCGATCTACCTTCATCCTCCGACTTTACGTCTTCCGTAGCGGCAATGGCACTATCGCGCCTTTCGAGACCGGCTTGGAACCCAGTCTCCTGTCGTGTCTCTTGCTGGAAAGAGTTGATCTCCGATTGGCGGTTGTTGGGGCCTTGAGAGAATCGTTCATTCACTTCGGCTTCCAAGGCGCGGATTTCATCGATTTTGGTGTTTTTGCGGCCAATGGCCACAGGGGGGCTGTTCGAGACCTGCAGGTCGCCGGCGGTAAAGTCGGCATCGGTCTGCCAGACAAAACTCCTGTCGGGGGTCTGAGAGCCTGACAGAGCGGTCGCGGGCCGCCTAGGAGGGGTGGGGCTTGGTTGTAGAGGCGCGTTCTCATCCCGTTTCATCCACTCATGCGGCTCTCGGGCGAGTGAAGAAATGTCGCTCGATTCTCGCTTTCTAATCGACAACCGACGCAGAAACGACGGGCTGGGCCCTACGCCCTTGGTAGACCGTGGTGACGAAGATCCATCCAGGCTGTTGCGACTCGATTTCCGCGACAAAAGTTCCTTCCCAGACTCGACAATCCTACTGCCAATCCTGGAACGAGAGAGCAAGCCGGCCGCGCCCCCGACACGGCTAGGGTCCTCCGGGGTGCCGTGGTCTCTTTCAAATTGCCGGAGTTTCTCGTCGAAGGTGCTGTCCGAATTGTCGCTTTGCTGCGATGAAACAGGACGTTCGCCGTTACTATCGCCACCGCCGTCGCCATTGCCCGTTTCCAAAGGCTTGACGCTACTTGAGGCCTTCCTCTGCAGTAGAATGGATGTGCTGGGGCTCCTCGGCTTCTGTAGCTTCTTCCCGGCGGACCGCCACGACCTGGGCGCCGGGCTGGGCGAGCCCTGGGCAGCCTCTTCCTCCTCGGCCATCCGATAAGCGTCCGAGATAGAAAAGGGCCGCCGTTGGGACGTAGGACGGGGAATTCGAGTGTTATTCGGCGATGCGGCATTGCCGTCGGAGGCTGAGGCCACGCTCATCGGCCGCGCATTGCCGTCGGTCATGGTCGGTCGTGCGAATAAACTATTTCTCCGCGATACGCTGTTGATAACAAGCGGTGAGGTGAAACGGTTACTCGTGGGTGCAGTCTTGGCATCAGCCCCGAGTTCGGCCCCGTCGCGCTCCATGTTGGTTCACGTTGCCTTCCTCTAGATACCGTCGTCGTATCGTCCGCGAGAGTAAATGTGTGTGTTGGTACGAGGTATGGGTCCGGCGGGGAGGTCGTGATTTGGGTGAGCTGGATCGAATGTTTCAATGTTTGAGATCCAGCGTTGCGATGCGCCTGGGGGTTCGTCGCGCTAAATAATGGCAAGCGCTGTCGGCGTGAAACAATGCGCTGTCACCCGAGGGCAACCTAAGGCTGGGGGGTTGGTTGAGTTGGCACAGAATGGGAAGAAGAAATTTGCCCAACCTCGGAAAGTGTCCCCGGCGGTTCATGCCGCGAGAGTGCACACGCCCGCCGCCTTCTCAAACCCAACTCAAACCGCGCAAGGCGAAGGAAGATGTACGGCGCCCTGCCATCCAGCGCATCCACTTCCCAATGGAAGCTGCCAACACGATCGGGGCTGCACATGGTGGGGCCCTGCCGCAAGCAACAGGGATGGGGCTGGGGAAAGATGAGCCCGGGCCTCCTGCCCGAGTCGTTGTCATGACCAATTGGAACCTGCATTCGCAGCCGCCCTTTTTTTCCCTTCCCACAAGACATGTACATACGTAATTCGGCGCTATCTGTCTCCTTCATAGCGTGAGCGCTTCCGGCGCTGCGTGCCAAGCAGGGGACACTCCCAACCTCGAGCCTGAGATGCATACGCGAGGCCTGACAAGTCAGCCCTTCATGCCGGACTGCAGATGAGGAAGTCAGGTACCCAGTACGGACAAAAGTACCTTGGTAGTATTACATTGCGGCTTGGTCTCCTCCGGACCCACTACACCCGACCTCCTCCACAGCCCGATCAAATTTCCAAACCTCTGAGAGGTTGTATCCGTGTATTGGTTTCACGGTACCATTCACCCATCTAGCTCTTGATTGTATTCAGAGGACCTGGTGACAAAATAAATACCTACCTACCTACCTATCACAGGAGTACCCAAGGTACTTGAGCTTACCGCGTATTGCTTAGAGCAGGAGGTTCCTGGCGTGGTGGTGGTGTAATCACGAGAAGGTCCTTGACAATAGTCTATCCCTCGACCCAAACATCACAATGAACGCCGGAGCCGACATAGTTCGCCCCCTGGGGCCAACGTATGTGAACAATGTCAAATTCCCCCTTCCCGGCTATTCCAGTAGTACACGCAGCACATTTGAATAAGGATGACCTATGTTGACGATAACAATAGTGAGATATACTCCTCATCACGGCATGCACTGGGTTTTTACAACTGTGTCGCGAACACATGCCGGTATTCAGTATCTGCGGCAGGTCTTCAAGGTCAGAGGGTTCGGGATGCACTTCAGATTGCTCTCGCCAAAGTGGTTCTGGCGATCCCTTCGTTGGGTGTTGGGATCGTGGGCCGGGAAACTTCCGGGCCGCATTTTGTTCAACAAGCCACAATCAATCTCGAGCACCATTTCGAATTTTGCGAGAGAGCGGAGACCGATTCCAACGCCCGGGACACGGTATTGCTCCGCTTTCTCGAAGAAAGGCATGACCAATCCTGGCTGGATATCGCTCATCGCCCTCCCTGGAAGTTGACAGCTATCGTCTGGAACGAGGCGCTTGAGGATGGGGACGGAAACATGGTGATCGATGCGATTCTTGCAATACACCATTCACTTGCCGATGGGCGTAGCACTGCGCTGTTCCACACCCATCTTCTCGAAGAGCTTAACTGCGCTCCAAAGCAGGTTACCCATTTGACCGATGGCATACTAAACCTGAAGGCATCCGGCGTTCGCATGAATTGCCCGCCCCAGGAAGACGTTGTCAATTTCACCAAATCCTGGATGTACCTAGCCCAGACACTGTGGCATGAGCTCGGGCCGGCGTGGCTCAAGGTGAACCCACCGGCCGCGCCGTGGACGGGGAAGCCCGTCACCAGCGAGCCCCGTCAGACGGGACTGCGGCTCATCCGGGTCCCTGCAGCGGCGGTGCCACGGATTCTTGCCGCATGCAGGGCCAACCATACGACACTAACGCCATTGCTTCATGCCCTCATTCTCGCCTCATTATCTAGGCACATCTCTCCCAAGGAGGTAGTCGAATTCCGCAGTACGACCCCGATCGATCTGAGACCATTCGCGCATGATGGCGAGCACGGGAGCGGAAATCGGGATACCAAGTTTGGTGTTTTTGTTACGGCGCAAGATCATAGCTTTGACAACGCCACCATTGCGGCTCTCCGAGAGCAACCGCTGACAAAAAGGATTTGGCAAGTGGCGGCAGGGCTGCGACGCGACATCAAGCAACGTGTGGCCGAGCTGCCGAGGGATGATATTATGAGCATGCTCGGTTGGGTGTCCGATTGGCGTGAGTTCTGGCTCTCTAAAGTAGGGACCCCGCGCAGGATAACGTGGGAGGTCTCTAACATTGGGGCGATGCTCGGCGGGACGAAGCCAGACGGGTCTGGAGCTAGAAGCTGGATGATTCAGAGATCTCTCATGTCTCAGGGTTGCACTGTTGCCGGCGCTGCCGTCAGTGCTAGCGTTTCCGGCGTGGTCGGAGGCGAGGTAGACATTGTGCTAGGTTGGCAATTAGGTATCATCGAGACATCATTAGTCGATGCATTGGTAATGGACCTTCAACGCTGGATCGATCAGGCGAGCCGAGGCCAGGATTTTGTCTAATTAATCTCTAATTGGAAAGATATGGGCGAAGATACCTCGCGTATTGTAGTGGAGAAGCGGGTGAGGTTGTATCGTATGGGCTTGCACAGTCCTTTTCCCTGAAAATGGTTATGAGACCTTAGTGATCCCCTTTTCCGAGATTGATCAGGAAGGGGGAAAGATTTAAACAATGGGTCCAAGTTCACTGGACTCCTGCGCCTATCCGAAGATTATCCGCCTAAGCCCACAGAGCCCGTCGACAAACGACACGCCAAGAATGTTGCAACCTCATAGGCTGTTTGCCCCACCTCAGTAAATTTTGGGGCGAGCAACCTTAGCCTGGCAGCGCTGCCGAACCACGAAACATCTCGGGCCCGTTCACGGATTCGTCCCGGTCTTGCTTCTCACCACATAATCACCGGCAAAACTATGGCGACTCCCTTGATGGCAAGGCCTCCGGCCTGCACGGCCTGCCTCCGGAGATTGGCGCAACCATTCGGTGAGGCCAATGTTGTCTCGCGAGTGCAGATCCGAACGAAGACCAACCACCCCCGGCCCAAAGATCAAGGCGTCGTCGTCCGCCTGCTCGAGGACATCCCCAAGTTTGGGCGCAAAGGTATGGGCGTGACACACAATCCCCCTTCCCTACCGCATGTATTAGACATAGGTCAATGGAAACTAAGATACGGCTGTTGGTATCCTCTTCCAGATGCCATATTTCGTACCGAACGAGGGCGCATGCGCAACGAGTGGTTCCCCAAGAATATGGCCGAGTATATGACCGCCCTACGCTTCCGTGAACTTGGCCTGACTCGCGACAATATTGGGGAGCGTGAGGCTACCTTTGGCACCATGTTAGGAGCTGGGGAGGAAGATTCATCTCGGTCAGAGGCTCCCATTGCGACCGTGGTCACAACAACTGTACGTCGAGCAAGCAAGCTACTGTCTTGGACCAAGCGTCCCGATTCCTCAGAACATCATCTGCGCTCAGCATTTGCTAATAAGTTACAACAATGGACAGCCCGTGAAAGCCCGCGCCCTTTTGACCACGCTCATCCCCAACAGCCTCCCCTTTTACCGCAAACCAATCGCAGCCCCAGCCCCGCCGCCCCCTCCACCCGCGCGGTCCATCTCTCCGCTTGTGGCCACAGACGAGCCCAACTATCCTACATCTACCGTACCAGACGAGCCCCAGGCTATCTTTGGCTCAGTATCCATCACTGACATCATCAATCGGATCAAGGGGTTGTTAGTCGAGGACGTCGAAGGGAGCCTTATCGCATTGGACCCAACTAGCGTCCGGTTCCTAGGTCTCGAGGAAGACACCGACAGGATCAAGTTTTTGGGCCGCTGGGAGGTCGAGATTCATGTTGGCAGCACCGTGGAACCTGTCCGCAAAACTGTGGAGATCCTTCCCCTGGTTGAAGGACCTGAGGACGGCGAGGCGCGGAGTGGTGCTCCGTGACATATGCATCCTGTTCGGGCCGTCACGATGAGGTAGAGATTCACATCAATACCACTAGAATGGCGTTAGTAAAATTGGGTTTATAATTGTAGAACCGTATATGTATTATCAACTGTATGCAAACCTCATCTTTCTGCACTGCCATCTCATGTACACCCCCGTTGCCCCATTCCTGCCTCGGAACCCAAAACCGGAACGGATGGCCCAAGCACCCTTAGCACAAATAACATAACGGGAACACAGGCCCCCTGAGCAAATCCTAAGGCACATTTTTTTTTTGTCAGGCCAGTGTCGAATGTGCCCCTCTGCTTGTGCCGAAGGTGGGACGAGCGCGCAAAGGAATAACATACCCGCCTACCAGCATCCCGAGGGCCGCGGGGAGAGGAGAGAGAGAAAGAAAGAACTGTTTAAGGCCCTATCAGATGGTCTATATCATTGGGAATCCCCCGCTGTGGCTGTGGTGGCTGCTGCTCTGAACGAGGATCCGCTGGTTTGAGGTCCGTCACCGTGCCCCCCGTTGTCTCCTCGTCGGTCGGCCGGGGAGGCTGCGGCGAATCGTGATGCGCTGGGCTCGTTGATGAAGCGCCGTCGACGGGCGCGGCACGGAGAGAATTAGTCTCGCTGGCCACAGCACTATCCCGGCTCCTTGGCAACGCCCCCGCAAAAGGGAGGGCTTTCCTTGAGCTTGTGCTAGACCGGCGGCTTTCAAGGCTCTTGGACAGCGTCTTGCTCACCCCTTCGATCCCCGATGCGACTGCGCCTCGAATACCAGGAACTCCTCCTTTGGGCCCCCCTCGCCCTTGCGTGGGCCGCTCGGCAACGGCTTCCACGTTGTTAGCCGCGACTGTGCTCTTGGCAAGGCCTGGTGTTGACGGTGCCCCCGGTTTGTCTTCCGCAGCTTCGAGAAGATACCAACGGAGCCCGTCAGACAAATCGAACGGATTGTCATTGTCATCCTCGTTGAGAGATTCGGACTCGGCACCACCGGTCTTCTTGCCTGTCTGCGGAGGGTTCTTGAGTGATTTTGACAGGTCAACAACACGTTCTTGAACTCGCGAGATTCGTGCCAACAACCACTCCCGGTTCCGTAGGCGGTGCGTTTCCTGCTCTCGGAGAAAGTAATGTGGAAATCCGACGTTGAAGGCAGCCCATGCCCCCGTCGTTTGATTTCGTGTCGGGAGGAACAAGGCAAGATCGCCCTCCTTGAAGTTTTTGAAAGCAATCTTCTCATGTGCCTCCTTTTGTAGCGCGCGAGCCTTGTCACGGTATGCTCGGGCATCTCTCTGTAGCTTGCGAGCCAGATGCTCGACATCCCTGACACGCCGGTACACGGCCTCGCCAACGGCATCCATGTCGAGCGATCCAAGCGTGGAGATGTAAGCCTGGTACCTGCCCAACTCTGACTCCGTATCGGAGCAGCTCACCCAATCAAGGAGGTTGAGGTCCGCACTACTAACCATAGCAGCACGGCTACTAAGTGTGCCTGACCGGCGAAGTGAGGAGCCAGGGTCAGAGTCGTTGGCGTTTTGTGACGACCGTTCGGAACGGGGGACCTTCTGAATCGTTGTGCTGCCGTCTTGACGAGTCACCGAAAACCCTAGCCGGTCAAGCAGATGAATGAGGCGCTCATTCTGTGAGTACAGGCGTTGTGTGAGGTCTTTTGCGTGTACAGATCGCATGTCGAACAAGGCCGTAAGATCTGAGAGTTTCCCTTGTGAATACTGTAGCTTTCCCTTGATGTGTTGAACTTCCTCCTCCAGGCTACCAACATGTGACTGGCGAGAAGCTAATTCTTCTGTGACTAGCGCAATCTTCGTCTCCTCTTCTTCCAGTTGTTTTCGAAGGGACTCGGAACCCGTCTCCCCGTCAGCAATCGTAATGCGTAGTCGGCTTAACTGCTCGCGGCCGTCGACCAACTCCCGTTCGAGAGCTGCAACTTTGGCACGCTCTTCCGCCACCGTTTCGCGGGACCGGATTGATGCGGCCTCCATGTCTGACAATCGTTCTGCTAGGGCTAACTGTTCTGCCCTGGCTGACTTCACGTCACTCTGTGCCGACTCCAGTTCAGACCTGAGCAACGATGTGTCGCTATCCAAGCTTCGCGCCCGGGCTACGGCATCGCCGACCCTTATCGAGAGTTCGTCGACAAGCTCGGAAAGATCGTCGGGGGCGGGGTCGCCAAGCGAAACCTGTTCCCAAAGTTCATGCAGTGCCTTAGATTGCACGTCGGTTGTCTCGCTCATCGCATCCAGCTGCTTTCGAAGGTTCCTAGATTCGCCCTGGGCTGCTTGAAGTTTTACTTCCTGTGCATCTAGAGTCTCACGATGGAGACGCGTTTCCTCCCGTAGGAAGTTGAGCTTCCCATCTGACTTGAGCGTCTCGTCGTGCTTTTCCTTGGTCAGCCGCTCGACCTCAAATCTTAACGCTCGTATTGTTTCATCGAATGTGACCTTCTCGTTCTCTCTGGACTCGCCGAAGTGGTCGATCTCATCCTCAGTGTCTTCCAACCGTGCCTGTAGGCGCTTGATCTCGCCTTCCAGTGATCGCCGTTCTTCGGTAAACTCTCGCTTGAGAGCCTCAAGATTTTCTAGCAGATCCTTCTTGGTGGAGTTGGCCTCGTCCACTTGGCCCTTAACGTCGCCAAACCGTGCGGCTTGCCCGTCCAGGTCTTTCTCCAGTGCCGCGGACCGTTCCTTTTCAGCAGCCAGCTGCTCTTCCAAATGCTGCACACGCTGAGCGAGTATGTCTGTCCCCTCCGCTGAACCTCTCCGATCTTCCGAAAGCACCGGGGATTTGACCGAAATGGTGGAGTCTACTCGGTCAGAGAATTGCTGACTCGGGGCGTGAAAAAGGTTGCCCAGGCTCGGCCGTGATGCTTGGGTCTGCCGGTGAAGTAAATCCTCCAGTCTTCGTACACGGCTCTCGGCCGTCTTGAGCTTGCTTTCGAGCTTGATTTTGTCGTCTTGCAAGGAATGCAAGAGGTCGTCATCCCCGCGAATCAATAAGGCGCTGCGCCCCAACGCGGCTTCGTGGACGCTGCCGTTCTTGAATGCCTTCATCCGCTTGGATTGCTGTCTAGTGGGCTTGCCCATTTCTGACGCCATTTTTTCGATGTCTTCGGCAATCCTAGGGTCGACCTTATGGGCTTGCAATAACGCTCGAAACTCCTCGAGATCCTCGTAAGTTGTAGATGGCCACCGTTCCTCTTCCCCATGGAGATTCACTTCCAAGCCAGGAACTGCGCTATCCAGACCCAGACTTTCTGGGCCGTAGGTTTTGTCAATAGATTTGTACCACCTCCGGCGTCGTTTGACCTCTTCCTCTTGGAAAAGAGCAGCCTCATTTGCAAGAGTGGATGAATCCTGCTTCATTTTGTCAAACCATTCGCGCCGTTTGATGGCTTCCGCAACAAAACTTGCGTACATGTATGGCACTTGCTGGATCAGCCTAAGATAATCGAATGTGGCAAACTCTTCTTCCTGGTGCATGCCATTGAGCTGCGATTTGACGGTGTGGCTCAGGGCTGTGATGTTTGTGAGGCCGCGCATGAAATCTAGTGACTCCACGGCTAGCAAATTTCTCGCTTGCGTTGCATAACGAAGCATCTCATCCATTTCCAAAGCCCGTGTACTCATGCTCGGCAATAGGCGTTCGGTATGGTTGGAGGCCAATTTAGAAGCCTGCACGACCGCGTCCCGACTGGAGTTGGCGTAGCCAAGGGTTGTCTCGTAGTCGGTGCCGATCTTCGTGGCTAAGGCTTCGATGTCTCCTACGAGCTGCTGGGGATCACCTTCGCGAGGTTTCGTGTGATGCTCAATGATCCTCTCGTACTCGCGAAACACGTCCTCGGCATCGTGAAACAGACGGGTGCCAGCTTTTTCGAGAGCTGCGGCTCGGGTGTTAAAATTGCGAAGTGCCGCGGCAGCGTGGCCGCCCGTCCTCCGTGCCATCTCCAGGTTCACTAAGTCTTCCAGGGTCGCCTTCCGCTGCGCTCGTGCATTGGCGTCTCCAAGGTCGCGTCGCGTCATGAACCGCACCATAATCGGCGAAACCGGGATGCTCCGTGCAAACGATAGATATTGTTCCCAACCAGCTGTTAAGGCGGTGTAATCGGCTCGTGCTTCCGGCAGCCACTTTCGAAGCTCTGCATACCTTGGCTCGACACTCTTGATAACGGATTCTAAGTTGGCTTCGGCAGCATCGAGGCAACGCATCATAACATCCATCTCACGGTAGCGCTCTTCGGTGTCCTCGGCCATCCGCCGACAGTCCTCCACCACCCCCACAGCCCACTCCCTCCTCACTTTGAACAGTTCTTGCCATGCTTGTACCGATCTGCTGTTTCCTATCGAGTTGGGCGGGTTCTCAACAATGTACGGTTTCGGGACCTGGAGTTCGGGGTTCGGGCCAGGCGATGCGCCGGTCGAAAGGGGTTGCGCTAATCTATTGTCGTATACAAATATTTCTGTCTGGGCCGCATCGTCAGAAACTTCCTTTATCCGCAGCGAGAATGCTCACCACAGCGCACTCACCTCAAGTTGTATTGTCTGTAGCTTCAGAGGCTTGCCCTGTGGGGTCAAGGTAATGATACATTGAGCCGGAATCGAGACGTGCCGCGCCACCAAGGACTTGAAATCATCCAGCCTAGAAATAGTTGATTAGCGTAAGATCGGCCGAAGTGAAGAAAGCAAACCGGATGCGCACGATGTGAGTTGAGAGACGTCTACTCGCAGGCATTGGCCCGTATGGGCAATCAACACCTGCGTTGCCATGCCCAAGCAGGCATGCCCAGCGAAGACGAGATGAACTCCGAGCGAGAACAGTCGGGTACATCAAGCCAAAATCGGGTGTTGAAAAAGGTGGCTGCTCGTGTTGCTACAAGCTCCTCTCGCCGCCCCGGGGTTGGCGACTAGAGATCCCAGCGTTGTCGGTCGGCTTGTGTCAATATGAGGTCTTACACGACGGCTAAAGTATTGAACTCCTGTTCTTTCCGCTTCACACCTGAAAATGACTCAGTTGTCCCACCAGACGGGTTGCGATCGGGATGTCCGTCGATTTGTTGTCAGAGCGACGTTTGAGGTTTCGAGGCACATGAACAGACACCGACAGCTGACCAAGGAGTTACCGTAAGGCATCATAGCTTGCACTGTATCACAAACCCCAGACTAGGAGTCCTGTGTGGTCGCGGTAACAACTCCACCAAGAACCAGCTCACCCTTCCCAGACCTGTACCGACTAGGCAACGGAAGGCTGGTCTTTTTTTTCTGGTTCTCTAAAAGAGAGAGAGGGTATTCCTCTTTCCGTTCACTTTGATGCTGGCCCTGCAATGGTTTTGCCCACGGGATGTATTTCGTACTGTGTGGGTCGAGGGCGAGCTGGAGCTTTCCCCCACAGAACAGGCATGAGCTCCCTGCCTCAACTCGGGTTAACTTGGCTTGCGTGCCGTGTCGCGTGCAGGACGGGCCTTTATCTTCAACTCCCGTCAGGTGGCAGATGCCACAGCAAATGAGGCGACCTCTTGGTCTTTCCAGAATCGCGATATGCCTTCCATCGGAACTCTAGCCTCTGTTACCATACCTGTTATCACAGAAGCGGAAGCAAATGTTTTAGCTTTGTATGACCAGCTGCAGCAACTTGAGCTTGAAGCCGCACTCCTCCAATCCCGGCAGGGCCATCCGCTTCCTAGTGAGTGCCAACAACCAGATGCGCAGCTGCTCAGGTCCTGATCCTTTGACCTGTAGGCGCTAGCTTGCCCCCAGGCCATGATTCTTCAGGCAACCAAACACAGGTCCTAGAGGCCAAGGCGACTCTTGCTTTGCGCAACAGCGTGGTAGACAACGTTGTGGTAGTCCAACCGACATTGAACGCAGTTCATCAGGCAACCGAAACGTCGGTGGTTGAACGGTACGAGCATGACACGTCCCTTATCCCTAGCTAGGGCAAGAATGATGACTGCAGCAGGCTGACATCAAGTACCAAAGGGCACTCTTACCCATCAATCAAGAGCGGGATGCAGCCGTGACTCGGACTACCAAAACATGCGCAGAACTACAAACCCTACGAAGTCGCTTAGCGGAGCTTGAAATTCAGGTGCTGCATGTCAGTCATCAAAACACCAAGCTAGCTTCTGAGGCTCTGCAGCTCGCGGGGAAAATGGCTGACCAGGCCCTGGAGACGGGAGGCAATACAAAGTCTCAAAGCGAACTCGCGACACTAGAAAGCCAGGTCAAGGCGAGCCAGCACAGATGGAGGGTCATGAAGGGGGTAACTAGTGCTGTTGTTACTGGAAGCGGTGTTGACTGGGCTCGAGAAGAGCAGTTCAAGGAACTGGTTCTTGATTCGTCAAATTGTTAGTTTACTTAACGTGAGGTGGACTTAGTAGTTATTGTTTGCGCTCGCAGATGGAAGGGCAGAAAGGAGGGCGGGACGCCGAGGCAAGGTGTCGGGTCGGGTCGGGGGCTTGGCCAAAGTTCCATGGGAAGTCGTCAGTGCACAGACCAACCCTAGCCCCGAGTGGATGACCAGAGGTGTGCGACCGAAGAAACAAAACAGACCGCGAATGAACTCTTGGAACCTCTCCCCCTTCACAGGAAGACTGTGCTCCAGACCATGTTGTGCAATCAGGAAGGCAGGCGAATGATTGATTGAGGCACAGATGAGAAGGCCAAGGAGTGGATTGCACTGCAGGTTCGTGCGGAGTCGCAAACGGGCGCAGGTCTCAGCGACTGGTCGAACATCATTGGGGAGGACGGGAACCGGCGCAAAAGAGGGAGAGCTGTCTCGAGCTGGTCCATCACCCAAGTGAGGTGGGATTTTGGGCGGCAGAGCGGGACGGTGTGATTGATTGACCAACCTCAGCCAACCTAGGCAAGGCACAGGAGACGCGCCCAGACCACGCAATTTCCAAGCTCCCGTTGTAGGTGGTACTTCGTCAGCAGCAGTCTTGGTGCTCCGAGGAACATTGAACGGCGCAAAAGGACGAAGTACCCCCTAGTCCTGCTCAACTTCCCTCCCCGACCCCAACCTCCAATCGAAATAGTTACAGCAGCCATTGAACCAACAGCGACGACACCAAACGATCATTTCTCAACAGGGTCCCTTTTAGCCATCTGTGTCTCTGATAACCCTGTCTCGTTGTACACATTGAAAGGGACAAGCACCGGCGTTGTTGGCCGTCGAAAACGAACGAACAAGTACAGTTCTGCAACAATCTTAGCTACCTTCTATACTTCCTGCAGCAGGAAACATGCTTTTGTGCGTTGTCGATGGCGCCAGCGCTAATTGAAAAATAGTAAAACAGAGTACGGATAGTGTTTTGCTTTGGAAACCAGGCGAGACGAGTTTTTTATCTTTATCATTTCATTTTTATCCCGGCCATCATTCTCATACCCGCAGCACTTCATCTCCCCAGTCAATCCATATGCAGTACGGAGTACACAGTATACTACTAGCCCGAGTATTGGATGCGAGGAAACGAGTCTAATACGCCCCAGCAACAAGAAGAACGGAAGCGCTTGAATCCATCGTTCAGTGCCCGCCATGGGAGAAGGGAATCGATGGCCAGACGCCTCACATTGGGAACGGAGCGTGAGCGCGGTAACCGCAAACTCCAAGTACAGGGTACTAAAAAGCACAGTCCAATAAATGCAAGGGTTGATGTACCCTATACCTATGATTCGCCCGTGCTGGACGCGTCCCTTCAGCCCCAGGGGGCTGGGTGAGGAGATGAAGGGGTGCCTCGCCCCTCCCCAAAATTCCGGCCAAAAAAATCAGCCCGTGCTGCAGCCCTTTTTGTTATGGCAGGAAGGAAGACCCCCGCCCCTCCACACTCAATCAGCCGCCCATAGTAAAAAGAGCGTGAGTGCGTCCCCCTCCCCTCGTAAAATCTCCCTCTCTCTTCTCCCATACAAACTCCCACCGCACACAACACCCGCCTATCTGACCTCCACACATAGCACAACCAAGCAGTGAGTACCTCTCCGCTCCGCAATTCTTACCACGCCTCTCAAGTACTTTTTTTACTCCTCCTGGCTTCGCACCGTTGCCATTGGATGCGATTTTCCCCAGTTGTCCTCAACCCACTGCCTTCCCAACACATCTCCCCAAGACTCTATCTGTGTATTTCTGCACTCTCCACTCCGTCCCGCATAGTTGGGCAAAGCGCAACATATCGCTCCCGCCAACACCGCGCATCCTCCGATCAAAAATAATCTACGCTGTGTTTTACTAACCAACGCAGCGTTAAGCAACAACCAGCCACCTATTCCTCGTTCTCCTTAATTTCATTCAACGTAAGTTCTTTTCTTTTATTCCCTTGAAATGAACCAATGTATTCCTCTAGTTTTGCCAGCTTGTGTGGTTTCGCCTTCGCAACGGCCACCAGCATCTTAAATCCCCATTTGCGGGCGCCCACGCGACTTGCTTGGCGTGACGCGAAACTGACCGGTCGCGTCAAGCGGGCCTCGCGGCCGCAATTTTCTGAGGTTACTGAGACATTGGTTCTCGTATGGTCGCAGCCTCACCCAATTTGACCCCGGCGCGTTCACTGTGGCTTGCTTTGTCGTGGTCTTTCCGGGTAATATCTAACAACCGCGCAGCCAAACATCAGTCACTATGCCGAAGGCCGCAGCAACTAAGAGGGGTAGCAAGGAGACCAAGAGGCGGACCAAGAAGGGTAAGTCTAGCTTATTCAATGTGTTGGCGAGAAACGGAGCTTGGCTCGACCTGGACTAACTGGCCATCGCAGATCCCAATGCTCCCAAGAGGGGTCTCTCTGCCTACATGTTCTTCGCCAACGAGCAGCGCGAGAATGTCCGTGAGGAGAACCCCGGGGTTTCCTTTGGCCAGGTTGGCAAGATTCTCGGTGAGCGGTGGAAGGCGCTCAGCGAGAAGCAGCGCGCCCCGTATGAGGCCAAGGCTGCCGCCGACAAGAAGCGGTACGAGGATGAGAAGCAGGCGTACAACGTAAGTGTCTTGCTATCCTCGAAAATTTTGTAGTGAACTTGGTGTCTAACGCTTAAGAAACAGGCCCAGAACGATGACGAGTCGTCTTAGGCACCTTTTCCTCTTCCCAGCAACTCACAGCATCGCACATAGTCAGCCTTGATGGATGATGCCATCCGCTTAGGCCTGTTCACGCGGTTCGCTACGAGGCCTTTGTTTCTTGTATTTTTTGGGATGGACGGTGTTGCTTGGGGCACGGCAATGGGCTTTCAGTGCTTCTCTTTTTTTTCTGGCATGGTTTGCGAGATGGTCGCTATGAAATATGGAAACCGGAAGGCAGGATTTCTCGAGTGGATTAAGATTTGTCCACTCCAGCTGAGTGCGCAGTACTGATTCCCTCTGATATGTATAACAATACCTTTCACGAATGCAATTCCTCCGTTGCTTGATTTTATACATCGTAAACTGGTGTATGATGATGGCGGCGTCTTGGCCGGGTTCCGGTTTGCCCGGCGCGCCCAATCAGAGATTGAGAATTATACGAATATGGAAAAGATGCCTGAGAGGACACAGCAAGTCCATCTGCGAGACCCTCCCTGTGTCAAACCACGACCCTCCTTCCCTCCAAAGAAGACTCGAGTTTGATGTGCCAGCCCCGGGTATGCTTCCGACACCTTGGAGTATTCGCAACCCCCGGAAACACAATTACCCGAATTGCCCATTGTGCGTCCCTTTACAGCCCAATTAAAAATAGCTCCATGTTGCACGATGATGACTAGTCCTGTTCATCCACCCACCATGGCACCCCTCGTCGTGAAGGAACAGCGAATAGTGGTCGGAGTGTGCGCAAAGAGAGTTGTTGAATGGCCCACCAAAGAATTGGCCCCCTCTTTGCATTGGGCTGCGGGCGCAATTTCGCACCAGTCGCGGCAATTCAGCCGACTTCGTGGCAATCTCTGACTCCTCAAGACATCGCACACTGCCGCCGGGCCGCTGCATGTTCGATTTGGCCCGCTGTAGGTATGCCGCCTAGCCCTGCGCTTGGGGTCTGGGGCAAGAGGATGAGCTTTGACACCATGTGGCAGCTCTTTGCGATCGTTCCATGTCTGCTTGGTTCCCGCCCACGCTCCCCCACCAACGACCAGGTCAGGTGGCTGCCACATCAAGAGCAAGTGGGTCACAAGTGAAAGATCCGGCTCTTGTTGGAGGGGAATTCGCAGGGCCGTGGTGAATCGGCAATATCCCACACGCCTTATTATTGTTTCGCCTCCTTTCAGCGATCAAGGTTCCCCCTCTTTTCTTCTTCCCCCTCCCCCTAGCAACCCACTCACTACCAACCTTATTTATCGCATCATAATACAACCCAGGCGCTCTAGTATTTATCATTCCACCTATCGGTCTATCACAGCACAGGCGGTCTGGTCCAACATAGGTACCGAATATTAGAAAGGCGAACCCGAAGAACCCCGAGGACGTCGCAGGCTGCTGTAGGTCTTCGCCCCTGACGAGCCAACCTAGGATACGGCTCCTGCGTGGCGCGACCATGATGTTCAAATCGATTTCGGAAACGTGCCGGCGCTATCCATGACCCTCATCGCTCCGGTGTTCCAGATACGCCGTAGTGGCTGACCCCATATCCGTGCTGCATTGCAACATTAGCAAGGGAAAGGCGCAACAAAATGGAGCAGTTCGCCCTGGCCAATATCCCCGTCGAGACACAGCTTCTCCTCACCTGCTGCCGAGAAGCTGATCAAGCCGAAATAGTCGCTTGCGGCCTTGATCAGCTTCGCGCGGCGCTCACGGAATCGTTTCATAGCCATCTCATAGCTCTTGCGGAAGAGATACGGAGCTCCAGCAGACTCTTGCGCAGCCTTGCAGACCACTCTCAAATGCACTTCGGCCGTGTTCCTTTCATCGCTGTCTACCTCAATGTGGTGCTCCCTTGTCTGTCCCGGACTCTAAAAGACATCACCGGGTTTTACGAGGACAAGGCCATGACTAGGGAAATAAGATGGCGGAAGATGTATAACAGCATGACTGAGGAGGCTGCCGGCCTTCCCCTCCCACAGCGCTTTGTCCTCTATAACTACTTCCTCTCGCTTCTGAAGCAGCTGCTCACTAGGTATTGACTACACCTTTCCCCCTGTCAACACTGCAATTATCCCCTTTTGAAGATGACCGATTCTAAGGGCATTGTATTAATGACACCGGGCTAGATCCCCAAGCTTCGATCTCAACACCCTTGAGGCGCTCCGGTCACGCATCATAACGCTCCGTGAGCAGAGAGGAATCTGTAGGTATCCCAGCTCGGGTTCATATGGTCCCGCGTCAAGGTGTACTAATGTTTCTGTAGCTCCCTCCGCGCCACAGAGCGGTGCTCTTGTCCGGCAGGAGACAACGGCTTTAGCAGTAACATACGATCACGTCTGTACACTCCCAACCCCCACGCACCTCGCCGATGCCCCGGGTAGTTAACGCTTTGCTCCAGAATTCGCATTGGGCGGAACAAATATTTTCTCTTCCACTCCCATCACGGACGACATTGAAGCATCTGAAACCGTAGGCGTTACCTTGTTCTACTTGCTATCCCCAGACCTGTTGAGACAGTGGTGAAAACCTTTGTAATAACTCACACATGGCCCACTAGGTCAAGATCACATGGCCCGTTTTACCCATGGGGGCACATCACAATTCCGCAGAATTCAACAATACTCTTTAGGCGGTAAGCTAGCGTGCAGTTCGTGATGTTTGGGTTAAAATGTTTGACAACTCCGTGGTAATAGGTCCTTTGACAACGAGACCATCTCCGTTGTTGTATTCTTGAGCTCCGAAGACGAATGCCCATACTTGATGGTGAGGACCGTCCAGCAAAGCACTCCATGGTTCTCCATGTTTGGTGCCCACGAACTTTGTATTGAGCGCGAAGGAAGTGCTCTGCAGCTGAAGAGGTGGAGCAAATCAGAGAAATGTAGCAAACTTTGGGTGGCCCTATATTTTCTCACATGGGAAGGTGAGTCGTGAAGCCTGCTCAATCATCCATGCATATGGTCCGCTAATCCGGCCTAGAAATGGTTCTTTTCTATTGCACGTTTGTTGCTCTGAAAGCCCGGGATCTGTTAACCGTCCAGATCCATCCAAATGAGTTCCAGCTCAACCGGGAAAAACGGTTGTTCCAGGCGTAATACCCCATCCACTTTCTCCCTTGGCCCTTCTGTTCCTCCCCCTTGCCATGATCCCGAAAAGGGCACTAACTTGAATTAGACAAATCATCGACGACAGCTTCAAGCATTCGCTCATTGTATATGAGGATATGCAAACCAAAGGCCTACGCCTCCACGCAGCTGTGTGGGAGGGCGAGCTGCGGCAGTGTCCCGTGTGGACGGCATTTGGTGAACACCATTCCCTTTTTCATATATTTAGCTCCTTGTGTTCCTCTGCCACATCGAAAGATTAAAGCACGCACTGACTTAGGCACCACTGCACAGTCACGGACCAAAGTCAATCTCCAGCATGGCTCAGCCGGCGTTCGCGGCGGCGTGTCTGGCTCAAGGATATCCAACTCTACGTCTTCTGTCAGGGGTATCGGCAAGAAAATATGCGACAGAATAAGTCACGCGCGTTCGAGATATGGTTTGACCGAGAGGAAGGTATGTGCTCGCTCTTTTAACAACGCCACCACCTACGCCATGATACGCCCCTCCGTCTAGCTAGACACGATGGGCAGCCGACCAAACCACCTCAGTTGTGCGACGCCGCCGTGATACTGATGTCTTCCACACTGCAGCGGCCAAGAGATTCAAGGAGCTCTTCACATTGAGATTAGCGGCGTCGGAAACTTCGGACAACGAGCCATCATCTGCCACCTCTGCATGAAGCCCGATACAGCTAGGTTGGTTCCCGATAACGACCATATCGGGCGATGTCCCTGACCCACAGCAGTTGATTATCAGCGGAAATATTGAGAGATCATGGCGGATGTAGAGCTTAAATCTAGTGGGATGATGTCGGGACAAAGTTGCATACCCCTCCCCCCCTCTGTATCTTCATAAGTATTTTTATTCCCTGACCCTTAGGAAGATTGTGGGAGACAGATTGTAGTCAATGACTGGTAAAAGGTAGACTGACGATAACGGTACTACGGGCTTATTGTGGGGTGCCTAGGTACCAACTCTCCTGACTCACAATAACCATGGAGCCCCAGTGTTGGAACTATGATCGAGTTTGTGAACCTAAAGTCGAACCAATGGAGGTGTGTTTTGATCATCGCATACCACCTTAGGCGGGAGGGTCGGTCGGTACCGCCTTGTTTCGCTGCCTCCATACCAGATATGTAAATAACGATGATTACCTACTCAGGTATGGTTCCTGTCAAGATACAGTACGTCACCGGTACCCAGCGTGAACCCCCACCAAGGCAAAGGAGCCCAACCCCGCACCAGAGGTGTCAACACTTAACCCAACTTGCCAACCCCAACACATGGAACAAGAGGACGGAAATGGCGGCTCTGCGTTAACTGAGGGAAGTACCCTGACATCCGCCAATAGGAGCCCGAGCCCGAGCCATACCCCGACGCCAGATGCTGAGTTGGGTGAGAGGGTGAGGAAAGTGCAGGATGAGGTGCCACAATTGTGCCGCCGAGGAGTTCGGGGTTGCACTGTGGCCCCGCTCGGTACCGCTGTTGGAGGACGGGAGGCCAGAAAACCTCTTGGTGTGTACCTACGGATGTAAACGGTGGAGCCGATGCAGTGCAGCTCGAGGTCTCGGCCTGCTTGCAGGGAAACCTTGATTTATGAAGCCCCACGCCAGGTCGCCTCGAAGCAGCAACGAGCGGCCAACGATTAAGAACGCCTCACCAAATCCCTCTCCTACCTGCCACCTCATCTTAGACCATACTACGAGATTCTCATACACTCAGACTTCATTGACTCGGTCCAAACTGGAGAATCAGAGCCGGCATCATGGACGTCCAGACCGTGAACTTTACACCTTTTACGGACCAGAAGCCCGGCACGTACGTCAGTTCGCTGTTTGACCCCGCCCTGCAGTTCCCCCTTTCTAAAGGAAAGGGGGCATTTTTATTCACGCTGCGTGTAGCTTGACTCTAGGGCCCAATGTGCGGTGGGACTAACTTCGCAACGCACATACTAGGTCTGGCCTGCGCAAAAAGGTCACTGTTTTCCAAAAGCCGAACTACAGCGAGTCGTTCGTGACGAGCATTTTGCTCTCCATCCCGGAGGGCGCCGAGGGTGAGCTAGCTCAACTACAGGCGGAGCACGCACACCGCACCACCTGTGCTCCACAGCATGGGATACGGGAGTTAGTGGCTGACCTATCCCCTCTCTCTAGGCTCCTTCCTCGTCATTGGGGGTGATGGGCGGTACTGGAATCCCGAAGTTATCCAACTGATCGCCAAGATCGGTGCCGCGTATGGCGTAAAGAAGCTCTTGATCGGCCAGAACGGTATTCTTTCCACTCCAGCAGCCAGCCACCTCATCCGCAAGCGCAAAGCTACCGGTGGGATCCTTCTCACTGCCAGCCACAACCCGGGTGGTAAGTAAATCAACAACCGTTGGGACGCTTGATTCACCACAGCCGTCTAACATGCCTGTGGGCAGGACCCAAAAATGACTTCGGCATCAAGTACAACCTAGCGAATGGCGGCCCCGCTCCCGAGTCGGTGACCAACAAAATATTCGAGACCTCGAAGACCTTGCAGTCGTACAAAATCGCCAGCATACCCGATGTCGACATGATTACGATCGGCACGAGGAACTATGGTGCTCTAGAAGTTGAGGTGGTGGACAGTACCGCAGACTACACCCAGATGCTTAAGGATATCTTTGACTTCGACCTGATCAAGAAATTCTTCGCAACCTACAGCGACTTCAAGGTCCTCTTTGACGGTCTCTCGGGTGTCACCGGGCCGTATGGAAAGGCAATCTTCGAGCAGGAGCTTGGTCTGGGCCCCGAATCTATTCAAAATTGCGTGCCGTCGCCTGACTTCAACGGCGGCCATCCAGACCCCAACTTGACTTATGCACATGAGTTGGTCGAAGTTGTGGAGAAAAAGCAGATTCCTTTTGGTGCGGCTTCGGATGGCGACGGTGACCGGAACATGATTTACGGCGCTGGCGCGTTTGTTTCCCCCGGCGACAGTCTGGCAATCATTGCCCACCACGCCAAGCTCATCCCGTACTTCAAGAAGAATGGCGTCTACGGCCTGGCCCGCAGCATGCCCACATCCGGGGCCGTGGACCTTGTGGCCAAGAAGCAGGGTCTGAACTCCTACGAAGTGCCGACCGGTTGGAAGTTTTTCTGTGCACTGTTCGACGCTGATAAGCTATCGATCTGCGGCGAGGAGTCATTCGGAACTGGCAGCAACCACATTCGTGAGAAGGACGGCCTCTGGGCTATCGTAGCCTGGCTTAACATCATTGCCGGCCTGGGGTTGGCAAAACCTGGCGTTGCGCCGAGCATCAAACAGATCCAGAAGGACTTCTGGGCCGAGTACGGCCGTACCTTCTTTACCCGTTATGATTACGAAGACGTCGACTCGGGTGGTGCCAACAAGGTGGTAGGTGTCCTGAAGGACCTAGTTGCTGACCCGAATTTTGTCGGTAGCAAGGTCGGCGGTAAGTATCAATCTTTCGTCATGCCCCATGTGAGCTTCTCGGAATTTCCCCACTGACTCTGATGATCCCTTTGCCCTAGACCGTACCGTGACTGAGGCCGGTAACTTTTCGTATACCGACTTGGATGGATCTGTGTCGGCGAACCAGGGCCTTTACGCCCGCTTCTCTTCCGGCAGCCGGATCGTTGTGCGGCTGTCTGGGACCGGTTCGTCGGGTGCCACCATCCGTCTCTATATCGAGCAGCACAGCAGCGACCCCTCTACATACGATCTTGACGCCCAGGACTTCCTGGGGCCTGAGATTAAAATGGCGACGGAACTCCTCAAGTTTAAGGAGTTCGTAGGCAGGGATGAGCCTGATGTTAAGACGTAGTTGCACCACTTTAGAGCGCTCGAAGGGATGATCATGAGAAAATGACCCAGGCGAATCGGGTTGAATGTGTTTCGTACTGGCTTCAACCCTCGGATACATGTTGATCCAGTATGGATGTCTGCTTCAGTGGGTGGAGGCTTCAGCTTTCTGGAAGATAGCCGATCGATAATACTTGGCCTCATTGATACTCTCGAGTATGTCATCTTTTGCCTTGTGTAGGCCTTGTTTCCTCGGCGCCGAGATTGCCGCTCTTGGGCTGTTTTGCAAAAAGTCAGGGCATGAACTAAACCAATGTACGTAAGGGATAAATGCTGGGGGTCCACATACCACCACCTCCCCGCGGCCTCTTTGATGCTACTGACGTCTAGGATTCGGTAGTGTAGGTGATCGAGAACCTTACTGTACGGCCCCATGCGAAGAAAGGTGCGGTCAGCATGTACGCTGTTCCCCGCCAACAACGCTGCCCCCTTTTCGGGTACATGTTTTTGGATATAAGCGAGGAGGCCGTCAGCAGCCTCCTCGGGGGTTACGGTGGAATTAATGGCAGCCGCCGTAAGCCCACTCTCGCCGTCTTGGTTTCACATGGTCAGTAAACCCATCTGCTACCAACGCTTCTATGCTTCATCTCGAGGAGACTCAGAGGACAGAGCACGTACGGACCCTGGTGCACCATTCATCCATCCTAGACATCCGTTCTTTTGTGTGGTGGATAACAACACCCCACCCAGCCCTGTCAAGAAGTTCTAGCTGGCCATCAGTTATGAGGCAGAAGATCTCGAGAATAGACTCGGTGTCTGGGTTTAGGCCGGTCATCTAGCGGCAGGGTTAGCCCAAGAACGACACAAGAAGAAGATTCAATTACCTCGCAGTCAATCCATATGAGGGCATCTTGCCGCTCAGTCGGCTGTAACTGTTGAGCCAACTGATTTGTCGCCATGGAGAAACTGGGGTAGGCCTTCGTAGCCCGTGAATCTATGAACCGAGGAGGTGAGACATTTGAGTAATGTATCCGACTGAACAAAAGCAGACAAGAGAAGCTCGGAATTTGAGGTGATAACCGGGGGGAAATCCGAGGTGAAGGCATTGACTTGCTTTTCTCGTAATGTTGAGAATGGGGATGGGAAGTGGGGGAGCTTGCCATAAATACATACACACATACATTACATACATACAGTATGTGTATTTTAACATACACACCGTGATACAACCAGAGGTTCCGACGACGTTCCTTCGCCTTGAGGACTCCTGCGGTCGGACAAATCCTCTCCCGTCCTGACACACCCGCTAAGGCCGACGCAGAATAGCTGCAACACCGCACATGAGCACACAAGCACACGGTGGGCTTTCTTCTTCTCTAGGGGGACTGGCTCCGTAGGTGACTGGGGACAACACAGTGCCGGGTGAAGAGGGGAAGGGGGGGCATGCTTCCCCTCGATTAAAGCTCGGTGCCTCAGGAGCCCGCCGCACTCCTGCCCCTTTTATCCATCTCCGTAGGTACTTAGCTTATTTATCGTCTCAGAGGATGAGTGTTGGTCACAACTTTTTGTGTTCATTTTTCAACAAATAAACCTGCCCATGGGGATATGAGCTCAAAATCCTCCCTCCTTTGAAGTACACGAACACCACCATGTCGAAAACCGAGGAGTCCACCCAGGCTGCCCCCTCGGCAGACCCGCCTCGTATTCTCATCATCGGCGCGGGTTCGCGGGGGAAAACTTACGCTAAAGCCATCGCATCGGCTACGAACGGCGTGGTCGCTGCCGTTTCCGAACCGGACAACTACAAGAGGAACTGGTTTGGGGAGGCCTTTATATGGGGTTCGGGTGCTCCCCCGCCCGAAGGAGCTGCTTTCGCCGACTGGCGTGAGTTTATCGCTTACGAAAAGGAGCGCCGCGCGCGCGCGGCGAGCGGTAGGGAGGAAAACGTGCCTCCGGGCATCGACGCCGCCTTCGTTTGCGTGCTGGATGAGATGCATCGCGACGTGGTGGTCGCCCTGGCCAACCTCGGCGGGTTCCATATCATGTGCGAGAAGCCGTTGGCGACCACCCTCCAAGATTGTATCGATATGTACGCGGCCTTGCAAGCAAACAAGGTCTCGGGGGGGGAACAAGCTGTCTTCTCCATTGGGCATGTTCTTCGTTACAGTCCCCACAATATGCTCCTCCGAAAGCTTGCGGTGCAAGACCGCGTAATTGGGGATATCCTGTCTGTTGTACATACGGAACCCGTTGGGTGGTGGCATTTTAGCCATAGTTACGTCCGTGGCAACTGGTACGTGGCATGGGAACGCCACTCGCTTCTTCTAAAGATTGCGACATTCCGCTGACATAACTGGCAGGCGTCGCGAGAGCACCACTGCCCCAAGCCTATTGACCAAGAGTTGCCACGACATCGATGTGCTGCTCTGGTTGCTATGCTCCCCCTCTGATTACTCAGTCAAGGACGGGCCTCCACCCCATCTACCATCCTCGGTAACTAGCACCGGTACTCTGCAGTATTTCAAGCGGAGCCGCAAACCAGCCAGGGCCGGGAATGCCACCAACTGCCTCTCCTGCCCAGTTGAAAGCGACTGCAAATACTCAGCAAAGCGTATCTATGTCGGCCCGGAGATCGCGGGGCTGGAGACCTGCAACACAGGCTGGCCCGTGAGTATCGTTGTTCCTGATATTGAGTCGTGTGACAGCATGAAAGAAGCCAAGAAAGCTGTGCTTTCTGAGCTCGCCAAGGACTATACTTCTACCACACCGGATTCGGAGGTCTCACGTCGAAACTGGTTTGGCAGGTGTGTTTACGAATGCGACAACGATGTGTGCGATGACCAAGTGGTCACCCTCAACTGGGAGGAAGAGCCGTTGGCGGGTGAGAGCGGGACGGGTAGCCGCAATGCGAAGACGGCCGTCTTCCATATGGTTTCTCACACCAAAAAGATATGCCAACGCTATACCCATCTGTACGGCGTCGACGGTGAAATATACGCTGACTCGACTACCATCACCGTCGAAGACTTCCGTACCGGAAAGACAACCGTGCATCGCCCTCCGAGCGGAGGCGCCGGGCACGGCGGAGGGGATACTGGCCTAACTCGTCAGTTCATACTCGCTATCGACAAGGTCAAGAACCATGGTTGGTCGTCCGACAGGGCCCAGAGAGAGCTTGTCGGCTGCACCCTGGAAGAAGTTATCCTCAGCCATGCCATGGTATTCTGCGCTGAGGCTGCGCGCCGGGGTAAGGAGGTGATAAATTGGTACGTGTAACTTCCTCCTGTTTGGGCTAACCTTGCATTTTACATCCCCATACGCTTCTATTATTTTGCCCGGTAGTCAAAGGCTGCAGCTAACATGATTTGGGGGTAGGCCTAAGTGGTGGGCGGCCGAGGTCCAGGCTAAGTCCGCGCCGAGATGATACATGCTCGGCCACCAAGCCGGCCACCAAGTCGGCCAAACTGGTTCCAAAAGGGATCATACATGAATTCACGTACCTACAACATACCCGTTTCTATTTATTTGTCTGCAACTTTTATTGTACAATTTACTACCCAGCGTTTAACGGAAGATAGTCGTTTTACAGAGTTGGAGACACTCCCATCATTAGTTATTAGCTGGATCTGTGACGGTAGATCAAGATACATACATGCCCTTGACGGGCTCAGCGTATGTATATAATAGTCTCTCGTTTCTGGAAACGAGGGGTACCTACCAGCTCTGTTGGCTGTGCCTATTAGGAGCCGTCGGAACCTCGATTTCCCGCTTGTTTTTCTCGGTACCTCTCACCCGCTGTATACCTCTCACACTCGGTTCACGGGGCGCTCATTCATGGTCGACGAAAGTGGGGAGAGAGGGGTGGGGTGATCCGCGCCAGTCCCCCAAGTTTCATCCCAAACTCCCCACCAATCTAGTAACCGCCCCACCCCCTAGGACATAGTACACGCGACACCACACAAGGTTCCCTGGAACCCAACTTCGATTTTATCACCGGAACTAGCTAAGGGAATTACTCTTCTTCGAGACCCTCGCGAAACCTACACCATACCCACAGCGTGCCCGCTTTAGCTTTCAACTCTATCTGCCTCGCATATACATAACTTTGTCCGTCAAGTCTTTTGCCCTTCAGCCTATTATACACCACTTCTCGACGCTGGACACTCGCATTCAAGATGGAATCTGGGACGCCTGCTCAGCAACAGGCCGGCGGCGCCGGAGCTAGCTGGGGCTCGTTCCTCAAGGTTCGTAAATGGCAGACGTTCCATTCCTTCATTAGCACGAACGGCTATGGATAGAAAAAGCTAACCCGAACTTTCCGAGTCAGTCTATCGCGTCCTTCAACGGCGATCTCTCTAGCCTCACCGCGCCGCCCTTCATCCTCTCAGCCACTAGTTTGACCGAGTTCAGCTCATATTGGTGCGAGCACCCATCTATCTTCGCCGCGCCCGCCAAAGAAGCCGACCCCGCAAAACGCGCGCTCCTAGTGCTGAAGTGGTTTTTGACCACTTTAAAGCAGCAGTACGCTAGCCGAAGTGAACAATATGGAAATGAGAAAAAGCCCCTTAATCCATTCCTCGGCGAGCTTTTTCTAGGGAAATGGGAAGATGACGCCGGGACCACTGAGTTGATCAGCGAGCAAGTTAGGTCAGTGTTTGGATCGTTACCCGGCAAGTGGCTGGCCACTGTCATCAGCCATGTACTGACTGACTACTTTACTTTTGTCGACTCGTAGCCACCACCCCCCAGCAACTGCATACAACATCACCAACCTTGCCAGCGGCGTTCGGCTAGAAGGCTACAATGCCCAGAAAGCGTCCTTTTCCAAGACGATCAACATCAAACAGATTGGCCATGCGGTGCTGAGTGTACCTTCAACATCGCCCGGAGAACCGGAAACCTTCCTTATCACCCTGCCATCCCTGCATATAGAGGGTCTTATCTTCGGTTCTCCCTTCATCGAACTAGAGGGCAGCTCCTATATCACGTCTTCTACCGGTTTCACAGCCAAAATTGACTACAGCGGCAAGGGCTGGTTATCCGGGAAGAAGAACTCGTTCACTGCGATTCTTTATCCCACCGGCAATGAAAAAGAAGTGTTGTTCAACGTGTCCGGGCAATGGACCAGATCCTTCGAGATCCACTCCGGGGCCGCAAAGCACAACAACAAAGACAACCTCATCGAAAATTGGGTCCCTCTTCCTCTCAGTGAGCTCGACATCGCCCCTCTGGAGAAGCAACACCCTCTCGAGTCCCGACGGGCTTGGTCCAAGGTGGCAGCCGCGATCGCCAAAGGCGATCTTGACACAGTCAGCGTAGAAAAAGGCAAAATTGAGAATGCGCAGCGCGAGTTGCGCGCCCAGGAGCGGGCCGAAGGGCGCACTTGGGAGCGCCGTTACTTCACAGACCGTACCGATGTTGTGGACCCAATCTTGAACAGCCTTGGACCGGCCGTCAGCCTACCCGAAAATGGCGATTCTGACAAGACCGGCGGTTTATGGCGATTTGATCATGCCAAGTCGGAGGCAGTACGGAAGGAGTCCCTTCCTGAGGGCGAGAAGGCGGAACAATTGGCGAAATTGTTGCTCGGGCAATGATTCGGGGGGGGGATGTTGCCCGTGGCATATAATATATCCACACTTTGTGTCAGTGGTAACATGCATGGTGTGGAGATACACAATAGGCCGCCCTGTGATGTCTGCCCGGGCGGTTTCTCAAGTGGCTCCCCATCTCACTGGCAGGACCGCTTTCCAAGCCTTGCAGCTTGCCTCCGCCTCCTGGCGATAATCTTACATGGGGTGCGGGGAGGGGGTGTGCAGTGAATAAAGTACGAAAACTGGATTGGAAAGGGGTTCGTGAGTCCTTTTCGTGATGGCTTCCCGCGGATGGATTGGATATCGGCTCGGCACTCTTATGATGAAGTTGACATCACCGGCCTAGTGATAGATCTAGTCCGCCTCGCATCTTTAATTCTGGTTTTTCCTCCATGTTTTCCGCTTCTGCCGCCGCTGGGGATTCACAAGGTTACTACACTAACGTCACAGCACCCTTGTACCCCTTACTTATTGTTCTATCCACCCGAGCCACCTCAACCCCGCGCTTTTGAGATTGCACTCTAAACCTAGCCACGTATCGCCCGCCATCTACGACCGTATTATCTCATAAAACAACAAGTACACCTCGCGTTGCATGCCCAATACGTCACGCGTGGTAGCTTCCTTGATCTTGTCGTCGCTGATACGCCACCACCGGGACCTCTGCTGCTTCTGCTGCCTGGCCTTGGCTTTAGCCTTGACCCCAGACGTGGAAATGGTGGGTTGGGTAGGGGGCGTCAAGGGGTGTTGGTTCTTCCCACCGCTGGCCGGTGATATTTGGATGGCGTCGAGCGAGGCGGAGGGAGCCGGGCCGGAGCTGCTAGAACGCGGCGATGCCCCCATCGACGGCGAGCTGTCAGCGCTTATTGTTGTGGTGCCAAGGAGGCGACGAGAGAGCGCCGGGGACAAGGGCGAAAGGTTGGTGACTTGATCAGTCGGTCCCTGTGCTGGTGAGGAACTGGGGTCACTTAGAAGCGGGCTCTGGCTTCGGCGTCCCGGGGTGGGAGCGGGACTAGGCCGTCTGCTATAAGCAGGCGACTCTTGGAACGTGCTTGGGTTGGAAAAGGGCGGGTACATATTTTGCCTCCGGAATGATTCGTAATGGCCGCTGTTGTGGCTTCCTTTATGTGTGACAACACCAAGAAGCGTGTACTTGCGCTGCTGAAGCAGGCCACCTAGCGGAAGCTTCTCGGGAAAAACAACCCTGGCCGAATTCTTCAACGACGAGTGACTCGCATCAAAGATCGACCTTGAAAGGTGAACCGCCAGGATCTTGGGGAATTCGGTCATGCGGGTGTGCCGTGCGATCCTACACCTCGGAACGGAGTGCGGATCGGGGAGCTCGATGCCTTCCGGTGGTTTCTCCGGATCCACGGCGATAGCAAGTTGGAGCTTCGTCACGGCCTCTTCCGCTCTCGACCGATCTGTGGCGGACGCTGACCGCGTCTGTCTCTCGAAGATGGCTAGGGCGTGTAACAGACGGCATTTTTCGCACTTGAAGTCATCGATATACTCGGTCTTAAACATGCTATCAAAACACGCTCCAAGCGTCGAGGATGCCACCTGGGGTACGTTGAGTGTCAAGGTGCAGAAGGGGGATACCGTGGGCCGTGGCTTGAACCCACAAGTCAAACACTCGATCTGGGATTCAAACTTGCCCTCTAACGGAAACCCTTCCTCTTGCTCCTCCGTATTCGGCTTCTCCGCGCTGGCGCCACCATGCCCGGCACCACCGAGCACTACGCCGGCTATCTGGCCGTGGTCGTTGCTGGATGGTCGTGGCGATTCAGCAGCCACGGTGTTGTTCGGAGTCTTCGGGGGGTTGAATGGGGCATCATCGCCCAGGCCTCGCTCTCTGCACGTGGCGAGCAAACGAGCCCTATGCCCAGCATGATACTCGTCGCAAAGCCTCTCGGCCACTACTTGTAGGAATTCCTGTGCATCCTGCTGCTGCCGGCTAATGCGCTGACGGAACGATTGTTCAAGGACTCGTAGAAAAGGTGCAGCAGATATGGTTTTTCTGTTTATTGGGCGCTCATTCAATGCATCCAGTATGCCCTTGAGCCCCTTTGTGACACTGCCCGTTTGTAACCCCTGCAACTTCCACTCCGGTGTGTCCTTCAACAGGGGAGGAAGCGCGTGGTCAGACTCGACCTGGGCTCGAACATCGGCGGGAACAATCTGGGTGTATATCGATTGCTCGTCGAGGTTCCGGCGATGCACCTCTCGTATTAAGTAAAGTCGGAGGTCGCCGAGACCGGCGAGGGCTTGGAGGACTGAATTGATGAAACAATCATTGGCGGTGTTCGAAAGCCCTACGGCCCCCTTCTTGCGGCCTGAGAACGCCCCGCTGACCGAGTTCGGATCATGGTTATCGAGGAAGTAAGTGGGCGCAAATACATAGATGAGGGTAATAGCAGCGAGTGAGGCGCCAGCAGCGTACGTCACAACCTTGAGCGTTTTATCGGGCATTTGCGATGGCGGCCTTGTATGGTTTTAAGGGTGAAAGGCTTCGGCCCAGACAACCAAATCCACGGCGGGCCGAACAAAACGGAGGACGTTATTGGCGGGAGGGTCGATTTGGAAGTCGGTTGGTGAAAAGGCTCAGTTGTGCATTGACGTCTTTGAGATTTCAGCCGAAAGGGCTTGGCAGGGTGAGAGGCAATGGGTCGAATGGAAGCCTGCTCGTCTGAAGGCGACGAAAAGCGGGCTCCGTAGAGAGAGATCAGGAGTATGAAGAATTTGGCAGATACCCGAGTGTATATATATAAGAATTGGCTCTGAATTACAAGTCAATTTTACGCCTTCATTCATCTTGGTATCTGCGACTTATTGTTTGTTTGTCACTCGCCGCTAACAACCATGGGTCTACTCTAAGTTAATATAAATATAACCCTTATCCTAAAGATAAGAATAGTCTAGAATTTTAAAGTGTTATATTTAATAATAGGGTAGAAACTCTATGTCGAGTTATTAAATAGATATATTAAGTGGATATCCTAAAGCTAACCTATAGTAAGCTTTTCAAAGCCACTTTATCTGTTATATATATCTATTTAGGTCCTATCTAGAGTATAGCTGACTATTATCCTAGCTTATATCTAAAGAGAGAGTTATCCTACTTCTTATTTCTTAGATATAAAACTACACTAGCTTAGTAACCTAGACCCTATAGTTATAGTTATTCCTTAGTTAAAGGATTAAATTATATAAAATATAAATTAAACTAAGGTTAACTACAAGATTATTAAAATCTTAATAGCTCTTTAAAGGAGGTTATAGTTATTAATAATTTCTTAGTTCTAGTTTACCTTTATTAAATTCCTATAGGTAACTTCTACCCTTTCCTAATTATAAATTACAATAGTCTAGTAATTATCCTAAAGGTAATATAAAATAACCTAAAAGTATTATAGGGCTATCTACTCCTTTAGCTTATCTTGTGATAATAGTACTTTGGAAGCTTATCTAAAAATAGCTCTAGCTAGATATATATAGTTTTAATATACTATTAGACTATATTATAAAAGGTTAAGAAGGTTATATCTATTAAACTACTATTACATTAAGATACAGCCTTTAATATTATAGATACTAATTATAATATAGAACTATAGTATATTAAAGTACTTACTACTAGTTAAAGGACTAGTATATATAAGGAAGATATACTAAATAATAGCCTTATTTACATTTATTCTAGGGCTGATAATCTATATTAGATATTAGTAAATAACTTTAGCAATATATTTAACCTTATATATATATATATAGTTTCTTAAAAAAGTAGATTATAGTGTCAAGGGCTCAGGCCTAGGGCCATGCCCTCACAAGGCCAGGGACATCAGCAGTCGTGTTGGATCGTGGCCGATGGCCTTGGGTTGACATAGCGGGGCTGTCCCTCTCCCGAGACACTCGCAGGCCGGTGCCGTTCCGGACCCGGCTCGGAGGTGGAGCCCGAGGTGCCCGAGCTCCGAGCGCGCACATCAGGGGGGGGAGGGATATCAGGATATAAGGAGCCCTGGGTAAGGCACAACCCCAAGTAGTTCTCTTTCTGCAAGCTTTCTCAATAACATAATAAACGCCTATCTGCATTCTGCCATAGGGCCAGTTCCTTACACTGGCTAGTAGCATTAACAATCTGATACTCGGCTAGTCACTTAGTTATCTATAGGACAATTTCTTCCTACTACCAGAGTTCCTTATTAAGTTTCTTTAGTTTCCTTAACTCGGTTCTTATCTCCTTTAAATCCTTATAGTAGACTATATTAAGTCTCTATTCCCTTTTTAGCTCGTTCTTCTTCTGAATAAGGGTTTCCTATTAAAGTTTATATTCTACCTGGAACTTCTACTATATACTGACTTTATAGTATATTTATCCCTAGAGTAGGTGATAGTTGTACTTTAGCCTAATTATTACTTCTTAAAGGTTATTAAATATATCCTACCCTTTAAGTACCTTTTTCTATAGGTACTAAAGGTTAGGCCCTAGGGGCTGATCCTCCTTAGTAGTTTTCTAATAGCCTTACTAGTCCTAGGTAAGGGTAAGTCCTATTTCCTCGATAATAGCATTTATAATATATAGTAGGGTTACTTAGGTATATAGATTAGACTTAAGGTAATTATCATTACTATTAATAGGTTCCTATAGCTATTTACTATATTCTTTTTTCTATATCCGAGAATTCTACCTAAGGGGGTTCTAAATCCTTATTATCTTCTTTAGGTTCTTTCCTTATAAGCCTAAACTTCTCTATATTACTATAGTAGCCTATATATTCCTCTCTATTATATATATCTTCTAAGTTATCCTATCTATAGCTACTAGTAGTAACCTCCTTAAATTTAACTCCTTTTTTAATAATAGCAGCTTCTTATCCTAGTACTAGGGACTATTATCCTAATACTCTATTTTACCTCTAGGGGCTTCTATATTTATACTTATAGTAGCCCTTCTTCCTATAGTTATAGCAGGTAATACTAGACCTATTATAGGGCTGCTTATTCAGCTACTAGATCTAGACTATATTAATCTCTATAGGTCCTAGTCAAGTACTATAGGATATATTCTTACACTGTTTCTTCCCCTTATTAATATAGTTCCCCCTGATAATCAACTTCTACTATCCCTTTCTTTATTACTTCCTTATATAGAGATAGTTATCAATATAGATAGCCTTAATAATGTACTTATCAAGAGCTAAAGGCTAATCTTCCTTATATAATTCATCCTTAATATCTTCTTTTAATTTATTATAGAATAGTTATATTAGGCATTCTTTATTAATACTAGCCGTAATAGAGTCTTATCAAAATATTATAATATAGGTCAAGGCTAATTTAGTTTACTATAGTCAAATAAGTTAATCCTAAATATAGACCTTTTTATCCTAATCTCTAAACACCTTCTACAGTTCCTTCTAGGATTCATTGTAATCGTTAAAGATCTTCTAGGTATATAGATTAATATATCATCGATATTCTGGTTTATGATATAATCCCTAAAGGTTGGCTTAAACTAATATATAGCTTGGCCAATAAGCCTTAAAGCTATATAACGGAATTTAATACCTCTATCTAGAAACCGAATATTATAATACTCAATATAGAATGTAAGTTCTATAAGGAATTATATAAGGTCTTCTTTCTTTCTATCAAACTTTTTAAGGGCTTCGATCTTAAGCTTAGCCCTTTCGATGTCGTCGAACTTACTAGTATACTTATTGATTAAGTCCTACTAGATCTTAAAGCCTTTTTTAAACTCCTTAATCTTATGCTGAAAGACCCTAACGGTATTATTAAGGTCTTCTTCTAAGGAGGTTATATTGAAACTGGAACTGGCACTTATAGTATTAGATATCTTCGTCTAAACTATAACAGAAGTAAAGGGAGTAAGTAATATATAATAGATCGTCTTTCAACTATATTCTAAAAGAGTTTACTAAAGGTATAATATAAGGGTTGTAATCCAGTGAAGCTAAAAGGTTTATAATAAGATAGTGATCTGGTCTCAATGTTTATAGTACAGTACAGGTAGTAATAAACAAGTTATATTACTTACTGGAGAACTCCCAGAGTCCTTTAGAACGAGTGCCTAATATACTATCTAAAATAGCTGGCGAGCTATAGCTCGCCAGCTACTGTATTCTACCTTAGCTCGCCTTAAGTAGCTGTCTACCTGATGCTATCGTGCTCGTTGGCGCTCGCCGACTACCTGGTGCTACTGTATTTTGCCTTGGCCTTCCTTCATATAGCCGTCCCGATCCTGCCCTAGTCCTATTTGCTGTACCGTTTTGGCTACGCCCCACCAGGGTCACCTTATATAGTTGGTTTGTGATATAGGTCTAGATTAGATCAAATACTTTAACTTCTATATAGTACCTTATATAAGGGGTAAATACTAGCTGTTAACCCTTAATGGCTATAAGAGCTATTACTCTATTAAATTTAAGCTCTATTACTAGAAGAATGATATTATTATACTCTATATACCTCTATATTCCTCCTACCTTCTCTAGCCACTTAATATTGGCTACTTTAGGCTATTGATATAAGTCTATAGCCACTAGATCAAGAACTTAATATATATGTATATATCAACTATATAAGTAAGCTTAAGTTCCTCTACACCTTTTATATAGCCTTCTTCGCCTCTATTACTAAGAGCAATATCTGTCACGAGTTGGCCTGAGGAATGGCCAAGGGATCTACAAGTCAGGACGCAGGACAAACTGACAGCCAATCATTAGGTAGCCAATCAGGACAGGATCACGATCAGGGCTAGACCAAGTATCGTGATCCCGCATCATAGATCACTAGGATCACGCTGTGATCTAGGTAAGCCAATACCAGAGATTACCAGGGGAAAATGGTAATCTAGCTAGTATATACTCACTCGTTCTAAAGGACTCTGGGAGTTCTCTAGTAAGTAATATAACTTGTTTATTACTACTTATACTATATTATGAATATTAAGACCAGATCCTTATCTTATTATAAACCTTTTAGCTTTACTAGATTATAACCCTTATATTATACCTTTGGTAAACCCTTTTAAAGTATAGTTAAAACCTAATCTATTATATATTACTTACTTCCTTTATTTCTATTATAGTTTAGATAAAGGTAACTAATACTATAAGCGCTACTAATACTATATAGGCTTAACTAAAGGCAGTTATATAATCCTATAGAACAACGATAAAGCTAAGGCTATATTTATTATACTATAAAAGAAGATAAAGGAGCTTAAAGATAAGTCTAAGATTTAGAAGGGCTTACTTTTAGAATATAAGACTAAGTTTAAAGATATCTAAAGAGCCAAGCTTAAGATCGAGGCTCCTAAGAGGTTTAATAGAAGAAAGGAAGACCTGGTATACTTCTTTATAGAATTGACCTCTTATATTGAATATTATAACGCTTAGTTCCCTAATAAATGGACTAAGGCCTGCTATATAGCCTTAAAGCTTACC